AGCTTAACTTTCTGGCTCTGCTATTGAAGTAGCAATTTCTTTCGAATACCTCCCCTTGTAATTCGGTATTGGTAAAGTGGTGTTGTTGCCATGCATCAACAAGTGGGTTATATAGTTCTAATGTGTGTATCAGTTTGGGCTTCTTGTTTGCTGTTGTTGCCATGGCTGCATTTGTAATGCTTCCTTCTCAGTCAACTTGGTTCCTGATTGGATATCAAACTGTTCCACGTGACAAGGGACAGCTTGCACACTTGGTCGTCCTCGCAGACCCCCCCCCCCCCCCCACACACACACACACATAAGAACTTCTGATCGTGAATACTGAACATGTTTAACGGTTTCAAGTCAGAGGAGGCTCCAGTTATTTTCTGAGCAAATCAGAGAGTACAGAAATCACTCCGAACGCGCCTCACACCACTGGACAATCTGGCAAGATATTCTGTAAAAACACCCAATAATCTGGCTTTAGCTGACTCTTGTTGAAAGGGGGGAATTGGGCCCTAAATCAGTGCAATTATCTTATGCCCCACTCTTACCACAGACAATAAAATACTATGCACTTGAGGACTATTTGGACAAATACTCAGTTAATCAGGCCATGCCCCCTTGATCAATGGGGATTGCAGATTGGGCCTAAATTAGGCCTACAAATCATCTAATTATTACTTTTTTAAACAAAATGAATTGGTCCGGCCTTACTGAGACTGACTTCTCTTTAAATTATCCAGAAAAGAATTGCATGTCTCTAATGGGGCGCTCACACCAAGTGCGAGTAAATTCATCTTCTCGCTTAATTCACGCGAATCTAGACGCGTGAATGAATAGTATTTACGCTCCTCATTTGCGCGTCAACGGTAATTTCATCGGTAATCCCTGCCGATTCAACCTACGGGATCAAGTGGTAGACAAAGGTTTTTTACAGTTTACCAGGTAATCTGTCTTCCTCACTCACTTGCCTCCCGGGGAACTCCTTTTTATTCCAGTTTCGGTAAATGAAAGAAAAGGTATCATATGATTCAGGGCACCCACACACCGACACGATCAGTTTGTCCTCCATTTAAGATACCGGTGAACAACTGTCCGTTTTCATATGCCACCCGACAACCTTCATGCTGATTGGTTATTGCGATGCAAATATCCGCCGAAGTTGAGACTTTTTAAGCTCTGGCCCCATTTGTCTCATTCATGCTGCCAGAGTAGTATGAGCATCTAATCACGTCTTTGCATTGACCTAACATGTAATTTAGTCACGCGAATGATTTTACTTGCGCTTGGTGTGTGGAGACAGTAACCTGGGAATCCCACTGGAACGGCTCCGCTCCACTCTGGACCAGCAGGTGGATCAGATACGCAAGCATACAGTGCCCCCTTGATCCAATCCGCCTCCGCCATCGGAGGAGAAGCGTTTGTGAGATTACTGATATTTCTCACAAGACTGGACGAGATCTCATGAGATCTCGCGTGTTTCCCTGTGAAACATTGAATGAGATTCGCAGATCGCACATTGATTTTAATGCTTGCGTATTTGAGCCGCCAGCCGTGCCGAAGCTGTTAAAGAGTCCTGAAGGTTTTAGCTGTTACAAATACAGAACTAAATAAGTCATGTGCCTGCTGTTGTCATGTGGTGTCGTGTTAATGAAGGGACCAAATGCCTGGAGGTTCAGCTACACAGCTGTGTTGTGCCTGATTAAATGTACCTGCGATCTGTGACTAACCGAAAGGTTAAAGTTGGGTTCAGGCCTAGAGGAACCTTCTACAGCCTCGCCTACTCAGCACAAAGCCTCTCTCGCTGTCTCAGTCTCTTTGTAGAGAGGCTGATCAAAGAGGGGAGCACGCTCAGAGGATTCACCGTGTCAGGGAGCCTCAGAGCGGATGAACATGGACATCCCATTATGTTTCCCAGTGGGTTAGCTGAGGGAAGTGAGAGTGCACAACCTTTGTGTGGCTGCGTGTGAGCAGCTGTGAACAAACCAGAGAGTGTGAGCTCACACCAGCAGCTGCAGGTCAGTCCCAAATGTTGGATTCTTAACACGTATACATACTTTGGAGGCTGAGAGCAAATGATGATTGAGATTTGGAATTTTCTGCGTATGAAAACAGTCGGCAGCTTTGATCGGTAATGAGGGAGGTAGGTTTGGACTGAGCAGCGCTGCTTGTTATTACAGATGAGAATCTCAGGATCAAAGGCTTCTTCTCTGCTCATCGTTCCTTCTCTCTCTGACTGAGTGTCTCTGCTCAACCTCAGGTGTCCTTGACTCCTTTCTGGCCGGTCCACACCCTGCAGATAATGCAGAAGACCTGTCAAAGGCTCTTAAACTCCTACACCTCACCCACTGCTGCAGCAGAATGAAGCCACTGACAATCAGTCTGACAGGATTTCCAGCTTCAAACTCCCACCTTTGAGCATTAAATGAATCCTTAACCAGAGGCAGGAGCTTTGGTGTTGACCTCTGAACTCTCTGCTGATAGGACATGAAGATAACCATTTTGCATCCTTGCAAAAATCAGAATTTGTGGTTTAAATATTGAATTTTCTGTCTTTCAATGATTTTTTTTTTTCAGAGCTAACAATGTCAAGGTCATAACAGTTTTCAATTAGCATTTGTTTTTAGTTTTGGCTTAGATTGTTTTTGACACTGGGTTTTAGATTAGTTTTTTTAAACTCTGTTGGATCGCCGGCGATCCCACGTGACACCATTAATATTGTTCACAGTTTCTCAGGAACTATACCACGTATCCCTATGGGATAGAAAGTTTTCAAAAGCTTACCCTTTTGGTTATCTATTGAGTGTTTCCAGGCATTTTTACACCTGCCACAAGGTTTACAATCCAGCCACAAAAATAGGTGTTTGATCAAAGACGTTTGATACGCAGTGATACACCGATGAAAACATGATTATTTATCGTATTGTTGTGATAAAAAAAGATCGCTAACGCTAAATGCCGCTAATGTCTTCCAGGTTTAACAAGCTGTTTTGATGATGTCTTTTTCTGTCAAACTTTTAAACAATTACATGGTCTCATATTCTTCTTCTATTGTTCCCTTGATGTTGGTGTCCAATAAGAGGCAACCAAAGATCAACAAGAGACAAGAAAGTTCCCTGCTTGTCTTCAAAATAACAAATAATGGTCCTCAGAGCTCGGAAACAAGCAAAGAAGAGATTATGAGCAGTGTGATGTGGCCCTCTGTCTCATCCCAGACAGGAACTGCTTCAAGGAGTGGTATAAACAACTGTAAATAGCAAAAAAAAAATGCCTGGAAGAATTAGTGTAAATATGTGAATAGTTTCTGTTGTGTGTTTGTTCCAATCTCAATATTTCTTTCTGATAGGTAAGATTGAGAGAATGATGTGCAGGTGAGAAAAGGCTTGGTCACTGTAGATTTATGTGTGTTTTTTTTTTGCAAAGTACTGTTGATATCAATTTTCGTTTCTGTTCTTTGGTTGACTTTGATGGTTCTGAATCTACAGTCACATTCATTCTACATAATTTTTGCACCCATAAACTGACAGCTGAGGTTGTCCTGAAAAAAAACAGGTGTGTATATATTTGCTATGCTTGAAAGGATAGAGTTGCTACATAGATTTTTACAAAAAAACAAAAACAAAAAAAATAAACAGGCGGACCAAAAATAGCAAAATACAGCTGGGAGTTTTAAGGGTTAAATGCTTGGTACGTTGAGATTGTTTTAGTTTTAGGATAAGTTTTTGTTTTTTGATTATGTCAGAGGGAAAACGTGAAGAAAATTGGATACTGTGTAGAAGAAACTCAAACATCATTCAGAGGCAGGACACATGTTGGGACACAAATCCACTAATAAATGCTATTTTTAGGTGTGTCAGCACCCATACTTCATGCTAACCCTGAACAAGTCAGCACCACAGCTTGGCAAACCCCAGTCTAAGAGTCAGGACACACTCCTGCTTGACAGAGTGTATCTTGTTGCAAGTACGTCATGGTGGTTAGCTCAGAAACAAATGGATTCGTGCTGCATGTGGGGTTCTGTTGATGGAGTAGCAGAGGCTTTAGTGAAAAAATAGGAGCTCAACTTGCAGGATAAAATCAGAAAATTACTTGCAGATGCATAACCTAGCAATCCTAGCAACTGAGATCTGAACTAACATGATAACTTGTTTTGATTCTAGCTACTTTTAAACCACTGCAAAATCTTTCTGCCGCAGCTGGAGGATGCAAAGTTATTGAGAGTAACAATGATTTTTACTTCAAAAACTTCGAAATGGCTCAGTTCATGAGACAAACATCATTTGCACAGAGCTGCAGTTTGGTAGCTTGAGTTTGAGTCACCACCTACAAGCTAGGCATGCATGTGCAGCTAATCAACTGTATCACAAAGCCTATTGTAGCAACAACGATTCATAATGACACTGAATGAACATCTTTTATCTCGACCTGAAACAAATGAATTTGGCCACAACCAAAAAAAGGCATATCATATTAATATAACAATGCAAGGGAGGTGGACTTCAATCTTCCAGTTTTGTAGACACTGTGAACATCAGCTTTACTTTTAAACTGCAGACCAGAAATGCTTTTAGTTTACAGTCTGTCAGCTACAACAACACCTTCATGTCTCACTCTTGTTCCAAAGCTCTCAAAATCAGCACTGAATGATCTGCTTTAACTTCTGTCTTGCTGTATTTTTCCTCCATCTCCACTGAGCCCTAACTAATCATGCAGACAGCAGAAATGTGTTAATTGCCTTCTAGAATAAATTTACTTTATTTAACCAGCAAATTATAAGAGAATAATGAGGCTTTCCACCAGCAGACTCGGGTTTACTTTAGGATTTGGGGAAAGTCCTCCATGAGTCATTGGCTGTGGCTATTGAAGCTTTTTTGTGAGACTGTGTGAACCACTTCTCTCTGACTGTGTGCCAAGGTAACACACTCAGAGTTTATCAGTGAGTGTGTGTATGTATGTGTTTACTGTGAAAAGCCACTTGTGTAAGATGTATCTTGTCGCTTACCTCACTGTGTGATTCATGTATCTGCAGTTGGGAAGTGTATGCGAAGGTATTCCCTGGAGCGACAGTCGGCCTGAGAGAGAGAAGAGGGGAGATTCAACATTTAACAAGTTGTCATAAAAACAATTTTCAGTTCCTCAACTGTGTGAGCACAAAGCCTCCTCACACATAAACTTAACACATTCTTCTCAAGTCTGAAATTAAAATTAAGAGCCTTGATGCTGAGTTTACACAGAACAAACTAAGCTCTTCTGTTTGCTGCCAAATCTGCCAAACAAGATAAACCCTTGTGTAACACAGTCTGTGCAAATGTTTCTGAGGCAGCTCTGCTTTATGAACATCATCTGGGTCTCACCACGGCTCTCCTCAAGCCCTATCTTTTATAAAGTCTTTGTGTTATATAATCCATGGCTCCACAGTTGGGAAAAAAATGCAGTAATTGCAAATAAATGTCATTGTGCTGTATCCTGTGGTTCATCACAAAACACAAGACAGGCTGTGAAGATAAGGTACTCAATGATGTGACATAATAGTAGATTAGATCATAAATCAGAATGGGACTCATACTGGACGTGTACACTCAAAATAATGGCTCAAAATTAAAGGTAGAACAGGTTTTACATCACCCATGCCAAAGAAGTTCAGATGCTTCGCAATCTACTCAAGGCCTCTATTTAAAAAAAAGACAAAAAACATGTCAAATGTTGAAGTGAAAAATGTTGTTTTGTGAAAAATAGATGCTCAAGTTGAATTTGGTGTCAGCAATGCCTTTCAGAAAAGATGGGGCAGGGGTAACAAAATACTTTAAAAAAATGGAGGAATATGTCTTTACCAATTAGGTTACTTCACAGCAGATACGCAACATGAACTTGTTTTAAAAAAAGGGCATTCCAGAGAGGTCTATGAAAAGGATAGACAGTTAATTCATCGATTTCAAATCAAAGCTCCCCAAATTGAAAAGATGTAATGGTGGATTTCATCATCTACACTACAAAATATGATTTAAAGATTCAGAAGATCTGGAGGAACCTCTGCTCCAAAATGACAGACAAGACTCTGTTGCAGAAATCACTGCATAAGCTCAAAATTACAGCCAAAAACTACTGCCTGTGAAAGCTGTTTGTCTCTGCATCTACAGATACAAGTTAAAATTTACACCTTACACAAGCAAAAAGATCACAGACAAGATTTAAAAAAAAAGAAAAACACAGGAGCCCCTCTGTGCTTAATATTGACTGAGACAATATGAAAAACTGCTGTATTTGGGGAACTTTTTTTTAATAGCTTAATACTTTCTAAAACAAGGAAACTGGTAAAATTGTCCCTTCTAGCCAGGTAGGTTGTTCATGAAACGACCTGGGAGCATTGAAATGTTGACTGTAATTAAAAGCTGTTCTGGTTCACTGGATGATGATAATGAAGAAGGCGCCGCATCATTTTCTTTACTAACTTCTTTAGCTTAGAATACACTGGACTGTCCTTTACGTTTCAAGAAGTTGACAGTCATGAACAGATTCTGGGACTTTGGCACTGAATTAGGCAAAATACCCTCTGTTTTTTTTCCTGACTGGACAAGCTTTTATATGTCTTGGTTTTAAATAACCGAAAATGCAGACTGGGGGAAAAATTGAGAATGAGTGAATAACAGACTGATGAGACAAAGCAAAAAACCTACTTTCAAAAAAATGTCCATCATTTAGTTCAAAATTCACAGAAACAAAACACAAAGGGGGAAACAGAGAAGTCACAGTGAAGGTGAAATGAAGAGCCACAATGTAACACATTAATTTCGTATGCAAGGTGAGACACGATAAATAAAAAGGGAATATTCACAGACTCAAAATACACTCAGGGTAATCAGACACAGGTGTGGAAACAGAACACAAGTCGAACTAATGAAGGTCATCAAACTGGAGACACACACAAGAGGTGCAAACTTCAAGTCCACTGATCATCCAGTCTGTTTCTCATGATTCCAATGATGAATTTGGAAAACCAGCACTGCTGAATGAGTCTCCACCTGTTCTGTGTGGATACTTCTGAAAACATAGTTTATTCCTCTGATCCACACTGAAAAACTTCTGGAAACACATTTGTAAAGAATGCTTTTTCCAAATGTCCTTCATGGTGTTTTGAGGTAACAGACTTTTTAAACAGGCATCACTGTGAACTTGAGTCCATCTCATAAATATAAAAAACTCCTCATTGTAGCTTTAAACATCAATATCAGTGTGAGTCATAATGTCTACAAAAAAGGATGAAGATACTGGAATTTTAACTGAGATCCAATTGCAGATATTTCCTTACTTTCATTGGCAGACTACATGGATTCATATGTATGTAAATCACACACATAATATTGATAATAACAATAAGTAGTATTTATCACAATAAGTATTTATCAGTCAGGAGCATAGATTGTATATAGAACGGACAGCGTCTGCCTCCTTGCTGGGTGAAGCCACTCCGAGAACAGCACCCTCTGGTGACAGGCTGCAGTATAGGTCATAAATCCCGCCTCTGCCAGCAAAGCTTATGGGGCTGTGGACAAACTTTAGAAATGTATTACACATAACATATTTTTTTACTCCCATGCTTGCGATGTTGACATGTCGTTATTGTAAGACTGGTTTGTGCTCAAGTCCTCTTTTTTCTGTACAACTCCATTTTTAAAAGTTTTTAGGGGGTTCATGTTTTCTATGATTGACACTTGATACAGCCTATGGGCTTACGAAGAATGTGTAGCGCACCCGGGGGATACGCTGTTTGAGCCGAGCGTCATCACAACAACTCTACGTACAACACTACTGCGCAATGTTGGTTTCAGGAAGTGGAGAAAAAACGCGGAATTACTGAGAGCTTTTTGGCTTCGAATCTGTATACAGGCAGAAGGCAGAACCAAGTTGTCCGTAGTATATACAGTATATGGTCAGGAGAGATAGAAGTCATCAAAGTCAACAGGTATAATGGCAAATAAACAGCGTGTGTTGAATGAATAGATTTTTTACAGCAGTGGAGAAATAAATCAGAAATCACTGCAAAAATAAAGAGGCAAATATAATATTCTGACCGATTTTATTAACAATGATTTGATGCCCCCCCCCAAAAAAAAAAAAAAACAAAAAAAAAAACAACAAAACATGATATTTAAGAATGTCATTTGACATCTTGGGACCATGTTAGAACTGTTTTGTTTGTTTGTTTGTTTGACCATGTAGTGAGATGGGTCTGTGTGTTTCAAATGTCACCTAATAAACACTAAACTCAGCAAGACACACTCTGCTATTTGTAAAGCTGTAATGACAAAAAATAGAGAAACATAGGGTCCAGTTCGATAACATTTGGCCAATTTGTGCTGTATGCTCCCAACAGCATAAAACCGAAGTTACAAAACCATCTTTGATCAACACTTTGATTCAGTGAAGCTGTTAGAGTTCATAAAGATGGTCTCCTCTGATCAAACTGCTCCATGACGTCTGCTCGAGCTGATAATACCAGTTAGATGGGGATTACTGGAAAGGACCTGTTTGTGTCTGCGTGGGTGTGTTAGTTTTATAGGGAAAAAAGAGAAGGAGAAGAATCCACAAAAAAATTAATGCATTTTATTCAGACTCATAATCACACTGAAACACACAGTAACACACTCCCGAAGTCCACTCTTCAGAGCAGAAAAATGTTGAATTATTCTAATTAAAGTAAGTTTCTTCAGATCTCTCCATGTATAGAGTCTGTGCTGATAGAATCAGTGCTGCAGCAGTGTTTAACCTGCAGTAGCTAACAAGCAAACCTGCTGTAGTGATTAATGTCTCTACACAGACGGCTGCACACAGGCTGGAGGTTAAACAATACTGAGTCTAAAGCAAGGCCTGAGAAGAAGCAACAGCTGGAGAATCATTGGAAAACTAAAAGCAAAGGAACAGAGCAGCAGGGTTGAGATGGTGTACTAACAAAGTGGCATAAAGAAAGACTCAGCTCAAAGCCTCAAAGATGCCTGAACTCTGCCTGTGAGTGGAAACTTCCAGACACATCACAGTAACTCTGGGCCATCTGTCTCATCAGTCATCCGCTGTCACAGACACAAACACCAAGATAAACTTTTTATGTTTGTCAGCAAAATCAAAGTAATGCTTGTTTAGTGTCTATAGATTTCAATGGATAAGCTTCTAGCTAAGCTAGCTAAAGTTTCAGCCTGTCTGCCAGTGGGTCCATCACTTTGGTTCCCAAAAACTTTGTTGGACTTTAGGTTAGAGGATGGTTGAAAAACTCCAGCTTGCTATCTATTTTTCTTTAGTCAACACCATAATTAATCCAGTTAAGTCAGGTCCACTTTGGTCTAACTAAATAATCAACTTGTATACACTCTTATGTTTGACAGTACATCTCTGTCCGGTGTTGTGTTCACACATGAATGAATGAATAACATGTAATTTCTATGTGAAGACACAAGTTCTTGGCCAGTCGCACAAAAACTGAAAATAAGGCCGCACAAATTAAGTGAATTGAGGGAACTTACATTGTGTGAATAATGTAAAATCATGATGTGATGTCTGAACCCAAGCAAATCACTAACACAGCAATAGCCAATCGGCATTGAGATTCCCTGGTGACGTATGTCAACATCTCACCAGTGGAGGTTTTCTTATGTCGAAAAAGGAGGGCAAGTAGAGTGAGACAATACACTGCCACCTGAGCTAAAGGATGGCAGGTGAATGTACCAAGTCAAGTGAATAAACACAGAACATTCAGGCGTTCAAATATGCACAGATTAATCAAGTAATTCTATTTGTTTCTGATATGAAGCCATCATGAGGGCCCCCTACCCTAACCTGTGCTTACATCAAATGCTAAAGCCTGAGGCGGACAGAGCACACTGTTTCATGTGCACATACAAAAGGTAGGACAGGGAGAGCAGCAGCAAAGAACAGAAATCAGTGACAAAACATATGACTCCAGTTATATTAAACGTCTCATAATAAGGAAGATCGGAAGTTGAGGTGTGCTGTAGTTTGTAGTAGTAGTAGTAGTAGTAGTAGTAGTAGTTTGCAGCAGTTTTGCAGCAGGCTACAGCAGTTGTGACACCCCTTGGGACATCTGCGATTCAGCAGAGCTGTAAGCTAATACGGGCTGATGTCAGGAACTGCTGATGTACCGTGGTCTGAGCTTGACTTTTGACCCCAATGAAGTCATGCTACGCAAAACTATGATCTGAGGTCAAACAATAATTCCATGTTCTTGAGTACTTAATTATTTTGTTAGCCCAGGAGCTGTTTTTAGGTTGATTTGTTTTCCCGTTGTCCTGTTTCTGTTCATTTTCCAACGCAAACAAGCAGCTGGTTTAAATTTTATGATCAAGGTTGAAACTTCATAGTAGTTTTTCTCATCTTTACAACTTCTGACATCTGAGCTATTTTCACAAAATGACAAATTATTCCATTAAAGGAGCAGCTGCTAGAAAGTAAATCAAAATTTAAAATGCATTACATAGCTTCATCTTTTCACTAAATCCTTAAACCTGGAAGGCTGACAAAAATATATCCTGATAATCTCTTCAATAATTCCTCATTACAGTTTAATAAAGGTTAAAGATTATGGAAAACAATATCTGAGAATTATATAATAATTTTAAGGGGGATCAACATAAATGTTCATTGTTGTTTTTGGTTTCTTGATCACCATGTAGGGTGTTAAATGAGGTTTGCTGGTTTATGAAAACATAAATACTGGGGCACAGAGGCAGTTGTGTAATGATTGTATAATGCCTGTGTGCCTGTCTTAAGTGCAGTGTCTGCTGTACCTTACATAAAGAGTAAAAAAATGATTAAAATAGAGAGAAAAGCTGCTGGCAAGCATTTTGTGGTCGGGGATTTGAGCAGATAACTGTCCAGATAACTATCATTATGAAAAGTTGATGTCATATTTCTTTAAAACATAAAAGAATGCCTAAGTAAGGATTAATAATTGAGACATCATCAACTGGTTTCTGAGCTGACAGACTGGAACACCATCAGATTTTTGAAATCATTTTATTTTGCATGAAGTCAATCATGAAAAAAAGTGGTTGAGACTGACTTTTTGACAATCCTTCATTAGCTGATTTATGTTACTTGCTGATATAGACTTCAGACTCCTTCAACATTACACAAACCTGACCATGCACCAAATATCGCACTGCAGAATACCTCGAGAATGCACACCAGAGCGCAGGCTGTGTGCAGCTACCAAATTAGCAGAACGTAAACAAGAAATATGGCAGAACTTTCAGAAGTTAATGTTACTGTATGTTAATACTGGGTCTCAGTGACAAAGTGAGTGACCAGTTTTTTGGCCAGCTGACCACTAGACAGAACACAACTTTGACACTCTATACACTCAGTTTTTTCCACCATTTTCTCTGTGCTTGAATGTCTCTCTGCCCAGATATTTTTGTCCTTTACTTTGGCTGCTTGTTACTGTGAAAAGACAATGACACATTGTACAGATGTGTATGATCACAGACTTGGTCTTTTAGCATCTATTTAAAAATTTCTTCCATTTTTGTCCCTGCTGCTGTACTAACTATGTCACATCTACTATACTTCACTGCTCCAATTCTCCATGTGCATACTACTCCTAATGTGCCATTAATATTTGAGGATGTGCACAGCTGACACGCAAATCTGAGAAAGGGTATGTATGTAAGCCATCATGTGCATGAGCAAGTATATCTCTGGCCATAGCCCAAAATGTCAATGGTGAAAATAAGACAACAGTCCCATATGAGTTAGTTTTACCCCCAAACTCCACCACATGCAGAATGGCACTGCTGCGGAATGGCGGTGATTTTCACCGTCTGCCAAATCCTACCAGATGCGTTTGTGAGGCAAATTTCGTGGTGAATTTGGGCGAGTGGGGATCGTGAGGACTAACAATATAGTCCAATACAATAACAAAGCCCACTGAACCGCAGGGGGCCGGAAAGATGGCGGTGGAATTTGACACATTAACTTACATGGAAACCAGTATCGTCAGATCAGTGACGATTAGCAACGACAGCATTTTCACTGCCGTTCTGCATGAGGTGGAATTTGGGGGTTAGTCTGTTTCATGCACATAGAAACATGTATGAAGATAACAAAGGCTAACTGTATTTTATCATGTTTTTGCTGTTTATGGTATGTTGTTTATTTTTTTATGGCTACATCATGGGTGAATATCCAAAGACAACTGTACCACTTGTGACACAATAAAGTTTTTTGGTATCATATCATCATATCATACTGTATCATATTGTATCTTATTGAATGGTATTGTATGTCATCATAAGGTATCGTATGGTACCTTATCCTGTTGAATCATATCATATTGTCTTACACTCTTGTTTTATCTTTTACTCCACAGCACAGAGACAGCTTTCTTAAGGGTTGTAAACGACCTCCTCCGTGTTGCGGATACTGAATGTTCATTCTGCTAGACCTCAGGGGGCCTTTGACATGATGGATCAGTCTGTTCTTTTCAGCCACCTGTCAAACTCTGATGGCATTTCTGGAACGGCTAATAAGAGGTATTGTTCCTTTTTTTCAAACAAACAATTCACTATCTCCAATGGCAACTCATACTACTCCAGCAAATTTTACATGTGAGGTTTCCTAGGGTGTGGTTTGAGGTCCACTGCTATTCGGTCTACACAATTCCATTTGTAATAACTATTTGGATTCACATCATTTCTTTCCACTTCTACCCCGATGATAACCCAATTACGACTGTCTACAGGATATCAAGGCCTCGCTAGCACATAATTTAGGTTTAAACACACAGGTAAATTCAGATGTCAGGCCCAGTCTCTATCAAGTTAAAACCATAGCCAAAATCAAGCATTCCCTCTCACCCTCTCACCTAGAAAAAGTAATTTATGCAACATCATTATCCAGGCTGGATGACTGCAATTCGCTTTACTTTTGAATCTCCAAAACAACAATTTCTTGTACATTGTGCCCAAAATGCTGCCATTCTGTAATTAACAGGGCCAAAGACAAACCTCCACATCACCCTCATCCTTGCTTCCTTGCAACAGGCACAGAGACCTCTCTTGAGCTAGCCTTTGTAGCTGACTTCTTTTGCCAGATAGCTGAAGTAGCTTTAGTCATGATATAGTGGCAAGTGCTTTAGATTATTGATGTAAAATCCAAGTTTGAGGAGACTTGCGCAACCTGCCCCCTGTGAAAGTCCTTTTGATTTTTATATTTGGTTAGTCTCAATGTGGACAAAATCTTTATCCATTTTAGGCTACACAAGCTAATAAAACAGCTGGCCTCCAACCCAACTGTAGTGAAAATGCACCAATGAAAGTTTCCTGCTCTGCTTTGAAGAACCATAAACTTTTGTGTGTTTGCCCCAGACAGAGAGAAAAGTAGAGCGTAAAGAGTGTTCAGTTGAAAAGGATGTGACAGCGGTGTTGCTGCAGTTAAAAAACCTCCACTCCAGCCTGACCGCTTCCTCCTCTGGTGTAAATCTCAGGCAAGGTGTGAATGCACAGGTGAACAGATGTGCACCGCTGACTCTCTGGAGGGACTTCTTGTACACTCAGGCCCCACACACACACACACACACACACACACACACACACACACACACACACACACACACACACACACACACACACACACACACACACACACACACACACAGGTGTTTGAGCCCTGGCTTTGGTCCACTGGCCTGGGGCAGCTCTTTATCCTCCAGTCTCCCAAAGCCCTCAAAGCCCTGCAGCTATGCCAGCCCGCTCTACCCCATCTTCCCTTCTATATCCCTCCTTCCTTTCTCAAATCACTTATATAATTCCTCCTCTCCCTGGGATTGCTCCTCCACAGAATGCACCATCTCTCAATCATGTGTTATTGCACACAGGATCCTAATTATCACTCTTAAAGTCAGACATTTTTTTCTCATGATCTCTGTGCTTCCCTCTCTCCCACCTCCTCCCTTTACCTCACCCCTCATGTCCTTTGACTCTCTCATCAACCCCAGAGCTGCACTTTTGTCTCTCTCCAGTCGTCCTCAGTGGAGGTCCAGAGTCCAGTGGCTGCAGCACCAGAATGTCAGACAGCCATATATTAACATTTAGACAGCCTGGAGACCAAAAGGGGAGCTCCAGTTCAAATCAGTCTCATCCACTCTGAACGCTCAAAAAAGTTCCACAAGTTGACGGGCACAGCGGGCACCGAGGACCACTGGTGTCAATCTTCATGGATGTTTCTCCCTGTCAGCTGTCTGACAGGACTGCTGTAGGCTTCTTTGCCTCTTCTTCTCTTCTAAGACTTGTCTGTTTTCCTTTAAATCCCTGTTAACCCAAAGTGCTTTGTTGTCATCAGTGTGTAGTCAATATGACATTTTAGTTTCCACCGAGAATCTGTTTAAAGTACGATAAACAATCTCATGAGTGTGGAAGTACTGTGCAGTATTTCCTGATGTTGATGAATCAAGCCATTGTCACATGTAGTCATGTTCACAAATTCACAAGAAAACAATGTTTCTGTTGTAGTTTAATTCTTTAAAGTGAGACCCTCCTTCAGACTGTAGCCTTTAATGTCAAACCACCAGAGGTATCTATTTTACAGCTCTGCTGATAAGGGTAGACAATTGTATTGCTTTGATTTATTTCATTTTATTTTTTACTTTTACCAGAAATATTACAGTTGAGATACAAAATCTCTTTTTCAAGGGAGTCCTGGCCAAGACAGGTAGCTTTAAAAATTTCACCCATCATGCGGAAACAACAAATAAAAATGAAACCAAATACAGTGATCAATAAATCATCCACTTTCAGTGGTGAAACACCCACATTCACGGGTCAGATAATCCTCAGCTCTAGTTTTAAAGTCCCTCAGAGTCCAGACTAATGAAATGATCCAGTCTCAAGTGACCTTGCAGCTCAGACCAAGAGTAAGGTGCAAAAAGTACTTTGCAAAGGACACTGCAAGTCTAGGGGTACAGAATTTGTCTATGAGACTGAAATTTACAGCCACAGACAGATTTATTAAGAATACAACATAAAGATGGAAAAGAGCATAAATAAAAAGGAAGTTCATTTAGTAAGGCATTATAGAGAGGGATTTACCAATGCTCCAGTCTCCTGTTTTGTAAGGAAGACAAACTAACTTTCTCATATAAAACACAGTGGTGTGTACGAAAACCAGGACCAGAGACAAATTGTGATGCAGTATGATACACTGAGTCCCACATTTTCAGAGAGGATGTGGTAGCATGCATGAAATGATTTAGAGTAAGTTTGCAAAAAGGAGGTTTGGGTGGTTTTCTTTTCACAAAATGTTTTGCCCTCATGGCTGATACTGGAGCAGGATTAACAAAATGACGTTGGTTTTGTAAATTGTGACATTTGGAGGACCTGTGGAAATGTTGATCAGTCAAACACACAGTCTGACACTTTGGTCTAGACTGAAATATCACCATGAATATTAAATGAGCCTGAAATTTGGCCTCTGAGATGAATCTTAATGGTTTCAGTGATCTCCTCACCTTTTGCTTGTTTCCACCAGGTTATGATATCAGTGCAACCAATACCCAATACTTTGGTTGACCAAACACCATGAGACAATTTCACATTTCAGCTGGCTGATGAATTGCCTGCATTTGGAATGAACAATGTCACTTTCTCTCTGGACATTGTGAGCTTTGAAGCTAAAAATCACTTCTTGGGTTTAAAACCACAGTATGTGCAGAAACCTGTATGCTAACCAAAACATAAATTAAATTAATGGGTAAAACATCAAGATTTCAAGTTTACTGCCGATGGACTAGTGTTGTCATCAACAATTCACATGTAGAGGCTTTAGTACTCATTGAAGCAGCTGATTTGATTCCCCTGCAGCTGTAGCCTGCATTTGTCAACAGAGCTGTCAACCATGATGCCACATCCACACTTAAATAAAAAAAATACTTAAAACTAAGCTTGTCAGAAAATATGCATACCTGGATATGAACCAGCATATGCAGGACTGAGAAAGTTTTATTTTACATGTATTTTAATTTTATACTCAGGCCTTTTGTTGTCAGAGGGATGAAGGGGTTTATGATCTTTAATACAGCCAGTTAGCAGGGAGAGCTCTAAGTCTCATGGCCTCGTGCTGGACTGATACTTACAGCATCTGGCTTAAATATAATACTGTATATGCTCTGATGTTTGAAGCTGCCTTAATATATAGCTTCAGATGAATAATGGACTCAGTGACTTTGTGTGATGGTTTCGCTAGTGGTGAAAACCAATGAGGTATTTATTTTACTTATTATTAGTAGTAATAGCAGTAGTAGTAGTATTGTAATTAATATTATTAATATTATTATTATGAATGGCTGTTCTCAGTTATATACCCTTATATACACAAGGGAGTTCAGTCACATTATAACAATACTTGTATACATCCCACCCAAAGCAACGGCTGAAGTTCTGTGTGATGTTCTCCATGAAATGATCGCGTGCAATTTACTATCTCGCACATGCATTGTATAATATAAAAGTTGCGATTTAACAGTATGTTAATAAACAACACCACTTCCTGCAAGTCTGAATATCGCCAACGTCAAAGTCGCTGTGCTTTAAGGATCCTAAAAAGTTGTCTCCTACTCAAAACAATACCAAATGTGGCTAAGCTATGAAGTATCTCTTTGTGAGTCATACATAAATGAAAGAAAATGTTGATAATCTGCTCTCTGTCCATGACACTGTCCTTCTTCTCTCACAAATGAGGCGCACAGAGTATTTTTTATAAAAACGCATGCACAAGATACAATTAAAACGCATGTACGAGATAAGTATAAAACGCATGTACGAGATACTAAATCGCATGTATGATATATTAAAACGCAAGTGCAAGATGTTGAATCGCATGTGTGAGTTAAAAAAAAAAAAAAAAAAAGTAATACCACCTCCTTGGATCCACAGATATTAACCACAAGGGGATATTCTTTCTGAAACACTCCTGGAGTGATATAAGCATTATCTTGCTGTAGACATTAAGAAAACTTCTGTATGAGTATGCTTGACTTAAATAAGGGTTGTTATTTTACTATGCACAGATGATATACATTTTTTGATAAAGTCTGAGTCCAGTTAAATACAGTTGGGTTTTTATGTTATGAGCAGTGAGAAATAAATAAGAGCAAAACATAAATAATTCACCCTAGAAAGTATAATAAGTAGCACGCAAAAGCTTAGTTTGGTCATTAACACGGGCAAAACAACAATCCAAAACATTTTCCATTCGGTGAGTAGTGCTGCAACTTCAAAAATTGCTTTTCCCAAAATGCAAACAAAAAAATCAAACCAAATAGTGTCAGTAGAAGCACACTCAAAATGAAAATAAAGCTTAAAAACTGCTGCAAATGGCCAAAGTAAAGAGATAACAGCAAATCACTGCAGCATTTTTACAAGGAGGTACAATCTGGAGCATAAAGGAGATAAACAATGACAAAAACTCACAACAATTCAACACAAATACACAAACAGTTAGGAACTAAACAAGCAGCAAAGTAAAAAATGTGCCGAAGAAGCTGAAACGGATACATTAACAAGGAACTCATCAAATTTAGGAATGGTGCATTTTCAGAAATACACAGTCCAAGAAGAGCACTGAGAAAATGTTCAATCTAATCAACATAGAAGAAAATCTCCAGGCGAAACATGAGGCAAAACCTTTTACTTCTTTTCTTTTTTCAGTTTTTTCCTCTGATGTCTTAGCCTACTCTTGAGTCCGGCTACTCAGAGAAACTAAAATGTTTTTAAGCAATGTTCATAGATTTGAAATTGGTCTTAACTTTTGAAATGTCCTTTGTCTCGACTAGGCATGTAATCATGAAATAACAAATCTGAATCAAATCTGTCTTAACATTAAACTCAAGGGAAAAATACAACAGTGGCATCAACCAAACACAAGCACTGGGAGTTTCTACTTTCCAAGTTCAATTTTTTTTTGCTTGCTACTTTACGCACAAACTTTTAGTAACTCTGAAAGACACAGAAAAGTGAGACACTTTATTATTCATCACTGGGACAGCAAAGCAGAGACAGTTTGAAGCACAGTGATGGTGCAAAGTCCCTGTGAGGAATATTCTTCATAGCAAATCTCAATAGTCTCTCTGTGTCTTTCACCTTTGTGTTGGTGTCGGGAGCTTCATTTGTGTGAATTTGCATGTGTCTGCGCACGAGTGTGAGCTGTGGCTGCACAGGTGAGAGTGTTTGTGGAAGTGTGAGTGTATGTGCTCTCTAGTAGGGGCTGTGTTTGTGTTACTGCAGAGGTGACAACAACCAAAAATACACTCGCTCTGCAGGCCTGAATTATTCAAGAAGTGGAGGAGACGAAGCAGCGGGGGGTGTGGGGTGGAGAAAGATGGATGCATGAGAGATGTCGGCGAGAGAAGAGCAAAAGCAGCATACAGTGAGGATGAACAAAGTCGGGGAGAAGAAGGAGGTGAGGGAAAGTTGAGAGTGTGGACTCTAGAAAAGAAAGGTGCGCACACAAGCTGGATATCAAAACAAAAAAGAACACACATGGGCGCACACACACACAAACATTCACACATACAGACATGGGAAAAAAAGCATCAGTTATGGCCTGCTGGGGTGCAAAATAAAGTGTTGTATCTAGACTGTATGGCTCCGTGAAACAAACAACGTAAAAGACAGTAACAGAAATAAATATAAATACGACAAAATAATCAGTCTGTTATATTAGCTCTCATAACAGCAACATTTCTCTCTGAAGTATGCACACAAACACAGCATGGCTTCTTTTCTCCATATGTGGACACGTGAAATGCATATTTCAATTTCTTTTGCTCCGTGCACGCGGGCTCCACGCCGCCTTTCACTCACATTGAAATTCCATCTGCTTTTGCAATCTGGGCATGCAGCTGTGGAGCTTTACATTGCCTGTCTCTCTGCCCGGCACCACGAGGAGAGGAGGGAGCATATGGAAACCAAAAACAGAGACTGGATCATGGAGCCACGTTTATTGCCTCTTAGTCGGGGGGTAGGGGTGGGAATGCACACAAACAACATCCACAGAGCTCTACAGTACTGTGCAGGAAGATATTTGCAGCACTGGTGGCTCTGTGGGGAGACTTTTTTCATGCTACTGTGGATAAATGAAGACATACAACTCCAAACCCTTTGACATTTACAGAAAACAGTGCACATGAAGGTTAGCAAACTTTACGCAACACAACGAGTGTTTACAGTCCTATATGAAGTTATTCCGAAGAAGTTAAAGTAACATAGAGATCCAGCAGTGCACAGGTGATGGCTGGAGAAGGAGAGAGAAAATAATTAGTGACTTCCGCTGGGTGAAAGCACTCAGACAGGGAGGAGAGGTCTGGAAATAGGCTGTTACTGTATGTCTCAGGCAGCTCCTCAGAGTCCCATTACCACAGGATGTCTTTCCATCAGTGTGTGTGGAGGAGGAAGAAGAAGAGTGGATTGGGAAGTAATGGATTTCAGCCTGGAGATAATGACCAATGGACCTCATGTAGCCTCAGACCACACGACACAGCTGCTGGCATGAACCTGTTAGTGAAAGCCCGCGTCAGACTGGTCAATGAGCTTCTCAGCTCGATGTGTTTATGAATGAGAGGATTCAAAGAGGCGAACAACAGCTCCAGTTTTAGTCTAGGGGCTCTATTTTCGTGCGCGCTGGTGAGGCGGCGGAGGGCGGCGAGCCCCGCGCAGTTGTATTTTCGTCTGGCGGAGCCCGGCGTAAGGCCAGTTTGGTATTTTCGTGGACTGAGCCGCACGGATCCGCCAAGCTGGGCGTGGTGGCGTGGCGGGGAGGTGTCGACAGAATCAGCAGGCGCAGTGACATTTTCGTGCTCGCCACCGGCGTGTAAAGTGCGCTGAAAGCTCGCCGATTCAAACCTGGTCAGCTTTCAGCGCAAGGCGGAGTGCAGCTGGTCTAGTAGTATTTTGGTAGACCGGCGGCGTGTCGACATACGTCACTGATGCCTCACTGGCAGGTTTCCACAGTGTCAGGCACATTTCAGTGCAATAAATAATCATCATCAACTATAAATCTGAGTCAGCACATACATTTAGATCTATATAGATATATTCTGATCTATATCTGATCTGATGAGCGCGTTTGGCACGCATTTGGACACACAACCTGACCGAATCAACACAGCTGAAACCGCATCAAATTAAATTAAATATCTAGTAAATAGACACACATGATGAAGTTAACAAGATGTGTAATTCGTCTCCCTCCTTGTCTTTCTTCCTCTTCCTCTTATTTCTCGCGCAGCTCGACCTGGACATGTCTCCGTGTCCTCTCCCCGTCCTGCTGCTGCTGCAGCTGAACAGATGATTTGTTTCAGTGCTCAGATGCGTTATCTACTTTATACGGATATTATAATATTCAGTTTTGTGGGCCAAATTTATTTTATATACCAACATCTATGAAAGAAAGAGCCAGGCCACGGAGCGCGATGCGTCATTTACACACAGATGGTTCCGATTTTAATGCCATTTTTGGAGTTTATGTTGTGATTTGTGCGCTCAACCCACCTTTGTCAAGTGAGGTTTGAATATGAGCAACTTTATGTGAGTGTCTTTATTTGTGGAAAAGGGTGTTTGTCTTACCAGTGGGTCCAACATTACACACACCAAATCCATCTGTACTCATATGAGAGAGTGTGGAGGACACTTGTTGAGGAGCTGCCCTCTGTCGCCATCTTGTGGCATTACTGTCTTAAGACATCTCTTGATCTCTTTGACTACTTCATGAAAATAGTAATACGCCTCGCCTGTGGCAGATTTAAAAGCAAGGAGAGGAGCTTATGTGATTGGTAAAAACAGGTCTCGGCTGTGTTAAACCCACTCCACGCCCTTTCTCCTCCCCGTCTACAACTGCGGCGGATCTGACTGACGCTGCGCTTGCGGCACGTTTCCGGCGAGGCACGAAAATAGAGCCCTAGAAGTTTTTTCAAGAGTGGCTTCGTCTAATTTCACCTCTGCCTTACAAAGCTATTAGTGTGTCAAGTTGTGTTAAATCAGAAGTATAGCGTGTTTGAATTCACTGTCACAAGAAAGCAAACATGCACATTGATGTCTGCCACACAAGACATTAGTGTGATAGTTGTAGCAGAAGGTGGAGTCCAGAGAAAATAGTGTGACCACGGCCTCAAAAAAACAGAATCTAGCATCCCTCAAAACATTTGTGCAGAGGTGAAGTGTTAGTGTTTTCAGGGTGTAACCTCTGTCAGACAACAGGACAATAACAGTGTTTTTCCTCTTGACACCACTTTTGCTCTTTGTCTTCATCTTTGTCAGAGATGCTCTCTGTCTCCTTTACTCAGCAGTTTGAGTTGAAAATATAACAGGGGATCTGTTTTCGTCTCAAAAACTCTGCTTTTTTTTATTCAGTAGTACCGAAAAGCACCCATCAGTAGCTGTACCATCTTAAAGGTATCGAAAAGTGTCTTAAAGGTGGGTTGGGCAGGGTTCCGTTAAAGACAACATAAACAATGTGCGGGATCTTACAGATCCTGTAACAAAGTAAGCCAAGTGTCTGTAACAAAAGTGTTTCTTGTTAAACGGGACCTGCTGCGTGTTGTCACACCGCTAAACTGTTGACCTCGGGTCCTGGACTATGTCACTTTATCCTAGTTGTAGAAGTCCTGCAAACATTGTGTTTGCTGGTAGTCTGTTGGCATCTATAGTAGCACCAACGCTTTTACTTTCATGTTGACTGGGCCCCATTTGTAGTTATCTGAAGTATTTATCTGCATTATATCTGAATTTAATTGAAGCAGTATGAATGAGCAGGAACGTATGTTTGTGGGCGGGGCTTGCTGGAGCAAAGCGGGAGGGGAGAGGAGGAGCTGAGGGGAAAACTAGTTGGGAGGGGTGGTGTTTACATTCAAGATTTCTCCCAAAAACTGGCACTTCCACAGATCCTGCCTACCCCACCTTTAAGTAACAATGGTGACCAATGCTAGTAGTCCATCCTCTTCACCTGCTCCTTTAGGAGCCTGACTCCCTCTAGTTTCTGACACTTTCATCAGTGACCCTATGGTAAAACAGTCCTTGTGCATCTGGGCCAAACTCAGACAACATTTTGGACTGCAGAATTTCTCACCTTGAAGTCCAACATCTGATAATTGTCTTTTTTTTTTTCCTTCAATGACTAATGACACATTCGAAATCTGGCATCACAAAGGTCTGAAATGCACAATAGATCTGTTCTTGGATACTCACTTTGCTTGGTTTCCAAACCCTCTGAATGTTTTGCTATCCCTAACTCCAGTTCTTCAGAATTTTGCAGGTATGGCATTGTGAGAAGCATGTAATACCACATTTCCCCCATAAACCTGAATTCATCAGCGGTACTAATAAGGAACCATAATAAAGGTAAACAGAGTCAATTTATTGCTCTGCTTTCTGCAAACAGCTGGTGAAAAAGGAAAAAAAAGGTATTGAAAGTGTTTTTTTTTTATCTCTAAAAATGAAAACCATTTACTTCACATATTAGGATCTTTGAGGCACCAGGCGTATTGATTTCATCCACAGGAGCAGCAAAATCAGCTCCCAGTTAAAGCAACTCAAGGCTGTAGAGACAGAATAACTAAGTGATATGTGCTGCAGATGCATTATGGTATTTTTTTATGACTGTCTGTGTTCATGTGCTTTTTTCTTACCATTGTCAAAGATACTGCAGCTGAAAAAGGATTCAGGTAAGACTATCATCTTTGTAAAGTTCTTTGTGTTGTACTTGTTTTGTTTTTTTCTATTGAGACAAAAATCTCTAAAATATTCATCTGTTACATGCTAAACAAAGTGGAATAATGTTTTAGGAGAAAGAAGTGCTGTAAACCATGCTAGCAAAGTGATAAGTCATGCTAGGTTACACAGTCATCTCCACCTCCAACTGGGGTATATTTAACAGAGCGTGCAATACATTGTTTACCAAAAAGTGGGTGGGTTTTTTTCCACTGTGATAACATCATCGCTAGGAGAAGGAAATATTCAGAGGAAAACTTAATCTGTGGAACCACTATAATCTGATTTTTGAGTTTTATTTTCATATACAGTGAATAATAGTTGTGAAGACCTCAAGATTTTTTTCAAAATGATTAAGAGTTCACACAGACGATACTTGGAGGGAAACCTGACATGAGTGTTCAGTATAGCCAGTGAAATCACTGGAAAATGGCAGGTAATACCTAGTGACAGACATGTAATGAACACTAACAATAAAGCCCTTAAAACAACCAATGACCAATCCCATCTATTTTCTCCCAGTTTGTGGTTTTATCAGGTCTATATTTCAGACTACAACAGAAGTTTCTTTTAGTCTCAAGTGCAGGTTAATTCTTAAATGAACAAAATATTTCCCCCACTCTTACCCTGAGGAAAAAAAGTCAAGGTTTACAAAGCTTCCCACCTTTATGGGCACAGCAGCTTGACAAAAGAATAAGGTTTTACAAATCTGATCTTACTTTTTTCCCTTTACCCTTATACAAATAATAATAATAATGATAATAATGCTGTTTTAAAAAAATATAACAAAAACAGAATTTGATTTGTTCTGTAATTCTGTAAACCCTACATTTAATCGTAGTAGGCAAGGCAACACATCTAATGGTGAAATTGAAAAATGTTATTTTGTGAAAAAACCCAATCCTTTTAAATTTGATGCTAGAAACACATTTCAAAAAAAGTTGGGGCAATAACACGTTAACTGTTGTGTTGCATCGGCTCATCTTTAACACTCTGGCTGTTTGGGAAACAAGGAAAACAGTTTCATAAGCTTTGAAAGTGAAGCGTTGTCCCATTCTTCCTTGATATAAGATTTAACAACCTAACAGTTCTCTTAGTCTCCTTTGTTATATTTTTTGTATCATGATGTGCCAAATGTTTTTAATATTTGGGGACTGCAAGCCGGTCAGTTTAGCAACCGAACAGTCAGTGCGTTTACATGCACATCTTAATCAGACTAGGCTCATAATTCAGTTTTTTCGCTGAATCAGACTTCTGTCCTTGTCCAAAAAACACACGGTTGAGAAAATCGAATTACTGACGTTAACGTGTCCCACTTCTTAAAACTAGGGGGCGATACGGGTCTTTTCATCTACACTGTATACAACAACTGTCAACAACAACAGCAGATCAGTGCAAGATGTCAGAAGTGGTTACAACTGCTGCTGGGCATTTTCGAGTAAGAAGATGGTGCATCATACAGCTTTGTTTTTTTCATACATGATGTATGTGCCACTTTTTCTGCAGACGAGGTGCACGCTACTCCTCTTCTCTGGTGTTTTTGTTCTGGGGTAATTATCCTGCGTCTGTTGTTTACTTCACAAATTTTTTTGCGAAATGATTTTAAAAAAAGTACTGACCCTGTCATTATTAAGATGGACACCGGAGCACTCTCTCAATCTCTTGCTGTTTTTAAATATTATCTCAATTGCTAAACACCAAATTTATTACAGAGCTGTACAGAGAAGCATCTTCTAATTGTCATCAAACCATGAGCTTTAGTATGAGCAAAAACATACTGACTTGTGGTGGAGCTCAGGGGAGGAGGAGAACCCTTCTCTGGTTGTCTTCCTGGTGGCATCATACTCAGTACTGAGATTTCTAAAAATAATTTTAAAAAATATGGACTGGACTCACAACACTTGAGCTCTCTTCCAGCAGAAAAACAACAGACTGTTTTCCCTGAAGATCTCAGCCCTTCAGTGTGAGCAACAGGCTCCAGCTGATCCTTTACCAGTCTGAGCAGTCAGTCAGTTAATAGTATTTCATCGTTAAGTTTCAGTGGAAATTTGTGCCAAAATCAAACAGCTTCTCTACTGATGTTACAAGAGACAATTAAAATCCTTTTCTGAACAGATGTAACCAACAGAGGGATTAAAACAACAAGTTCAAATAGAGCTATCAGGAAACCAAAAACAGCTTTCTTTTGAACCCATCTAATCAAAAACCAATGAAAAAAAAAACAGATTTTATGAATAACAGACTCTAGCAGGCTGATTGAAATTGTATCACTGCGCAAAAAAAGTCTTGATAACTTGATGTTAGTTATCTTACAGCAGGGACAACTAAAAAGAGAGACGGAAAACAAAGAGGGAAAAACACCAGAAAGGTAAGACGCAAATGAAAAAAAGATTTAAAGCTCCCCTAATGGTTGGCTGTAATGTTAATCATAAAGCCTACCTCTTGCTTTGTAGCAGAAAGAAGAGGGTCAAACTAGAAAATGACTTTGCATTACTTTTTCTCAAACATGCCCTCTTCTTTTCCAAATTAGCAGAGTCCAGACATTGAACTCTCCATTACCATTAAAGCCTACTTTTTATCAACACAAGGGTTTGTTTTGACGAGGACTGTACCTACCTGAGGGATCTCTGCTGTTTCATCAGTAAGTTTAAGGGGAGTTTCGGCAGAAGGAGTGTCACATCTATCCCAGAGCCCTACAGGTCTTAATACATCCATGCATGTCTTGATTTCAAAATACATTCCAGGCTGTTTTTTTGTTTGTTTGTTTGTTTTGGCTTTTTGCCTTTATGTTATTAGACAGCTTCAGAGCAACAGGAAAAACAGGGGGAAAAAAAGATTCAGGAAATGAATAAAGTTCTTATCTTATAAACCTGATCATCAAGGTAGTGGGACTGAATCCTACTAACCAGTCTGATGACAGGAGAATTGACGGATAAAAAAGAGCCCCCAACCCCCTTCAAAAAAAAAAAAACTGAGAGTGAATGACTACTTCAGACATGGTAATATCTGATTTAAAGTGTACATGAGAATCATCACCAGTAACTTCCAATTATTCCCTGAAACTGATTTGATGCTCTGATATATCCTCCTGGTGTGAATTACAATTTCAGATGTAATTTTCAGATGTAGTCCTGACAGTATCAGCAGCATGAAGATGATGATATTGAATATGAAAACATAATTCAAAGCAATAAGCACATACATGTAATCTTCTTTTATCTCTGTTGTCTCAAGTAAGTTGTATTCATTTATCATTTAAAATCATACAAGTAGAAATAGTAGTGTGTATGCTTGTGGGTACATATGAAGAATTTGCTGTGTGTCTGTAGATGGACTGTGTGCACATGTTCTGTGTATCTGTGCTTAGAGGTCAGCAGAGTGAGCTTCTGGCTGCAGGGCTGCATATTTAACAGTTTATCATGTGGGAGAGAATACCAAATGTGTTAAGACTTGAAAACAGTATAAATCACACTTCTGTTGTTTGCTGAAAATTTCTGTTTAGAAAAGATGACAAAATTAAGTTCTAAGATTGCTATTTGTAAAGCAAGGCTAGTTTGATGTTAAATGAAAGCATGCTGATTACCTGGGAGACTTTTGCACTACTTCAATAAAGGTGCAAAACTTCTTTTTTCAAATTTTGTCTATGTATAGTTGTGATGACAGGAGAAAACCTACAGAGTGTCACCCCAGTAATTTCCAAAACAGGGATTTTATTATGCCTGTAATGATACCATAATATTGTTTTTTCTCCAGAAAGGTTTATCTCATCAGAGGAACTTTGCTGGAAAGTATTGTAAGGCAGAATTAAATAAAGAACCTACTCAATTGAGAAGGTTGGGCAGGAGTAGTTTGTTTCATCTTCTTGTGGTGGGTCTTAACTCGTCCAGCCTCAAAACTCGGCACCACCTCCTTGTTGACGATTGTAACCGAAGTTTTTGAAACTTACACTTTTGTGCAGGTGACAGTCAGAGGCTGTACATTAAATAGGACTACATAAGAGTTCACTGACCATTAAGCTGAAGATTTAGAGCTCCCCCTAGTAACTGGCTGCAGTGGTGATCGTATTGACAGGTAGAATCACAGACAGGGTAAAACTAGAAAATATTTAAAACTCAAAACATTTACAGTTTGTGTCAAGCTGAATAAAGATGTTGAGTCATTATTTCAATGTGGAGTTCATCAGAGCACTGTAACCATGTATTTTAGGTTCACTTGACTGAATAAACTTCATAAGGAAAAAAAAAACAACAACAACAACCTGGACACTGATGTGCACCATCAGCCACATTAAAGCTACAACAACTGTTGTACTGTGTCCACAGTGGCCCTATGTGGACACACCGTAAAAAAAAAAAAAAAATACAAGAACAAACCAAACACTGAAAAGTCTGTTCTCAGTCTGTGTGTGGGTGGTTGATCCATAGACAGACATTGTCTGGCCTAACATTTGTATTGAATTAATTTAACAGAGTCAACATTGTGTTAATAGACTCACGTATGGATTTATTATTTCTGGGTCATTTAGATCAGAACTGTTCTCCTAATCACCAGAAGTTCAGTGTGATGATCAACACTAAAAATGTCATACACACACGTGCACACATTCACATGCATACACACACTACTTTAAGATACTGTTAACTGTTTTTGTTTCTGTCTTGTCTGTATATGTACCCACCATCACTATTATTGTGTTTTTGTTTTGTTTTATTTTGTTTGTATGTTATATAAAATATTAAATAAAAAAATAAAAAAATAAAAAAATGTCACTCTAAGAGTTTGTTGCTTTGTTTTTTGCAGTAAGGCTTACACAAAGAGAGTGAGGGGTGTCATCTGCTCTAAATAAAGACATACGTAACATTTACTTTAATGTGAACATCACTGGCACTCACGAGCATTAATCCCTTTGAGCTTTGTAAATAATGTAATGTCTTTTTGGCAGGAGTTTGTGAATAAGACCCTCACTATGTGTAAAATACAGGCAGTTATAATTCTCAGAGACAGAGAGAATTTGACATAAAGGCCCACATCTTACTAAAGCAGGCTTCATATGAAGGCCCTGTACCGTAAGCAGTAAAAACATATAAAAGACCCAGCCTGCGTTTGAGGATTCACAGCAATTTTTTTTCACAAAGTGTTTCTGACTTAACTGGCTCAGGCACATCCTTGCAGCACACGACAGTAGACCTATTCATATTGTGTGTCTGCGACAGTGCTGCAGCAAAGCTCTGTGACATTCAAACCAATGGCTTTGTGAAGTCACAGCAAGAATTTAGGGCTCTGTGACTGACCAATCTGACACAGTGACTGCCAACAGACAGACAAAAGACTGTGCAGTCTTACCTGAGCATGAGTCTTTTTTTCCTTAAAAGGATATCTCTAAGTAATATCTGAGGATTACTTTCTATTATAGGGAAATAAAAGCAAAAAAAAAAAATAAATAAAAGTTCATATGGCTGAATAAATCCATAAAGGTGAAGTTGACATATTACCTCTGCTCAACAGGGACACAGTGCTAGGTGATGGCAACATGCAGATCAGGTAGAAAGACCACATAATTAGAGACATGATTTAGTATAGAGGGATAAACCGATAGTTGTTTTTTTCATCTTCTACCTCATGTCTAAGTTTTGTCAGTGTCGAACGGCTGACCTCTTCTCTCTGTCACTGCAGACTTCAAATTTGGAGAAATTCAGAGTCTGCTCTATTTCTGTTCTCTTATTCTGAATTTATCAGGTGAAGCATGGGAAACTGAAAGAGTGTGAGATTTTAATGGTGTGAGGGAGCATGACCGAGCCAGGCGTGAATTGGTTTGAGTTTGTGCCTGTGTGTGTGTGTGTGATTTTACTTTCTTCAGTGGTGTGTAGGATTCTGCTGCAGTGCCTTCACACATGTGCCTTCATTGCAGACTTAAACCATGATGTCATCTTTCTCCTTCATTGTCTCTCTGTGAATCTCTCATGCTGTGGGAGGAGGGGCTTGTTAAAGTCGTGATGTAAGGTGAGAGGATCTCATGAGATAGTGTGGAGGAGGAGGAGGAGAAGATGTGAAAAGACAAGGAGGAGAGTAAAGGGTTAATTTGTACTTTTGAAAATGAACACACAGCTGCTGTGATACTGTGAAGGAGCAGCAGCAGCAGCTCACTTTACCTCCTTGAGTCTCCATTACAGAAAATTAAAGCTTTGAAAAGAGAAAGAAAAAACTAGAAACCTGACATCCAACCAAAACATTATCTATACCTTTCATAAAATCTAGTTTTACACTGTGTTTAACAATTTTCTCCATGTTTTATATATTTAATGTAAATATTAAGAAGAAATTATGTAAAATATGAGTTACACCTATGTCTGTTAACATTTATTGTAAACCCCGATCCTACGCTGTGTCCAAGCTGTGCAGCCATCTACCACTTACCAGGTTTGTAGCTTTAGTCTTTGTAGCTCTAGTTTGAATTCATATTGTTTCATCTTTACTTGCTCTGCAACCACAACTTTGCATGAGCTGTTGTTGTTGTTGTTTTAATGTTGCTGCTGTCCCCTGTCTCTCTCTCTCACCCTTGTTCTCTATTTTCTCTCCCTCCTTCTCCCTTACTTGTTCTCTCTCTCCTTCTCTCTATCTTGCTCTCTCTCTCTCTCTCTCTCTGTATTCCTCCCCAACCCAGCCTGGTGGCTGTCTAGCCTGAGTCTGGTCCTGCTCAAGGTTTCTGCCTGTTAAAAGGAAGTTTTTCTTGCCACTGTTACTCATGTTAGATGAGATGGGCCAAATCCCATCTTAGGTTGGATCTTGATAATTCATCAAACAATGAGCATGGTCTAGACCTGCTCTTGTTCTTTAGAAAGCATCTTGGGATGACAACGGTTGTCAATTGGTGCTATATAAATAAAATTTGAATGATTGATTGATAGATAGTCAGTCATAGCTACTGCTATAAATGGACCAATATTATCTTTGAATGAATTGTTCATACTTCATATTCATCCTGTCAGATTTGTTTAGATCCTCAATATTTTTTTTCATATTTTCATACTTCGGCTTTAAAATCTGAATATTGCCTCTGTGTGTTTCAGATGACCACAAGCTTATGGCCTGTCGCATTTTTAAGGTCTCTCCTGGGGTTGTCAATGTTAAGACTGGCCTTTTCATTCAAGGACTTTCTGGATGTGTCTTGACCATGTAAAAGCAAGTCGTTGACTGAAAGAAATCACACTGAACTTTTGTGTATAGAGCCTTACCGTGTTCAGCCATGTTTGGTCATAAATAATTAAACCTGGAGGTAACTCCCCTGTCTGTCTCCAGATACATCATTTACTTGAACATCTCCCATTCCCACACTTTCAAACGGACTACGTTTGTTTAACACTTTCTACAGTCTTCTGACCAGTCAAAGAGATTTAACATTACGCACATCATTCACATTCAAGGGAAGCGCCCATTACTTATCCCGTTCTCACACCATTGGGTGCAGCCAGCAGGGGCAGGTTGGAGACAAGTGTTTTGCCTCTTGTAGCAGGGTATAGTTTGGCCATATTTTGATCTAGACAACTGTTCAGCTCATTATCTTCATTAAATAAATAGTGCTTAGTTTTGATTGCTTTCTAAGTTTTCTCTTGAGACCATTCAGCTAGTCAGGATTTAAATCTATTAACTTCTATTAACATCCCTAGCTTTCATTTTGGTGGGTAAGATGGCTCTATGACAGCCATTGACAAATTTTATTGGCAAAAGGTACGACCCAAATACAACCTCCAGCCGTGGTATTAAAATTATACAGACATAGATTAGCTGGCCAGAACAGCAGCTGCAGCTCTGGCTGAGGTACAAAGCTTGTCAAAAAAAAATGGAAAATGGTGCCTTTTTCTTTTTACCACCAAAAATTCACATTCAGCCCTAGAGAGATTAGAGTCCTTTATCCTGAAATCACTAATGACTTTGCCATAGCGCAGCTGTATTCATACAAACAGCTGTGGACATTAAGTTGGTCTGCTCATGTCAAAATCTGTGTGCCAGGCTCCACTTTCTTCACAGACTGAGACTGTTAGGTGTGTACACAAGTATAAGGTTTACAGTTAACAGAGAAGTGCGATTAAAAGTAGGCATGTCTCTGAAGAGGAAATCACTGCATGGGCTAAAATTCACCTCCACAAATCATTGCCTACTGATAATCTGTGACTGCATCTATAAATGCTAGAGTTATAGAACTTGAGATCAGTCTTGGTCTCAAGATCGGTTTTGGGACCACTTTTATTATGGTTATGGTCTTGCCACACAATCGAAAAATTTCTAACTCTACATTGTCTCAGTCTCAGTCTGGCCAGACTCTTTATTTGGAAAGTCTAGGCCAATGCTGAACAACATACATAAATTTGGAAATCAGTGAGTTGCTCTCCTGCCAAGTTTGTTCTAATGCCACACCAAGCTCCACTAACAGGTATGTTACTTTGCTTGAGGTAAAATTTCCTTTCAGGGACATTTAAGTTGATCTAATGTTACCAAAAGAAAATACGAGGGAGTTACAGTCAGAACTGTCCACAAAACTTGACTCTGCTCTTGAACGTGTCGAGACAATCCCAGCCCACATCACTATGATGTCACACAGAGCCTGAAAACCTTCAGCCAAGTTTGGAGGAGTGTGCACATGCATGCAGATACAGCTGCTACATTTACATGTGTACATGTCCATCATTGAAGTTGTTGTGTAGTGTGTGCGTGTGTGTGTGTGTGTGTGTGTGTGTGTGTGTATGTGCATGCTTCTTCTTATTGTTAAAAGATGTGAGAACATTTCTTTGGCCTCAGTTTTCTATCAATAGAGATTGGACAGAAGAGTAAAATTCAGCAGCTCATCCTCTTGTTTTTTCAGACTTCAAATAAGACACAGTTACGTAATGTCAGAGTGACAGCTTTCTGAATTTTCTATGGACAACTTGTGAATGAGGTTTCACAGGCCTGAGGGACGTGAATCCTGCTCTGCCCACGAAAGAGCGCCGTAAACACAGAGCTCAGCTCTGAACTTGACACTCGCCAGAGCTGGATGTGTGAGCGCTTATTTTTCTGTGATGTCAGCAATAAAGGGAATAGAAAATATCTGTGGGAGAGAGAGAGCGAGAGGAAGATAACGCAGAGAGCAAAAAGGAGATGAAGGGTAACAAGGGGAATGTAGAGGTTATGGAGTAAAGAAAAAAGGAAAACAGCTGGAGAGCGAGAGAGAGGAAGGTAAAGACAGAGACAGAGGTGCCAATGATCGGACAGAGAAAGGTGAAAGTGTCCCTGGCTCTCTCTGATGTCCACATTTAGTCCCTGCTGCTACCGGAGCCTCCTACGCCTCCTCCACTCCTCATCCCCCTCCTCCCACCAGCCAAACACATCACACTCACACTTTGATGAAATAAATACACACACACACACACACACACACACACACACACACACACACACACACACACACACACACACACACACAAATACACACACACAGTGGAGAATGGGTTAGCCACCACTACTGAGAATTCTTTGATCGAAAACTGATTTTGAGGTGTGTGTTATGTGTGTGCGTGTGTGTGTGCCTATTTTATGTGGAGTGGACAGTAAGGCAGAGCGAACAGCAGAAGCACAGCACAGCCTAGTGGTGGGGGGAAGCTCAGTCTGAGGCAAAAAGGGGGATCAGCTTAGGTGTAGTTTGCTTGTTTTTTTTTACCTCAAAGTGAGAAAAAAAAAAAACTATAACTCAGCTGAAAATTTTTAACAAGCATGTAAACAAATATCAGTCTCCGCCACCATCTATCTTGTTAAGGGCCCTTGGAAAGGCAAGGGATGTATACAGACGGTTAATATGTGAGACACTTAACCATTTAGAGTTATCATATCAGTACATCTTATTGTTACAGTCCCTGCATTTTTTTCTGTGTGGTATATTTTTAAACATTTTGTAAGCTATATTTTTCAGTCTTTTTGCCTTTACCAGAGAAGATGGCAGAAGAGGGACAGGAGATGCAGAGAGCAGACACCAGGGAGGGCATACATTGATTCATGGCACGAATCTGACAACAACTGGGCTTTTAAAAAACATGTAAACATGTCAGTCAGACTAAATACTGACACTGGCCGAAGTGTTCTGCACACACTCAAGACAGACTGACAGGACAAAAAAAAAAACCCCAAAACAAAACTGGTGTCGCGTATAGATAAATAATAAAATAAACAAATAAAAGGTTCAAAGTAGGGGTGGGCGATAAATTATCATTCATAATGTATCGTGAGTAAAACCCTCCATGATAAATATTTGCCATCTCATAATAAATATAATTGCAAGTTGATGACGTAGGTGCGAGTGACAGACTCACAGTCCACACAGAGCAGAATAACAAACAAACATGGCCGAAGGTAATGAGGAAGACGTTTCTTTACTGAACAAAACTCCACATGAGGGATTTCCTTCAAGATTGGGGTTTTAGATGAGCCCAATCAGGTATACCTGACATCGGACAGTGGATGTGCTGCTGCTGTTCACTCTGTGCAATAAGAGTTTTTAACAAATGTTGAAAATGTTTTCACATTTCAGACTTGTTTGAAGTCAAACTTGTGGTTAAGTATCTTATTTGACTACTCCAACTGGTGTTCTCAAGACAAAATGAGTCAAAAATTTAGATTACAGTTATAATATTTCTTATCGGGACTTTTATGGCTATCGCAAGTAAAAGCAAATCTTATCGTGATAAAATTTTTAGCCCATATCATCCATCCCTAGTTCAGAGCAGTAGAAGTGATGGTGCTTTTGTAGTTCAACAAATATCCTGTCAGCCACTTGCTGGTGCTTTTTGTTGATTGCTTTGATACGTAACACAAACCAGGAGTAATGAGCTGAAATGGAACACTTCGCCATCTACTAATATCACAACTACATCAAAATTATTTTTCTACACTTTATTTTGAAAATGTTCATTCTTTTGTTGTTCAAGATCAATTGAATGATTAGACACTAGTGTTGAGATGGCTGTCTGTCATGATAGCATGTACTGAGTCGGGGCCAGTGCCAGATAAGCACATTAAACTACAATTCATAAACGTAAGGTGACAACCGAGACCTAATGGCGCTGTGACAGCAACCTGATTGAGTTTGAGACAGTGAAAATACATATGGTATGTTGTATCTGAACAGGTTAGCTTACGAGCTAAAGTTACTTAGCACGGATGAAATTTAAAACAAAGACGTTTAGCAAACTGTTAAAGCACACAAACTATCATCATGTGAGAGATCAGACGCTATGACTCTCCACAAGTTGTCCTTCAGGTCGTTATCTTTGTAAAATTTGTGGGTTTTTTTTCATAAAGCACTCTGTCCTCCAACACATGAACGATCAGCTGGTCGGCCATGTTGGATAAACCAGTGAATCAGACGTCGCTACAACATGCAATCGGATTGGTCAGAAGTGGACACACAGTATGCGAAACTTAAAAACTCCGAAAAAATAAATGCCACAATATCGCAGGACGGGAAAACGTCACTGATGTGAATACTTGCATTGACTGGATACAGGTTCGAAAAAAAATATCGACGTCCGAAAATGTTTATCTTGCAACTTTTGCATGAATTTGCATCTGTAATGGGAAAATATCAAGGTACCTTTTGTTTAAGATAAACTGTTTCTGTATTGTTAGTAGAGGCCCTAAGCCCAAAAAATAAGCTGTAAACTTCAATTCATGCAACAAATATCCCCTTTGGTATGGAAGTACCTTAGGGTCATAGGAAACATTTTATCCAAAGAGACAAGTTAGATCACCCTTCAAATTTTTTTTATCGCCATTTTTAAAATGGCGATAAAAAAAATTTGAGTCCCAAAGGGGACATTTGTTGCATGACTTGAAGTAAAATGTGTCTTAGGCCCCCAACTATGTCACAAAAACAAAACCAAAGCTGCCTTTATTTGGTTCCATACATTGCTCCCTCATTGTCTTTCTGATGCTGAAAACTGCCACACAGCATAGTGCTCACAGTCCTCCCTGTCTTCACCCACCCCCATTGGTGATCACCAAAACTTATTTTTCTTGCTCTTTTTTTTTTTCACAAAGATGGACTTCCCTGCAGCCACTCAAGTCCTGAATGTTGAGTCCTCAGTTTTTGGCTAGCGGTGTGTGTGTGTGAGTGTTTGCACGTCTACCTGTCTAATGGGCTCTGGGACCCGGTAGCGGCAGCAGGAGTGTGTGAGGCGTACAGCTGTGTCCACACTGATCTTATGGCCAACGGACACATACACCGGCTTCGAGCTCTTGTCGGAGCTTCTCAGAGCCTGAACACAAAGAGAAACATCTGAAACAACTTTTCCAGCTTCCTCTCTCTTTGATTCTTCTCATCATACACATATCGTCGAGTCTGACTTTTTAGCAAGTTTGGTTTTCTTTGTGTAAAACAGCAACAAAACAACACATCCGTCAAAAATGTTTGCCTCCTGTGTGTGTGTGTGTGTCCTTTGCCGCACCTTTCCGAGCACTTTGCCCGAGGCGGCTGTGAGTAGGAAGCTGTCTCCTCCTTTCTGCAGAGCAGCTATCTGTGGAGGCAAAGAAACAAAAAAATCAAAGTCAACAAAGATGAACAGCACACCCATAAAGACAGCGGCAAACTGAAACTATTAACCTGCTGAGGGGCCTCAGTGATGTTCTTTAACCTCTGAGTGATCTCAATTTCATGTCCACATATCCAGACTTACAGAGCTAAAATAACAGTAATCCTTTTTGCAACGTTAGTGAATTAAACTTTAGATAGATAAAGGTATGTATGCAGCAAAACTAGGAGAAAATTAAGGTATTATTGCTTTAGACACACAAGAGAGAACCCATAGCAAGCTTAACTTGGACTTTAACATGAATCTTTAAGCAACACCCTCAAATATTTTGCTGTTAAGCTGTTTTTTTAAGTGGTTAAGCTTTTTTAAAGAGTAACTCTATAGTAAACAAAACATACTGATCAAAGTGCATTTTTATTGTCTTCAAGAAAATGTTACCTCCCTACATCCTCGATAATCCTTCTTTAAACTATGATTAAACCGGCAGCACCCTGAAGCAGAGCAGAGCCATTTAGAGTCACAGGGGAACAAAAGCTCACTTAAAATTGATTTTGTGAATAAAAAAGTTTATCCCGGTGGAGCAAAATGTTACCTCAACAACTTAACTACTAAATACAATTGACACACAAACACATTATCACCCATTTTTAACGATATTAGAAGCTTTTTTTTCCCTCAGTCATTGGCTCTGCTCTGTGACAGAAATGTCTACACTGCATTATCATCTACTGTGTGTGACTCTGCTGTACATGTCGTCCACAAAACACTTTTTTTTACAAAATACCCAAACTCTTCACAGGTAGCCATATGCACACTGCATTAAAGGCTGCGTCGCAGCTTGGGTTAACCTTGAAACAATAGCCTGCATTAGAAAACTATTGTTTCTAATCATAGACTGTATATAGAATGGACAGCGTCTGCCTCCTTACTGGGTGAAGCCACTCCGACAACAGCACCCTCTGTTGATGGGCTGCAGTATAGGTCATAAATCCTGCCTCTGCCAGCAAAGCATATAGAGCTGTGGACAAACGTTAGAAATATATCACACAGAATAAACATTTTTCTCCCCCCTGGTTGTGATGTTGACATGTAGTTACTATAAGACTGGTTTGTGCTCAAGTCCTCTTTTTTTCTGTACAGCTCCACTTTTAAAATTTATTAGGGGGTTCATGTTTTCTATGATTGACACTTGATACAGCCTACGGGCGTACGAAGATTGCGTAGCTCACCCAGGGGATGTTTGAGCCGAGCGTCATCACAATGACTCTCGTGACTCTCCCGTCAAATGCGCACAATGCTACTGCGCAATGCTGGTTTCAGGAAATGAAGAAAAAATTGCAGAAATACCGAGAGCTTTTTGGCTTCAAATCCGTACACAGGTGGGAGGCAGAACCAAGTTGTCCATAGTATATACAGTTTATGTTTCTAATGCTCTAAATATGATATTTTTTTGTCTAGCATGTAAATTGATTGGACAATCACGTGATGCTGTGGGGCGGCAGTAGCTCAGGAGGTAGAGCAGTTGTCCAACAACTTGAAGGGTGGCGGTTTGATTCCCCCCATCCCTAGTCTGTCTGTTGTATCCTTGGGAAAGACACTTAATCCGCCTTGCTCCCAGTGTGTGTCCTCCACTGGTGTATGATTGTAAATGTTGTGTGGTGATGTCAGAGAGGCTGTAGGTGCAAACTGGCAGCCATGTTTCTGTCAGTCTGCCCCAGGGCAGCTGTGGTGTGACTGTGTGAGTGAATGAATGATGTATCCAATGTAAAGTGCTTTGAGGGTCCCTGATAAAGCGCTCTATGAAATCTGATGTATTATTAATAATATTTTGCTTGCTTTTTCTAGTCTCCTAAACACAAAAAGTGTAATCATATTACATATCACATTCACCCATTCACAGCACATTTACACACTGATGGCAGAGACCGCTATGTGAAGCATCCATCAGTGTTAATGGATCTATTTATACAACCCTATGAGTCTTGCCCAAGGACACATCCAACTCCAGCCTACCTGTTGAGAGATACCTGACTATGACCAAGTCACAACTGTCCAAGTCCCCCTGGTTGCATTGTGAAAACATGCTTTTATCTTAAAATGATGCTTACATAACCTCCAATGGACCAGAGTTGGAGATGACTTTTTAACTTGTGTTAAAAAGTCACCCCTCCCTGCACTGAGGTGATGGTGGCTTTAGTGGACAAGAAGCTTCTGTGATGCATGATAAATACAAGCCTCCATTTGTCAAGTTTTCCCCAATAAGAACATCTGCGATGACTAGAGGCCACCGTTGTGTTTTTCATCTAAACTCTTATTAGACCGAATTTGAAGGGTAATTTTTATGTTCGTTTATTGAACGACGAATTTCAAAAGCAAGAAAAACCCTTTTTTTTCCATAGAAGTAGTAAAGTTTGTTTTGGTCTCAGAGTGGAGGAGACGATACAAAGTCAGATGTGGTGATGTGGGCTGCTGTTGACAGGTGTACTGTGGGTTACGGGCCAGAGCGATGAAGGGAGCTTAGCCTCCATGATGGATGAGGTGTCTGCTCTACTATGACTGATTACAGCAAGCAGCCAGCGGGGAGACAGGAGGGGCCGCACAGGGCCTGCGATCCCAACTGGGATGAGGCCAACAGCATGAGTGTGTGTGTGTGTGTGTGTGTGTGTGTGTGTGTGTGTGTGTGTGTGTGTGTGTGTGTGTGTGTGTAAGAGAGAAAGAGAGATAAGTTTGGCTCTTGTGAAGCAGAGGGTATGGGACTGAGGCCAGAACAGCAGAAGTCAGAAGAAACGAGCAAGTCATCAATAACAAATAGTTTGAGTCACAGCCTGGCAATCAGTGAGGGAGACAAACAGAGACAGGGGGGAAAGGAAAAAAAATGAGATAGGAGAAAAAGAAAGTGAAAAGGGAAGGAGAGTAAAAAATGGAGACAGAAAAAGTAGAAAAGAGAGGACAAAACAAGAGAAGGGTGATGAGCAGAGAGGAGCTTCAGCAGGTTTATCTTTTCCCCCCAAGTGCATCATGAACACAGAGGAGGAGAAGAAACATTTTATTTTTTTTATTTTTTGTTCAAACTCTGTACTGATAGAAACATGCACTTCTCTTTACATTTACATCTTCAGGGCATTCAGCTGGAGGTAACAGAGCAGGTACAGTCTGACTGTTCTGTTCAAGGACACTTAAAATGGTTGCTTTAATCCTTTAATGGACACGAAGGTTGTTGGAGTGTCAACTGTTTACTCCCCAGGCAGATTTTTTTCTCTGTATCTTTATAATGTAGCTACTAAAATATTAGAAATAGAGGGGGATTAAACCTTGAAAAAAGACTTTAAAAGGTTTGGGGGGAGCTTGAGTGTACAGCCCTAATCTTTAGCTAAACATCCACATTCTTCCTCCCATTTTCTCTCTTCAATTCCTCCATGAATGGGGGAGGTTTGGGGAGGCAGAGTGTACAGTCGGAGCTCTGAAATCTTAAGGGGCCTGAGCTTAGCCCACATGGGTTCTTTTCATGTCCTCTAACTGACTCGACAAACTCTGTTCTCTCATTGCATATGAAAGCAATAGGCTGTGTGAGCTAGCTTTCGTTTCGTTTCGTTTCCTTTTTATTTGTTAAAGAGGGACAGTGTACATTAATGAACATTTTAAAAAGATAAAATGTAAATGGACCCAATTGTAGCCGCAAGGCTAATTTCCATTGGTAGTCCCCCTGCCAGAAGGAACATGGCTACCTAAAAAGGTGGGAAATCAGCAACTACATAAAAACATACATAATACACAATATTTAAAACATCAACATAACCCACCCGAAAGCACGCCAACCAACTAACGGTAACAAGTTTGGTTTTCAAGTAACCACCTCTTCAAATTTACTTTAAATGCTCTGTATGAATTGGACTCTCTTATGTTTTGTGGTATTGTGTTCCAATCCTTGCCTGCCCTACAAGAAAAAACTGACTGACCAAATAAAGATTTTCTAAGTGGGATCTGGCAGTCTCCTCTGGCCGCCCCTCTAGTAGCTTGTTCTGCACTTTTACAACTGCACTTACAACTCATAAGGGGGTGTTTGCTATGATTGACACTTGATACAGCCTACGGGCGTACGAAGATTGCGTAGCTCACCCAGGGGATGTTTGAGCTGAGCATCATCACAGCAACTTTGGCGACTCTCCCGCCGAATGCGCACAATGCTACTGCACAAGTGGTTGAGTGCTTACAATGCTATTGGGCAGTGTTGGTTTCAAAAAGTGGAGAATAAACGCGGAATTACCGAGAGCTTTTCGGCTTCAAATCCATATACTGGTGGAAGGCGGAACCAAGTTGTCCATAGTATGTAAAGTCTATGGTGCTACACCTAGACACAGTTCTTTTGCTTTAAATAGGAGAATTTGCCTCGTCATACATTTGAGGATCTGCACACCTGTGTCTCTTTTACTTTTGAAGCTTGCAGGTTTAGTTACAAGGACTGAGAGAAGTTCTTGCATTAACCTTCAGAGATATCTCACACTGCAGGCTCTATTTTCGTGCCTCGCCGGAGACGTGCCGCAGGCACGGCGTAAGTCAGGTCCATCGTGCCGACAATGCGTTCCCAAGCACAATTTTGTATTTTCGTGAGAGGCGCAGCCCGGCGTAAGTATCCCCCCTCCCTAACTCAGCTCCTCCCAGTGGTGTGAGTCGAAGCAAGGGAGGAGAGAGGGCATGGAGTGGGTTTGACACAGCCGAGACCTGTATTGACCAATAACATCAGCTCCTCTCCTCGCCTTTAAATTCGCCACTGGCGAGGCGTCTTACAATTTTTGCGAAGTAGTCAAAGAGATCAAGAGATGTCTGAAGACAGCAATGCCACACGATGGCGACAGAAGGCAGCCCCTCAACAAGTGTCACTGTAAGCGCTGCAGAGGGCGTCCTTCACACTGTTTCATATGAGCACAGATGGATTTGGTGTGTGTAATGTTGGACCCACTGGTAAGACAAACACCCTTTTCCACAAATAAAGACACTCACATAAAGTTGCATATATTCAAACCTCACGTGACAAAGGTGGGTTGTGCGCAGAGATCACATCATAAATTCCAAAAATGGCATTAAAATCGGAACCATCTGTGCGTAAATGACGCATCCCGCTCAGTGGCCTGGCTCTTTCTTTCATAGATGTTGGCATATAAAATAAATTTGGCCCACAAAACTGAATATCACTGAAACAAATCATCTGTTCAGCCGCCACAGAAGCAGCTGCAGCTGCAGCAGGACGGGGAGAGGACACAGAGACATGTCCAGGTCCAGCTGCACGAGAAATAGGAGGAAGAGGAAGAAAGAAAAGGAGGGAGACGAATTACATATCTTGTTCACTTCATCATGTGTGTCTATTTAAAAGATATTTAATTTTATTTAATGCCGTTTCAGCTGTATTGATTTGGTCAGGTTGTGTGTCCAAACGTGTGCCAAACGCGCTCATCAGATCAGATATAGATCAGAATATATCTATATAGATCTAAATGTGTGTGCTGACTCAGATTAATAGTTGTTGATGATTATTTATTGCACTGAAATGTGCCTGACACTGTGGAAACCTGCCGGTGAGGCATCAGTGACGTATGTCGATATGCCGCCGGTCTACCAAAATACCTCCAGACCAGCTGCGCTCTGCCTGCGCTGAAAGCTGACCAGGTTTGAATCAGCGAGCTTTCAGCGCACTTTATACGCCACCGGCGAGTACGAAAATATCACTGCGCCCGCTGATTCTGTCAACACCTAAAAACTCTTCCCGTGTTCTTTGAAACTCTTTGCAAATATGATATTGAATATGGCAGCATATTTGCTTGTCATTGGTACATGCTGGTGTTCATTTGATTGCTAATCATATTCCTAAGATCTGATTATATGAAATTTGGTAAGGAGCTTGGTACAGCTTGTGTTTCATGGATTATTTCAAAGCTTATTTCCCACTGAGCGCTCAAACATCAAGGCTTGTGTCAACCCGAGGCATCGCATTTCTGTGCAAGCCTGTGGACAAATTAGTAGAGCGACAATTACATCAGAGTGAAAGGGATAGGAGTCTAAAATTTCATGCACATTAACTGATCTAAAGATAACAGTTATAGCCCAAAGATGCAGTATGGGTGTGCAATGCTGACACCATTAGCAGAGATAGTATCATTTTAAATGGGGCTGGTCCTCGGATGCTCAGATGTGACCATGTTCAGTGAGAACAAAGAGATCAGACCCCCACTCCCCCACACACACAGACCAACCAATAATGTCTGACGCCAAAGACACTAACACTAATTGCGAGAGATGGATGCACTCCAAGAGAGAATTGAATCAGCATGTTACATTACTACATGAAGACTGGTGGGGATATAAGCAGAGAGTCTGTAAGGCTGCTAATTGCATTGGCAGAAGATTGTACAGTGGCTGAAGCTTTTCATACTTTTAGTAGCACTCATTATGGAGAATGGCCATCATTTCTCATCTTCACATCAACTCCATCTAAATGAGGTCAGATACAATCACAACCACCTCAGAGCAAGAAAAAAAAAACTGTGTTCAAGTTCTTCTTGGTTTACACAACCCAAACACTGAACATTCATCCATTTTCTATGGTGAGTGCAAATACATTAAAAGGGATTTTTTCTTCTTTTTTCAATCCAATACTTTGGGTTTTATGATCTGTGGGTGAACATTTTTAAGCTTCAGATTGTGTCTTCACATGAAAAATGGGCAGTAGTGGCTCCAATGAAATCCTTCAGGGAGAACAACTTTGACTATCAAAGTATATTCAGCTAAAATGCTGACTCAGTTATCCATAATTGATATTAACTTTATTAAAGAATCCATAAAGACAGATTCTTACTGTGAGATTCTTGTTTTAAAATTTTCTACAAGATTCATTTTCTATGTCGCTCTTTTTAAAGCCTCTGAGCGCTGCTGTCAAGTAAGGGGAAAGGCAGGAAAAATGATCTCCAGTGTTGGGGTTTTATTTTGCATAACCACTGGCTTACTATATTATCTTGCTTGTGACCTGGCTATCAACTAAAGATACAAACAAACTCACTCTAGGTTTTGATTTAAAGATGATTGTATTAAGCTAAAGATGGTTGGTTCCTGCCTCTTGAAGAAACAGTTCCTCAGACAGCATTTCTATGGCAACAGTGTTTTTTATCAGCCTACGCAAGAGCCAAATTACCATTAAACCTGACAATTTCATCTATTGTAAAGTGGAAGAGCCCAGACTTGCAGGCTGTCAGAGCGTGACGTCAAGGACAGACGTCACAGCCTTTACACTGAGCAAAACACATGTTGAACTTACTAATAAAATGTCATAGATCTCTCCAGCAGGTACAGTTCACCACAGAATGGGTGCCTGACAGAAAGTTTAATGACTTCATGAAAATTATTTGTCATTCATCTTAGTTCCCTAGTTTGCTTAAGAGTTTGCAAATCTAATTTGCCATATATCCAAATTGCTATAAAAGAGGAGGCAGGGTTTATGACTAGAGATAGACAGATTCATGGGTTTACAGGTTAGTGAGTACAGTGGTTCCTTAAGTTTTTCTGCCTCCTCTTTGGAGGATGAAAAAATAATTGTCATTTGTTGGGATAATTGAATTGTTTTATTCGCTCAAACTAAAAAATGAGCCATAATGTATTGACCATTTACTAACTTGCTTATTATCAACACTGGCACTAAAAAAACTGATATCAGTTGACGGCTATTTATGATCTATACCGCAGCTGGTCACTAGGAGGAGCTCTGCAATCGTTGCAGAGCTGTTGCTCTGTCCATGGTTTTATTCAGTCCACTCTATGGTTATAATCAACATGTTGAATCTAATTAGAAATTGTGGCTGATTAGAAATCCTACGATGGAATGGACAGTCTAATGATTTAAACTTTAGGCATTCACAGTTGAAAGTAAAACATACATAAACTTCTTCTTACGTCCAGCAGTTATTCCACGTCCTCTGACTTGCCAGGCCGAATTTGCACACCTGTCCATCAGGCAGATTTGACCTCAACATGTTTTCCTAGACTCATTCCCAAACAGGTCACTAAGGCTCCAGGCTCAAACAAATCAAACATTTGCATATTCATTAAATCTATTCTTTTGTGGTCCCACAATTATACTTTGACCGATGAATATTTCTTTTTTCTTGCTTGATTTATATTCTGAGAGTTGCATTAGTATTAGTTACACAGGGAGAGTTTGGCTTGCAATAAAAGTCACACTGTCAAAAACAGCACACACACTCAACACACACAGACTTACACACACTCAGAGATAAATGTGTGAGTGTGAGTTCATATGCACGCACTTGTTGGAAAGTAATTTAGGATTCTGCCCTTTGCTTGTTCCCCCCTCTGACATTTCTTCACTTCTTCTAAAAAGCAGTGAGCAATAAACACAACAGAAAAGGTGATTACACTTTGATAACTTTACTTAAATAATTCATCCTTGGCTCTTGTTGAGGTCGGCAGCTCCTTCGCACAAACTACATTAGTACACAGCAAGAAGAAAATGCAAAACGTGATGAAGCATGTCAACATTTCAGCACCTTTTTATACTGATGTGTCCTGTAAGCCTAGCCCTAGAGTGACAAAGTGAAACAAAAAAGATGTGCAACTCTTTTACAAGTAGAAAACACTTTAAATTCAGATGGGAGTTTAAATCTGATCCAAAACTGTCGAGTCTCACCTGTGACTGGTGCTCCTCACTTTTGTACACACCCTGAACCTGCAGCAGGTTCTTGGCCACACCCACACATGGCAGCCCTGACAGCACTCCAAGATGACAGGCCAGGCCAAACTCTGCACAGTTCAAACAGTGAGGATGTAAAAACCCAGAATGAAACAAAAGACACAACACATATCACTTAACACGATGCTTCAGTGCACCTTCTCAACAGAGCTTACTTCAAGTAGAAGTAGATGGACTTCTTTTGGGACACTGGTCATTCTTGGTCCAAGTGTACTCTGGGTTTTAGCTTGTCTTATTGGGCCAGTCACTTTTCACTTTCAGCACATGACAATAAGACAAACAGTCTCAACTTACAGTTGTGCGGTCCTAATTGCTTTAACTTGGGAGTGCTTTGAAATAAGAATCTTTGTAACTTTATGCAGATTTTAAAAGGAGAATTCATGCTTTTCTTTAATTCAGCATGTGCTGCGACAACTCTTAACATACAATCCATTTCTGAACAAGGTTGGGACAGTATAAGCTGATGAGAACTGAATCTGAGCATTTAAAAATCATTCAGATCCTATATTAAATCAAAAATAGTCATAGCCATTGTACCAAATGTTAAAACTGAACATTTTATGGAAATGGAGTATATGCTTATTTCAAATTTGATGCAAGCAACTTGTTTAAGTAAGCTGGCACAAAAAACACTGGAAAAGTACAAAAAAAACATTTTTCAACACATTACCTTAATTTGCAAAAAAGTTAGAAACCTGATTGGGTATAAAATGGGCATTCTAGAGAGGCTGAGTCTCTCTGAAGTAAAGATGAGAAGAGGTGAGAGACCACCCGGTGAGAGACCATGTGAACAAATTGTTTAACAATTTCAGAATGATGGTCATCAGCTTAAAAACTGCAAAGAATTTAGGGATCTCATTATCTACACAAATATCATTACACAAAAGGGATGTGGCAGAAAACCATTAATTAGTAGGCATGATTTTTGGACCCTCTGTAGTGGGAATCACTGCAAAAGCCCAAAAATCACTTACAAAAACCACTGCCTGTAAACAGTTCTTTTTTGTCTATAAATGCAGGTTTAAACTGTAACAAATCCTTATATAAACACGGTCTAGAAACCACACAGCTACTTCTCTGGGCCCAAGACCATTCCAGATGGACAGAGGCGAAATGGAAAACTGTTCTGTGATCTGATAAATCAGAATTTGACATTTTTTTATGGAAAATCATGGTTGGGGAATTTAAAGGTTTCAAATGTTGACCTTTTGCTGCTCTTTAAACAGTTTGTAAACTGAGGTGGAGCCTAAAACTCTCAAATCTGACCCTTTGATTTGTTCCACAGTCCAGGTTCAGGACAAAAGGTGACTGTGTCTGCCTCTTTGGATGATTTCAATGTGAACAGCCTGACAAAGGGCCAAAACTGTTCAGATCATCTGTAAAATTCCTCCTTAAAACTCACTTTCACACACAAACTTTGAGGTCAGAAGTCAGAGTTAGTATACCCCACCTCTTAATTTTGCCAATATTTAGCAAATACTTTCCTCAGTAGATAGAGCTTGATTTACCTCTGTAGTGGAAGAGACCATTCCCATCCACAAACACCACCTGTTGAAGGTAGAACACAGACACAATGAGTGATTAATGTATCTAAAGTACAAAACAAAGCCCTTCTCTGTGCATTTTTATGCACAGAGAAGGGCAGCCACAGGGCTACCTTTTGGCACTCCTGCTGAAACCAAGGATGAAGCCATTGTATTTACATTTTGACAGGGTATTTATCATAATAAACATTAGTGTGCACAAAAAGGGCAAGGCCGGGTAGAATTAAGACACAGTGAACGAGAAGGTCCTGTTGTATCAATCAGTGACCTGGAAGATGAAATACACACGCTCAAACAGAAATTCATAAATCAACAAAAGCCAGTGTCAGATTTATTTTTAACACTGTTACCAATTAATAAAGGCGAAAACTAGTCCAAATGACATATACCAGAGTCAACAAAAGCACTAAAAGTCTGTTTTGACCAAAGGATAAGCAATCATATCCTTAATACATTCAGAATATTCAGAATTTGGTGGGATGCAAATCATGTAAACCAAATTCAGTTGAAAACTGTGCAAGAACAGTAGAACAAACAAAAATATATGCCTATTTTCAACTTAATTACAGTAACATGCTTCAAAAAAGTTGTGAAAGGGCATGTTCGCTTTGTGTCGCATCACCTTTTCTTTTCCCAACAGTGTAAATATTTGAGAACCAGATCAGACTCTGCAATTTTAAAAATAAAATGTTGACTCATTCTTGCCCAATAAAGGGTTTCAGCAGCTCAGGGTGTCCTTTGTAATATTTTCCGGGCCATAATGTGCCTGTTGTTTTCATGAGGGACAACTCTGGACTGCACTCTTCTACTACAGAGCCATACTGTTCTTACATGTCACAGTTATTGTCTGGATGGTAGCATGTGTTGCTCCAGACCTGTACATATTGCTGCATTAATGCATTAATGTTGCCTTTCCAGCTTCCACTACCATCATTGAAGTCTTTTGGAGTGTGCGACCTGGAATCCATGATTTGCAAAAAGAATGACGAGTTTTCAGTCATCAAATTAGAGGACAGTTTCCCCACTTCAGTCCATCTTAAAAAGCTCAAATTCTAATGAAGTAGCTGTCATTTCATGGATCATGTACATTTATAGTTTTCTCTAGTGCAGTTTTAACCCGCATGATACTAAACAGGGTCCGGCACGCAATCGACCCTCACCTGAGGGAGTATCAGAACGGTTTTCGAGAGGGGCGAACTACTACAGCCCAGATCCTGGCACTTAAGCGAATGATTGAGGAGATGAAGAAGGACAACCTTACTGCAGTTCTATGCTTTATAGATTTCAAGAAGGCATTTGACTCGATCCATCGAGGCATGATGGTGAAGATCCTGAAGGCATACGGTATTCCGCCTAACCTTCTCCGAGCAATAGAGACAATGTACGCAGGAACAAGGGCCAAGGTGGTGACCCCAGACGGCAACAGCGAGGAGTTTGACATCTTGGTTAGGGTTATGCAAGGGGACACACTAGCCCCTTTCCTCTTCATCATAGTCCTTGATTATGCGCTCAGGAAGGCAATCAGTGGGCAAGAGCAGGAACTTGGCTTCACACTAACACCAAGGGGGTCGAGGCGACACCCTGCAGTGGTCCTCACAGACCTTGACTATGCGGATGACATAAGTCTGCTCTCCGACAACGTGGAACAAGCACAAGAACTACTGAACAGGGTAGAGCTAGAGTGTGCCAAGGTTGGCCTTAGGCTAAATGCCAAGAAAACTGAGGTTATCACCTACAACGTTCCACCAGAACATCAGACTACAGCAGGAGGCGCTGTGCTAAAAGACGTCGAGGACTTCAAATACCTGGGCTCATGGGTCAACTCAACTGAACAAGATCTAAAAGTGAGGAAGGCACTTGCATGGAGAGCCCTGAATGGCATGACCAGTGTATGGAACTTCAACCTCCCTCACCAAATCAAACTCAGCTTCTTCTGCGCGACAGTAGAGTCCGTTCTCCTCTATGGCAGTGAATGCTGGACCCTGAAGCCAACCCTGGAGAAATCCCTAGATGGGTGCTACACCAGGACGTTGCATGCAGTGCTTAACATCAGCAAGAACACACATGTAACCAACAGTACACTGTATGAGGGAATACCAAGGGTGAGCAAGAAGATTGCTGTAAGGAGAATGAGATTAGCAGGACGCTGTCATAGGCATCGGGAACTGCCAGCCAGCAAATTGGTGCTGTGGGAACCAACACATGGACGTCAAGAGGACGTCCTACATTATCATACATGGACATACTCAAGAAGGATGCAGGAGCTCAGAGTACCAACAAACTGGCGAGATGTATGGGGAATCGGGATGACTGGAAGCAACGATGGAAGGCTCATCTGAGGACGACCTAGAGAGACGAGTGGATAAGGAAACAAACTATGTTTCCACACAATGGTTTTAGGAGGTGATTCTGGTCCATGCAGGTTTTTTTCCACTACAGAGTCATGTCTGTTTTTTATGCAGCACTGCCTGAGGGCAAAAAGATCAGGGCCAGCCCCTATCGGTTTTGGCCCTTGCCCCTTTTGAAAAGATGTCTCCGGATTCTCTTAATCTTTTGTTTATATAATGTACTATTAATGATGAAATTCACACGTTATTTTGCAAATTCATGCTGAGAAACATTGTTTTGAATATGTTGAGCTCTTTGCTCACACAGTCTCTCACAGAGTCTCATAAACCACTTCCCAGCTTCCCACCAGACTCAGTCTCTGTCAGCTACCGTTGTTATACCAAGTCATATTACTAAACTGACTTGTAATTTAACCAAGGTGGCTGGTTTCTCCTGGTGTTTTGTTTTCCTTCTTTGCACACCATGACTACCCCCGTTTTGTTGTCTCTGACCCAACAATATGTTGCTTGTACCAAATTTTAAATAAGCATCTATTTTTCATAAAGCAGTGTATAATGTTAGAGCAGATATGATTTTATCAAGATTTTACGCAGCATCCTAACATTTTTGTAGCAACTTCTTGAGACAGTTCCCACCTCTGAGAGATTGCTCCACCTGTTTTATACTTTCCACATTTAAGAGGTAGTCACATTTTTTGGAATGGGGTAATAATCTTATGGCATAAAACATTTTCTCACAGCCTCGTGAAATCCTTGTATTTTCTTTTTATCATAAAATACTGTGTATAAATATTTTTATAAAGTCCCGTGAATCCCTAGCTTTAGCGCAACTATTTTATTCAGGAGTTATCCTAAATCTGATACTTTAATGTATCAGAGCCAGAACAGCCAAAGTGTGATGAGTAACATCGATCACAACTGCCTAAAACACCTCAGAGAGGACTGGTTCGTTTACTGCTAATAACTCCATCAGTCTGATACAACATGTTCAAAGCCTGATTCCTATAGTCTCTGTTCCCAAATGTCTAAAACAAGTTGTCAGACAGAAAGTGTGAAATAACAGTGTCTTTGTCCTGAGCTTCAGAGGCTGAAGTTACAGAGAAGATGCTCAGACTGATATTGTAACTCCTCCAGCTCAGGCATAGCTATGAAGTCTTGATGCCAAAGGTGACTCTGCAGATATATTTCAGCACTGAATCATAAGTGACCGGGAATAACTCACTTTAAAGGTTGCAGATAAAAGGAGCAGTGACTGCATCTGTTCGGGGTTAAATGTCAGTGCAAGTAAAATTCAGGGTGCTTATACGTGTGTATGTGTGTGTGTCTTCGTGCACACCTGCATGCGGTAAAAGAGAGACAGAGCGAGAGGACGCGGGGGAGGCATGTGGGCTGTGATAAACAGAAGTGAGTGGGTGAGGATGAAGATAAGGCTTCTTTTTGTGAAACTGGAGCTAAAGAGCTTTTATTTGTCACAGAAGCTGAAATTTGTTCTGCTTGCTGTGATTGAATGATTTTGAGTTGCAGCATCTAGACAGCAACTTTAGCTCATTGTTTAAGTCCACAATGTGCACTTGTTCATCTCCTCTGTTCATAACTGTTAGATAATGATAAATGACCACATACTATCCATAATCTTGATCATCCCGCATGTATGCGTTGTTACAATATGAAATCAAAAAACAATTCTGATGATTAAAGTTCACATCAAAACTCTCAAAAGTCAGAACTCTCAGATATTGACAGTTAAGGGATTTCTTATTAAAACACAAAGAGTGGGACAAAGTTGCTAAAGCTACGCTAATTGAAGAGTTATTGATTAAAGTACAAACAAAAAAATGGGATAAGAAATTAATAAGCTATTGCTACCAGATGTTCCTGAGCATGAATTTGAATAATACTGCACAGATTAAGGAAAGACGGGAAATTGAAATTAATTCCAGCATACCACATGATATGTGGGAGGAAGTTTGCACCGAGGTACATTTAGTAACCAATTTAAATGTGTGGAGAGAATTTAAATGGAAGGTAGTCATGAGGTTCTTTCGGACACCTGAAATCACAGCTAAATTTAGTGCTACATACTCAAATAAATGCTGGAGAAACTGTGGCCCACACATTGGGAATCAGACCCACATACTCTGGTTATGCCCCAAACTGGAGGTAATCTGGAAGGAAGTGTTTGATACACTTAATATAATATTTGGTGGAAATATTACAATGGTGGCTCTACTAGGCCTATTACCAAGAGGCATTGAAGGAAGAGCCAAAAATATCTCTTACAGATACTATTAGCAACAGCAATTAAATGCATTACAATAGGGTGGTTGAAGCCTGACCCCCCAACACACAATATGTAGACCGAAAAAATAAAGGAAATATATCAATCAGAACAAATAACATATTCCCTGAGATTTCAAAAACATATATTCACAAAAAGGTGGAGTCCTGCTATGGGTATACTGATATAACTTTTATTCTGTTTATTCTATATTTTTCTTCGTCATTGTAATCTTTGTCTCTTTTGTTGTATCAAAACTGTTACCATGTGTATGAAGCAGCAGATATGATGACTGTGATTTTGTAAATGATTTTGAATGAAACTTAAATAAAAACTAAGTTAAAAAAAAGTCAGAACTCTGAATTTTTTTTGGTGTCATACCAAGCAATCTGGATTGAGTTTACTTTTGGCCTGAAGGTTAAAAGCTTTTTATAAATCCAGGAAGTGATTTTTATTTTTCGCTCACATATTTTTATATTTAATTCAAAATCCCGGGTTACAGCTCATGAGTGAGATCATATTTGCAACTCCATGCGGTGAGAAGTGTGTCAACACAGAGGTTTAATGACAAAGGCTTACTTTTAAAGCCGGGATGCAGAGTGAATGACCATCGTCTCGTTTGAACCGCATTCGTCACATTGATGATGCAAAAGAAAAACTAATATAAAGGGGCACGTTTCATACAATTATGATATGAAATACGATGATGTGTGTTTTAAGGAGCTGACCTGAGGGAGAAGTTCAGGTCGGTTTCTCTCCAGCCGCTGCAGAGCCTCCAAGAGGAAGGGGGTTTCTCTAAAGGCCAGGAATCCAGCGATGTACGGAGCCGTCAGGGTCACCATCTGACTGTCCTCATACAGCACCTGAAAAGAGAAGAAAGGAAGAAAACACTGGTCATTATTCATTCTTTCATTATTTTAGGTCTTTTTCTGAATGGAATTGGTGGGTTTTCTGTGGAGAACAAAATTCTGTAATCAAAGTGTCTATCTGCACGTTTTTTATGACGGAGCAGGATGACCTGTCTGGTCACTCACAGTGATTTAGCCTTAAAACATACAGCTCTGGATTTGGACTTTGACTGGAACAGTCAGGGTTAAGGTGCTGCCTGTTCGGACAAACTGGTCCACTCCAGTTACACACACAACCTGTGCAAAATTATGACTAACAGCCCCCATCTGGTGCAAAGTGAAACATCTGTTACTTCTAATTGATTTAAACATACACTGATCATCAGGCAGGCTTTTCTGCTCAGGTTACGTGTTGTGTTTACAAGGAGACTGTTATAAACTCAGGAACAAAACAGCTTTCAAATTAAAACCTGTTGTGTTAAGTTAATCACCCGTGTGTTCCTTTGAGGTAAAAGTACACAGAGAGGTTTGGTTTTACATTTTTATTTCACTTGAGTACTCCTTTTTGTGCAACAACTTAGTGCATGGGTCTTTCAAACCATAAAAAGAAAAGACAAAAAAAATCTGTTGATGACAGTCATGGGTACATCTGTAAAAAAAGGTCTGCCCCTGTAACACTGCAGCAAAAACTAGGAATGCATGATAATGGATTTTTGCCAATACGCAGTCAGCCAATATTTTCAAACTCTAATGGCCGATACAGACATCACTCCAGATATATCACACCTTTTTTTTCTACTGCAAATAATTGTGATGGTCTTTTTGTTTTAGCAACAGACAGAAATGAGACAGACATTTAATTCTATTATAAATGATCAATGTATTCTTTTGGAGCACAAACATTCAGAATAGTCTGCTGTCCAATACTTCAAAATACTTATGCACAGCCAACATGTGCAAGCTGGCAGAGTCTCAATCAACACTGATGCATCATGTTATGGGCCAGTAAGTATATTTACAAAGAAACCAATAATTAACTTTTTATCTTCCAATACCAATATCATGCCAATAATATTGTGCAGCTTCAGTGAGTGCAGTCTCAGGCTGGTCTCAAGAGTGTGGGAATAACGACAGTCATCAGGCACAAATGTGACAGCAGCCTGATAAGCTCCAGGACCCCAACCATCCTTGATAGAGAAAAGTGGAACAACATAATGTCCGGCAATCCAGGCAACAGCAGCAGGGCTGGTGATCATCCAAAAGCTATAGTGGCAGTGGCGATAGTGTTCAAAGTGTTTTTTTTTTTGTTTTGTTTTTTCCATTTTTCAATTTTTCAATTTCCATTTTGATTTATGTTTTCTCTTTATGTTACAGCATTAGCAACACTTTTTATGGTTCAGATTCCTAGTTAAGCTCGACACTATCATCATCACCTTCATCTTCATCATCATTCTATGCCTTTGTCATCAACGTCATTGCTAGCATTAGAATAATTAAGTGAGAGACATTTCATGAAAGTCCTGGGGTGAGACTCAGTACGATTATATTGCCTTACTCAGGTTAAGACCGGACAACTGAAGTGCATGTAAACACTTTTGTCTGACTACAATCGGAGTTTGAGAACTCTGATTGGAGTCGGAGAACTCCATTGGAATTTAATTTTCTCTACCATGTAGCCAGCGTAGTTGGAGTATGATTGGACAATGCATGTGCACATGCGCCATGCCCCCGTAACCCCAGAACAAAAACACCAGAGAAGAGGAGTAGCGTTCACCTCATCTGCAGAAAAAGTAGTAGTAGTAGTTTGAGGGAGAAAAAAATCCAAACCTACATGGCCCTGTATGAAAAAGTGATTGCCCCCCCTTAAAAAAACACAACTTAACTGTGTTTTATCACACCTGAATTCAATTTCTCTAGCTACACCCAGGCCTAATTACTACCACACAACCAGAGTGAGAGCCATTATCCACATTATTCCCAGGAGTGGACGCCCAACCAAAATTACCCTAAGAGCGCAGCAAGGACTTATCCAAGAGGTCACAAAAGAGCCCACAACAACATCCAAAGAACTGCAGGCCTCACTTGCCTCAGTTAATGTCAGTGTTCATGACTCCACAATGAGAAAGACACTGGGCAAAAACAGCCTGCATGGCAGACTTCCAACATTAAGACTCATCTCAATTTTGCCAGAAAACCTCTTGATGTTCCCCAAGACCTTTGGGGAAAATACTCTGTGGTCTGACGAGACAAAAGTTGAACTTTTTGGAAGGTGTGTGTCCCATTACATCGGGCATAAAAGAACATTGTACCAGCAGTAAAATATGGTGGTGGCAGTGTGATGGTCTGGGGCCGTCTTGGTGCTTCAGGACCTGAAAGACTTTCTGTGATAAATGGAACTATGAATTCGGCTGTCTACCAAAAAATCCTGAAGGAGAATGTCCATCTATCTGTTTGTGACTTCAAGCTGAAACAAACTTGGGTTCTGCAACAGGACAATGATCCAAAACACACCAGCAAGTCCACCTCTGAATGTCTGGAGAAAAACAAAATGAAGACTTTGGAGTGGTCTAATCAGAGTCCTGACCTGAATCCTATTGAGATGCTGTGTCATGACTTTAAAAAGGGGGTTCATGCTTGAAAACCCTCCCGTGTGGCTGAATTACAACAATGCTGCAAAGATGAGTGGGCCAAAATCCCTCCACAGCGCTGTAAAAGAGTTGTTGCAAGTTATCGCAAACGCTTGATTGCAGTTGTTGCTGCTGAGGATGGCCCAACCAGTTGTTAGGTTATTAGGGGGCAATCACTTTTTCACAAAGGGCCGCGCAGGTTTGAAAATTGTTCTCCCGTAATAATAAAAACCTTATTTAAAAACTGCATTTTGTGTTCACTTGTGTTGTCTTTGACTAATATTTACAGTTGTTAGATCTGAAACATTTAAGTGTGACAAACATGCAAAAAATAAGAAATCAGGAAGGGGCTGAACACTTTTTCATAACCCCTGTAAGTTAAAAAAAAAAAAAAAAAAGACCATGAAGCTCAGTTAGATTTAGATCAATGAGGTTTGAACTGAATCAACCATATTTCTCTCAAGCAACGAAAGCTATAGCTGTCAGACCTGGTTAAACCCCAACAGTTGTCAGGAAAGCACAGAGCTGTTGAGTTGCACACACCGAAAAGAAAGTCTCAGAGGTTTCCTGGGGCAAAAGTTGCTGGAAAAAGAAGTTTGCTTTGATCAATCAAATCCAAAATCATGGATTAATACCTCAAATCTAAAGTCAAACAGAGTCTCTGAGCGGAAATGTTTAGATTGAACTCTTTTTGGATTCATAATGTGTTTTCCTCTAATTACCAAAGACTTTGCTCTGCTTGAAATTCTGTTAAACTTTTTTTCTCTAGCTGACAGTGTTTATGCATTTCTCCCAAAGCAAACCACAGCTACACTTCTTTCTCTCATGAAATCCCTCTAACTAGTCTGTGCAGATTCAGCACGTCTCAGGAGCCTTAAACAGACAACACATGTATCGGCTAGAGATGGGATTTATGGCTCTTTGACAGGAGCCGGATCTTGAGGAGCCGTTCTTTTCAAAGAGCCATTGAAAAGAATGGCTCGGTGTTATATTTACTTTATTTTTAGAAATCAAGCAGGGCTACACAGCCCACCAATATATACTCTTTTGGTGGAAAATAATCAGAAATATTGTTATAATTTCATTTGGCTTGCGCTTTCTTAGTAAACATTTCATATGGTGGATCCACATCCCCATGCTTTGACAGTGAGATCATTATTTTGAATTTCACCCTCACCTCAAAAACTCAAACCGGTTCTCATCATTCACTTAAAACAGCAAGTTCAAACGACTGACTCGTTCGTGAACCTCACATCTCTAGTATTAGAGCAGTTAATAATTCCAGGGCTCCAGATACTGTAACACAACACCTGCTGCAAACACCATTTGGCCAAAGTGTGTTGAGCGAGCTCATGTTTGAAATCAGCCTATTAAAGTTCAAGCTGAAACATACATTTACGCTCTGTGCATCAAATTTTCTTTATCACTTTGTGCCTCGGTAGGTGCCTTTGTCAGTGAAAGTGCTGAGAGTAAATTGAAAGCATGTAGAGAACATTATCCCATTAGTGGACAGCACTTCATTTGCCTTATCAGGTCCATGCATCAACACCATGCTGTGATCAAATATTATTGATTTTAATGGGGTGTGTGATAAGAAGTTGCCGGCAGCTTGTGTTATTGCACAGATAAATATAAGGAAGGGGGATTACTTGTGAAAGCTGCATAAAAAGGAAATAAAGAGAAAATTATTGTGCCAAGGTCACTTTAAGAACTGTGAATTAAAGTGGAATCAAGCTGGAGCTGGATCATCTTATTGAATAGCATCCATTAACCATCTGAGAGAGAGCTGAGGTTAACTGATCAGAAAACTGTGGTTTATAATGAATCAACATCATTAAACAGACCTTGTATAGCCATGTATAAAACATAGATGGCATCTCCCAGCTCTTCCACAGTGGAGCCAAGTCTTGTAGAATTCTCCCTGGAGACTGGCTGCAGTACAGTACAGGTCCTAAAGCCGCGTTCAGACCAAACGCGACCAGGTCGCGTCGCGTCGCGTTGGTCGGTCAGGTCGCGTCGCGTGGTGCTCTGGTGTGTTCACACCGGGTCCAAAGTTGCAGTCGCAGGTCGCGGCTGGTCGCCGGTGACGTCATCCATGTCACTAGCTCAGTTTTCAGTTCATCAGTGCTGCCGCATATCTGTACATCCGCAGTAGACGCCGCCGGCGTTTATGGGTGCATGAAACCATCCGGAGGAGGACGGAGCTGGGTGAATTTCACCGCTTGCTCCAGGAACTCCGCCTGGACGACGGCCGCTTCCAGCGGTATTTCCGTGTGTCGACGGCGCAGTTCGAGGACCTCCTCGCCCAGGTGGGAAGCAGCATCTCCCGCCTGGACACGAAATACAGGCGCTCCATCTCAGCTTCGGAGCGCCTGTCTATCTGTCTGTCCCTCATATAAACGTCTCTAAGCCCCTTCCACCGCTTGCGGCACACATCCACTGCAAAGACACACACACACATACGTTGAAACATGTAGCCTAGCAAGCAGGGGCAGTTAGCTGGGTGGTAGCTAACGGATGTGATTAACTGCTCCTCCATTGTGATTCTTCTTCTCCTCTTCCTTGTTTCGCCGGTTTGTTGACGTCAGCAGAGCCCTGATTGGCTGTCGCGGCACGAAGTCGCTCCCAAAGTTCAAATATTTGAACTTTGGGAGCGACGCGACTTGGCGTCCTGCGACCTCGGCGACGCGACCTCGGGGACGCGCCTTGGCGACCGGTCGCCCGGTCGCGCATGGTCGCGTCGCAGGAAGCCGGCGGTCGCCAAGTCGCGTCAGGTCGCGGCTGGCCATAGACTTTGCATTGGGAGCCGTCGCCAAGTCGCGTCAGGTCGCGGCTGGTCTGAACGCGGCTTAAAGCCTGCCTCCTCCATGTTAACAGGTAGAACAAGGGTCGAACTTGAAACTTCAAATGTGCTTGAAATATAGTCATTCTCAGGGATGTTTTCTGCCACAGCAGCTGATTGCTGATGAGTGACTGTTCTTACAACTGTGTGATTGACCCAAAATGAAGGATGCTGTTCTTCAGTCTCTGCACAATTAACATTAGTGAATTGGGAATCAATGAGTTTCACACTCTTTTCATTCGGGAAGATATTTCTTGTATCCTCCATCCTCGGTAATCTGGGGATTTTAACATATCACCAACAATTAGGGGTGTCCCGATACAACTTTTTTACTTATGATACCGATACTGTAGCCTTCAGTATTGGCCGATACCTATATTAATCTGTTGTTGGCACAAATTTGTGCTTGACAAGTTTTGCACTTAGCTGCAACATCTTTTTCGGAAAACATAAAACACTGCCACGTGGCCGACATCACTCCTACTCATTGCTACTTTGTTAGTACCTTAGTACACACTGTTGTTATGATTACTTGGGCTCTGCATGCTGGATAGAGGTGCCAGACAGGAGTCTGGAACGGACTGCTTGTATCATGGTGCTGATATTGGAGATTTTAAATACAGGCAGATTTTTGCTAACATCGGACTGATATCCAATATTAATCTCATATGGGGACATCCCTACCAACAGTTCTATGAACCTCAACCAGAGATTCCCTGCAAAACCACTAGGGCTCAACTTGTTTATCGGCGAGCCGATTAAATCAGCCAATTTTAGCCTGTTTGAGACTAATCAGTAATCGGCCAAAACTCGCCCATTTTTCGCCGATATTTTCAGAAATAAAATGCGGAGAATAAGGCTATGTTCACACTGCAGGTCAATTCCGATTTTTTAACCATATGTGACACATATCTGATTTTTTTTTATATGCAAGTGTAAACAGTGCAATTCTGATTTTTTCAAATCCGACCCAGGCCTCTTTTGTATGTGGATATTAATCGGATATGTATCCGATGTGACTGCAGTGTGGACGCTCATGTCGCGTTCATCCGATCTATACGTCATCAATGTGCGACAAACGTCACCATTGTTCGACAACACAAACAGGCGTGGAAAGCAATTAGTGCTTTGTGCGCATGTGGATCACTTCATAGATGCATTTTGTTCACATTAGATGCTGCATTCGTTGTTGTAAATGACCGCACAAAAAGATCGGATTTAACGAAAATCTGAATTGTGGATCATAACCTGCAGTGTGAATGTAGCCTAAGATTCGGTTGTACTCCGAAAGTGTTCCGCTATTTAAAAAGTTCCCCGACTTATCCTGTAGATGGCACAGCGACCTCATGACAATCTTCATCCACTAACTACCTCACAGCACAGCAGAGTGGCGGATCTGAAGCAGGCAACTGCAGGGACGGAGGAGGAGAGTGGTCCGCCTCAACTGTAAATAAACCAGTTTGTGAAATACACGATAAGTCAACAAGTTTAAGTTCAACCCACTTCACGATGTTCTCCGTTGTGCTGGTCTCGGTCACGCCGAGTTAACGGTGAAGCACCATGTACAAAGCAAGCTAAAGTTAGAATTAGCCATCTGCTATTAGCCTTGCTACACTGTTAGCCGTGCCAGTAACAGTCTTAACGCTGACTTCCTGTCAGCGTTAAGAGCAGTAGCCTACAGTATATCTACATTATATAGTATACTGTAGATATCTACAGTATATTTTTATAACTTCATAAAAAATTTAAAAAATCGGCCGATTGATCGGTAATCAGATTTTTTCCCTCCCTAATAATCGGTATCAGCATCGGCCCCAAAAAATCCATAGCGGTCGGGCCCTAAAACCCACCAAGATACATTTATACAAACGGGCCTCCCTCACCTGCTGTTGTAATCTGTTTCAGCAAGAACTAAGAGTGGAGAAGGGAAGGGGATGGGGCTGGTAGGGGAAGTTACATCCCAGTCCAGATATAATACCATAACCACAAACAGCAAAAAGAAAAAAATATATATTTTGATGTGACTACAACCAAGCTTAAAACTTCCCAGCAGAGCTTTAAAGGTGATTAACTTCAAACTTATTATCAGAGGAGAAATTAATTGATGAGGCATTTTTCAAAGTCTTGCTGATTGGGATGAACTGAAAGAAAAACACCAGACACTACAGTCTTACTTAAACTAATCAGAGCCTTTCAATCTTAAACCTATTTGCTTTGGTTTTGCTGCCATAATTTAAGGATCTGTTTCAGTCTCACTGATCTCCACATTCAGCTTCAACAGGCAGCAGTTTTAACACAGCACAAAACCAAGCTACAGAAAGACAAGGTTAGGAACTTAAATTAATCTAAAATCAATACAATAAAATAATAAAATTCAAAGTGATTTAGTTGGCTTTTTAATAGCTGACCTTATTTTCAACGATCTGAATAAAGGACAGTAAACCAGGGAAAATCCTACCATGATACATAAGACATGACAATTGTTTAAAATGATAAATATGTGTTGATCTCTCTCATCTCTGATGTGAGCGTGCTTTATCCTGGACACAAAAAGATCACAGATTTGTGTTATGTAAGTGATGGTGCACTGCTACACCTTTTTTTCCATCAACATTGCTGCTGTTCCACTCTGGCACCACCAGAGGGCAACAGCTCACACAGTTTTTAGTTTGTCTGTACTGCTGGGTGCGAAGGGTTAGGGGGACAGCTCACCTCCAGGTCAGGGTAGCTAAGCACCACCAGCTGAGCGCAGGCGTTAATGTCATCCCCTTTGATGAAGGACAGGTCCACCCCTCCGACTCGCTCCAGACCGGAGAAGTCTGGACTCTTCTGCCAATACTCAGTGTCCTCCTCCACCACCTGCTGCCTGAGACGCGCCTGCTCACTGCACAGAAACACAAAAGCGAAGACTGACAGAAGGCAAAAACAGGAGGCTGACACCTAAACACGATCATTAAACACTGACACAACTTTAGACAACTGCTTTTACCAACATCCGTCCTTTGAATTTAAATACTTGTACTGAATTTAGACATCAGCTTATCTGTTCTTTCTTTTTTTTTTTAGTGCTCTGTTACAGCTACTTGTATATATGTGAGAGCTTTCAGCCCAGGTTATGTTACATGAGAGATCTGTAATATTTTCATGGTCTTCAGCAGACAAAAAATAACACATGCACATCAAACATGACAAGATTTGTTAAAATTATTTTCATAGTATTACTTGAAGTAGGGCCTCCTAAACCTTTCCCTATTGTTTCATCTCCAATCTTTCAACTTAACACTTTCATTTAATACCAGTTGTTAAATATTGTAATGAAGGCCTACAACACCATTGTTGTATGTTGCCAGCAAGTGCTTTTTTCTTTCTTCTTTTCTCAGTCACCTTGCTGCATTTCTCAGATCCGAATGAAAGTTCTCACAACTATTAGTTCAACCTCCACAACATTGAGTCATTTGTGCACATCATCATAGCAGTTTCTCATTCCTCTGAACAAATTGCAAATGCTCTTGGACATGTATCAGTTACTTTCATACAATTCTCTGCTGTTTTATAACATTATCATTTGTTTATGACATGTCAGTCAAAATGAACTATACTTTTAAATGCTAAATAGTCATCCCCCATAAAACTAATAGTCCTCATTTCATTGCTTGAGTCATTACATACAAAATAGTTGAAGTAGTTCTCAAAATCTGTTAAGACAATTTACTAAATTTCTTAATCATTTTTTTTTTCCTGAAAATGTCTCCTAAACCAGTGTGTACCATTTCTACAATTCTGTAACACAAAAATGGAAGGTCAGCATTGTTTACAGTTATATGTACAGTCATACTGTTAACATTTGTGCACAGTTCTACCAAAATGGTATTTCTTATGTTTGTTCTACATAAGTGACTGTATTTTTTTTTCTTCACAATGCTGTAGAATTGCAAAGAGCATATGCAGTAAACATGTAAAACATACACGTCTTGTACTCAGTTACCTCACTAAATGCAGTAATTTGTAACTTTACTTTAGTTTTCAAATGGCTGTACAGGTAGTGTACAGTGCTGTCTTGAGCATTTTCATGTAGTGTCACCAAGATTAGACTTTTTTTGCATTGAAAAACACAGGGAGCGTAAAGTGTCACAATGAAAACATGACAAAGCCATTTGACTGTCTTGTTCATAAACAATGGTGTCAGGACTAATTATTTTGACAACACAGACACTTTCATTGACATGAATACTTGCTTTTGAGGAATCAACTACTCATTTTGAGCAAGTGACGTGCTTTTGCAGGTTATTCACTAGTTTTTGCAGTTTGTACTAATTGTTGGGGGGAAATGCACCAAAGTGACTGACAAAAACTGTAACAGACTAGCTGATTGAAATACAGCTCCTTTGGCTGCCTGTCACTTAAGAGGTTTTCTAAGTAGTTTTGGCTGTCAAATGTCAGACAGGTGACACCCCACGACTTTTGTTTTGTCAAACCAACAATCCCATCTATCAGAGGTGAACCAAATGATATCTATTCAATCTATTCAGGACCACAGCGAACTATGAACCACTTTATAAATGTCATCAGCGTTGTCTTTGTTGATCGACACGATCTTTGGCCTGTGTTACATAATATTGAACCCTGGTGCCACAACTGGCTTTGTTGTCATCACAAACACAAATCAGATCTGCTGAGTGAGGCTGGCTCTTATGCACAGAACTCTGGCTGCTGACAGAGTAACACGAACTCGTGAATCTGTGTAACAGCACAATTTTTCAGCACAATACGAAACTCTGTCACAAAGTTTTTCAAAAACTGAAGGCGAAAAACGGAAAGCTTAAGAAGTTGATGGAAACTTGAGGAGAAATGAATGAACTGTTGTTGTACTGTGCTGTATTTTCGTCCTCTGTATCGATTAAGGTATGGAAACATAAAAATATCACTCTGACCTCTCCCACTGCTGGACCAGCTCTTCTGTGGGGTGTGCGGACATCTTAAAAAACCTTGAAAAATTTATATCGTTGATAGAATAATGTAAACGTCCATACAAACGTGATCCTCCTGTTTAATGCATGCTCCTTCCGTGTGCTGACGTCGAGTTTATGGGCGGAGCTTGTATATCAGTCTATATGAATTAAAACAGATAAATGGTGCCATCTAGTGGCCCAAATCACAAACCACAACGACGTCAAAATTATATATATATATACAGTATATACTGTATATATATATATATATATACATATACATATATGAATGAGATATATATGTATATATATATATATATATATATATATATATATATATATATATATACACACACCTTCTCATTCAATGCATTTTCTTTATTCTCATTACTGTTTAAATTGTAGATTCTCAGTGAAGGCATCAAAACTATGAATAAACACATGTGTAATCATGTTCTTGAGAAAAAAAGTGTGAAAAAACTGAAAACATATATTTTAGATTCCTCAAAGTAGCCACCCTTTGCGTTTTTGATAGTGCTACAAACTTTTGCTGTTCTCTCACTGAGCTTCATGAGGTAGTCACCTGAAATGGTTTTTACTTCACAGGTGTACCCTGTCAGGGTTACTTCGTGACTGACAGAGCTAGTCACTAAGTTCGTCTGTCATCAAGAGCAAAGGGTGGCTATTTTAAAGACACTAGAATATAAAATGTGTTTTCAGTTATTTCACACTTTTTTTATAAGTACAAAATTCCACGTGTTCATTCATAGTTTTGATGCCTTCAGTGATAATCCACAAAGTAAAAAGTCTTATAAAAAATAAAGAAAAGACATTGAATTAGAAGGTGTGTCCAAACTTTTTTCTATATATATATATATATATATATTTATTATTTAATTATTAATTATTAGTTTCTTTGTTAGTTTTTTTATGTGAAAAAGTTTCCTCCCTTCTTCACTGTTGAATAATTTTGTAGGGTATTATTCTGTGATTATATTCTGTCTTTGAATTGAAATTGATTTAGTATTCTATTTTATATAGAAGTGATAGTATGTAGCTGCAGATCAAAGGTGCAGAATGAAAAAGTGCATACATGAAGTCCCATCTTGCATGTCATTGTACTGTCTTTTTCCCATCATTTATGATACAACAAGTCTTTACAACACAAGATCAGGCTGTAATTGCTGAAAGTGTGCAATCACCACAAGTTTTGCATTATTATACACATCTTGGACTAGTGACTGTTGTCCTCTGAGCTTTTTTGATTTGACCCCTTACACAAGTTATATAAAGTATTGGAATCTTTGTCTTCAGACATACAGCCAACCACATATGTATGTGCCTGTCAAATCAGAAAATAGCACAAGAATTTAGGTACAAATGTCTGGTTTGACTACTGTGAAAAAAAGAATAAAAAGCACACAAAAAAATTTGGTTATTGTGGAAGAAGTGCAATATTGTCCATCTGTTGTTGATGACAATGAAAATCAAGTCAATTCTACACTTATCACGTTATTAACAAAATTATTATTTTTTTCCCAGTTTTAATTTTAAGAAGTTTGAGCTACTGTTTAAAAAATGAACACTTAATATATGTCATTCTTGTCTGTTTGAAAATATAACTGTAATGATGTTTATGCCTCCTGACCCATTAAGTGTCAAAGACAACCAGCAATATTGATATTGGATCCAAACAGACAATCAGCCACAGACGGTCTGTGCTGAAACTGCTTGCTAATCACACAGTGTTGTAGCAACGCCATATTAATGAAAAGTTGTATGAAAAAGGCAGAAACAGTAGGGCTGTGTGCAGCCTTGAAATGGTCAAAAACAGTTGTTTGTCTGTCACTGAACACAACTTTCACTTTTACAGTATCGAGCCTCTCCAGAACCTGGGCCAGGATTAGAAGCATCTTAACTGAGCTAAGGAGAAAAATAAACTTTCTTTTATTGATTTTGGGAGATATTCTAATAACTTGAAATACAGGATTATGAATAAGTATGTCAGAATGTTTCCTTTTTGAATTAAAAAAGAAAAAAGACTCTCATGATATTCCAACTTTTCTTAAATGCACTGTATACGAAAGTAAATACATATGTAATCTTCCAGTGTCAACACTCTGAAAAAAAGAGACTCTTCAGTCAAAATTAATCAGCAGAAATAAGAGCACCTGTGAGGGAAACACTGACACATAATCAGGTCAGAGGGGACAGGTTACCTTAGATGTTTGATAAAGTCAGTCAGATACACAAACCACTTCTCTGCTTGTCATTTATTAGGAAGAAATCAAATATTGTAAACAGGGGTTTTACACTCATTTCATCAGGCTGTGTTTTGGGAATGTGAACCTCTAAATTTTTCAACACATCACTAGTTTCATCAACTTACTCACTATAAATTTAAGTCAATGGTTTACTTTATGAAGCAAGAGCTAAACTTTCAACTATATTTAAATAAATGTGACACAAGTCAGAATCTGCACATAACTCAAGTGTAATGTTTTTTTTTTCTTTTTAAATAAATGTAAAGGCGACATATTCATCATATTCATTGATGTGTCAAAGTCTATGTGGTTGAACGCACCACACATTTGACTAAAGGTCTTTTACAGTGTTGCTCCACCTTAAAGCAACATTGACCTGGAGACTTCCTCATTATCCCTCATTCATGAGAGGAAGACAGAGTAACACGCTGACACACATCTTCTTAAAGTCTTCATAAAGGTAAGCAGCTTTTCATCCTCACTCAGACTGATGCAAACAAACGCTGCATAGTAATGGGTCAACTTAAAAATTTCATGTTTAATTTTTTCCATGAAAAATATAAAAATGAAAAAGGTTTTATTGCTGTAATCACAGGAATTGGTGGACTTTGGCCTGTCACATGTAAGTCTCAAAAAAAAAGAAAAACACTTTGCTCATTAAGTGCAACCATTCAAAAGGTTTTAAAGGGCACTTGAAAGACTACCCTTAAACTTTGACTTACTGAACAAATATTGTTATTGCGTGGCATTTTAATCAAGACTGACCTCATAGGGACACAAATTAAATCAATAATGATTTCAGTTAATGTAAATCATGATCATAAAATCAGTCATTATCTTATAAAACTTACAGTAAATTCAGTGTCAGCCTTTTACTTATCACTTCTTGTAACTGTTGTCAAGATCAAGTTCCTGGCAGGGACTTTTATTACTTTTTGCAATCAATATTTTGACCCTTCACAATAAAAGCATAGATTTAATTGGAGCAAACTACTGTGCAGTTGATCATTAAACTGGTTTATGCATTCATATTTTGCTATGGCAGGTCAAAATAGCTGAAGCAGATAACTGGAAATGAGTCATTAGTCTGTTTATTTCAACACCTGATCAAATCTGCTCATAGACTAGTTCTCTTACCAAATATACGGCTTCTGTTTCCAGTTGGCAGTTTTGATCTCCAATACTGAACACTGTCCATACAATACCAGGCTTCCACAGTACTATATTTACTCATCATACATCTGCAGCAGAACATATGATCAGCCTGCACCAAGTCATCTCTAATGAGAGGCGGAACATGCTTATCACAGATACTGTGGAATTTGGACTTAAGACCGGAGGTCTTTGCTTGGTATCAACTTTACACTAACAGAAACCAAAATAGAAAAGTGGCTCCACCTTGTGGCGCTACGTGGTACTGCAGGAGCACAGCATTAACCAGAGTCTGGTCATCACGGGAAAGTATCCTGTGCTTCTTTATATTCTGATCCTCCAAACCTGCTCTATTTATTGTTTCCCCTCTAGCCTGAGAACAGTGTTCTTCTGTTTTTTCTTTCCCAGTTCCTAACATGGATAAAGGTCAACCTGAACCAGCAGCACCTCCATACCCTGGACCCCCCTTGAACCCTAACTATGGATTCACCTACTCCAACCCTGGTAAGACCATTGAACCTGGTGTCTTTTAATTTACATTTCACCATCACTAAGTATTCAATTGTTCTGATTTCTTGGTGTTGTTGTTTTTGTTGTTAGTCCATGTGATTGAAACCGTTTAGCATCATCTGTAACGATCTGCTCTTGTAACCTGTCTGATGTTTCCCTCTTCTTTCCAGAACAACAACCTCCTTACCAGTACAGCCCACAACAGCCTGCAGTCCTACAGACCGGTAAGGCTCTTTCTCTGGAGATCTCTTATAAAATTGATAAACTTAGTGATTTAAAAGTTCCCACAAGTGACCAAGATGTGAGTTCAGTGTTAGGCCGAGAAAGTAGAGTGGATTATGGGTGATTCTGACAGTGTGTTGTGTTTATTCCGTACAGTGACGGTGCAGCAACTACCCACTTTTGTTCCTGTTCAGATGATGTGTCCTCACTGTCAAACCACTGTCACCACTGAAATCAAGTACCAAAGTGGTGCGATCACCTGGCTAGCTTGTGCCCTAACTGGACTATTCTTGTAAGCAGAAACCAAATATACAAAGAAAGATATACCTGCAGTTTGTTAAAGATTTGTTCACTGTTACTCTATCAGGGCACTAGGAGCAGCCCTGCATGTTGCTATTCAATAAATAGAAAGGTTTACATACCATACATTGCTGTGAGTAAGTTTAACTTGAATCTTGTTCTAATACCCCTCTCCAGGTGCTGGCCTTGCTGTTGTATCCCCTTCTGTGTTAATTCTTGTAAGGACGCGGTGCATTACTGCCCTAACTGTCGACGAGACCTGGTCATCTACAAACGTCGGTGAAAAAGAGCTGCAGAGTCAAGTCATATTTATTGATTACTTACCATTAATAATTAAAAGCTTTAAATCATAATCATAACCACGTCACTGCCTGAGCAAGAATCTGATGAAAATAAACAAAACAATGCATCATCATCAAAGAAACAGACTCTTCATGTTTTCTTTTTATTTCTTTGCCAACAGTTACCTCAGACAGTTCTTTTTTTTATCATGAAAACAGAAAAGAACAAGCAATAACCAAACCAAGATGCCTACTTATGGTTGTGTGTATTGTTTTCTCTTTGTGTACAGTTTAATTACACACAGTATGTTGGCACATCCAGCACTTACTCGCACTTGTTTTCATCAAACATGTTTGAGTTTAGTGCTATGGGAAATCCGGAGAACTCTCACAGTGCCATCTAGAGGAAGAAGAGAGAAGATGAAGGTGCAAAAACAGCGTTAAAACCATGTGAGCGGGTGGTTATGTGACACAGGAATTTGACAGGGTTAAAAAACAGAAAATGACTCAAGTCAAAGGGAAAGTCTCCCATGAGAATTCCACACGTGTCGAAGCCTTGAAGTATATCACATTCTCTCTACTGAAGTATCCAAAGTACTCAAGTAAATGTACTCCAAGTAAAAGTAAAAAGTCAAAGTACCACTAAATATATTTTTATTTTTTGCAAAAGTCACTTGTGCCCAAATAAGCACACATTTCAGGTGGGTGCAAGCAATAGCTTAGAAAACATAAATGGACACACACAAACACACGCACACACACACACACACACATACACACACACACACACACACACACACACACACACACACACACACACACACACACACACACACACACACACACACACACCAATCAGGAGAAACAAGAGTGCATCCTCCTACAGTTCAGAGGGAACTTATACAGAAGTTGGGCATGATGAGAACCATCAAGCAGACACTGGACATTTAGGTGGGTGCAAGCAATAGCTTAGAAAAATAAATGGGACAAACGGAAGGACAGACCCCTGATTACAGCACTGATCAGGAGAATCAATAGTGCATCCTCCAACAGTCAATGAACTTAGGACACCAGTTGGGCACCATGAGAACTATCAAAACAGCCACTGAACGTTTAGGTGGGTGCAAGCAACTGCACAGCCTACAGGCGGCTGCGGACATGCTTGAGTGACTGATTGACGATGATCAAGCACAATCCAAGTCAACATTAGGTAAAGGAGAAAAGTAGTTTTTTCCCCCTACCACTGTCATAGTAACAAAGTAAAAATAGTAGTAGCAAAGATGCTTCTGTGAAATGTAGTGGTGTAAAAGTATACTTTTATTTTCAGAAATGTAGTCAAGCAAAAGTTGCTGGCATAAAAAAACTCCAGTAAAGTACACATACTTCAAAATTATACTCGAGTACTGTACTTAAGTATTGCTACTTATTTACTATACAACACTGACATAAACAAATGCCATGCATAAGGGGATTTAAATTGGAACCACCTGGCGTAAAGGATGCATTACTCTCAGTGGCCCGGCCTTTTCTTCCACAAATATTTGCATATGAAATATACTTTAGAATTTCTTTTAAACTTGTGGCTCCAACTATCAGGAACTGTATTCCTACCTAAATACACTGTGCTGTCTCTCCTGATGTAGAAACATTTGTTTAGACTGGCTTTTGACCATCTGCTGTAATTGTTGCGTGATAGTGTTTTATTTGTTACCTTTGCTATTTTAATTTGTTTTGCATCTATTCTTCTCTTTACTGTTGTTGTTCATATTATTGCTATTTAGTGAAGCACTTTGTGACTCTGCTCTGTGAAAGGTGTTAAATCAAATAAACGTTCCCTAATTACTGAGTGAAAAAAAAATCTTCATGATAAATGTGTGAAAGTCTATGTGGTTGAATACTCTGCAACACATTTGACTAAAGTTCACAAAAGTCTTTTACAGTGTTGCTCTACCTTCTAGCAAAATTACCTGGAGACTTCCTCATTATCCCTCATTCATCAGAGGAGGACAGAGTAACACGCTGACACACATCTTCCTAAAGTCATCAAGGTAAGCAGCTTTTCATCCTCACTCAGACTGATGCAAACATTTTAAAACAGGCTCAAAGTAACGCTGCATAGTAATGGCTTAACTAGAAAATTTCTTGTTCTATTTTTTCCGTCAGACATATAAAACAGCTTTTTTAAAGGTAAGTTTTTTGTTTGTTTGTTTGTTTGTTTTTAAGGTATTTATTCTGTTATTCATAGGAGAAAGTTTGCTCTATAATCTGGGAATTTTATGATGGTGAAATTGACTAAAAAACAGAAACTGAGATATGTATGTTATGTCATGTCCTATGATTCGCTATGAGGTAACACGTCAACAGTAGATCAAAATCAATGGTAAAATAATTATTGTTGGTTCAAAGTTACCATGCTGTAATCACAGTAACTGGTGGACTTTAGCCAATCACATATAAAACAACGGTATCTCAATCAGAGTGACTTAGCATAGCTGTCAGAAAAATCTAACATTTTACAGGAAGTTTGACAGCACCAGTCTTTGTAGGAGAATCTATTTGATTCATTTGTCTGGTCAGAAAGTTCAGTCATACCTCTCATTTTCTCTTATTCTCAGTTTATCCCTGGGTTTATGCAAACAAGTCATTAGGAGCTTGATCTCAACAGGACAGACTGTCACTGACCTCATGGCAGTGGTTACTGTAAATGTTTCAGCTGAACTTTTTTGGTTAAACAAAGGTTTCTTTTCTGCCTTAGAAAATGAAGTCTACTAAAAGGAACAACCTCAGCTTTTGAAGCTCAACTTCTCAAAAGATTTTAAAGGGCACTTGAAAGATTATCTGTAAACTTTGACTTTCTGAATCAAATACTTTTATTGCGTGGTGATTTTATCAAGACTGACCTCATAGGGACACAAAATTAGATCAATAATGATTCCAGTAAATGTTACTCATGATCATAAAATCAGTCACTATCTTTTAAAACTTACAGTAAATTCAGTGTCAGCCTTTTACTCATAACTTCTTGTAACTGTTGTCAAGATTAAGTTCCTGGCAGGGACATTTATTACTTTTCGTAATCAATACTTTGACCCTTCACAAAAAAAGCACAGATTCAATTGGAGCAAAGCACTGAGCAGTTGCTTATTAAGCGAGTTTATGCACACAGACGTAATTTGTATGTGTGTGTGTGTGTGTGTGTGTGTGTGTGTGTGTGTGTGTGGTCCCCTGCAGTTTTAACCATCTAAAAAACAATGTTACTTTATGCTATAGCAAACCAATGAACATCATGCACTAGGAACAAACGGCCTCTCAAGCTGAAAACTGGTTTCCCTTGGTTTGGACAGCCTACAAGGTCCTCGGTTAGCTCTGCCGCAGGGCTGCTTCTCATGTGTGATTAGCCATCCCTGCTATAAGTCAGCTGGACTAGTGTTTTGCAAGTTGCTTGTTAGAGTCAGTCCGTAAACATCGCTATTCGCCTACATAAGTTTACAGGGGGGCGGCCTTTATTTTCCCTCCGTAACGTCACATTCATTGGATGTTTCATCTACATCCCTTTATCGGCTCTGTACTTCCATCCACCCGCTGGCTGTACTGCCTTCTCTGTTACTGTGTGCGAGATGTGCTGTTTGCTAGGCTATATGTAAGAACAGGAACTGAATTCTGGAATGAATAAAGAAATCTGGGCTGAACATTGACGTTTGAATCCGCTTGTCTCTGTGTTTGGTAATTAGGCGCAGCCAGGATGTCGAAAAAAAGAAGAGTCAAAACAAGAGACTTCTTTTGAAGCAAGTCAAAATATCGACAGCAGATACCTAGAGATGAATCATTTGTCTTTTTATTTCAACACCTGATCAAATTCTGCAAATAGACTAGTTCTTTTGCCAAATCTACAGCTTCTGTTTGCAGTTGGCAGTTTTAATCTCCAATACTGAACACTGTCCATACAATACCAGGTCTCCACAGTACTATATTTACTCATCATACATCTGCAGCAGAATATATGATCAGCCTGCACCAAGTCATCTCTAATGAGAGTCCTTCTCAGTAGGTATAAAACAACATAGAGTAAATGAGGGTAACACCCATAGACCTCATAATTACTGGGCATAGCATCAGTGACGTAACCCATTTGTTTCTGAAGGCGAGTTTTAAAGCCTCCTGTCAGCAGTCCCCATATTGGTAAGGCTGACTCAACCTAACTTTAGCCAACCTACCAGAGGCAAGCCCTTAGCCTCCTTGCAAATGGCTAGTGTGCCAATCTGTCAGTCAAGTCAACTGTGCTGATCTTGTCACCTCAATAACTTAAAAAATATATACAATAGAAAATAATTCACTCACCGTGCAGTGGGTGCTGTGGGAGGCCCTAGTTTTCTCAGACCAATATATTGTTAACAGGGCTGTAAACATGTTTATTTTTGCTCTAAATACAGAATTTTTTTGTTAAGTGTGTATTTGGTTTCAGTGCTTTTGCAACCAGCCTTGAGTGGGCACTTGAGAAACTGCAACTTTTAGCTCTTCCGAATTGGCTCAGTCCCCTCAAGTCCATATTCCACAGGATCTGAGTTGAGCATGTTCCGCAGCGAATACGTTCCCATTTTAATCAATGCATCATACCACACAGGAAGCGTCTCTGCTCCGGCTTGACGCTCTGCTCTGCTCTGCTAAAGATATGTGCCAAGTCTATTTTTGATGCCCTACACTTCAAACACGCATTCATTTCAACAGAGCAGATAGCATCAGACAAGAAGTCAAGCACATGCAGTGTATACTGAATCTAAAAAACTTCTAAATTAAACACCATATGAGGATAACTTCTCGATAACAAAAAACAAAAGAGAAAGGTGAACGCTACCTTGTGGCGCTACGTGGTACTGCAGGAGCACAGCATTAACCAGAGTCTGGTCACCATGTGAAAGTATCCTATGCTTCTTAATATTCTGATCCTCCAAACCTGCTCTATGTATTGTTTCCCCTCTAACCTGAGAACAGTGTTCTTCTGTTTTCTCTTTCCCAGTTCCTAACATGGATAAAGGTCAACCTGAACCAGCAGCACCTCCATACCCTGGACCCCCCTTGAACCCTAACTATGGATTCACCTACTCCAACCCTGGTAAGACCATTGAACCTGGTGTCTTTTAATTTACATTTCACCATCACTAAGTATTCAATTGTTCTGATTTCTTGGTGTTGTTGTTTTTGTTGTTAGTCCATGTGATTGAAACCGTTTAGCATCATCTGTAACGATCTGCTCTTGTAACCTGTCTGATGTTTCCCTCTTCTTTCCAGAACAACAACCTTCTTACCAGTACAGCCCACAACAGCCTGAGGTTCTTCAGACTGGTAAGGCTCTTTCTCTGGAGATTTCTTATAAAATCGATAAAATTTGTGATTTAAAAGTTACCACAAGTGACCAAGATGTGGGTTCAGTGTTAGGCCTGGAGGAAATTATGGGTGATTCTGACAATGTGTTGTGTGTATTTCTTACAGTGACGGTGCAGCAACTACCCATTGTTGATCCTCTTCACATGACATGTCCTCACTGTAATACTGTTGTCACCGCTGAAATCCGTTACGAGAGTAGTGGGACCACCTGGCTGTGTTGTATCTTAATTGGACTATTCTTGTAAGTAGAAACCGAAAGTACATATATGCTATTCAATAAGTCAAAAGGGTATACAGACCACACATTGTTGTTTTTAAGTCTAACTTGAGTCTTGTTCTGATACTTTACTCCAGGTGCTGGCCTTGCTGTTGTATCCCCTTCTGTCTTGATTCTTGTAAGAACCAAGTGCATTACTGCCCTAACTGTCATCGAGCAATGCAGTCAAGGAAATGATGAAATAAACAAAACAATGCATCATCATCAACAAAACAGACTTTTCATGTTTTCTTTATATTTCTTTTCTAACAGCTACCTAACACCGTTTTTGCATTATGAAAACAGAAAAGAGCGAGCAACATTTTTTTTCTCTTTGTGTACAGTTTAATTACACACAGTAGGTTGGCACGTCCAGCACTTACTCACACTTGTTTTCATCAAACATGTTCGAGTTTGGTGCTATGGGAAATCCGGAGAACTCTCACAGTGCCATCTAGAGGAAGAAGAAAGAAGATAAAAGTGCAAAAACAGTGTGAGCGGGTGGTTATGTGACACAGGAATTTGACAGGATGAGACAAGATGCAGTTTGATTCTCTGGTTTGGTACTTCTTTAAAGATACAAACAAGCTGACATTAGACTGGATAAATCATGTACATAGTCTCACTTGGTGAGTCTTGCAAAATACAAAGAGGCGGGGTTGACACAGGCCTTACACCTTATTTCTGATAGTTACAGAGTGCCTTAAGTCCAGTCTTCTGAACTTATTTGAGCCAAACTCATAACCTTGATAATTTCAAATCAGTTTCAGAAGTGTTAACATCTTACAGCATTAAAAAAAAATAGAGAAACAAGTTATCCCAGACTGTGTACAATTGTGGTGTTAAGATGTGTGTGTCAGAATGAGTGGGTATGTGTCTTCTGCTGCCAGGTGAAACACATAGCAAGCTGCAGTTTTAGCACTAAACACCTGCTTTATCTCTAGGCTGGAGGCTGCTGTTTAGTTGACACTGAGTACTGATATAAAAAGATTTCACTGATTTAAAAATGTATTTTTTATACAACTGTACGGCTTTTTTGAAACCATCACATGAGTAGAGTATGTGTGCATATGTGTGAGTGTGTGTGTATGACAGGGTTTCAGCATGGACCATGTTCATAGGGGGTTTGCATCTTTCCCCTACAAACCATGGCATGATGGGATTTGTAAATGGCTACAATCGAATAGTTTTTATCATAAAATTATTTAATGTTAATTTTTTTTACTTCATTCTGGTGGGTACAAATTATTTTTCCAAGGGTCAAAATACTGGATTAAAACGCAATTAAACAACAAAAGCAGATGGAGAGATACACTTAATGACAGAGCTCTGTGTGTCAAGTTTGATAGAAGACCTTGCTGATAAGTTGCAATGCTGGAGACAGTTTAATAGTTAGCTAACATCATGTAACATTGAAGGACAACAGGTCGCAAACACTTGTGCACTTGGAATGTAGTTAATTATGTTTTCTGTGAGCGACTGATGTCTACGGAAGCTTATTAGGGCCACTTGAAAAGATTTTTTTTCCCTTAATTTTCAAGAAAAAAGTCGAAAATTTCGAGGAGAAAATTGAGATTTTTTTTCCTTAATTTTTGAGAAAAAAGTCGAAAATTTCGAGAAAAAAAGTCGAAAATTTCAAGAAAAAAGTCGAAAATTTCAAGGAAAAAAAGTAGACATTTCGAGAAAAAGGTCACAGATCTTCCGTTCACAGAAGTACTGGAAAGTAGTCACTCGAGCTGACGGAGACATAGCGTGTTTTGGTTTTTTGGTGCTGAAATGGACGACTTAATTAGATGCTATTTCGGGATTGGCTTAAACAACAAAGAGATCCTTGGAGTCTTGGCACAGAATCACAATATTGTGATTTCTGTCTGGACTTTGAAGAGGTGGTGTCGCGAACATAGCCTTTTTAGAAGTAAAAATCAGAGCGACATTGACAACGTGATAGCTTTCGTGATGTCACAAGAAACCATAAGACAGATCCTCAAGGCACTTGATCCACAAGGGGTGGAACTGAGACGGGCACATCGTCTGAGGCGGCGTGAGTGTACAACTCACGGGCCTAACGCACTTTGGCATATGGATTCCTATGACAAACTGAAGCCATTCGGGATGTGTATTAATGGATGCATTGATGGCTACAGTCGCTATGTCTTGTGGATGGAGGCGTATACCACCAACAATGACCCTTAAGTCATTGGGCTCTATTTTGGTGCCTCGCCGGAGACGTGCCACAAGCGCAGAGTCAATCAGATCCGCCGCGCTGACAAGGCGTTCCCAAGCACATTTTGGTATTTTGGTGAGCCGCACAGCCCGGCGTAAGTATCCCCCCTCCCTAACTCAGCTCCTCCCGGCAGCATAAATCATAGACGGGGAGGAGAGGGGGTTTAACACAGCCGAGACCTGTTTTCACCAATCACATTAGCTCCTCTCCTCGCCTTTAAATCCGCCACAGGCGAGGCGTATTACTATTTTCATGAAGTAGTCAAAGAGATCAAGAGATGTCTGAAGACAGTTATGCCACACGATGGCGACAGAGGGCAGCTGCTCAACAAGTGTCCTCCACACTCTCTCATCTGAGCACAGATGGATTTGGTGTGCGTAATGTTGGACCCACTGGTAAGACAAACACCCTTTTCCACAAATAAAGACACTCACATAAAGTTGCATATATTCAAACCTCACGTGACAAAGGTGGGTTGAGCGCACGGATCACAACATAAACTCCAAAAAGGCATTAAAATCGGAACCATCTGTGCGTAAATGACGCATCGCGCTCCGTGGCCTGGCTCTTTCTTTCATAGATGTTGGCATATAAAATAAATTTGGCTCACAAAACTGAATATTATAATATCCGTATGTCGGCTTAAAGTAGATCACGCATCTGAGCACTGAAACAAATCATCTGTTCAGCCGCAGCAGCAGCAGGAAGACGGACAGAGGACACGGAGACGTGTCCAGGTCGAGCTGTGCGAGAAATAAGAGGAAGAAAGAAAAGGAGGGAGACACATTACATATCTTGTTAACTTCATCATGTGCGTTTATTTACTAGATATTTAATTTAATTTGATGCAGTTTCAGCTGTATTGATTCGGTCAGGTTGTGTGTCCAAACGCGTGCCAAACGCGCTCATCAGATCAGATATAGATCAGAATATATCGATATAGATCTAAATGTATGTGCTGACTCAGATTAATAGTTGATGATGATTACTTATTGCACTGAAATGTGCCTGACACTGTGGAAACCTGCCGGTGAGGCATCAGTGACGTATGTCGATACGCCGCCGGTCTACCAAAATACTACTGGACCAGCTGCGTTCCGCCTTGCGCTGAAAGCTGACCAGGTTTGAATCGGCGAGCTTTCAGCGCATGTTACACGCCAGTGGCGAGCACGAAAATGTCACTGCGCCAGCTGATTCTGTCAACACCTCCCCCTGCCATGCCACCACGCCCAGCTTGGCGGATCTCGGCTCGCCTCCATGCAACTCAGTCCACGAAAATACCAAACTCGCCTTACACCGGGCTCCGCCAGACGAAAATACAACTGCGCAGGGCTCGCCGCCCTCCGCCGCCTCACCGGCGCGAACGAAAATAGAGCCCATTGCCTCCTACTACATTTAGTGCATTGAGCGTGTGGGGGGCTGTCCAGAGCGGCTGCGAGCAGACAGGGGGACTGAGAACGGCCATGTTGAGGGCATGCAAATCTTTCTACGAAGAGAACAAACGGATGCATTTGCCGGTGACAAAAGCTTCCTGTATGGGCGCAGCACTGCAAATCAGCGCATTGAATCTTGGTGGGGTATTCTTCGCAAGCAGAGCGTGCAGTTTTGGATGAACCTTTTCAAATCATTGCAAGATGCCGGCCACTTCTCTGGTGATTCCTTGGATAAGAGTTTGATGCAATTCTGCTTCCTCGAACGAGTTCAGGTAGTTGTTGTTTGCATCATCCTTACAGAGGATCATTACAGCATCATCTTTACAGAAGAAAATAGAAGAAACTGTTTTAAATCAATTAAGTGAAAAAGACATTGAAATAAATTAATAAAATGTAATTTTTTTTAAATCAATAGAACAATTTAAAATCAGTTTGACAGCAGATAAAACAGTATTAACCATCCTTTATTAACATATTAACATTAATATTAACATACTAATTTACATTCACCCTTTTCATTTCTACTTTCATTGCCCTACCTACATTTGCTCCTATAACTTATTTTTACATAACTGCACATAACCATTGTCCACCTTAACTTATGTATCTGCTGCACATACTGTAAATGCAACATGCAAACATCACTCTTCTTGTTATAAATTCTCCCTGTGTAATGGGGAGATACTGGTATGTTTACAACAGATATAAGATGTTTATAAGTCAATTTGAGAACGTTCTCAGTTGATATAATGAGTTATAACTAAGTTATATTTTGAGTCATGGCAGCAAGTGACTGTGTGTGCCTATGACTACACACACTATAACTACACAATCACAGAACTTCAGACTGTTACAGTACTATACTACTGTACTGTATTTCCCTCTACATCACAGTGTAGTAGGCCCACTGTAAAAATGATTAGTAAATGTATATCAACAATATCATATTATCATGTACTGTAGTAGACCTAATTAAGATAATGAACAGATCTGTTGTGTGTCACATTTAATTTTAATTTCATTTCTCTTTATATTGTCTTACAGAAAGAGCTGGATGAGGTTGTACAGACATGGAATGCACATAGAACCAGACCAGCTCCATCCAGGGGGGAGTCTGGAGGTCGGCCAGTCCTACTCTACACAGACTTGCAGATTTATGGTTGGGACGACAGACTGAAGTTGTTTGATCAAGAGGAGGTTGATCTTTGTAAGGAAGAGTGCACACCCAAGGGTCAGTTGCTTTGCCATGAAACTGTCTATGATCTATCAGTTTTGCTGATGCAGGAAAATGGATGGAACACTCCAAAAGATGCATTTGAAGCTGCTGAACTTAACACACTGTTACGAGAGGAGATATAATCTTTGAGGATTTCACCCACCCTGCTGTGCCCATCACCACCTTCTGCCCATCAGCACTGCCTCCGCTGCTGCGCATATCTCCTCTGATGTCCTTGCTGCCATGGCCATCACCGCCATGTTCTGTGCCTTGGCTGCTATGTTTTCTGTTGTTTCCTGCTGTGTGTTTTAAACTGTTGAGATACTTACATGACTGTTGTAAACTGCTTCAAATGTGCCATGACTGTTTCATCTATAACCATTTTAATAAAGTGAAAATGTAAACTCTGTTTATAAAGCATTTATTATGAATTGTTTTTGGAAAAATTAAGTTGAAAATTTTTTTTCATTTATTTATTTATTTATCTATTTCAAGCGCAAATATGTCTGAACAAAGTGCATGTGAGAAGCCAAAACATCAAAAGCAGGCTTTTTTTGCACATTCATACTTTAAACATAACACGAGTTCAATGAACACATAGCTCCAATTATAAAGTATTAAAGAAAGAAGAAAAAAAAACAATCAGCGTAGGTCTGGTAAGTTATTGTAACTATCTGACACGAGACTGTGGCTAATGGGTCTTCTGGAGAAGTGTGACATTTCTGTAAAGACAGCCTGGATTTTACTACATAGAGTACTTCAAGTACACAGAAAAAAAACATCCATGAGAAATCCACGTGACAAGGCAAAACATGAAAAACAGTCATGCTGAAATGCACAGACCTGGAGTTCAATGAACATAGCTTATACTATATTGAGAAATAAAAAAAAACTGTAAGTTTTCATCATCCCTGAGCAATAATGCATGTAACAGGATAAACATTCTGCAAACATCAAAAAGCCTTAACAATATGCATTATCCAGATATCCAGATATCTTGACTGATTCTTACAGAAGAGGATGAGGATTTTTTATTACATTGCTACCAGTGGTAAAACACAGATTTTTCCAAGACAGTCGTCATCATCCCTTTTAAATCTCAGGTGGTTTTCCACCTCTCACTGCGTTGAGGTGGAGACCTCTTCAAATTCCAGGTGGCCTTGGACACTCCTGGGAATTCTGCAAACATTAGAGGCCTAAACAATGTCCATTACCCAGATGTTGCTGTCTAAAACTGCATTGAATTCAGACCTGAAATCTCGGAAGTTGTCATAGTTATCTGACACCTCCAGCACACATCCACATGTGTGGCCAATGGGTCTTCTGGAGAAGTGTGACATTTCTGTAAAGACAACCTGGATTTTACTACAAATTATTACATCGCTACCAGTGGTAAAACGAAGAAATTTTCCGAGACGATCCTCATCTGATTCTCTTAGGTACCGTTTCAGGTGGTTTTCCACCTCTCGCTGCTTTGAGGTGGAGACCTCTTCGAATTCCAGGAGGGCTTGGACTTTCCTGGGAGTAGGTTTGAGTGCCTCGTAGCGTTCCAGCAGGTCATCCATGCTGATCTTTCCCTTGATCACCTCCTTCCAGCAGTCCATAACGTATCTTGGTTTTTGAATTAGTTAGGTTGATTTCCTCCAAGAGCTGTGGAAGTGTGTGAGCGTTGACCATGTTCCTGCACTCATATGTGTCCAGCACATCCATGAGGTCATTGTAATCCACCTTTGAGAAATCCTCAAATGCTGTTTTGAGGATGGCCTTGTCCTGAAAACTGACAAAGTGCAGGAAGCTTTCTAGGATGTCACTGCACACAGATCCATGAAAGAGGTCCTCCATCAGAGGAAGAGCCAATTTTACAGGCAAATACTGACAGGTTTGAAAACCTGAAAGCAAGATTTAATGTGCAGTACATGAGTTCACCAGAGAGTAGGAGCATGTGCTGGAAAGCAGCTTGTAGCCTTCCTGTTCAGATGAAGAAGTGTTTCCCTCTAGTGACTGTTACTACTCCTCTACTCTACTGCCAGTGTCTAACGACAAGTGAAGCACCTCCACTACAAACAGAAAAAGAAATGGATATCCAAAGCTTTTTCAAAAAGTGGACGGTGCGGACTGCTTCACCACCACCACCACCACCAGCGGCTGCTGCGAAACAGACTGATGTTGCAGGTTTGTGAAGCTTTTACTGATTTTGCTAGCTGGCTGTCAGTAATGTAAGTTGCTGCTGTGTGTATGTGTGTGTGTGTGTGTGTGTGTGTGTGTGTGTGTGTGTGTGTGTGTGTGTGTGTGTGGTTTTTGTGTAGGAAGAACTGGACAGTGCAAGTTAAGCTTGCTTTCACCTGAACAGTTAAAAATAGCTTCCAACTCACAAAAACACAATATTCATTATGCCACCACATGACTCCCCTCCCACAAGACCACAGTGTTTTTGCCAAAATGCCCAAAACTGATGCAAAAAATGTGGGTCAACCATGCCGGTGCATGTTCTGCTAGTCCACTTGTAGGAATGTCAAGGGACACAACAGTTTAACTATTTTATTAATGATGATAGAAACATGTACTAAGTACTTTTGTTTACAAAGCATTCATAGGCCTGCTATTTTATCTTGTAGGCTAATGAGGTGTTAATGGCAACTTGCTGTGTACGTTAGGGATCTTAAACAGATACATTAATGGCCTTGTGTATCTTGGATAGCAAAATACGGCAAATCCACTGGGACAAAACTGACAGGAGGACCAGCGTGGCTCTGGTGACCTTCATAGACTTAGTACCACACTGCCACCCACTGGACGCCAGTGGTAGAGCAAGGTCTGTGAGTGCACTTTGGCCCAATCCCAAACTGCCCCCTACATACTGGCCCTTCACTACCGAGTGTCACTCGTAATGAAGTTACACTCGCAACTGTGGAGTGCACCTGAATTGGAATGGGAGGGTATAAACAAGACGGGCAGGTATGAGACGCCCTCCTCACTCCACTGGAAAATGGAAAGATTAATCGCCATAGCAACACAAGACGCGTTCTGTGCAAGGCAGCGTTTTTCTTTGTAAATGGACATGTTCGATTCTGAGCCGCTCGGGCTGCCTTGTTTCTTCATCCTCCCAGTAAAATCATAAATCCAGCAACCATTACAGTGACAGGCAAGGCCGGATTATGGGGGGTCTGGGCCCCAGGGCCAGGAGTTTGCAAAGCCCCCCCCCCATCAAAGTTGAGCTGTCGAACAAACTCTGATTCTATTGCAAGAAGGGAGAGTGAATTCAATCCATTTTGGCACATTTTCATCCTGAGCTCATTTTTTTATTCGAGCCAGTCTGGAGAATGACCGTTCCCCTTCACAGTTTGTTATCGGCAGGGTCAAAAACAGTCTGAGTGCTATGTAAACATTTGGGAAAGCATTTTTGTTCTTCTGAAATGAATGATGGCCACTTTGACCTCATACGAACTTGCTAAATTTGAATGCGTATGTGCGTCTGAACTCTTATTGTTTGTCTATTGCACCACTGAGGGTGTGTCTGTGTCTGAATAGAAGAATGCTCGGCCAGGGATGGTTTCATACCGGTTTTGCCCTGTTTTTAAGCCTTTCCAAAGAAGGTGCAGCCCGCAGGAGCTGGAGTCCAACCAATATACTATCAATGGAAAAACAAACATGCCTTTCAGTGGTTGGTTCATTGTTTGTTTCGCTATTAGTCTGTGACTGTTGAGCTTCCTCTTATCAAGAGTCTATGAATATGTTCCTTAGTCAAAGTTAGCTTCCACAAGTTTTGTGGTTTACACTGATTACAGATGGGCTATGAGGTCATTGTGTTAACAGTATACCTGACATGAGGTTAGGAGTCAGTATAATGTGCTTTATTTTAGAATTTAACAGATGGTATATGTCACTCCCATGTCAGACACCCTGTGTATGTTCAGCTTGACATGTGCTTGACATTGTATGAAGACCTCCTGGTGAGTCCATCGACTGCAATGTAAAAGCTGTTGAAGGTGTGAAAAAAAAAAACCCTTCAACAGTTTTTGCATTTATACCTTTCTCCATCTTTTATTAGCAGTTTAGCATTGCTTTTTCAGCTTTCAGCACTCAGCATTTCCACGCATTTTCTACAAGGAAATGCAATTTTTCTAGTTCTACTTAGACTTCGATAAATGGATCTAACAATATTGGATTTTCACTAAAATTACCAAAATTTCTGCCTTGTGAGGAGTTTCGATAAAAGCAATGCCAAGTGTAATGTGGGAGTGTTGTATTGATATTGGATTTTCACTTGGACTTCACTTTGTTGGCATTGGTGTGTACAGTACACCCCTTTACGGTGGGGACATAAGAGAGCGAAATCTGCAAAGTGAAGCGGGGCAAAACTCAGTGTTCTGAAGGTGAATATCTACCAGTCTACTACTCTCCTTGAAGTAACTATAGGTTATAATGACACGTGAATCTGCTGTGTATTGTGACTGGACCACTGTACAGCCCATCCCTGAGTCTAGCTCGGCTATTGGACACTCACTTCCCAAGATGGTCGCAACGCGCGATAAATTTGCATGGAGTTGGAGATTTCTGAACTTTTGGACGTGTCGCAATGACAGTTTCGATGCACTCCAAGGACCATGTCATATTGTGTACACACAATACTAATTTTTTTAAGAGACAACTAACAGTTGGTGAGATTTGGGAGGTATATCACTAACACAAAACCCTATCAGCAAACCGAGCCTGTCACTACTACCAGCAAGCAGATCACACGTCAGGATGTAAAGGTTCTGATGAAGTAGTCCTGTAAATTTCAGGCCTATTACTGTCAGAAATGTGGCCAGGTAAGCAGAATAAAAAAGGTTTACATTTGGTGTCCTTATTAAATTTCTGACGAGACTTCACATTGAAAATGAAAAAAAAAGAAAAGTAAATAAAAATTTGTAGGCAGAACAACAAGTACTCTTCAGTGGAACAGAGCTGTTTAGTTTAATTTTGGATGCTCAGCTTACAATGTCAAAACACAATGCCAACAAACCAGCTGGCTTGCATGGCGAGTCTTGATAAATGCTCCTCATTCCAGTAAGTGAGTTTTCACACCTTAAAAAAAAAGAGGTGGAGCAGATAAATAGAGTGACAGTTCCAGGTTCTGTACGCAAGTCTGCCTCTTATTTTAACCCCAAAGCCAGCTTTGTTCAGCATTACGTTCTTGCCTGTGAACAGAGTGTCTTATTTGTCTTTCTGGATTATTGTTTTTCTTGTTTGTTGAGGAGCTAACATGGATGACTATAAGGGACCACCACATGAACTGACAGCACCTCCGTACCCCGGACCCCCTTTGAACCCAAACTTAAGGAGCATCGATTCCCAGTTATACGGTGACTCTAACTTCCAAAGACAAGTCTAAGGAAGTAAAAGCCTACCACAGAAACTGCCTCTATCTATCTATCTATCTATCTATCTATCTATCTATCTATCTATCTATCTATCTATCTATCTATCTATCTATCTATCTATCTATCTATCTATCTATTTTTGGTTATTATTATTATTATTATTATTTGTTTATTGTTTGCATGTATGATGGTATGTATGTCTGTATGTATTGATGTATGTTTTTTATGTATGTATTTTACTTTAGTTACTGTAGTTGTTTTTGTTTTCATTTGTGTGTGTAAGTGCTCGCACCCTTTGAGCAGTTTCTGAACTGAACACTTTTGCCAATACTCTAGTAGTTTTTTTTTTTTTTTGATACTGATGTTGATATGTTTGATATTATTTCCACCTCTTAGTATTGCACATAAACATCCAGAAAGGCATAAACAGATTGTTCTTCACAATAATGCTGTACTGTAGTGGTACTCTAATTTCTCAATATAACCATTTCATTTTAGTACATGTGCTTGAAATTTTCTTCTTTTTTTTCAACTTTTTTTTTATCATCCTGTTAACTTTTCTCTTGTTGCTGTTTTCTCAGGTCCAGCTGCACACCCTGCTCACCTGATCAACCCACAACAGTGCCTGGTCATGCAGACTGGTAGGGTCCTTTCAAAAATGTTCACAAAAATCTATAAAACTTTGCAATCATTATTCTTAGTAAGAAAAATCAAAGTTCAGTTTCAGGTGATAAAGTGGAGTAGAGTGTTGTTGTTTCTTTAAGTGTGATGTGTGTGTTTTTATAGAGGCCTCAGGTGTGGTGATAGCACAGCCACTCCCCGCTGATGTCCCTGGACGGATGGTGTGTCCTCACTGCCAAAACAGTATTATTACTGAAATCACGTACAAGAATAGCCTGCTCACCTGGATGATGTGTATGACGTTAGGACTTATGCTGTGAGTAAAAACTTACCTTACAGACATAGAAGCACCCATGAAAATCCAGATATTCAGATAGCTTTGTCAAAGAAACACATACGTTTAAGATGTAAAAACAAATGTGTTATATGACTGCATATACTGCAAAAATGAACAGGCTCTCTGACAGTGAAGTACATGAAAACATGGTACATAAAAGAATGATAAAAAAAAAACTATTTACCTTATGTTTTTTTTTTATTTATTCTGTTGATAACTTTTCTAATTTTAATAACATCCATTGATCAACAAAATGATCTTGGAGACCAAATCCAAGACAGGACCCCAAATGTTGAGATATTAATGATTCAAAGGGCACAGAGTTGAAAGAGACTTTGAAAAAATGTTTTGACTTTATTTCTCTTCACTGTATAATAATTTCTACTATACAAACAACAATGATCTCAGTGGATTTCAGTTTTGAACATGTGGGTTCACTGGTAATCAGTCAAGGGCACCACATGCTGCTTCCTATAAGCAGACTTACAAGGTTTATAGAATCCACATTGTTGTGCAGATGATTGAGCATATTTTTTAATTTCATTTTGTTCTAAAGGGACACTCTGGACAGTCAGACATATGTAAGTGTACCTGGTTTAGCTAAAAGGCATTTTTTTATCTGGCAGTCCCTCTACCTGATGTTGTTTGGTTTTCTAGAAATAATTCTTGTTCAGTAGCACAACATGAATTAAAGGTGGGGTAGGCAGGATCTGAGGAAGTGCCAGTTTTTGGAAGAAATCTTGAATGTAAACTCTACCCCTCCCAACCAGTTTTCCCCTCAGCTCCTCCTCTCCCCTCCATCTCTGCTCCAGCAAGTCCCGCCCACAAACAGACGCTCCTTCTCACTCGTATCGTTCCAGTTAAATTCAGATATAATGTAGATAAATACTTCAAATAATTACAAATGAGGCCCAGTCAACATGAAAGTAAAAAGCATTGGAGCTACTGTAGATGCCAACAGACTACCAGCAAACACAATGTTTGCAGGACTTCTATAACTAGGACAAAGTGACATACTCCAGGACCCGAGGTAAACAGTTTAGCCGCGCTACAACACACAGCAGGTCTTGCTTGACAAGAAACACTTCTGTTACAGACACTTGGCTTACTTTGTTAAAGCGGTTTACCTGTCCAGCAGAAAGGTTACAGGGTCTGTAAGATCCCGAAGCCCCCCCTTGTCATTCATGCTGATGTTGACCTGGCTTCTTAGCTCTTGTCCGGTCTAGCTCCTTTTTAAGCGCCCATTATTCTGCCTGAGTCTCCAGTATTTACTTTGTTTTATTGCTTGTGTTTTAGGTCGGGGGAGGTGGAGAACGGCTTTGTTTACAGACAGAGAGAGCAGGCCACTCAAAATTCTTAAAATGTTGACTACACAGACATAACAAATCACAGCAATATACAGCGATATCATTATATCCCCAAATGTCATCAATAACTAATAGCTATTGACTGATATTAAAAGCTTTTTTTGTGTATACACCACAAAAAAAGATGCTTCTTCAATGGAATCCTGCCTACTCCACCTTTAAGTTCGATCAAATTAAATTAAATTAAATTAGAAAAAAGTTAGATTTCAGTGTCACTGAAATGTCATTCTGATCTCTCATGTTAGGTGCTTGCCTTGCATATGGATCCCCTTCTGCATCAAGTCATGTAAAGATGTGGCGCACTCCTGCCCCAACTGTCAGAGAGTCATACATATCCACAAACCATCACAGGCAAACCTACGCCACAGGAATGCATACTATATGAACTGAAATCATTTCATGTCAACATATTTTTACAGCTTTCCTCCTTTGGTTTGGCTCATTTCTTGAAACAGAAATTACATGGACAAACCTCCAAACTACTTGGCATTTGTTCACAACAGAATTGAATTTCTCCTTCATTTCCGCATACTGCAAATGTCTTAGGACATGTCTCAATGTCTCAGTACATCTTGTTAATGATTACAGATACCCTGCATTAAGCACACTTTAAAAGTGAATAGGTCTTGTTGATCAAAACTGATTGTTGACTTCTCAGTCTCATGGTTTTTCTCTCCAAAACATGTCAGCATCATTTCAATGTTTCAATGTCAAAGTAATCACATGCATAACAGTCTTTCCGAACATTGGAAAAATTGATTACTGTCATTGACAGTCAGGTAAAACTAGAGCATGACTAATGAAGGAGGAGTTTCACACATCTCGGATGAACAATCAAACAGTGTGTTTAGTCACTGTCCATGATAGTGAATGCTGCCAAATATGAGCTTGACCAGGATTAGAGAAATTTCTGAACATGGAAGCACCTGGCCAAAAGCCAAAGACATGGCCCTAACATTATTGGCCACCGAGCCACAGGGGCAATATTACTATGTGCTGCTATTTCTGAGACTGGTGTGGCCACTCACATCCCCAATCTTGGTCCATACAATACACAGAAGCTCCTCATTTCCTTGGACAGCCTTTTTTCTGATTTGATCCCTGAAAATGAGAGAGGTCTCGTCGGACCTCACCTACCAAACTAGGTAATTGTGCGGTACAATGTGAATTTCTACCATGACCCACTCATCAGGGCCTGGTTCACTATTCATCCAAAGATGGTCGTGGTGTACCTACGACTGTACTCTCCTTTCCTCAATCCTATTGAGGAGTTTTTCTCTGTTTCAAGGTGGAGTGTTTAATCATCAGGCTCAAAATCAGAGGTCTCTGCTCGATGTAATGGATGCTGTGTGTGAAGACATTACAGGTGATAAGCGTAGAGGATGGACGTATGAGTGCAATGTGGGATGTCAAAGTTTGGAGAATATTCTTACCATGAAACCTTTTTTTCTCTTTTGTAAACAATGACATTCAGCTGGCTGGACAAAAAAAACTTGACCAGTAACCATTGTCAGTAAAGGACTGGGCAAAGACTGAGAGGTGGATATGAGGGATATTTCAATAGTATTTTGTCAAATGATCTTAGAGGTGATTGTAGTGCTTGGAAATCTTACAGTGCCATCTAGAGGAAGAAGAAAAAAAAAACAATTGTTTTGTTTTTGATGTAATCCAAATTAAAAAGGAAGACTTCTTCATAACATTGTATATACTGTGTGTATTTTTATGTGTCTTTGTGCAAGAGTGTTTTTATGAAGAATGTCAATGACAGTTCACTTACAGCTAGTCTGAGTGGTACATCATCTATGTCCTATTACCAAGAGCACAATGAGGCATATATAGAAAATAATATAAACCTGTCTACCTGATACAAAGACAATGAAATAACAATGTAAACACTGGCTGGGAGAAGACAGTTAGCACAGTGTAATGAGGCCCTAGAGGCACATTCACAAGTGCTATCTTAATAGTAATGTAAAATCACCTTTTTACTAGTGAACCTTCATTTAGCAGAACTGTTATTAACGAGAATGGATCATGATCATGAATCATCTCACACTATGAGTGAAATCTTTATTTGGTAATGCTTCCTTTTATTAAGATTTAACCTTCAGGCAGTACACAAAGAAAAACTAGGCCAATAGATGATCTTCAACGGGTAAATTCAGTCAAAAAAATAAGTCAATATATCCCTTTTTTCATGGACTTGTGTTAAGAGCAGCTAATGAGAAAAGTAGGATTCCAACTCTTGTGTAGCAATCAAGACAACCCTGGGTGTGAAACCCACACATTCCTCACAGGAAAGTTTCCTTATCTGGTCCCAGGAAACAGGATATAAATCTTTCCAGACTTGTTTGCACTTTCAGGTTACCATTACTGACCCAACCGGAGGTTGACTAAACCTCTGACTCTTCATGATTGGTCGATTCGAAGAACAGAGACAGAGTTTTTATTACCTTTCAAACTGACTCCATCGCTGACCATCTAAATAAACATTAACGTCTCAACCCAGATCTCTCATTTGAGATTTAGCGGCTTAAAGTGTGTGAACATACGGACCCCAGGAAAAGGGGGGACACTGACCTCCAGACCTCGGTCGTAAAACCCTGTTCGACCATACACTGATAAAGACTACATTCCTTTGGTGAAAGAATACAAATGACCGATCATGACATCTTATGCATTCAGCAATGTACTAATCTGTCTAATCATGAAATTTGTGTTAAAATGAGATGTTTCCCGTTTCTCTATGTGCTCCAGGAGCCGAGTTATCACTATGATAGAATAAATCCTTATTCTTTTGTTTCTTTAGACCAACAGCTTTTCAGACTGTTTCATGAACTGTTAAGAGTTAAATTTATTGACTATGGATCATAACTTACTCTATGAACACAGAAATAGTTTAGAAATGTTGGTTTATATTTTAGTTGTTTATTTAGTATTTTTAACCATTAGGTGGTTATAATGTTATTGAATTATCTGAATGTAAGTATTTAGAATCCATTATTAATCATGATGACGTTCATTCACATATATTTACTCTTTTGTTGTTCACAGTTTCCATGTGTTACTATCTGTTTCATTTCAGATTAATTTAGCATGTTCAATGTGATACTTTAAACATAATGAGAATGTTTGATGTGATCCTACACTTCATTCATATGTGTTTAGTGTCAAATTATTTATCATGAAACCAAACATTCAATGATATTAATCATAGTGAGTGAGTATCAGATCTGACTCTTTTGCCAGCCAAAAGAATAAGTTAGATCAAATAATCAAAGACCACACGACCCCTCCTCTGTCTCACACACACACGCCAGAAACACTCCCAGTGTGAGAAGATAAAACCAGTGAAGTGGGGTTGCTCACTCTCTTGTTCACTCTTATCTCTTCTCTCTTATTCTCTCCAGACTCTTGTACCTTCTCTTCTGCCCACACCCTTCTGTGGTGCGCTTCTTTATTTTCTCTTAGAACTTTTTCTTAGTCTTCTAAGTTTTACGCCACGTGTTGATTCACGTTGATTTTTCTTTAACATCGTCTTAGTTCAAGTTTTGAAACTTCAACTTTTTGTGCGCATAGCAATTCAAAATTAAGCCTTTGATTGATTTTTCTTTAATTTCACGAAGCCATTTTTGAAAGTTTTCTCTGTTCGAGTCTCGTTTTTCTGAGTTTTCTGCGTGATCTCAAAGTCACCTCTGAACGCAACCCAGCAGGCCCAGGTCATCCTCTGTGCCAGAGTTTTTGAGTGAGACCAAAGAAGTACCCAAACGAGCATCCACAGGATCCACAGGCGCTGGCTTTGCTTCGGGCCTGAGTGCTGCAACTCCTGGCTCATCCTTCGGCTGACTTCAATCGTCTCCTGAGCTGAACCGCTCGAACCGCCAGTAGCCCCGGACCTTCGGAACCTGCTCCATCTTCTCCAAGGACCAGTCTCACTTAAGTATGCAAACCTCCAGAGCTCCAAACAGGGCTGATGCTGTCTCCTGCGTTCATAACTCAGATATCCACCTATTTCTGGTGATCTTAGATTCCTCCAAATCCACATCCGAGTTTATTGACACCAAAGTTAGTGTAGGTTAATATGTTAGCGCATATTCACTCACTATCATTAACTTTAGTGCTCCTAGCCTGACTTAGAATCTTTATTTATTCACCTATTATTATTTATCTTCATTATCTTATCATCATTTATTGCATGTATGTTGTACCATCATTATCCTGTAATAAACAGATCATTATTTTTCTAAGTTCCTGTCTGTTAGTGTTCTTCCAGAAGTGGAGTCCCTGAAATTAGAATTTCGACTTAAGATATGAGACTGATTAATTAAAACTGACTTGATGTTTGATTTCTGAATTAAACTTTTGTTTTCTTTATTTTCCCACCATCAAGGGTGGGTGGTGCCCCTTTCAACGAGTGCATAAATGTCATAATTTGAGATTATTAATCTTCAGACATTTATTATAAATTCCAATCGCTACAGTATTATTTTGGTGCGGCCTTGTGAGGCTCATTTCAAATCGCTACATATATTTTGGTGCGACCGTGTGAGGCTTATTTCAACCGCTACACTTGCTTGATTTAACAACTGACTTCACATGCTTTTTTAAAGTGATTGATTATGTTCTTATCAGTTGGTATTTTACAAAGAAAAGAGAGATGAGAAAGAACGAAGTGGGAAAACAAGGAAGAGGAGAAGAAGAAGAGAACATGAGTTGCAGGAACAGTGTCTTTTTGGGAGTGCTGATTGATTCAATCTCCACTGGACAATCAAAAAGAAAAAAGAAAAGGACAAAAGGATTTCTGAATTCTAAAGACAAAACATACTCACAGTTTTTTAGGTCTTCAGACAAGAGTTGAGTGTAATTCTCCAAGTAGACAGCAGGTAGAGACTGTCACACATGACTCAGCTCCACATCCTGTTCAATACCAGGTGCAGTGTTACATGGCTGGTGACGCTTCCATGGCAACAGATTCCTTTCAGCTTTTCTAGTTATACATATAAATTAAATCTTTCAATTTATGGTTGAGTTAAAATACACTCATCTTTTATAATTAACATCAAACTGAAATTTTTTCAACAAAGGTTATTTTATGAAAGTGAACAGTATATCAGCAGGAATATTTATTTTGACATGTCTGTCTTTATTCTGCTCTGCCTTTTCTTTGGGTGTTCCACCTCCAGACTAAAACGTCATAACTTTTTACATTCTATTATCACATTGCTATTATCACTACTTCGTATGGGTTAAGTTATGCTGCAGCATTCAGCAACTCACAAATTCCTGTCACCAGCTCTGGGGTTGTTGTCTGGATTGCAGGACAGGACAGTATCTTTTATTAGCAGTTTAGCATTGCTTTTTCAGCTTTCAGCACTCAGCATTTCCACGCATTTTCTACAAGAAAATGCAATTTTTCTAGTTCCACTTAGACTTCGATAAATGGATTTAACAATATTGGATTTTCACTTAAATTACCAAAATTTCTGCCATGTGAGGAGTTTCGATAAAAGCAATGCCAAGTGTAATGCGGAAGTGTTGTATTGATATTGGATTTTCACTTGGACCTCACTTTGTTGGCATTGGTGTGTACAGTACACCCCTTTACGGTGGGGACATAAGAGAGCGAAATCTGCAAAGTGAAGCTGGGCAAAACTCAGTGTTCTGAAGGTGAATATCTACCAGTCTACTACTCTCCTTGAAGCAACTATAGGTTATAATGACACGTGAAACTGCTGTGTATTGTGACTGGACCACTGTACAGCCCATCCCTGAGTCTAGCTCGGCTATTGGACACTCACTTCACAAGATGGTCGCAACGCGTGATAAATTTGCATGGAGTTGGAGATTTCTGAACTTTTGGACGTGTCGCAATGACAGTTTCGATGCACTCCAAGGACCATGTCATATTGTGTACACACAATACTGTGCGGGAGCGAAATCACTTCTCATAGAAAATAGGTCCAGCTTCTACTAGCTGTCTACTGGGGCCATCGTTAGGCCCAGGATATGCTTGCCGTGCGCACATTTCATGCCTGAACACGTTGCCATGCGTATTTTATGTCCATGTTACGCGTGATAGCACACCTGAACACAAGGTATGCAGACATGTGCGCATGTTGCAGTATTGACACAACCGCGAGGGGCGATCTTCCGAACTTCCATGTTGAGCTCGTGGTAGAGTCAAACAATGGTGGAAAATATTAAAGAGAGCCCAGTTGGCTATCTGCCCCCTACATGAAACCGCCAGTATCAAATGTTGCCAATTTAGCGACTTTGTTGCTAGATTTAGCGACTTTTAGCCGTCTCTGCCGACTAAAACCTCATCTAGCGACTTAGCGGCTTTTTAGGTGAATCTGGCGACTTTAAAAAAACACATCTCTCGAGTGTCAAAATCATTGTTTTTCAATGTAACTTCAGCTCTGCACCGCCACCAGAAGGTCATTTCATGGTTAAGCAGCACTGCGCATTAGCCCCGATCTCGAAACTGTACCCTTTGGGATTATCAACATAGCCATGTGGACACATTTTCTTGAGCTCAGTGGGTTGTGTCTGATGTTATGACATCATAGTAACATCATGACGTAATCTAGCGACTTTTCAGAGAACCAATAGCGACTTTTGGTGATTTGTTTTTGGCAACACTACCAGTATCTTGCATAGTGCTCTGATCGTTCTGCTGCAAGTATGTGCGGGTGCGTACGTAAATTACGTCACACAGCTAGCATATCCTGGGCCTTAGAGCTCACTGAAAGGACTTTCATTCAAAACCCTTGGTAAATCAGAGGCCCTTTAAGAACATTTGTAATCAGAGGGCTCTCTTAACAGTATGCTCTCCCATTAGGGCTCTCCCTAGGGCCCCCACATAGCCAGAAGTCACGACTCTTAGCAGGGGCTTTCATAATCATAGGGCCCTCTGAAAGCATTCCCCCCTACTTCCTTGAACCCCTAGTTGGTAAACGTTAGGGCACCCTTAGGAGTATTCACGAGAGGCACTACAGCAGGGCCAGCCCAGGGGCCCTCTGACTGCCGTCCCTCATAGCCCAGGGGCCCTCTGCTGTCCCTGTCCCCCCCGCCCAATTCATATCACCCTTCTCTCTCATTTCTCTTCAGATATGCCCTACAACAGTGTGAGTAGTCATAAGATCCTAGAGAATAGAGGCCCTCTGAGATTGCAATTGGCATCGGCATCTACATCGCTTTGGCCCCCCCCCCCCCCGGGCCCCTGGACCCTTGGGCGCCGGCACCACTGGCCCGGTCCGTAATACGGCCCTGGTGACAGGAGCTAAATTATATATCTGATTGTTAGTGATTCCACACGTCTTTAAACCATTTTAATATTTGACATGTACCTGATCAATCAAATCAAACCTCAGCACAGAGTAAGATTTCTGACTTCTGTTTGATCTTTCCAAACCACATCTTTTGTGATTTTTTTTGTCAGTAAGACAAAGGTGGACACATACGGAACTTGTATTTGTATGTTGTTTCCTCCTCCTCCATTTTTGCCGGCGCACTACCTGCAAATCCTGCCATGAGTGAGCATCGGTGCAGACTCGCTAGAGGGCTGAACGGTCCACTCGCCCTCCTCACTCTGTGGTTTGGGACAGCCTTCAATATGGCGGAGCCTCCGCGGGGACACGCAAACGGAGGGAGAGTGTATAGGGTGAGTGTTTAGTGGGCAGTTTGGGATTGGGCCAAAGTGCAGAGAGCTTTTTGGCTTCAAATCTGTATACAGGCAGTAGGCGGAACCAAGTTGTCCATAGTATATACAGTCTATGCAAGAAGCACACCTGTGACAAACATCCCTTTTTTAAGTATTTATTCATACAAGAGGAAAAAAAGCAAAGCTGGAGCCGTAGATGTTTAATATAATTGGTCCTTTTTCTGGCTTTTCTTATTGACTTCAGTGCAAAAGACTTTTGCAGTTTTTCACGACTTACGTTGTGAAAAATTCTGAAAATATTATTTTCTGTACAAACAAATGACTTTCAATTCAATGAGAACTATTATTGAAACAATATAATTTGTCAACTTATTTGTGTATTTGGTTGTTAGCTTGGTTTGGAAACCGATGATGCATAGTTAGTGGATGGATGTGCAAAATTAGATCTGTGAAGGTTCTGTTTTGCACAAAAGAAAGCACAAGAAAAAAAGATAGTGATCAGATAGTGGCTGTACGCTACTTGTCCCTGTCATCTTGTGGGAAATACATGTGGTATAGTAAATTATATTTCAAACAGCACCACAAATCCCCCATGTAGTGCACTGCATTTTAAGCTGTGGGTGATTTCAGTGTATCAGCCAGCATTAATGAGTTCATCTCATCAGTTGTGTGTCTCCAGTTGTCATCAAATGCTCCTGTGGTGACAGTAACATGTCTTATTTTTTTAAGACAACTAACAGTTGGTGAGATTTGGGGGGTATATCACTAACACAAAACCCTATCAGCATACCGAGCCTGTCACTACTACCAGCAAGCAGATCACACATCAGGATGTAAAGGTTCTGATGAAGTAGTCCTGTAAATTTCAGGCCTATTACTGTCAGAAATGTGGCCAGGTAAGCAGAATAAAAAAAGTTTACATTTGGTGTCCTTATTAAATTTCTGACGAGATTTCACATTAAAGTAAATGGGCCAAATGTTTTCATGTCAAATGTTGAATAGTGTCAAAGAAGAAGCAAACCAAGAAATTGGGGCAATATGAAAAGTAAATAAAAATTTGTAGGCAGAACAACAAGTACTCTTCAGTGGAACAGAGCTGTTTGGTTTCATTTTGGATGCTCAGCTTACAATGTCAAAACACAATGCCACCAAACCAGCTGGCTTGCATGGAGAGTCTTGAGAAATGCTCCTCATTCCAGTAAGTGAGTTTTCACACCTTGAAAAAAAGAGATGGAGCAGATAAATAGAGTGACAGTTCCAGGTTCTGTACGCAAGCCTGCCTCTTATTTCAACCCTAAAGCCAACTTTGTTCAGCATTACGTTCTTGCCTGTGAACAGAGTGTCTTATTTGTCTTTCTGGATAATGGTTTTTTTTTTTTGTTGAGAAGATATCATGGATGACTATAAGGGACCACCACGTGAACCGACAGCACCTGCGTACCCCGGCCCCCCTTTGAACCCGAACTTAAGGAGCATCGATTCCCAGTTATACGGTGACTCTAACTTCCAAAGACAAGTCTAAGGAAGTAAAAGCCTACCACAGAAACTGCCTCTATCTATCTATCTATCTATCTATCTATCTATCTATCTATCTATCTATCTATCTATCTATCTATCTGTCTATCTATCTATCTATCTATCTATCTATCTATCTATCTATCTATCTATCTATGGTATGTATGTCTGTATGTATTGGTGTATGTTTTTTATGTATGTATTTTACTTTAGTTACTGTAGTTGTTTTTGTTTTCATTTGTGTGTGTAAGTGCTTGCACCCTTTGAGCAGTTTCTGAACTCAACACTTTTGCCAATACTCTAGTAGTTTTTTATTTTTTTTGTATGAAGTATTGTACTTCTCTTCATTTAACATTGCATCTTTTACCGGGTTAAAAAAAAAAAAGGCAGAAACTCTAAAAGGGCCCAGGCTTCCCGTCAACAGCATGACTAGAGGCTATTTCGCAGATACCATGTGAGGTATCTAACATACCAGAGAGTGAGGAACTCTGCTGAATTCCCAGAAATAGTTACCCTAGTAAAGCTTGACATGCATTCATCCTTTCTAGGTTAATTTCTCACTAGTGTAACGTTGCTTTCAAATTCCTTTCCTACCTTAATGGTACTTGAGAACTTCGAAAAAAGTCATTCTGATTGAGGAGATGTTTGATACTATTTCCACCTCTTAGTATTGCACATAAACATCCAGATAGGCATAAACAGATTGTTCTTCACAATAATGCTGTACTGTAGTGGTACTCTAATTTCTCAACATAACCATTTCATTTTAGTACATGTGCTTGAAATTTTCTTCTTTTTTTTTTCCAACTTTTTTTTTTTATCATCCTGTAAACTTTTCTCTTGTTGCTGTTTTCTCAGTTCCAGCTGCACACCCTGCTCACCTGATCAACCCACAACAGTGCCAGGTCATGCGGACTGGTAGGGTCACAAAAATCTATAAAACTTTGCAATCATTATTCTTCGTAAGAAAAATCAAAGTTCAGTTTCAGGTGATAAAGTGGAGTAGAGTGTTGTTGTTTCTTTAAGTGTGATGTGTGTGTTTTTATAGAGGCCTCAGGTGTGGTGATAGCACAGTCACTCCCCACTGATGTCCCTGGACGGATGGTGTGTCCTCACTGTCAAAACAGTATTATTACAGAGATCATGTACAAGAATGGCGAGCACACCTGGGGGATGTGTATGCTGTTAGGGTTACTTGTGCTGTGAGTAAAAACTTACCTTACAGACATAGAAGCACCCATGAAAATCCAGATATTCAGATAGCTTTGTCAAAGAAACACATACGTTTAAGATGTAAAAACAAATGTGTTATATGACTGCATATACTGCAAAAATGAACAGGCTCTCTGACAGTGAAGTACACGAAAACATGGTACATAAAAGAATGATAAAAAAAAACATTAAACTATTTATCTTATGTTTTATTTATTTATTCTGATGATAACTTTTCTAATTTTAATAACATCCATTGATCAACAAAATGATCTTGGAGACCAAATCCAAGACAGGACCCCAAATGTTGAGATATCAATGATTCAAAGGGCACAGAGTTGAAAGAGACTTTGAAAAAGTGTTTTGACTTTATTTCTTTTCACTGTATAATAATTTCTACTATACAAACAACAATGATCTCAGTGGATTTCAGTTTTGAACATGTGGGTTCACTGGTAATCAGTCAAGGGCACCACATGCTGCTTCCTATAAGCAGACTTACAAGGTTTATAAATCCACATTGTTGTGCAGATGATTGAGCATATTTTTTAATTTCATTTTGTTCTAAAGGGACACTCTGGACAGTCAGACATATGTAAGTGTACCTGGTTTAGCTAAAAGGCAATTTTTTTTATCTGGTAGTCCCTCTACCTGATGTTGTTTGGTTTTCTAGAAATAATTCTTGTTCAGTAGCACAACATGAATTAAAGGTGGGGTAGGCAGGATCTGAGGAAGTGCCAGTTTTTGGAAGAAATCTTGACTGTAAACTCTACCCCTCCCAACCAGTTTCCCCCTCAGCTCCTCCTCTCCCCTCCCTCTCTGCTCCAGCAAGTCCCGCCCACAAACAGACGCTCCTTCTCACTCGTATCATTCCAGTTAAATTCAGATATAATGTAGATAAATACTTCAGATAATTACAAATGAGGCCCAGTCAACATGAAAGTAAAAAGCATTGGTGCTACTGTAGATGCCAACAGACTACCAGCAAACACAATGTTTGCAGGACTTCTACAACTAGGATCAAGTGACATACTCCAGGACCCGAGGTAAACAGTTTAGCCGCGCTGCAACACACAGCAGGTCTCGTTTGACAAGAAACACTTCTGTTACAGACACTTGGCTTAATTTGTTAAAGTGGTTTACCTGTCCAGCAGAAAGGTTACAGGGTCTGTAAGATCCGGAAACAGCCCCCCCGTCATTCATGCTGATGTTGACCTGGCTTCTTAGCTCTTGTCCGGTCTAGCTCCTTTTTAAGCGCCCATTATTCCGCCTGAGTCTCCAGTATTTACTTTGTTTTATTGCTTGTGTTTTCCGTACTTCTGGTTGGTTTCTACTGTCCAATGTTGTAGCATGCTAACTTTGTTTGGGCTCGTGAACATTATATTAGCAGTGTCCGCCTCACAACCAATTAGGTCGGGGGAGGTGGAGAATGGCTTTGTTTACAGTCAGAAAGAGCAGGCTGCTCAAAAACTTTAAAATGTTGACTACACAGACATAACAAATCACAGCAATATTGTTATATCCCCAAATGTCATCAATAACTAATAGCTATTGACTGATATTAAAAGCTTTTTTGTATATACGCCACAAAAATTATGCTTCTTTAACGGAATCCTGCCTACCCCACCTTTAAGTTCAATCAAATTAAACTACATTAAATTAGAAAAAAGTTGTATTTCAGTGTTACTGAAATGTCATTCTGATCTCTCATGTTAGGTGCTTGCCTTTCATATGGATCCCCTTCTGCATCAAGTCGTGTAAAGATGTGGCGCACTCCTGCCCCAACTGTCAGAGAGTCATACATATCCACAAACCATCACAGGCAAACCAACGCCACAGGAATGCATACTATATGAACTGAAATCATTTCATGTCAACATATTTTTACAGTTTTCCTCCTTTGGTTTGGCTCATTTCTTGAAACAGAAATTACATGGACAAACCTCCAAACTACTTGGCATTTGTTCACAACAGAATTGAATTTCTCCTTCATTTCCCCATACTTCAAATATCTTAGTACATGTCTCAATGTCTCAGTACATCTCGCTAAGGATTAAATACAGATAGCCTGCATTAAGCACACTTTAAAAGTGAATAGGTCTTGTTGATCTAAACTCAGGGCCTGGTTCACTATTCATCCAAAGATGGCCGTGGTGTACCTACGACTGTACTCTTCTTTCCTCCATCCTATTGAGGAGTTTTTCTCTGTTTCAAGGTGGAGAGTGTTTAATCATCAGGCTCAAAATCAGAGGTCTCTGCTCGATGTAATGGATGCTGTGTGTGAAGACATTACAGGTGATAAGTGTAGAGGATGGATGTATGAGTGCAATGTGGGATGTCAAAGTTTGAAAAACATCCTTTTATAAAATCCTTTTTTTCTCTTTTGTAAACAATGACATTCAGCTGGCTGGACAAAAAAAACTTGACCAGTAACCATTGTCAGTAAAGGACTGGGCAAAGACTGAGAGGTGGATATGAGGGATATTTCAATAGTCATCTGCTATAATAACAAAACAAAACATTTTGACTTGCAGTGCTTACACAATACCTAAGGGATTGTGCATTTTGGGGGCACTGACTATTTATATGAGAAGAGAATTTAGTTTTGACATATGAGTGAACTGTTTTGGGAGAGATATGAAATGAGAAGAGTCTGTATTTTTGGTGGCACTGACTATTTATATAAGAAGGATATTTAGTAATGAAGCATGAATGGACAGTTTGGGGAGAGATATGAGCCTTAGCAGGTGAACCATTGTGTTGTGCTGAACTGTGAGATGGTTTTGTCAAATGATCTTAGAGGTGATTGAAGTATTTGGAAATCTTACAGTGCCATGTAGAAGAAGAAGAAGAAAAAAAACAGTTGTTTTGTTTTTGATGTAATCCAAATTAAAAAGGAAGACTTCTTCATAACATTGTATATAGTGTGTGTATTTTTATGTGTCTTTGTGCAAGAGTGTTTTTATGAAGAATGTCAATGACAGTTCACTTACAGCTAGTCTGAGTGGTACATCATCTATGTCCTATTACCAAGAGCACAAAGAGGCATATATAGAAAATAATATAAACCTGTCTACCTGATACAAAGACAATGAAATAACAATGTAAACACTGGCTGGGAGAAGACAGTTAGCACAGTGTAATGAGGCCCTAGAGGCACATTCACAAGTGCTATCTTAATAGTAATGTAAAATCACCTTTTTACTAGTGAACCTCCATTTAGGAGAACTGTCATTAACGAGAATGGATCATGATCATGAATCATCTCACACCATGAGTGAAATCTTTATTTAGTAATGCTTCCTTTTATTAAGATTTAACCTTCATGCAGTACACAAAGAAAAACTAGGCCAATAGATGATCTTCAACGGGTAAATTCAGTCAAAAAAATAAGTCAATATATCCTTTTTTTCATGGACTTGTGTTAAGAGCGGCTAATGAGAAAAGCAGGATTCCAACTTTTGCTTGATTTAACGACTGACTTCACATGCTTTTTTAAAGCGAGTGGTTGTATTCTTATCAGTTGGTATTTTACAAAGAAAAGAGAGATGAGAAAGAACAAAGTGGAAAAACAAGGAAGAGGAGAAGAAGAAGAAGAGAACATGAGTTGCAGGAACAGTGTCTTTTTGGGGGTGCTGATTGATTCAATCTCCACTGGACAATCAAAAAAAAAAAAAGAAAAAAGAAAAGGACAAAAGGATTTCTGAATTCTAAAGAAAAAACATACTCACAGTTTTTTAGGTCTTCAGACAAGAGTTGAGTGTAATTCTCCAAGCAGACAGCAGGTAGAGACTGTCACACATGACTCAGCTCCACATCCTGTTCAATACCAGGTACACTGTTACATGGCTGGTGACGCTTCCATGGCAACAGATTCCTTTCAGCTTTTCTAGTTATACATATAAATTAAATCTTCCAATTTATGGTTGAGTTAAAATACACTCATCTTTTATAATTAACATCAAACTGAAAATTTTTCAACAAAGGTAATTTTATGAAAGTGAACAGTATATCAGCAGGAATATTTATTTTGACATGTCTGTCTTTATTCTGCTCTGCCTTTTCTTTGGGTGTTCCACCTCCAGACTAAAACGTCATAACTTTTTACATTCTATTATCACATTGCTATTATCACTACTCCTTATGGGCTAAGTTATGCTGCAGCATTCAGCAACTCACAAATTCCTGTCACCAGCTCTGGGGTTGTTGTCTGGATTGCAGGACAGGACAGTATCTTTTATTAGCAGTTTAGCATTGCTTTTTCAGCTTTCAGCACTCAGCATTTCCACGCATTTTCTACAAGGAAATGCAAATTTTCTAGTTCCACTTAGACTTTGATAAATGGATTTAACAATTTTGGATTTTCACTTAAATTACCCAAATTTCTGCCATGTGAGGAGTTTCGATAAAAGCAATGCCAAGTGTAATGCGGAAGTGTTGTATTGATATTGGATTTTCACTTGGACTTCACTTTGTTGGCATTGGTGTATACAGTACACCCCTTCACGGTGGGGACATAAGGAAGCGAAATCTGCAAAGTGAAGCTGGGCGAAACTCAGTGTTCTGAAGGTGAATATCTACCAGTCTACTACTCTCCTTGAAGTAACTATAGGTTATAATGACACGTGAATCTGCTGTGTATTGTGACTGGACCACTGTACAGCCCATCCCTGAGTCTAGCTCGGCTATTGGACACTCACTTCACAAGATGGTCGCAACGCGCGATAAATTCGCATGGAGTTGGAGATCTCTGAACTTTTGGACGTGTCGCAATGACAGTTTCGATGCACTCCAAGGACCATGTCATATTGTGTACACACAATACTGTGCGGGAGCAAAATCACTTCTCATAGAAAATAGGTCCAGCTTCTATTAGCTGTCTACTGGGGCCAGCGTTAGGCCCAGGATAAGCTTGCCGTGTGCACATTTCATGCCTAAATGCGTTGCCATGGTATTTTATGTCCATGTTACGCGTGATAGCACACCTGAACACAAGGTATGCAGACATGTGCGCATGTTGCAGTATTGACACAACCGCGAGGGGCGATCTTCCGAACTTCCATGTTGAGCTCGTGGTAGAGTCAAACAATGGTGGAAAATATTTAAGAGAGCCCAGTTGGCTATCTGCCCCCTACATGAAACCGCCAGTATCCAGTGTTGCCAATTTAGTGACTTTTAGCCGTCTCTGGCGACTAAAACCTCATCTAGCGACTTAGCGGCTTTTTAGGTGAATCTGGCGACTTTAAAAAAACACATCTCTCGAGTGTCAAAATCATTGTTTTTCCATGTAACTTCAGCTCTGCACCGCCACCAGAAGGTTATTTCATGGTTAAGCAGCACTGCGCATTAGCCCCGATCTCGAAACTGTACCCTTTGGGATTGTCAACATAGCCAGGTAGACACATTTTCTTGATCTCAGTGAGTCGTGTCTGATGTTATGACATCATAGTAACGTCATGACGTAATCTAGCGACTTTTCAGAGAACCAATAGCGACTTTTGGTGATTTGTTTTTGGCAACACTACCAGTATCGTGCATAGTGCTCTGATCGTTCTGCTGCAAGTATGTGCAGTTGCGCACGTAAATTACGTCACACAGATAGCATATCCTGGGCCTTAGGGCTCACTGAAAGGACTTTCATTCAAAACCCTTGGTAAATCAGAGGCCCTTTAAGAACATTTGTAATCAGAGGGCTCTCTTAACAGTATGCTCTTCCATTAGGGCTCTCCCTAGGGCCCCCACATAGCCAGAAGTCACGACTCTTAGCAGGGGCTTTCGTAATCATAGGGCCCTCTGAAAGCATTCCCCCCTACTTCCTTGAACCCTTAGTTGGTAAACATTAGGGCTCCCTTAGGAGTATTCACGAGAGGCACTACAGCAGGGCCAGCCCAGGGGCCCTCTGACTGCCGTCCCTCATAGCCCAGGGGCCCTCTGCCGTTCCTGTCCTCCCCGCCCAATTCATATCACCCTTCTCTCTCATTTCTCTTCAGATATGCCCTACAACAGTGTGAGTAGTCATAAGATCCTAGAGAATAGAGGCCCTCTGAGATTGCAATTGGCATCGGCATCTACATCGCTTTGGCCCCCCCCCGGGCCCCTGGACCCTTGGGCGCCGGCACCACTGGCCCGGTCCGTAATACGGCCCTGGTGACAGGAGCTAAATTATATATCTGATTGTTAGTGATTCCACATGTCTTTAAACCATTTTAATATTTGACATGTACCTGATCAATCAAATCAAACCTCAGCACAGAGTAAGATTTCCGACTTCTGTTTGATCTTTCCAAACCACGTCTTTTGTGGTTTTTTTGTCAGTAAGACAAAGGTGGACACATACGGAACTTGTATTTGTATGTTGTTTCCTCCTCCTCCATTTTTGCCGACGCACTACCTGCAAATCCTGCCATGAGTGAGCATCGGTGCAGACTCGCTAAAGGGCGGAACGGTCCACTCGCCCTCCTCACTCTGTGGTTTGGGACAGCCTTCAATATGGCGGAGCCTCCGCGGGGACACGCAAACGGAGGGAGAGTGTATAGGGCAAGTGTTTAGGGGGCAGTTTGGGATTGGGCCAAAGTGCAGAGAGCTTTTGGCTTCAAATCCGTATACAGGCGGTAGGCGGAACCAAGTTGTCCATAGTATATACAGTCTATGCAAGAAGCACACCTGTGACAAACATCCCTTTTTTAAGTATTTATTCATACAAGAGAAAAAAATTAAAGCTGGAGCCGTAGATGTTTAAAATAATTGGTCCTTTTTCTGGCTTTTCTTATTGACTTCAGCGCAAAAGATTTTTGCAGTTTTTCACGACTTACGTTGTGAAAATTTCCGAAAATATTATTTTCTGTACAAACAAATGACTTTCAATTCAATGAGAACTATTATTGAAACAATATAATTTGTCAACTTATTTGTGTATTTGGTTGTTAGCTTGGTTTGGAAACAGATGATGCATAGTTAGTGGATGGATGTGCAAAATTAGATCTGTGAAGGTTCTGTTTTGCACAAAAGAAAGCACAAGAAAAAAAGATAGTGATCAGATAGTGGCTGTACGCTACTTGTCCCTGTCATCTTGTGGGAAATACATGTGGTATAGTAAATTATAATTCAAACAGCACCACAAATCCCCCACGTAGTGCACTGCATTTTAAGCTGTGGGTGATTTCAGTGTATCAGCCAGCATTAATGAGTTCATCTCATCAGTTGTGTGTCTCCAGTTGTCATCAAATGCTCCTGTGGTGACAGTAACATGTCTTATTTTTTTAAGAGACAACTAACAGTTGGTGAGATTTGGGGGGTATATCACTAACACAAAACCCTATCAGCATACCGAGCCTGTCACTACTACCAGCAAGCAGATCACACGTCAGGATGTAAAGGTTCTGATGAAGTAGTCCTGTAAATTTCAGGCCTATTACTGTCAGAAATGTGGCCAGGTAAGCAGAATAAAAAAAGTTTTCATTTGGTGTCCTTATTAAATTTCTGACGAGACTTCACATTAAAGTAAATGGGCCAAATGTTTTCATGTCGAATGTTGAATAGTGTCAAAGAAGAAGCAAACCAAGAAATTGGGGCAATATGAAAAGTAAATAAAAATTTGTAGGCAGAAAAAACAAGTACTCTTCAGTGGAACAGAGCTGTTTGGTTTCATTTTGGATGCTCAGCTTACAATGTCAAAACACAATGCCACCAAACCAGCTGGCTTGCATGTAGAGTCTTGATAAATGCTCCTCATTCCAGTAAGTGAGTTTTCACACCTTGAAAAAAAGAGATGGAGCAGATAAATAGAGTGACAGTTCCAGGTTCTGTACGCAAGCCTGCCTCTTATTTCAACCCCAAAGCCAGCTTTGTTCAGCATTACGTTCTTGCCTGTGAACAGAGTGTCTTATTTGTCTTTCTGGATGATTGTTTTTCTTGTTTGTTGAGAAGATATCATGGATGACTATCAGGGTCCACCACATGAACCGACAGCACCTGCGTACCCTGGCCCCCCTTTGAACCCGAACTTAAGGAGCATCGATTCCCAGTTATACGGTGACTCTAACTTCCAAAGACAAGTCTAAGGAAGTAAAAGCCTACCACAGAAACTGCCTCTATCTATCTATCTATCTATCTATCTATCTATCTATCTATCTATCTATCTATCTATCTATCTATCTATCTATCTATCTATCTATCTATCTATCTATCTATCTATTTTTGGTTATTATTATTATTTGTTTATTGTTTGCATGTATGATGGTATGTATGTCTGTATGTATTGGTGTATGTTTTTTATGTATGTATTTTACTTTAGTTACTGTAGTTGTTTTTGTTTTCATTTGTGTGTGTAAGTGCTCGCACCCTTTGAGCAGTTTCTAAACCCAACACTTTTGCCAATACTCTAGTAGTTTTTTTTTTTTTTTTTTTGTATGAAGTATTGTACTTCTCTTCATTAAACATTGCATCTGTTACCGGGTTAAAAAAAAAAAAAAAAGGCGGAAACTCTAAAAGGGCCCAGGCTTCCCGTCAACAGCATGACTAGAGGCTATTTCGCAGATACCATGTGAGGTATCTAACATACCAGAGAGTGAGGAACTAACAGGCGTGCTGAATTCCCAGAAATAGTTACCCTAGTAAAGCTTGACATGCATTCATCCTTTCTAGGTTAATTTCTCACTAGTGTAACATTGCTTTCAAATTCCTTTCCTACCTTAATGGTACTTGAGAACTTCGAAAAAAGTCATTCTGATTGAGGAGATGTTTGATACTATTTCCACCTCTTAGTATTGCACATAAACATCCAGATAGGCATAAACAGATTGTTCTTCACAATAATGCTGTACTGTAGTGGTACTCTAATTTCTCAACATAACCATTTCATTTTAGTACATGTGCTTGAAATTTTCTTCTTTTTTTTTTCAACTTTTTTTTTTTATCATCCTGTAAACTTTTCTCTTGTTGTTGTTTTCTCAGTTCCAGCTGCACACCCTGCTCACCTGATCAACCCACAACAGTGCCAGGTCATGCGGACTGGTAGGGTCACAAAAATCTATAAAACTTTGCAATCATTATTCTTCGTAAGAAAAATCAAAGTTCAGTTTCAGGTGATAAAGTGGAGTAGAGTGTTGTTGTTTCTTTAAGTGTAATGTGTGTGTTTTTATAGAGGCCTCAGGTGTGGTGATAGCACAGTCACTCCCCACTGATGTCCCTGGACGGATGGTGTGTCCTCACTGCCAAAACAGTATTATTACTGAAATCACGTACAAGAATGGCCAGCACACCTGGGAGGCGTGTGTGATGTTAGGACTTTTTCTGTGAGTAAAAACTTACCTTACAGACATAGAAGCACCCATGAAAATCCAGATATTCAGATGGCTTTGTCAAAGAAACACATATGTTTAAGATGTAAAAACAAATGTGTTATATGACTGCATATACTGCAAAAATGAACAGGCTCTCTGACAGTGAAGTACACGAAAACATGGTACATAAAAGAATGATAAAAAAAACCATTAAACTATTTATCTTATGTTTTATTTATTTATTCTGATGATAACTTTTCTAATTTTAATAACATCCATTGATCAACAAAATGATCTTGGAGACCAAATCCAAGACAGGACCCCAAATGTTGAGATATCAATGATTTAAAGGGCACAGAGTTGAAAGAGACTTTGAAAAAGTGTTTTGACTTTATTTCTTTTCACTGTATAATAATTTCTACTATACAAACAACAATGATCTCAGTGGATTTCAATTTTTAACATGTGGGTTCACTGGTAATCAGTCAAGGGCACCACATGCTGCTTCCTATAAGCAGACTAACAAGGTTTATAGAATCCACATTGTTGTGCAGATGATTGAGCAAATTTTTTAATTTCATTTTGTTCTAAAGGGACACTCTGGACAGTCAGACATATGTAAGTGTACCTGGTTTAGCTAAAAGGCAATTTTTTTATCTGGTAGTCCCTCTACCTGATGTTGTTTGGTTTTCTGAAAATAATTCTTGTTCAGTAGCACAACATTAATTAAAGAATTAAAGGTGGGGTAGGCAGGATCTGAGGAAGTGCCAGTTTTTGGAAGAAATCTTGAATGTAAACTTTACCCCTCCCAACCAGTTTTCCCCTCAGCTCCTCCTCTCCCCTCCCTCTCTGCTCCAGCAAGTCCCGCCCACAAACAGACGCTCCTTCTCACTCGTATCGTTCCAGTTAAATTCAGATATAATGTAGATAAATACTTCAGATAATTACAAATGAGGCCCAGTCAACATGAAAGTAAAAAGCATTGGTGCTACTGTAGATGCCAACAGACTACCAGCAAACACAATGTTTGCAGGACTTCTACAACTAGGACAAAGTGACATACTCCAGGACCCGCAGGATTCAGTTTAGTGGCAATACAACACACAGTGGCAATACCCCCCCCCCCCCCCCCCCGTCATTCATGCTTATGTTGACCTGGCTTCTTAGCTCTTGTCCGGTCTAGCTCCTTTTTAAGCGCCCATTATTCCGCCTGAGTCTCCAGTATTTACTTTGTTTTATTGCTTGTGTTTTCCGTACTTCTGGTTGGTTTCTACTGTTCGATGTTGTAGCATGCTAACTTTGTCTGGGCTCGTGAACATTATATTAGCAGCGTCCGCCTCACAACCAATTAGGTCGGGGGAGGTGGAGAACGGCTTTGTTTACAGTCAGAAAGAGCAGGCTGCTCAAAAACTTTAAAATGTTGACTACAGAGACATCTTCTGCTTCTTTAACGGAATCCTGCCTACTTCACCTTTAAGTTCAATCAAATTAAATTACATTAAATTAGAAAAAAGTTATATTTCAGTGTTACTGAAATGTCATTCTGATCTCTCATGTTAGGTGCTTGCCTTTCTTATGGATCCCCTTCTGCATCAAGTCGTGTAAAGATGTGGCGCACTCCTGCCCCAACTGTCAGAAAGTCATACATATCCACAAACTATAGACACACAACGCCACAGGAATGCAAACTTTGTGAACTGAAATCATTTCATGTCAACATATTTTTACAGTTTTCCTCCTTTGGTTTGGCTCATTTCTTGAGACAGAAATTACATGGACAAACCTCCAAACTACTTGGCATTTGTTCACAACAGAATTGAATTTCTCCTTCATTTCCCCATACTGCAAATGTCTTAGTACATGTCTCAATGTCTCAGTACATCTCGCTAATGATTAAATACAGATAGCTTGCATTAAGCACACTTTAAAAGTGAATAGGTCTTGTTGATCTAAACTAATTGTTGACTTCTCAGTCTCATGGTTTTTCTCTCCAAAACATGTCAGCATAATTTCATTGTTTAAGTCATCAAATGCATAATAGTCTTTCGGAACATTGGATAAATTGATTACTGTCATTGACAGTCAGGTAAAACTAGAGCATGACTAATGAAGGAGGAGTTTCACACATCTCGGATGAACAATCAAACAGTGTGTTTATTCACTGTCCATGATAGTGAATGCTGCCAAATATGAGCTTGACCAGGATTAGAGAAATTTCTGAACATGGAAGCACCTGGCCAAAAGCCAAAGACATGGCCCTAACATTATTGGCCACCGAGCCACAGGGGCAATATAACTATGTGCTGCTATTTCCGAGAATGGTGTGGCCACTCACATCCCCAATCTTGGTCCATACAATACACAGAAGCTCCTCATTTCCTTGGACAGCCTTTTTTCTGATTTGATCCCTGAAAATGAGAGAGGTCTCGTCGGACCTCACCTACCAAACTAGGTAATTGTGCGGTACAATGTGAATTTCTACCATGACCCACTCATCAGGGCCTGGTTCACTATTCATCCAAAGATGGTCGTGGTGTACCTACTACTGTACTCTCCTTTCCTCAATCCTATTGAGGAGTTTTTCTCTGTTTCAAGGTGGAGAGTGTTTAATCATCAGGCTCAAAATCAGAGGTCTCTGCTCGATGTAATGGATGCTGTGTGTGAAGACATTACAGGTGATAAGTGTAGAGGATGGATGTATGAGTGCAATGTGGGATGTCAAAGTTTGGAGAATATTCTTATCATAAAATCCTTTTTTTCTCTTTTGTAAACAATGACATTCAGCTGGCTGGACAAAAAAAACTTGACCAGTAACCATTGTCAGTAAAGGACTGGGCAAAGACTGAGAGGTGGATATGAGGGATATTTCAATAGTCGTCTGCTATAATAACAAAACAAAACATTTTGACTTGCAGTGCTTACTCAATGCCAAAGGGATCGTGCATTTTGGGGGCACTGACTATTTATATGAGAAGATAATTCTGTTTTGACATGAGTGAACTGTTTGGGGAGAGATAAGAAATGAGAAGAGTCTGTATTTTTGGTGGCACTGACTATTTATATAAGAAGGATATTTAGTAATGAAGCATGAATGGACAGTTTGGGGAGAGATATAGACCTTAGCAGGTGAACCATTGTGTTGTGCTGAACTGTGAGATGGTTTTGTCAAATGATCTTAGAGGTGATTGAAGTGCTTGGAAATCTTACAGTGCCATGTAGAAGAAGAAGAAGAAAAAAAACAGCTGTTTTGTTTTTGATGTAATCCAAAATAAAAAGGAAGACTTCTTCATAACATTGTATATACTGTGTGTATTTTTATGTGTGTTTGTGCAAGGGTGTTTTGATGAAGAATGTCAACTCTTCAGTTCACTTACAGCTAGTCTGAGTGGTACATCATCTATGTCCTATTACCAAGAGCACAAAGAGGCATATATAGAAAATAATATAAACCTGTCTACCTGATACAAAGACAATGAAATAACAATGTAAACACTGGCTGGGAGAAGACAGTTAGCACAGTGTAATGAGGCCCTAGAGGCACATTCACAAGTGCTATCTTAATAGTAATGTAAAATCACCTTTTTACTAGTGAACCTTTATTTAGCAGAACTGTCATTAACGAGAATGGATCATGATCATCAAATCATCTCACACTATGAGTGAAATCTTTATTTGGTAATGCTTCCTTTTATTAAGATTTAACCTTCATGCAGTACACAAAGAAAAACTAGGCCAATTGATGATCTTCAACGGGTAAATTCAGTCAAAAAAATAAGTCACTATATCCCTTTTTTCATGGACTTGTGTTAAGTGCGGCTAATGAGAAAAGTAGGATTCCAACTTTTGCTTGATTTAACGACTGACTTCACATGCTTTTTTAAAGCGAGTGGTTGTATTCTTATCAGTTGGTATTTTACAAAGAAAAGAGAGATGAGAAAGAACAAAGTGGAAAAACAAGGAAGAGGAGAAGAAGAAGAAGAGAACATGAGTTGCAGGAACAGTGTCTTTTTGGGGGTGCTGATTGATTCAATCTCCACTGGACAATCAAAAAAAAAAAAAAAAAAAAAAGAAAAGGACAAAAGGATTTCTGAATTCTAAAGACAAACATACTCACAGTTTTTTAGGTCTTCAGACAAGAGTTGAGTGTAATTCTCCAAGCAGACAGCAGGTAGAGACTGTCACACATGACTCAGCTCCACATCCTGTTCAATACCAGGTACACTGTTACATGGCTGGTGACGCTTCCATGGCAACAGATTCCTTTCAGCTTTTCTAGTTATACATATAAATTAAATCTTCCAATTTATGGTTGAGTTAAAATACACTCATCTTTTATAATTAACATCAAACTGAAAATTTTTCAACAAAGGTTATTTTATGAAAGTGAACGGTATATCAACAGGAATATTTATTTTGACATGTCTGTCTTTATTCTGCTCTGCCTTTTCTTTGGGTGTTCCACCTCCAGACTAAAACGTCATAACTTTTTACATTCTATTATCACATTGCTATTATCACTACTCCTTATGGGCTAAGTTATGCTGCAGCATTCAGCAACTCACAAATTCCTGTCACCAGCTCTGGGGTTGTTGTCTGGATTGCAGGACAGGACAGTATCTTTTATTAGCAGTTTAGCATTGCTTTTTCAGCTTTCAGCACTCAGCATTTCCACGCATTTTCTACAAGGAAATGCAAATTTTCTAGTTCCACTTAGACTTTGATAAATGGATTTAACAATTTTGGATTTTCACTTAAATTACCCAAATTTCTGCCATGTGAGGAGTTTCGATAAAAGCAATGCCAAGTGTAATGCGGAAGTGTTGTATTGATATTGGATTTTCACTTGGACTTACAAGTACAGTACACCCCTTTACGGTGGGGACATAAAGAAGCGAAATCTGCAAAGTGAAGCTGGGCGAAACTCAGTGTTCTGAAGGTGAATATCTACCAGTCTACTACTCTCCTTGAAGTAACTATAGGTTATAATGACACGTGAATCTGCTGTGTATTGTGACTGGACCACTGTACAGCCCATCCCTGAGTCTAGCTCGGCTATTGGACACTCACTTCACAAGATGGTCGCAACGCGCGATAAATTCGCATGGAGTTGGAGATCTCTGAACTTTTGGACGTGTCGCAATGACAGTTTCGATGCACTCCAAGGACCATGTCATATTGTGTACACACAATACTGTGCGGGAGCAAAATCACTTCTCATAGAAAATAGGTCCAGCTTCTATTAGCTGTCTACTGGGGCCAGCGTTAGGCCCAGGATAAGCTTGCCGTGTGCACATTTCATGCCTAAATGCGTTGCCATGGTATTTTATGTCCATGTTACGCGTGATAGCACACCTGAACACAAGGTATGCAGACATGTGCGCATGTTGCAGTATTGACACAACCGCGAGGGGCGATCTTCCGAACTTCCATGTTGAGCTCGTGGTAGAGTCAAACAATGGTGGAAAATATTTAAGAGAGCCCAGTTGGCTATCTGCCCCCTACATGAAACCGCCAGTATCCAGTGTTGCCAATTTAGTGACTTTTAGCCGTCTCTGGCGACTAAAACCTCATCTAGCGACTTAGCGGCTTTTTAGGTGAATCTGGCGACTTTAAAAAAACACATCTCTCGAGTGTCAAAATCATTGTTTTTCAATGTAACTTCAGCTCTGCACCGCCACCAGAAGGTTATTTCATGGTTAAGCAGCACTGCGCATTAGCCCCGATCTCGAAACTGTACCCTTTGGGATTGTCAACATAGCCATGTAGACACATTTTCTTGATCTCAGTGAGTCGTGTCTGATGTTATGACATCATAGTAACGTCATGACGTAATCTAGCGACTTTTCAGAGAACCAATAGCGACTTTTGGTGATTTGTTTTTGGCAACACTACCAGTATCGTGCATAGTGCTCTGATCGTTCTGCTGCAAGTATGTGCAGTTGCGCACGTAAATTACGTCACACAGCTAGCATATCCTGGGCCTTAGGGCTCACTGAAAGGACTTTCATTCAAAACCCTTGGTAAATCAGAGGCCCTTTAAGAACATTTGTAATCAGAGGGCTCTCTTAACAGTATGCTCTTCCATTAGGGCTCTCCCTAGGGCCCCCACATAGCCAGAAGTCACGACTCTTAGCAGGGGCTTTCGTAATCATAGGGCCCTCTGAAAGCATTCCCCCCTACTTCCTTGAACCCTTAGTTGGTAAACATTAGGGCTCCCTTAGGAGTATTCACGAGAGGCACTACAGCAGGGCCAGCCCAGGGGCCCTCTGACTGCCGTCCCTCATAGCCCAGGGGCCCTCTGCCGTGCCTGTCCTCCCCGCCCAATTCATATAACCCTTCTCTCTCATTTCTCTTCAGATATGCCCTACAACAGTGTGAGTAGTCATAAGATCCTAGAGAATAGAGGCCCTCTGAGATTGCAATTGGCATCGGCATCTACATCGCTTTGGCCCCCCCCCCCGGGCCCCTGGACCCTTGGGCGCCGGCACCACTGGCCCGGTCCGTAATACGGCCCTGGTGACAGGAGCTAAATTATATATCTGATTGTTAGTGATTCCACATGTCTTTAAACCATTTTAATATTTGACATGTACCTGATCAATCAAATCAAACCTCAGCACAGAGTAAGATTTCCGACTTCTGTTTGATCTTTCCAAACCACGTCTTTTGTGGTTTTTTTGTCAGTAAGACAAAGGTGGACACATACGGAACTTGTATTTGTATGTTGTTTCCTCCTCCTCCATTTTTGCCGACGCACTACCTGCAAATCCTGCCATGAGTGAGCATCGGTGCAGACTCGCTAAAGGGCGGAACGGTCCACTCGCCCTCCTCACTCTGTGGTTTGGGACAGCCTTCAATATGGCGGAGCCTCCGCGGGGACACGCAAACGGAGGGAGAGTGTATAGGGCAAGTGTTTAGGGGGCAGTTTGGGATTGGGCCAAAGTGCAGAGAGCTTTTTGGCTTCAAATCCGTATACAGGCGGTAGGCGGAACCAAGTTGTCCATAGTATATACAGTCTATGCAAGAAGCACACCTGTGACAAACATCCCTTTTTTAAGTATTTATTCATACAAGAGAAAAAAATTAAAGCTGGAGCCGTAGATGTTTAAAATAATTGGTCCTTTTTCTGGCTTTTCTTATTGACTTCAGCGCAAAAGATTTTTGCAGTTTTTCACGACTTACGTTGTGAAAATTTCCGAAAATATTATTTTCTGTACAAACAAATGACTTTCAATTCAATGAGAACTATTATTGAAACAATATAATTTGTCAACTTATTTGTGTATTTGGTTGTTAGCTTGGTTTGGAAACAGATGATGCATAGTTAGTGGATGGATGTGCAAAATTAGATCTGTGAAGGTTCTGTTTTGCACAAAAGAAAGCACAAGAAAAAAAGATAGTGATCAGATAGTGGCTGTACGCTACTTGTCCCTGTCATCTTGTGGGAAATACATGTGGTATAGTAAATTATAATTCAAACAGCACCACAAATCCCCCACGTAGTGCACTGCATTTTAAGCTGTGGGTGATTTCAGTGTATCAGCCAGCATTAATGAGTTCATCTCATCAGTTGTGTGTCTCCAGTTGTCATCAAATGCTCCTGTGGTGACAGTAACATGTCTTATTTTTTTAAGAGACAACTAACAGTTGGTGAGATTTGGGGGGTATATCACTAACACAAAACCCTATCAGCATACCGAGCCTGTCACTACTACCAGCAAGCAGATCACACGTCAGGATGTAAAGGTTCTGATGAAGTAGTCCTGTAAATTTCAGGCCTATTACTGTCAGAAATGTGGCCAGGTAAGCAGAATAAAAAAAGTTTTCATTTGGTGTCCTTATTAAATTTCTGACGAGACTTCACATTAAAGTAAATGGGCCAAATGTTTTCATGTCGAATGTTGAATAGTGTCAAAGAAGAAGCAAACCAAGAAATTGGGGCAATATGAAAAGTAAATAAAAATTTGTAGGCAGAAAAAACAAGTACTCTTCAGTGGAACAGAGCTGTTTGGTTTCATTTTGGATGCTCAGCTTACAATGTCAAAACACAATGCCACCAAACCAGCTGGCTTGCATGGAGAGTCTTGAGAAATGCTCCTCATTCCAGTAAGTGAGTTTTCACACCTTGAAAAAAAGAGATGGAGCAGATAAATAGAGTGACAGTTCCAGGTTCTGTACGCAAGCCTGCCTCTTATTTCAACCCCAAAGCCAGCTTTGTTCAGCATTACGTTCTTGCCTGTGAACGGAGTGTCTTATTTGTCTTTCTGGATAATTGTTTTTCTTGTTTGTTGAGAAGATATCATGGATGACTATAAGGGACCACCACGTGAACCGACAGCACCTGCGTACCCCGGCCCCCCTTTGAACCCGAACTTAAGGAGCATCGATTCCCAGTTATACGGTGACTCTAACTTCCAAAGACAAGTCTAAGGAAGTAAAAGCCTACCACAGAAACTGCCTCTATCTATCTATCTATCTATCTATCTATCTATCTATCTATCTATCTATTTTTGGTTATTATTATTATTTGTTTATTGTTTGCATGTATGATGGTATGTATGTCTGTATGTATTGATGTATGTTTTCTATATATGTATTTTACTTTAGTTACTGTAGTTGTTTTTGTTTTCATTTGTGTGTGTAAGTGCTCGCACCCTTTGAGCAGTTTCTAAACCCAACACTTTTGCCAATACTCTAGTAGTTTTTTTGTTTTGTTTTTTTTTGTATGAAGTATTGTACTTCTCTTCATTTAACATTGCATCTGTTACCGGGTTAAAAAAAAAAAAAAAAAAAAGGCGGAAACTCTAAAAGGGCCCAGGCTTCCCGTCAACAGCATGACTAGAGGCTATTTCGCAGATACCATGTGAGGTATCTAACATACCAGAGAGTGAGGAACTAACAGGCGTGCTGAATTCCCAGAAATAGTTACCCTAGTAAAGCTTGACATGCATTCATCCTTTCTAGGTTAATTTCTCACTAGTGTAACATTGCTTTCAAATTCCTTTCCTACCTTAATGGTACTTGAGAACTTCGAAAAAAGTCATTCTGATTGAGGAGATGTTTGATACTATTTCCACCTCTTAGTATTGCACATAAACATCCAGATAGGCATAAACAGATTGTTCTTCACAATAATGCTGTACTGTAGTGGTACTCTAATTTCTCAACATAACCATTTCATTTTAGTACATGTGCTTGAAATTTTCTTCTTTTTTTTTCAACTTTTTTTTTTTATCATCCTGTAAACTTTTCTCTTGTTGCTGTTTTCTCAGTTCCAGCTGCACACCCTGCTCACCTGATCAACCCACAACAGTGCCAGGTCATGCGGACTGGTAGGGTCACAAAAATCTATAAAACTTTGCAATCATTATTCTTCGTAAGAAAAATCAAAGTTCAGTTTCAGGTGATAAAGTGGAGTAGAGTGTTGTTGTTTCTTTAAGTGTAATGTGTGTGTTTTTATAGAGGCCTCAGGTGTGGTGATAGCACAGTCACTCCCCACTGATGTCCCTGGACGGATGGTGTGTCCTCACTGTCAAAACAGTATTATTACAGAGATCACGTACAAGAATGGCCAGCACACCTGGGAGGCGTGTATGATGTTAGGACTTTTTCTGTGAGTAAAAACTTACCTTACAGACATAGAAGCACCCATGAAAATCCAGATATTCAGATAGCTTTGTCAAAGAAACACATACGTTTAAGATGTAAAAACAAATGTGTTATATGACTGCATATACTGCAAAAATGAACAGGCTCTCTGACAGTGAAGTACACGAAAACATGGTACATAAAAGAATGATAAAAAAAAACATTAAACTATTTATCTTATGTTTTATTTATTTATTCTGATGATAACTTTTCTAATTTTAATAACATCCATTGATCAACAAAATGATCTTGGAGACCAAATCCAAGACAGGACCCCAAATGTTGAGATATCAATGATTTAAAGGGCACAGAGTTGAAAGAGACTTTGAAAAAGTGTTTTGACTTTATTTCTTTTCACTGTATAATAATTTCTACTATACAAACAACAATGATCTCAGTGGATTTCAGTTTTGAACATGTGGGTTCACTGGTAATCAGTCAAGGGCACCACATGCTGCTTCCTATAAGCAGACTAACAAGGTTTATAGAATCCACATTGTTGTGCAGATGATTGAGCAAATTTTTTAATTTCATTTTGTTCTAAAGGGACACTCTGGACAGTCAGACATATGTAAGTGTACCTGGTTTAGCTAAAAGGCAATTTTTTTATCTGGTAGTCCCTCTACCTGATGTTGTTTGGTTTTCTGAAAATAATTCTTGTTCAGTAGCACAACATTAATTAAAGAAGTAAAGGTGGGGTAGGCAGGATCTGAGGAAGTGCCAGTTTTTGGAAGAAATCTTGAATGTAAACTCTACCCCTCCCAACCAGTTTTCCCCTCAGCTCCTCCTCTCCCCTCCCTCTCTGCTCCAGCAAGTCCCGCCCACAAACAGACGCTCCTTCTCACTCGTATCATTCCAGTTAAATTCAGATATAATGTAGATAAATACTTCAGATAATTACAAATGAGGCCCAGTCAACATGAAAGTAAAAAGCATTGGTGCTACTGTAGATGCCAACAGACTACCAGCAAACACAATGTTTGCAGGACTTCTACAACTAGGATCAAGTGACATACTCCAGGACCCGCAGGATTCAGTTTAGTGGCACTACAACACACAGCAGGTCTCGTTTGACAAGAAACACTTCTGTTACAGACACTCGGCTTACTTTGTTAAAGTGGTTTACCTGTCCAGCAGAAAGGTTACAGGGTCTGTAAGATCCGGAAGCGCCCCCCCCCCCGTCATACATGCTGATGTTGACCTGGCTTCTTAGCTCTTGTCCGGTCTAGCTCCTTTTTAAGCGCCCATTATTCCGCCTGAGTCTCCAGTATTTACTTTGTTTTATTGCTTGTGTTTTCCGTACTTCTGGTTGGTTTCTACTGTTCGATGTTGTAGCATGCTAACTTTGTCTGGGCTCGTGAACATTATATTAGCAGCGTCCGCCTCACAACCAATTAGGTCGGGGGAGGTGGAGAACGGCTTTGTTTACAGTCAGAAAGAGCAGGCTGCTCAAAAACTTTAAAATGTTGACTACAGAGACATCTTCTGCTTCTTTAACGGAATCCTGCCTACTTCACCTTTAAGTTCAATCAAATTAAATTACATTAAATTAGAAAAAAGTTATATTTCAGTGTTACTGAAATGTCATTCTGATCTCTCATGTTAGGTGCTTGCCTTTCTTATGGATCCCCTTCTGCATCAAGTCGTGTAAAGATGTGGCGCACTCCTGCCCCAACTGTCAGAAAGTCATACATATCCACAAACTATAGACACACAACGCCACAGGAATGCAAACTTTGTGAACTGAAATCATTTCATGTCAACATATTTTTACAGTTTTCCTCCTTTGGTTTGGCTCATTTCTTGAGACAGAAATTACATGGACAAACCTCCAAACTACTTGGCATTTGTTCAGAACAGAATTGAATTTCTCCTTCATTTCCCCATACTGCAAATGTCTTAGTACATGTCTCAATGTCTCAGTACATCTCGCTAATGATTAAATACAGATAGCTTGCATTAAGCACACTTTAAAAGTGAATAGGTCTTGTTGATCAAAACTAATTGTTGACTTCTCAGTCTCATGGTTTTTCTCTCCAAAACATGTCAGCATAATTTCATTGTTTAAGTCATCAAATGCATAATAGTCTTTCGGAACATTGGATAAATTGATTACTGTCATTGACAGTCAGGTAAAACTAGAGCATGACTAATGAAGGAGGAGTTTCACACATCTCGGATGAACAATCAAACAGTGTGTTTATTCACTGTCCATGATAGTGAATGCTGCCAAATATGAGCTTGACCAGGATTAGAGAAATTTCTGAACATGGAAGCACCTGGCCAAAAGCCAAAGACATGACCCTAACATTATTGGCCACCGAGCCACAGGGGCAATATAACTATGTGCTGCTATTTCTGAGACTGGTGTGGCCACTCACATCCCCAATCTTGGTCCATACAATACACAGAAGCTCCTCATTTCCTTGGACAGCCTTTTTTCTGATTTGATCCCTGAAAATGAGAGAGGTCTCGTCGGACCTCACCTACCAAACTAGGTAATTGTGCGGTACAATGTGAATTTCTACCATGACCCACTCATCAGGGCCTGGTTCACTATTCATCCAAAGATGGTCGTGGTGTACCTACTACTGTACTCTCCTTTCCTCAATCCTATTGAGGAGTTTTTCTCTGTTTCAAGGTGGAGTGTTTAATCATCAGGCTCAAAATCAGAGGTCTCTGCTCGATGTAATGGATGCTGTGTGTGAAGACATTACAGGTGATAAGTTTAGAGGATGGATGTATGAGTGCAATGTGGGATGTCAAAGTTTGGAGAATATTCTTATCATAAAATCCTTTTTTTCTCTTTTGTAAACAATGACATTCAGCTGGCTGGACAAAAAAAAACTTGACCAGTAACCATTGTCAGTAAAGGACTGGGCAAAGACTGAGAGGTGGATATGAGGGATATTTCAATAGTCGTCTGCTATAATAACAAAACAAAACATTTTGACTTGCAGTGCTTACTCAATGCCAAAGGGATCGTGCATTTTGGGGGCACTGACTATTTATATGAGAAGATAATTCTGTTTTGACATGAGTGAACTGTTTGGGGAGAGATATGAAATGAGAAGAGTCTGTATTTTTGGTGGCACTGACTATTTATATAAGAAGGATATTTAGTAATGAAGCATGAATGGACAGTTTGGGGAGAGATATAGACCTTAGCAGGTGAACCATTGTGTTGTGCTGAACTGTGAGATGGTTTTGTCAAATGATCTTAGAGGTGATTGAAGTGCTTGGAAATCTTACAGTGCCATGTAGAAGAAGAAGAAGAAAAAAAACAGCTGTTTTGTTTTTGATGTAATCCAAAATAAAAAGGAAGACTTCTTCATAACATTGTATATACTGTGTGTATTTTTATGTGTGTTTGTGCAAGGGTGTTTTGATGAAGAATGTCAACTCTTCAGTTCACTTACAGCTAGTCTGAGTGGTACATCATCTATGTCCTATTACCAAGAGCACAAAGAGGCATATATAGAAAATAATATAAACCTGTCTACCTGATACAAAGACAATGAAATAACAATGTAAACACTGGCTGGGAGAAGACAGTTAGCACAGTGTAATGAGGCCCTAGAGGCACATTCACAAGTGCTATCTTAATAGTAATGTAAAATCACCTTTTTACTAGTGAACCTTTATTTAGCAGAACTGTCATTAACGAGAATGGATCATGATCATGAATCATCTCACACTATGAGTGAAATCTTTATTTGGTAATGCTTCCTTTTATTAAGATTTAACCTTCAGGCAGTACACAAAGAAAAACTAGGCCAATAGATGATCTTCAACGGGTAAATTCAGTCAAAAAAATAAGTCAATATATCCCTTTTTTCATGGACTTGTGTTAAGAGCGGCTAATGAGAAAAGTAGGATTCCAACTTTTGCTTGATTTAACGACTGACTTCACATGCTTTTTTAAAGCGAGTGGTTGTATTCTTATCAGTTGGTATTTTACAAAGAAAAGAGAGATGAGAGAGAACAAAGTGGAAAAACAAGGAAGAGGAGAAGAAGAAGAAGAGAACATGAGTTGCAGGAACAGTGTCTTTTTGGGGGTGCTGATTGATCCAATCTCCACTGGACAATCAAAAAAAAAAAAAGAAAAAAGAAAAGGACAAAAGGATTTCTGAATTCTAAAGACAAACATACTCACAGTTTTTTAGGTCTTCAGACAAGAGTTGAGTGTAATTCTCCAAGCAGACAGCAGGTAGAGACTGTCACACATGACTCAGCTCCACATCCTGTTCAATACCAGGTACACTGTTACATGGCTGGTGACGCTTCCATGGCAACAGATTCCTTTCAGCTTTTCTAGTTATACATATAAATTAAATCTTCCAATTTATGGTTGAGTTAAAATACACTCATCTTTTATAATTAACATCAAACTGAAAATTTTTCAACAAAGGTTATTTTATGAAAGTGAACAGTATATCAGCAGGAATATTTATTTTGACATGTCTGTCTTTATTCTGCTCTGCCTTTTCTTTGGGTGTTCCACCTCCAGACTAAAACGTCATAACTTTTTACATTCTATTATCACATTGCTATTATCACTACTCCTTATGGGCTAAGTTATGCTGCAGCATTCAGCAACTCACAAATTCCTGTCACCAGCTCTGGGGTTGTTGTCTGGATTGCAGGACAGGACAGTATCTTTTATTAGCAGTTTAGCATTGCTTTTTCAGCTTTCAGCACTCAGCATTTCCACGCATTTTCTACAAGGAAATGCAAATTTTCTAGTTCCACTTAGACTTTGATAAATGGATTTAACAATTTTGGATTTTCACTTAAATTACCCAAATTTCTGCCATGTGAGGAGTTTCGATAAAAGCAATGCCAAGTGTAATGCGGAAGTGTTGTATTGATATTGGATTTTCACTTGGACTTACAAGTACAGTACACCCCTTTACGGTGGGGACATAAAGAAGCGAAATCTGCAAAGTGAAGCTGGGCGAAACTCAGTGTTCTGAAGGTGAATATCTACCAGTCTACTACTCTCCTTGAAGTAACTATAGGTTATAATGACACGTGAATCTGCTGTGTATTGTGACTGGACCACTGTACAGCCCATCCCTGAGTCTAGCTCGGCTATTGGACACTCACTTCACAAGATGGTCGCAACGCTCGATAAATTCGCATGGAGTTGGAGATCTCTGAACTTTTGGACGTGTCGCAATGACAGTTTCGATGCACTCCAAGGACCATGTCATATTGTGTACACACAATACTGTGTGGGAGCAAAATCACTTCTCATAGAAAATAGGTCCAGCTTCTATTAGCTGTCTACTGGGGCCAGCGTTAGGCCCAGGATATGCATGCCGTGTGCACATTTCATGCCTAAATGCGTTGCCATGGTATTTTATGTCCATGTTACGCGTGATAGCACACCTGAACACAAGGTATGCAGACATGTGCGCATGTTGCAGTATTGACACAACCGCGAGGGGCGATCTTCCGAACTTCCATGTTGAGCTCGTGGTAGAGTCAAACAATGGTGGAAAATATTAAAGAGAGCCCAGTTGGCTATCTGCCCCCTACATGAAACCGCCAGTATCCAATGTTGCCAATTTAGCGACTTTTAGCCGTCTCTGGCGACTAAAACCTCATCTAGCGACTTAGCGACTTTTTAGGTGAATCTGGCGACTTTAAAAAAACACATCTCTCGAGTGTCAAAATCATTGTTTTTCAATGTCACTTCAGCTCTGCACCGCCACCAGAAGGTCATTTCATGGTTAAGCAGCACTGCGCATTAGCCCCGATCTCGAAACTGTACCCTTTGGGATTGTCAACATAGCCAGGTAGACACATTTTCTTGAGCTCAGTGAGTCGTGTCTGATGTTATGACATCATAGTAACGTCATGACGTAATCTAGCGACTTTTCAGAGAACCAATAGCGACTTTTGGTGATTTGTTTTTGGCAACACTACCAGTATCGTGCATAGTGCTCTGATCGTTCTGCTGCAAGTATGTGCAGTTGCGTACATAAATTACGTCACACAGCTAGCATATCCTGGGCCTTAGGGCTCACTTAAAGGACTTTCTTTTAAAACCCTTGGTAAATCAGAGGCCCTTTAAGAACATTTGTAATCAGAGGGCTCTCTTAACAGTATGCTCTCCCATTAGGGCTCTCCCTAGGGCCCCCACATAGCCAGAAGTCACGACTCTTAGCAGGGGCTTTCATAATCATAGGGCCCTCTGAAAGCATTCCCCCCTACTTCCTTGAACCCTTAGTTGGTAAACGTTAGGGCTCCCTTAGGAGTATTCACGAGAGGCACTACAGCAGGGCCAGCCCAGGGGCCCTCTGACTGCCATCCCTCATAGCCCAGGGGCCCTCTGCTGTCCCTGTCCCCCCCGCCCAATTCATATCACCCTTCTCTCTCATTTCTCTTCAGATATGCCCTACAACAGTGTGAGTAGTCATAAGAATATAAGAATAGAGGCCCTCTGAGATTGCAATTGGCATCGGCATCTACATCGCTTTGCCCCCCCCCCCCCCCCCCCGGGCCCCTGGACCCTTGGGTGCCGGCACCACTGGCCCGGTCCGTAATACGGCCCTGGTGACAGGAGCTAAATTATATATCTGATTGTTAGTGATTCCACACGTCTTTAAACCATTTTACTATTTGACATGTACCTGATCAATCAAATCAAACCTCAGCACAGAGTAAGATTTCCGACTTCTGTTTGATCTTTCCAAACCACGTCTTTTGTGATTTTTTTTGTCAGTAAGACAAAGGTGGACACATACGGAACTTGTGTTTGTATGTTGTTTCCTCCTCCTCCATTTTTGCCGGCGCACTACCTGCAAATCCTGCCATGAGTGAGCATCGGTGCAGACTCGCTAAAGGGCGGAACGGTCCACTCGCCCTCCTCACTCTGTGGTTTGGGACAGCCTTCAATATGGCGGAGCTTCCGCGGGGACACGCAAACGGAGGGAGAGTGTATAGGGCGAGTGTTTAGGGGGCAGTTTGGGATTGGGCCAAAGTGCAGAGAGCTTTTTGGCTTCAAATCTGTATACAGGCAGTAGGCGGAACCAAGTTGTCCATAGTGTATACAGTCTATGCAAAAGAACACCTGTGACAAACATCCCTTTTTTAAGTATTTATTCATACAAGAGAAAGAAAATAAAGCTGGAGCCGTAGATGTTTAAAATAATTGGTCCTTTTTCTGGCTTTTCTCATTGACTTCAGTGCAAAAGACTTTTGCAGTTTTTCATGACTTACGTTGTGAAAAATTCTGAAAATATTATTTTCTGTACAAACAAATGACTTTCAATTCAATGAGAACTATTATTGAAACAATATAATTTGTCAACTTATTTGTGTATTTGGTTGTTAGCTTGGTTTGGAAACCGATGATGCATAGTTAGTGGATGGATGTGCAAAATTAGATCTGTGAAGGTTCTGTTTTGCACAAAAGAAAGCACAAGAAAAAAAGATAGTGATCAGATAGTGGCTGTACGCTACTTGTCCCTGTCATCTTGTGGGAAATACATGTGGTATAGTAAATTATATTTCAAACAGCACCACAAATCCCCCATGTAGTGCACTGCATTTTAAGCTGTGGGTGATTTCAGTGTATCAGCCAGCATTAATGAGTTCATCTCATCAGTTGTGTGTCTCCAGTTGTCATCAAATGCTCCTGTGGTGACAGTAACATGTCTTATTTTTTTAAGAGACAACTAACAGTTGGTGAGATTTGGGGGGTATATCACTAACACAAAACCCTATCAGCATACCGAGCCTGTCACTACTACCAGTAAGCAGATCACACGTCAGGGTGTAAAGGTTCTGATGAAGTAGTCCTGTAAATTTCAGGCCTATTACTGTCAGAAATGTGGCCAGGTAAGCAGAATAAAAAAAGTTTACATTTGGTGTCCTTATTTAATTTCTGACGAGACTTCACATTAAAGTAAATGGGCCAAATGTTTTCATGTCAAATGTTGAATAGTGTCAAAGAAGAAGCAAACCAAGAAATTGGGGCAATATGAAAAGTAAATAAAAATTTGTAGGCAGAACAACAAGTACTCTTCAGTGGAACAGAGCTGTTTGGTTTCATTTTGGATGCTCAGCTTACAATGTCAAAACACAATGCCACCAAACCAGCTGGCTTGCATGTAGAGTCTTGAGAAATGCTCCTCATTCCAGTAAGTGAGTTTTCACACCTTGAAAAAAAGAGATGGAGCAGATAAATAGAGTGACAGTTCCAGGTTCTGTACGCAAGCCTGCCTCTTATTTCAACCCCAAAGCCAGCTTTGTTCAGCATTACGTTCTTGCCTGTGAACAGAGTGTCTTATTTGTCTTTCTGGATGATTGTTTTTTTTGTTTGTTGAGAAGATATCATGGATGACTATAAGGGACCACCACGTGAACCGACAGCACCTCCGTACCCCGGCCCCCCTTTGAACCCAAACTTATGGAGCATCGATTCCCAGTTATACGGTGACTCTAACTTCCAAAGACAAGTCTAAGGAAGTAAAAGCCTACCACAGAAACTGCCTCTATCTATCTATCTATCTATCTATCTATCTATCTATCTATCTATCTATCTATCTATCTATCTATCTATCTATCTATCTATCTATCTATCTATCTATCTATCTATCTATCTATCTATCTATCTATCTATTTTTGGTTATTATTATTATTATTATTATTATTTGTTTATTGTTTGCATGTATGATGGTATGTATGTCTGTATGTATTGGTGTATGTTTTCTATGTATGTATTTTACTTTAGTTACTGTAGTTGTTTTTGTTTTCATTTGTGTGTGTAAGTGCTCGCACCCTTTAAGCAGTTTCTAAACCCAACACTTTTGCCAATACTCTAGTAGTTTTTTTTTTTTTTTTTTTGTATGAAGTATTGTACTTCTCTTCATTTAACATTGCATCTGTTACCGGGTTAAAAAAAAAAAAAAAAAAAAGGCGGAAACTCTAAAAGGGCCCAGGCTTCCCGTCAACAGCATGACTAGAGGCTATTTCGCAGATACCATGTGAGGTATCTAACATACCAGAGAGTGAGGAACTAACAGGCGTGCTGAATTCCCAGAAATAGTTACCCTAGTAAAGCTTGACATGCATTCATCCTTTCTAGGTTAATTTCTCACTAGTGTAACATTGCTTTCAAATTCCTTTCCTACCTTAATGGTACTTGAGAACTTCGAAAAAAGTCATTCTGATTGAGGAGATGTTTGATACTATTTCCACCTCTTAGTATTGCACATAAACATCCAGAAAGGCATAAACAGATTGTTCTTCACAATAATGCTGTACTGTAGTGGTACTCTAATTTCTCAACATAACCATTTCATTTTAGTACATGTGCTTTACAAGTTTTTAATTCTTTTTATTCTTTTTTTTTTCTAAACTTTTTTTTTTTATCATCCTGTTAACTTTTCTCTTGTTGCTGTTTTCTCAGGTCCAGCTGCACACCCTGCTCACCTGATCAACCCACAACAGTGCCAGGTCATGCAGACTGGTAGGGTCCTTTCAAAAATGTTCACAAAAATCTATAAAACTTTGCAATCATTATTCTTCATAAGAAAAATCAAAGTTCAGTTTCAGGTGATAAAGTGGAGCAGAGTGTTGTTGTTTCTTTAAGTGTGATGTGTGTGTTTTTATAGAGGCCTCAGGTGTGGTGATAGCACAGTCACTCCCCACTGATGTCCCTGGACGGATGGTGTGTCCTCACTGCGAAAACAGTATTATTACTGAAATCACGTACAAGAATGGCCAGAACACCTGGGAGTTGTGTATGCTGTTAGGATTTATGCTGTGAGTAAAAACTTACCTTACAGACATAGAAGCACCCATGAAAATCCAGATATTCAGATAGCTTTGTCAAAGAAACACATACGTTTAAGATGTAAAAACAAGTGTGTTATATGACTGCATATACTGCAAAAATGAACAGGCTCTCTGACAGTGAAGTACACGAAAACATGGTACATAAAAGAATGATTAAAAAAAAACATTAAACTATTTATCTTATGTTTTATTTATTTATTCTGATGATAACTTTTCTAATTTTAATAACATCCATTGATCAACAAAATGATCTTGGAGACCAAATCCAAGACAGGACCCCAAATGTTGAGATATCAATGATTTAAAGGGCACAGAGTTGAAAGAGACTTTGAAAAAGTGTTTTGACTTTATTTCTTTTCACTGTATAATAATTTCTACTATACAAACAACAATGATCTCAGTGGATTTCAGTTTTGAACATGTGGGTTCACTGGTAATCAGTCAAGGGCACCACATGCTGCTTCCTATAAGCAGACTTACAAGGTTTATAAATCCACATTGTTGTGCAGATGATTGAGCATATTTTTTAATTTCATTTTGTTCTAAAGGGACACTCTGGACAGTCAGACATATGTAAGTGTACCTGGTTTAGCTAAAAGGCAATTTTTTTTATCTGGTAGTCCCTCTACCTGATGTTGTTTGGTTTTCTAGAAATAATTCTTGTTCAGTAGCACAACATGAATTAAAGGTGGGGTAGGCAGGATCTGAGGAAGTGCCAGTTTTTGGAAGAAATCTTGACTGTAAACTCTACCCCTCCCAACCAGTTTCCCCCTCAGCTCCTCCTCTCCCCTCCCTCTCTGCTCCAGCAAGTCCCGCCCACAAACAGACGCTCCTTCTCACTCGTATCATTCCAGTTAAATTCAGATATAATGTAGATAAATACTTCAGATAATTACAAATGAGGCCCAGTCAACATGAAAGTAAAAAGCATTGGTGCTACTGTAGATGCCAACAGACTACCAGCAAACACAATGTTTGCAGGACTTCTACAACTAGGATCAAGTGACATACTCCAGGACCCGCAGGATTCAGTTTAGTGGCACTACAACACACAGCAGGTCTCGTTTGACAAGAAACACTTCTGTTACAGACACTCGGCTTACTTTGTTAAAGTGGTTTACCTGTCCAGCAGAAAGGTTACAGGGTCTGTAACCCCCCCCCGTCATACATGCTTATGTTGACCTCGCTTCTTAGCTCTTGTCCGGTCTAGCTCCTTTTTAAGCGCCCATTATTCCGCCTGAGTCTCCAGTATTTACTTTGTTTTATTGCTTGTGTTTTCCGTACTTCTGGTTGGTTTCTACTGTTCGATGTTGTAGCATGCTAACTTTGTCTGGGCTCGTGAACATTATATTAGCAGCGTCCGCCTCACAACCAATTAGGTCGGGGGAGGTGGAGAATGGCTTTGTTTACAGTCAGAAAGAGCAGGCTGCTCAAAAACTTTAAAATGTTGACTACACAGACATAACAAATCACAATATATCGCAATATTGTTTATCCCCAAATGTCATCAATAACTAATAGCTATTGACTGATATTAAAAGTTTTTTTGTGTATACACCACAAAAAAATATGCCGCTCTAACGGAATCCTGCCTACCCCACCTTTGAGTTCGATCAAATTAAATTAAATTAAATTAGAAAAAAGTTATATTTCAGTGTTACTGAAATGTCATTCTGATCTCTCATGTTAGGTGCTTGCCTTTCATATGGATCCCCTTTTGCATCAAGTCATGTAAAGATGTGGCGCACTCCTGCCCCAACTGTCAGAAAGTCATACATATCCACAAATCTTCTGTTTTGACAAAAGAGTGAACTGTTTTGGGAGAGATATGAAATGAGAAGAGTCTGTATTTTTGGTGGCACTGACTATTTATATAGAAAGGATATTTAGTAATGAAGCATGAATGGACAGTATGGGGAGAGATTTGAACCTTAGCAGGTGAACCATTGTGTTGTGCTGAACTGTGAGATGGTTTTGTCAAATGATCTTAGAGGTGATTGAAGTGCTTGGAAATCTTACAGTGCCATGTAGAAGAAGAAGAAGAAAAAAAAACAGTTGTTTTGTTTTTGATGTAATCCAAATTAAAAAGGACGACTTCTTCATAACATTGTATATAGTGTGTGTATTTTTATGTGTGTTTGTGCAAGAGTGTTTTTATGAAGAATGTCAACTCTTCAGTTCACTTACAGCTATTCTGAGTGGTACATCATCTATGTCCTATTACCAAGAGCACAATGAGGCATATATAGAAAATAATATAAACCTGTCTACCTGATACAAAGACAATGAAATATCAATGTAAACACTGGCTGGGAGAAGACAGTTAGCACAGTGTAATGAGGCCCTAGAGGCACATTCACAAGTGCTATCTTAATAGTAATGTAAAATCACCTTTTTACTAGTGAACCTTCATTTAGGAGAACTGTCATTAACGAGAATGGATCTTGATCATGAATCATCTCACACTATGAGTGAAATCTTTATTTGGTAATGCTTCCTTTTATTAAGATTTAACCTTCATGCAGTACACAAAGAAAAACTAGGCCAATAGATGATCTTCAACGGGTAAATTCAGTCAAAAAAATAAGTCAATATATCCTTTTTTTCATGGACTTGTGTTAAGAGCGGCTAATGAGAAAAGTAGGATTCCAATTTTTGCTTGATTTAACGACTGACTTCACATGCTTTTTTTTTTAAAGCCAGTGGTTGTATTCTTATCAGTTAGTATTTTAACTTTTTTTTTTTTAATAAAGAAAAGGAGACCAGGAAGAAGAAAACATGAGTTGCAGGAACAGTGTCTTTTTGGGAGTGCTGATTGATTCAATCTCCACTGGACAATCAAAAAAAAAAAAAAAGAAAAAAGAAAAGGACAAAAGATTTCTGAATTCTAAAGACAAACATACTCACAGTTTTTTAGGTCTTCAGACAAGAGTTGAGTGTAATTCTCCAAGCAGACAGCAGGTAGAGACTGTCACACATGACTCAGCTCCACATCCTGTTCAATACCAGGTGCACTGTTACATGGCTGGTGACGCTTCCATGGCAACAGATTCCTTTCAGCTTTTCTAGTTATACATATAAATTAAATCTTCCAATTTATGGTTGAGTTAAAATACACTCATCTTTTATAATTAACATCAAACTGAAAATTTTTCAACAAAGGTAATTTTATGAAAGTGAACAGTATATCAACAGGAATATTTATTTTGACATGTCTGTCTTTATTCTGCTCTGCCTTTTCTTTGGGTGTTCCACCTCCAGACTAAAACGTCATAACTTTTTACATTCTATTACCACATTGCTATTATCACTACTCCTTATGGGCTAAGTTATGCTGCAGCATTCAGCAAATCACAAATTCCTGTCACCAGCTCTGGGGTTGTTGTCTGGATTGTAGGACAGTATGGTTCTCCGCTGTTTCCTCCCAGAGGTTTGGGCCCAGTAACTCCTTTAGCTGCTCTCATATCCGTGCCTGTTGTTGTTATTGTACAATTCAAGACCAGGCTGATATAGAAACTAAAAGTTCACAACAATACTTTCTTACTTATGCTTGACTACAATGATTTCCAATTGTTTTTCTCTTTTTCCAAGAGAAAGATTGGCTACATAATTCCTCAAAAATAGTAAGCTTCCCAAAATTCAGCTTGGAGTTTTAGTTCTCCACTGGGATCCACATGTTTTTTAATCACTGTGTTGTCATGTGATCAAATACAAAGCTCCATGAAATCACAAACAAAGCAAATTTATAATGTCATGACTACAAAACTATGCTGTGGCCACTATTAAAGTTCTGTGATTAGTATGGACATAAAAAAATGATACAGTTTTCTTCCATGACACTTTACAAAACCATATCACAAGTTTTGATAACTGCTGCCACAAACAAGTGTCATAGTATCTGTTAAAGTTTACTGTAATAAAATCCTTTTTTCATGTTCCATGGCAATTATTTACAGTGATTGATACAGTTGGTTGGAAAAAGGGTCATATGTTTATACGGTCTATTACATGTATTTGTTTAACTGCATTTACGTTAAAATTAAATGTAAAACAAAAGCAATGACACGACAATGATGAACATATTGAAAATGCAGAAGGAATAAAGACCTTTAGTTTGAAAAGAAAAAAAACTTTGGTGTCAGTGTCGCAAAACACAACAGTGAGAGAAGAAAGTTGTAGTGGACAAACAGCATGTTAGCATTAGAACAATGACATCAAGAAATTCCTTAAATACTTCATGGACGACCTGCGACCACATGCCTCTGGTCACACATGGTGCTCCACCTTCTCTCAGGCGCATTATAGTCACATTAGCCCGGTGACTTCCTCATTTCACTTCATTCATCAGTGGGAGACGGAGTAACACCCAGCCACACACCTTCTTTAAAGTCTTCACCAAGGTAAGCTACTTTTTATCCTTTCTCAGACTAGAGAAAATGAAGCAAACATCAAAGTAAAAAGACATTGTCAGGTTTCCTTTATTGTAAGTTCCTCCTGTGGATTAGGTTTACTCAATCTGTTTTTCAAATAAAAAGTGTTGCTGTGTTCTTTGTAGAAAAAAAAATACAGTGTGTTCATATATAATTATATTTTGATTTTGATGGTAAAAACAACTGAATAAACTCATAAATGAATGACAAACACATCATGTGCTATCTCCTAATTTGCAATGAGATAATTTAGCAACAGTAGATCAGGTTTTCACGTGGTAATCAAAGGAATTACTGGACCCTTCAAATGTGAATCAAATGTCAAGCGAGAATCAAATATGAGAAAACTTTGACTTCGGTTGTTGAGTATGATTGTCAGAAAAATTTGTTATCTTTTTAACATTTATGGGAAGCTTTATCGCACTGCTGTTTCAGGAAAGTCTGTTTTGATGTATGATCAGACTTTATCTTGTCAGACAAGATCTGTCATCCCTCTCACTTCCTTGTTTATTATTTTTTTCCACTAAGCCACCAGTCCTGCCCTTTTTTCTTTGCTGAATGAGCTTGATAAATGCTTCTGAAAACAGACGTCACAGGCTGCACAAATCCAACAAAGATAAATTGAGAAGAAAATGAACGACTTTTTGATCACTGACCACATATCAGGAGGAATTCAGAATACTGCAGCTTTAAATTGTCTATAAAATATCAAAGTTTCCTCTTAACCCAAAAATACAGTATCAGTTCTTCAAAGCACAAAACTGTCAAAAAATAAATAAACTCAATCACTAGTAACAATCTTAAATCACAACTAAGGGATTGAAAGAAGCTTCTGGCATATTGTGTAAAATATTTGTATTTTGCACTTATGTAAAACAAATTCTGAAAAAGTTAGTAAACAGTAGAAGATTCAGGATTCAATAGTTTGTAAAAAAAAAAAAAGATTAAAAAAAAGTGAACCCTGTATTTGATCAAAAATAGTCCAAAGACAATTAGTTCAAAGACAACATGTCAGAAACTGTTGTGAAAATTATATTCCAGTTTTAAAGAGTATGCCAGCAGTACATTTTAAAAAATCAGGACAGCCGCATGTTTACTATTGTGTTGCATCACTTTTTTTCTCAACACTTTGTTCATGCAAGGGAACCAAGTGGAGCAGTTTCTGGAGTTTGGAAAGTCAAATGTTTTTACTTCCTAGCATGATACAGGTTTGATCATGCTGCTGATTTCAGCTGCTCAGTTGACCTGGTCTCCTTTTCTGTGGTTTGATTTGTCTTATTTAAGTTGTTCCAAATGTTTTCAATGGGTGTCAACTCAGGGCTGCAGGTATTTGTGTAATCCAGGCGGAATGTTGTTTGCATGTCTTAGTGGTACATGCAGAGTCTGCCCCATAATAATAGGTTGCCTGGATGGCTACATGTAGCTCCTGTTAATAATATTCAGCATTAATGGTGCCCGGCCCGCTCAGATGCAAAGGCACCTGTACATATCCATGCTATCACAGCTTTTGGCTTTTGAGCTGTATGCTGATAATATACCAGGTGGTCCATCTCCTCGTCCAGGTGGAGGATGAAACCCCAAAGAAATGTCAAATATGGGTTTGTTAGGCCACATGACAGTTTTCCACTTTGCCTCAGCTCACCATATAAGGGTTGGGGAAATGTTGACGTTTTCCTTGCGGCATAGAGCTCTTTGCAGTTGTTCACTGAGGAACGTCACTCCTCGTGCAGTCTCTCACATAGGTGTTGTTTTTATCACCTGTTTCAATTGTGTTTATTGTTGAATTCAGGTGTTGCATCAAAAAACTGCGGCCTCTGTGCTTGTTTAGGTTCTCTGAATCTGCAGTCTGTTTGTCAAACTCAGAACAGTTTTCTCCTCATTTGCTTGAAATTTGTGTTTTTGCTTGTTGTTGTTTTCTTAAGGTGCAGTGCTTTTATCATCCTCAGCCCCCACAAAGCCTGCTGAAACTTTTCTTGGAGCCTTACACAACACACTTACACATGAGCACACCCAGTCTGAGGCAGCCAAAGGGCTTGGTCACATCTTTCTACAGCCAAACAGTGGAGGATATTCAGCACTGTTTGTCTCTTTTGTGACTGTGATTAGAATGTGTGACTGATATAATGCTGACCACAAGGAATTATGGGAGTTTAGGTCATGTAAGAGGAAGGACTCTCACACTTATTTCTGTTTGTTGTTTCACTTACTTAGTTGGTCTACAATGTTAAAATACAATGCCACCAAACCACTCTTGACATGTTGTCTTGAAATGCTCTTCGACTTGATGAGCAGGTTTTCAAACTTAAAAAAAAAAAAAAAAGGCATGGTGCAAAAGTGAAGAGTGAAGCTCCCAGGTTTTGGTCTGTACACAAGTCCAACCCCCTATTTTAAACACCAAACCTGCTCTGTTCAACATTTACCCTCCAGCCTGTGAACAGTGTGTTTCTTGTTTCTCTCTTTTCTCTTTCTCACAAATGTATCGTCCAGTTCCTTTTAGGGATAACATGGAAAAAGGACAGGGTCCCCCTCCTGGAATGGCAGCACCTCCATACCCCGGCCCCCCTATGAACGTTGATGCTGGACCCTATCATTCTCAGCCTGGTAAGAACACAAAACCTTATCTGTGTCTTATAGCTTCTATTTTTTTCTTTTTCAATGCAGGGTTGCTCTCATCTCTTGCTCTCATTTCATTGTGGTCCATGTGGTTGAATGTTTTATGGGAGGCTGTTCATCATTTTATTCGTTAATCCTCTCTCATGCTGCCTTTTTCATTTCCAGCTCAACCTGTTTACCAGTACAGCCCACAACAGCCTCAGATTGTACAGCCAGGTGAGGGTCTCTCTTACACAATTCTCAAAAACTGAATAAAAAAAATGTTATTAAAATTCCTGTAAGTACAAAAAACTTAAGTTCAGTGTCAGGTCGATAAAGTAGAGTAGGTTGTGTGTGGTTTTTTTCAGTGGGATGTGTTTATTTCTTCAAGTTAATCAGGTGGTGGTGGTGCAGCAACTACCCACTGATGCTCCTGGACAGATGATGTGTCCTCATTGCCAAACCAGCGTTGTTACTACAACTGAGCACAAAAATGGTCTGCTCACTTGGTTGATCTGTGCCGGACTAGGAGTCATCATGTAAGTAAAAACCAAACATGGAAATAAACACACTCACCCATGTAAATTCAGATTAGCAGTGAAACATCACACAGGAATTTGGAGCAACTTTGCTGAAAAAGAAAAAAGTGTTTCCTGGCAGCTCTTAAATAAATAAAATACACAGGTACAGATTATTATTATTATTATTATTATTTTTTGGGCAAATAATTGCATATTTTCATTTTTTTTTTGTATGCCTGAGAGTTTAAAACTGGGACCCTCAGAAGAGCACCAAAACTGCATTGTAGAGTTAAGGATGATGTACAAATCCAGTGACGTTTTTGAGACTTGATGCACTGTGCAATGACAATTTTTTCCAGTGTCTTTAGGTTAGGGCGCTGTGTAAAATGTCCATTAAAGCAACTTTTGATGGGTTGCAAATCTTTGAAACTCTTTCTTCTTCTTCTTCTTCTTCTTCTTCTTCTTCTTCTTCTTCTTATTATTATTATTATTATTATTATTATTATTATTATTATTATTATTATTATTAATTTAAATGCAGGGAAAGTACATCAAACTAAGTTGAAACTAAAAATATATGCCTACTTCAAATTAATATCATGTAGCATATATCAAATAAGGTTGGATAGCATCATGTTTTCCAAAGCTGCTGTAAACATTAGGGACCCAAAGACACCAGCTTCTGAAGTTTTGAAAAAAAAAGTACATTTCCAACTTCAGCCCCACTCATTTTAGACTAAAGAAGCCTTTTGGAAGAGGCGAAATGTCTTCAAGAACCTCAAACAAGTCCAGTTTCTCTTTCAACACAAAACTGGATAACCAGGACCTGGACAAATGACAACCTAAACACAAATGTCACCTGCAGAATTTCAAGGGTCCCACCATCCAGGGCCTCCTTTTTCCTATGCCACAATTGCTGGCTCTTAAACTGCACACTCATGATAAGTTGAGGGGTCTGTGACAACCATGATTTCAAAGAAGACTCTCAAATAATGAGTCATGGGCTCAGATCCTGTGGAGTTGCTGGCATTTTTCTATTATGTTAATTTATGGTTTCCTCGTTTTGGGGAGTTTTCACCAGCATTTGTAGATGCAGCAAAAAGCAATCCACAAGCCATTCTTTGGACAAGGTTCTTAGCCCATGCACTGGCTTCCACTGCAGAGTCATACAATTCAATAATGCAGTGCGTGCAAATCATGACCATCCAGTATTGGTCTTCAGCCTTGCCCCTTTGGTACAAAGATGTCCTTGGATTCTCTTAAACTTTTACTGATGTTATACCTAAACCCACAGGCTTTAAATGGCACTTGGCTATATCATCATATGTTTTGGCCACTCCTTTTCTAGTTTATTCATTGTTTGATAATAATAACTACAGTGCAAACAGCAATGAAGGTCACAATGGTTTCAGTCTCCACCCTGTTTGTTCAGGTTTCATCACTGTCAATCCATCAGGGAAGTGGACACTCCATGGCACGTTGTCTTTAAGCGGTCTAATATGGTTTAAAAAGCACTCATTATTGTGCGCACGTGTTACCTAATAAACTTGACTTTAATATCACACCAGATGCTGGCCTTGCTGTTTGATCCCCTTCTGTGTGGATGCCTGCAAAGACGTGGAGCACACCTGCCCTACTTGTCACCAAGTCCTGCATGTCCACAAACGTATGTGAAAGAGAGCCTTGGTGTAAACTCCACTCAAGAAACTACAAAAGGAATTAGCCAGTCGTGACTAAACAAACATCTGTACAGGAGACAAACCTTTCTATGCAAACATTACAGACGTCATGAACTCTGTAACATACTTATGTAACATACATGCAGTACCTGCTAATCATGTTACTAAAAGAGGACTGTTCAAATGTGGAAACAACATCTTCACTGCTCTATCTTGACTAACAACACAGCATGGGAATGTTTGACTCGTTTTATTTCTTTTGTGGCTGCAAGTACAGACAAATGTTTGTTGTTTCCGATATTTTAAGTGATCACACTGGAACGATTTTGATTTATTCTAATTGTTTTACTTGATTGTTTTGTTAACATGAAATAAAAAATTAATATAAAAGATGATATATATTTAAACATGACAAAAATGGCCATTTGTCAAAAATTTGGCTTTACACAATAATCACTATAACAACCAAAATCACTGCTTGTACATAAAAACTAATAAAAACAAATGAAGCAATGCTTTATCATCACTGTAATTTATCCTTTACTGTCTTTGTTGTCTTTCTTACAGTTGGTTTATGAATTCTCAAAAGTATTTCTGTAGGAAAAAGGTAAAGTGCTTTCCTTTCCCATGTAAAAAAAAAACAAACAAAAAAAAAAAAAACACAAGGAGCAGATTATAATTCATTGTCTTCCTCTTAATGTGCAGACTGAAAACTCATTTTAAATGTAACATCAAGCTTCGGCCTTTAAAAAGTGTTCATCAAACATACTTGATTTTGGTGCATTAGTAGATAAACCGGAGACTCAAAAGTGCCATCTAGAGGAAGAAAAGATGTTCAACGTGGTTCATACAGTTATCTTTTAATGTTATTAAACTACATTAAACAGGAGGGCTGCTATAAAGCTTTAGTAGTAGTCGTGCCAATTACTGTTGATGTTTGACTTTTTTCTTCTTATGATTGTACAGCCTTTGAAACATACATATAGAAGCCTGTATAACCAGAGTATATGTATTAAACGTTTTGGATTGTCTCTATACCATTTTATGATGTTTGACATCTAGCTAGTTTATTCCTTGAAGGACGCTGGTGATAACTGAGACATTTCACACTGACATTATTGATGGCTAGTTTTACAGTTGTTACTGATTTACCAGTGAACTCGGGTCCTGTTGTGTTTTTCCACATTGGATAGTTTTATAATATATCGTTTTTTATATCGTTAATAATCTTTAATATCTACAGGTCTAAACTCACATTAGTGCCCCCCACCCCCACCCCCCAGGGACAGGTCGAGACCCTGTCACCCAAAACGCGTGTTATTACCATATCTTAATGACTCTACTGTCTATATTTAGTGTCATCTGTATACAGCAGGTAATTGGTTAATTAAAAGAAAAACTTATTCAATATAATAAAGTTGAGAGAGAGTCATGCAAACATTTTCTTTTAGTATTTACATGAACGAATGACTGGCTTTCTGACTCCCTCAAAGGGGCAGTATGTGACATTTAGTGGCATTAAGCAGAGCAAACTTGATAGAAATGGAATATAATCTTCTGAAGTATTTTTAACTAACTATCCAGGGGGAAAAGTTTTGTTTTGTTTGTTTATGTCAACTTGGAATAAAACTTTGATCTACATTTGGAGCATGTCATCTTGCATGCTGAGATGACCAAGTAACGACATTTTTGTATGTAGTTTAGTGTAGAAAAAAGAAGAGAGTGTTTTGTGATGTGCTCAAGCAGATTTAGTCGGGGTGCTGCTGGATATCCAAGGACAAGAGAAAACAAATTACTTTTACATAAACTCAGACTGGGGCTGAGTGCAATTCTCCAAGCAGACAGCAGGTAGAGCAAACAGACTGTCACACACGGCTCTTAATAATGCTGAGGTCAGCACTTCCTCTGCTATATCCTGTGGTTGAGTGGTGTCTGAATGATCAAGTGATTGTTGTTCTGACAGTGAATATTAACATAGCAGCTTTCTAAAATTGGAAGAGCAACTCAGAAATAGGGGAAATTTAGGTTGACGTCTTGGCATGCTTTGTTTGTGTCACAGTTTTGTTGCTACATGTGATTAATGACATTGGGTCGTGACTATCAGGAGATTCCAATTTAAGTAAACTCAACTAGTTCTGAACAATAAATTACAACACATCCTCTTTGATTTTTGTCTGTGTTTCCTCATATTTTAACTCCAAACTTATGAACATGCCAAGGTCAATGGTTTGGAGTGCCTAAGGAGCAGGTGAATGCAGCGTTAATCTAGGTCTCCACTTGCAGGAGGAATAGACCTTCAAGTTAATCCAATGTCACTTCTACCAGCTATACAAATGAGTGCCTTCATTGAGAAATCAAATGGACAGGATCAATCGTATATCTGACCCCTTTGAGCGGATTTCTCCCAAGTGTCATGTTGCCCTGTGACTAGAGAAGAGCTACAGATCCACAGCTGACAATGATTTTGAGCTCTGTGTGAGATATCATGTTGCTGAGTCCCAACATGTGGACAAGCTCAGCAAGCGCCCCTCTGTGACCTGTCCTTGTGCCTACTGTGTGTGTGTGTGTGTGTGTGTGTGTGTGTGTGTGTGTTTGTGTGTGTGTGTGTGTGTGTGTGTGTGTGTGTGTGTGTGTGTGTGTGTGTGTGTGTGTGTGTGTCTGTGTGTCTGTGTGTGTGTGTGTCTGTGTGTCTGTGTGTGTGAGGGGCTGTGGTGAATAAAGCTGAGGCTGGGATTATAGGATGGGCCATACTTAACCAGGCCCAATTAGACTGTGACCATAGTAACCATTGGATTACCCAGATTAGGATTGATGTCCTGAGCAAGTCATCACTGCTCTATCCCACGGTCACTTCCTTTTCGTCAATCAGAGGACACTAACTCAAAAAACAGCAACAAGACAAAAACATGTCAGATTCAACTTTAGCTAAAACTGGGAGGTTTTCCAAAACTTGTAGAAGTCAGTGAAACATTACTAATGTTCTGCTTTATTAATACCCAATGAAGACTGGGATATAAAAAAAAAATGCCTGAGTAGTTTGAAGGGGTTCAGTTTTTTTTTCCCACAAGATTCTGATGTTCTTGAGCAGTTTTTTTTTTTTTTTTCTTTAAATCTGCCTATGAAACAGACTAAGATGAATATTTGAGCCTCTATGTGACCTACAAAAGCAAAAAGGTCCATCAGTGGTGGTAAAACAGTGCCATGTTGATGATAATGCATATATGTTGTCATTTACAGCTTGTAACCATTGCAGCTTTACACTGTAGTTGTCAAACAAAGGGAGGAACACTGCTCCTGTGTTGAAATTTTCCACAGCAGTTATGGACACAAAAGGGAAAATGTATAGTGAGTGGGTAGAGGGCATATCAGAAACAAAAACCAGTGAAAAGGACCTTGAAAGCAACTTTTGGTCTTCAGAACAGGGCTGTTGCAATATACTAGAATTGAGGTTAACCCTTTGTTCATGATATGCTAAAAACAAGTATACAGTAATAAGGTGAGCCTATAGTGGTGGTAAGCTGGTTGCCAAACATCATTAAACAGAGGAGAGACAAAGGAGAAGCAGCTGTAACCTTGATGTTGCAGAATCAACGGGCAGGGGAACTCCCATCCGGGAATTCAGTATATGAGTGGGCTGTTGACCCTGAGAATGAATCACTCTTGCTGTGGGGTCAAAATTAACCGTATGACACATCTTGAATACTCAAGGCAAATAATAACGCTTTTGAAACTACAGGACAAGATAAACAAAAAGAAAAGAGCCACCTTCTTCTTCACAGAGTTTAAAATAACTTCTGCAAAATGCCACACAGGATTTTTTTTTTTTTTACTTAGATAATTGATCAATTATAATTAATAAACACACTTTGCTGATTTTCTGAAAATTAAAATAAATAATGTGGAGCTGTGACTGGCTGCTAGTTGGACATGGCTCAAAAATCTGGCATAAAATCTGTCATAAAATCCTGCGTTTAATACAACATGGTAGCATTCAAGTAGAGGAAAAAAAATATAGCTTGTTATTTTGTGAATTTTTGAGATGCTCCTGGTGTTTTTTTTTTTTTTAAATTGGACTGGCTGACTGATTTCTTGTATGAAGAGTATTTAATCATTGACCAAAACACGCGAGTAATCATCATTTTAGCTCCTGTCACATGCCAGAAGACATTCTAGTATGTGACTTGAAAATGGATGATGGCTGATTAGTGTCTGGCTACTTTGGCTGTCTGTTCAAAAAGTGGTAAATAAAACATTGATAGTAAACTTTCACACTGAAAACATTCTCTTGCACTACCTGGATTTAGCAGGGAAAGTTCATGATGGGCCACCTTAAAAACTAACCAAATCAAAGCAATGACACCTGCTGCTCACTGGCAGGTGCAGACTTGGGATCTGAATTACACTATTCAGGGGGCAGGTGTGTATTACTTTTTATATCTGTGTCTGTGGGTCTATTTGTGTATCTAAAAGTAGCTTTTGCTTCCTCATGTTCATGTAATTGAGTTGTCTACTGTCTGTCAGTATCAACCTCTTAGACTCAGTCAATTATCTTGAACAGTGGTCACTCCTTGTCTTGGTTTTCCTCATGCTCTGTCACCCTCTAACCCGACATGCAGCCATCACCTGGGGAGGCGATTACTCCACTCTAATGGGAGACTTGGCTGAATCATGTCTTCATGGGGATTATGTAACTCTCTACTCACAGCCACGTGGCGACAGAGCTCACCTGTGTTTAGATTGACCATCTGCCCCTCCTCATCCAAAGCCCATCAACTCTCTGCAACAAACACTGTCCGCTGAGTTCTTACTATGGAGACCTGCAGTTATTTTGTCTGATCTACTGAACAAAGATGAAGCTACATCTCCCACAGCTCTGACTGTGAGGAAGACGTGGGAGCCAGTGGGCAGGAAATAACACTGAGATGTGCAAAGGAGTGACTAATGCTGGATATGTAGTGAATTATCCTGCTTATGTGCTTTACTTACTTCCTATTTCCCTCTTCTTTAGACAGGTGCATCAGCAAATCAAGCTCCCAGTGTGTGGGCTGCATCTCTGTTGACACCTCCGCAGATTCAGCGTGAAGCAGGGAGAGAGAAGCACAGACAGCAGACAGTGAATAGAAAGGAGCGGACAGAGGGAGACAGTGAGAGAGGGGAGTGAAAGAGTGGCAGAAGATATATTTGACGATGTGGGTGTGTGAAGTATCGAGGCATGCATCATAATTGTGGATTTTCATGGAGCAGCCGGTCGTGTCACTGCAGCAGCAGCAGCCGCAGGACATTAATGGTCTCACTAAGTATGTTTTTTCTTTTACTTTGAAACAGTCGAGGGTTTGAGCGCTGAAAGCGTCAGACATTTTCTGAGACAAAATGGAAACTGATTGTTTCAGCTGCCTCCAGGATTTGATCATTTTTTTAAATAGTCAAAGAGATGCAGAGTGAAAGATGTTGATGCTTTCTAACCGTCAATAATCAGGATACTCAGCCAAAAATTTATGTGAGGTAAGTTGGACTTGGTTGCACTAAGAGTTCAATTGTTGTTGTTGTGATGTACTGCTTTAAATGTGTGTATAATTGCTTGTGTGTTTTTGTTGTCTATCACACTTCCACACTTGTTGCCATAACCCAGGTTTCAGCCCTGAAGAGTGATGGCTTGAGGTTTAAAGCTTGTTAATGAAGTGTAGATGAAGTCCAGGCTGATGTTATGACTGCAGGAATGATTCATGTGCAGTAGATGACGGTCCTCACAAATAACTAACACCACAGAGAGAGAGGGAGGGAGAGAGGGAGAGGGAGAGAGAGGGAGGGAGAGAGAGGGAGAGAGAGTATCTCTGTGTATTGGGAACTGTAACTCGACTTCTCAAAAGCCCAGTATGCCATGCAGTCAGCCCACGCTGTTTCCCGTTTCCATGGAAACCATTGCCCAGTGCTAAAAGCAGTTCTCCTCTGTGCTGTGAGTGTGCCTTTGTGTTTCAGTGTGTCTGAAAGAGAAACATGTTATTTGCTAATCTACCAGGCTTATGGGTTTTTCAGAGGCAGTACATTTTGTGTCTGTTTCCTGACGCACAAAGAAGCTGTGTAAACTAATGTTGAGTAATGAATCACGACTTCACCTTCCCCCTACCCAGCATCCTCCTCCACAATGTCACTCCACTTGTTTATCTCTCTGTACCTTTCTCCCTCGCTTCCTCTCCTTTAACCCTCTCAGTGCCTCTCCTAATCGCTACATATTTTCTGTCTCTCTTTTTCTAAGATGGCCGTCAGCTCTGTCATCATCTGCCTCCTGTCACTGATTGGCTACAGCTGGTCCCACCCCTCTCCTCCTCCACCTCGGGGGTGCAGTGTGAATGTGGACCCGCCGTACAGAGTGTTGTGTGACCTGGAGTCAGTCTGGGGTGTGGTTCTAGAGGCTGTGGCCTGCTGTGGTGGCCTGAGCTCCCTGGTCCTCGTTGGGCTCCTACTGGTCAGATTGGGCTCCATTCCTGAACCTGCCCGGCGCTCCGGCTTTGGGCCTCTCCTGCTGCTCCTGGGTACGCTCCTTGGCCTTTTCTCCATCTCTCTGGCATTCCTAGTAGGGAAGAACCAGGCTCTCTGTGTAGTCCGCAGGGCCTTTTGGGGTCCCCTTTTTGCCCTCTGCTTCTCCAGCTTGCTGGTGCAGGGTGTGAGGCTCAGGAAGTTGGTAGCTGGACAGATCAGCCCCTCTGGGAGCTCGCTGGCAGCTCTTGGTCTGGCCTTGGCCCTCGTTCAAGGGATCATTTCTGCTGAATGGGTCCTGCTAACTGTAGTTAGAGAGGGTCACCCAGCCTGTGAATACCCACCTTTGGACTTTGCTCTGACATGCAGTTACACCCTGGGGCTGCTCCTCATAGCCATGGGGCTGTCTCTGGGGGTGGTGTTGTGTGGAGGGGAACTGGGGGCAGAGGGAACCGGCAGGAATGAAGAAGATGGCGAAGGAGAAATCGAGAAACAGAGTTGGAGGTGTAATGCTGTGTGGCTTTTTCTGTCCAGCTTGGCATCTGCTTTGCTCTGGGTGGCCTGGCTGGGGTTTTATCTTTATGGCAGCCAGACGCTGAGAGGGAAAGGGAAGGGGGAAAGGTTGGGAGGAGGAAAGACGGATGAAAAGGTAATGGATGAGCCTGCACTGGCCGTGGCCTTAGTCATTCAGGGCTGGATCCTGCTGTTGTTCCACGCGATTCCAGAGACATACCTTTGTCTGCGGAAACCTCCAAAGTCCAACACACAAAACTTCTTTGACACCACACACACCGCTCCTCCGACACCTTTTGGAGATGAGCACCCTGCACATTCACACCGGCCTTTTCAAGAAAACCAGGCGTTTTCTATCGAGGAGCACGGCACAAGTAAGATTATGTTATGTGTGTTTCTGTATATGTGTGTTTCCTAGATTCATTTTACACAAAAAGGCAGTCTAAATCAGATTTTCCTTGTTTGACAACCTTGGTTTAAAGACCCACTTCAATGAAAATCATGTGTTTCTTGTTGTCTACATGTTCCTATGGAATTTTTCTGATGCTACAGGACATATCATGAGAAACCAAGTGCATTTCTGAGTGTTTCTGCATTCAAATCACTGTGAAGCTGTGGCAAACCCAAACGGCAGGCTCAGAAACAATGGGATTTCGTATGTCACAATTTCAAGCTCCGCCCCCAGAGCCCTGCTCTGCAGGCCAGACTTTGAGAAGTAGAGAAGACGATCGCGGGACAACATGTGCGTTAGTGGATTGCAATGCTCGTAAGACAGCTAATTATGATATTAACTTTCATCATGTCCCCAAAGACATAAGTGTCTGAGAGCTGAATAGCTCCTATGTTACCTGCCACTTCTACTACACCGGCAATGTTAGGCTGCAAACTAGCATGAAGAGGAGTGTGCAGAGCAGTGCTATCCCCGCCCACGACTTAGAGATGAATTGCTAATGAGCTACTGGAGCTCTGCAGTAAAAAAGCCCTTGAAAATGACACAGGTAACACGATTTTGGCTGAAAACTTCATAACCACAGTTTAATGACCACTGCTAACACTTTAAATGGTAAAAAAAAAAATTGGTCAGAGTGGGACTTTAATGCCAGTGTGAAAGCTTATCTGAGAAACTTTCTCTTAATGTGGATTTGGCAACCCTTGTGGACACACTGCTACCCTTTTATAGTTACTGATTTTGCCTCATCCCCCTGATAGTGGTGTTAGTCAACATAAAAAAACTCCTCATGTTGTCCTCTTACTGTAAAATCTATGTGCCCCTGTGAGTATTTTCTGTGGGAAAAGCACTGAAGGCGGCTTCTTTAGTGTGCCTACCTCATTTCCAGCAGAAACAGACATTAAAAATACAATTTAGAATTTGTCTGTCTTGTCATCAAAGGTCTCAAATTCTTTTGCTCATCTTAGACATTCATTACTGTTTATTTATTTCAGTCTGTTTCATGACCTATAGAAATATCTTCTTTATAGAGCTTTAAGTATAACCCATGAGGCAATATTTTGAATTCGGATGAGTACAGAGATGAGTGGCAGAAAACTGTTGATGAAGCAAACACCTTTACTAGGGATTTTTGGGCAAAACTTACGTGTCACCTCCAAAATTCCCCCCAAAATTAGTGAATGACCATGTTTTCTAAATTCATCTCAGACTGAGAAATGAAAAAAAGACAGAAAACAAAAGCAACTAATCTTAGTGAAGGCTGACATATCTCTGAATCTGAAAAGTGTTTGAATATGGTACAATTGCAACAAATGTTTCATGGCCTGGTTCAGGAAACTGAGAGGTTCCTATCATAAAAACACGTCAAGAACACAGAAATAGACTGTAAGCAAATATTAGCAGCAGCTTAACTCACAGGGTCACAGATTTTCAGTATGACAGTGTTTTGTTGAGTTTCACCAGCTCTAATAATTCAAGCTTTAAATCTTTTTTTTTTTTTTTTTTTTTAATGCAGCTTTTAAATGTGATGTGAAATGATGACTGCGGGCATTTTTTTCCAGCTTTGACACTATCCACAGAGTGCTCTTTTTATCTGCTGTGAAACAATGGTTCTCTGTGTCAGTGAATGTTGGCTGCTTATGAAGGAACACTCGGTTTTTTTGGTGGTTGATTTTTGGATAGATGCACTGACCAGCTGGAAACTCAAAACCACATTTTAGGCAGCATTAAGGTCCTGTTTGCGCAGCAGGTCATTCCTCCGTTGAACTTTCAGGAAGACTGACATGTCATCATACTAATCACAAGTGCATTATAGGTTTGTTATGAGCACACTCTGCCTCACTTTTAGCTACTGTGCACAATCCAAAATCCAATGACACTTTATGAGGGCCTGGTTATCCATCAGGCTTACAGGGATATGAATGAGTCATTTTCCTGCCACTGCACTTCATAATTATCTGAAGCCAAGTGCACAGATGAAGGGATACAGCATGATTAACAAAGACAAACAACGAATGGAGGCAGCAGCAGAAATAGTCATGAACAACATCACGTTGAAGTGAAGACTTATGATATTGGTCCTGAGTTTGTGGAGAAAGGCTGAGCTGTTGACTGTGCAACATAATTTCAACTTTCAAAATTCATACACCGAGGAAAGCAACACACAGTATCATACTGTATTAGACATGTTTGTTGTTCCCTGTTTGTCCTTCTTCACTTGCTGACAACATACCTAATGAAGATGTTGACTTTCAAAGCAGCAGACTTCTACTATATTTTAGGGGAAGGGGAAGATAAGTGCATCAGTTGTATTTTTGCCGTAATTCAGAAGCTGCTGCTTTTACAAAGGGTCAGGGTGAACTCACAGTCACAACTGGATTGACAAATCTTAATCTGCAGGCAGCTGGGGGGTTAGCTGGGGCTTCTGGCAAAAAGCTGTGAATGCAAAGCATATGTCAGTATGTTTCTGTAGATCATTATCAGGCAGCCTTAAGTGCCAAGTCCCAAAATACAATACCTCATAGTTTGGAGGTGCGAAATTTACTATCATGCTACACCACCTCTTTTAATACTAGATAAGCAAAATGACTGATTTAAATGCACTGAAATTCTCAGCATTCAGTAGACACTATATATTTAAGACAGTGTGCAAATTGTTTTTGCTGTTCTCAACAACAGATGAGACTTCCCACTGTTTGAAATGCATCCCACAGATTTTTCTCTTGATTTTTTATCTTCTGCTGAAAATCTGCAGTTGAAAATATCAATTGTTACCTAGAATTAAATAATGCTGTGCCTTGAGTGTAAATGTGCACATCTGTTGTTTTGGCTGTTTAAAAGAATCATTTCAGTGGATCCACCAGCATAACTACGACTGTGACCCCTGTGTGTGTTTTCTGCATGTTTAGGGGTAGCTCAAACCCACCATGTAATTTGCAGCACACCCACCTGCTGGTGAACCAGAATCTAAAAGTAAAATGAAAGAAGACGCAGTCATTGATTTTATTCATGGTACACGCCTTTGAATAACCAACTAACCGAATCTAACCTCTTTGCTTTCTGCACAATATGAAGCAACCAAACCAGTGTAGTCACACACACCACAAGTTACTTTGACACATGCTCTTTATATCATCAAAATAGAGCAGAAAGTGCTCAATTTACACCGAAGCTCAGAAATATTTAGTTTTTTGTTTAAAAAAAGATTAGATTAATCATGGATCACTAACAGGCAAGCAGAAGGGGCATAATACTGTATGAATTCTCCAGCAACATCAGCTTACCTATGTGAACTTCCAGGCTCCTAAATATATGAGCAGGGCAATATGTCAGCACTCACTGCCACCGTACTTTGGTTTTAATTTTTTGTATATAGGGGTTGTAAGATGCGTGGTCCATTTTCATACACTGTCATCCGAACGGACTGGTCAACATACAACAACAAAAAAATTAAAAACAACTTTACCATTGTTAACAGGTTTAAATGACATGTGTGACTTCAGCTTTTGCTTGACTTTACTTTGTCCTTTAGCTCTCCGATCTGGAACATACAACAGCAACCAGGGCAGTGTGCGTCCTGGCATCGCCTTCAGGGGTCATGTTTACCAACCCACTGAGATGGCTCTGGTCATGAATGGAGGAACTGTAAGTACTGAGGAAACACACATTTCACAAACTTACCAACAAGAGGATTGTTCAACCCTTAAATTCTTTCTGTCGCAGATGCCCACAGCTCCAATTAACTACACCGGGAGACGGTTGTGGTGATATGGGATGAGACTAGTGGAGGAAACGCTACTAAGTCATGGCAGAGTTTCCTGTTGCCTCAAGAAAAAGGAGATATTGAAGTCATCATATCCCATAACAGATGGATCTGACAGTGGCTAAATGTGTCAGATATACATATTTGTGTTTCTGCACACATGTACATGCACATATGTATGGATATTATGTTTTCGGACATACTCGGATAGTATTCACGCTGAAGCTTTGATTACTACATGATAGAATGTACAAGCAAGTCTCAGACAGTGAGAAAAAGTGTCATGAAGGGAGAGCTTTTACAGTGCTTTAAGATCAAATCTGATCAGTATATAAAGTCTAAACTCACATGTAAAAAAACTGAGGAGAGGTAATAAAGGGGGTAAATTTTATGTATATGGTTGATATCAAATAGTAGTGGTGACTGTGATGCTGAATTATCTGCTTTTAAACCTAGAAAACATAAGGCTAAAAGGACAATTTGAATGTAGTCAGTTTAACATGTTACTTGGGCAGCTCTAAACCAAGCTGTTCCTGTCAAACATGACATCATTACTTTGTCTCTCTGCTTGGCGTTACTCGAAAAAGCAAAGATACTTTTATTATGTTTATGTAAATTACCTTTACATGCCCACACAGCTTGCTTGGCCACTGTTTTACATGCTGGAACAATCCAAAGACTCGCAGTGCTTATCTCTGCTGATCTGGAGTCCTTTACCAACCGCTGAGCAAGTTTCCATGTCATGCATTAAACAAAGCCAGGGCAATTTCATGATTTAAAAGGCTTAAAGTTGAGTCCACAGCTCAAGGATAGTTTGTTTCTAAAACAAGCACATTATAAAAAGCCATGTAACACTGCAATGTGTATAAAGCAGTAAGGTTTATTTTTGAAGGTTGTAATTTTGCACTTTATTACCGCTGATAATATCTGGGCATTGTGATATTTGAATTGTGTTTGAGATCATTTGAAATGCATGTAAAAGCACAGTATAAAGGTAATGTATTTTGTCAGGATACATGTACTTTGAGTGTTTTCTAATATTTTTAAATATACATGTATATTTAAAAGAAATAGCAGTTTTAGTGTTGAGCTTCAGGTTCATTTTAATTGTGAACAGCAGCTGACAAATATGACACAAGTGCCCAGGTAGTGGAGACAAAGATTTTTATGACTGATTTGGCCAGAGGAAAACTATGTGATATGACTGAAAGCTTAAACTTTATAGACTTTGGTGTTGATACTGTTTTCCTTCAAGTATTCACACTCTGGATTATTCTTGATCATTATTTTAATAATCCAGATAAATACAGCATCTCATTGTATTCCAACATGCAGTAAACATTTTCATGGACATACAGAGGGAGCAGTTAGCAGTTACTGCTCACATAAATGATAACCCAAAAACTGCCAGCAGTACAACTGAAATCTGAGACAATCAAGTGATCTACATGAATCCTCTGAGTTCTAGAATTTTTTTTCTTTTCTTTTTTTTTTTTACCCCAACTATCCAAATAAAACTCAAAGAATAGTCCCTATGTTGTTAAAAGCTACATACGTTGTTACAACCATGCTTTTGTGTGGGTGTGTGCTCTGATATTGTATGATGAAAATATTATCATCACTTTTTCTCATGTATTAACCCTATATAAATGAATTTTAATCATGTAAATTACCCAAATGTGGGGAAAGCAATGTGATTTTCTTTGAGATGCTTTTATGACAATAGCACTGTCACTGTTTAATGGCAGCATAACATGAATGTCTGTAACGTGATTTGCACAAAGTGACTAATACATTAGTGCACATTTTCTGGTATTCACTGTCCTATGATTAATCTTATTCAATCAAATCATCTTTTCAGGCCTCAATAGATCAACTCTGGATATTTGTCACTTTATAAATATACAGCTTTGAATGTGTCATAATTTCAATCTAATTAGTAATATAACTATAATATCTAGAATGTACATTTCTGTAGGCTTATTAACTACAACAAAAGTCATTTTAGCAGTTATCACACTGTAGCTGTGCCATTTGTACCAAGTGAAGGTCTGTACAGTGTGTACCCTGTGTTGAATCATTGTGAGCCAGTTCAACTCATCACTCTACCCATCAAAAATAGCTCCAGAACTGCTGCCTTAAAATCTTCCAGTGCATGTGGGAGTGTTTCAAAAGTAACCTCTGCTGTCATGGCACCTTAAAGTTTTGGCTGTTAGGAGCTGCTGGCTCCTGAAAGATTTACTCAACGGCTGTGTGGATTTCTGACATCTAGCCTTCAATCCGCAGTCTGAGGTTTTTTTTTTTTAACTTAGATAGCAGGATGAAGGCTGTGTGCAGAAAGATAAAGAGGAAATCTGATGAAAATAACTGTGATTAGTTATAAGTTTGGTTCTGTAGCAGTATTAGTGGCGACTGGAGGCTGAATGTGCAGGCAGATACAAAGTAAATTTGAACATAGTGACAGTTTTAGGTGGATGCAGGAAAGTGGGAGACAGTGAAGTTGAGAGCTGGATGATCTGTACTGGCCAGTTACCAAAAGCTGCTGGAGGGAGTGGGCTGAAAATGTTCCTTCATCCTCTGAGGCTAAAGATGGAGGCCAAAGATAACTCAGGGTATATGAGGTCAACCTCAACTGTGTACAGAAGTAAAAAATAGTAAATGAAGGTGAGCAGCCAGCTCTCCTATTAATGCATGTTGTTGAAGGATTAAGATAAAGATAAAGGGGTGTCTGCAAGATACAGTGAAGCACCAGTTTACACAAAAGCCTGAATTAGTTAAGATTTAAAGGGATATTCCGGCGTAAAATTAATTTAGGGTCAAACACACCATAACACCGATTTAGACACCCTGTCGAGAGATGAATGTTGCCGACCGCTTGCTGCTTTAGTTTTACAAACTTCAGTTACAACCAAATGATAGTAATAGTACACCTCAACCAAAAAGCCACTCTATAGCCACAAATAATGCTCAGAACAACACCTATCCTCATCAACAGTACATATTGGGTCCCAGCCGTAGGACTAGCCACCAAACATCTTTTTAACTTTGCCTAATTTTTTTAGCATAGAGACTAAACACAACTCACCCACTCTCTTCCAGCAGCTGCTTGTTTGTAGTGAAACATTGGGCAAGTCCATTACGGACTACAGCGGAGCAGCGCATCTCAAGGGAGAACATTTATGATCATTTCTTCATGGAAATGCAAACAGACTGAGATGCTAAGGTAGAAGAACTACCACATCTGCAGTGCAAAATAAATAATATGGTGATTATTACTTCAAGGAAATGATAAAGCAATGACCATAAATGTTCTTCCTTGAGCTGCGACACCCTGCTGTAGTCCAAACTGACCTGGGGTCTCAAACAAGCAGCTGCTGGAAGAGAGTGGGTGAGTTGTGTTTGGTCTCTTTGCTAAAGAAATTAGGCAAAGTTAAAAAGATGTTTAGTGGCTAGTACCTACTATGGCTGGGACCCTATATATACTGTTGATGAATGTAAGTGCTGTTCTGAGCATTATTTGTGGCTATAGAGTGGCTTTTTGGCTGAGGTTTGTGTGTGTGGCTCCTCAGACCGCTGTGTAGGCTATTGCTATCGGTCGTTACTAAAGTATAACTAGAGAAGCAAGCGGTCGGCAACATTCATCTCTCGAGGGGGTGTCTAACTCGGTGTTACGGTGTGTTTGACCTTGAATTAATTTTACGCCGGAATATTCCTTTAACAGCTCTGCATCAATATTCAGATAACACCGTGATGGTGGAACTTTCACAAATAGCCCACTTATCAGTTTGTCAGCCATGTCACTGTGACACCGGTTCTTTCCACCTTTAATCAATATAAAGCAAATAACTGACTCAGTGGCCTAACTACCTTTTTCACTGCTTCACTTCAGTTTTTGTTAATCTGTCCGTCCAACTCCGAAAACTCCGGAACGTGCCCACCGGCGCGCCCTCGTTGCTACGGACGCTTTGCTTGCAGCTAACGGGAACCAACGGAAGTACTTCCGGGTTCAGCAAGCAGCGCTGTAGTATCCACGTGAATTACATGAGGTTACAAAGTAAGTAAACCACTTAGATTTACATTCAATAAAACCTTTTGCAGCTGCATTAAGATGATCACACTGTCCGGCTGACTAAGATCGTATCCTACACGGTAAAGTGTTTGAACTTCTTCTTCTGCAAGCCCGGCTGTATGACATTTAAAGTTATGTCTTCATTCAAGTGACTATGTTATGGACGAGTCCGCTCATGTAGAAGCAGTCAGAATGAAAGTGTGTTTATTTACTTTAGGAAAAATTGTAGATCATCTTTGACTGGGTATTTATTTCCAATAACAGATATCAACGTGTTTGAGTAGGGGAGAGTGGGGTAAGATGAGCTAAAGGGTAAGTTGAGCCACCCCCTGTTGCTTGGAAATGGTAAAAGAAATTGATCATGTGACCAAATATTTAGTAGATGGGCATCAATTCATGGAGTCTGTAAAGGTTAGAAGCACATGGGTGAAGGGGTTAGATATTTATTTACAAAAAACATTTTTCACTCTTGAAAGTGAATTTAATCTGTCATAAGTTTTATTAGAATTGTGTTCAGACCAAAAAAGATCATTTTAAAGTAGTAGTAGAGATCAGGCTCAATTTAACCTGCTTCTATGGTCAACTTACCCCATACACGGGGTAAGTTAAGCATAGGAGGCCACTTTTTTGGCATGCTATATTATCAAGACAGTTATGTTTACACTCATTCTGTTGGTTTGCAGGGATGCACAACATCTTGAAATATATGCAGATACACTAGTTAGAGACAAAACTATGATTAACTTGATGTAGTGATTCGAAATATGAAAATGGCTCACCTTAGCCCACTCTCCCCTACAGCTAATTTGTGATGACAAACAAATACATGGAAGATATGACAATTATCCAGGCCTCTGGACGTCCTTGTTAAGGGACTGGTAATGTGTCACAAAATTAGATGGCAGAAGCCTGGGAATCAGTAATACAACATACAACTAAGAGCAAATACTTATTTTGTATGTAGTCCCCAGCTAGGTCATGACAGTTTGGTCTTAAATTTGAATGTCTTATCGGTTTTTCCGTTGTCTGTGAAGCAAAACAGTAGTCAAACAGCAGGCTTTTCATTATCATGTCTTTCTCTGTTTAACATCAGGATTGTTTCTATCTGATGTTTTTATTCATTAATGCAACTGGGAATGCATTTGACTGAGCATGACAGTAAAGTCTAATACATAATTCCTCAAGGGGGCAATAGATCCCACCCAATCCTAGCCTAGCCAATCCAAGCCCAATCCAACATATTAAATGAATGTAAAGCTTGCATGGTCGACAACTGTTTTATGTGTAGCTTTGAATTGTCAGACACACACAAAAGCTGTATAATTGTTAGGTTTAGGAAAAAGGTTTTATCATCCATGTGCTTAGCTTTTTCTAATGAGAGATCTTTGAGCAGTCCCAGCCAAAGCTCATCCCTAGTTGGTGTCTACTGCTCTCACTTTCACCTAGAGATACAAACTGTGATAGCTTAATTCTGAATTCAGTTTGAATTTTATATTTGTGTCTTACAATATCTGTTTTCTGCTTTCAGACGATCCAGAGGCGTGTTGGCTGCTAAGAGGCCAGTGGAAAAGTGAAAATGAAAATGAAGGAAGATAAAAGTGTGGAAAAATTGTTAAAGAAGAAAAACAAGAAAGAAGACACCTCTGTGCCTGAAAACAATAAATGTACTGATGAGGACGAGACATCCCCAGAGGTGAAAAAAGAGAAGAGGAAGAAGAAGAAAGTTGATGTAGTTATTATGGAGGGGGAGTCTGTAGATGAAGGTGTTGTGAAAGAGGAGAAGAAAAAGAAGAAGAGGAAAATTGATATAGAATCTCAGAGTGATGCCAATGGTACTGATGTCAAAAATGGAAATGATGAAGTCTGTAAAAAGAAAAAGAAGAAGAGGAAAATTGATATAGAATCTCAGAGTGATGCCAATGGTACTGATGTCATAAATGGAAATGATGAAGTCTGTAAGAAGAAAAAGAAGAAGTTGGTGAATGATAATGAGAACCAAGCAGCAACTTTAGAAAATTCAACTCCTTTAAAAGAAGAAGGTTTAAAAAAGAAGCTAAAGAAGGAGAAGAAAGCCAAGAACAAGTCTGCACAGATTGAACCAGAAAATCAGATTGAGAAGGAGGAGGTGGAAGAACAAGAAGCTGGAAAGGATATGCAGCCAGAGACAATAAAAAGGGCCAAAAACAGTGTTGTTGAAGGCGCAGAGACTACAGAGAAAGTTAAAGAAAAGAAGAAGAAAAAGAAAGACACTAGTGAGGAAAATGCAATAACTAAGGATAAAACAAGTGTAGTCAAAAAGAAAAATAAAGAAAAAACAAAAGAGTCTGAGAACGAAGTGGTGCTAGAAACACCAGAGGGGGAGACTGCTGAGGTTCATGAGGTCAAATCAAAAAAGAAGAAGAAAAAATTGGCTGGAAATACAGTTGAATCCCCCCAGATCAAAGTGGACACTGACAGTATTCTCAACAAGAAAGACAAAACCACAGACAGCGAAACTGAGGAGACAGAGCAAAAGAAGAAAGGAAAAAAAGAGAAGACCAGAAAAGCTTCTGTGGAGGTCAGTGAAGATGAGGAGATGAAGCCAGAAAAGAAGAAAAAGAAAAAAGCAGAGAAGAAGGAACAACCAGAGCTTCAATGTAAAGAAGCTGAGGTAGAGAGTTTGGACACAAGCAAAAAAAGTAAGAAGAAAAAGAGCTCCGTTAGTGAGGAAACTCAAGACAAGAGCTCTGAAAATGGTGTGACTAAGAAGAAGGTGAAAAAAGAGGTGAGAGACAAACATGTAAGTTAGTGGCACTTAACACTGTCCTTGAATGTTGTTGTTACAATTTTGTTTTTGCATTTCAGAAGTTACCCCGAGATGATGCGGTCTTCTCATCCAAAAAAATTGGCAACACTGATGAGGTAACCATCAACCAGGTCAACATGGCATCAGCGATCAAACAGAACTGCTACACTGTAACATTTTGGTGTCTGTTGTAAAGACTTCAACAATTTTGGGGAACAAAGTCTTACTCTTGAGATCACTGCGAATTATATGCAGAGATAGTCAAAGGGCGGAATAGTCAGTTTAGGACCAGAGGTGGAGTCAGAAACCAAACTGAAGCATCGACAAGCACAGCAGTGGCTGAAGTTTATGTTTACACAAAAATGAGTAAAGTAACTCAACAAAATAGCAGATTCAAATCTTTTCAACTTCTTGAAAAACATGAAAACAATTATGTCCAAAGTCTAGAGCCACATTTTTACAGGAGAGACAGTACCACATTTAAACACACAGAAAGTACTAGAAGAAATCAAACTGGCCTACTGCATAATGTGAAAACTCTGTTTATGATTAATCTAGACTAGGGAATACTAATCATGTGAGAGACTGGATTTTTAATTTTCAGGAGATTTAGGTCAAAGTGTTGTGTATTATTATTATTATTACTACTATTATTGATTAAAAGATTGGCAATGGAAAAAAAACTGATTGATGCACATAGATTGATATTGCATAAAAAGACGAACATGTCCTCTACAAATAATTGTCTATTTTTTAAAATTTAATTTTATTGATATATTAATACAAGAGTTATATCCCACCACCAATTTAAAAGAAGTAAATGTCCGAGTGTTGTAACACAAGTTTGTGTGTGTCTCTTTAATGCCTTGAATCAAATGATTATTTTTCTTCATAGGACAGAGAACAGGCTTCACAGGTGGTGGTCGACCAGGTGTCTCAACCTCAGAATCCAGCCAAACCTGCGGTCAGTTTTTGAGTTTTTTTTTTTTTTCCATGGAGGGTTCCCAAGTATTTTTTTTTCTGTGTTACATGAACGCATAAAAATAATTAAGAAAGATTAACCATCATGTCATACAGCAGCAGCATCTCGTAGCCCAGGCTGCCTGAACTATGTCCTCATTTTTCAAACATCATTTCTTGTGTTTGTGATGCAGGTTTTGTAATGTAGTTTCCAATGTTTCAGACTGAGCAGTTTTTCTCAAATATATCTTGATGACTTCACCAGAGTGTTATGTAACTCTTTTCACAGCCATGATGAGTAAACAGGGCTCTACGCATACAAGCAGCTGAGGGCTTTGAAGGTGCCAAGTTTTTGATATTTATAAACCCTGTCTTTGTTCTTCAGGGTTTTGGTCAGTGGAGCACAGCTCAGTTCGACAGCTCTGACCAGCAGCAGAAGTTCCTCCGCTTGATGGGCGGCTTCAAAAAGAGTTTTCAGCCTGCTTCAGGGAGCACTGGGGCTGCAAACAAGGCACTGGGGAAAGATGCACAGCAGCAGTTGCAGCAAGGACTTCTGGGAGAGTTTGAACGTGCTCACTCTCGTAGACTTGACTTCAGTAGCAGGGGCGCAGGGCTCGGGTTCACTCCACCGTCCAATAAGAAGTTCTCCATTGACGTTAATGCATGTCGATCAGTGCGCTTTGATGATTGAGTGTGTTTGTGTGTGTGTTTGTACAGATGTGGCAGTTTTTTATGTGTAATTCCATCTGTAAATGTACAGTGAGTTTGTGTAGTTTGTATAAACTACAAACAAGTCACATCAGACTTCCTTTAAATGTATTATATAAATTAACTCTCGACTTTGCCATGAATACATTCTGTAAAGTCTTTCAGTGTGTGAGACCCATCTGTAAAAATGCAAAATACAAGTTTATCAAGTGGTTTAAGTAGACTTCTCTTGATCCTGACTTGATTCTACAGGTACAAATGAAGATGCAAAGTCACATTGTTGACAATAAGCTGACATCCCCAGCGAAGTTCAATGAAGATGCTACAATTTGAGTTGTAACACAAACTCAAATTTACTCAGAACCAAGTTACTAATTTTTTGAAGGTGTTCCAGACAAAATACAATTCCTGATCACTTCCTCATAACCTGCTAAAAGCTGAAGAAATAACAAGGGGTTTAAGTATACTGATTTTACCCAGATTGTCATCCATTTGATTGCTTTAATGTTCATGTGAAGACAGAGGACTTGAGTTTACTGAAGGTCTTAAAAACATGTTTCTGCCGGTTGATTTGAAATGCAGCTGTCTGGGGGCTACTGAGGAAAACGGATCACTGAAAATCACTTAAAATTTCATGGCTGAGTTAAAAGTGCATTTCTATAAACCCTTCTAAGAAAACAAGGTCACTCACATCCATGGTTTTGATAGTCATTTTATTCCAATCCAGCACATGAATGACATCCTGCTGTAAGATGAAAGACAGGATAAGGAATATCCAAGTACACGTTACGTCAAAGATACCATAGAAACATTTCTGCTCTCTTATTGTTGGCTCATAATAAACTTTCCATAATGTGCAGGAAAACCAAAGAAATACTTGACTATCATAATCTACTTCACTGTTCCGCTGTGTTGTGATTCAGATTAAAGAGAAGGCCCTTTTAGTCACAGACTCTCTCTTAAAACTGCTGTCTAGAGTGCAGAGAAATTAGCATTTGAGAACAAAATGTCTCTCAGCTAAATGGATGTCATCACATTCATGGACAAGGTATTTAAAAAAACAGGTTAACCCCATACATGATGACATATTTCAAAGCATAACATCCAGTTCTCATTTTAGACCACAAACACCCACAGTCTTTGTAAAATGTTTAGTTACAAAATGCACATTTTTTTGCCTTAACGCAAGTATGACTGTGGGTCTTGTCTCGACAAGTCTCATGTCTGTGCATTCAGCAACATGCACCAACTGCCATCCTTCCCAGGACCTATCTGTCATAATACTTTTGACTGAATGAACCCTGCATCAGTAAAAAAAAACAAAAGCACCTCTCTCGATTTGGTGCAGAATGCTGCTGCTTTTAGCTTTCTGACATGGAGGTCCCAAGAAAAGTCTGACAGCTACAGGTAACTGTAAAACTCTGTCTTGCTTGTGTCTGCAAATGATTTCGTTCAAAATGTCTTTTCAACAGTAGCTTCATTGTTTATAACATGTCCTCACAATTTAGCTGTTTGCTTTTGTGTTTTCAAGCTAGCACAATTAATGATGACATAACGTGCGAAGGGAAAGCCATTATAAAAACAGACAAGTCTTGAAATTGAAGTAGCCGCTAAGTCTCTCAGACAGACATGAAACACAGTTAAGAGGCTGCTTGACAGTGGTGTGAAGGGAGGGAGGGGAAGCTGTGTGTTCCTTGTGGAAGAAAGAAGCTGCAGGGCTTTCTTATGCCTGTAGATATTCGGGCTGCACACGTGCCACTTTGCGGAACTCTTTCGCGTGGGTTCGTGGACACTGCATCTCACACCAGCTGATGGGAACCATCTGGGCACCTGGATCAGAAAAAAGATAATGCTGCAGTCAGTGGACTCTTGTTATTCTTGTGCATGGGGCACAGAGCTTTTTTGTCTCACGATTATACTTGTTCCAGGCAGAGATCTGTGACTTCTCTGCCTTGGTGCTCATCATGCACATTCATTTGTTTAAGCAGTAAAATTAAGCTGATTTACAGGAGCAATATACCTCAATTATCATGTTGATGTCTTCTTCACACAGAAAAATATGATAAGTTGCTATGTGTTACCAGTCTAAAATAAACTGCGATCTTTACAGAGTGTCCACTTGTTCCTGCAATAATCATTGGAGTTACTCTCACGCCACCCTGTGGTCAAACAGGACGCTGTCAATGCTGAAATCATTCTGTGGACTTTTTCAATATAAATAAATTTGTGTCTATTTGAGGAGACAATAGTTACCTGCTTCACTGTGAGCCACTACCACCCCCAGTTCATTCTCTGCTGTTGTCAACAGGTAGTTTGACTGCACATCACCGAGAGAGATCTGACATCACAGGTCAAGGGTTAAAAAACAGCAGTGAAAACAACACCGCTCAAGTTCTGTGAATTTACTTATTGCCCAATTCTACATGCAGTTTTTAAGTTGAAGCTAAAACATATGAAAGATAAGAAATAACTCAGCAGGATGATCTGAAACTTTAAAGTATCCATTATACTCCTAGGTTATTAATACTTATGATCTCTCTCTCTCTCCAGAGTAGGTATTTGGTTTTTGTGACGAGTGCAGCTGAAGGATACAACTTTTGCCAAGACAATGTCGCCAGGTCTGAAGCTTTTGTATGTCTCCACCTGCCACAACAAAAAGAAAGTTTTACTCAAAGCTTGTCATCTCTTATCAATCAAGCTCTGCACAATGAAAAAGACAAAAACTGCCGAAAGTGATAAATTCAAACACACCTTGTCTTTCTCTGTGGCACGCACATCTTCTTTCCTGCAGAATAAGAATGAAAGAGATCACTTAAGGGATAAACAGGGTGCAAACCTAGTTTTCTTTATAGGGACTTTTTTTTTTTTTTATGTGGTTTTACCTGATCGTCCCTCTGAAGCGGTCTTTCAGTGGTGTGGAGCCAACATAAAGGATGTGGACTTTTGCAAACCTAGGGTTGATGCTTGTTACCTACCAGAGAAAAGAACTTTAAAACTAAGGGCAAACCCACTCTTAAATTAAATGATCCTTTAAGCAGATCCTTTGAATAAAGAAAACTCTTATCTGATAGTGTTGCATACCTTACAAGTAACTATTGCTCCTACATCTGGTAATAGTTGTGTTTCTGTTTCCCTCACAACTGAGATCACAGGTAACTACAAAGAGAGAAAAATCATATGTAGCAATATGTCACATATTAATACAGTTCAGGTTTCATGATTGAAATTCAAAACAGCCTGAAGGAAAGACATGTCACATGGTGCGCTTTTCATCACAGGCAATGAGCAGATCTATTTTTGTTCAGGCACATTCACAAACATTGCGAAATTCTTTCACCCTGGCACTCCCACGTGCCTGACTGCTTCTGTAGTTTTCCCCAACCTTTCTCCGACCCACATGCACCACACCCACCTCCTCTCCTTCGTTCTTCCTCAGCACATATCCTGCAAGAGAGGAGTATATGTAGCCATGCCGCAGGTATACCCCTGTGCCGGGAATACAGTCTTCTACACTGCACAGCTTGTCACCTGGAAAGAAACAGAGAGGGGGAAAAACAGAGGCAATATTGGAGAAAAGTTGGACATGCTGTAGGCTTCAGTATTTAAAGTGAAAGTAAACAAATAAACAAAAAAATCAGGAATAAATAATCCACTTTTAAGATATTAAAACCTGCAGGTGACTAGGAAAAAATTGACTCTCTCTCTCACTACCTGAGCAAACAGCATATTTATAAGTATGCGTTTCTCTTATTTAAGCTGCTATATACTTGTTTGACTGTGTACAAGGTGATCTATTCGTGAAACAGGGCAGGATATCACCAAGTCATGACAGACCAATACTTTGTTTTAAAAAAGAAGAAAAATCTCTGCACTTCTTGACTTTGAAGGCTGAAAAAACTTCCTTAGCAGGATAGATAAAGTCGACATAATCCATGTTGTGATGAATTCTAAAAAGTTGGTAAACGTGTGGAGTTATTATTGCTGTAAAATACCATAATGGGTATTAACATGGCGGAAATGTCCATCTTGCAGAATCTTAAAAGACTTTTAGTGACTGCATTCAGGCGTGTTTTTTTCGGTTCAAATGGTCATTCACACAAGCTTCTGATGAATGAAATTATTTCGGTGACATTTCCTACAACCACCCACATAATAAAAGAGAGGATTTCACATGGTTGAGTCAAAACAAGAGAGAAAGGAATGCTGCAGTGAGCCTGAGGCGATGGGCAGGGCAGCAGATGAAAATTGGGGAAAGTAAAAGTTACAAGCTCACAGCTGTGGGCAGGTACAAGTTTCTCCCCGAAACGATGGGAAATAATATCTTCGTTTTAACTGTGTCAAAACCTGTAAATAATACAACAGTTCACTACGATCGAGTGTAAATGCGCGTAAAAACGTGGAAATACGCGAGAAGTCCTACCACATGCATTGCAGCTGAAAATGATTAGTATGACAACCTGCTATTCGTACTGTCAAACCAATGTGAAATTCTGTTTTCCAGCAACACCACGACGTCCACAACGGCCAACTCATACAAAAACGAAAATAAAGTCTAGTTACACCACGTCCCAAACTCTAGAAAGTAAATATTCACGGGACTCACCTGGAACACACAGCTTCATGGGCGACATGTTTTCGAGAAGAGCAGATAGTTAGCCGATTGGCTGTAACGAGGAGCTCTGGTGGATTCTGATTGGTCTTTCTCACACTCAGCGGAAGTGGAGAAACGTACCGTTCAGTCCGCCATGTTTGAAGAGGCACACATGAGCGTTGAGCACATGTTATGTAATGTTTGGCGGCATGGTGGCAAGAACACCCACGATTAAATCTTAGTTTTAAACGTTATTTTTGTAGCAAACGTTGTATTCGACACTTTACTCAAAAGCATTTATAACAACTTCGTAATGTCTATACATGTTATCAATCAATGGTATCGAAATATCACATGATTATAAATCAACAGGCCTGGGATGGTTTTGACATGGGATTAGCTGGAACATTATTGAGACTACTTTTATCTGATAAGACATCTTTAGTGAACTTTTTATGAATCCTTGTGAATGAACCCCTTTTCAGGTTCGCAGATTATGGGCTTTCAAGGCTTGTTTTTATAAATTGTGGATATCAACTAGTCGAAAAACAAGGTAAAACTGCCTCTCAGTTTAGAATGAACATTTAAGAAATATCAATGCAATCACTATTTTTTAGAAAGATTAAGGATCCTAGAACCTTTTACCATATTTTGAACCACTGACAGAAGACTTTTTAAGTCCTCCTAGAGAACTAGAACAACATTGCACTTGTGATATACGCCATGTGTTTTTATACTAAGAGGCATCCCTATACAACAACATATTTTCATTTTTAAAATGTATCATAAGGAACAAAGGCCAACTCATTTCTTCTTAAATATGATCGTCAGGACATTATAGTTATGTTGGAAGACCATGGCAGCCAAAGTAAAAAAAAAGTCACATAATAGCTCACAATATTTATTTTCTTACAACACCACAGCAAAACAAAAAATCAGCAGTGCAGGGCATACCAACTTGTTTCTTTAACAACAGCCAGTGTAACACTCAATAGGGTTTACTCTTCCCACAGAGCTTCACCAACAAATGGATCTCATCAAGGAAATAATACTTGGAATAACGCTTCAGGGGTCGCTATGTTTGCTCCCTTTGCCTGGTCCCTAATTTTGCCTTTTGGTCAATGCTAAAATCATATTACAGCAGATATCCAGTATTTAGTGATGAAATGTATGTTTTAGAATTTCAGTAAGTAAAGACCAGTCAAATTATAGGCTACACTGTATGTGTGTGAGAGCTGCATAATAAGAAAATAAAAGTGCACATTGTGTGTCTGTATGTTCCCAACTCTGTGATGACTGTAACAGTAAATGACCCTGAAATAATTCAATAACTCAACAGCACATGGCTGATCTGTACTCTAAGCCATCCATGAAAGGGAGATGGGAGGAATATATGATGTGTGTGTTTAGTGGGTGGTCTATTTCTTGGCTTTTCCCTGAGCAGCTACAGCTTCCATGGCCTTCCTCACAGTTTCCTCATCTCCCAGAAACTGCATGGGTCCTGTAGGTTTCAGGTTCTTGTCCAGTTCGTAAACAATTGGGATCCCTGTGGGCAGGTTCAGCTCCATGATGGCCTCCTCTGACATTCCTGGAATAATAAAGCATAAAAAGATAAATAATAGATGTGCCTTTCCTGCATCGGAATGGAAGGAAAAATAACAGTTAATATTCACAAGGTAATGCTGCCTACTCAGGTGCATCTGAGCAGTTCAAGCCTTTTATTGACGCCAAATCTTAAAACCAGACATTCCAGAAGAGACCAATCAGATATTACTTTGGCAGTAAGCTAATGGAAGCAGTTAAATCAAATTCAGATAGTGAAAAAAAAAACCTCTGTATATTAAAGGATTTGTTTTTGAATAATCTAAGATGTAGTGGTTAGCACTGTTGCCTCACTGTTGAATCTGGGTCAGAGCATTTCTGTGTAGAGTTTGCATGTTCTCCCTGTGACTGTGAGGGTTTACTCCTGGTACTCTGGTTTTCTCCCACATTCCAAAAACATGCAAAAGCAATGAAATGTGAAAATAGATGGTTGTTCATCTTTATTTGTCAGCCTTGCAATGAACTGGCGACTTGTCCAGGGTGTGGACCTGCCTTCGCCCCAAGATGCTGTGACAGGCTTCAGCCCCCCCCCCCCACCCCCGTGACCCCCCAACAGGATAAGCAGTCAAAAATGGATGGATTGATGGATGGAAGCTTGGCAATAAATTTTACTGTGCAGCACTGAAAGACTCTCCTCTGTCTCTTACCCTCAAGGTGCTTGACGATGCCCCGGAGACTGTTGCCATGGGCAGCGATCAACACCCTCTTCCCTTCTTTGATCTGAGGAACAATCTCTTCATTCCAGTAAGGCAGGGCCCGAGCAATCGTGTCCTTGAGACTTTCACAGCTAGGCAGCTGGTCCTCTGTGAGGTCACCATAACGCCGGTCCTGCAAACGGAGATAAAGTCAATAAAGCTAGTTGTTTTTTTGGTAATTTCTTTCCTTAAAATAAGGTGGTAAGTGTCAGCATGTTTAAATATAAAGTGTTTTCCTGTGGCTCTACCTTGCTGATGTTCTGATAGAAGTCATGGTCCTCATCCATGGATGGGGGAGGAATGTCAAAAGAGCGCCTCCAGATCTTGACCTGTGCCTCTCCGTGCTTAGCTGCTGTCTCAGCTTTGTTCAATCCAGTCAGGCCGCCATAGTGACGCTCATTGAGGCGCCAGGTCCTGTGGACTGGCAGCCACATTTGGTCGATGCTGTCCAGAACAAACCACAGAGTGCGGATGGCCCTCTTGAGGACAGAGGTGTAGCAAATATCGAATTCATATCCAGCATCTGAAAGGAGTCACAGATAAGAAGGGAGATGTTAATGTTCGGTGACATTTGTGAGTGCACAGTTGATCCCCCCACATGTACACAGTTGTTTTTGCTTAGTCAGGGGCAGTTGTTAGACTGCAGGCTCTGCAGAATGTGTCTGGGGAGGATTTTTGGGTCACAGAAAACCAACAAGGGCATGTGCCAAACTGTGTAGGACTGAGGACTAAAAGGATTATTAAGTTGTCCTGGTCTCTCCCTCTGTACTAAATCCACTGCCATCAACATAGTTTGTCAAGCAAAAAGGAGTCCTTTACTTTTATAACAGGCACCAGCACTTGGCTTTCTGTCCCAGCATGTCTTGGAATGGATTTCATCACTTTTACATTTCATTATCCTTGATAATAATAAAAAATATTTTTCTTTTGCATATCGATTGTTGGTGACAATATGAGTTGTAGTTATGTGTATTATCTAGCATTGCTTTCTTTTTACTGGTTACCACCCCTTTTCATGTACTAACATGTCCTGGAATGATGAATAAACTTTCCTGAATCCTTCAAGAATTTACATCTAAAGTAGCATGTGAGCGCAGGAGTAGATTATTGGAGAATGATCAATGTGTTAGTAAAATCTTTATGGATGATAGGATGATACTCCTGCATTGAGTGCTTTTTATAAGTGAGGTTACTTCCAGCAAAATACATACACAACATGGCTTATGTGACTAAATAAATGATATGTGCAAAGATAGGAAATCCTTCCTTAGGACTGCTTTGTAACATTCAACTGATTCTCAGATAAAACAAATGCTCACTTTCAAGCAATAAAAATCCAAATGAGCCTAAACTTCCATTTTTGAACCCTGACATAAGAAAAACGTGTAATGAATAGTCAGATCACCACACCATGAGGACTGGTGTGTGTGACCATGATGGGCTCATGGGGAAAAACCCTCAGCAGAGGCTGGTCCCTGCCAGACTGTCTGATCATAGTCAAACTTCGACTGCGTCTTAATTCTTCTACATATACTCAGTCAGTGATGACTCATGGAAAGGTTTTAACCCAATAAATACGATGGCTGAATCACATCCATTCCTGTTTCCCCCTGTATGCCGCTGCCTGCTCTTGTGTCGCAGTAGGCCGACAACCTGTTCCTCTTCCCCTGTGAAGTTGCATAAGCAAGGGCTCGCAGAGGCTTAATCCAATGACCGAGAGAAAGCCCGATTAGACCAGGTGACATGAACTCTTACCTTTCAGAGCCTGTCCTCCTCTCCTCGCCTCATGCTCGCCGGTCTCACTCAGGTCTGCGTCGAACCAGCCGCAAAAACGGTTCTCCTGGTTCCAGCAGCTCTCTCCATGGCGGATCAGGACAAGCTTGTACGCAGCCATCCTCACACCAATGCCCTCTACGCTGTATTTCCGGGAAACTTGAAACAAGCGTCTGTTCTTCAAATGCGGCAGTAACGTCCGCAGATTCGTCCGGATTTGGGCGCAGAAAGGAACCCGGCCAAACACGTGCGGGCGCAGTTTTGCTGAAGATCGGAATGAACGGATTGAGGGAGCAGTGGGTTTGTTGAGTCGGCTGGTCCGTCCGAACTTGACAGATATCACCACCCGAGCTCTCTCTTCCTGCTGGTTTTAACCAATCAGAGAGTGAGCTGTGAGCGCCGGAGGAGGAGGGAGGCAGGAGGATGCGCACAGTGGCACGTCCACACAACCAGCAGCGCATCCTGAGAGGGTTATGATAGCGCATCATAGGTGACCACTGTGTTTTTTTTGTTTTAATTAAAAAGCGGCTATACTCACCTACCTCTAAAATAGAGTATGTTTCAAACGACCCCGACCATCCCAACGATGAGACAAATGGAATGATTCCCTTTTTACGCATCTTGTTGGGATAGAGCAGTTTCAGCAACAACAATCTGATATTGTTCCATATTGATTCTCATCCACTAAATACGATTAGAATTATTTGGAGTGAAGTGGTTTCAGTATATTGGCTACAAAGGGGAACAGTGGATGGGTTTAATTGATCAAATTGCTTCTTTATCAAACAAGACAAGGCGGAAAACAGCACTGGGTCACAAACCATGAACTCAGACCACAGTTATACTGCTCAAATACTGTGAAAACCACGTCTATGAAACGGAACAGTGGAGACACTGAACAGTTACATCAGAGACCTCAGATGGCAGTTTCCTAATTTGTAGTTGCTCATGCGGATTGATAATAGACTTAAGGCCTGATTGGAAGTCCTCATCCCTAACACATGTACACTAGGTGATAAATGGTGTAGCAGTCTCAAACTGCTATCAGCCCAACTTAAGTGTTTTTTTTTAACTTTCAGCTTTACAGGTGAAGGGGAGGATAGCCATAGAAAATAATGGAATCTGAATTTGTAAAAATAAATAAATGCTCTTGTTGCACAGTGGCAGCAACACTGAGTTAGACACCCCCTTGAGCAATGAATATTGCCGGTTGCTTGCTTCTCTAGTTATACCAACTTTAGTAATGACCCCAGATAGCAATACACAGCAGTCTGAAGAGCCATAAACAAACCTCGACCAAAACGCTACTCTATAGCCACAAATAATGCTCAGAACAGCACCTAACTTCATCAACAGTACATATTGGGTCCCAGCCATACTACTAGTCCCTAAACATCTTTTTAATTTTGCCTGATTTATTTAGCAAAGAGACTAAACACAACTCACCTACTCTCTTCCAGCAGTCGCTTGTTTGTACGGAGACCTCGGGCCAGTCCATTATGGACTGCTATGGGGTGATGCAGCTCAAGGAAGAACATTTATGACCATTACTTCATGGAAATGCAATCAGACCAAGACGCTAAGGCAGAAGAACTACCGCTTCTGCAGTGCAAAATGATTAAAATGGTGATTATTACTTCAAGGAAATGAAAAAGAAATAATCATAAATATTCTTTCTTGAGCTGCGTCACCCTGCAGCAGTCAGTTATGGACTGGCCCGAGGTCTCGCTACAAACAAGTAGCTGCTGAAGCGAGTAGGTGAGTTGTGTTTGGTCTCTTTGCTAAAGAAATCAGGCAAAGCCAAAAAGATGTTTGATGGCTAGTGCTATGGCTGGGACCCTATATGTACTGTTGATGAAGTAAGGTGCTGTTCTGAGCATTATTTGTGGCTATAGAGTGGCTTTTTGGTTGAGGTTTTTGTTTGGCTCCTCAGACTGCTGTGTATTGCTATCGTGTGGTCGTTACTAAAATTGGTTTAACTAGAGAAGCAAGCAGTTGGCAACATTCATCTCTCGAGGGATGTCTAACTTTATGTTACAGTGTGTTTGACCCTAAATTAATTTCACGCCAGAATATCCCCTTAAGAGATACAACTGTAAAATATTATTTCAGATGATTTGTTAAGGGTAATTCACAGTCAAAAATAATTAATGTATCCTTTGCAATAAAGTCAACAGGTCACGGTTTGCAATGATTATAAAAATCCCCCAACACTGTACCATACTGTGGCGACTATCTCGATCACAAATTGATTCCGTTTTGTTTAAATATCTATGGGCCAGTTTTAAATAAAGAATTAAAGCTGCTTTCTTGTGGAATTCGGCTCTAACCAGCTTACAACTACAGTTAAGGATTCAAATGATTTTTATAGGGCGATAATTGATTGGGTTAACTGCGCTGTCACATGTCATTGGTAGGCGGGGATTTAAACCCAAGCAGCGCCGGGGATAGGTTGCTGTCGGAAACATTTGAACGCTGATTGGTCTAGAAACAAAACACTCAGCTGGTCCTACCTCTTCGCGGAAGCTGACAGTCATGTGATTTTTCTTTTTCCCTCCTGTGTTTCCGTGTTAGCCAGCGTCAGTGCTAGCATTCAAAACAACCGTCCCCTTTCTCCAGCCCTCCAGTATCGCTCTATTTTCTCGGCCCTCTTACTCTCCTGGAGTTAATTTAACTCCTTACCAACATAATAATGGACGAGACGAGTCCGCTTGTCTCTCCGCTCCGGGACTCCGGCGATTTTAGCTACTGTCCCACGGAGCCCACCAGCCCCCGGGGCGCGTTTGGAAGCACACCGGGTTCAGTAGTACGTCTTCCAGCTGGCAGCCCGGGGCTCAGCCGGGAGAGACAGCCGCTTCTGGACCGGGACCGTGGTGGGTCGCCACGAGAGCCGCACAGAAACGAGTTCCCGGAGGATCCCGAGTTCAGGGAAATCATCCGAAAGGCCGAGAGGGCCATAGAGGAGGGGATCTACCCGGAGAGGATCTACCAGGGGTCCAGCGGAAGCTATTTTGTCAAAGATTCACAGGGGGTAAGAGGAGCTGCTATCTTAAACCCGGGTCCTGTCTGTTTGTTTTTTTATGTCCATGCTCACAGGTTTAAAGTGTGATTTAGACTCTGAAGACTCAGGACCTTTCTGAAACGGTCCTTCAGTGTCTTGGGGTAAAGGCCTCTATGAACTAGCCTGTGATGACTTGGCAAAGAGGGGGCAAGGCATGCAAACACACTACAAGTGTGCGATGTCAAGTTTACACTGATACCTAAAAAAACTAAAACTTTGTTGTTTGTCTCTTAAAAAGTGTGTTTGGTTCACCTGGTAGTTAAAACCAGCACTCACAGAATACAGCTAATTCATGAGGCGACAGATCAGTATTAATGATCGATCTGTACTAACACACCATTAAATAGTACTAATGATAACAATAATAACTTATTTTGTGTGGCACTTCTAAAAACATTAGTTTACAAAGTACTTTGACATGTAGTCACGGAGCACATGGAAAAAGCCAGAAAAAAGAAAAAGCTCAGTTAAAACGGAAATGAAGGCCATTTTCATGTCATAAGGAACCCAGACAATACAAGAACTGAACAACATAAGATGAGACCATGAGGACCAAAATAAAAACATAAAATAGTTAAGAAAAAAGAAAATGCAATTTAAAGGGGGGTCAAAAGCAGAAACTGGATACTAAATATAAAAGGCAATATCAATAATGATAATAAAATAAAAACAGGTAATTCAGATAATAACAGTAATGATAAAATAGAGCAAGAGATAAAACACTAAAAGGCCTAAAAGGTTAATCAAGAAAAGAGTACAAGTACAACAAAAGCTAAAAAGACAGTAAAGCCGAAATAAGATAGAGGTAAAAGAGATGAGATGACAGTTATCAATTTAAAAAGTAAACAACTGAATGCATTTTTTTATTTTGAAGTTTAACATTATGAAGATATCATTGAACTTAAATTATTATTCTCAATCCATTCACATGGATTCCCCTTGGGTTTTCCTGCCATCAGTTTGACTTCTGCTGTGCTGGCCAGTGATCATCCTGTCAGGTCCTGCTGCTGCTGAGCAGGTAGTCTGTCAGTGAAAGTACATCTCTGGAAAGCTGTGCCAGTGACGTTGACAAAAACAACACAGTCACAGATAAGATGCAAATCAACCATTGTGCCAGATAGTGAAACCAGTCTGAGCAAAGAACAAAGTCTAAAATACCTCATCAGAGATGATGCTCGATCATCATCAGTTGTTGTTGGAGGTTTTCTTTTTTTGGGCATACTTTTTTCAGCGCTTTGATATCAAGAAGCTAGCTTTTGATGGACTATTATAAAGCATTTCTCCCATTTTTCCACAACATGTCCTTATTCTGTCAATCATGTTAGATGATGACAGTAAACTTTGATCAGCCCAGCTGGAACCAGCAAGTCAAAGTCTCCAGCAAGCCACACACACTGTTCTATCAGTTTGTAATTATCTGCAGTATGTTTTGTGCTCAGTCTGTTTTTGAAACGAGGAAGTGTGTCTTTGGACCTTGTGGCCCGTTCCTCCCAAATATCCCCTGTGGTGTGTTCAGTCTGTTAAAAAAAAGTTACTTGACTTCCTCTAAATGATCCTGTTACATTCTTATAGAAATTGAAATGAGTGAGTTTGACGTGGTTGAGGATATTATTCCCCTCACCCCCTCGCTTTACCAGTTACTTTAGTCACCAGTGCGCTTAGTGGTCATGTGCTACCGCTCTGTGAGTGTATAATTCTCTCCAGTGACTAGGTTTCATGTTTTAATCGGTATTTGTGTGTGTGTGTGTGTGTGTGTGTGTGTGTGTGTGTGTGTGTGTGTGTGTGTGTGTGTGTGTGTGTGTGTGTGAGTGTGTGTGTGTTTGTGTGTGTCAAACTGGTGTAATGCAACATGTGATTTTTTTACATACAACTTTAAAATCACATGGCACCCAAATTTCATGGAGACATTCATGTGCTATATGCTTAAAGAGTGATGTATAACTCAACTGTGATACCTTGGTTCATGCGATTTATAGTGACTTTCTTTTAGGACTAATAATTATGTATTTTTTTAATGTTCCTGTTGCACAACACCAATTCCTTTAGAGTTGAGACTGAGTAAACTGAAAATGTTGAATTTTTGGAAAGCAATGAGTTAAAAAAAAAAAAGGAACATGGGCAGGTTTACGATTGAGTTGCATCACCTTTTCTTTTAAGAGCACTGCAAATGTTCAGGAACCAAGGAGAGCAGTTTCTGGTGTTTCGAAATAAATATTTTTCCATTCTTGCCTGATGTAAAATCTCAGCTGCTTGACAGCTCAGGGACTCTTTGATCACATTTTTTGTGTCATGATGCAACACGTTTTCAATCCATGACAAGTCAGGACTGCAGGCAGACTCAACTCTTCTACCATGGGGCCATGCTGTTGGCTATTTTACACATGCAAATTATAGTTTGCCATCGTTCTGTAATTTGCAACACCTTCTTTGTAAAAGCAGATGTCTGTATGGCAACACATGTTGCTCCAAAACCTGTATCATTCAGCTTTAATGGTGAATGATAGATGTGTAAACTGGTCATACCATGGACACTTACAGGTCCCTACGAAATCAGGTATGCTGACTTCTAACCTGTGTGCTGATAACAAGCCAAATGGTCCTCCCTCTCTTTAGAGCTGAAGATGCAATGGCCTTGGTTTCTAAAAAGACGGTCAAGTTTGATTTTTCAGACCACTGAAAAGTTTTCACTTTGCTGTTGTCCATTGTAAAAGGGCTCGGGTCCAGAGAAGTTGTGGGCATTTCTTAATAAGAATAGTTAACATAAAAACATACAGTTAATGCATACGTCTTTTCTTTCTCCCCTCAATCCCTTCACAGAAAATCATTGGTGTGTTCAAACCTAAGAATGAAGAGCCCTACGGCCAGCTGAACCCAAAGTGGACCAAGTGGCTCCAGAAACTGTGCTGTCCTTGCTGTTTTGGACGGGATTGTTTGGTGTTGAACCAGGGCTATCTCTCAGAAGCCGGGGCCAGCCTGGTCGATCAGAAACTGGAGCTCAACATTGTTCCCAGGACCAAGGTACAGACATACCAAGTGTTTTTTCAGCATCATCAACAATACTCTGCCAAAATCTCCTCTCTTAAAGTCAGTGGATTATTACCCTCCAGGTGGTGTACCTTGCAAGTGAAACATTCAACTACAGTGCCATAGACCGGGTGAAATCCCGAGGAAAGAGGCTCGCTCTAGAGAAGGTGCCTAAAGTTGGTCAGCGCTTCCACAGGATTGGACTCCCACCAAAGGTAATTTCATGAATTTTATTACTCAGATGATTGCAACAGAATCGAATGAAGACATTTGCTGTGCATCATCATTTTCAGGTCATTAGGAAAAACATAGAACTGCCATAAGAAGTATTTTTTTCTCAGGGTTTTCACAACAGTTTCATGAGGAAGTTCTGTCATTACTCTGGCTTTTTATCTTTACCCCAAACCACACGACAATGACACATTAACACCCAGAGGGTGATTTTGCACAATGTTTAGGGCTTGACACTAACTTTTTTCACAAGGAGCACATGTGCTTCTAAGTTTAAAAAGTAATGAGCACACAAAGAACTTGAGGGGCACAATGAAAATTGATCAAATAATGTTTGTCTTACTGGGCGACATAAATACTATTATTTGAAATCAAATTTAAATCAGTTGGTCCCGTGACATGGAAGCTATTGAGGAAACTGTTCAAAATTTGCCTTTAAATTTAACACAAAAATTTTTAGAGGACAAATTAGGGAAATAAAGAGGTGTGTCTTATTGTCTACACTTAGTACTACTATTTGAAATCAATTTTAGGTCAGTTGGTCACATGACATGGAAGCTATTGAAGGAAACAAAGGGACCATCAGTAAACTAGTAATTTATTGATGGTCCCTTATTCAACACCTGACGTTGACAGCGAGGATGTTGAATAAGTAGATAAGATAAGCTGAGTAGATTTAACCGTGCTGCTGTTGCTATTCCCGGTTATGGAGAATGAGAAGACACCGGTAGATCCACAGCGAATGTCTGTCGGATATCCAACCTAAAACTAACTTCTTTTACTTTACAGTAAAAAGGCATTTGTTGCCTCGGCTGATTTTTTTTAGGCGCACATGTGCCCCTAAATACATTTTACAATTCACACACATCTATTTTTAGTCGCAAAAATGGTGCGAGTGAAATGGTGGCACTGTCAAGTCCTGGTGTTGCAGGGTTACAGAAAAAAACAAAATGCCTTCATGTAAAAGAGTAAATGCCTCACTCAGACACATGCACACAGCATGGTACTGTGTCCCTCTGTCACCGCAGTTTACACAGCTGCCATCAGACTTTTACTATGTCTTTCTTACTACCTTCCATACCAGGTACTACTGGGCCTCTATGCGTTTTACAATAAAGATGAGGTTCAACAGTCCTACCTTAAACAGATAGTTAAAATATACTGTATACTGTAGAAAACGTAGTAAACAGCTGTCTCACGAAGACTCTGTTCTGTTGCTTGCTGTCCAGGTCGGTTCCTTCCAGCTCTTTGTAGATGGATATAAAGATGCCGATTTCTGGCTGCGGAGGTTTGAAGCAGAGCCTCTGCCTGAAAACACCAACCGTCAGCTTCAACTTCAGTTTGAGCGACTGGTAGTCCTCGATTATATCATCAGAAACACAGGTATGTTCCCTACACGCTCAGTTCAAAGTGTGTAACTCAGATCTGGATGGTATAATTGTATTAAACTATTTTTATTTTGATGTTCCAGACCGGGGAAACGACAACTGGTTGCTGAAGTACGACTGTCCCATGGATCCTGTCGGGAATAGGGTGAGAACACACAGACACACCTGGCATTTTTTTTTAAAGAACTAACTCTTGAGTGTGTGTTTATTTCATACTTGTAACTTCATCTCTGTAGGACACAGACTGGGTGGTAGTAAAGGATCCTATCATTAAGCTGGCAGCTATAGATAATGGCCTTGCCTTTCCTCTCAAACACCCCGACTCCTGGAGAGCCTGTGAGCACCTACATTGTTGTATTTCTCTGTGCACATCTTTTGAACTGATTTATCTTCGTACTGTTTTGTTGCACTTTTTTCTTTTATGTATTATTTTTTTTGCTAATCCATTCCATCTCCACGTTATTAACCTTTCACCTCCTTTTAGAGAAATGTACATGATTTGTAAGCCTTTGTCTCCTTGTCCGATCAACAGATCCCTTTTACTGGGCGTGGCTGTCCCAGGCCAAAGTTCCTTTCTCCCAGGAAATCCGAGAGCTGGTCTTGCCCAAACTCTCTGACCCAAATTTCATAAAAGACCTGGAAGAGGACTTGTACGAATTATTCAAGGTGCGTTGGGTTTTTGTCTGTGTGTTTCATGCAGCTCAAGTAGTAATTACATCAGCAGGCAAAGTGTGAGAATCTGGCTGAGAAATGGATGCAGAAATAATACAACAGGAAATATAATATGGGGAGGGAAAGGCTTATATCTGTGGCTATAAACATGACATGTAACATGATTTGGTGTGTTGTGTTTTACAGAAAGATCCTGGTTTTGACAGAGGACAGTTTCATAAACAAGTCGCAGTTATGAGGGGGCAGGTAAGTTGTTCTTCCCTTTTTTATCAGGGGAATCCAGAGGAACATAAGGATAGCTCTGTATCACCTCTTTTCAGAAGCTTCATATCGAAAGTGTCTTTATCTCTCCTTTTTTACATTTTTTTTGCAAGATCCTGAACTTGTGCCAAGCCCTAAAGGATGGTAAAACTCCACTGCAGCTGGTCCAGATGCCCCCAGTAATCGTTGAAACAGCCAGAGCGCCTCAGAGAGCCAACAGTGAGTCTTACACACAGAGTTTCCAGAGCAGAAGACCTTTCTTTACCTGGTGGTAGGAACGCCACAATGAGGGATGAGGAGGAACAGCAGGAAGCAGGAGCAAGGAAAGAAGCAAGTATTGATGAACTGTCGGATGAAAGGACATGATCCAAGAGCGCATGAGTCTGTGCTGGAAATGGAAATAACTCATCACCCGTCCCTGATGGATAATTTGGTTTGAGAGACTGGAGTGAATTGGTGGAGAGATGAGGCCAAAAAGGGAGAAATCTCATATCATGTCTTCTCTCTTTGCTTCAGTGCCTTGTATGTGGATGTCAATGAAGAATGAACTAAAAGCTGAAGATTCTATACCTTCTTGCAAAAGAGCTCAGACTTTTCTTTCAGACTTCCTGGGTACACGTAACGTTTGCTCACACAGAAGCCTCTCTTTCTTCATTTTTTGGATGGGAGGTGTTTGCATTCCATGTTTGTTTGTTTTTTTCTCTTCATACCTCTCAGCCTTTTAATATTTGCCTGCATATTCCCTCCCGTGCAGTTACAAGCCCTGGGCTGGTGAGAGCAGCGGTGCCACTACTGAAGATCAACATTTTAGTTTTACGAAACAAAGAAAATAGGAGTGTTCACTGAGGTTCACTTAAAAGGATTTCGGTACTGGTGAACTTGATGTATTCAAATATTGTGAACTGGTTTCACAGTAACTCATTGGTCTTCCTAACTGTTCAGATTAGGATCTATGAGTCCACAGGGTGATGATGAAAGGCAGAGGCACTTTGGGTTCAAGTAACAAGCTCCTTGTTAAACTAAGTGACTCGCCCAATTTCCTTCTTTCACTAATGAATTAAACCACTGGGGAAGAAAAAAGTTAATTCATCTGCAAGCAGGCTAAGGACAGGCCAGTTGTCCTCGGCCCACACGCTCCTGTTTGTCTCGGCCATGTTGATTTCTGTGAATTTTCCGCCTCATGGGGTGGGTTGAAGTAAACAACAGTAACTTCCTGCTGTACTGAACTGACATGAAATGTATTGTGGCAATGCACTGTATAATTTGTATGTAATATTTAATGATAGATTATAATTAAAACATATTCCATTAATACAGAATACTTGTGCATATATAAAGGAACGTTTGCAGTCAGAGATGATCACAATTACACAGAAATAAAAATCAGACCTCATTTAGTCCATGTGCCAACAAGACATGTCTCTAAAGCTGCTATAAATATCATCAGATAAATAACACGTTAAAGACTATATGTTGTGTGTAAAAAGTTTTTCGACTTATGTTTCACTTCTATGTTCAACTTGTCTTGTTGTGGTTTCAGTCTGGCTGCTCTCATCATCAGTATTATTTCCTGTCAGAACAGGAAATGTTTTTGGTGCACTGTAAAATGAGCACCTGTTGAAAAGAGTTAGCAGCAAGCTCATGGAAATTTTGCAGTCACTGGAATAAGAGCTATTTCCCACAGGATTTGGACAATAATAAAATTAAAGTATAAAGAAAGTAGACTATTAACCAATTCCAGTCTAAAATAAGACTATATTAATTCTGATGTCACTATATACACTGGATATTAACTCTTTTGTAGACATGAATAATTGACACGTTGTCATTGTTGTGTTACCCGCTTGTTTCCACCGCCCTGAGTGAGCATAATTAGTCACCTACGTTTTAACAGCTTGGTACTGTTATAAGAAAGAAATCAAAACTCAAAACACCCTTAGCTCAAAGCTCTCTTGAATAATATTGTATAATCCTGAAAATAGTATTACAAAACCACACCACAGATATAATGAAAATGCTTTATGGGGTCGTCGACATGAATAACAACCCCTTGTACCTTGTAGGTGTCTAAAAGGCTCATTTGATCATCTGTTTAACTGCTGTCTGTCTCCTTTCTAACATACTGTATACTTATATAAATTTGTAAGATTAGAGCTCAAGAATTGCAACCTCATTGAAACAGGTTTTGAAAGTCTGCAAATCATCAAACTCTATATTTCATTAAATATTGTGCAAAGACAACGTACGAAGAGTTGAATCTGAAAAATGCCATTGCTGCAGTTATGCTCATATTTAAACTAATGCTGGCAACATGTTTTTAAAAAAGTAAAGAAGGGGAGAAGAATTTGGTTGATACTGGAAAAAACAGCTGGGGGTTTACCATTCTGTGAGAGACTGCATAAGCAAGTAGTTCAACAAATGTAGGATGATGTTCATCAACATGAAATCACAAAGAATATGGAGATTTCATCATTTACAGTACATAATATAAGATTCAGACCACCTGGAGAAATCTCTGTGCTAAATAGACAAAACTGAAAACCGGTAAATGAATGACCATGACCTTTGGCACTGCATCAAAAGTAGACATGACTCTAGAAAACACAAAATAGATTATAAAAAGCCATTGTCTGCATTCACAAACACAGGTTCAAACTCTATCACACAGAGAGGAAACAATATATGCACATGGTCAGGAAATGCCAGCAACTCTCTGGACCTAAGTCCATTTAGGACAAACCAAGAAGAGGTAGAAAACTGATTTGTGTTTTGACAACTTAAAACTTGACGCCACATCCTTCTCTCCAAAGAGGAGAAGCACCACCCAGTTTTGTATCAGTGCACAGTTTGGAAACCACCGTTCAGGATGGTGTCAGGGTTTGATGCATATATGCCTACAGTATGGGTCGCTTACATGTCTGTGAACAATACAAACAGATTCTGGAGCTACATATGCTGCCATCCAGGCAATGTCAGAGAAGACCTTACATATCACAATAATCCTCTATTCATGAGACAACTATGTTTGACACTTTATTTTAACATCTCCTAAAGAAATATATACATCTACAATATACATCTTTTTTTTTAAATCATTATGTCACTATGTCATTATGTCAGCAGGTAGCAATGCTAATAATTCAAGGCTTTCTAAAACTGCTTTGAGCAGTATGCTTACATTTTTTGAGTGTGAGTTTCAACACGGCAAAGGGTGACAGTGGGGATGTCATTAGTTGTCATGGGTTTCCATTTAAAGGTACAGTGAGTAGAAATAGGAATATGTAGGTATATCTTGAGGTCAGTTGCTAGATTGACTTTCCTTAGCCCTCATCTGTGGTGGACTTTAAAGACAAGAAGCTGTGATGCATAGTAAGCATGATCCTCCATTTATCAGTGTTTTCTGCACAACAAGTTTTTACTTCTTCGTCTCTGGATCCCAGTCATATTTTGCATAGCTGCTTACAACATAGAAAACATGTGTTGCTTGCTACTATGCCTACAGTTGAATATGCCAGTCAAAGATAGAAGCCTGCACAAAAAGGGACTCCTTTGTAGAAACAAGAAGCTCTGTCTAAGGCTATGTCCACACTTAGGCATGCAGTTTTGAAAATGTAGGTCCTTCTTTGGCTTTTTGGCCAAAACTTACCCCCCTTGCACCGATCTTAAAAATTATAATGTAAAAATCATTAGTCATGTCACTGATGGTCTTGTATGTTTTTAAATATCAGGAAAAAATCATCAATGGGAATTTCAGTCTGTTTCCAAGATGCCAAAAAAGGCCTCATAGGAGCTTCAACAAGCAGGAAACAAATATATATATCTCAGGGGTTTTACACTAAATTCTTCTTCACTTCCTAACTGATGCATTACACACATTCAGAAACCAGTATAAAAATACAGAAACCAGTGTGTTACGGGGAGTTCGTGCTATGGTCAAGAGTTAAAAAGGCTGATTTAACCATAATTACAAATTATATACTACACTTCTACCAAGTCTGTCCTGTTTAATACAGCTAACCACAGACCACACTTTTGATAAATAAAGGTACATTTATTGTGATACTAAAGGAAAATAAACAGTCAGTTACTCCTTAAATGTGTACAGCAGGAGCATTTCATGGCATAAGCGTTGCGATATTTTCAGTTTCCTACAAAGTTATAGCTGACATTGGCAGTCCTTTACTCAGGAAAATAATGTTGCAATACACCATTTTGCCATAAAGACACAGCCCTGAAGATCCACACCACCATTTTACTCTTCATTACTTCTGCAACTAATCTAATTTAGTCTCAGTGAGGAATGTTGAAAGCTAAGCATGACAAATTGTGTGGTGAATGTATGTGTGTGTGTGGGGGGGTATGCAGACAGGGAGGACAGTCTTGTGAGGTTGTGTGAGTGAGTGTGTGTGTAGGTATGCAGGGAGAGGAGGAGAGTCTTGTAAGGTCACACTAAGTTTATTAGGCACATGATAATTTCCACACTTCATTTCAGACTCAAAGAGAGTCTGGAGTCAAGTTAGACAGAGGATCAACAAGGTCAACTTACTGTTCATTGATAAGAGGATAAAGTTATAAAGTTGTCTCTTATTGTCTTCGTCTTATTTCTTAGTTATTATTTCCTTAATGTTAACTGGTCTCTGGACATTTGACACAGTCACTTACCTGAGATGTCCTGGGCTCTGTTTCATTGTGCTCTTCTTCTTGTTTTATTCCAGGATCTGACTCAGAGGCACACCAAGACTTGAGCTAGGAAGGCCTCCACCTGTCGAGGAGAGTGGGGTAAGATGAGCCATTTTTCATATATCGGATCACTGCATTAAGGCCATCATATTTCAAGATGTTGTGCATCCCTGCAAACCAACAGAATGAGTGAAAACATTATGGTCTTGATAATATAGCATGCCAAAAAAAGTGGTCTCCTATGGTCAACTTACCACAACTTAACCCCCCCCCCCCCCCCCCCACACACACACACACACACACACACATACACACACATACACAGACAAACACAAACACACACTCTCCACCGCAGCCCTCCCTCACCTTCTCTCTCCCTAAATAACAGTCACTTCTTCACATTCATGTGTATTTTTATCTACCATATGCTATTCAACTGGTACAATAATTCTTTTTATTATTATTGCATATAAATGCTCAAAAGCTGTTTGTAAAAAGTCATTTTGACATGAGAATGTCTGTAAGTGATTCAGAACATTCACAGCTGTATTTTTGAAAAGAAAAAGTAACACATTTCAACAATCTGAACTGAAACTCTGATCCTCTCATCAGACTCCTTTACTTTCTCCTTGTTAGCCACTGGCTCAACTTACCCCAGAACTACTATTATGACTTTATTAGTCCTCTAAGATAAAATGGTGGACTTTTATGCTAGGTTTTGTAGCTCATAGATACAGCAATTGATGTATAAAACAAATATCAGAGAAGTGTGGGTTTTCCGACAGACCCTGAAGGCACCCTAATTAAGAGCCTATGAATATCAGGTGTATCACTTCATCGGACAGGTGGGTAAAGCGCGCGTATGCAACTTCAGTCTTGAACTGTTTAGATATCATCTCGTCTCGGGGGCTGTTTTGTGCTTTTTCATTCAAACACGAACATGTGTGGACTTTTTACTGGACTGCTGAGGTCTCGCCAGGCTCTTGCTCCCAGGGCACGTGTAATATTTCAGCAGCGAGCAGGTTTTATTAACAGCAAACCGCCAAAAGATAACATTGGTGTAATGGTGAGTTCACTCTCTCTTACCGATAATTATGCGTTGGAAATGTAATTAATTGTCATTAAAAATAACAAATAAATGGTACCAAAGAGCCGTAACAAGGTTGTTTTCTGCAGGAATCTGCCTTTGTGATGACAGTGATGACTTTGGCCGTCCTCGGACCTTCTGGTTGGATACTTTCCCACTTGGATGACTACAAAGGCCGTGACTGATGGATGAGGGCCCTGAGAACACCGGCTTAAACTGATCTTTGCACCCTTTTCTTTTTTGTAACAATAAAGTTGTACATTTCCACAGTCGCACTTGCCCGTGTCTTTTCTGTACGGTGGCCGAGAACCGCCACTGATAAAAAAAAAAAAAATATATATATATATATATATATATATATATTTTTTTTTTTTTTTTTTTTTTTTTTTTTTTTAAATGCAAAAAAAGAAACCGCGACTGAAGTTACTGATGCAGAGAGAGAGAAAAAAGAGAGAAAAGAAAACCGAAGCCTGCTGCAAATAAAAAAAAGAAATGGTGCGGATTTAAAAAAAGGAAGTTAATGATGAAAAAATAAGTGGTGATGTGAAAATTATTTTTTACTTATTGCGAAAATAAAAGGATGCAAGTAAAAAAAGCCACAATGGAAGTGAGCTGCCGGGGACCAATAATGATGATGCACCAGTGTTTTACGATCTAGGCAGAGAAGACGACGGCGAGAAGATGAGTCCTTTGGTCAGGCTAGGTAGCGCCTGAGTCGATATGAAGTCGAACTGAAGAATGCCGGTATAGTTTTAGCTTCAGATCAACTTCATATCGACTTAGGCACAACATGGCTAAACCAAATGACACATTGAAAAGTTAATGAAGCAAAATTCAACAATAACCTTTATACTGACTTCTTTGCTAGCCTTCTATGCCTAGATCGTAAAACACCGGTGCGTCATCATTATTGGTCCCCGGCAGCTCACTTCCATTGTGGCTTTTTTAATTTGCATCCTTTTATTTTCACAGTAAGTATTTATTATTTTTAACATCGCCCCTTTTTTTTGCGTTGTTAACTAATGTTGTGGCTTTTTTATCTGCACCATTTCTTTTATTTGCAGCAGGCTCTGGTTTCTTTCTCTCTCTCTCTCTCTCTCTCTCTCTCTCTCTCTCTCTCTCTCTCTCTATCTATCTATCTATCTATCTATCTCTTTGCATCAATAACTTCCGTAGTGACTTCTTTTTTGCAGCAACAGCAGTGGCGGTTCTTGCCCACCGTACTTCTGAACCAGTGTAGTTCAGGAGCTTCACCAGTAGATGTCAGCAACCGTTGGCGGAAGTAAAACCTCTGGTGCGGGTCACAAACACAGGGACTCAAATACACTGAAGATGTGTGTCGACCCGTCTCTAGAATCAAACTCTCGTCACGGGGAATCCAGTTAGAAAACTTGGGGGCATAAATTCGGCCAAAGGAAGTAGGCTGTGGGACTGTGCTTTTGAATCTACCATGAAGACACAGGTGACTGTGGCTCGAAAGCGGCCATCTGAGACAAAAGTGTCCGGAGCTGGACCTGCTCTGTCTCTGCAGGAGGAGCTGGTTGCAGCGATACATGGAGCGTTTGAAGTGGCGGTGGAGATCGCCGTACGAGAGGTTTCAAAGCTCTTAGGTCAGGCGACAGGAGACATTTGTGAGAAGATGAGACGAGAGAACGAGACCCTCAAACAGAGACTGCAGGAAGCTGAGGCACTGTTGGACTCTAATCAGCTCCTGAATGCAGCCAAACAGAAAGATCAACCTACCTGCTCCAAATACAAGCAGAAAAACCCAAATCTAATGATGGACAATGGAGTCAGAAGTGTCATCGGAGCAGACCACCGGCTTCCTGATCCCCAACAAGAACAACTGAGCAGGAAAAAAGAGCAGACAACAGGCGATGATGTGAGGAGACCTGTCAGTGATGCAGTCACTTGTGATTCATTCACTGTCGGTATGTAGCAGCTTTTAGATCCTGTATGTTTACTGTACATTCATAATACTCTGGCTCATGTAGAGAAGCAGTTTGAACTCTAAAGTATGTACAGAAATGTAATGTTCACGTGATGCTGACCATATTCACACATTTTTGGACACACGTGCAAAATTAAGTGACAAACATTTCCTGTTGTATGTGTTTAAACAATCATCAACATTAACTGGGTGGAAGAGACAATTCTGTGCATCCTACATGCAAATGAAACAGTAATGACAAAGGGTTCTATCTTATTAGAGTTCCAGTTTTCCTCTTTATGTGATAGTGTACTGAATTTTGTCTCAGTTCTTGAGGGCACTTTGCAATTGGCAATATTATGGAATCACAATCTCATATTTAAATCAACTGTGAGGAACTTTTGGTTTGTGGCAATTTGGCACTCCCTTGTGGACAAAGTCCTTGCTTTTCTTGTCCTATATAGGCTAAAGTTGTATCAATTTTTTTAACTGAAAAAAAGTCACCATTTTGACTCATGATGCTCAAATTTATCATTGATTGTAAATATTTTCTGTTGAAACTGTAAAAGTAGATCTGCTACCCCAGCTGCTTGGCTGGTACCTACCCTAATCCTCTAGTTTCAGGTACTAAAAATTGCAATATAAAATTCAGCAACTGTATTGCTGATGGTCTTGTTTGCTTTTGTTTATCATAAAAAGGCAACAAGATTAATAAAAATAAAAAGGCAATTACACCATTTTAACACAGAGGTATGAGTTGGGTTAAAATTCTCTTAGTAAGCACTCCCAAGAAATCTTCTTATATACTGTTTTATTGTCAAGGTCTGGTACTATGTAACCTATTCTTCAATGTTTTCTTTCACAGAATCCGGTGATGAAGCATCTGCTGCATGTGTGGTCAGAGCAAACCACGTTGACCCAACATGTCAAAACCCAAACACCCAAGATCCCTACTCCCTACCTCTTCCTTGTGGGGAAGACAATTCCACCTTGGAGCAGATTAATTTGAAGCAAGAGGAAACATCTACAGAGGAAAGAGGTGGTTCGAGTTGTTTTTTAGACTCCATCAAAGTGGAGGATTTTAGCCCTGAGTGTATGTCAGCAGTTCAGTCCAAAATGCTAGAGGAGTGGAAACCAGAAGCACTGGATGATCGGAGTGGAGACTCAGACACTCAGGGTGAGAAAGACAAACAAAACACTACTAAATGTCTGTTTTATAGAAACGCATTAAAGCAGGAGAACTGAGTTTATGAAATCCTCCTTAAGATCAAAAGACATTGAGACACTTAATTATTTGATATTTGTAGCAACAAATGAAAAAAATACAGCGGTTCATATCCTGTTGTCCATTATTAGATTTAGGTCTTATCCTCCTCCTCAAATGAATGAGAAATTAGGCCATTGAGAGAAAAAGTTAAAGACATCAGAAAAACATACAATTTACTACATTTGAACACACATCTGTTTTTTTGTAAGTCAGTCATTTGCCTTCCTACTGATTGTCTTTGTGGTTGTAGTGAGGACTAAGATGAAAATACTATCAGCAGGTTTGATTATAGTCACACTGGATCAGCTTCATGCATACAGGTACTTTTGCTTAACTTTAGCATCCAGACTTAGAGTATGGCTGCTACAAAGCCATATATCCTTAGTTTGTTTATAAAGTACCATTCATACAAATGTGAGCCACTCAGTTGGGAAAACAAATAAATGAATAAATAAAATATGACAGCAGAATCTCACCATCCTGACAGACAAATGATATAAATTTGACTTTAGCTTTGAAAGCTTCAGTTCTACCCCTGCATGTAATTCTTTGAATTTCTTTCCTACAGCTGCTTCAAATCAGACCTTCCATCTTGCACCACCCCCAAATCCTCCAGCCCTCTCTCCAGAGTTCCCAAACATCTTTCCTCCAGCAGAGCCCGTCCCTGTACCAGAGGCCACTTCACAAGCTTATGGTGTCCGTGTAAGAAGCAGTCGCAACTTTGGTAACCTCTATGCCTGCAAGTACTGCAACAAGATCTTCCACCTGCCCAGCCTTCTTCGAAGGCACTATGGCCAGTGCCAGCACAGGCCCCAGCAGTGTTACCAGCTGCCTGTAGCAGGAAGCAAGAGGACCAGGCTGCAGCTTTACCCTCCTGGGTGCAGCCCCTTCCGCTGCATGGAGTGCAGCCGAGAGTTCAATCGAATGGAGAACCTCAAAACTCACCTCCGCATCCACACAGGAGAGAGACCATACACCTGCTCCGTCTGCTCCAAGTGCTTCCGTCACTCCGGAGCGTTAACCAGACACTTTCGAATCCACACGGGGGAAAAGCCTTATGTCTGTGGACAGTGTGGGAAGTCTTTTAGGAACTGTGGGGGGCTTAAATTCCACCAGAGATTACACAGCCAGTAGCAACAATACAGTGGGACTTATGTGAGATGTAAATCCTGGTGTCAATTTTTTTACGTCGCTAAAATGTTAGACAGGGTTTGACCGTCTGTAAACCCTAACGCCAATGTTGAACCAATACGATAAAGTGACAGTTTCATAAATGTTGCTTTTCGGGACTATATATAGAAATAGAAAATCAGTAACATTGATCAAGTATCTCCTGTAAGAAAAACAACTGAAAAACGAGAACCATTCACTTATTTATTTTTTTGACATATAAGAATGCTACAACCTAGATACCGGGCTGTGAAGATACTGAAGGGCCTACATATATTTAAGGTGTAAACTTATATTAGTATCTGGATTCACCATACACTGCCAGGTGATGGTCTGAACTGATAAACCTTCCCTCAGGTTTGCACATGTAGGTAAAGAGTATTGTTTTAAAGCTCTTGTCTAGACAGCAGCTTCTCTACAAGTCACTAAGCAGTCAGTCAAATCATCTTATTGTTTTACAGCTTTTATATTAAACCAAATTTACGTTATTATGTCAGGAGAAATTGACCAAGAAGAAAATATACTGTGGCAATGTGATGTATCATTTTTGTTGATGATTCTTCCGAAGGTGTATCAAGAAAACATGCATATCCCATTCGTGGAAATGTTGTTTGTTATTTTTGTGTGCCTGTAATGTATTTAAATATGATATTTTGTCCACAGTATATGACAAATAACTTCAGTGAATAAAAATATTACAAATGCTCATACAGTGGCCAAAGTGCATCAGCTTTGTTCCACCATGACAATCTTTGTACACAACTTATAAATCATGAGTCTCCTGCACGAATCGGAAGAGTTGACAAGTAGTACTTTCTAACCTTATCTCCTGCGATGCTCTGGGACAGTAATTTCTCTTGCTTATCTCCGATTTTACAGCCAAGGAAACAAATAAGATTGTGACTTCACTTCAGAACCAACAACTTGAAGATCATCGCCACAAGAAATACAAAAGTCAAGATGATGTTACTGTTCCTCAACCCCTGTGTCAATTTCTTGGGCTGTAGAAAGATAGCGATGACGTATTAATGATTTAGTTGCTTTCAAAACATACCAGTTTGGATGTAGACCACCCCATTACAGGATATGTAGATTTTATGGTCCCTAATGGCAGGCTCTCCTCTGCTGCTGGGTCGCTTAAACGTATCTCTCTCCCTGTCTGTGCAGTCAGTGGTCTGCGTGACTGTTTATTTTAACTAAATGTTTATAAGGTAAAGAAGGTGTATCAGCTTTCACATGAAGCAGGAAAATGAGATGAGTGACCTCAGGAGATCCATTTGATGATGCATCCAGCCATGTGTAAACTGAGGTCTGGTGTCGATGCTGGTCACTTTGAGAGACCATTTACTGGCAGTGGTGGACAAAATACACAACTTTATTTAACAAGTGGTAATGTAGATACTGTTTGCTTTGGAAAAATAATGAAGTATTCCATCTACTTGCAGGACACAATACAGAATTAGATAATGCAGATAGTGAGTATGTTAGTTTGAATTCTTGTCAGCTGAATAAATTTCTACATTTGTCTGTTTTTGCAGTAAGGCCCTATCAGAGAGGAGGAATCTTTCCTCTTTCTCGAAGACAGTATAAAAACATAACCACCTGGGACAATTTCAGTTTGTCATTACAGTATGAGAATGTGTTGCTGCCTGCTATGAGACTCAAGTACATTTGTCATCAAAGTTTTTAAGATCTCTAACTCACATGTCAATTTGTTCAGAGGACTAACCTTACAACCCAAAGATAATGTGACAATCAACTTCTTATCATCAGGAAACAGATTGTTGTTTCCAGATAATCAGAGAGTAGGGCATCACAACAGCATGGACAGATCACATCTTAACTGTGGCCTCTCTTTTAAGGAGCACCCATCATTGATCAGTTAATCAGACTGTGCTTCAATCAGGGACAGACCATAGACTATATATAATCTATGGGACAGATGCACAGTTGGGTTCTTAACCCTCCTGAACAACTCCGATAAGGAGGGCTGACCAAAGTGTGCTTTATTCTTACACAGTATGCTGTGCCTGTTCCTTGTTCTGCAGTTCTTCATATGTTTGAGTCTGTGTCGCTGTCATTTTTAGAAGAGCTGGTTGGCCATATTAAGCCTGCAGGTTCTCCCTGTGATGTTGTCCTTCCCAAGCTGTTTAAAGAGGTTTTCCCCTGCATAGGTCAGTCTGTTCTGGCTATCATAAATAGCAGTCTGTCTTCTGGTGTTGTTCCGCCAGGTTTTAAACATGCAGTGGTGCAAACTCTACTTAAAAAACCAGGCCTTGATTGCAGTGTGCTGGCCAATTTTAGGCCCATCTCCAAGCTTCCCTTTATTTCAAAAATGTTAGATAAAGTTGTCCATGTTCAGCTAAAGTCTTTTCTGGATGAGCATGGTGTCTTGGAGGTCTTCCAGTCTGGTTTTAAAACTCTTCACAGCACAGAGTCTGCTTTATTAAGAGTCTTTAATGAAATCCTTCAGGCAAATGAACCTGGTGATTATGTTATTCTTGTTCTGTTGGATCTAACCGCAGCTTTTGACACAGTGGACCACAATACTCTGGTGGCTGGGCTATTTCACCTTATAGGTATACGTGGTACTGCACTGGAGTGGTTCAAGTCATATTTGGCTGACAGAACAATGAAGGTGAGTCTTGGAGATTCAGTGTCCAGCTCTGCTCCACTGCTGTATGGGGTTCCACAAGGGTCGAATTTAGGGGCCCTGCTCTTTTCTTTGTATTTTCTGCCCCTGGGCTCCATCCTAAGAAAGCATGGCATTTCTATTCATTGTTATGCTGACGACAGTCAGATATATGTGCCAATTAATAGGAAAAATGCTTTCTCCCTTGCACCCCTTCTGGCATGTCTTGAAGACATCAAAGCCTGGATGGCTTTGAACTTTTTAAATTTCAATGAGAGAAAAACAGAAGTGATGGTCTTTGGTTCCAGTGGCCCTTGTGAATCCCCTCCGGTTGACTTGGATATTTTAGCTGACTATTTAAAGCCAACTGTCTTAAATTTTGGTTTTAAGATGGACAGTGATTTTAAATTCGACAGGCAAATTAGCTCAGTTGTGAAATTCAGCTTTTATCATATTAGGCAGCTGGCAAAGGCAAAACCATTCCTTGCACATAAGCACTTTGAAACAGTAATCCACGCCTTTGTTATATCTCGGCTGGATTACTGTAACGCACTTTACTTTGGAGTCAGCCAGTCTTCCCTCTTACGTCTCCAGTTAGTTCAAAACGCAGCCGCCCGGCTCTTAACTGGAGTACGTAAGAGGGAGCACATTACTCCCATCCTGGCCTCCCTCCACTGGTTACCCGTGCATTTTAGAGTTCATTTTAAGATTCTTATTCCAAATTATTATTCCAAAATTATGGAACGAGCTACCCCTCCAAATCAGACAAGCCCCCACACTGTCCATTTTTAAAACTCGTCTTAAAATCCATTTGTATTCATTGGCTTTCAACCCTGCATGAGGCTCAGCTCCAGTTTTAGTGTTTTATGGTTTGTTTTTAGTTATTTGTTTCTATGTTTTTAATCAGTTTTTAAAAACATTGAAACTATATTTTAGTTTTTAATTCTGCTTTATTTTATCCATTGTTTTAATTGTTTTTATGTCTGCGTTGTTGTGTCTATTCTTGTACAGCACTTTGTTTAGCTTTGGTTGTTTAAAGTGCTTTACAAATAAAGTTGAGTTGAGTTGAGTTGAGTATATGCATTCAATCTGCCGACGAGTACACAATGATTTTATGTAAATTATAGAATTATAATGATCACTAGACAAAAAATGATATTTATCCTGAGAAATCATTTTTTCGACAATTTAGATGAAGAAATAAATAATTCTACACTGTGCTTTGCTGTATAAAATAAGCTTTTAAAATGTATATCACAACTCAATCATGAGATAAAAATGAAATCATTCTCTGACTTGTAAAGCTTCCTGACATCTGGATCTTTTTATCTTCTGCCTCCTCCAGTTAAAGGAGCAAAAAATGTGTGGAGTACCTCAACTCTGCATCCCTCAATCATTTGACTCTGTGATCGACTACACCCGACTGCGTCCGACAATCGTCTTTTCCGCTATCCATTATCCCTCCTGGAGTACAAGAGAGGAAGCGGACGTACCCAGAGTAACACGGAGCTAACGAGTCCATCTGGGACAGCACAAACGTACACAAACAAGAATCACAGCTTTATTTGCCTGATATCTCGGACAACTTGTCAGTTTGGTGAGCCACGTCGTTTTTACACCTTTATGCCTGGTCAGGGGTGCAGGCTGCTGCTATGTTAGACGGGCCGGCCGGATTTGGAGGCTCTTCCTTCCTCCAGGTTGAAGATGTCGATGAGACTCGCTAGAGACTTCTGAGCTCCTCTCAGCACCTTCACAAGTCTGCTGTGGTGGGTCACTCGGCTCGGGGTAAGTTTTCTTCCTCACACCCTGAAGACAGTGACAGCGGTGCAGAGTTAAAAACAGTAGCAATGTCCTTAAGCTGAGTGAACTTTCCTGTTTGACAGATTCCTACAGGCCAGAGCAGCAGACACTGATTGAAGGAGATGATGCTCCTGTGTATGTATGTGTGTGTGTGTGTGTGTGTGTGTGTGTGTGTGTGTGTGTGTGTGTGTGTGTGTGTGTGTGTGTGTCAGCTCACGGTGATATACAGTTAAATCTAACATGATAACGCAAACAGGATTGATAGAATAGAAATGAATTCATGTGATGTTTGCAGGCGGTGGTTGCTGGTCTTGAAAACCATGTGCAGAAGGAAAAATACAAGTTGTACTGTTGGACTAGCGCAGCCAAACTGGGGCACCGACTTTTGGGGTGGCCAGGCGTGGTAAACAGTAGGAGTTTTTACTAAATCCAGGAGGTTTGCATTAACAGTGTCTTTTTTCCTCGTGGCAGTTATGGTTATGTCCTTGTAGTGTAGCTTCAAATTAGGGCTGGGCGATATGGGAAATAAAATATCACAATATATATTTTTTTCATATCAGTCAATATTGATATATATCATGATACAAAAAATGAAATTCAACAGTGCTTATTGGTAGCATGTCTTTTGCAGTACAATAAGCTACTGCATCTGTTAAGTCTTTTTGTCTCTTTGACGTTTTGTCATAAGGCGTTGTGCCAGAGAAAGCAGACTGAATGATCAGTCGTTTCGGTTGCACAGGCGCCATGGGCTCCTTGCTCAGTTTGAGGTTTGTAACCTTTTGCATTGCGCGTGCTCTTCCACGTGGCACTGCTACAAGTGGTAAAAAAGATTTGAGGTATTCCCCGACTTTGCAAGGCCATGTACTCAACATAATTTGCAGTGCACATTACTCTGCTTCGTGTCTGACCTCAAAAAACAAAATACCTCCACACCACCGGCATTTTTGTGCCAGTGTTGTCGACAATGTCATCATCTGTTGAGCCTTCATCTGCATTTCTGCCGGGGCTAGCACTCATTTTCTTTTTTTCTCACCGTTTTCTCACTGTCTCACAGTGCTGTCGGCTTCACGTGTTAAAGTGCTATGGTTGCATGTAGCTGTAGCCTGCTATTGTGCAGTTGTTTGCTATTTGGTTCTAATTCAGCACATGATTGGTTCAGTGCGAAGCGAACCCAGAACAACTCCCCTTTTCATTGGCCATTCGTATAGTCTACCAAAATATGTCAGAATGCTGACCATCGAAAAGGATATTGACCATGTTTTATATTGATATCGAGGGAAATTAATTTTCAATATATATTGTTGTTGTTTTAACGCCCAGCCCTACTTCAAATATTTTAACAAGTTGGACATGTTGCTAGCAAAGTACCTGGCTGCTACTGAATAGTATCAACAAACTGCTTTCGTTTGGATTTGTCCATGGTTATATTTCACAGGGAGATCTTAGTGTTACCACACAGGAGACCTGAATGGGGGATCTTTTAGTTCTTGCTTGTTGCGTGTTGTGCCAGCTGCCATGACAGTAAAATCATGGTCTGTATATGGTCTGTACTGTTCCATCTCCTGGCAGAGTGGGAACTTGGATTTTATGTCCTTTTTGTTCTGCACATATTCAGTTGGGAACAGATGTGCACCATACTGGAAGTCCTCTACCAGAATGAGTCAGTACGAATACATGTACCTGAGTCTGTACCGGTACACATACGTTGTACATGTGTTTAAAAAATGATTACCATTTATCAAATAACTACCCCCATTTCAGAGTTATCATTTTTGTCACTACAGAAGTGCGTCACTGTGACCATAGACTGTACACTAAGGCTCTGAAAAACATCTGTTGGGGCTGTTTGGAAGCAGAAGGGTTAAGTTGATTCTTTCAGAGCCAAATGATCTGAATCATTAAAAAGGGCCTGAATTCCCATCACCATCTGCATGTATGCTGAGCAATGATTCTAACCCAGCCCTTACTGATCATGGACATCTTGAGCAAGATTATACACCCTTTGCAGATTTGAAGTAATCCATGGATCTTTATGGGTTTTATGTGTTTGAATTAATGTTTTATTGGTCTTGGAGCAAGTGGTCATGAACATCAGTTGGCCATCCCCTGTTTCTGCAGCTGTTAGTCAGGAAAAATGTAGACAGTCAATAACAGAATGGAAGTCACTCTTTTAAAGTCAAAATTAAATTGAACTGTTATCACTTTTATGAAAGCTAACCAGATAATATTCCAGTCAAATACACTCTATTAAAAGGGATTCAAATACGCTTGACCAGGTAACACTACTCCTTGTGTTACAATTAGGGGAAACATGTCCAGATGGCACTCTAAACAGTTTTCTCTTTGACTCTCTGTCTCATAACTTTATGACTTCTGTTAATGTTGTTTTTGTTATTGTTTTACTTTCCATAGCTAGACTATTAGCCAGCTCAAATTCAGCCGGGTGAGATGGTCTGGTGACTCCAGGCTCGGGCATTGTATTGTATCAGTATCATATAGTAATAGGGGTTACCCTGCAGTTCCCTATCCCAGTAGTCACAAAAATGTACTGAAAGCTTTTCTTTTTTATTGCTAAAATAAACTGCAGTTGTTACAATGTTCATAAATTCACCTGTAAAAATAACCATTGGACTGCAAAACAAAACAAAAAAAAAAAAATTCATTGTCAGAAGTCAACATCCGCCTTTTAAAAACTGCACCATCTGGTTCAAGCTTTGGAGAGTGTTGCTCTAGTGCTGGGTGTGTCCAGTAAATGTTATGGGTATAATTAAAAAATTTGACCGGCTCATTAGAAAAGAAAGAGACACATTCCACTTGTACTCACATGAACTTTAAAGTCTTTTTGTGTTCATGTTGTAAAAATACAGACAGGTGAGATTTAACAAAGCCTAAAGTATCTCAGCCAACACTTGTCAAAAGACAGACAGACAAAAGACAGACATGCAAACAGTCGCTTATCAGAGAATCTAGGCAGCTGTAGCCATTGAACTGTAAGGTTCAAAATGATTTGACAATCACAAAGAGATATGAAATCAATAAACAAAATACACTTAAATGTGCACAGTAGCTACAACATTATAATTGAGCATAAGGCTTTCTTTTTCAGCTCAGTTAATTAAGAGCTGCAGCTTATCATTTTAATTTTATTTTAAGTTTCAAATGATGTGACAAATAACAAACTCATTTTTTTAATTTTTAATTTTTTATGACGTAGTTAAACAATCAGCTTTTCTGGGCTCATTTGAATTGTTGAAACCTCAGTGTAGCTCAAAACAAAACATTTTCATATCTGATACATTGCCCATGGTATCAGTAATATCATGAAATAGCATACTTTCAATAATTGATGAGCCGTAGTCTCACAATAACACAGCATGATATGTGATAAACCAAAGAGTGCAAAATACCCCCAAAAGGCGAAGTGCAGGATTAATGTAGTAAATGTCAATTGATGTCATTTAAATTTGTTCTGTCTTCTTTTTCTCTCTGAACAGGAATGGCGATGCACAGCACTGCATTGTCCCAGGACCCCTCCCATGGTGCAGGGGAAGGGGCTGAGCTGGTGCACTCGTTATCTAAAGAGACCCCTGGGTCTCCAGATGCCTCAGAGTTGGGGAGCCCACGTTGCACACCTCACTTTGACCTCCTCAATATGGCTGTGTCCTATAAGAGAATGGCTCTGTTTCTTGAACCCATCACAGATGCAGTGGAGCTGATACGCTTCCTGCTTGGGTGTGTATTTGTGTTTGTCTGTGGCTTGTTTTAAGTATCATATGATATCATTGCATCAATTGATGAGTAGAGAAGCGAAGGCCAAATGCTCCTGAATGCTATTTGCTTTTTAATACCTCAGGTGGAAGATGCCCGTGTGCTCTCTGCTCGTCTGTGTATTCCTCAATGTCTTCTTCTGCACTGTTACTGAAGGTAACATGAAGCATCAGCACCCATGTTAATTCAGCTTTTGTTGGAGTTTTTAGAAACACTTGAATAATTCATCATCTTGTTGCTGTGTCTGCCTCTCTTGCTTCAGTGGGTTGGTTTACAGTGGGTGTGGTAGCACTGTCAGTACCTGCTGCCCTGGGTTACCTGCAGGACAGGTGTGGGGGCAGAGCCTCAGAAGCTGAGCTCCAGAAAAGACGCTTTCACGCGGTGCACCGCAGAGACCTGCAGACTGTGCACCTCACCAAACAGGAGGCCATGATGGAAGTTAAAGACCTGTAAGATTACCAGGCTTGTGTGCTGCAGGGCTGGAACTGAATTAAGATTGATTTTTTCTACATTTCTCATTATCAGTGTTTAATATTGCTGATTAAAATGTGATGGCACAGCAAGTTACAGAAGCATTCAAATAGTGACCAAAGCAACAGGAACACTGATCGTTCATTACGTTAACTTCAGAATATTGTTGAATCTTGCCTTTGTCTTTCACCCAGCTTTAGGCATTATCCTGTCTTAAATAAAGGTAAAGTTCAACTATTAAAAGCAGGTATGATAAATTCTTCCAAATGCTGTGATTGGTTGATCCAGAAAAAAAACAAAAGCTCTCTTGATAACAGGCACAGAGAACTGATGGAATCAATTAGCCTGATCATAGAATCTGTTCAGATATTGATTTTTAATTTGTTCAGGTTAATCTAATCTTTTAGTTTGAAGTTATTCTTTGATACTACAAAGTATACAAAAGATTTCAAAGTACATGCATTTTGTACTCCGCACTGTACTCTCTTCACATGTTGATCAGCAGTTTTCCCTCATATAAGTCTTACTGCACTGGAGTAGGCAGATTGTTTTCACATTTTTTAACTGTGTAAGATTAAAATGTGAGATTGATGAACTAATGTGTGATCTGAAGAAAATCACAAGAGCAACTGCTGCATTTTCTCAACTTACTAATTACATACCCATCACTTTATTTCCTGGAGATATTGCGTTGCTTGGTGCCTTGTAGACATGATCGCCACACAATTCCAATGTAAATCATCAAATTTACTCCCTGTTATTCAAATTTTGGGTTTATTGTGTCAATTTTCTCCTCTTGAGAATCTCTTGAGCCTCTTAAAAGACCTCTTCCTCACTCAACTCCATATTTTGCCACCTCAGGAGCTCTATTGAAGGCTACTAGGCTTTGTGAACAGCTTTTGATCTAGTCTTAAATTTGAGGGAAATTTTTATCGGAAAAACAACCACAGAGTATTAGTGCTCTTTTTATATAAGCCCACAGATTTTCCACAAAAGTCCGCTCAGCCCAAGAAATGCTTTGAACTTGGTTGTTGTTATTGTGTGTTCCTTCAAGACTTTACCTATGTTCAAAACACTGCAAACCATCAGGCCGTTTCTGCTGATTCAGCACTGTGATGACTTTGCATATTAAGTTCATCAAAGTTCGTCAAGGTTGTCAGATATAAATTTCATCATAGTTTTCCATTGATCTTGAACCATAGCGGCAATTTATGAGCGTGTAGGTTTCTTTTTCTGTATTTATGTTAGAGTATACAAAACAATGTCAGTTAACATGAAGTCCTGAACTGTTACAAAATCTGGTCCGGCATTTCTATGCATTTAAATTTTCACCAAAACTACATTTAGTGAATCCTCGAGGTCTGTCTTTATTTTATTCCTAACTTTAGGTTATGTTTGCAAAAAATAATTAAACCTGCAAACTCAACCTTGTGCTTGTGGAATACTATTAACAGGATAGATAAAAAAAAAAATAAAGCTTATTTTCTACCTTTTGACAAATAATTTTATATTGAATTCAATGTTGTACCAGTAAAACAAGAATTCCTTCTCTGATAGTACCAATTAGTTTTTTCTTTCTTGGAACAGGATGAGAAAACAAAGGCTTGTACCCACTTGTCATATGCTTTTGTGTGACATTTGTACACAGTATGTGTTTGTGTGTGGGTTGGAGTGTGTCTTTGTTCTTACGCTGTTTGTATTTGTGGGTGTGCTTCTGTTTCTTTGGCAGGTTGAAGCACCTAGATGACATGCTGTCATCTGCTTGCTTGTCAGCTGAAGCTATTTACAAAGTCCTATACTGGGATAATCACACCAAGTCATCAAGGTGTGCACACACACACACACACACACACACACCCTCACAATGTCATCTCATGTAAAAGCATTGTTACAGTAGGCTCTAACTGGCTCTTGTATTACCTCCCCTCAGGTTCTATGGTGGAACGTTAATACTGGTCTGTCTTCTTTATGTTGCTCCTGTGGGCTGGGTGCTCGCCCTGCTCAACAGCACCATTTTCCTGTGGAATAGAGACTTCTTTAGAGGTGAGTTGAACCTGTCCACAATAAGCAAATGCAAACTCCTATCCAAAATGATAAGGTAAAAGTCATTTTTGTCCCCCCTGTTTTTCCAGTTTTGTTGGACCTTCGTAAGCTGACCTACATGGGCCAGGATGAGGCCTTAGAAGGGGTAGTGGAAGAACAGGAAATGGGCAACTTGTTGGACAGGACGCCCACACCAACCAGTCTGGAGGTGAGGGGACAGAGCCTGGTGGAGAAAAGAGATGTGTGTGTGTAAATGCTGAGGGATTGAATATGTGTTTAATATACATTAAAACCAACCATGGCTGTCTAAGCACCTTATCCAGCTTATCCTATAATCTCAATGTTTTTATCCAGCACTAGCAATGCAAATCCATGCAGAGATTTGACCCATGCATAGATGGCGTTACACTTCTCTGTTTAGATTTGAGTCATATGCTATGGCATCACATGGGTTTAGTTTGCAACTTGTATTTCTTTTAAGACCCTGAATAACATTTTTTCCATTCGCTCTACTTGTTTGATTTTGGTGAGCACTTTGCAATGTGAGTCTAGAAGAGTCTCACAATTTACAGCCCAGTATTCATAAACTTTGTCTTTCTGTATATAAAACAGACTTTTTCCCTCTCAGGGTTTAATAATTACATTGTCTGCTTTTTCAAAAATCTATTTATTTACAACAGATTGTGCCACTAATCTGTAAAACACATATATTGTTTTACTGTCTCCCCTTTCTTCTCACTTTTTTAATGGCTGAAGATTGCCACTGATACTGTCCCATTAATATTATGATCTCATCCTTTACTCCCCCCATCCCCTGCCATGCACTGAGATCTGCTTCCCCCTTTCCCATACACGCTGAGAGACTATCCATACAACCCCCCACCCCACCACCACCACCACCACCACCACCCAACTAAGAATCATGCAGGTCACTCCTCTCCTATATGGACATTTACGTACACACCTTATCTCTCCAAATTCTGATTTAAATTCAAAATTCAACTTTATTTATATGGCACTTTAAATACAAAAGATTGCAATTCAAAGTGCCTCACAGAGGTTAAAAACAACAACAACTACAGTAAAAACCCAACCCTCCCACCCACACACACACCCATGAACCCACACGCTCTTATCCACACATACACACACACACAAAACCGCACACAATGTGAGAATTTAAGATATAATGTTAGAGAGACATGGCCTGACACCGAGACATTACGCGAGGAAAGAGCTACCTCTGGGAAACACTGGAGATAAAAATAGTAAAAAGTAAAAGTAAAAGCTCTTTACCATATAAAAAAGGGGTAAAAGAAGTAAAAACCTGTGATGGAAATTAAGAAAAAGACTAAGAACAGAGATAATTAATAGAATAACATAAAATAAACATTAAGAACTTTGGTTAAAATGAACATTTGCAATGAGAGAAATCCAAAATGGAAATTAGTAAAAAGCCTGGTTTAAAAACATCAACAGTCTCTGCGACCCTGAGGCTCTCCGGCAGGCTGTTCCACAACCAGGGACCATAAAAACTGAAAGCCGCCTCCCCGTGTGTTTTTGTTTTGACTTTAGGTAAGGTTAAAAGGCCTGTGCCGGAGGACCTCAGGGTCTGCGAGGGTTGATATGGTAAAAGTAAGTCAGACAAATAGGAGGGGCCAAGACCATTAATACATCTAAAAATTTACAAAAGAACCTTAAACTCAATTCTGAAGCAGACGGGGAACCAATGCAGTGATGCTAAAACTGGCGTTATATGCTCTCGCCCTCTGGCCCTTGTCAGCACTCTTGCAGCTGAATTCTGTAATAGCTCAAGTGTATGTAAGTTCTTCTTGGGGAGGCCAGAGAGCAGGGCATTACAGTAATCTAAACGAGAGGAGATAAATTGTACAAAGTTTCTTTCCTTTTCTTCACCCTTTTATTTTATTATTGTTTTAGTATTGTTTTAGTATGCTTATTTGTTTACAATTTATTTAAACTGTAAAAACTGGATGGCTGAGAAAAATAGTACTGCCTTAATGTTTGGGACATGTACTGCCATTCCTAAATTAAAAAAGACCAAAAAAACATATTTTACTCACCACCACCAGGGGCATGAAAGATTAAGTGCCACAGGAAACAAAGTTGCTTAAAAATTGCACAAGTTAAGTAAAAATGGAGGCATAGTTCTAACACTGATCTGAAGAAAACATTCAGCAATAATGCAGCAGAAATGTTAAACAACTGTCAAAAAGTCAATAAATATGATGGCACGTGGTGTACTGTCCAGCGATGGCGAGCCCAGAAAGATCATCTCAAAATATGCATTAGAAAAGGGGATGTTATTAAATTCATTTATTTTTATTTAATCAGATAAAATCCACTGAGATCAGGATCTCTTTCATAAGGGTGACCTGGCCAAGAGGTCAGCAGCACGTTACATAGCAGTGACAGCAAAAATTAATACATACAGTTTGAGAGATGCAGTTTTGTTTTCAATAGGAAGTGTTGGAGCTATAAAACAACAGCAAACAACAATTGAAGATTTAAAACACAGGGACTCTTCAATGGTTTCACAAGAATCCAAGCTTCACCTGAAGTTTAGTGACCAGATTTTTTAAATTAAAGCTCCTGATCTAGGATTAAACCCAAACACTTGTAATTTAAAACCTTCTCTATCGGTTTTCCTTTAGATGTTGTAATAGAGTATTTGTAATGTTCTGTGGTAACACCTTTTTATGAGAGAAAACAAATATGCTGACCTGTCATCCAATTGATAACCAAAGAATTATTCTTAAATCCAGATTTGCCCCCAAACTCTGCTTTGTATGGTAATGTAAGCTTTTGTTTGTGTCTGTTTGATGGCAGGACCTTTCTCCTGGCAGTGTGGAAGAAGCTGAGGAGGCAGAGCCCGATGATGAATTTAAAGATGCCATTGAGGTAAATCCTGGACTACACTTCATTCTATACCCTTCTAACACCTTTCTCCATGTGGATGTTGGTTTACCTTTATAGTTCTATTCACATTTTTTTCTTCTTTTCTGTCAACGTTTACTTTTTCTCTCAAAGCAGCAGATCAAACAGCAGAATAAGATTCAAGAAGCACACGATTTTTGTTGGAAACTTAAAGTAAACTGACTGTATCAGGGTTGAATGTGGAGCAAAATACCAAAAATGAGGAGGATTGTAATGGGGAATTTCGCTTGTTAGAACAACAACTGTTGTGTCCCGGTGTGAGATAAACTCCCCTCTCATGATACCTTACCTCCTCTTTTTTTCTGCTCCCCTCTGAACTTAGGAGCATTCATTGTCCTTGCAGGTGAGTGTCGTCCCCTTTGTTAGAATAGACAAGCGCTCTGCTCCCTACTAAACTAGCTCTGTAGAACTACCCACCACATGAACAATGACTTCATATACGATCATCTGTCAATCTTGTAGTGTAGTTCTATCTTTGCCCTGTAAAGCATGGTTTGGGTGCAATCCTGTGTACACTTTGACTTTCGTGTAACATTGTTTTTATGTGTCGTTCTGCCTCCTGGTTAGGAAACCCCTTTGGTCTTAGTGGTAAGTGGATTTCATCCATGCATCCATCCAACCATCTGATCATTAGTTTGTTGACTTAGCACAAGTTAGACAGTAATAATAGTTATCTGATCATCCAGAGTGCTCATTCATCTCTAGTTTGCATTCCTGGCATTGTCATATGACATTGTTTATGAAACATTGCATGAGAAAAATCAGTTTTTCTTTCCTCCGACTACCTCAGATGTTCGACAATAAGTATTTCACAAAAAAATCACGATCTTTATTGTTTATGCATTTCTAGCAAAATTGAGTGTGTTTAAAATTTCTGATTAGATCTTTATTTGCTCCTCAGACATGTCGCTGTGATTTTACATAGAATTTTTCTGTTCTTGTACACACACTGAGCAGAAATAATTTGTCCTAGACAGAAAAGTGAGCACTGCATGCACTAGGAGTTCAGCAGCATGAGCAGTTGTTGATGGTGTGCCACTAGGGGGCCAGTTGTCTTGGTTGAGGACATTTTCTGCCATAAACTCACATCAATTTTGACTTAAATGACAACATGTGCACAATGCAGAGATGCAAATGCAGGAGTGTACACACAGTTATCTTGTTTGTGTGTTGTGTATCAAATGTTTTTTTTGGTGCTTGCCTGTTTATCTAGGAAGTTTCCTATTATGCACTGTGGGATTAAATGGCATACCACTAAAAAGATTAGTATACCAGCTAAGCAATCAGCACATGCTGCTGGCCAATAGTGGCAAACCATTGGCTGTTGCAGTCTATAAAGACTTTGTGTCTTTGATTGAAATGGGGAGTTCTTAAATAGTTTAATAGCTTTTAAATAGTTGTTTCATATATATGCATACTTTTAAATGTATTTAGTCAGTAAAAGTGTTTTTATTTATAGTTACTTGTACCAGCTCTTCAGGGGTTGTCAGTTTGATTTCTTGCCATCATCCTGCTTCATTTATGTGTCAAATATCTTTCAGTTCATGTGGCTGAAATCATCACAGTGAATGTGATTGTTTACCCTGCTGCTGTGTTTGGCTGTATTTCTTGGTCAAGTTTCAATACTTTTTAAAACCAGCTCATATTATTAACTTTGTCTCCCTCCTTTTCCGGTCTCTCTCTTTCTCTCTCTCAGGAGGATGACGACGGGCCTCTTGGTGCACCAGAGTATGACACCATCTCTGAAAATGGTCTCTTGAGTCGCAACGAGCCAATACGAGCCAAGGTGTCCAAACTGACAGAGAAATTGCGGAAACGCTACCCAACCACCAGCACAGGTCAGTGTGCTCTGAGTCATCTGGCTGTTTATTCCCTCTTATTTAACTACCTAAAATAAGAATTTTTCTGAGCTTGGTGTCATATCCCAGCCCTGCACAGATGCATTTCATGATATCTTTGTGTTTTTCTCTAGGAAACTGTTCGAGCTGTAATGCCATGTTTTCAGTGCTGAAGAAAAGGGTGAGACTAAAAACTTGTCAGGAGAGTCGGGATATATTTAGGCAGCGCGTCATCATTGTATTTAATTTTATCCCAGTGTTAGCTTGGCCTGTGCTTAAACACTGTCTCTCTCTGCTTTACAGAGGAGCTGCAGTAACTGTGGCAACAGCTTCTGCTCCAGATGCTGCTCCTACAAGGTGCTGAGATCTTGCATGGGGGCCACAGGTGAGAGTGCAGAGATTGAAAAATAAAATGCTCAAATGTTTTTTTCTAAAGACAGGTTGATGTTAACAGTTTCATCTTGTGACACTGTGATATCCTGACTTTCCTCTTCCTTTGAAATGATCTGATTCTCTCATCCTCTGTTTATTCTTCAGCTCCAGAGGCTCAGAGAGAGACTGTGTTTGTTTGTGCTGCCTGTAATTCCTCTCTCAGCAAGTAACAATACGCTGGCATGTCTCCAGCTGGAGATCATACACTGTTTGCCCCCAAGGCCTACTCCTAGTCACTGAAACCCTCACATGCCTTTGTTATGGAGCTGAGGCACTTCTACCTGTCAATATACCTCCTACGTTGAACTTCAGCCCCTCCTACCCACCTGCATTCACCTTACTTTAACCGGTTGCATCAGTCCTCTGAGCTGCTTATGTTACCTGTCAGATTTCTACTGTAAAAAGTCAAAGATGTCCTCTCTCATCTCTTGAAATGGAGAACTGGACCTTATGAGTCAATGAGACATTTTGCAGAGCACCATGGCTCCAGAATCAAAGGAGTTTTTCTCTTTGCTGAGCAGAGAGAATTGCAAAGCATGCCGGTTGGAGGCTAGAACTAAGGTGGTGGTGTCAGTTATTGCAAATAAGGTTATTGGCTATCAGCCTTTTTCCTTTTTCATGCTTAGCCATGCCACAAAATTGATCCCACTTGAATGTTGATATCTTCAGCCCTGTGTAGCAGATGAACTGTACTGTAACGATGAGAGGACTTTCTGTGCAGACAACACTGTATACTCTTCGTGTGGCACTCCAGGCAAAGGCTGGCAGGCTTGTTGTGAAGAAAAATAATTCTGGATGTGCAACCAAAAGAGACTATATATATATATGTGTGACCTAGCACCATACTGTTCATGGGCCATCAGCCAAACTTTTCAGAGTTTTAGTCAGGTCTGTTTACCAGCCATCACTACAGTTACACCTTCAGCTCATCAGCAGTATCATGAAAGTAGGTCTAAGTTTGTCTGCAGCTTTAGGGGCAATGTTTTACTTCAATTTCTGTCTCAGCTGATGTCTGCTGCCACTGCACTCGAAATGCTCCTCTTATTACTGTGCACATTATTTACCAGATCTCAAGTTGGTATGTAAAGGGGCATTTGCTCAGAGAGCTACATTCAAGAGCACAAGGCAGTTTGAATAAAACACCTACTTGAGGTTTGTTTCTTAGCTGGTGTTTCTTCCAGCTAGAGGAGCTTAAAAGACATGAAGGGAATGGAGATAAAAGTTATGATGATTCTATTGTAGTAAAGTGAAAATGAATCACGCTGCATTTTTGTCATGTTGCCTGAAATTGTTTGATGAGAATACAATGAACAAGAATGTGTTTCATGGGCTAACCTGGTCTCCTTTTGCTGATCAAATTTGTGCTTCATTTCGGGTGTAATGTTTCCATTGATGACAGGTGGGACTATTGAGTATTGATGCAGAATATACGTGATGAACGGCTGCATTAACCCCCTGTATCTCCTTTGTTTTCTACTATCAAAGTCAACTTAACTGGACTAATTTTTTTAAATGGACTGATTAGCCAGCTCAAGTTGTCTTCAGGGCCTCACAATCTTACAAGCAGGACTTATGAGAATTGATGTGGAGGCATTGCAATCTATGATGTTGGTCTTGGTGGTTAAATTGTTTTAATCATGATTCAGACACAGATGATTGTAACTGTTTGCTTTGCTTTTATTGTAATCATGTGTAAACTGTAACCATAAAATAATCTACTATATCTTATATATATTTAATTTAAAACTCCAGAAGTGCTAATTATTACCGGACCCTTTCCACTCTGTATACATTGCCCTTATTTTATGGATGAAAAATGCAATTATTGAAATAAACTGTCATTGTTTGATTTCCTTAAAGCTGGCAGTGTGATTTTATTGAAACAATTTGTCATAGCCTTAGCTTTTTTTTCTTCAGAAAAAAAGAGAGGTCATAGTAATCTAATTGAACAAGATATGCCAATATAAAACCACTTTCTGAAACAAAACAATTACTATGAATTTACATTTTGCTTCATAAATTGTGAAAGTCAATGTTGGCAGTCTCAAACCCCAATTTTTTTTAAATTCAGGCTCTACATTAAATCATTGGTAGCTCTGCTGTTTATAACTGAGCACTAAGACCTCCATCCAACACGACCGTGCAACCAGAATGGTGACTTGCCCAATCCAGGAACAAACAATTTACAATAATCAACTTGAGTTTAAGGTACAGTCGGTGTGTAGTTTTCAGTGGCAATTAGCAGAACAGATCTGGTAAAAATAGAATATAATTTATAGTACGGTTTATTTTTGTTGACTTGAAAAGAGCCTCTTGTATCTACATAAAAGTAGGTCCCTCACACCTGCATGTGTCTACAGTAGCTCAGATTGGTCAAACTCGTAGCATACCGGTATGCATGTTTTGTGCTGAAAGATGGAGAAGAAGAAAGTCGTCAAGGCCCTGTAGAAAATGCATTAAAGGATGTTTTTGATGGCAAAAAGTTGACAAATGGAGAACCTCACTTATCACATGCCAAAGTGCTTTTTGTCCTCATAGGTACACTTCAACTGTGAGACACAGAATGTATAAAAAAAATCTAAGAAATCATATTGTATGATTTGTTAAGAATTTATTTGTATTATGGTGCAGAAAATAAGTATTTGATCAATAACAAAAGTTCAACTCAATACTTTGTAATGTAATCCTGGCTGGCAATGACGGTGGTCAAACGTTTTCTGTAGGTCTTCGCCAGGTTTGCACACACTGTAGCAGGTATTTTGGCCCATTCTTCCATTCAGATCTTCTCAAGAGCTGTGATGTTTTGGGGCTGTCACTGGACAACATGGACTTTCAACTTCCTCCACAGATTCACTATTGGATTGAGGTCCGGAGACTGGCTAGGCCACTCCAGAACCTTGAAGCGCTTTTTACGTAGCCACTCCTTTGTTGCCCGAGCGGTGTGTTTAGGATCATTGTCATGCTGGAAGATCCAGCCATGTTTCATCCTCAATGCTCTCACTGATGGAAGGAGGTGTTTGCCCAGTCGTCCTGTCCGCTTTGCAGAAAAGCAGCCCCAAAGCATAATGTTTCCACCCCCATGCTTCACAGTGGGTATGGTGTTCTTGGGATGCAACTCAGCATCCTCCCCTCTCCAAACATGGCCAGTGGTTTTTGTCAGTGATCTTGTATTTGTTTTATTTTCTAATAATTGCTCCAACAGTTGATCTCTTCTCACCAAGCTGCTTGCCTATTGTAGATTGGCTCATCCCAGTCTTGTGCAGGTGTACAATCTTGTCCCTGGTGTCCTTAAACAGCTCTTTAGTCTTGGCCATAGTGGAGAGGTTGCAGTCTGACTGTCTAAGGGTGTGAACAGGTGTCATTTATAGAGATAATGAGTTCAAACAGGTGCCAATAATTCAGGTAACGAGTGGAGGATAAATGAGCTTCTTAATAGAGAAGTAACAGGTCTCTGAAGAACAGAATTCTTGCTTGTTTGTAGGTGCTACATGGTTATTTTCTGTGCCATTACACAAATAAATTCTTTACAAATCATAAAACATGATATCTTGGATTTTTTTTTTTTACATTCTGTGTCTCACAGTTGAAGTGTGCCTATGATGAACATTACAGGCCTCTCTCATCTTTTTAAGTGGGATAACTTGCGGAATTGGTGGCTGCCAAATACTTCTTTGCCCCACTATACATTCCTTAAGAGTTGATGCAGGCTTAAATAGAGTTAAAGCAAAGCTATCTGACAGTTACAGTTCCTATGTGGCCATTTAGATTAAGCCTGACGAAAAGCTTAGTGAAAGAGTTAAAGGTTTGTCTGTGCCCTCTCATATATTGCCCAACATTTACACCACTAAAACACATTTGATTTGTTTTGGCTCTGAAATCTATACTGGCTAACTTTGGTGTGGTGTCTTACTGAGACTCACAAGTCGAAGTCAGTATAGAAAGTAGCATCTACATGTATATTCATGTGAAGCAGTGGTCACTGTGCGCCTAAAGCCCCGCCCCTCTGTCTTCTTCGCCCCTCCCTCTCCTTCCCCGCCCTTCCCCCCCTCCACTCCTCCAATCCGTCCCTGTGTCCCACTAAAGCGATTTTAGCGCATGCAGGGACTCGTCCCTGCGGCTACGGATGGCAACATGGCGACAGAGGTAAGTCTCTCATGTTATGTGTTTAATTTTCCAGCTGAAGCGTCAGTTTAGGAGATATAATCTCATTCTCACGGTGATAAAACGGGCGCGGGGGCAGTGGACACGGTCAGTGAGTGCAATGAGGCTGTACACGGTTTCAACAAAACCTAAATCACCACGGACGGCACTGTTCTACATTAAGATGCCAGTTCTGTCCGAGGCTGGTCGTTTCCCCTCCCTGTAGGAGTGCTCTGACATTTTGAAGGTAAAAATTTGCAAATCTCTAAGTCCGCCTCGTCTAATAGAAACTAAAATGGGGAAAATCAGTGAAATAAAGCTCGATGTTTTGGTGGAAGCATATCTGTTGTTGTCTGTGTCTGATGAGACGCCCTGTTAATCCGGTGACAGGCTGTATGGACACTGACCACACACACACACATACAAATAGTCACACACTTGCGCACACACGACCACACACGTAGAGGAATCAGCACCACGGACAGCAGCCCTGACCTTCCTCCCTGCATTTTCTCTCGCCTCCATCTGCGCTCTCATTAAAATGAAGCGGAAAAAAGTAAAAAAAAGAACACTAAATTGGTAAATATCCAACATGCTCTGTGATGAAAGCAGCATGTCCAGTTCTAAGTACCGGATCGCAAAAGCTTTGTGTGGCTTTTATCCACCAGGTTCGTCTTGTTCAGTCCGATCGATCTGTTGTAGTGAAATGTTGTCCGTCTCCTGCAGGCTTTACTTCCCAGCAGGACCTGAGAATGAAAGTGTGTGTGTGTGTGTGTGTGTGTGTGTGTGTGTGTGTGTGTGTGTGTGTGTGTGTGTGTGTGTGTGTGTTTGAAAGATAGTATGTCCAATACCGGGCCATGCTCCAACAGCAGCAGCAGCAGATACAGGGCCACACAGTGATTGATCACATCTCGTTTGCTTCTCCTCCATCATCCAATAACTCAGAATCAGCTGATGTTTGTACACATTAGGAGTGAACAGGTGCAACGAGAGCTGGAGCTCTCTCTGAGGGATCATTAAGTACACACTTTATTAAATTTACATTTGTGTGTGTGTGTTTCATCCTTCTTAGTTCCACAACCTGCAGGAGTTGAGACACAGTGCATCTCTGGCAAATAAAGTCTTCATCCAGAGAGACTACAGTGAAGGGACCACCTGCAGGTTTCAGACCAAGTTCCCCTCTGAGCTGGAGAGCAGGGTAAGACCACTGTGTATTGTAGTGCTATGTGTATGCAAATGTGCGTTTGTTTGTGTAGCCATGAGTACTTCTTATAAAAGAATACTTTATGATGTGTGTGTGTGTGAGAGATAGGTTTGTTTTTCATTTATAGCAACAGATTTATTATTGATCTGCAGTTTAACAAATGTTTACAGATATTATAGGTAACACTTTTCAATAACCATAATTTATAAATGGCAAATAGATAGTTTATTAATGTAAGTGAACAGTTACTTTACCATTAGCAAGTGATGAAATTATGATTAATAACTTTCCTTAATTATTAATGGACTATTTATTAAAGGTTTATATAGGGTTTAAATATTGGTTGTAAAACATCTAGATAAAATTGTGTCAGTAGCACTTTGTAAATGGTTAATGTTTGGTTTTTTAACCATCATAAACATTACTTAGATGGTAATTGTGAAGTTAGGCTTAGGTTTTTAAAATTGTAAAATTTACAATTTATTATTGGTCTATATGCTATTTATAAAAGATGATTAAACATTAATAAACTATCTGCTTACCATTTATAAATGGTCTATTTACCATTTATAAGTTATGGTTACTGTGAAGTGTTACCATATTATTCTATTCTTAAGCATCCATTGCCCTCCAGATCAAAAATAACCCACTTGAACTCCCTAACTCTCCATAAATAGTCCAAAGCAATGAGTCAAACAGATAAGTTATGGACACACAAGTCAGGATAGTTGTTCACATAGAAATACAAATTCTGTGCAGCTGACTGTTCTAAAGCTGAGAAAAAACAAAACAAAATTAGGTTAAATGTATTTAGCATGGCTAAAGACAGGGTCACACATCTTCATGTAAGCAGAGCTAGCACCACCATCTTTTTTCCTTCCTTGCAAGTAAACATCTATATGAGCTCATCACACACCAAGCACTTCAACCAACCACTGCCAACATAAACATTTATCTCCATTTTCTAGATCTAAATACTGCCAAACAAGGTGATGGTACCAGATGCCAGCTGTCATATATGCTTGTTTACATCAGGCTTGTAGTCTTACTGTAAATATGAAAAAGTTACAGAATAAAAAATTACAACCCTCTTAACTTTTCTTCTCCTGACTTTTCTTTGTCAGATTGAGCGTACACTGTTTGAAGACACTGTGAAGACACTAAATAACTACTACGCAGAGGCAGAGAAGATAGGAGGCCAGTCCTACCTGGAGGGATGCCTAGCCTGCGCCACAGCATACCTCATCTTCCTCTGTATGGAAACACGCTATGAAAAGGTGAGACTGGTCATCTTGATAGTGTTTAACCCGCCTGGATTTCCATCTCATCTGTCCTTTTCCTGCTGTTTGGATTTTAGGTGTTGAAGAAGATAGCAAAGTACATCCAAGAACAGAATGAGAAGATCTACGCCCCCAGAGGGTTGCTCATCACAGATCCAATAGAGAGGGGAATGCGTGTTGTATCCTTCTTTGCTGTTTAAGCTCATGCAATGGCATCTGTCTTTTCTGTTGAAATGATCACACTGCAGCAGATTCTTTTTCTGTAACTCCTCTTCCACCAGATAGAGATTTCCATCTATGAAGACCGGGGCTCTAGTGGCTCCAGCTCAGGAAGCAGTTCTGTGTCTGGCAGCACTGCTCGATGACTGGGTTCTTCCTCACAACCATGTCCGTGTGATCACTCCCAACCCTGAAGGAACTTAGGACAATAATACAACTCCTGTTTCAACACTTGGCTCACACATCCCAAAGCTACCCTCACACAAAGGATTCACCAACTGTCAACAATGCCAGGCATGATGCCAACATTCGCTAAAAATGTTCACGCTTTTTCCACAGTGACCCCTGAAAAAAAGCACTTTGGAAGTCTCTTGCAAAGCAATGTGAATACGCTGAAACAGTTTTGTTCAGATTTCTTTTATTGGTGAGACTTTGTGTGATCGTATCTTCACCTCCTCTACCAAGCTTCCACAGCTTTGTGTCGTCCGGTGGATGAGAAAAGGATGGAAGGATTTGAGAGAGGAAGGGTAGTGTTGGGGCAGGAAAATGGACCACAAACCTTGCCAAACCTCATACCTCAGCCGCCACAGTTGCACCATGTGGTCTCAAGCCTGGCCCCAACAAAACTGGACCAACCAGGAAACTGGACGGGACTCATCACCACTTGCTCAGCACACCAGGCACTGGCTTTAATTTTTTATCTGTAGCTTCTTCCAAGTATCTAGCTTTTCGCAAATATAAGTAGACTGAATAAGTATTGAAGTAGCGCATCAGAAAAACTCACCTCCCTGGACCTTCACCATCTGTGTAAAGAACCCACTCCTCCCTCCCTGCTGATGTTTATCATACCGTCTGGTAGCAGACGAATGTCATCCAGCCTGTCAGTGTATAATGTAGCAGATCCTCCATTTTCACACATGAAGCCTGTATTTAATTTGTTTGACATTCAAGCACAAACACGTGCACAAATCCAAGTGTCTTGGTTTCAATAAACAAGACCAACTCTTCACTAAATTGTGATTATGCAAAGGTATACTGTGTATTAAAAGCAGTAGACAAATAATGGGTTAAAAAAGTCTTCCTGAATCATACCTTAAGTGATTTTGAATGAACCAACCCTCCCTTGTGTTACCAACAAACTTCCAAAGAACATTGACTGCCAGACACTGGCTCAGAAATGTGAATGTGTCTCTTCTTTTGGTGACATTTTGCGCAGGACTAAACTTTCGTACTGCTTATTGTTTGATATATGTGGCCATGAGGTGTATGACTGGAGTTCAATAAAAACTGTTTCATCAAAGTCTTATTGATCAAATTTTATTTTTTACAAAACAAACACTGATTCGACTTCTTTGACTCTAAGCGTAGCAAAGATTTTGACATGTCATAGAAGTTAGCATGTTTAGTTATAGAAATTGGGCGCACTTTATTTACATGTACTAGCTAACTACATATCTGTAACATTTCGAATAGCAAGGACCCACCACTAAAACCTCTTAATAGAAACACACCATTGTTAGAGCAGCACAGACACTCTGAGAGGGGTCATTTAAGAGACGAACAGTACACACTTTTGGTAAGTTCTGAAGCTAATACAGAAGTACAAAAAGTTGCAGTCTCACCTGAAGCTGACTCTACCAGCCAATAGTCATAATTCAAGTCCATGTTTATGTTTTACAACCTGTAACAATTGGGGATTCAGTACCTCATTGCTTTCTTTCCTCAACTTTCCAGCAAGGCTGACAGTGAAACTGAGTCAGTGTTTTCTCTCAAAACAGCAGCTATCTGTGGGCTTTGTAATGCCTCTTTAGAAATCAGTGGGTGATGCCAGTGAGACTACTTTTGTACTTTCGTCTATAGCGAGCACAATGAGTCATTTAGCATCTACAGGAGCAGAGATATCCCACAGGAAGAGAGGGGGAGCAAGAGCAGAGCTAATGGAGAGTAAATATTGACTAAAATGGACAGAAATATGACTTCAGAAAATCGTGTTGCCCTTTTACCACATTCAGCTGCTCGCTCAAAGGTTGGCTGACACAGTTTAGTTTGGTGATAGGGGCCTTGGTCTTGTCTTCCCCATATTCTCATGTCAAAGATCCTCAATGTGGTTGTGATGTGAGTAGACGTATTCAGAAATTAAGGGGAAATATTTTGTATTTTATAAACATGAAGTAGAATTTTTGGTGGACTCAAAGTGGTAACATGTACTTTCACTCTTCAGAGGTATTTAAACATCTATCCTATTAAATTCTTTTCCCTCTCTTATTCTGTCTTCGCACAGCTGCAATTCGCTTCCTACTTGTTGGTGTGTCAAGTTTTTCGCAGTGACTCTTTAATTTGGCGTACACGTTTGTCATCTTGCAGCTTTATCTTTCTGGTTGAATTTGATTAACATGACTGTGGGCATGATGTTCCATCAGGGGAAACCATTGAAGACTATATTTGCTTTGTTTATTATCTGAGCAGCTTAAAATCAAATTAGAAAAAGACATTTAGCTTGTAATAAAAGCTGATATATGAAATGGAAATGGGAGATTGATGGTTTTTATTTGAATCCATGTCACCCCTGCATAAGTCAGTGCTCTGGTTGGGCCACCCTAATCCAAAAAATCTGGATCTGCCTTAATACAAAAAAAGAAAACCAAAAACAAACAAAAATCATGGCTGATAAAATAGAAGAAATGACACATATGTACCACATGGTAAAATTTAAACTGGAAAGTAGGTACAGGTTGATTTATTTTCTTTGCAGTGAATCTTTCTCAATGGATACATTTTTTTCTAGCCACCGCTGAAAAAGTACAAGCACCCACGATGAAATGACAGATGGATTTCACAAAGATACACTCTGTGTTATTGTAAACTGCTTAACTTTTGCTACAAGTCAATGTTTGGTGAAATAAGGCTTTGGTAGAGAAAAATGATAGAGTCAAACATGTAACATGCTGAATCATAGACTGTATATAGAATGGACAGAGTCTGCCTCCTCGCTGGGTGAAGCCATTCCGAGAACAGCACCCTCTGTTGATGGGCTGCAGTATAGGTCATAAATCCCGCCTCCGCCAACAAAGCTTATGGAGCTGTGGACCAACTTTAGAAATTTATTACACAGAACATACATTTTTCTCCTCCTGCTCGTGATGTTGACATGTAGTTACAGTAAGACTGGTTTGTACTCAAGACCTTTTTTTTTTCTATGAAGCGCCGCTTTTAAAAGTTATTAGGGGTTTATGTTTTCTTTAATTGACACCTGATACAGCCTATGGGTGTTGCGTAGCTCACCCAGGGGGTTTATGCTGTTTGAGCCGAGCGTCATCACGGCGACTCTCGGGCCGAATGCGCACAACGCTACTGCACAGCGCTGGTTTCAGGAAATGAAGAAAAATCCTGGAAATACCGAGAGCTTTTTGGCTTCAAATCCGTATACAGGCGGGAGGCAGAACCAAGTTGTCCATAGTATATACAGTCTATGTGCTGAACACAAAATGCATTAGTTATAATTTAGAAAAAATGTGGATTTCAAACACATTGCCCAGAGAAATGTCCTGATGTGTGCTTGCATGCTTGACAGAATATTCATTCCTGCACTTTACAGTTCAGTCAAAGCCATGGCACTGGTCACAGTTTTTTCAGTTTTATACAACAGGGGACAAAAGCATGCACCCAGCTCACCAGTGCTTAAGTCCAAGCTGAGGACATCCACTAATTAGACTTCCTGTTACTGCATGTCACTGGGAGTCTTTGAGCTTGATTCAGGCATGCAGTGCTCAAGAGAATCTGTCTCACTGCATCTTTGTTAACCTCAAGACAACCGCCCTCTGAAATCAGCCAGAGCAGAGAGCACCATGACACACTGCAGTAAAACTGCTCTAAATGAGGAGGCTTCAAAGGTGCTTACAGAGGCCGAGCGGATACCATCAAAAATCGGAGCCAGTGCTGCATCGATTGAAGGAAAGAAACACAGAGAACAAGGAGGAATTAAGGAAACATAAACAGACAATCAAATTGAGACAACTTGGTTCAAAAGGAGGAAACAATACAGGAGGCATGGTGGAGCAAGATGAGAGACATGAGGACAGAAGACACTTGGACATAATATCCTCTTGTTAGTCATGCTGCAGCATTCACGCCTTGTTCTCACTATTTTCATCTTCAGCTGGATGCATGTTTTTAGCGAAAGCTCAATACACCTTAGGTATTCATACAGCTCGAACATTTTTTTCTGCTGTTGTCAGATTAAGTGGAAATATTCAAAACACTGTGAAAATGAAATGTCTCAAAGCACTGATGACTTATCATTCTTATCCTGTTTCCAAGAAATGTTTGCCCGACCATGCTGATTCAGAGCAGTTTATTTGAGGAGTTCGCAGTAGTGCAGGAATAAAAGAAAACAGATTACCATAACCCAGTGTAGCAAAGATTTAATGGTAAAAGTTAACAAAGAATAATGTTAAAAAATGCTCAAGTTTAAAAACTACTCATAGAGTAAAGAAGAAATAAGGCTTTTGCTTGAAGCACAGACAAAACAAGCATTTTAAAACCATGTCATAATTTTGCTGGCCAATTTTTTTTTTTACTTCTGTGTGATAATCCTCACAGACCTGTAGAAAAATGAACAATAATGAAAATTAAAAGGGAAATTAAAATTTTCTGTATGAATTTTTAAGTTCTTATCCAAAGGAACAGAATTAACTTAATTTAAAAGGAGTTTGCTTACCTGCACAGCGGCCATCCCTGACAGCAAAACCTTGGCCACACTGAACAATAAGAAGAAATGTGTAAATATACAGATACAGTAGAGTGATTGAGTTTGGTGTTAGTAAAGACAAAGGTTTAAAGGTTATGTTATCCAGTTGCATACCTGTGTGTCATTGGCAAGCACAACTGTCCCCCCCTCTCTAGGATAGGTCACTTCCACCACTGTGTTCATTTCAGTAGGCTGCAAGGTTCGAGTGAAGACAGTGCCATCAGGCCAGGTGACTTCAAGTACTGTTGCCTCATCATTTCCTGCAAGTTATCAGAAGACCCTCATAAATCAGAAAATAAAACCTAAAAAGTTCCATTATTTTCAGTATTTACAAGGATAACCCGTGACTTTATATTTTGAAGGAGCTATCTGATTGCTTTGCTAAGAACTGGAGCACGGATCAGGTAAGTGCAGTTTTGACTATGGACAAATCAATTAAAACTAATAAATTAAAACTACTCAGCTTCCATAACAATTCTTCCTCCTTTAAAACTGTCTCTACTTCAGTTTTTTTTTTCACTGGTTTTACAAAGGTGTAAATGTAAACAGCTTTTTGGAGGGAATATGAGATAAAGTGTCCCATTTTCTGTAAATGTCAGTTCACTTTGTAATGTAAGAGAAAGTTACCTAAGCCAAAGTGGGCAACAGGCTCCATCTCACACAGGTATCCCGATCCTCCGTCAATGATGCGTGTGTGAGCCCCACTTTGACTAGTGAAGGCTGTCACCTTGGCCCCTCGGGCAAAAGCACCAAACTGGGTGCGAGGGATGACCCGTAGCCATTTGTTGGTCGAGCCCTGGTGGAGTTAAAACAGTTTAAGTTGTAGATCTTAAAAAACAAACAAACAAACAAAAAACACCGTGCAGGAAAGTAAGACATTTTTCATTCCTTTTTAAATTTAAGTTTTGACAAAATACTTGACTTTTTACTGGAGCTTAGATTAGTACTGTCCAAGAAGTGATACTGCCAAGTGTAAATCATATGCATAAGATTGAATTAAATTACCATAATTTTTTATATATAAATCCAGTAGTTTAATTGTTACAGCCACTGATGGGATTTTTGGTTGGGGCTCATTGTCTCCTGTGAGGGTTTTTTTTTTTTTTTTTTTTTTTAGTCAGTTGGCTGAGTAACCAGCTTTTTAAAAAATATATTTTCTACATTTAAAAGTCACAATTAATGATACATTTCGCTATAAAAAGTCAGCAGGATGAGATTTTTTCTTTAAAAAAAAACAAACAATTAAGTTTGTAGAGGACATGATGAGCAAAGTTCACTTCGTCTCTAGGGGCCACCAAATACACACAAACTGAACTTTCCTCACATGAGCTTCAAGAAAGTCTGGACAGAGGTCCAAAAATTTAAACTATAGCTCACTATCATGGTTTATTTTTAGTTTTACCCCTTTTGTTTTCATTGACAGGCTCATTGAACTAATTTGTGACTCTTAAAGGGCTCTCCACTCACAGGAGGGGAACTTACTTGGACAGCGCTGCTCGTGTTCACATAAGGTTGAGGTGCAAACATAAATGCATGGTAGTTGATACAAGCACTAACTTATTTTAAGATTTATACTTTCCTTTGTATGAGTAAGAGGTACCATCTGAATGTTAACAGAGTACTTGCACTTTGATGCTGTATTAGGACCATTATACTCCTTGACTTATAATAAGCTTTAGTAGGATTTTGATATGGGGTCTAGTAAACACACAAGGTGTTTGTAAATTACAGTATTTATCTTTTGTTACGAGTAAAGGATCAACATGTGACTTCCAGCCCTGAAAAACACATGCACATCTGCACAAACACACCTGTGTGACCTTAAAGACAGAGATTGGCTGCTCTGCACTCTCCCCATGTGCCAGCAGCAGGTCCAGCTGTCCGTCCCCGTCTAAGTCTGTTGCAGTCCCACCTATCCAGAGCAGAGAAAACTGCTTTCACTGTTCTGTAGGACTGTGCTTTGAACACTTTTTTGGGGGCTTTAGATAGGAAAACTTGAGAGAGACAGGAAATGTGTTGAGAGAGAGGAGAAAAGGAAAAGGCACCAAATCCTGTCAAGACTTGGAACTAATCCTCAGTCTGTGTGACAACTAGGGCTGTAGCTGCTGTGCATGGGGTGCCTGCTCTACCAAATGAGCTTAATGAGAGTGTCATCAGTTTTAATCTTAACCAAACAGAGGTGGGAAGGTTGGCAACGAAAGTTATTTAAGTTTTTTTTTTGATAAGTTGTCTTTTCTGGGTTGAAACCCAACTGACCTGTTCCCCGCCCAAGCGGCTCTGCAGCATCTCCCACGTTGAGCGCCTGGATCACAGGGTCTGCACCTGCTCTCCTTGACACCCTGAAAACAAACACAAGAGTTACTTAAAACAGCTACTTTTGTATACAGCATTACAGCACGTGTCAGCCATTTGTTTCTTTCATGGTTTGATGCTTCTGCTTGGATTCAGATTCACACAATAACTGCAATATTAACCTGAACACTCTGTTGGGGGATTCCCTTCTGTAAGCAATATTGTTGAAAAACACCTCCAGCTCCTTGTCGTTGTCAAAGTCAGCAGCAATGACGGTACGTATGGGTGAGGGATCAGCAAACGCTTTATCTGCTATGTTCTGCACATTAAAAGAGACAGTCAAGTGTTGCTTTATCAGTTCTTTCAATCGCATAGATTTCTGACATCGTCTTTCTGTAAATTCTTTATCACTCTTTCTTCACCTTGAATTTAAAGTCACTCTTCTGCAGGTAGAGTCTGTGTGGGCCATTCCAGTTGCCATAGACTATATCTGTCTTTCCATCACCATCAAAGTCTGTGAGGGCCAAACCTCTACCATGCTGATCGCGGTCATCCACCCCTGTAGGGAAAAAAAATTGTGAGCAGGAAAATCAATACGCATTCATAATACAGAAAGGCCCAAAGAGATGCACTGAACAAGACTCATAACCACTGTAAGGTCCTAGTATGAAAAAGCACCCTGGTGGACAGCAGTGGAATCTCAATGGAATCAATGAAAATTTTCAGTCAAATCACTCATCTTATTTCCCAGTACCCTTGACATGCCCAGTGACTATTTTGCTATCGAAAATGTGTCTCAAAAAACTGACTATTTAGTGAAGTTGATTTAACCTTTATGGTGTTAATTTCCATTATTTTGGTCATAGATATCCAAAATAAAAAAAAGTTCTAGAAATCAATCATGTAAATCTAAGTATCCAAAATGCATTTGACTACTAAAAAAAAGATAGGTTACTGATATTGTTTTTTTTTTTCTTATAAATTTCAGTTGCAGGTTCAATCTGGATAGGAAGACTGATACAAGAACTTAATTGATCCCAAAAGGAAATAATGTGGATTGCAATAATTAAAAGCCAATACACATAAAAGTTAAACGTGACGTCCTCTGTGGATGCCTGAAATGAAAATTGAAAGAATAAGAGTAAAGTCCTAACAGGTATTTCAGTGAACAATTCATACAGTTCTGGCTTGGGGAAGCGCTATTTTATGTATTTACAAATAAACTATACTATACTGTTTGATTTCTTTCAGTTTGAATTTTCTTGGCAACTTTACATGGCCCATACAGTGTAATAGGTTTGTTTTTATTAGAAAGGTAGAACCCAATAACATTATGTCTTTAAACAGTCAAAATTACCTTTACAGCTGGAAAACTATGCTGAAGATGTAATTGATAATCTGTCATTACCATCTGTAAGTTAGATGGAAACTGGTTGAAATTAGGTCTTGGATGTTTTCACCTATTTTCCATTAAATATCTAACACTGGTATCCTGGTGGGAAGCTTCCCCACCATGACAGGGGCAACACGAGGCTGAGTCAGTACATAGCAGTGCTTTCAGGATTTAATCATTTTAGTTAAAAGCTGGAATACGAGTATATTGATGTTTATCAGGTGCAATAATAACCACAGTAAGTATCCTATCACTGGTTCAGTAACACAAAGGAACACGTAAAGTATTCATTGTTTTTGCCAAATTTGTCATTTACACAGTGTAGTTTTCATGGCAAACCTTACAGTTAGGATATAAGTGATTCATCCAGGAACATCCAGGCAAAAAAATCCCCAAAACATCACCTTACACTCCAGTTTTCATACTCACCCGACTGTCTAGCCACATCCTCAAAGGTCCCATCTCCTTTATTCTTGAACAAGAAGTTGGGTCCGTTCTCATTGTCACAAAACACATCAGACCTGAACTCACTCAGGATTGGTCCGACTGCCACACCACGCCCACCTGCACAACAGGAAAACAGTGAGTGACGGTCAACTTTAAAACATAACATATTTTATTTTTCTAACCTGACCTGTCAATTTGTTGACCCTGGCCTCAGCAGCAACATCTGACAGAGCAATGACCCCACTGGTCACATCACTGGCTGATTCATCCATTTCCAAGAGAACATGGGCACCGGTACTGCCATAGGCGTAGTTGGCAACATAGATGGAGTAACGGCCTGTTCCCTGGGGAGTAAAGGTTGTGAAAGTTAGAAATTGTCGAGCAATGACAAATGTTTTTTTTTAAGTGGTTTTATGTACCTTTCTGTCCACACATGCCACTGAACGTCCTGCCATGGGTTTAGCAACACCCCTGCGCACGTTGAGTTCGTCACTCACGAGATCTTCAAAGCGGCCGTTACGGAACTTGAAAAGCTTGTCATAATAAGTGGCCTGTCCTGCATAATTCAAGTATGGAGTCATTTAGTGGGCTGATATCATATCATAAGTAAGATGATACTTCACAAGAATCCACCTTTACCTGAGAAGGCGCCATTTGTGTTGAGGAAGTAGATCTCCTCACGTCCATCACCATCTACATCACAGGCTGTAACTCCAATAGCCTTTCCTCCTGAGTCCCTCAGAGCGTAGTAGGGAGAACTGACGTCATTGATGGCAATGTTTACCAGTCTGTTTTGAGTGCGGTCATACTTGAGCACAAGGTTTGGCCCGTTGTACCTGAGGAAGGGTATCAAATACATTAGTTCTGCTCATTACAGACCTCCAACTCAGTGTATCAAATGCTATTCACTCTCTGGGTGGGGTACTTTTTGACTCACCCTGCCACCACCACCTCCAGGTCACCGTCACCATCCACATCTGTGACAGCCATCCCATAGTTTAGCTGTGTTGGGTTGTTCAGATTGTCAGGAGCAAGCACTGTCTGCGTTACATCCTGAAACAAGGGAGCAGAGTTCTGGGCGTTGGACTGTTGCCAGAGTCCAACCATGAGGAGGAACAGACCTGCAACCTGCATGACAGCAACCTGGTGGAGCACAAAGAAGGACAGGGTCTAAAATCTCAACCCAATATGCTGATGATGCAGTTATATGTGTGTGAGACAAGTCTTACAATATAGCATGACAATCTTGAGTGTAGTGAGTCGGTATGTTATTATGACAGACCACATGTTAAAGTCTTTGAGTAGAAAAAGATTATTGCATTACCGGATTTTATGTTTCTATAGGAGATCTACACATTTGACACATTTTATGTGTTATGTGAACTACTTTTTCTCTTTCAATACTACTTGTTTTGAAACCCCAACAATGAATCAGTGACATTTCTTTATTCTTTTCAAAAGAAACTGGAGAAATCAAGCCACACAAAAATCTAAGACATGCTTTCACCGATTGCAGAACTTTTGGGGACAAATATTACTTAAAAACATTGTAGAGAATTATTGAAACACGTCTTTTTAAGTCATGCAGAGCACACAAGCATATATTACCCTTTAAGAGAAAGCATTTCATGAACAAATGTGACACCTATGCACCTATGGTTTTGACACAGACATAGGTCCCATTTGTTATAAAGATTGTATTTTCAATAACCCTTTTTCAGCACAAATGGTTTGCTATATGGCTGTTTTTAAGTAAAAACATAAAATCTTCTATTGCATGCAAAAACTCATCTTTTATGTCATGCAGTAATTTCATTAATTTCATTAGGACTTACCTAACAGCTGTGTCTGAGTAAAGAGGTGGGGAGGATTTGGTTTTTGGATGAACGATGTAGATGCACACAGCGTCCTTTTACCTAACTACTTGGCAAAAAAACCACCTTACACAACCTCTCCTTTTAAGTTTTACGAAAGAGCTTGTATAAAGCACGGACGACAAGCCAATCAGGAATAAGCGAGGTGACCAATCAGTGCGTCGAACCAATGGTTTGCGAGAACTTCTATGGGCGTGTACGTAAAACGCGGAAGTTTGCTTCTGTGTAGTCGCTGCGATATAAAACAGAACAGTGACAGCACGGATAAAATACACTCAAACGACAGAGAATTGGTAAATCACATAGAAATAGTACACACGAGCAATAAAGACCTTATTCTCTGATGAAAAACGATTTAATGTGAAAAGCAACCCATTACTGCCCTGAATGTAACGCCAAATGTGAACACCACTTCCCAGAATGCTTTGTGTTCTCTCACACTCGCGTCAGATGTGCGACGAAGTTCTGTTTTTAAACACACCAAACACGGGTGAGTAAAAAAACACAGTTTAATCCTGTTTTTATCTCCGTTTGAAAATGAAAGTGAATTAAAGTGGCATTGGTAAAGACTGTTAATAAATTAAATTATTTTGTATCCCTCAAAATTAACATTTTAGCCACAGAAAGATGCAGTTCAGCGTTTAAGCTAAACCAATGAGCTAATAGTGAATGCACATTTACCAATGCTTGCATACATTGTAGAATATGTTGTCATAATCTTGCTTTCTAATTGATTTTCCTCTTTTCATGGTACAGCTGTTGTAAAATAATTTTGTAATGGAGTTGGAACAGCCGAAAGAGGACTGTGCTCCAGCCGAGTCAACACCTGCGCCACCAGCCTCCTCTAAGAAGCCGAGTCAGGCTCTGTACGTGCCCAAGAAACGGCTTCCTGACTCCAAAGACAAAACTCAGACTCAGGGAGAGGGCAAACCGAGACCCAGACCTCGCTACACAGACAAGTCTAGAAAAAATGCCAAAAATAAGAAGAACCAAGCAGGAGTAACAGAGAAGGAGGCACCTGCAGGAGGAGAGGGTGGAGGTGAGGTGCAGGATGGTGACAATAAGCCTGCTATGAAGGAAGAGAGGCTTCAGGATACAGATGCTCAGGTGAACGGGCAGCCGGGTTTAACCAATTCAGAGGAAGATGCTGCATCAGGACATGAGGACAAGGGGGAAGAAGAGAGTTGGGACACGTTGTTCAACGATGAAGGAGACTGTCTGGATCCTCATCTGCTGGAGGAGGTCAGAGCTGTGGATATCCTTTACATTCACACACATATTTGCCTTTTCATTTGTACTCAGGTCAAGGTAATGGTTTTATCAATCAATCAATCAAATTTTATTTATATAGCGCCAAGTCACAACAGTCGTCATCCCAAAACGCTTTTCAAAGAACAAGAGCAGGTCTAGACCACGCTCATTGTTTGATGAATTATCAAGACCCAACCTTAGATGGGTTTTGGCCCATCTCATCTAACATGAGTAACAGTGGCAAGGAAAAACTTCCTTTTAACAGGCAGAAACCTTGGGCAGGACCAGATTAATGCCAGACAGCCACCAAGCCGCTGCTGGGTTGGGGAGGAATACAGAGAGAGATAGGGGGAGAGAGGGAGAGAGAGAAAAGTGGAGAGAGGGCAGTGGGAGAGAAAGAGAACAAGATAGAGGGAAGGAGAGAGAGAATGAGTAAGGGAGAGCGAGGGAGGGAGGGAGAGTAGAGAACGAGGGTGAGAGAGAGAGACGGGACAGCAGCAACATTAAACAACAGCAACAACAACAACAACAGCTCATGTAATGGTGAAACAAAATGAATTCAGTTTACAGGGTTAGGATATGAGTGATTATGGACTATGTTGAATTAATTTAAAGTGATTACAGTCAGCAGGCCTAATAGTAGTTAACTCTAGTTTTATGTTATTAATGTCAGTGAATTTTACCAATAAGATAGACTCAAGTTTAACTTCCCTCAACTCTTTTTTTCAACTCTTTTTTTTCTCTTACTCACTGTCCTTCACTTTTTACCCTTTCAGCTCGCTGTGAAAGAGGGTAAAAAGAAAGAGTCAATCCAGGAGCCCAGGTTTGATTATTACAACATGGACCGGTTTGGGGATGAAGAGGACGATATCGATCTCACAGAGGATGAACTTTCCCACATTGTAGAGATCTATGACTTCCCAGCAGAGTTTAAGACAGAGGATCTGCTCCGGCTATTTCAGGACTACCAGTATGTATAATTCAGAGTACTTCTGTCAGCATAAGAAGTGTTTGCTATTGTAAATCTCTCATTTATTGTTGTAATTACAACCATTTGTACAGCACTTTTCATAAACAGGCATAAAATACTTAATACAAATCAGTCATTGGTGCACCTCAGGTTTCTTGTCCTTGCTTGACAGCCAATGAGAGGAGAGATAGTGACCAAGTGGTAATTCATGAACAGGGAACTTAATTTAAAAAATAATAATAATAAAAGCTAAAATTAGTCCAAAGAAATGAAACAGCTGTCAGAGAGTCAGAGTTAGGTGTCCATCATACCATTTTAGTAAAATTTAAAACTATTTAACTGGCAGTTTTATCCTCCATTTTTTTCTAACACTTTGCTTTATTGTTGTTTAATCTTATCAGACAAAGAGGCTTTGACATCAAGTGGATTGATGACTCCCATGCCCTGGGCCTCTTCTCAAGCCCCATAGCAGGTTGGTGAAATGCTGCTGGCCAAACAATTTTCAAGCTTTGGTTCCTGCATGTGTGTGTGTGTGTGTGTGTACCAGGGCTGTCACAGGATCTTTTTTTTGTCTCATGATTATCATGGCTCCAAAAATATTGCAACAACAATATTACTGTGATAGTTATGAAAACTTAAAAATAAAACAACACAACCAGCCAAACTGAGGAAAAGCAGGACACGGGCAGAGCAACATATTATGTCATAAACTTTAATAAAACTAATTAACTCATGTGTCATCATCCAATTTCTGATAATATTCAAATCCATGATTCATCCCCAGCCCTGTAACAGAAACCTCTTTGGAGAGGACAATTGTGAGTCATGCTTTTTTTTAGATCATTTTTCTGTCCTGGGTTCGGTTGCTTCATTTCTTTAAAGCTGTTTTTGGTAAAGCCTAAGTAACAAAACCAAATAAAAACAATTGAGTTGAACAGTCAGAAAGTATAAAAGCTCAGTTAATTATTCCAAAGAGGCACAAGCTCTAATATTGTTTTTGGATTTACAAATAAATCTTGGACATCAGTTTTTAGTGACTAGTCATCTCTCGGTTGGCTGCTACTCCCTTTTTGTCTCACCTCAGTTTAATGGGGTATGACAACCACTACTATAAACCCATAGCATTACCATATACATAATTTTTGCACAATATCTATATTCTTTCTTTTTTTTTCTTTTAGATAGAGATGGTTATTGTCAATACCAGTATTAAGCGACAGCCCTGGTGTGCACACCTTAACTACTGTCTCCAGTAAATATTGATGTGACACATTGTTCCTGCCTGTTTGTTGAAGTTTGCATAGGATGAATATGCATTAGAGATCTGACTGACAAACTATACTTCATTTTCATCAGTAAGTCATTAAGCTGTAATGCAGAGCTGCTGTGTATTATTGTGAACAGGTTTGAATCTCATTTAGGACATCATAATAAAACGCATGTTTGAAAATCCCAAGGTTGTTGATGAACATTTCAATTTTTCCAGCCCGGGAAGCTTTGAGATCCAAACATCCACTTATGAAGTTGCGACCACTTTCCCAATCTTCTGCTGCTACAAAGGCCGCAGCTCGCAGCTGCTCAGGTGAAAATAAAGACATTTGTATTTCTAAGGTGGCCTTTAGGATCTAAAACAATTCAAAGATGAATTTTAACCAGTGTGTCTATCAATTTTCTTTCTCTTCTGCCTCCAGACTACCTCCTGCCAGCCAAAGAGAGACCTCAGACTAGTGCAGCGCTCGCTCGAAAGCTTGTTATTGGTGCGCTTGGTATGAAAAGCAACCTGACGAAAGAGCAACGAGAGGCAGAGAGGAAGAAACTCCAGGAGGCAAGAGGTAATCACAGCGCTGTTAGGCTTTGGTTATGATTTAGTTTTATTCTGTCAAATACTTTTTCCTACTCCAGCCCCACTGTCAGTCTTTAAGAAGGAGACTTCTGACTAAAAAAAGGACCGTACATCCTCATCTTACATGTTGCTCAAGTGAACTAGGCTAAATATAAGCAAGCAAGTGCCTCAGCCCCAGAAAACATTTTCGGAATAGGTTACTTTTGAAAATACTTGGTAACATTTTACTTGGCGCCTATCTCTATAACGCATAATAAATATATGTAGGTTGTGTTATAATCATGTTATAGCACTGTATAACTATAGTAATAAACACTCGTAAATGATCATAATGCTTTATAGCAATAATCATAACACATCATAAAGCAGTGGTTCTCAACTGGTGGGTCCCTACTCAAAAGTGGGTTGTGGACACGTTCTGGATGGATTGCAAACAGCTGGTAAATATATATATATATATATATTAATGCACATCTGATGTTTGACATGTCTTTTATTTTGAAAAATAGCTTTTATTTTGTGCAATTTGATATTTATTTGATATTTGATATTTTCAGTATATGAAACTTCAGTAGTTGTCGTCCTCAGTTCATGTGCTCTGAAATGCACTTTATGCAATAAAACGGGTGGATTTGTGTTAAAGATTTGAGTCTTGAAAGGTTTTCTTAATAAAAAATAAATTTGCTTGGTTTGGAATCTATAAAAGTGGGTCGCAATGTAAGGACCATGGGAAAATGCGGGTCTCAGAGTGAGACCAGTTGAGAACCACTGTTATAAAGCATTTGATCATGACTTCCAAGGTCAGGTATTATCATGTGTCATAACTGTTAACAACTCACTGACAATGCCCACATAGATAATGCAATGCAACTGTTGTTAACAGTTATAACCCATTATAATAACTGACCTTGTAAGTCATGATAAAATGTTTCCTAATGTGTTATGATTATTGCTATAAAGCATTATGATCATTTATGAGTGATTATAGTTATACAGTGCTTTAACTTGATTATAACTCATTATACATACAGTATATTTATAATTCGTTCTTCAAATAAAGTGTTACCAAATATTTCACCACCCTTATTCATCAAAGTTTTTGCATTACAAGGTTTTTACCACAGGAGGGAGCTGTTGCTGCATTTGGTGTAGAAAACGAAACATGTAGTTGCAGATTAATGCCAAAAGAAGTTGCTCTCTGTCCACTGCTGAGGAGGTCTATAATCAGCTGAGCAGCCATTTCCCTTCATGGATGGAACATAAGTATATAGGCACAGAAAACCCACAATTGGCCGTCCACTGCACAGCCAGTCAGGAAGTCAGGGAAAACTAAAAAAAACTCCTTTGTTCTTGGACTGGGCGCACTTCTGTGCTCTTTATTTAAGATCACAACACATAGGGTGACTGACAGAAAAGAAGTGCATCATGTACTGAACACAGTGTCCCTGGAATGAATGCCACGTATGGTTTTATCCAGAGGTAGTTGACAGATGCCACTGACAAAGTCAGTGCAATAAATCACCTGTGTGCCGTCAAGTGTGGTGCATTCACTGAGTTATAAGTTAACGGTCTCTGTGCTTTATCTTTCAGAGCAAAAACGCCTGGCAGCTAAGCAGAAAGAAGATGCTTGGGAGGGGAAGTGACTGGGTGGAGAACGACCCCCCATCTGTGAATTATGTGTGTATTTTTTTTTAGATTCCTTGATTCAGCAAAATGAGGATTTCTCTGTGTCCTCTCTTGATCTGTTTTCCTCAACTGGCCACTCCTTTAAACCACCACACTTCCCAGAAATGGATTCTTCCAGTTTTCCCTTCTTTCTGCCGCAAACCTTCACCAGCTATAATTGAACTTCTCACCATCCGTTTGCCTCTGGTGTTACATCAGGAAAGAGTGACCCACTACTGTCTTATCTTCATGCATAAACACATTAAACGTGTCTCATATTTCATCCATGCAGGGATTATTGCCTCAAGGTCACAGCTAACCCAACCTCACCTGGACATCCTTTTGTAATTCTACATAATAATGCAGCAACTCTGTACTGATGAATTAAGCCCAGACATTTTTAAGGGATCACGGCTGCTTCGTAATACTTATTGTCAAACAGTTATAAGCTTGTCTTGTGAATTTTTTAATTTTTATAATGACCCAGGTTAGTCCATTTGTAAGGACAAGAGCAGTACAACTTTTTGTTATGGTTCAGTGATATCAAATCCAGTAAAATCAATACAGTAGATCCCTGTGCTGTGTATGATTTACTGCTAAGACCAAACCTTCCTTCATAGTATGCAAATAAAATGTGGAGTTTATCCAGGTAATTGGGTGATATGAGGTCTAACAGTGGTTTCAAAGTAATAAAAATACACATGCATCTCAATGAATCATAGAAAAGTTAAATAATTAGTTATTTAGTAAACTTTCATTTGTTCTTGTATTCATTACATGTAAAGGGGAATATTTTAAGACTTTAATGAAAATCAGAAATCCAGTGTCTCAAGTTTCTATATTTTCTTTAGATCAATCGAAAAAGGTTATAAAACACAGGCATGTTCTGCTTCTGAAAAGACCACTGATTTGTACACTCAGTGCTTGGTTGGTGCTTATTTACCCCAAAAATATTGGCACTAATGTGGTATGGCCGTGATCAGCCTGTGACACTGCTGAGGATCAGTTGCTCTGATAGTAATCAGTCAAACTTTAAAGCACTTGTTATGCAAACCAAATGACTTTACAGTGACTGAAAACAAAATAGTGCCCCAAAATACAAAAAAATTGACACTTTTCTATATAAAGACACAGAGGAGGTTGGGAGCAATGCACAGAAACAGCAATAACAATATATATGTTATCAAAACAGCTGAGAGAAACGGAACACAAGGTAAAGAATCAAAAAACATCAAAACAAAGAGCAAAAATAAAATCAAAAAGGTAGAAATAAGAAAACGAACATAACCAATCTAATAATTATCTTTATAAAACATTACGTGACAAGAAAAACGATCAAACCTGCAAAAAGCCAAGCTATACAGATAGATCTTAAGTTGACATTTTGAAGTTTCATTGTTTCCAGCTGGATTTTCACAGGGTTCAGGTTAGGCCTGTTGGCTCATAACATGGTCAGCAAACCATGTAGTAGTCGTTTTGGTTCTGTGGGCATGTGCCAAGTCCTGATGAGAAAGGAAATCTGTATCTCCATAAAGCTCATCAGAAAATGGAGGCATGAAGTGCAGTAAAATCTGGTAGATTCTAGGCTGTTTTGACTCCAGACCTGATAAAACACAGTGGACCAACACCAGCAGATGACATGGTGTCAAACATTCATGCTGCAGAAACTTCACACTGGACTTCAAGCACCCTGGACTCTTTGCCTGAAATACAATCTAACTTTAGACCTCAGAGCTACAGTCCTTTTCTTTTTCATCTTCATCCAGGTAAACTCTTCTGACCTCTCAGGTTCAAGGGCAGCTTGATATCACAGATGTGACTGTTGTGGTCCCTTTCTTGAAGATGTCTGTGTGTTGGCTGTTTATGCTCCTACACCAGCCTTAAGAGTCAGTCTGCTCCTTGTGAAGCTTTTCAAAGTTTTTGAATGGTGTTTTTTTTTTTTTTTGATAATCCTCTCAAGGCTGCCGTCATCCCTCATCATGTTGCTTGTGTCTTTTCAGCAATGAACGTCTGGAGTTTACCAGAGAGTATTGATGATTGACTTTGGGTCAACTGCCAAGTCAGCAGTCTTACCCCCTGATTGGAAGAACTGGGCCGATAGATGTTTTATACTCATATATTTTGAGACATCTTTTCACAATTTAGTGATCATATACAATAAAGTATGCCAAGTTTTCAGATTCTTGGATAGCTAAGAGAATATAAAACTTTTTCATGATATTGAGATGCAGATGTACTTTCTTGAACTCTAATGCCTACTTAATAAAATTTAAATATTTAACGTCACCTTCTGCCTCATTCAGACCCAGCTTTCATAATCCAGCTTTACGAAACACAGGACCAGGCTCTGGAAACATCTGTGACAGCTGGATGCAGCTGCCTCCTCTGAGGCTTCACCCAGCCAACCACAGACCATGTGGCACTGCGTCTCCTGCACCTCCTCAGCCAATAATTAAGTCTTATTCTTGGAGACATTGGAGAATGCTGCAAATTTGTCATCTTACTTTACTATAATTATTGAACTTTATTCTTCTGTCAATCTAAAAAAGAATATCTGCATACTTTGGTCTCCAAGCTGTGAGTGGGCATGTTAACACAGTAGCTGAACAGATTTCTGGGCGTATAAATGTTTCAAAAGATGATCATTCAGAATTTGATTACAGCATCTATATGAAACTTAACTCTACTGCTGCTGTCCCAATGCTGTATATGCAGTCTATCACTGCTGTAGTTACCAAAACGTGTATAAATCTCATTAGGTAACTGAGATGCAGTGCCACGTGGCCAGTTAGAGTGCTGCTGCATCAAGGAGGGTGCTGTTTGTAATGTGTTCAAGCTTTTCATTAGTCCACAATAAACATCGTATTGTAGAGGGCAGCAGGTATCAACACCTTTACAGACATTCATCACTTCTAAAGATGCATTTCTACACTGTAAGTGTTGCCGAAGTGTCATAAATACTCATGCATCAAAATAACATGTTTTTGAAGAGTTTCATGTTGACAAAGCTCAAACAAAATGATTAAAATACTAGTTTAATGGGTGAGTTGCAAAAGAAACAGTTTTATAGTATAAATTAAGAGTTTAAATCTGCGTTTGTTGCTTTGTTATAACATAAATTTACATAAACCTGTAGAGGAAGAAGATAGAAAAGAGTAAGTGTTTAACCTAAGTTGGGATTTTAACCCTCAAGTGCTTACTAACATATTTTATACAGATTGACCCTCTTAAGAACTTACAAACTAACGGTACTTATGATTAATCATCCAAAACTGATAATGAATAACAGATGATATAGGTTTATTTGTTACCATGTGTTTACTATTTCTAGTGATGATTTGACATGCTACTTCAGGTTGGAGTTTATGAAATCCTTATTTGCAGTATGTGTTGAATAGTTAATGCTACATCTAAGCTGGTCTCCCCTTACTGTCTTGAATAACCTCCTCACATGACTTTTCAGTGTGCAGTAAAACCAAATGTGGACAAATTTTCATGGCAAGTCTGCTAGATCAGTGGTGGACCTCCCTGTGCTCTGTTGTTCTTCCAGCTGAACGGCCCATACAGCTGTTACTGCGCTTTACCATCGTCGTGTGAGATCTTGGTCCTGCCTATAATCTCATGCTTTACTGTGGCTTCACGAGGAGGTAATGTACCGCAGAGCAGCCAACTATGTACCTCACACACAATCATCGGATTTACTACACTAACACAAACCACGACTAAGCTAGTAGTTTTTTTGCAAATGTAGACCCGCTGCAGTGACAAACTTTTGTATCATGGAGCAAATGATATGAGAGGCATGGTCCAGATTCATGAATAATCCCATGTCCCACCACAATAAAGGGCTTTGCTAGTGTAGGGTGTTATGTTTCCATGCGCCAACCACTGCCAACAAACACACCAAACATCACTGGTCTCATTTTGAAAAATTTAAACTTCGTTGAGATTACAACAAGGACAAGTGGTGTCTCAGAATTAATGATTCTGAACAATCTCACTTCAGCTCCCCTGAGGTTTTTATAGCTGGCCTTAAAATGGACTGAACCAAATACTGATGCATCTTAAAGAGCTCTTCAAAACCAAAGAGAGTATCTAGCAGAAAGATTATTTCAATGGAGTTATTTTTAAAGTCTGAAACCTCTGCCTCAGAGTAGGTGTTAGATAATATTAGAATTGCACTCTGCGGAAATAGCATTGTCTTCTGAGTCATTTTTTAAAAACACATACACAGGACAAAATCAACACCGACACTTAAGATAAAGGGGAGGAAATGAAATTGGTAAAAATCCCTACAAAAGCGATCTTTAGTCAGCAGGTAGACCTACCCCAGAGCTGCAAAGCGTCACGCTTTGAGTGTGACAGTCATGCAATCTGACCCATTTTCACACCACATGCCACACTTTACATTTCTCATGCTTGTTTTTCCCCATTCAATACTCTGTATTTATTTTTTTCACGATAATAAACTTGGCTTGCCGTAGTTTGAGTAACTCTAAATGACTGACCAAGATAACCAATCCCAGACCAATCCATCAGTCCTTTGTGCGTAATGCTTCGTTCGAGTTACCTTGGAAGTCAGATGTCAGAGCTGAAAATGACATCACACCCGAGTTCCCAGCATTTCAGTTACCAAGTCAGAAAAAAGCTAAATCGGAGGCCTGAAACAAGATGGCTATGCTAAAGTTTCTTTAGCGCTTGCCTTATATTCGGACAAGGCAAGCGCTAAAATAACTTTTGTAGATGTAGCCATCTTGTTTCCACCTCCGATTTAGCTTTTTCCGACTCGACAACTGAAACACAGTTCTTTTGGGTCTTGGCATCTCTAACTATCTTTCACACACTACAGCGCTGACATTTAAAACCCACTCGAGGTAATGCAATATTGACAAATAAATGTATTTTGTCAAAATTCTTGTTACAATTTTCATTTCTAATTTCTAATTTCTAATTAAGACTTGCATTAGGGAGAGCAGCTGACATGGAGGTGAGGACATCGGTCTTAAGGTATAAATCAATGTTAAAAAAGGCAAAAAAGTTTTCGCCGTCCAGCCGAACACATTGTAACGCTCAAGTCTAAAGGTCCTTACACACCGGCGAATTGCGGAGCGAAGCGAAAAAGCGAGACGAAAATTGCGAATATTCGCCGGTCCGAAAAATCGCTTTCGCCTATACACACCGGCCGCGAAGCGAATATGCGTATATTTTTGCAAAGCGAATTAATAAAGTCGCTTTGCGGCACGGAGGAGAGGAGATGCGGGGTGGTCCTGTACTGCAGTTACCGGTGGTGGTGTGTGTCGTGTGAACGGCTGCTGATTAACATGTCTAGCATTATGAGCGAGGGAGAAAAAGGAGGAAAAGCTGAGAGAGAGGCGAAGGCTGAGCAGTGATCTTTAGCTGCAGATCATCGGCATGTCAAAATGATGAGGGGGTCACCCTGTGAAGTGTGCATGACACCTGTCTCCTAAGGAAGACAAGAGAGTGTCATCTTGTGAGGAAACTACTTCATTAGTAATTCGAAAGAGTTTTGGATGCACCTCAGTTGTCTTTGTCTGCGTTTTCATAATCTCAAACTTCTCCCTCTTCTCCAGCCGTATGGGTCTGTGATGTCATCAACAACATGACTTTTGATTGGCCAGAGGTCTAGCAGGTCCAGATATTCGCCTGCGAATATCCGAAAAATTCGACACAGGAGCGAAAAAATAAAAGCGGCTTTTCGCCCCTCGGAAAAATCGCCGCCGGTGTGGAAGCTTGCATTGACTTTATGCTGTTTTAAAAAAAGGCGAATAATTCGCTTGGTGAATTCTCGCCCGGTGTGTAAGGACCTTCACTCTTGTCATTTTCTGAAACTTGCCAGCCCTGCTACCCTCTGGTAGGATGGTACTGGGATGAAAGTAGGCCACAAACCAAAAGGGAGAATTTCTTCTTTTGAGAAAAGAGAGCAGAAACCCCTCCTCAATAAATAAGAATTTAGATTTATATACAACTATACAAGTCTTTCTGTTGAGCACTTGAGTGAAAGGCTAACAGCCTTAATTGATCAGCAGCTAACTGCAGCTACTGTAAGCTAACAAAAGCTTTCAAATTTTTCTTCCTCACACAAAGGAACATCAAACTATCATTAAAGCTAAAAGCATATATACAACCCATGAATAAATGTCATCATAAAAAATCATAAAAAAAAAAAAGTGATCCAGTTCAGCTAGCTAAATTCTCTTGGTATCACTGTTACTGTTTGTTTATTTATTTATTTATTAGGTCTTTGTGTCTGTTTGCCATTTTACTTTATTATGAACATTGTTTTTGATTCCTACTCTTGCCAGAGAAGACAGAAAGAAGAGAGATGTTTAGATAATCTCATCAGCCTGGCTAGTTTCAATGGTAGTGACAGTTATGAATGTTTTATTGAATGAGTGAAAAAAAGGAAAGAACTAAGGCTAATAGACTCATAAAAGCTGGGAAACTTAGAAATCCCTTTCAAATCTGCTGGAAGGAGCTGAAGCTGCTGTTTTGATCACACTTCACAGCTAGCATAACTGGCTGTTAACTACTATTGTAGCATGTAGCATTAAATAAGAGAATCTCTTTTAACATGTAATTTGATTCCCACAATCTTATTCAAAAGTTTATATTAAACTCCTCCTTGTCTGTATTTGCAATCTCTGCCCATCAAATAACCATGCCTCAAATAACCATACAGTTTGTCAATCTGACGTTTATTCTTTCACTACCATTACCCAGTTCTTTTTAAGGCGCATTAAGGTGGTACAACCAGATTTCATCTGATGTCACTGGTGGTCAACAGATAAAGGACAAACAAGTGAAAATATCTCTCATAATTAAAAGTGACAATACAAAACAAGTTTCAACTAAAAAGTACATTTAAATTCTGCATAAATTAGACCTAAAGCACAATATTCCAGAGAGGTAATATAAAACTGTACATGGCAATACATTTGCAATACATTACAATATTTATTCAAATAAGGCAAAATAGCACCATGAAATAAAAAAACAAAACAAAAACACCGTCATTCAAAACCAAAACCACACAGTTGCAACAGTAAATACTGCATTTGTAAAATGATCAACAAAAGCACAGGAAGCATGTACAGAGTAGACAGTTTGTTATCGATTGATATTACATGGACGACAGGTTGGTGATGCACTGTAAAGGTAAAGGATGTTTCCTCCTCATGTGCCTTCATTTCATTACTGTCTGTGGTTACGTTTTGATCAAGGTAAATAAACTCAATGAACAATTAGAGACACATTTTTCAAATTGTAAACTACTCTATGTGTTATCTTTGTGACATGATGCTTGCAATGGCCAACTTTGTTTTTTTTTTCTTTTTTTTGTCCTCTCTTTCTCCTCCTTCTGGTATTTTTTGACTTTCTAACAGAAACAGTCAATGCAGATGACAAGTCAAGGGATTGTATGAAGTCCCTGAATCCCAGCCTCCCACCCTCTGACCCCATTTCTCAAGTCACTGGCATGTCATTGTCATTCACACTTCTTCCCCTGACATGATGAGGTGTGCTGAGGAGTTGTTCAGTTGTGCTGTCCTTAAATATGCTCATTCCTTAATTCACAGGAAGTTGTTGGAGATCTGACGTTGATGGTCAAACAAGTCCTCCGCCTCAGCACTGTAGGCATCACCTGATGAAAACAGACAAAAAAACAGGAAACATAAATGTCTGAATCTAAGCGGGACTGGGATGGAATAGTGTGAGGATTTAGGTGCACTGAACATATCTTCACACCATACCTGCATGGCATCCAAACATGTAAACTCGTGCTCCATCGTACTTGCAGCGACAACGCATCACGTTGTTTTGGAAGTCAGACTCAGCCATGTCTAAGGAAGGATTGACTTCCACCTGTGAAAGAACATAGACAACAGATGAAATACTGCAAAAATTAAGTCAGCCATCCTTTTGAAATTTCTGTGTGACCTGTTCAGGTATCATCAGCTTGTTATTATCAAAAGTGCATGTAGATGAGGGGTATACAGGCCATATTCTACCCCTGAGCCAGCTGAGTAGACTGTCACCATCGTCAATTTACAATTTAACTCATCTTTACATCCAAGTGGGGATGCCTCATAGTTACAGTAATCATGACAAAGGTATTCCAGAGGCAGAAATAACAACTAAGAATGATGGAGGGGATCAGCCCCATCACAAACTCTCTGTAAGTGTTTGAGTGCAAAACGTCAAACATTATTAAATCAAGTAAAAACAAAGAAGGCATGAAGTGAGTAAATTCACATGTACAACTGTAATTTAGACCAGTTTTGATGTTACTCAGTATGTGTTTGTGTTAATTGATATATTCACAAATATTCACATAAATGTCCTTTTGTCTTTTTTTAGTTTGCTAAAAGCTTCAATATGGAGTTTTTGGATGCGAATGAAACCGACAGAAATTCACAATTGTGCCTGATTATGATAAATAAAAGCAGAAAAAAGCACTTTCAAGGTTGAGGATGTTTATATAACTGTATGACATAGTAATATTGTAATTTTGAATGCCTGAAACCTGTACGAGGGGGTAGGTGCGGGTAAAGTCCTGAAGAAAAAGGCCCAGTTTACCTTTTTAGCACTATATATTCACAGAAACAACACATTTGATGGTCAGAAGTCCTTAGGGTGAGATTTTGTCTGAAGGCACCATGAAAGCATGTATTTTCTGTCCTTTTGTGTAGAGGTTCAACTTCAGCCTCAAGTTCAACTCTCATACTTGCCTTTTTCCATCATGGCATTTCCTCTCTCTCTTTCCTGTTTTTAAACTGTTTTTCTGTCCTGTCCACTTGATAACAAAGGAATAAAGAGACCCAGCTATAATCTAAGTAAAACAAGTGTGCGGCAAATTGAGGTCATCGTCAACAGCAGTATCAAGACCACAAGTGAAGGTAACTGCTGGCCTGGATTTGATGGAAATAGCCAAATTATGCCTCCAGATTTAACTTTCAAATAATACGTCTTGACAGTGTGCATTTTAAAATAATAGCTTAAGAAGTGTATAAATAACATATTTCGGTTTATGAGTCTTTGTTGCCAGAGAAATATATTTCTGTCCAAGTCTGGACCAGAAACCCGGGATAGTGTATATTTTTAATGAAATAAGGGAACATGTGAGAAAGTAACAGTTCATTTCAAACTGTTAGGAAACAGCTGTTTTTCAACAGAACAAACCATGAAGCCACAGGATTATTGTTCTCCCCCTATATGGCTCATGATGCATGAACTAGAGGTTCAAGTGTTGCATGACATCACTTTCCACCGTTATCTCCATGCACGAAAAAAAAAAAGGGCAGAGATGCAGATGACAGTTTTGGGTTTGAGTTTAAGTTGAAGCCTATGATTAGGCTGTAGACATGGTTGGTTGCCATGGTTTGTTGTTTTCCACCCTGTCTGCCAGTGTGCCATATATAAAAAAAGTGCACAAATGAATTTTCCTGACACACACATCAAACAAATCCCTCAACCACATACTCAACAAAGCAACCTAGTTTAATTCTTTAAATGCACAGTGTAAATGTAGTGGTTCAAGTTTGATTCAAAGGCAACAGTATCCAATGAAAGATATTCATGTTCATTATTCTTTTTAAAAACACTTTCACCCTAAATTTGGTTTCATAAACTTCATATATTTTTAATTATTGTACATTGAATGCAGGCAATAGTTTCAGCGTATATTTTATAGCTCTGGTGTAAAACACTATATTAACTCGGTGGTGGTTGCTCTCCCTTTTAAAGCTCTTGTAATAATGTGAAACAAAGAGCCCGTGGATTATTTTACAGAACAATGAAAGGTCGTCACCATCCTGTAAAAAAGTATGAGGTTGTGCAGCTGATTTTCAAATGACGGAGCAATCAGGAGCAATCACGCTGAGGTGGACGTGACTCATCAGCTTAAATGTATGGTCCTAAAAATGGCTGCTACCCTGTCATTCTTGGTAAAGACTACAAGAAACACCCTACTGCGTAAGAGATGAGCACTCTATGACCTGCTTCCATCTTTCATTTCTTACACAAATTTATGAGCAGCTGAACTGCTGCTGAACCACAATCGTGACCACAAAGTGCGGCTGGGTCACGTTGTCATGGCAACAAATCTCTACTTTATGACATATAGTTGGGTTTTATCTCTTGAGACGTGGCTCCCTGCACGTGCACGAGGTCTTACAGTGCAGTCAAACCACTCCTGCATGTAGTTTACATACAGTCTGCAAACATACACGTGTGAGTATAACTGAAACATCTTGATTCGTGTTAACACTCTGAAAATAACTGTAAACAGCACCACTATGTTGCCACTAAGCTTTGAGGAAAAAATAGAACAAATAACACAGAGGGATGGAAGATGAGAAGGTCAGACAGCCGATTGGATGTCTTGAAACTGACTAACTGTGTGATAGCCAGCCATCAAACATAAATCTAGCTTTTGTCCGAATATAAAACGCTGACTGAGCTGTTCCTCCGCCAATAAGCCTGTACTTTCTGGAAGGGTGGACTAATAGCAGGTCTACTTTCTATATAAAACCAGACTAAATTCACTTTCCTTAAGTATGCACACACCCCTAAAACTACATACATGCTGTACACCTGAAACAGCCAAGAGCTATTTACTGAAATTACAGTCTTTTATCGCCACTTTTATCTCATGTGCACCTTCAGATGTTGAAACACTTACCCACGTGTTTGCTTAACTTCAATTCTTGTAATTCCTCAACGGAGAGACTGTGAAACCTTCTGAAATTAAGTTATTTCACCATGCAAATTGGGGTGTGGAGTAATTTTTCTCTGCTTTTTCATTAGGGTAACCATTGTGTCAAGAGGACAGCTGTGCACACTCTAAAACAGAATTAAGTGATGTAAAATTAATGAAGAGGTGTTCTCGTTTGAACAGAAAAAATCCTCTGACCTGGAAGATGTATTCACCAGGGCGGACGTCTGTAATATCAATCCATTGACAGTCAATATCGTGACGGTAGGTGTCCCAGCAGCCCACAGAGATTCCCTGTTGTCCCATGTTATAGCAGGCATATCGTTTATGGATACCTGACAAATAAAAAAAAAAAAGAAACCATGGACAGACATCAGCAAAACTAAATGGTAGAGGACGACTGTATGATGTGTAAATTTTCTTTGCAGCCAGTCACTGTGGATTTTAATTCCTACGAACAACCTGAAATTATAACAACATGATTTAAAAACCCAATCTTTTTTAGGACTCTGAAATGAATAGAAAGGATCTGGGCTGTATAATGCTGTCTGTGTTTTGTAAAGCCAAGATCAATTTAGGTTTGGCCTCTAATCCTACAGCCCGCCACTGGCTTTGAATGCTCATTATGGGATTTGTGCTTTGCACTTTCATGTAGTCTCCAACTTGTCACGATTCTGCTTTTTCTTCCATACTCAACCCCAGTGGTTGATTTATGCAACATAAATCTGTCATTTTTCTTACCGTCAGGGCAGTAGGTGTCCTCCAGACAGAAGCTGGCCTTATGACCCTCAGCTATCTTGGTCCCATTGAGGGTCAGCAGATCATAGTGGGTGAACACCTCAATGCTGTGGTAATGTCTGTGAATTGGATCACAATAGAAAGATCAATACAATAAAGAATAATCAGGGTCTGTGTACACTAGTGAAAATAGTTCAGTGACCGTACTCATCAAGGTTACTTCTCCATCATGACCAATTAAAATTAAGAAGGGGCAGGGCTTCCAATATCAACTTTACCAACAACAATGACAGAGAAAAAACTAATAAAACTCTTTTTTTGACAGTATTCTTCGTAATCTACGTATTTACCAATTTTTTATTGATCCTTGATTCCACTGCACTTCTCAGCATTTTGCTTTTATCCATTCTGTATACTTTATGTATGTTCTGTGTACTTGTGTTTCTCTAGGGTGACTGTATGCAAGCTGCCCAAATCAATCGCCCCTGGTGGGATTAATAAAGTTATCTAAGTCTAAGTCTAAAAGCTAGAGCTGCTTTGAATTGAATAAGCACAAATGTGCAGGGAGATATCAGTTTGGTGTCAGTTTTTTTTCTTTATGAAACCATTCCCAGAACAGACTCTACCAAAAAAGCTAACAGTCAAACCCTGTGTTTGCTGGTTGCTGAGGTAGTGATTGGGTTGTGGCTCACAGAGACACCAAGCTGAGCCTCTCGATTCAGGACACAGAACCACAACTGCTGAGATAAGGAGCCAGGCTGCTCCGAGTGCAGTCATGGTTAGTGACAGTAACAACTGGGTCTAAGTGAAAAGGATGTTTATTGTAAACAAAATCTTGCTGGATAAGGATTGTGTTTTTATTATGTTGAATAACAGACTTTGGGTTATTTTTAGTTCAGGTCTTCGAATATTGCCAGGATTTTCTACACCCGGTGATCCCATCGCCAAGGTCTAAATTCCCATTCATCCTTTTCTGTAGGCAGTTTATTTTATGACCATTGGTAGCAACTTGAATCTCCCTTAAATGCCTCTTTTTCTTGTGCAACCTCTAATGATGCCAAATGTTGTGCCATGTTGGAGATCATGCAGCTTTTCTTTTCCAGCCAAACCCTGCAACAACTAAAATCACCACATTTTCTGCGTCTGGCTGAAGGCATAAAAGGAGCAGCTGTGGATTCAAAATAAAAACTTGAAAGCTCCTTTTCGTGACACAGCTGGGCTGAACGGATCAAACACAGCGGTCTTACCTGTGACACTGGTGCCACGTCCAGCTTTCTCTGGAGGCACGGGGCCGGAAGTCAGCACGGCCCATGTTCATAATGCGGGAGGAGAAACGCAGGAGGCGACGGTGTCCATAGGGCCAGTTCATCCTGGCTGCGGAGGAGGATAGGCAGTTCTCCTCATTAGCACAGGTCAGCAGGTGGAGGGGTCGGTCTTCAAGGTAGGCTGTTTCTTGGACGAGCTGCGCATCCAGTACAAGGTCAGGAGCAGCTAAAGGTGCAAAGATACGGGGTGAATATAAGCATCATTGCAAAAAAAAGGTTACGGCTTTACTCAAAGGGTTGCTGGTCTTGGACTCACTGTCTACACATGTGACTCCTGCAGCTCTGCCATCCCCTCCTCTGGGACAGTAGACATTGGTGTTTCTGCGGCACTGCTGGATCGACATCTCGGTTCCGATACAGTGAGTTCCACTAAGAATCACCTCTGCGGCATCTGAAGAACCGGGCCAGTACCAGGTCTCCTAAACAAAGACACATGGACAGAACAAAGAGCTGATTTGTGACGTGTTAGTCAAGCAGACCGTTCACTTATCCAGAGATTGGCTCCTTTATCTTGCATCTCTAAGCGTTCTTGGGCAAAATACTGAAGACTGAATTAATTTACTTACTAAGCTACCTCTGTCATTCTGTGTGTGAATGGGGTCAATGTTGAAATGAAGCACAAAGCTCTCTGAGTTGGCAGGAAACTTACATGGCATGCTATATAAGAACAGGCAATTTACCGTGTGAAATACTACAGCTCAAGGCAAATAACAGCCTGCTCTATAAACAAAGAAACTCAGTTTTTAATAAGAACTAACAGCTCACATGATCCCATCTTTCCACACTTTTTCACATTTCTTAAACTGCCTGTTAAATGTTCCCAGCAGCCCCCCCTTCCTCACACACTCACGCTGCCCTTTCCATGCACGGTTCTATTTTCAGTTTGTTTGCTCTGTGAATTTCTCCTGATCTCTCTTCGCCTCACTTTCCCTCTTTTATTTTCAGTGTGCTGGAAGTGGACGTTTGAGAAGCCTGTAATTACCTCAGGCCTCGGTAATAACACAGCACAGACACACAAACAGCAGGACCAAGAGAGAGAGAGAGAGAGAGAGAGAGAGAGAGAGAGAAAGGGGGGTAAAGAAATATAGGAACAAAGGGATGAAAGCTTAAAGACAGAGGCAGAAGGGAGTTAAACCATAAGGATCAGATTTTGCTTTTCTTTTTACCTGATGAGCCCTTGCAGCAAAGCCCAAGCCCAACTGGCGACAGACCACCATAGCCTCATTGATGCCCCAGTTCTCACTGCAGACAGAGCCCCAGCGTCTCACTCCTCCGATTTCCATCAGCACCTCCACACGGCCCTCTGCTGGCTCTCTGCCTCCTGCCAGACGAACCTGAAGGTTTAGGAGAGAGGATATTCTTGTCATTTGGTCAATGCTGCATGCTCTTCTGTGTATCATGCTGGGTATTTCGCTGAATGCTGTTTTTCTCACTGTCGCTTGAAGGCCGGTGTTGGGCACGTTGCAGCGGACTGCCACATCCTGATTGTGTTTGCAGGAGTAAAGAGGCACTGGCCTGAAGTGACACTCAGTAACGGACCTCTCCCTGCCTGTACACTGCACACTGTTCATATGGATGGGACCAGTACCTGCAGAACAGAGCACAGTTGATTGATTCACATGTCTCCTTAACCATCGGATAAAAAAAAGGCAGACCCAGTTAGACACACATGGTACATAAAAGACTCTTAAACCTGATGGCTCTCCAGCCACAGATGTCACCAGAGTTGGATTAAAAACCCAGACTTGATCCGGACCTCTGATGTGGCTCTGAAACTGAGCTTAGCCAGAGGGCTCTCTGACTAAATTACTGTATACTCAGGACCATGCTTTATAACCCAAAATAGTTCCCAAAATTGAGGAAAATCTTTGAACACATCTATGTTTGTGTAGGTGTGTGAGGACCTCGCTGGAGCACCTATGAAGCCCTATAATTAGGCCTCAAATAGCTCATGATGTCATCAAGTCCTGCTTCAAAATGCTCGTCTTAAAGTCGCTCTCACACAACTCGCACTATTTTATACGTTCACACAAGTCTGGTAAAATGGCCCGAGACGTCGTTGGCCACAATGCTCCAATTTGACTTTTAACCATGTTCATTATTCAGACATAACAAGCCCATAGCACCTACTTTAATAGAGCCCTAAAGTAACACACAAGTGGTTTCCATGCATTACTTAATTAGGTTAAGTAGTGAGAAGGAAATGCAGCCACCATTACGGGGCATGCTATGTGCTCATTTGTGCAGAAAGATAATGGGAGGAAATGAATGTGATTACAGAGTAACAGGAGGAATTAAGTAAGAAAAAAAGACAATAACTGAGCATGTGAAAGTGGGGTCTGCTTCCTAGAATTTTCTTTAAAACAGTTTGAGCTTCACAATTCGTTTGCCAAGTTTTTAGTCCAAGAACAAAGGCAATGTCAGAGTAATCACAGTCTTGCAATCATGCTCAGTGATAATGGATTGACATCCTGGTTTCAAAGCTGCGCCAGCTTTTCACATACAACAGATTTATTTTGACAACTGCACATGCCATTGTTTGGGTCACTGCAACCTCCGAAAATAGTTTGTACTTTTGTAATTTGGTCATGGGGAGATTTTTTTTTTCTACTTCTATCAGCTTCTCTGATAGAAGTACAAGTCAGACTGTAAACAGTTTCTCTGAGTTTATTTGTCCACTTGGATTCATGGTTCTTAAAGTGCCGCGTTTGGAAACAGATATTTAGGCAGTGAAATGTTTAGTCTGAAGGATAAAAGAGCTCAACTGATCATGCTCATAGTGCATGGTGAACTCAGGCACTGATACAAAGTCAATAGCACAAAACTGGATATCAGAGGAGTAGCCTGATGCTTATTTTAACTCTTTATGTTTATACGAATAAGGTAATTTTCCCACCATAGAGAAACCATCACCCACTTTGACCTTGACAGTCATGGTGAGTAAAGCTATGTAAATGTGTCACCAAAATAAAACTTCAAAGTGCCGTCCGACTTGTAGTACACTACGTGTGTGGTTCTGTCTATGCCTCTGATCTTACCCTGTCCCAGCTGGGCCTTGGTGAGGGCCTCTTTGGCCGATCCAAAGCCAAGCTCTCTGCAGACCACGCTGGCTGCAGCCATGTCCCACAGGTGGTCACATACGGTGCCCCACTTCCCCTCTTTGAGCACTTCAACACGGCCCTCTCCAAGCCTGGCCCCGGCCTTTAGACGCACAACAGGCTGGAAGAAAAAGACACGAGTGGTAAGAAATGGGATTTAATCTCAAACCAACTGTTTAAATCTTCGCTTTTAAGTTTAAAAATGTAATTCAGCACCAGCTCGGATGAAGAGAACCAACGGAGCATCAGTTGGGACCAACAGAAACCATCACTGTCATTTGTCAGTTTTTGTGCTTTTTTTTTCGGTCTCGTAAGAAAAAAAAGTGAGATGTATGAAGTAAATTTATAGAGGGCTAGAGGCAGTGGGAGACAGATGTTGCTAAAATAGTGCAGAGCCAAGTTAGCGGTTTCTTGATGTCAAGCTAACCAGTTGCTTGTTGAAGCCTCATAATTAACTTGAAGATTTAAGGCCAGCCCCAAATTCGTTATGTAACTCTGGAGAAAAAAACAACAAGTAAGCATTTACCAACAAGTTGAACCATGCCCTTGAACCCTCTCTAAGGACAAACTCTTTTGTAATGTTTCCCTTTTTGTATATATTTTTGTACGCTGTTCTCACTCCTTACTGCAAAATTCCTTAACTTATTGGTGTTAATTGCGTTTCTTTAAATGAAGAGTACCATGGTGTCTTTTATTCTTTTATTTTTTTAACAAATGAAGTTGAGTATTTTTTCTAAATACATCCACGTCTCCTCTCTTCTGTCTGTAGCTTTAGCTGCCTGAGCTTGGAGAGCCGTGGACATCTGTCTTTTTAAGGGAGTAAGTGACCATATTCTCTTCAGAAAAGCTTATCAATTAGTTTTCACATTATTTCGTGTTGTCTTGGTTCTTCCTCCACTCTTACCGGGACAGCAGGCGGTGCAGGTGCTCTGCCATAACGTGCAAACTGAGATCCAGGGACGCAGCGGACCACTGCATGCATGCCGCTTCTGCACGGGACATCACTCCTGGGCAATGACAGCAGGGCTTGACACTGCGACAGAGAGGGCTCCACTCCCTGACACTGCACCTTCTCCACCCAGTAAGCCTTTTTACTGATTTGTGTCCTCAGCCTGAGCAGGAAAGACAGAGGAGAAGGATATGTGGCACATCTGTGATTTATCTGCTATTTTACAGATGTTACAAAGCTATATCCTTCCATAAGCAGCTGGATTTATACCTGGAGGATGGGTCAGCCAACTTGGAGTCCCACAGTTTCCTGAAAAACAGACAATATGGTCATTGGAGTTTCAACTGAGCATCCATACACTGAGTAGACTAAACAAACAGCATTCCTGTACACCTCCACAGTCTGCTCTTTCCTCCAGCACAATCTCTTCTTTCGTCCTCATTCATCCTTTCTTCCCTACTCTTTTCTGTCCATCAAACCTTGAATAAACAAACTGGCAAACAACAAACTGGGAAGGGTGTGTGCACTTGAGGATAAACATAGTCCTCACGTAAAAGACAGTGAGCAAGAAAGAAGGATTGAGATGTACAATACGGGATCACATAACTCCTTTCCCCCTTCTTTCCTCTCAAATAACCACCCTCTTGTTGTGACTCTCTTTTTAACCTAACATTTGTACACGGGTATTTCTGTTTCAGTGTTTGTCTATATGTCTACAGTGGCGTCTGGTTTGGAGCATCAATGTGGAAAGAGCCAAAATTATGAACAAGCCACTATACATTAGTCCCTGCGAGAAGCCTTGTTGAGGTCTGCCAACTCCAACAGGGTTTTGTAAACTGTGTCGAGTTTCAAGAATATTGCCTGAAACTAGAGTCAAGTACTGGAGGGAAACAGCAAGTGTATACATGAAATGATGCCCCCTACTCTTGGGCGCAAACACACACCACATGTTAAATCCTAATAAAGGAGAGAGAAAAAACGAGGATTCAATAAAAAGAATGATTCACAAACCAGGCAAAGTCTGGGAAGTGTCTCTCTGTGACACACACACATATACACATGAGAGCTGACCGCCTGCATCGGGCAGAGAGACCACAGACAGGTGCAATGTGACTGACGCCCTTCATGAACGTGCCTGAATTAAGTGAGTCAGAACACCAAGTTTAGACAGGAGGAGGGTTTACTGTGCAACCAGAGTCATGATGCTATTAAATATTTGAGAGACTAAAACTGGACATGTTTCCTCTCCAGGAGAACCCCAGTATCCTGCTATTCCACTGTTTTGCTCAGTTCCTGCATTAAATGAAGGATGTGTTTGAAGCTGGAAGGGCCAGTAAGGAAACCCACAATAGGAATTATGACCCAGAAAAACCCACAGTATGGAACATGTGCGCTGCAAATCATTTACCATCAGGCCAGGCAGCGAAGGGATTTCTTTCAGAGTAAAGGGAACTTTCCACTCTCAGATAAGCCTACACTGCTTCATATCATTACTTTGCAATGTTTGCTTGAGTTCAGCTGTTGAAAATGTCGTTTAGACCACAAGTGCGGTGCAGACAGGAGGCCTCCTATGGTAGATAAGTTTCACTGTTTTTCCTTCTTACACCAATAAACTGAAACTGGTGAAAGACCCTCAGTTTCTTCATAGTTCTTGTGGTTGCAGAGCTCGAAGTATTCTGTCAAACTAAGCTGCCTGCTACGAAAAGGCAAATCCAGACATGGACTTGAGAACAACACAGATGGGCACAGCTAAAGGACAATAATATTGTTAAAACTGTTGCAGTGCCTGGACACTTAAATAAGCACACACACAGGTGAGTCTGTGTACCTCTGCGAGTTTCTTACTGGCTTATTACCATAGACTATATACAGTATGGACAATGTGGCTCCACCTCCCGTCATTGTACGTATTTGAAGCCATATTGCTCTTGGTATTTCTGGGATTTTCTCTATTTCCTGAAACTGTCATTTACGCAGTAGCGTTCGATGGGAGAGTCGCTGTGATGACACTTGGCTCAAACAATGTATCCCCCATTCATACGCCCATAGGCTGTATCAAGTGTCAATCATTGAAAACATGCTAACAACTTTTAAAAATGGAGTTGTACAGAAAAAAGAGGACTTGAGCTACTTTTGCTAAATTTCTTTATTAATAGAAAAACAACAATGGTGCATAGAATACTCTGTTTTGGATGACCATTTCTATCAGTGTCTCACGACCTTACTTAAAAGGTCCAGCCCCCACTTTAGAGACAACTGATCTAGGAAAAGGCAAAAGGGCAGAGCCCAGGCATGCCTTCAACACATCTGTATATCAGTCAAAGTAGCCACACCTCTGATTTAGCCTAAGTATGCATAATTCTGGGCCTTAATAAATTAATAAATAGGCGAGTCATAATAACCTTAATACCTGCACAGTTGTGATGAAGAAGGGCATGAAATATAGAAATGAAAACTGTTTTGGGCCGAGTTTTGAACACGTTAAATTTGGCAGTGAGAGTGGGCTTTTCCATGTCGACTCCAACAGAGCTTCCTTTGGGGCCATCCCCAAGTGGACATTTTAGGAACTGCAGTTTTTTGCACTTGGCTTGTTTAACTTTTGAACTCGAGAGTTTGCTGCAGAGTAGACACTCAACGGCAGCATAATTTATTTAGTTTCTTACCATGTCATAAATATAAGTTGACTATCCATCCCCTTCTATCATAGTTATTGTTCTCCACCAACAACTAAGTAAATTATCGAGTTCTTTAGCAGCTCAATGATCCACAGTGTTCACAAGCTAGTTACAAACTCTATCCGCCAGTTGTTTGATGCCGAGTGTGTAGTGCTCAGCTTTCTTTACTTCTTTGCAATACTGGCTCTCATCTATCCATTTTGCTTTATTGTCTCTGTGTCCTCTCTTTGTTTTATCCATTGTCCCTGCCTTCCTACTACACCTGATTGTTTTGGGTTGTTAAAAGGTGTAAGTGTTGTTGTTTTTTTATCTCCATTTTTTTTTTTCTTAAAGGGGTTGTATAAGGTATACAGCACAAAAGCCAGGCAGACAAGGTCAACACCATTTAACTAATTTTGAGAAAATCCGACCCAAATACCAATGTCAGTGTAGCTGGATGCTATGTTTAGAGACTTTTAAGTCATCTTACTTTGCCCCAGAAAGCCGCTTTGTTTAAGCACTATTTGCAGACACAACACAGATGTGCACACTCACACAGACATGGTGTTTGGGGCAGACTTTCTTAAAATAAGCCAATTACTTGGTAAAATTAACTCCGTCTGTGGCCATGTAGCCCAGCTCCTGTGCTGGTTGTTTGCCTTATCTGTAACTGGACTGAGCTGACTGTCATCCCCTGTGAGTGATACCCTTACTATTGTTAAATACCTCACACAACCCCACTCAAAAATGTACCCTTTAGTAGCATGAACTCCTCTTAAACTAGTAAATCTGTATGTAAGCATGTCTGCACAGTGTGAAAAGATTCCATAAGTCAGTGTTAAATCATAATTGGAGAGATAGGGAGGCTGTGGTGGAGTGGGAGAGGAGGGGAGAAAGGGGGAGTGAGTGCTACCCATATAATTGCCTGCTGTGCTTGGCAGTGTCTGCTGTGCGGTCGAGCAGTAGCATGTTGGTTCACACACACCAGACATGCAAATATGCACGTACATATCCACTTTCCCTGCCTTTACCTCTGTAAAAAAAACAAAGCTCTTTAAAACCCTAGCATTGTTGCTAAACTCTATAAGTGCGTGCTGGGAAACACGGAGCAAAGTGATGTAAGAAGAGCTCTCTGTGAACTGGGCAACTTTTATGAGCATTGCTTAACTTTACAGGAAGAAGAAAAGCATGTTCTTTTGGTTTTCGTTCAGATTCATTTCAGCTGTCCTGCTGACAGCTAAAGTAAAATGGATGTTGCTCTTTGTCAGGACAAAAACACAGGTCATGGAGGCTGAGTTAGATTTCATGTCGACTATAAAGTGAATTAAAGGAAGGGAAGTGAACCACAGCATCAGGCCTCAGGCAGGACTAACAGGTTGTGACTGCAACTCTACCAAACTCCTCTAACCTGAAGATAACTGCTCTACTTCTCAAGATCCAAAGCTCATTGCCAGGATTTTTTTTTATGCAACTCTGACCACACAATACCATAAGCCACACCGTAGAGAGGAGCTGACAGTCAGATTACCTGTTATTATACTGCATGAATGCAAAGCTGCCTGACTGGAACAATCACTCTCCCAGGAGACAGCAGGTTGCCACACTGACTGCACAACAGCCTCTAGACAGTCCCACCATCCTCAGTGGAACGAAAACTAAAAGGGGTCATAATGATGTACTTTCCATGAAATGTGGGTTTTAGTATAATTGCCTCAAAGGCATTAAAAGACTGTAAAAAAAAAAAAAGCTGTGACTGAAGGAGGAGAGAAGGAGAAAGGGGTAGAAGTAAATGAAAAGAACTGAACAAGTCACACTCAGCCTCAAAGAGAGTGTAGATGTGATGAAACAAGGGAGCTGTGGAAAAAAGCTTAAACACTGGCCCTTTGTAAGAGCAGTATTTAAACATCTGTAAAAATGCGCTGAGCAACTTAACAGGCTGAGACAAAGGCAGTCACATGCAGAAAAAAACAACCACATGGCCGAAGAGAGATGTGCTGACACAGCAAAGGGTGTGCAGTAGGTTTAGTCGAGAAAACACTAGATTAGAGGATCTCTCGAACCATAATTGCAAGTGTCTCAGAGGACAAAAACTCAGAAGAAGAGCAGGGATGGACCTCAGCCAGAACAGTGGGCACCACCTAGAAGATTTGATTATCATCTAATATGAATAAATAAAACAAAAGCTGCTGTATGAGCTGGCCTGAAAGCAAGATGCCAGAATCAACAGGTTAACATCTCTGCTGACACTAACAGGCTGGTTTTAGCAGGTATAAAAGTGTACTGTTAACATTTAGTGAGGCTAATGGGGGTATTATTAGGTTTTAGAAATGGAGGAATCAAATCTTTGACCTGAACATGATTTAAGGGTGAGAGTCCTTGTTACAATTTTTCCTGGGGGGCATTTCCTGGGAAGTCCCATTTCCCTAACATCTGGCTGCACACAATAAATTGGCCATTACTTCCTGGAGCTCAATCATCTTAAGCATTGGGTTCTGAGATTATGAAACCACCATGTTTCCAGGTTTGGTCCTTTGGTGACCATTAATGTCATCCATTGGTTGTTGGGAAATGTGGTGTGACCAGTGTACTCTGGGACAAACCAAATGTGGTCTGTCCTCATCTGAATTTATTTGTCTGATCCATATTCTACGGCCGTGTGGGTTTCTCTTTCATTTGAACAATAGTAGTTGATTAAGTGACGGACCCAGTGATTGACATCACATCATAAAGCTTTTCTGCTAGACAAAGTAAAATCGCTGTAGTCACTTTGGATAAAATATGACTAAATTTATATGGCAGGAAAGGTTTTTTGAATTAGCAGTCTGTTTTGACTTCAAAATATGCAAACACATGTGGCACCACATGCCAAAGATTCACATCATGTTGCTTCATTCTTGGAAAAAAATATGCTGTCCTTCCCACGGCTGTTTACTTCGGACAAAATTGGCCGCCCCTTTCATCTCCCACGAAGCTGGGTGGAGGTTGACGAAAAAACCAACAACATTCCCTAGCCTGGTCCTGTCTTTACACAAGCGGCTGGTTGGGTTTTGGGCATAGAAATATGATGTTTCTCTAGACAACTCTGATGTGTTTTTCAGTGTTTTTGTTCACATTAGCATAAGGTTTAGTAAGTTAGCATGATGGACAGCCAAGTTTGGCCACGTTTTCGATAAGGTGCTTGCAGTTTCGTTGACTTAAAGCATCCCAACCAGACAAAAATGAAGGAGCGACGTAAAAATAACCAAATCCATTTTAGAGATAACTTTCACCCATTTCTGTACCTGAATTACACGACTACATGAATTCAAGTGCTCTCATAACAAGACTGTGGCCAAGGTGGTGATCAGGGCAGCTGAGGAGAAGTTAAATAGCAGAGCGGAGCAGGACACAAGGGGTAATTATTGGCAGCATTCAGGACAGATGGTGTGGGGCAGGCCAGTGGTCAGTACAGTCGTCCTGTTGGCCGAGCCAAAAAAAGACCTCTGTGGGCAGACAGACTGACACAGAGGGTTGTGTTCTTGTCTGAACAAGCATACATGTTTACTTGTGTGCGCATGTGGATCTCCTATGAGCTGTAAGGACTCATAAGAAACTGTGCAATGAGGTTAGAGGGTGAAATGCATTAGCATTCGTTTGTAAAAGTGGTATTTGGGTTCTGCAGGTATGTGCATAATGGCTTTGAAGGTTTTTGAAGATGTTTCAGTAGATATTTATGACTTTCAGTCAAGTCATAAAACCTTCTGTGCTGAGTTGGACCACCACCATAACCTGACATTCAGAGTTGAGCCAATGATTTTGTGTTTGAAGGACAAAAGGAGTAATTGAAATATGTTAAAATAGAGAAATGAGAATTTTTATTTTTATTTCTTTACATAGCTTCTTTAGTCACTGTCTTGTATTCAATAGGTTCTGTAGGAAACTTTCTCTTTATGCGGTAGACTAAATGTTCACACAGGACTGTAGTACTTTGTTACTATGGCATAGATACTATAATTCAAAAAAGAAAACGATTTTTGTCTTGTTTAAAAGCTGTGTTTTTTTTCAGCTAATAACAACTTACAAATAAAACTGGTAAGTCTCAAAAGAAGAACTCGTCATTGAGTGTTTGCATTGAAATACTGTGTGAACATAGTCAAAGGTATGTATATCTATCAATCTAGCACCAAGTGCAATTTTTATGGGCATCTGAAACATGCCAAACCAGGGGGTGCGTCCAGAACTGTCTCCTGGGGTGGGTCCACTCCCACTTGAATTTTGATTGGCTATTTCTGACACAATCCCAAATTTTAGGGTGGATATGATTTGTGGATAAAGAAATGATGAAAAAATCATGTAGTTTACAGGGACAGTTGAGTCGAGTCACAGTTATGGCTTGATAAGGTGATTTATCTACATTGCTGTCAATCCCAGATTACAAGTGCTGGGCAAGAATAGAATACGTGTCTACCACAGCTACGGTAGGTGGCTACTTGCCCTCTTTCAGCTCATTGCCAGGTGGTCTCCCAGTTGACCTTGTATGAACCAGAAAAAACAGCCGACAAAAGGGGTTTTCCAAGTGGCCAACAGGATGTAAACTGAAGGCTGAATACATCGTTATTCTACAGCGCTGAACCTTTTGTGCATACAACGCAACATTTGAATCTTTCTTGTGTCTTTTCTTCATCTGTTAAGGTTTTGTAAACTCTTGAGTGTGCACTGAACAATTACGCCAGTTTCAGTCTTATGGAAGAGTCTACATGACAGAAAAAAACACCCCCACCACATTATCTAGGAAAGTATGTCTGACTTTGAGAAGTACGATTTAGTGAGATTTCAGTCAGACTCGTGCAGTTAACTCATGTAAATGTACTGACTGCCATTTGATTTTAATGTGTTCACACCCTCCACTACCCAAGTGCTCCATTGGGGGCCACATTAGTCAGAACAGTCTAGATATGCCCCTGCAAAATACAACATTGGCTGTTACTCTCTGCATTGTGAATAATATGTTCACAGACGCTTGGCTGTTAGCATTGTCAGCAGCTATAAAGCAAGGCTGTCATCGATTTGTTTCACTTCCTAGTTTTCATGGTGTCACACAAAGCCTGAGGGTATAAGTTGATTTAAAAACTTTTTTGCTCATCAGCTTGCTGCTAACCTTATCTGATGTTTGTTGCTGGGTAGGTGGTGCCAACTGTTGCATGCAGTATCTAATAAATAGAGCCTAACAGACTCCGGAGTCAGCCAAAGCAGTGAAATTGCAGAGTTGAAATAACAAAAAACAAAAAACATTGACCTAAAAAGACCTTACACTGTGCTGTCGTGCAAAAGGAAACTGCAGAGAAGAGTGATAATTAGTCAGGCCCAAAAATGTGCAGTTCTTTAAGTGCCCACTTGAGGCTGGCTCCAAAAGCCAAAGGAACCCCATTATTAAAAAGCCCATTTTACAGCAGTTGTGTGTAATATGTTATATGTTATATGTTCACAGCCTGGTTAGGCCAAAAAGCTTTGGTTTCTATAATCCATTCATGCATTACAACTGCAGGGTGAATTTTTGTCACTCATTCATTTTGAGTTTCCTGGCCTGGACTCTTAGTTTCTAACTGGACAAGAAGTTGGTTGGCGTCAGCGTTTGGTGAGCAATATTTCAAAGCTTTACTGTGCCTCCTCAAAATCAAGTGGGGAACAACGCTGAGACTTTGACCATTTTTCATACACCCTATGGTTTGTCACCAGGCTATTCCTTCTACACTGACACCCAAGGAATAATTTTTTAGATTTAAAAAAAAATCTTGGCTAGATTTAAAAAAAATATGGTTATTTGTGATTATAGATGACCACTAGTAAGTGTTAACATAAGAAAATGTTCTGTTTTATTATTTAATTTTGCCCTTTTAAAAAATTCTGAACTAATATTTTGATTATAGAAATGATCAGACTGCAGTAAATGTTTGTCTCTCTTTGGTGAAGAGAAGTGAGCTCTGAAATGTTCAGACATTCCTCTCGACATTAGAAAGTGCTGTTGCTTACAGTTTTCACTGGGGGGTTTCTTAATTATAGGATTGGAAACCATGTAATGGAGGTTTCATGAAAAGACACACACCATGATGATGATGATGATACTAATCTGGTAGTCTGGATCCGACATTAATAACATGCTCTCTAAGACTGTTTTAAAGGTCTCCATTCAGGCCCACTCAGTCAGAGAGACAGACAGGCCTGGTGGACGGTTGGGCTCAGCCGATGCCGCAGTGGATGAGTTGAGCCAAGTGCGGTTTAACTAATGACAGCAGTTGAGGTTAACCTCTACTACAGCGGGGATGGAACAGCCATCCAGGCACGGGGTCGTCTAATGCTTGAAGGGATGTGTAGTCTACCACAGTTTTCCATCCCTTTTATAACCACACACACACAGAGTCAAACACATACACACACACACATACACACACTACTTTTTGTCTGTTCTGGTCCTCCCCACTTTCTCTGCTGTGTCCACTCTCACATACTCACCTGTAGGCATTCTGGTCAAACGCCTCAGCAGTGGGAAATCCTAACATGCCACAGACGACACGGCTGCTACTGAGGTCCCAGCCATGGTTACACACATGACGCCACTTCCCAGCATGCTTCACTTCTAGGACTCCCTCTGTCACCAGGCCACCATGGTTGCCGGACAGCACAGGCCTGAGACGAGCCTCCTCTAAGTGAACTCTTTCAGATCCCTGTCCGTGAGAAAACACAGTTTCCCCAGTTTTTGAAAGTCAATTTGTACTTGAAAATAAAACATTTTTATCCTTAAAAACTCATTTTATTTTAACCAGTGCCCTCCATCAGGACAGCAAAGGCCTCTCTCCCCTTTTAAAGGCCTCTATCGAAACCGACATCAACTGAGTTCTTGTCATGCACAATAAAACAGGATGAACTTAAGACAATAAACATGACTTTGTTTAACTGTATATCAACAGACAGCACGCAATCCCGAGAACAACGTTAAGATAAGATGACATGCTTAGTCTCTAATCATCACACTCTCTAATCATCTTTATTATGAATTGTGGGGTGCAGGAAGGAAACCAATAGTTTGTTTAATGTGTTGGCATGGGTGTCATGATAATTACAAATTGGTGAAGCAGCTAAAAAGATCTACAGCCCTGTGCAAACCTGCAGCCATTATGCTGTTGGATCGTAAGAAGGTCTGAGCTAAATTTGTCTCTAATTATAGATGTCTCCTGGCTCCACAAATGTCATTTATTTATGGTTGTCCGAATAAAGCCAGACTGGGCTTCTTCTTCGGTTTTGGTAGAAGTTGTGTTTGTCAATGTTTGTGTGTTTGATTTTTCTTTTCTTTTTTTACCTGTATGTTCTGTGCATCAGTCTCCAGTCCCATGTCTGGATACACAGGGTCTGGTTCAACATGGTTCCCACTGAGCTGCTGTTGCCTGTCATTCCTACGGTTCTGGTTCTGCCTGTCTATCTCTGCCTCTCTCCTCACTGCCTGTGGACTGCTTCTCGCTGTCTCCTGCCTCTGCCTGTAGGATGCACCGTTTGCCAGATGAGAGGGAAGCTGGTGTCCCTGTGGGTAGACTGAGCTTGCATGTGACACCGGCCGAGAACCTCCTCGATTTCTTCGCATGATCTGGATCTCGTGGCCGTTTTCCTGTGGTGACAAGCTGCTCCGACGGGAAGCGGATGTGCCGCGATTGATGGCAATCTCATGGCCTCTTGCAGGGGAGGAAGAGATGTGGGCTGGAGCTGGAGGATAACTTGGAGGGGACACAGACTGGGATCTTGGTTGGTTTCTTGAGGAAGAAGGAGCTGGCTGTGAGGAGGAAGAGGGACTACCGTTCCTCCTCTGATGACTGCAAATGACCCCCAGGTCCTCAGAGTGAGTGCAGTCATTGATTCCCCAACCATTGGAGCGACACTCTGCGATAGAGAGCTCAGTGCCTTTGCAGCGCACATTATCCAACCAGATCAAACCTGTGGGAGAAGTTGATTGAGTGTCTTTGAACTGAAACAAAAGTTTATCTCTCAGATCTTTGACTGAACATACCTTGACCCTCTCCAAATTTGGCACTGTGCGCCCAAGTTAGGCCCCGCTGGTAGCCCAGCTGTCGACACACCACATTGGCAAGGTTAAGGTCCACCTCATCATCACACACTGTGCCCCACGCACCATTGTAGTACACCTCCACACGTCCCTCATGTTCACCGCGTCGGCCCACGCCTGCGAGACGCACATGCACCTCTTGGGCGGCCAGCTGGGGGGGTAAGATGAGAAGCAGGAGGAGGAGTGTGGACAGGGAGCTGAGGCACAGCATCCTGAAGGAAAACAAAGACACAATGCAGAGTGAGGGAGCGTTCATGGGAATAAAATAGAAGCTGTGTGGTATTAGATGAAGAGAAGTGAAACAGTACAGGGATGCATGTAAAGCAAGAGCTCCTAAATATACATGCGTTACCACAAAAATCCAACAAAGCACACAAAGCCATGAAACTCACATTCCAAAACTCTCAACATATAATTAGAAACTCCTCTTCTAAAGCTGCTGGGGCATTCCACAGTAAAAGGAAAGATTGATAGATGTTATTATCCGTTTAAATAATCAGAGTCATTTAAAGGACAGTTAAAGGCTGGAGAAACGTGCTAAAAGTGTAGCAGTCAGTCTGGACCAGTCAGAGCACAGGGAGTAATAACCGACGCTAAAAGTAGCCCTCCATCCAGCCAACGGAAACTTTGGCTTTCCGCAAACCCTCAAGCTGAGCTGCATACCTCCAGCCAACAGACACAAAAGCAAATAAACACAGTCATAAAAATGTTCTCACACATAAATAAAGCAGCAGGTCTACGAGTGTCAGAGACGTTTTGGTTAATGAGCAATGATTAATTCATGCTTCAACCGGCCCTGAAAACCTTTTCTTCCAAGTGAGGGGGTGATGTGAGGAGATAAGGTGCAGGAAGAGAGCAGATCGAGATGACTGCAGGGATATCTCATCGCATGAAATCTGTTGACATGCTGCTCTAAAAGAAATTAAAGCCATAAACAAATAATGCGAGTAAAAGGGATAAAAGATGATGACATGATGCAGCTGCAGGATGAAAGCTTGACTGATGGAAGAAAGCAGACAATGATAAAAGGTGAAGAAGTAAAGAAAAAGATGATAAAGTTGAACTCACCTCTCTGTAGATCTCAGTCTGGAGTCACTGAGAGAAAGAAAGGACAGAGCACTGGAGGAAAAGAAGGCAGGGAGTTTGGTCCTGCTGTCCCTCTATTCTCCTCTTCTCCCTCCCTCTTTCTTTTTCTGTCACTCCCTCAGATCTGCTGCTTCATCCATCCCTCCCATTTTTGTTGTTTATGCAACTTTTTTGTCTTTTTTTTTCCATGTGTCTCATTAGTCCATCCATCCTCCTTAAAAAAAAAAAAAAGCTAAAGAAAAATGGACACCAACATGCCCAAAAGAAAGATGATCTAAATGTCATAGATGAGTTTTATGTCTCTCAAGCTGTGAATTCTGACTCCCATGATGGAGATGATTGTGTGATAATGTGTGCATACCATCACTGACTTGTTATCACGTGTTTTATCTCTATACAGTGTGTTTATTATGCAGCTACAGGTTGTTCAAACCAAACCAGCCTCTGTGTGGTCACATGGTCAGGATGCAGGGGACACGTGAACTCAACCTATAATAAACTTTGATTTGACAAAGATCCCTTCTTTCTCCTCACACTGACTCCAGTCAATGAACCCAAACTTTGATGTTTATATCCTGAAAAGTCTCAAGTCTCATCTTATTGAGGCTTTTGAAGCAGTCAAAAAAATAATAACTTTCCCCTCTGATGTCTGAAGACGGGGTGTGTATTTATTTTTTTTTATCCCACACAATTGTAAAATCATATGCACAAAAGCGTTTGCATAAACACACACACACACACACACACACACACACACACACACACACACACACACACACACACACACACACACACACACACACACACACACACACACACACACACACACAAACAGAGTTGGCAGGGTACCATGCCCACAGTTCGTGGTGCCATGAAATAAATACAGTGAAAGGAGAAGCTGCCTGTCTGAGCTTTCCCTTCACATAAAGTTCAGTTTCATAACATCCTCAGTCGTGGCAGCTCCTCGCTCAAAGGAAGCTCTCTCTAAGAATAGAGACCAGCCTTGACTCCCTGGTCAATTCAAGAAGAGTACACATGAGGAAAGAAAGTTGACACTGCTTGAAACTCCACCTTATAGATAAGTAAGCCACAAAAATATAAGTTGAATCATTCATTTGTTGTGAGTTTAATGAGCTGTCTTTTGATCGTTTCAGGCTGCTTTCTTTAAACCTCTTTTTATGTTGAACTGATTCTTCATATTAATCATCATAAAGGTTTGAGTGCAGCTCAGCAAACAAATTAAAACTTTGTAAATGTGTGGAGAATGACGGATAGGGTTTTAACATATTTACCAATGTCAGTATCTATGTCCATAAGCAAGTTTTAGTGCAATCTATTAATGGGAGTGGTTTTAGCAAAACAAAACACAACATATAAAATATCCCTTTAAATATAACTCATATAATTCCTGTGTTCTGGTTACAAATCAGGTGACAGCTCACAATAATCATGAGACCTGAATCTTAGGCTTAAGAGCTCCCTCTAGTGGTGTTAATTATTAAAAAAACACAATTGACAGGATACAAAGAGTTGAATTAAAAAAAGATGCCTAAATTTGAAACATGTCATACTCAGAACTCTTTCTGAATTCTACATTTTAATGTCTGAAATTTGGGTCTGCTCATTCTCATTCAATTGTCCAGTATGGTCAGCCTTTGCTGACTTTGCTGACCACTAATATCCACAGCTTTTTTTTAAACTTCTTCTATTCGTTTGAACACTCAGTTCGAACACAAACTTCCTCTTTAGATTGCCACATCACACAGAGACATGAACATGTACACCCCTCAGAGTCTGATGCTTGTCCTCTGCCGTAAGTTCTGGTATATTTTTAAAATTAAAAAAACATTTTTTAATAGGTAATCTAAGTACATTTCAACTTTACATATGTTATCCTACAAAGATAATGTGCAGTAAAACCTTTGTTTTGTTAAGCCTAGATTTTAAAAGTACACCCTGAGAAACTTGATTTTAAACATTTCCAAATCATTCTCTTGTGAAGGTGGATAGTGTAGAGGGTTTGTAACATTAAAGGAAAAGACCTTATTTTGTTTTGATTTTTTCATTTCTTTACAGTCACTTTGCACCGTGGATCCAAAGCAGCAGAAGTGACCCATGTGTTTGGATATGAAGGAAAAGATGTTCATGTTTCCTGTCCCTATGGAGAGGGGTACGAGTCTTATATGAAGTACCTGTGCAAGAATGACTGCAGTAGTGATGATGTTCTCATAACAACAGGAGAAGACCTGCACAAATACTCCATTCATGATGACACTGAGAAACACGTATTCACAGTGACCATCTCCAATCTGAGTCACACGGATGCTGGAAAATACTGGTGTATGGTGTCAAAATTTTTGACAGACCTCAGCACAGAAGTGAAATTGGAAGTCTTAACAGGTGAGCAAAAACCTCAAGTATAGAAAATCACATAAACTAAAGGAAAAAAAAAACATTTAATGTTTGAAACAAAGCCTCATCTTTGGCTCGTTTCAATTCTGATTCAAGCATAAAAATATCTATAAAAACTTTGTAACAGTACCACTCCAATTTAAAACTAAATGTATGTATGCATGCATGTATGTATGTATGTATGTATGCATGTATGCATGTATGTATGTATGTATGTATGTATGTATGTATGTATGTATGTATGTATGTATGTACTGTATGTATGTATATGTATTTATGTTACCTGCTGTGTTTTCCTTTTTTTTCTATTGGCAGACAGCTGCTGTGATGGATCAACCAAACTTCAAAGTTATGAGGAAAGTTCAGTGTCCTTCAGATGTCCATATGTGCCCAAGGACCAGAACAATCTGAAGTACCTGTGCAGAGGGAAGCAGCCCTCCACCTGTCTGCAGCAGGCACTGATCACATCTGACCACCAACAAAAAGGACGATTCAATCTTTCTGATAACAAACAGTCCAGGGAATTCACAGTGACCATTGCCAGTTTGACACAAAAGGACTCTGGGTCATACCTCTGTGGTGTCCAAAGAAACCCCAGACCGGATGTTTTCACAGCTGTTGATCTGGAGGTCAAAGGTCAGAGGTCATAGCTCTATCCATCATGCAATTTTTTCTTATTTATTGTATTCTTTACAAAGATAATCTTTATCATAAAACTGTGTAGTTTACCTTGATGAGGTATGCTGAGTTGAAATCATTTTACTCAAACGTCCCACTGTTTGACAGAGTGGTGTTGTGTGGAGTCCAGTGAACTGAGGGGCACTGTGGGAGATCAAGTTACCATGCAGTGTCCCTATCCACCACAGCACAAGAACAACAGGAAGTTCATCTGCAAAGGAGACCACCGTACAAGCTGTGCAGACATGATGAGTCAGAGCAGATTCTCTCTGCAAGAAAATGTTTCTCTGAGCTCTTTCTCAGTGAGGATCATAGAGCTGAAAGCAGAGGATGCTGGGACATACTGGTGTGGGTCAGACCATCAGTGGAGGGTGGGAAAGTACACCAAGACCTACCTGTCAGTGGGTAAGATCATGATGAGAGCAACAGAGTAATGTAGGATAATATTCTATAAAATGAGATAGCTTGAATTAATCCACCTATCAATTGGCCTAACAAGTAATATTTACAGATTTCCAACCTGGTTTTATTTGTTTGTGAGTTTGTGTATGCATGTATGTATACTTACGTGGGAAAGTCTTTGCTCACTACACCACTTACTCAAAAAAAAAAACAAATGCCCACCAAAATAGAGATCTGACTCAAGACATTTTGCTACTTCTGCTTTTTAACCCGTGAACGCTATCGCTAAAATTAGTAACACCATCACTATCGCCGGGTGATTTTTATTCGAAATAATATACCCAAGAAAAAGTACTTGTCATCAAAATATATCAAAATAGGACAACACATGACAAATTAAAGTAGTTTCCTTTATTTTTAACTGTGCAATGTCCAAAGGGAGGGAAAAGTGCCACTAGGGGACCATATAAAAATGCAATAAAATGACAAAAATTCAGCATCTATGAACAAAAAAATCTAAATCTTTTCCACCCATTCCTGGGGCATGTGAGTCTTCCCTGGTGAAGACTCAGGGTCCTTGGCAAATAACAGCTGCAGGAGAGAGAACCAAAATATGGTATATTTTGACTGAGTAAAAATGACCAGCTGACTAAAATATTTCTTATTACCATATGAATTCCCTTGAAAATCACTTCTTTGTGATAGTTATTCATAACCACTGCGCTAAGTAAAGATAGCGTGCAAATTCCAGGACAACTCTTATTTTTTTATTTTTTTTCAATAATATTTTTTATTGATTTTTTTCAAATTTTAAACAATACACGACAAACAGACACAAACAGCTCACCTCAGAAACGTAACAAAGACACATTTAATATAAAAATGAGTGTACAGTACCTACATTGGACAATAAAATCAAACGTCAATCATAGAGTGCTTGGTGCTTTGCAGTCAGTGTGGGTGATCAATAAAAGAAAAAAGAAACAAGCACGGACTCAGGGGGAGGACCACTCTTACTGACCTTATTCGCCTACATGCAGCTATCAAATCCACCTAAACCTACTTTACCCTCTATCACTATTGCTGTGTGTAAAATCACCCGAACACGTGCCTGTAGGAAACAATGGATTTTGGATCAAGGAAACAAATATGCCTTCAATGATGTCAAAGGCAATGCTGAAGCTACCCAAGGACCCATGATACTCAAACAAACGCAACATAATGAAAATCACATAAACATGTTTGGTCGGGTGAAAATCACCCGGCGATAGCGTTCTAGGGTTAATGAGATAGTGTTTACACATATGTGAGGAGTGTGCTGCTAATGTGTTTCTCTCCCAGCAGCAGTGCCTCTTAACATGATGGAGTACATACTGCCTATAGGCCTGGCTCTTCTGACGTTTCTCACAATGGCTTTGGTGATCGTTTATAGAGTTAGATGTTACAAAAAACAAGGTACGTTTCTTCCACATTTGCACACACAAAGACACAAATACGTTTGCTTTGGTGAGATTTTATGTGTTTTTCCAGGAGCTGATGTCATCATGGATGGGATTGCTATACCCCTTGATGCAGTGACACATGAAGAGGTAGGCCATAGAAAATTATGGTCGAGGGTAGGGGCTTCAGAGTATGAATATAATAAAGAACAAACAGAAACTTCTGTAACTATTTGTCAAACTTATTTGAATCCACATAGAACCTCCTAGATAACACTTAGGGGGTTTGACTGGTGGCTGGTTTCTCCACACACAACAGTCTATCATTATAACAAAGATTTCAAAAGCTTCATGTATTCAATTATCAATGTAAGGGAAGCAAAAGCCAGAAAAGGCTGGAGTTGACTTCGTTGTGGGGTTTTTGCACTACCATTGGTTGAGCTTAATGTTGTACATTTGTTATTTATCTTTCAGAAGTGCAGTGTGGTGCTACTATTAATTAACTTGTACATATCATTCATGAGGATACATTTAAAGATGGTTTAACAATATGCCCTGCATCCCACCATCTTGTGTATTACACACCATCTGGGTAATGTGAGACCATATATTGTGAATGTGTGTTGTTCTTTGGGGCTGCAGTATGGGTGAATAGCCCAAGACAAATTTCATCTGATCTTATCTTATCTTATCTCATCTTATCTTATCGTATCTTTGCATATGTTTTCTTAATTTATTCTGCTAATTGGATAATTCTGAAAGCCTAAAGTACAGATAAAGTTGTATCTATAACAGGTAAAATATGAGTTTGGAGATACAATTCTGGAGGCAAATGTGCAAAAATGCGTAATGTAAATGTTATAATAAGGCAACAGCTTACATTCGAGGGAAAAAGGATGCAGTTAGCTTAAAAAACTGAAGCTAGAATTTTCTATAAAGACACAGTTTGCATGGCTTTGGTGAGATGCGCGCACAAAGCTCATCGTATCTTATCTGATCTTATTGTATCTTATCTCATCTCATCTTATCTTTCCTCATCTCATCTTATCTCATCTTACCTCATCTCATCTTATCTTAAATCATCTTACCTCATCTCATCTTATCCTATCTCGTCTCATCTCATCTTATCTCATCTTGCCTCATCTCATCTTATCTTAGCATATGTTTTCTTAATTTATCCTGCCTGTCTAATTGGATAGTTCTGAAAGTCTGATGTACTGATAAAGTTGTATCTAAAAACAGGTAAAATATGAGTTTGAAGATATAACTCTGAAGGCAAATGTGCAGAAATGTATAATGTAGATGTTTAAATAAGACAAAAGCCTACATTTGAGGGTAAAAGGATGCAATTAGTTTAATGAACTATTTTTGAAGCTAAAATATTTTATTAAGTTACAGTTTGCAAAGCTTTAGTGAGACACGTACACAAAGCTCTAAAAATGTTAAACATATTGTATTCTCAACTCAACTTTCTCTTGTGTGTTCTGCCTTTCCTCTTTTTTTAAGAACTATGAAAACTTGCAGCAAAACGGTCAAGGTACACAGAGAGCAGAGGAGATCTACTGGAACTAAACACAGCTGTGCCAGAGGTACTAAACAGTGAGCACAGTGGTGGCCAAAATTAGGAATCAAGGGACACAATTGTTTTACTGAACAATAAAGTTTGTAACTTAATGTAATTTATGACTAACAAACAGATACTCATGTACTAACTAACTTTGGCCCGACCCTCTCATTGTCTGACTGAGTACTTGGTAGGTTTAGATGTTGTTGCACCATTTGTACCGGACCATCCTGTTGATAAATGTAAGCTCCATAATGTATTTCAAACATATTGCTGCTTTTGTGTAACTATTTTTTCTTTTTTCGTTCAACTCTTCAAAGTCAATGTTTGCAAGGAATTTTTTAGCAAGTAAGGTCTGACTGTCTTTGTCTGAATGATTATTTTTAAAATTGTGCTGCTTTAAATAAAATAAAAAATCCCATTTACACATCAAAAGCATTTTGTCTCTGTTAAATTAAGTTAATTTATCAAAAAACATACTTCTAAAATCCCAATGCAGTATTCCATGTTGTTTTTTTTTAATTATGAGGCGAATTATAATCTGATTAAATAGGATCTATGTTTGTCTAAGAGGATTATCTGTGATTGAATGAACAGGGAAAATTTATCAAACCAAAGCAAACTCCATGCACACAAACACTGCTCTTTAGTATCCTGACAGGGTGCCGATGGTTGGGTATCTTTTACGATGAGTCATGCACTTGTCTCTGTCGATGAACAGAGAGTGAGTTTTACAGTTCATGTCCTTCTCGACTGTAATGCGTGACTCCTCCAGGTGGGACAGGGAGCCTCTGGCATCACTCAGCTGCTGGTGCAGAGAAGCCAGAGTGACATCAATCTGCTGCACCTCCCCCTCCAGACTACACACACAGGGAGCAAACGAAAAGAAACAGACATGAGACATAGTCTTACAGTGAGACAGAGTGTGTGTGTGTGTGTGTGTGTGTGTGTTTGTGTGTGTACCTGAGCTGAGGTTCATCTCTGCAGAGCTCCATGTTAGGTCTGAGGGAGCGGAGGTAAAGCCTGGACTGGGCAACTCTCAGTGGAGCTTCTTTGTTGTAGATAGCCTGCTGTAGGGCCACAATGTTCTTCTCCTGGGCCCCAATCTGATCCAAGATCTGCGCAAAATCACACAGCAGATAATCAGCACTGAACTCATCCGACAAGAAGTCCAGTTCAGTTTTTGTTGATTACCTGTGCGTGCTTCATCTCCAGCTGAGTCTTGGCCTCTATCAGCTCCTCACAGCGCCGGCTGAAGGCTCGGTCCACGTTGGAGCATTGGTCTCTCAGATCCTCTGTGATGTCCAGTAGCACTTGCTCCACCAGTGCTCTGTCACACAAACACCATCACTATATTTTTACCATAAACTTTGTATCATTTAAGTCTTGTTCATGTGGACACTCACAGACACTAACCTGAGACTGGTAGTGGCCTGCTCCTCCTGTATGGCCCTGGACAAGTTGTCCTGAGTAAACTTGATCCACGCTGTACGGTTGCACACCCTGACACAGACCAGGAGAAGACATGCAAGAAAGTTTGGTACATTTTTCTCATTTCTCCTGTTCCATTTGACTTAATCTTTTAATGGCGCACATTATACTCATGTATACTCACTGGTCCTGCATGGTAGCAGAACTGGGATGGTGCAGTGTATCTGGACTCATGTTGCTGTATCTTCCACTGTGATCATCAAAGCTGTAGGCCTGGTACTTATCAGACCAGTCCATCTCTAGCGTCTGCTTGACATCTCTGTTCAACCTGATCCATACAAAGACACATTTATTGGTCACTGTTGAACATGATCCTCTTAATAATAATAAAAAGATAACTTATGGGTGATGAATTGTTTAACTTTAACAGATAAGTAGACTCACTTGATCTGAGTGACGACCTGAGCTATAGTTGTCTTTAGAAGAGCCTGAATGCTCCTAATCAAATCCACTTCCTAAAAAAGACACAGTGACACTTTATGTAAGTGTGGGCCATAGTGCACTCTCTGCTGGTGTTTTTGGACGCATAGAAAAGTGTCCTCAAGGCTTGCAGTACAAAAAAATGTAAGAAAATGTCAACCTGGAATCCACCCAGTGGATAAAATGTGATACGATGCCATTTTGGTAATTTAATATTATTTCACAACACGTGTGTAGTTGGATTGCAAGTTTTTTGAGTTACGTTTAATACTCTAAAAAGTCGATTTTTAATCTTATTGTTGAAACAGTTTGTTCCATCATTGCATTTAGATCTTAAGACTTTATTCTATTTAAGCTATTCATTGTTTTTTGTTATACCACATTGAGCTACTGGCTAGTATCTTTCGTGTCATCCACAGTTTCACCATAGCAGTTTGACATTTATTACAGGGTTACTGATCACCTTCAGCAGCTCCTCCTCCACAGAGTCCTTGACAAGGTCTGGTCCAAGTCTTCTTGCTCTACAGTTCAGATTGTCAGTGGTGATGGCATACGGAGTCTCGGTGGCGTCGAGCGCCTTCTCCAGCCTGGTCTTCAGTGCCAGCAGCGCCGACGTGTCGTTCAGCAGCTGCTCGATGTGCCGCTGCAGCTCGGACTTCCAGCAGTGGATGTCTTGCAGTCTGTCCCCGAGGAGTCGAGTCCCCTCAGCCTGGGTCTTCTGGGTGACTTCCTCGGCGTCCTGGTACAGACTTTTGGAGTGCCGTTGGATGCTGTGGGCTTCCCGGCGGTCGGCACCAGCCTGCTGGATGATGGTGCGATAGTTGGAGAACCACTCGGCCGGTGTGTATTTAGCGGAGCGGTACCCCGCTGTGGCTGAGCCCGAGGACAGCTGCGGAACCTCCTCAGGTGGACTTTTCTCTGGCACCCCCTGAGCCACAGCTCTGCTGTCATAGAGTGGCCTGGACACCAAAACATCCGAACTCATTTTGTTGCTGTTGATAATGAAATTACAGATGCAATAGAAACTGGACCTCAGTCAGGCAATTCAAGGTTTATTATATCAATATGAAAAGTTGCTGCAGTGATGCAGAGCACCTAGTCCTGTGGCAGCTCGGGCTGTTTGTTTGCTGTTGCCTGGTTACATATGTTGACAGGGGCAGATCAGGCTCAGTGCTAGATCAGCTGGCTCAGTATCAAATGATGAAGACTGCTGGAAAAATTACAGCCACTACACATATATACAGAATTTACACAACCAAATGTCATAGGCCCTAAATATTAACAAAGTAAAACAGGAAAATGTGATTCCTAAAAGCTGTAAAGTCTATTCAAAAATGACATAGATTATTATAGCTCTTTATTTCCATTTGTCAGTCAGTAAATTCAATGTATTTGTTTAAACAACTTTATCCATTGGCAGAACTATCCAAACCATATAAAAAAATGTCTTAAGTAGATATAAAACAAAACATTTTATATGTCCAAGCAATCCAATGATCACACTTGAAAATATCACATTGCATTTCTGCCAAGTCAGTTTTACTGAATACTTCCAAATACATCATCAGTATGGGTCATCAACATGTTGTATGTAGATTTTGGTCATATAGGACAGAGTTAGGGTAGCATTGGTACAGTAATAAGTTGCTGCTAATGAAAACAATATAGAGAAAATATTTTGGTTACAAATGTGCCCTGATAGTACAAAGTTTACACAAAATCTACATGAGTGTCATTTCTTGGCTTTAGCATATAGGTCATTTAAGTGGATGTCTCCTGTTGTGCAGACGTTTTGGTACACAGAGTCTTCCTCAACCTGGTGACAGGTCCTAAACTGTTTGGGGGTTTCCTGCCTTAGCTGCACGTCGGCATCATGATTCTGATATATCTATAAAAGAAAGAACAACATGTCTGTTAAAAATGAGATATTTTTATTACTTTATGAAAAATATAACTGTCACATGATTTTAATTATGTGTTCTCAGAGGTATGTTTTTTTATTTCAGAATAAAGAAACTGACAACAAATAAAGCTGCAAGAGTTTAAATGTCATGGGTTATATATTCATTCTGTTTCTACAAGCAATCCTGTGAACTTTCATTTCCTTACATCCGCCTCGCTGATCACTTCTTGTGCTTCTGCTTTCTCGGTTTGGTTCCTGTTCCCATTGACTTCACCTCCTCAAAACGCAAAGAGAAAAAAAATTATGAGCGAGCTGCGAGTGTGTATGCGTTTTTACTTCATGGCATTTTTTTAAAAACACACCTTGTGCTTTATGACTCTTGTATGTGCAAATAATGACCAAGGAAAATGTCAGAATGACCAGCAGAATGCCACACACAGTGGGCCCGATGACACCAACGGAGAGGACGTGCGTAGCATTTTCTAGGAAATAAGAGAGTATTTATAAACACTTCCTCATATCACCCATCAAAACCACTCACACATATTTTTCAACACACACAAAAAACTAAACAAAAAACACAGCATATCTGGTGTCCCGCTCTCTGAAGTTGTCAGTGAGCGTTTTAATTGTGCGTGCAGACACATACACACCTCTGTCTGTGACATTCTTGACAGGGACAGATGTGGATTTTGTCTCAACAGGAGTCACTACAGTCGTGGTCAGATCTGGGAAATCTGTTGAGTAAACACTCCTATGATCATTAATTCAAGCTACCTCTATTTAAAGAAAAGTATCACACATTACTCTGTTGCTCTCATCATGATCTTACCCACAGACAGGTAGGTCTTGGTGTACTTTCCCACTCTCCATTGGGGGTCTGACCCACACCAGTATGTCCCAGCATCTTCTGCTTTCAGCTCTGTGATCCTCACTGAGAAAGAGCTCAGAGAAACATTTTCTTGCAGAGAGAACCTGCTCTGACTCTTCATGTCCACACAGCTTGTACGGTGGTCTCCTCTGCAGATGAACTTCCTGTTGTTCTTGTGCTGTGGTGGATAGGGACACTGCATGGTAACTTGACCTCCCACAATGCCCCACAGTTCACTGGACTCCACACAGCACCACTCTGTCCAACAGAAAAGATTGATGATATCTGTCATGACCCTTTTAAATAACTCTCACTCATTTAATGTGTTAACATTATTTAGAATCTTTCAGACATTAAAATCTAAACAATTTTACAAACCTTATCGTTCATTTCTGGATCATAAGCATAAAATTGACTTCACAAGTAAAAAAAAAAAAGATCTCTGACCTTTGACCTCCAGATCAACAGCTGTGAAAACATCCAGTCTGGGGTTTCTTTGGACACCACAGAGGTATGACCCAGAGTCATTGTGGGTCAAACTGGCAATGGTCACTGTGAATTCCCTGGACTGTTTGTTATCAGAAAGATTGAATCGTCCTTTTTGTTGGTGGTCAGATGTGATCAGTGCCTGCTGCAGACAGGTGGAGGGCTGCTTCCCTCTGCACAGGTACTTCAGATTGTTCTGGTCCTTGGGCTCATATGGACATCTGAAGGACACTGAACTTTCCTCATAACTTTGAAGTTTGGTCGATCCATCACAGCAGCTGTCTGAAAATGATTAACATCAGCAGAGATGGTTGCAAGTACAGATATACAAAAGTGAATTAACAATATCCCAACCAATGTCATGGTAGAGTCACCAACAGTCAAGCTGGAGACTAGTCTTAAGATAAGAAGTAAAAGTAAATAAAACAATAAAATCAGATGAGGTTCATACAGTGAGGCTTGTGGAGTTCAATAGCAGTCGTCCTTATGATTAATACCATTGATAGTGAGCACTCAATGAATTGACTGATTCTTTGGTGCCTCAGACTTTAACACTGAGGACTTATGTTGTATTGTAAATCCTCTGGTTGTTATTTTTAGTGCTTTTATTTTTGGGTTGCTCATCTCTTATATGTTGTGTTATTTTCTTACACTTGAACTACTCTCTTACTCTTGTCCTTTATATTCATTTGTTTACCAACCTTGTCCAACTTCCAGCTTCACCTCAGTGTAAAGATCCTTCCCAGACTTGGTCACTCCGCACCAGTACTTCCCAACATCTGTTTGTCTCAGATTAAAGATGGTTGTTGTGAAGACTCGTTTCCGTTTGTCATCAGAGATAGAGTATCTGTTTTTCCTCGCCTGTGTTGTTGTAACAAGAACATCACTGTCGCCACAGTCGCTCCTGCACAGGTACTTCTCATAAGATTCATAACCTGAACCGTAGGAGCAAGAAATATCTACTGCCTGTCCCTCATATCCAGACACAATGACCAGCTGTGCTGCTCTGGTGACCCAACTCAGAGAAACTGTGAATAAAAGTCAAAACCAATGAAACAGGTAAACAGAACAAATGTCCATGGTCTATTTTAAACAGTTTGATCATTTGAGTTATTTACACAAATAAAAAAGAATAAAAACTTACTGCACAGGCTGAGCACCAGGTTTTTAAGATGTAACATCTTCACACGGTTTCAAGGAAACTGTCAAGAAGTTGTCTTTGCTGTACAAGAGTAACCCACAGAAACTACGTCAGCACACAAGTTGAACTGTCTCCCACTTCTGCATTTAGATCCCCACCCTGACCAGCTTTCAACCACTGGTTGATTCAATACTGATGAAAATGTATTTTCTGTTCTGATGTAAGCTTTGAAATTATTGATGTTTCTATAGGAAAACTAAGAATCTGTAAAAACAAACAAAAAAAAGTGCCATAAAACAAAAGTTCAGGACTTTGCAACTGCATGGTCAAACTAAGACCACCTTTATTTGACTTCATTAAGTATTTGTGTTTGTAGTCACTGGTGGGGGCAGACAGGGGCCAAAAGGACAGCTTATGTTTCCCTGTGGACCAGCCAGCCAGATTTACAGCTCCCTCAAACTGTGCAATTGAAAAAAAAAACACCTAATTTAAGTTTTTTTCACACCTGGATACTGTGTCATGTATCTATTGATTTGTAATATGTGAGTCCAGGTGGGGATCAGTATCAAAACCTGTGAAATTTGGTACAGAACAGATACTGTTTTTTAAAGTTAGTTCCATGTATTTCCACACCATGGCGCCATAACTGTAGTTTAGAAATGAGGTTTGTTCAAGGGTGGTCCTTAATCATGTATATGAATATATCAAACAGACTGAATACTGTATGGAGGGGTACAGTAACTTCCTGTTTCATAGTGAAACTTCAAAGCTTGAGTAGCTCTCAAATACACAATCTTGAAATGCTTGAAGCAGAGGTTGATCTCATGGAAAGCCTGAGCCATATTACTTTGTCACATAGGCTGTGTTTGTTTGGGTAATAAGTACTCATGTTGTCATGGCCATGTTTAAGACAATTCTCTGGTTTAGGAATGGAGTTCAGGAACAGAGCAAGGCAGGACATTCACAAGAAGCCCACTCTTACAACTTGGCCCTGGTTTATAACGTCAAATATACAAGATAGCAGTGTGAGACATTTTGCTTCAAATTAGTGCAACAAAAAGAGGTGGAGCCAGTCCGTCCATTTTACACTCAGCCTTCGGTTAATATAGACAAATGATTTGAACACTTAAATTAAAGGTGTAGTAAGTAGTATTTGGCAGCATTTCTCAGAACAGACCAGATTATAATAATAATTCAGGGGATGTTTAAAGAAGTGTTGAATCACCTGAATTTAAAAATCTTATTGTTTCTAATTTACAGCGAGTCCTTAATATCTATATAGAAGCAGATTCCCCTACATGGAGGCCACCATTTTGCACTAACAAGTTTTTACATGCACAGAATTTTTTCTTGAATAGTGAGTGGTAGGCAAGTGGTTAATGTGCATATCTATTTAGGCAGACAAGACAAAGTTTTGACAGCACCGATGCAGGAATAATGTGAGACTGATTATCAAGATAATAGTGAAAAAAGCCTAAAAAAATATGAGCTTTTTAATGAGACCAAGACATCTGTCATTTCTCGATCAATTTTCTGTGAAATTTGTGGTAAGCTTAGAGGAAGGTTTGCTCATTCTGAAAATATTCATGGTGGCACCACTTTCAGGTGTAGTTGCAGGGTTAAATTTAGCTTTGCAGGAAATTGGTCACAAACCAAAGTTTGTGAAAAGTGGCTTTTGTACCACATGGTGGTCCTGAGGGAAAACTGACTCAGGACATTTTTAACAGTAAAAAAACTTTTTGTTATTGAGGTTTTTCAGTAGAGCTCACCCAAAAACATAATTTGCTTATTCAGTTTGCTCAAAGCTATATCCGTTTTACGTTTCCACATGTCAGTCTGTGGGTTTGTGTTTCACTGATCGCTTCTTGTGCTTTAGCTTTCTTGGACCTCAGCTACTTAAAACACAAAAAGAGAGAAATAATTGAAGGAGCTGTGAGTGTGTGATTTGAAAACATTTTTAATTTGTGGCCCTGTACATTTTTAAAACATACTTTGCACTTATGACAAAAAAATGTCAGCATGAGCAGCAGAACACCCCACACAGCGAGCATATAAACACCCATGGAGAGGAAGTGTGTTTAGTCTTAAAATATTTAGTATTCTAAGACTGGTATTTACAACCACTTCCTCATATCACCCATCAGATTCACACTAACTAATTTTTTTCAAGGCAATCTCAAAAGATTTTAGGAAAACAAATGTGAGAGTATTTGGTGTTATACTTTCACAACTAATCAGTGAATATTTTAGCTCTGCATGCAGACACATACACACCTCTGACTGTGACATTCTTGTCAGTGACAGATGTTGGTTTTGTCTCAACAGGAGTCACCACAGTTGTGGTCTGATATGGAAAGTCTGTAAACAGCTCCGACCTATAAAAAAGACGCTGAGAAATTAACAATTGTTTCTATGAGCTATGGTGGGTGCAAACTTACAGGAAACAGAGGTCATTCTGTAAAAGACCTATTCAAAAAAATAAACATTGCATCATGTTATGTTTTCTAAGGGAGTCAGGCCCTCTGCCTCTTTCTTTATTCATTATGCTGTCGTAGGAAGCTGAAACCATAAAATGACCTTTTCATCCCATTAACACCTATAAAATGAAGGAAACTGTCATCCTTTGGTCTCTCTCTGTCTGTCTCATTTTGCTGGTATCAGCATCAAAAAATCATTAATAATAATAATAATAATAATAATAATAATAACAAGAAAATTCCAGGGAAATTTTGATATGTGCCTGCCCGCTTGCCGATTCGCTGCTGCTTGCTGCTGATTTACTCACATTTGGGCCATGTTTTGGGTGGAGATACATGAGGGCATTAATGCATTTAGCGCTACTTCCTGTTTGTGGATGTACATATATATATATATATATATATATATATATATATATATATATATATATATACATATATAATTTTGAAGGCACATATTCTATGGTGGTTTAGAATATGTGCCTTCAAAATTATTTTGAAAGTGTTTTTCAGTTTAGGGTCCTGACTGTTTAATTCATCCCCCCTTAGATGAAAAAAAGTCACCATCCATTAGTAACTAAAATGATAAGTGTTATATGACCTTCATAGCTCTTACACCTCGGGCTCTATTTTGGTGCCTCACCGGAGACGTGCCGCAAGCGCAGCGTCAGTCAGATCCGCCGCGCTGACAAGGCGTTCCCAAGCACATTTTGGTATTTTGGTGAGCCGCGCAGCCCGGCGTAAGTATCCCCCCTCCCTAACTTAGCTCCTCCCAGCACCATAAGTCGTAGACTGGGAGGAGAGAGGGCGTATAGTGGGTTTAACACAGCCGAGACCTGTTTTCACCAATCACATAGGCTCCTCTCCTTGCCTTTAAATCCGCCACAGGCGAGGCGTATTACTATTTTCATGAAGTAGTCAAAGAGATCAAGAGATGTCTTAAGACAGTAATGCCACAAGATGGCGACAGAGGGCAGCTCCTCAACAAGTGTCCTCCACACTCTCTCATCTGAGCACAGATGGATTTGGTGTGCGTAATGCTGGACCCACTGGTAAGACAAACACCCTTTTCCACAAATAAAGACACTCACATAAAGTTGCTCATATTCAAACCTCACGTGACAAAGGTGGGTTTAGCGCACAGATCACAACATAAACTCCAAAAATGGCATTAAAATCAGAACCATCTGTGCGTAAATGATGCATCGCGCTCCGTGGCCTGGCTCTTTCTTTCATAGATGTTGGCATATAAAATAAATTTGGCCCACAAAACTGAATAATATAATATCCGTATGTCGGCTTAAAGTAGATAACGCATCTGAGCACTGAAACAAATCATCTGTTCAGCCGCAGCAGCAGCAAGACGGACAGAGGACACGGAGACGTGTTCAAGTCGAGCTGTGTGAGAAATAAGAGGAAGAGGAAGAAAGAAAAGGAGGGAGACGAATTACATATCTTGTTAACTTCATCATGTGTGTTTATTTACTAGATATTTAATTTAATTTGATGCGGTTTCAGCTGTATTGATTCGGTCAGGTTGTGTGCCCAAACGCGTGCCAAACGCGCTCATCAGATCAGATATAGATCAGAATATATCGATATAGATCTAAATATATGTCCTGACTCAGATTAATAGTTGATGATGATTATTTATTGCACTTAAATGTGCCTGACACTGTGGAAACCTGCCGGTGAGGCATCAGTGACGTATGTCGATACGCCGCCGGTCTACCAAAATACTACCAGACCAGCTGCGTTCCGCCTTGCGCTGAAAGCTGACCAGGTTTGAATCGGCGAGCTTTCAGCGCACTTTACACGCCGTTGGCGAGCACGAAAATGTCACTGCGCCTGCTGATTCTGTCGACACCTCCCCCTGCCACACCACCACGCCCAGCTTGGCGGATCTCGGCTCGCCTCCGTGCGGCTCATGCCACGAAAATACCAAATTGGCCTTACGCTGGGCTCCGCCAGACGAAAATACAACTGCGCGGGGCTCGCCGCCCTCCGCCGCCTCACCGGCGCGCACGAAAATAGAGCCCCTCGGGCTCTATTTTGGTGCCTCGCCGGAGACGTGCCGCAAGCGCAGCGTCAATCAGATCCGCCGCGCTGACAAGGCGTTCCCAAGCACATTTTGGTATTTTGGTGAGCCGCGCAGCCCGGCGTAAGTATCCCCCCTCCCTAACTCAGCTCCTCCCAGCACCATAAGTCGTAGACTGGGAGTAGAGAGGGCGTATAGTGGGTTTAACACAGCCGAGACCTGTTTTCACCAATCACATAAGCTCCTCTCCTTGCCTTTAAATCCGCCACAGGCGAGGCGTATTACTATTTTCATGAAGTAGTCAAAGCGATCAAGAGATGTCTGAAGACAGTTATGCCACACGATGGCGACAGAAGGCAGCTGCTCAACAAGTGTCCTCCACACTCTCTCATCTGAGCACAGATGGATTTGGTGTGCGTAATGCTGGACCCACTGGTAAGACAAACACCCTTTTCCACAAATAAAGACACTCACATAAAGTTGCTCATATTCAAACCTCACGTGACAAAGGTGGGTTTAGCACACAGATCACAACATAAACTCCAAAAATGGCATTAAAATCGGAACCATCTGTGCGTAAATGACGCATCGCGCTCCGTGGCCTGGCTCTTTCTTTCATAGATGTTGGCATATAAAATAAATTTGGCTCACAAAACTGAATATTATAATTTCCGTATGTCGGCTTAAAGTAGATAACGCATCTGAGCACTGAAACAAATCATCTGTTCAGCCGCAGCAGCAGCAGGAAGACGGACAGAGGACACGGAGACGTGTCCAGGTCGAGCTGTGCGAGAAATAAGAGGAAGAAAGAAAAGGAGAGAGACACATTACATATCTTGTTAACTTCATCATGTGTGTTTATTTACTAGATATTTAATTTAATTTGATGCAGTTTCAGCTGTATTGATTCGGTCAGGTTGTGTGCCCAAACGCGTGCCAAACGCGTGCCAAACGCGCTCATCAGATCAGATATAGATCAGAATATATCGATATAGATCTAAATGTATGTGCTGACTCAGATTAATAGTTGTTGATGATTATTTATTGCACTGAAATGTGCCTGACACTGTGGAAACCTGCCAGTGAGGCATCGGTGACGTATGTCGATACGCCGCCGGTCTACCAAAATACTACTAGACCAGCTGCGTTCCGCCTTGCGCTGAAAGCTGACCAGGTTTGAATCGGCGAGCTTTCAGCGCACGTTACACGCCAGTGGCGAGCACGAAAATGTCACTGCGCCAGCTGATTCTGTCAACACCTCCCCCCTGCCATGCCACCACGCCCAGCTTGGCGGATCTCGGCTCGCCTCCGTGCGACTCAGTCCACGAAAATACCAAACTCGCCTTACACCGGGCTCCGCCAGACAAAAATACAACTGCGCGGGGCTCGCCGCCCTCCGCCGCCTCACCGGCGCAAACGAAAATAGAGCCCCTCATGTTAGACAGTGCTTTCACCCACCTTTATTAACACAATAAATGTGTTACATTCTTTGAAAATGTATTTTTCTACAACCAGGACATGTTTGAGGCATGTGGGATTAACTGGGCCCACTAAACCTCTTCAAATGGCAAGCAGGGGCTGGTGATCATGAAGCTTCCGCTCGTGTGTCTGAATAACTTATTGTGACTGTAGATTCACACATAACGGTTTTTTCTTGTTTAGCATCACAATGTTAGTGGTCTGCCATGAGATGACTGTAAGGGACTGAAGACTGAATATGTTGTGAAGACACTGAATATGTTGTATATGTGGGTTTTGTACGACTTCACCACATTCAAATGTCTTCTATCTCAGCCGCCTGTTGCATAATCTTACTGACAGCTGAATCTTGGTTTGGTTTCCGTCACACGACTGTGAGGCAAAAATACACCAATATGACATCTACCATCTCAGTACATTGTATTGCAAGAATTATTTTAAATCAACACACAATTAAAAACTAAAGCTAACAGATAAATATGAAGGTGTGAAAAGAATTGTATTTTAATCTGAAAAACAGAGGTGTAGGTATGTAGGGTAGCTGTAACACATTCACTCAAGTTTCCCAGGGATGTGTCTCGACACAGCTCTTAAAGCACTTTGACACCTTTACCACTGAAAGTGCTCAGTGTGAAAACAAAACAAAACAAAACAAAACAAAACAAAACAAGGCTTGCTTATGCCAAGATGACCGTTCTCAACTCAAAGTTCCTGTTGTTACTGAGAGAGAAAGATTCCTACACTGCTGTAAATAAAAGCTTGAAAACAGACACAGAATGGATATAGAGTGCAGGTATGACAGGGACATTTTTTATTTTGCTTTTAAAGGTCAGATTTTTGGACCAACCGAAAAAAAAAAGAGGCCTCCCACATAGAAACATTTTTAATTGTAACTCTATCAAATCACACTGTTATCACACGGCTAATTTATTATCATTCAATTCTAGTGATGTTCAAAGTTATGTTTTTTTCTTTTTTTTCTGTGTCACCAGACCTGTGGCTGCAGGAAGAGTACCCTGCTCTCACTCATCATATCCCCTCACTTGATCTAAGCTGTAGTAATACCTACACACTGCAGTTTAGGCTCGATGGCTTGTTACAAAGTCCTCTGCAGCCACTGCATCTCTGTCTTCCTTTTGATTTATGATGGTTGACAACCAACACAAAGATCCACTACTGCTCTCTCTCTTATTGACCTCTTACACGGTAAATAAGAGGCACAGTTGGCTCTCCTCGTCTGAAAATATATATCAATTTGATGGAGAGAAGTTATTTTTGAGAGTTGTAAGTCAAATTTTGATATTTTTTTTAGACTACAGGATAGATTTACATTTACATTTTTGTCACTCAGAATTGGGCTTTCACTGCTGAAATGGTTATCCGCATTTTCCTTGATGCTTCCCATTAATAATAAGAAATTAAAATGATTATGAAACCAAGAACAATTTCATTCCCAGCAGTATATTTATACATGGAGGTCCCCTGCTTTGAGCGCACAACAGCATCATGATTCTGATACATCTGGAGAGAAAAGGCACCAAAAAGGATGACAGATGTGTTATTAAAAACATTTAAATGCCTAATGTTCTAAACAGTAATGAAAGATGGTTTGAGCATCAGAAAGAAATGATCTCCAGCACGCCTAACGCAGCTTTACAGGAAACTGGTCACAAACCAAAGCTGTGCTCATTTTATGTTTCTATCAGCAAGTCAACTTTCACTTCCTTACATCTGCCACACTGATCATGTCTTGTGCTTCTGTTTTCTTGGTTTGGTGCCTGTTCACTTTGACTTCATCTCCTTGAAATACAAAGAGAAAAACAATGAAAGCAGCTGTTAACAGGTTATAAGTGTCCATAACACATGGCTCTGGGCATTTTTTAAACCTACCTTTGACTTTACGACATTTGTATTTGCATATGGGTCAATGACGTGACGCCTCAATATTCTGTCCGGCTGTATTTTCTTTATGTTACAAAGAGTTTTAAATGTAAAAAAATATACTATCTATTTGTAGTATCTCTCTAATATATGTAGCCACTTCAACTTTTCAAAAATCAGGAGTTTTTGGTAATTTTTCTGAACTTCAAAGGGTCAAAATATCATGTGGTGCGACAGTCCAGCCATGACTTCTGTTTTGAAAACTTCTTTGAAATTACTCTAAATCTATTACAATTTAGTTTCTGCAATATTCGGCATAATTTTGAAAGTGTTTTTTATTCCTGTACAAAATTGCAAAGCTTTTGCAGTTATATTATTTTCATAATATTCAAATAAATTTTGTCCGATCGTGTCCATTTCATTAAATATCATGTGGTGCGACCATCAAAAAATGACAATTTTTGACACTTTTATGCTAAAATTTACTCAAGGACAGGATGTTGGATCATTCACCATTTTGTCGTAGAGCTATGGAAGCAGAAAGAGGGTTGGTGGCTCTCTCATTTCTTTAAAAAAAAAAAAGACCTTTTCAACTGCTGTAATGGTGTTTGCACTTTTCGATGTCATGTGGTATGACCTCAGAAAAAACAATTAATTTAAGTTATTTCCACAAATAAGTATTTTAATTATAAATTTCATAATGACCTTTTGTGGGAAGCTAGTGAGGTTTGTTTATGTGACTAATCCTGTATCAGTAAGATTTGACTGAATTTGAAATGTCATGTGGTGCGACCAATTATCATGTGGTGCGACCACTGCAGATTGTTTTCCGTCATAAATATATGCCTTAGGTTGGCAGTATTTACGCTTTTTATATTCAATTGATGATTGATAAACACTAAGTACTTAATTTTTAGTATTATTTTGAATTTTTTTTGTTATTTGATTAGTCATTTTGCTAACATTTCTGAAATAATGGTTAGGTCATCTCTGTACAAAATAAGAAAAAAATATTAAAAGCATTCCATTTCACTTAAGGTATTTATGCCGTTGTTAGCAATTTATTAACTTTCATGTATCAATTTAAGTCATTTTAATTTATTTTACCAGATGCCACTGCCGAGCAAAGTTAAAAGCGCTCGCCATAGGCAGCGCGTCAACTCTGACCCTGCAGCATGTTGTTCATGCCAGGGCTGGTCAAAGATTGGGCCAAGATTGTTGACATCGCTGCGCGGATGATGAGAGGAGCGCTTCGCTGAGAGCGTTATATTCATGATCGTTCAAATCCGTTTGATTTACCTGATGAAGTTCTCTATGAACGTTACAGGTTTTCCTAGGACGGCCTCAATAGTCAGGTAACATGAAGTCGAAGCAATACACTAATATTTGCCAAGTTCAAGTTTCATGCGGCATATCAGTCATCATTCAGAATTTATTGAAGCAGATTAGAAAATTCCTCTTAACCCCAAATGTGTCTGCAGATGACATGTGACCATCAGATGATGAAGAAAGAAAAAAAGGCAGTGTGAGGAAATCACTGTTTACGCGTTGAAATATGTGCAAATAAAATCTTCCAGTAAACCAGCTAACCACTTTGACGGATGTTTTTAGATTTATTTTTATTTGCTCCCACGTACTCTTTTCCCCACTGCTGTTGTATCTGAAATAATGAGGTCAATGATGGAGGTTATCACACATGCTGCATGACAACATATAAGGGGGCCATAAATTTATGAACGCACAAATGTAATTTACACAATCAATGATTTTTTTTGCCAGCAGTCCCTCTGGATTTTAGCGGCTGTAGCTGTCCTGCTCCTCACTGATATAATGTTGCGGTACTCCTCGTATTTGCGTAAAATGATGCTCTGTTCCTCGCCTGTAAAATATGACGTGCAGCCGTCTTCAATGTGGAGATTGGTCCGGTGGCACTGACCCCGCCCCCTTTACGTGTGCGCGCACAGATCTAGACTGACCACAACTGAATTTAGTTAGCGAGTTGATATCCTGCCTCGTAGTACAGCTGATCGGGGTTACGGAGATCTGGTGAAGTTTAGCGAGCTGTGGCAGAGTTATCCTGGGTGTGTTAATCCAGCTTCAAAGTGCAGGTCTCTGGACCACATACACAAACACACACAGAGTTAAATTTTTGTAAAAAAGGGAAATAAAATGTTCGTGTTCATGTTTGAAATGTTAATAAAATTTGGTTTTAATATAAAATTTGCATGAAATTAACTGTTCATAGGTCTCTTTAAATTGATTTTTAATGATACAAGGTCTTCAGGTCATTTGGCGCGACCACCAATCATGTGGTGCGACCAATAATAACATTAATTATATCAAATACAAACTAAAATATCTCATTTCTGTAACTGAGACATTAAAACCTGATACAATATGCTTACATGAAAGGTAGTTTCAAAACATTTTTATCAGTATTATGCAATTTAAAGAAAAAAATGGTCAGTGAACTACATTTGATATAGCGTCTGTGACATTATAGAGCTAATATATGAGATAATTATTTAAAAAAACTCAAATAAAATGCAAACGCTTTGTTCCTATGTACTTGATATTACCGAAAATTTGTAAAAAACTATGGAGTATGTTGAAAAAATGTAATAATTTTGAGATAAATGATGGTCGCACCACATGACATTTTTTAAGGCCACAGGCAATTCATCTATATAAAAAAACACTAAAATTGCCTAATTTAAAAATTAAACTTTAGTTTTTGTATACATAACATCCTTAGTGTTTGAATTGTTGCAAAAGATATTCTTATTTTTGGTATTTTAAAATTGGCATGTTGAAAAACCTTATACGTCATTGACCCACATTACAACCAAAAATGTCAGCATGAGCAGCAGCACGCCACACACAGTGGGCACGATGACGCCCACAGAGAGGAAATGTGATGCATCTTGAAAAAAAAGGTGAAAGAGTACTTATAACAACTTCCCAATTTCACTCTTCAAATCACACTCAAACCTGAAGCACGATCCTGAAAACCAAAAACACATTAAGCAAATTTGGTGTTCTGTTTTCACAAGTGGTCAGTAAATGTTTTAGCAGTGTGTGCAAACACATGCCTGTGACATTTTTGTCAGGGACTACAGTAGAGGTCTGATGTGCAGAGTCTGTCGGGAAAAATATTCTTATAATGAATCATTAGTTTTAGCACTCTTCTTTAAAAAAATACAATAGAAAAGATTGTGTATCTGGACTCTGTTGCTCTCGTCATGATCTTACCCACTGACAGGTGAATCTTGGTGTAGTTTCCCACCCTCCACTGGGGAGTTGACCCACACCAGTATGTCCCAGCATCCTCTGCTTTCAGCTCTGTGATCCTCACTGAGAAAGAGCTCAGAGAAACATTTTCTTGCAGAGAGAACCTGCTCTGACTCATCATGTCTGCACAGCTTGTACGGTGGTCTCCTTTGCAGATGAACTTCCTGTTGTTCTTGTGCTGTGGTGGATAGGGACACTGCATGGTAACTTGACCTCCCACAGTGCCTCTCAGTTCACTGGACTCCACACAGCACCACTCTGTTGAATAGAGGAACATTTTAAATACCCTGATTAAAGAAATAGCTTCCTTGTAACATATGTTTTGAAGCATTTCTAAAAGAATAAACCTTTTTTATTATATGCATAATGCTGATTTAAATATGATATAAAAGGAATAGACAAGACCTCTGACCTTTGACCTCCAAATCAACAGCTGTGAAAACATCCAGTCTGGGGTTTCTTTGGACACCACAGAGGTATGACCCAGAGTCATTTAGGGTCAAACTGGCAATGGTCACTGTGAATTCCCTGGACTGTTTGTTATCAGAAAGATTGAATCGTCCTTTTTGTTGGTGGTCAGATGTGATCAGTGCCTGCTGCAGACAGGTGGAGGGCTGCTTCCCTCTGCACAGGTACTTCAGATTGTTCTGGTCCTTGGGCTCATATGGACATCTGAAGGACACTGAACTTTCCTCATAACTTTGAAGTTTGGTCGATCCATCACAGCAACTGTCTAACAGAAAATTGTTGAACTTGTTAACATCAGCAGTGCTGGACCACTACTTATGCAGGAATGCAAATGAAGGAGGAAATAACAAATGCAAATGGAAAGACTGAGTGTTTCATTGGTTTGTACACTAACTTGCAGAAAGCAGAGGCACAGACGGTTATATAAAAAAAGAGAGAAGTATAGGGTAAAGTAAACTGTGCAACTTTTCTGTGTGGAATGTTGCTTCAAAAACAGACAGGAGTGTTTACAAACTGAGGACACACTACCAGAGTTCAGAAAGATTCCATGTGGAGTCACCCAAAGATCTCTTTTTACTTTATACCAATGACATTTGTTGTGTTATAAATTTTTATATGTGTTGCATTAGACCAGGGGTGGACAACCATGTGCCATAGAGAGCCGAGAGGCTGCAGGTCTTCTTTCCAACCCAAAACTCCACCAGGTGATTTCACTGATTAGTCCCTGCTCTCTGCTTGGAGGTAAGGTAATCAGTGAAATCACCTGGTGGAGTTTTGGCTTTGAAAGAAAACCTGCAGCCTCTCGGCTCTCCATGGCACATGGTTGTCCACCCCTGCATTAGACAAATGAATTTTGTTTGTGTTTGTCTGGCGTTGAACATTTAAAACTTGGTTTGGTGTTAACAAATTGTCTCTTCACATTAAGAAAACTAAATTTCTGATTTTTAGGGAATCACAAGGAAATTTGTAGGGAGACTGTGTCTGAAAGACTTTTGAAGACTAAACCTTGGAGTTGTGATTGATTATACATTCACATGGAAACAATATACTGACTATGAAAAATCTAAGGAAAATCTCTAAATCCATAGCATCCCTGTTTAAATCATAATATATATGAAATTATAGGGCCTTACATATACTATATTGCTCTTTTATTGTTCCATGTGTCTCACTGTGTTAAACTATAGGGATCTGTTTATTAAACAATTATACATTTACGTTGTTGTTCTGCTAAATTTGCTAATTGTTCAGCAAAAATTAACCATACTCATAATCAGTAAGACTATTGTTGTGCTCAAACTAACCCACTATTTCTTAAATCCCATGTAATGAAATTTGAAGACATACTTTCCAACAAGATAAAGTAAATCATGTTCAGAGCAAAACCAAAGCCACTTCTATGCTCCATGCAAAAGTTATTTTCAGGTTGGGAGAATCACTATGATTTGAAAGGTGTTTATAAGTTTACAATACAAAAAGTTAAAAAAGATATCTATCATAAGCTGTTTAAAAGATTACATATATCATCTTTTTCTCTCAGCAGGATACACCCACTGAGAAAAACAAACTACTCTGAGGCCTGTTTCCCAGGGGTGCAGCAATACAAGTTAAACAAAAGAAAATATTAAAAAAGCAAAACACACAGTTAAAAATGTTGATAATACATTTATGAACATTTACTTGTACTTGTGTCCCTTGTAATTTTTTCACATTTTAAAACTATGGCAGTTTTTTCCCCGGTAGCTCTTTGAAAACAGTCATCATATTGCGCAGTCCAGCCGTCAGCAGAAGATTATTGCACCATGTGTGCAGCAGGACTAAAGCTGGTTTTCCCCAATCAGGTCCTAAACCTCAGTTTTTTTAGAGATATGCAGCCTCAAGATCCAGATGTACAATTTAAAAGGTTTGTAGACAAGAGAACTGCAAGGGAACGGGCACCTATTTATGGCATCTAGGTTAATCAATTTAAATCCTTTAAAAAAACGTCTCTTTCTTGAGGAAAGAATATCAGGAACTTCACAATAACTCATGTCCCCAAGTTTATATATTTAGTATTTTTCCTCTTCTGTGCTCTGTGAGGTCAAATCAGACTATTTTTTTGACGTTTCTGTTAAAAACATATTGAGGAGATGATAACTCATTGAGACTTGGTCTTGCCACACACAATGAAACTATTAGGAAATGTAAGAATAAAAAAAAGTCTGAGGCACCAAAGAATCAGTCAATTCACCATGACTCAGTCCTAGTTGAGTGCTCACTATAAATGGTATTAATCATAAGGACGACTGCTGTTAAACTCCACAAGCCTCACTGTATGAACCTCATCTAATTTTATTGTTTTATTTACTTTTACTTCTTATCTTATGTTGTATTGTAAATCCTCTGGTTGTTATTTTCAGTGCTTTTATTTTTGGGTTGCTCATCTCTTAAATGTTGTGTTATTTTCTTACACTTGAACTACTCTCTTACTCTTGTCCTTTTTATTCATTTGTTTACCAACCTTGTCCAACTTCCAGCTTCACCTCAGTGTAAAGATCCTTCCCAGACCTGCTCACACCGCACCAGTACTTCCCAACATCTGTTTGTCTCAGATCAGAGATGGTCGTTGTGAAAACTCGTTTCCGTTTGTCATCAGAGATAGAGTATCTGTTTTTCCTCGCCTGTGTCGTTGTAACAAGAACATCACTGTCACCACAGTCGCTCCTGCACAGGTACTTCTCAAAAGATTCATAACCTGAATCGTAGGAGCAAGAAATATTTACTGCCTGTCCCTCATATCCAGACACAATGACCAGCTTTGCTGCTCTGGTGACCCAACTCAGAGAAACTGTGAATAAAAGTCAAAACCAATGAAAACAGGTCAACATGTTTTAATTTTCAATCACATTCACTTTCTTTAAGATTTTACATTAAAGGAAAAAAAAACAACTTACTGCACAGGGTGAACACCAAGCTTTTGGGGCTTAACATCGTCATGCCTGTTCAAGGAAACAGAAACTGAAAAGGAAGTGTCTCTGCTATGAAGAACACTCAGAACATAAGTCATCCCCCCACTCTCTAACTTCTGCATTTACACTATCATTTTATCCAGTGCCTGAGTTAATACGAAAGATTATTCTTCTTTGATCATTGAAATGACTGACTTTTTTTTATGAAAACTCTAAATCTCTGAAAACAGAGTAAAAGTTTTTGACTTTGTGTTTTTGACTGTCCAAATTAAAACAAAGACACCTTCCCTTGACTGAGAAGACTAAGTGCAAAGTAGTATTCCTGTCAGTGTTCATTAATAAATCTCTCAAGTTTAAAGGTGGCAGTGGGGTGTCAAAACTTTTTTGACCAAGGGGCAACTGGGCCACTGACTGACAGAGGAAGGGGGGTCAATGCACACATATACCATATACTTAAGTAAACATCATTACCTTACCACTGACTTACTGAATATCTGTTGCAACAGTGGACAATGTCATTTGTCTGTAATGCAAGTGTGCCTTTCACGGCTGGGGTAAGCTGTCACTTGTCACCTCTAATGCCAGTGTTGTGAAAAACTGAGAAGATATTAGAAATAGCGACTGCCACAGAGTCTCCTAAAAGTAAGACAAGTTAACCAACAGCTGAGGCAGAATTAGGGTGTATTTTTTAAAAAATGGTTATAAATTCAGCTGAGATATAAAAATAAACTTTGAAATAGACAGAAACTATGACACCACACAATCAAATGTTCAAAGGTGAAAAGTCTAAGAAGATTATCTAAAATGCTTGAGTTAGTGTAAGTTAGTGAAGATCTGAGGTCAGCAGGTCTGTCAATCTCCAATAGTCTGCAGATTATCTTAATTTTATGCTGTTTTGATACCAGTCTTATCTTTTATTACACATACCATTACATTATATTATTAAATCCTCACTGCAAATAAATATCCAAACCAGACAGTGCTTAGAAGTACCTCTGAAGCTGTCAGTTTACATCCTTCCTTTAAAGTAGAAATCAGTTTGGCCATTTGGTCAGCAGGGGGAGCCACTGCCCTGTGTTTATCTTATTGTCTCCCCACTAAGAAACAGTTTATTCTGTTACTTGTTTAAAGCAAGTCAACAAATCACTGGATGCCAGAAATGAAGCTGTTACCCAAATTAAACTGGTAACTAAAGTTTGCAAATAAACTCCCAATTATTCTTCCTGCACTCTGATCTTGATGTTTCCATGGTCAAGACTGAATGGTCACTGATCCCTACCTTAATCACAGCAGTTTCCAAAAAGGCTCAGTGATGAAGAACTGTATATATATATATATATATATATATATATATATATATATATATATATATATGTGTGTGTGTGTATGTATGTATGTATGTATGTATATATATATATATATATATATATATATATATATATATATATATGTATATACTGTGGTTGAAGCTGCATGGTAAGTAGGTCAACCTTTTCATGCATTGTTATCATTTAAAGAACCTCCAACTATGAGTACAGTTACAGCAAAAGTTGTAGAGTCCTAACACACGAGAGGGCACTTGTTGGTAGTTGGCCCAGCTTTTTTAATGTTTCTCTTTTTTTCCTAATAATTATGGTTGTTTAAAAACTTCTTCCTGGAAAGTAGCATTCTGATTGGCTCAATGGAAGGTCTATTCTTATCACATTAAAGCCATCTGATAAAAAAAAGAAGGGTAAGGAAAAAGCAGCATTCTGATAAGCCAAATGGTTGCAGCTTTGTAATTATCATCACCAAATAATAGGAACCTTCTTTTTTCTGTTTACAAAGCCTTCTGATTGGCCAGATAAAAGGATCTTTCTTATTTGCTGAATAAAAGTAGCCTTCTGATTGGCTGATTGGAAGCCAGTCTCTGATTGAGCAAATAAAGGGAGCATTTTACTCCTTCTCTTTGCCCCTCTCTAAGCACAGCTTAAAATGTAATGTGAGCATCACAATTTTCTCCATGGACCACTGCTGTCCTTGATTTGAACCCAGAATCCTTTCATAGAGGAGCAGCAGTCTTCACCATTAAACTACAAATTTGTCCTGTAGTGCCTGCTTTTGTAGGTGCTTTGTAGTTTTAGTATCTGATTGATAAAGTTCAGAACCTAGGTTTACATAGATTTGAGTTCAGGTTTCCTTTTTTTAGGCTCATAAGGTGTGCCTCTGTCCTGGTCTTGAACCCAGGACCTTTTCATAGAGGGGAAGCAGCCCTCACCACTTCAGTACAGGTTTACCTGTCAGCGCTTTCTTTTCTAAGTCTTGATTCCTTCTATTTTTAACGACGAAAGTTTAAAACAATGGTTTTAACAGGACAGTGTTTTCTTCCTTGCTCACATGAAAATTCCCTGTTCTGGGTTTGAACCCTAAATCTGTTTATTGAGAGGCACGCAGCTTTCAAAACCACAGGTCATCCTTGCTGAGTTTACTTTTGACATGTTTTCATTTCATGGTTTCATTGTTCAAAAGTACAATTTTAAAATGCATGTGAGCAAAGTGTGCTCTTCGTAGGTGCTATTTTTATGGCTTGTTTGTGTGATTTTATCTTTTTTCTGTTCTGTTGTGTTGATACAAAAGATCGATCTAGACTGCAGTTGTAGGAAGCCTGAACTTCCTTGTCATAAAGAAACCCCCCCTTGCTCAGATTTGAACTCAGACCCTCTCTGCCATGCGGCATCAGTGTTTACCTGCCACAGTATGGTGCTGCTATACATTTATCCGTTCAGGTATATCTCCTTTCCTTTACATTGTGATGATTGTGTTGTACCAACATCAGTGAAATGCAAACAGAATATGTAAGAACACAAGAGTCAATAATGTGGAAATACAGTAATCTCAGCGCTATCATCATGTTAGAGTAGCTTCACCACAGCAGCCAGGTCGATCTTTAGTGTGAGACTAAACTCACTGCAGGGTGAGGGTGTGAAATGTGTCCTTCAGTTGCAGCATGAATGCAGACAGGAAATATGGGATGCCTGGCAGAGGAATGTGTCTTTTTTCTTGTCTGGAAATGTCAGGCTGCCCTCCATCTCTAGGCCTCGCTGAATAAACATGCCCTCTGTTTGGGGTCTCTGTAGTGCTGCTGAGAAAAAGTACAGTTAGAGGTACATAGAGGATGTAAATAAGCTGCATAGATCAAACAGGCGGTTGCCTAGACCCTACCCTAAAAAATTTTTTAGAATTTCCTGCACGCCCCTTGGCACTATTTCCTTATTTTCTGTCTGAAAAATAAACACATGAACAAATAAAAAGAGTAAACAGGCACAAATATAAACTCCTGTTGTTACTCATCATTTCACTTTGCTCTGACCCCGGCCTGCACTTGCAGTGCCTAGATATGTGATGTGTGCATTGACTGTACAAGTTATGGATGAGCTGTCCAAGACCTTAGTGCACAATACAGGGAGGTGACAAGAAAGTAGAGGAGGAAAAGAACCCTGTAATAGAGGTATGCCATCTTTTGTGACATAAAAAATATGCAGTTTTGTGTGACAATCTTTCACTTTTGCTAGTGTGGTAGTGGTGGGGCGCTGAATCCTTATTTTACTTAAGGAAACTAAAGCCCAGGTTATATTGAAAAGGTTTTCCATGGTCAGAAAAGCCTCACAGCTGCCTGCACATACAGTAATAGTATGACATCAACTTTCTGCACTTAAGGCCTCACATCCAGCCTTCTTAAATATGTCATTTGCCACTCTACCACAACCTGATTCATGACCAGCCACTGTCAGCGCTGTGCAGATGAAGTGTCTTGTTAGAAGAGAGATCTGAAAAAATTGTTCCGCCTCTAGTCTACAGGCACACTCCAACTCCTCCTGTGCATCAGTATATCTGTGCTCAGTAGTCACAACTCCTGTCCATACAGCCCTGTTTTACCAATAATAAGCGTCTTTCAAGACATGCATCACACTCCTGACAATTTCCAGACATTGGAAACAAACCAGATTCAAATGTCCAAATATGTATTTTGCATCATCACCAAGGCCAACAATCAATTATGAAGATTTATGTTTATTCAAGTCAAGTACATTGCATTACGAAAAATTGATGATGGTGACATTGAGTGTGTGTACAGCTTCTTTAAGTGTCTTTCCATTATTTCCTTGGACCCCAACAAGAAGCCGGTCAAATGAATGTACTAAATACTGAACCATTTAAGATGACTGACCCCACCCAGGGCAGTGCATTGTAAAATACCAGTCGTGGTATATGTGGGTGAAAGCATTCGTCTGTGTTTTCCCTGAGCTCAGCCATTCCCTGGACTCCAGCTGACCGCTCAGCTGTGCTGCTTGCATACTGCAGCACAAACTGTTTCCATACCTCACACACTCTCACACCCAAAGGCTAACTTTAAGACCCCTGAGCGGAGGGATAAGTGTGTCCCGAATTAGCGGGGATGCCAAGGAGAGCTCGGCTGTTGCCAGGTTGGGTTGCCAAGGGGTTTTGGGTGTTGCTACAGCAGGTTAGGTTTCTGCACTGTGACCTGTTTGCATGTCAGCAGTGTGCAAGACGCGTGTCTTATGGTCGTCTCAAAGTACATTGCAAGAAAAATACACACACACAAGCACACACATGTGTGAAGTCCTCGATGTGTAAATATATATATATATATATATATATATATATATATATATATATATATATTTTTTTTTTTTTCCTTGTTTATTTGGTTGTTAAAATGTATGGTCGAACATTAACCCAAAATTTTGGTCATAAATTTATTTTAAGATCAAAAGATATATATATATATTCTTTTTTTCCTTCTGTCTGGGCAGGTAAGAGGGGACGAACAATAGACTGTATATACTATGGACAACTTGGTTCCACCTTCTACCAGTATATGGATTTGAAGACGAAATGCTCTCTGTAATCCTGCATTTTTTTATCCACTCCCTAAAACCAACATTGCACAGTGGCGTTTTACGCACTCCACTTGTGCAGTAGCATTGTGTGGCGAGAGAGTCACACATTGTGCTGTGATGATGCTTGGCTCAAACAGCATATCCCCTGGGTGAGCTACGCAATCTTCGTCCAGCAATAGGCTGTAACAAGTGTCAATCATTGAAAACATGAACCCCCTTATAACTTTTAAAAACAGAGCTGCACAGACAAAAGAGGACTTGAGCACAAACCAGTCTTACAATAGCTACCTGTCAACATCGCAATATTCTGTGTAATTAATTTCTGAAGTTTGTCCACAGCTCCATAGGGATTGCTGGAGGAGGCAGGATTTATGATCTATACTGCAGCTCGTCACCAGAGGTTGCTGTTCTCGGAGTGGCTTCACCCAGCGAGGAGGCAGACTGTCCATTCTATGTACAGTCTATGGAACGAACACAGAAAATCCAACTGAAACAACAAAACTAGGCAAAACAGTCAGCTTGACTGGGCAAAGTCAAGCTGACTGTATATTATAGACCCAGTGCTCTGCAAGCAGAGGATCAGATGCTGCATCAGGTGAATAGTGATGTAATGTACAGGCTTTCTGACAGCAATATAAAGCAGTCCATTGGTTTCCCTTCAGACATTTTAGCCCTTGCTGCTTCCATTTTAGCCACTCTTCATCTAATCCTTGTATTATTATTATTATTATTATTATTATTATTATTATTATTATTATTATTATTATTATTGTTCAATATAAGTGTAAGTGCAAGTCTTAGTATTAGTATTAAAGCCACTAGAGTGTTTGATACTGTTTTTCTGTCAGGCTTTGCAGTGGAGAAAACCAGTCTCACACTCTTGCATGCTTCATTTATGTCAGTCAAACATTATGAAAATTTATTTTTTGTCTGTAAAATTTGTTTTGTATCCATGGATGAAGGTGTCTTTGTGTGTGTGTGTGTGTGTGTGTGTGTGTGTGTGTGTGTGTGTGTGTGTGTGTGTGTGTGTGTGTGCGGGAATATGTCTGTGGGCTGGGACATTCTGACCATTCTTAGTCTTCCTGAGGGAAGAGGGAAAGCATCTCTCTCTCGCTCTCTCTCTCTCTCTCTCTCTCTCTCTCTCTCTCTCTCTCTCTCTCTCTCTCTCTCTCTCACACACACACACACACATGCGCACCGAACACACACACACACACACACACACACACACACACACACACACACACACACACACACACACACACACACCACTGCTGACAGCAGGCGGAGAGAGAGAGGTGCAAATACACCCCTCCACAGTCATTCATACATCCGCCTTTTCTTCCAGTTCTTCACTCATTAAGCTGGAATAGTGTCAGACTTCCTACAAACTGAATTCTTGTAAATCATTACCATTGCCTTTCAGCTCCATTATTTCATTCCTATATATTAAAACAAGAACTACTGTTGTGTGTCCAGTAACTTTCACTTAATGGTTAAAAAAAAGTGTCCTGTAGAAATCCTGTTAAACACTGTATCCATCATGTTTCACCAGCAGCAACTTGTATATTAGCTGCTTGACAACTGAAATAAGAGTATGAGGTGTTAAACTGTTTCCATTACAGAGAGGCACAGTAAGGTTTTAGTTGTATTTGTGCTCAAAGTTTCAGCGTGTATGCTCATTGGTCCTCTGGAGTCAGCTTTTACATGAAAAGCTCTGGAGGACAGCATGAGCAGGTCAGCTTTTGCCTGTTTGGTTGTGGCGGAAAATACAATTGCTTCTTTTGCATCTCTCTGACTCTCTCTCTCTCTCTGCATGAACACACACAGGAACAGAAGATGCCAACCAGAACAGTGGCTCCTCAAAGCTCCACAGGGGCAGCTACGCCAGCACTGACGCACTGCTGCTCTCCTGCCAGATAATGGTCACTGAACACTCATAATGGTTTTTCTTTTTGGTAGTTCAGTGGACAATAGGTCTTTGTTTGCATCCATGTGAGCAAACAGAGAGGTCGGTAACTTTTTGGTGCTCCTACTATTAAATTTGCTGATGGTTGTTATTAATCATCAGCACATCCACCACTCTCAGCCCCTTTGTGCCAAACAGGATGTGACATTTCTGAACAGGATAGTAAATTAAATATCATGCAGTTCCTTTCACTATTCGAACGCAGAAAAAAGTGCTAACTCAGCCTTCTGTGAACTGTGAATCAAACAGGAAGACAAGCTAGAAGATTGGCTTTTATTTTCTGTATATATAAAAACCACCTGAACTCATTAGCAAAACTCACACAAACACATACTTACCAACACACCCACACACACACACACACACACACACACACACACACACTTACACACACGCAGTAGATAAAGACTCACAGAGCTGCATACCATACACTTCTGTCAGAAGACTCCTAATTTTTACACAAAGCTTTTTACAAAGCAAACTTTCATTTCGAGAATGATCACACAAGCTTTACAAAACTGAACCAGTTAGAAACAAAATTCATTCAAGCTCATTTTTCATTCATTCATTGTCACTTAAACACACACACAAACACACTATCAGTCAAAGAGGTTTTTTTTGACGTTCCAAACTGTCTTTTTGACTGTAGGGCAGCACTGAATCTCACCGATTTAAGAAAAAGTGCAGGAGAAGCTTGAAATGTCAGTACTGGGTTCATTCCTCTGCTTCTATTACTGTGCCTCTATCCATCTTTGTCTCTGCTGGAGGCACCCCATCTTTGTCCACTCCGAAACATGAGGGCATCTTTCAGTCTGTGTCTATTTCACATGGGTTTGTTCCAGCTTGCTGTGCTCTGTTGTACAGCCTCAAGAAATCCTTGTAGCGAGGTGCACAGCCAAGCCAGGCTTCACCAAAATGAATGAAGCCGGTAAAAAGGTACTCATCCCCATGAGGGTTCACACCGCACTGTGCGGGAACACTGATGCGTCCACTCCAACGCCGCCCTCTGGCTCCACTCCAAGCAAACACTCTGCTCTTCTGACGAAACAGCCGACTCAGAGTCACAGCAACAGGGGGGTGGTCGTTTCTCGTTGAAACTGAGGACACACCTTGAAAGACGCCACTGCCAGCTACAGATACAGGAAAAGAGAGAGGGGGAGATCAACACGATGAATCAAGTCTGTCTGGAACTGAAGGTGGTGATAAATCGAAAGTTTGTTTTACTGAATTTGAAATGATCAGTGACAGGCGGCTACATTATCTCAAGCCATTACACTAAAAGGCAGCAGCTCCTTGGTGTTGTTGATTATCGTCTTTAGGTTTTGTATTTGCAGTTGTAGTTTTTCTCTTTTTGGTCACGTTTCTTCCTGATTTGCTTTCATTTCTAACTGCTGTCTTCAGGAAACTCCACCAGAAGATGGAAGTGGAATGAGCATTAGATAATTTTCAGATCAAAAATAAGGTAAGGACTTTGTTAAGCCAGGCTAACAGCTTCATACTGATTGAAAGACATGAGGCTTCGATCAACATTTGTGGCAAGTTTACTCACAAACTTCAAGTATTTTTTCAGTGTGTTTGTGTGTATGTGTTTACCAAAGTCACTGGTGCAAACAGCCAGGAGGACCTCTTCATCTGAGCAGGGTGTGCAGGTAACTAATATAAGAGGAAATGAAAGGAGAAATATTAGACATTTAAGCACTGAACAACAAATAAGTTCATATTGTCTCTAACTTGTGTCTTCTTTCTACGATGGAGTATTGGGGCCATATTAAGAAAAAATAATTTAAGACTTTGAGATTAAAGTTGTTAACTTACGAGAATAAAGTCCTTATATTCTAAGCTGTTGTTTAAGATGACAGTTGTTGAAATGAGAGCCATGGAGCACTTCATGAAAATGTACTTCATTATAGGTTTCTGAAACAAGGATATACTAAATCTTTTGGCACATCAGCACCACATTATCAGAAGCATCATAATGATTGTATTACGACTTTATCCTCGTAAGTAATTACTTTATTACAACTTCATTCTCATAAGTAATAATTTTAATACGACTTTATTCTTGTAAGTAATGATGTTATTACAACTTTATTCTCGCAAGTGATTAGCCTACTTTATTTTGACTTTATTCTTGTAAGTAATGATTTTATTACGACTTTATTCTTGTTAGTAATGATGTCATTACAACTTTATTCTCGTAATTAATTAGCCTACTTTATTACGGCTTTATTCTTGTAAGTAATGATGTCATTACAACTTTATTCTCGTAATTAATTAGCCTACTTTATTATGACTTTATTCTTGTAAGTAATGATGTTATTACAATTTTATTTTCGTAATTAATTAGCCTACTTTATTTTGACTTTATTCTTGTAAGTAATGATTTTATTACGACTTTATTCTTGTAAGTAATGATGTTATTACAACTTTATTCTCGTAATTAATTAGCCTACTTTATTATGACTTTATTCTTGTAAGTAATGATGTTATTACAACTTTATTCTTGTAAGTAATTAGCCTACTTCATTATGACTTTATTCTCCTATGTAATGATTTTATTACAAATCTATTCTCGTTGGTAATAATTGGTAATAATAGTTGGTAATAATTCATGTTAGTAATGACTTTTTTCTCGTAAATTACCGACTTCAATCTCAAAGTCTTGACTCGTTTTGTTTTTCTTAATGTGGCCCTAATACTCTGTTGTATCTCTTATTGGCTTTACTTTATCTGATTTAATTGTTGTTTTACTCCTAGACTGCTTCATCTTCCCTCTCTTTTTTCTCAGTTCTGGTGTGTTTATGAGACCAAAGAGACATCAAGAGAGTGTGTGAATGAGGACAGCAGGTGAGGGAGGAGACGTAATCACAGGATCGCCCCTTGACCCTGTCAGCTATAAAAACAGCTATAAAGCCTTCAGACACACACACACATACACAGACACACAGTCTTGGACAGGCTTTCTTCAGTCTCATTAGGAGAGCATTGCAGACTTTTTCTCTCTACCAGACAGATTTTATAATACGGCGGGCTCTCTAAACTACCCTTGTTTTTCAGGGAGGTCTGTTCTTGATTGACAGTTAAGAGACGATTGGCTGACACTTGTGTTGAACCCCAGCATGACCTTTTGATTGGCCTGCTTGTTTTCATAAGTCTGGAAGAGACAGGGGAGTGTGGGAGTGAGGAAGTGGGGGAGGAGAGGGTGTAAGAAAAGGGCAGCACATAGGTGAGAGGAAGAAATGGGGGTGAAACAGTATTGTGGCCTTTTGTCACCTTCACTCTATGCCAGTAAGGTCTTTGTCATGTATAGATCTATCTTGTGTTTGAGCATTCAACTTAAACTTGCATAAAAACAGTGACAATAGTTGTCAGATACATGCAACTAAAAAACAAATTTTCAAACTTTACCCCTGAAATGTATAAAATATTAAAGCTTTTTTTTGATGTTTATTAAACAGACTGAAATTCATATTGATGCCATCTAAAAAACAAGACCATTAGCAACAATATTGACGAATTTTTTTAATCCTAATTTTAAGAGCACAAAATTGACGTGAGGGGGGGGAAGGGGTGTCAGCTGAGAGGTAAAAAAGAGGCCTGTTTTTGCATTTTTTACCATAATTTTTTTTAGATAAATGATACATCTTCCCTTCAAAAGCAGGCAGGATGAGATACTTTTTCCAAAAGTTACTTTTTTGTTATGTAGGGGACAAGACAAGTAAAGACTCCTTTGTCCACTGCTTTGTCTACAGTCCTCGAAGCAAGCGGCTTAAATTTGACTCCAACTCACGTCCCTTTGACTTGTCACTTCCTCCTTTCTCCTCTCAGTTTCTTATCCGTCTCTTAAAAGGCGCCCCCATGAAAAAGAGCCCCCAAAGACTGATAAAAGATAGATAACATACTTATCATTCTCCTATAAAGTGAATCTTTGTAGAGCTCCCCCTGCTGACTTGCTGCAGTATAGGTAGGTAGTTATAAAGCTCACCTCTTTCTGTATAACAGATGGAGCACGGCTTAAACTAGGAAATGAAAATACACAACAAATCGTTTTTCTTAAATGTGCTTTCCATCATAATGGCTGGTTCTTATCCTAAAACATGTGATACTGTGATTTTTTTTTTTTTAAGTTTAGTATTATTTAGTTATTTGATACTAAAAAAGGAGATGTAATGTCACGATTGACAGCTCTGTCAAAAAAATGTGGCCTCTGCAGCATGCGTTCTTTGCTTCGTCAGAGGAAGGTGGTATTTTAGCTATTCTGTACTAGTTTATCTAAGTGTTTACATCTAACACTTCAGTGTCACCTTCTTAAAACAACTTTGGCCTACAATTTACTTCCTAGATATGATTTTCCAACAATACATGGTTTCTCTGAATCCAAGGATGGCCCATTTTACATGCAGCTCTTGCTTACAATTTTATAATCATGCAAAATATAATTTGAAATGTGTGAAATCGGTTTAAATACTTGTGGTGGAGTGTAATGGACGGTTATTAGTGCTGGATTTGGAAATAAAAGGTTGTAATGTGATGGCCTGGGATTTTTACCAAAGAGAAAACTAAAATTAGGATTACATTTTACATAAAGACCCCGTGTGAACTGAGAAATGAAAATTTTTAAGGCAGCATGAAGCAAATAGAAAAACAACATTCTGTTTTACTGTTCACACGCAAAATCACGAGGCAATAGCAGCAGAAAATTAGTTTTTTTCAGTGGCAAAAGTCCCCACAGTTGTTTGAAAGGGCTACAAAATATTAAACCCCATGATACAAGCGAATGAGACAGCACATGAACATTAAAAAAACATCATAAAATGGGTGCATGCTTTTTTTTTTTTTACCTAAACCAGGGTGCAGGTATGGGTACATGTGCGCTCCAGGCCCCTGACTTGGTACCAGCTCATATTGGAAAGCAGTGATCCTGCGGCTGATGTCTGTCTGAGGGACAGCCTCCACAAAGAGAGCCCCCTCTGTGAGAGTGAAGCAGTGAACTGAGCCCTCAGCCTGGTCCTTCTCTGTCAGCAGCAGTGTCAGATCCCCAGCACGCTCCAGATACACATTGGAGCCCTGAACATAAATACACACACTTTAAGGTACATGTGTCCAACATGTGACACTGCAGTAGCTGTATCTGAGTGTTACACTTTTACTTCTCAATAGTGTTTTTGTGGTTAACCTTGGAGTAGATGTGGGGTTTTATGCACACATGTAGACCAGCTGTGTGTCCTGATGAGGGCTCTGTGTTTGGCCGCAGGTTAACAATGATGGCTCCTGTTGGGTAGAGCCACTCCAGAGAGCCCTGAGAGCAGCGCAGATAGACCTGCTCCACATCTCTGCGATGAGACTCGTGGCTCAAACCACTGCAGAGAGAATGCAGATGTTGATTTTGTCATGTTGATCTGGAATATGCTGTTTCCTCTCTTGACCAAAGAGGATCAGGTGCCAAAAAAACATGAGGTTGATCAGAAAACAGAACAGTAACAACACTTGACACACTGGCATGAGTCTCAATGTGAAAGCATACACATCTAAGAGGAAATGTGCTACGAGGAGTAAAAGAAACATATGGTAGGGTTTAAAGATAATCCAACACTGAGTCACAATAATGTTGATGCAGCTGTCTGCCAACAAATCTCCCACTTTAGATGGATGTGGTTGCTTGCCTCTGATGTGCATAAGCTACCTCAACACCAGGAACTGATTGGGCTATTAAGTCGTTAGAAGTCTGAGGCTGCTAAACTTTACAGCACAGGGTGCGGAGCGCGGGCTTTCATTTTTTATGACTTGGGGACTTGGAGGAGTGATCCAAGAGACCATATAGCTGTATTTACTTGAGATAAGAGCCGGACCAGAAACATTCCTGTGATCATACGTTTCTAGAAGAAAAGAGGCCCTGTTTAAACTGACATATATGACATGTTGGGGAAGTTTTACTCTCATGTCGACTAAAGCATCTCCTGTCCCTATGTAATTGGTTTCAGTCATTGTATGAGTCATTTTCCAGTCTGAGGAGAGCCATTGAGCAAGAAGGGAGATTTTAATTAAGATTTTCATTTGATTTACTGAGATCTGATGTCACAGGTTTTCTGAATAAGCAAATGAAACAGCTGAAAACATCCCCAACTGCTTAACTGATTATTTTCCCCCCTAACCTCTCAGTAACCCTTCAGGTCTCTTTTAATCAACATCCATGAGGTATCTCCACACACACACACACACACACACACACACACACACACACACACACACACACACACACACACACATATAAATTAGATATTTTCCGGGTTAAAGTCTGAGGCGCATTAAATTCAAGCAGGAGAAGGGTCCTGTCTTCAAAAAGTAATAAGCAAAACAAGCTGAAAACATTTTAACGAGTTGTGTCCTGGATGTGTTACCCAATAAAAATACAAATAGCAATGATATAACCGAAAATTCTTTGTCCAGCTTCATCCTCACCTTCCCTTCCAGCTGCACTGGTCGCTGGAGTACTGCGCCACCGCCCCGCACAGGAGCACCGCTGTGATCCAGTGCGCAGCCCACGGCCGGAGCATGGTGGCCCGTCCGCCCCGGCGCTCCCCGGACCCCGCACAGGAGACCAGCAAGCTGCACGCCCTGCTTTGCCCCCGAGCCGCTAAATCCTGCAAGCTTTTCCCCCCGGAGCTCCTCTCAGCGCGCGCTGGCTACATGACGGGCTCAGCTGAGGTAAAAGGTTGAGTCTGAGGAGGAAAACAGTCTGATAAGAGGTTTGTCAAAGGAGCAGTGAGCGCGCTGCAAACCGGATCAGCCGGACCGTTTGACCAAACTTCAGCTTTGTGCGCTACGCTTCACGTCAGCAGAGGCGCGTGCCAGGAGCTGAGTCCACTTGAATGACACGCGAGCGCTCGCTCCAAACCACTCCCACACTCCGCCACTAAAAGATGTGTGGAGAAAAAGGCCTTGTGCTCTCATTTCAGCGAAAAAAACACTGTCCACTATCCAGCTTTACACAAATCAAAGTGGATATGTGGAATGATATGCAGATATTTGAAACCTGTGCTTGCCATCCTGGCCATCTTTGAAGGTTAAATAATACCCAGTCCCGTGTGAATGAGTATTTGCCTCATCACCACATGGATCATATTATTATTTAAAATACTTAGAGCACTCGATGCTGTGAGAGAGAGAGAGAGAGAGAGAGAGAGAGAGAGAGAGAGAGAGAGAGAGAGAGCGCAGGTTGTTTTGAACACAGAGTTGTAAGAATATGATTATTAGATGGACTATGTGAGCGTGAGTTTCTGTATGACTTCAATTGTGCTGCCTGAGTTGTCATCGCATATCATCAGTAAGGCCTGTATGGTCGACCTCATTGGAAAAAAAGAGACTCTGACTCAACAAACAATCACACATGTGCGCTAAACGCCTGTTTGGATCTCGAGTGGTTTTCCCGTGAGAAAACAGTCAGGACAGCAAGCATGTTACTGACTCGTCACATTCCCCCACACAGCCTGAGCTATGTAACGCATTTCGAGAAATACCGAAACACAGACCTCCTTACACACCCCCACTTCACCCACACCCACGCAGGCACGCATACATACACACGTCTTTCATTAAGCCAGGGCATGAAAAATGAGAATTTCCAGCTCTGCCATTGTTTTGTGCCCCTCTCTGAAAATGGCCTGAACATGGTCTTTAAAGGCAGGCTATAGTGAGTGACTCGGTAGAAAATGAATGTAATATCCTTAAGTATATTTAACTCTTAAACTTTTGAATATAAAAAATGTTTTCTTTTCTTATTTTTAGGTCTGGATGGTCTTCTTCCATGGGGGCCACCATCTTGCGTTGCCACAAGCAACTGTAACTGAGACATTTTTCTATTAAGTGGGTGACCACATGAAATAAAACCCAAGTTTGTTATTGAGCTGACAGAATAACATTACCTTAGTTGTACTCCACTCACGCTTGGCTATTTGTCTCATTATTGTCATCAAATGTAAATTGCACAGCATCATACTGTAAACAGGTAAGCACCATGTTTTGCCAATTGAAGCATCAAGTTTTAGATTTGTACATGTTATTTACAGCAGGCTCCATTTATGTTTTTTAATACAAACATAGAGTCCATTGATCCATGACTGAGTTCGATTTAGTTTATAGTTTTCCAATGTTTGTGATGGTAAAGCAAGCCAAGGAGGCTGTTAGAGGAGATTTTTATTTTTCAAATTTAAGAAGGTTTAAACTCTCATGAGGAACTTTTGGCAACCCCTGTGGTCAAGCTGTCTTCTGATTTATTTTTCTTTCCCTTTTTAAAGAGTAATTGGTGTTTCTTGATTTTAAAGAAAACTCCTGCTTTCTTCCAAAGTCTGATGTATTACTCATTAAAAGAAAAGGTTATTTTGGCAAATTAGCAATCTAACACGTCTAATCATATCTGCACGAGCTAGCCATCTTGTTGATGATCTTGTTTGTTTGTTTTTTTAGGTCATGAAAAATGTTTGTACTGAACACCAACAGCTCCTCACAGAGGCTTTAAATTGAAGGTCCTTTCTGAATTTGCGATCTAAATTTGCACTTATTCAAAGATGGGCTAAATTACTTAAACAACATTCACTAATGCCCTCATAACTAGTATTTATTTGGGTTCTGCAAAGATGAGGAAATAAATATTGACAAAAATTGTCAAATTTAAGGGAAACCTCAAGATCAGAATTAGCCAGATTGGAATTTGAAACATCAAAACCAGCACTGGCATAGATTTCTCCTGTTTCATGCATTCCTATCAGATATAAGTGGTCGGCTTACACTGGTGATGTCAAGCATAAACAAATAGACACAGGTAGAAAGCGACCAAACTTAACTGAATAAATCAAATGAAGGAGTTGCACTGTTTTTCTACTCTCTGTTAAAGCCTTTGTAAATAGGATTTTATTTATTGTAAATTGTGCCCACTGAGCCTTAGATGTCTGTTAGACGTCTTGTCTCAGCTTAGACAGAAATTTAACATCTACAATCAGTCTATATTATAGCCTGAATCTAGACGATAGAGCTTAAACCTTAAAAACAACTGTAAATTGTATAAAAGATGGCCAAATGTTGGATAACAACATTTTTAACAGTCATTGATCAACATACAGTATAGTTTAGTCTATTAGACGGCTAGTCTAAGCTTACACGGCTAAAAAACGTTCATTTTTAGACCAGTGGTTGACCAATTTTAGCCCAGACGTCCAAGGACCATTAGACATATATTAGACCAAAAAATGCTTGGTGGGTGGCTGTCTGTCTGGTTCATGAACAATTCATCAATGTTTTAAATATCAGATACCATCCATGGCTGAAAAAAAAAAAAAAAAAAAAAAAGAACGCTGGGATTATTGTGTTGAAAAATCTCTTGGTCAGATCTACAGTATATGACTACTTGCATCCTGCACAGATAAGTAATGAGTTTGACCAAAAACTTTGCTGGAATTTCTAAATGGATGATTTTAGTTTCATAACCACATCATTCAAACAAAGGATAGGCCCAAGTAAGAAAATCCATTGCAACCTGGTAACCCTAAAATGCTTTTTAGCATGTTATATAACCACTAAAGGCACAAGATTTGACTTATAAGCCCTTCATAAAGGTGACTTGCTTGAAGGTTGTGGGCTTACAAATAATGTTAAACTTTACTTTAAGGGTAAATCCCTCTGCTACAAAGACACAATTCGCACAGAGTTCTGAGTGAGAAAGACGACTGTAAGCAGTGGTGGTGTGCTTTTCCATAAGTAAGATGCACTGCGCTGCTCAAATGTCGTCCTTCCCAGAGATTTGAAAAGTATGCCATTTCCCCATTAACACATTTGAAACCCAAATATCTGGAGGTTGTGGAGGGAGTCTGACCTGGGTCTAATCCTGTCATCACAGCAGAGGAAGTCTGAGCTGATGATGTGCCGTTTGACCTCCTTGTGTGCTTTTTCACCATACCAAGTATTTACAGATCAGCCGAGCCTCTGACCTGCCCTTTTGTCCCCACACCCCTCCCTCAGCCGTCACCTGGCTCTCCTCAAGCAGCCTGACAAGAGGACCGCTCTGTCTGTCTGCATGCACACACACACACACACAAACACACATTCTTCACTCTCTGATTTCAGTCTGTGTGACCTTTGTTTTCCACAGTACAGCACACTCCTTCCTTTTTTAAAAACTTCATTTGCCCCGGAGAGACCTCGGAGCAGCTCCACCGGATCTGTAGGAGGTCAAGTGCCTTGCTCAAAGGTAGTTTAAGAGGAGCTGACGAAGGACAGAAATAACATCAACTGTTAAACTTGCAGGACTGACATCTACATTCCAATGGCTACAAAATAAGTCGTCAGTAGCAGATTAAAAGCTGTTCAAAGTTATTAGGCTGCTGTGGGAGAAAAGTGGAGTTTGTGATTTGATTGGCCAGGAACATCTACAGGACCACAAAATCTACAAAAGTAGATACTGCAGGGTTGCAGTATTTTGATACTAAAAAATAAAAACTCTGCTATGTATAGGCTGCATCAGGTTAAACTGGTAAAGAACCACTCAAATGGATCAATAAGAACCAACAGAGGCATGTGGATGCTAACCTGTATTTTTGATTTATTCAGTTCAGAGTGTTGGAGGTACATTTGAGAAAAATAACTGGACTTCAAGATTTTTTTAAAATCATTCTCTTACGAGAATTAAGTCAGAGAAAAATCAAAACATAATGTTACGAGATTAAAGTCATATTGTGGTAACACTTAACTTGACTCCTATCTCTACAACGCATTATAAATATATGTATAATGCGTTATAATCACATTATAGCACTGTATAACTATAGTTATAAAGACTCCTAAATGATCATAATGCTTTATAACAATAATCACTTATAGTAATCATAAGAATTTGATCATGACTTACAAGGTCAGGTATTATAATGTGTTGTAACTGTTAACAACTCACTGACAATGCCCACATAGATAATGCAATGCAACTGTTGTCAACAGTTATAACACATTATAATGCCTGACCTTGTAAGTCATGATAAAATGCTTTATAATCTGCTATGATTATTGCTATAAAGCATTATGATCATTTTTGAGTGTTTATAACTATAGTTATATAGTGCTGTAACGTGATTATAACACATTATAAATATATTTATAATGCGTTATAGAGATAGACGTCAAATAAAGTGTTGCCCCTCAGTACCAACATCCTGATAAGTATCAGGACTCTGAAAAGACTGACAAAGCTGAGACGTTTGGTGTCCCCCTTCAAACATCATTCAACGGCCAACCCTTGACTTTTAATGATCTTTATTTCTAATTACATAAATCTCACAGTGTAACATTACCTTTTTTTTTCATAATATGATTAATACAAGAAAGAAAAACGTGTCAAAAATATCTTATAAATCTAAGAGATAAAATATTTCTTATATGTAGCACTGACACCTTGTTGTTGTTATAAGTAGTTCATTACTTTTGTACCATGAGATGACTCCCTCATTCCTGAGCTAGTCACATCAGAGTTTGATTGCTTTATTCAGCAGTGATTTCAAACTAGCTGAAAGTTACTTATCAAAATAAAAATGTTTAACTTCCACAATACACCTACAGAAGTCAAAGATAAGAGGGATAATCAACTTTATCAGAGCCTTGTTACTAGTTAAGTTTCATTTGATACAGCATTAGCTCTCTCACTAAAGCCACCTATTCATCTATCTCTGTGACATTTATGCACCATTGAAAAAAGTGTCTCCTCTAAGAACCTACAGGATGTCAAGAAGTCCTGTTAGGGCATCAAAACGACTGCCGGCTGTGTAATGCACTTTGGCTTTGGTAGACATCACTTCCCTTTAGTAAAAGGCGTATCATAAACACACACACAGATGTTGAAAGAGAGGAATGTGGTGCAGTTTCAGGTGAATGAAAAAGCCTTCAGTGTCTGACCTCTGTCAGCTCTCTTCACCCAAACATACCACACTTTTATCACTCTCTCTTATCAGCTGCACTGTCAGAGGTCCTTTAGACGTGTAAGTGTGTTTGTGTTGGTGCACATTTGTTTTCTACACATGTGCAGGTTTATTTGACCACTGATGGCAGTAGGCCCTGGGTCAGGGTCATCCATTGAGTGTGCGTGTGTGTTATCAGCTCTGATGTCTGCAGAGAGATAAAGTGTAAACACTGCATGAAACTCTGTTTACCCTCTATCTGAGCCCCTCTCATAGTTTCTCCATTAGAGCTCACTCTGATCAACAACCAAGTGCTTAATCATGAGGGCAGAGTGGGTAAAGAGGACAGCACACATTTAGACAGCAGTGTGGTCTTACTTTAACACACCGCTGTGGTTTGTAGCACTTTAAAATATACAGTGTCCATTTGGTGGACATCCATCCAAGACACCTTATTGCTTATTGAGAGCAGATATTTTAACCAAGAGAAGCCACAAACTGCTGTCAAACTTGCTGATTCATTCAAGTATTTTGAAACAGGCCTGGTGTGCAGAGCTGATAACAGTTAGTGTCTGTTCAATGAAGAAAAGTGATGAGGGGTTAAAGCGAAAAAAGTTTCAGCACAGCATGTATGACAATGGCTAAGTCTGAAACCACAAGCTATCATACTGTTTATACTCAGTATGGCGTCACACTAAGTATGAACGTACATATACTGGATTAGTCTGCATGCAAATATTTTGTCTCAAAATCAGTAAACCCCACTCATTAAATCCACCAGTTCAAAATAAACTACATACTAGTGCAGACAATAAGCGTACATTTAAATCACACAGACCATATGAAACTATGTGAAACAAAACCCAAATATGTAAAATCATTACTTTAGAATACACATAAAGTAAAACATTCCTTATTCGATGCAAACATAACAATTTTTTTAAAGTCTGATGGGAACATGAGACTTCCAAACTTTCAAGCAGCAAAATATCTTTTGCACAGCATCACTTTTTTAATAAAACGTCCTGCAAAAATGAACACAAATCAGCATGATAAGAACTAAAATAACAGAGTCAATGCCAAAAAAAAAATGTATGACATGGGTTATGACTTTATTTCATTAATCCCATTCAATTTATTAACATGGAGGAGGTGGATCTACATTGTAATCGGAAGCTCTGAATATTTTGGCTTCCAAGTTAGCTAACATTTGATTTACGATTTTAAAGTCCTACTCCAATTGTTTTTGTTTTTTTTACTACTTAAAGTGTTATCAGTGGTCTTTAAATTGTGATTATGAAGTTTGGCCAAAATCACATTACCTTTGTTTTCGAGAGCTTTTTTTCTGCAGAGCTCCAGTGGCTCATCAGCAATTCGCCTCTGAGTCATGGGCGGAGACAGCGCTGCTCTGCACACTCCTCTTCACACTAGCTTGTAGCCTAACATTGCCGGTGTAGTAGAAGTGGCAGGTAACATAGGAGCTATTCAGCTCTCAGACACCAATATCTTTGGGAATATGATGAAAGTTAATATCATAATTCCGCTAACGCTAACACTTGATCCGCAAGCGTCCACTGTATTTCTAAGGGTCTGGCCTGCATAGCAGGGCTCTGGGGACAGAGCTTGGATTTGCTATGTAGGAACCTGTGCTTGAACTTGCAGTTTGGGCCTGCCAGAGATTCATAGCGATTCGAATGCAGAAATACTCAGAAATGCAATTTCACACTTATTTTTCTCATATGTCCTGTAGCATCAGAAAAAAATGCCATATGAATATGTAAAAAAGAAGAAACATGTGATTTTCATTGGAGTGGGTCTTTAACAAACAGACTATGGATAGACCAGAATTGTTAAGTATGAGACACGCTCATTAGTCAGACTTCACTGCCTTAAATGCATCGTAGCTCTTCAAACCAGACAACAATGAACACAACCTGTCCAAATGGAAGAAAACATTTGCTAAAAATGTATCTGAATAACTATGTAGCTTTAATGTAGCCAATATCTCTGCTGTTGATGTCTAAGATAGATGGTAACATATTAGTCATTATAGCTTTTACCAGAAACATTACATTAATAACACCTCAGAGCAAGAAAAATGTGCTTTAGTAGTTGTCAGTAACATTAGAACTGCTGAGTTTGTAGGCAGTGTCAAATACACGCTATTTAAGTGTGTAGTGAGTTGTATGTTAGTGTGGATCTGGACACAGCTTAAGAAGAAGAAAAAGACAAAGAACTTAATCAATCTCCAGGGAAAAATTCAATATTTATGTTAGCATATTAAATTTAGAAAGATTAATGCTTACTTTGTTCGCAGTCTTACAACGGTAATACGCACTCCATCACTTTGTTAAGTGTCACACTGGTGGTCCTGATATTACAGGATCAAAAACAAAGGTACAGCAGACGTATTTGACCTCAAATTAGCATTACAACAAAGCCATAAATGTCCTTACCCAATAACACAGCAGATGCTATGGTAGATAATGACATATTTTGGGTAATAACAGTCAACCTGTTGCTTAAAAGTTGCATGGATTCTTTAGGAATACACACCCAATTTAGAGGCAAACAGATGAATGTTATTTCACTCTGAATCAAATTGGTGGACTGACCTCAATGACAGAGATCATTATTTTAATTTACTGCCATTATGAGACTGATAACAGGATGAAATCTGGAGGAAACAATGAAGCCTCAAAGATAAATGTTTTGGTTGAGTCAAACAACTAATAAAATGGATTTTTGAATTTCATGAGAAAAACAGAACAAAGTAAATAGTTTGATGTGTAAATTTCTTGATCATGAAGGACGTACTTTGTTTCTGAGTCTTTTGTGACATTTAGTTAAAACCCAACTCTTTAATTTAGGAGTTTTATAAAAGGTTATAAAAAACAGACTCACATTTGGAATGATGCCTATATCTGACCTGCAAAAGCAACATGACTGACAATCCATATATCACCATTTTGAACAGCGGTAACTATTGTTAGGGGAGTGGCTGTGGTGCCAGATGATTGACAAAAAAGGATTTTGAGTTTCTTCTTTACACAGATGTAGTCAGTGATAATTTAACTGTTACAAAAAAGCAGGGTGTGCTTTTTTTGGGGGGAAAACATTATTTAAACTAGCCTTGAACAAGATTAGCAACAAGATAAGAGGCACAGCTTTGTCCACAGGGGGCGCTATAATCACCACAAACAATGAGTTCCTCACAGGAGCTTTGAATCACCCAGTAAGAAAAAGCACACGCCATTACTCCACCTTAAATTTAAAGAGCATAGAGGTGGATATGTGCACTTTGATTGCCTCCTGATTGAAGAAAATAGCTGATCAACAATATACACACTACTTCATGGAAACTGGCATACTGGAAAGAAACACATCTCTGAGGATGACACCTTCTTGTTTGAGTGTTTGTGTGTACAAACAGAGGAGTGTAGGATCCCGGTGGAGACTGGGTGCTAAGTGGATGTGATATTTTTCCCAGACTCCGCACAGCACTGGACTGTGGGTGGCAGAGCAGAGGGCTGGACTTCATAAACCTCAGGCTGAATCATATCCAAACAGTCCTCTTATTCATCAAACACAATACATTCAATATGGTACAGTGATTCTGCATCTGCACACTGCTGTGAAAGTGTGTTTGATCCACTGTTAACAAACAAAGGTAATGGATATAAAAGAGCCCACTCTCTAGAGTTGTTGCTGCTGTTGTTTCCCTACAAAATGCTGCGGCCACATTTACAGTAAAGCGGACCACGTTGCCAATCCAGGAAACTACAGGGGGGGAGTTTGTGGAGAAAGGTCTGTTTACCTTTGTGTAGAAAAAAACCCACACTCTGTGAGGTAAAATAAACTTTTTGGGTGTGTTTATGTATCAGAACTGTGCTCTCTTAAAGACGTTATTGTTCTTAAGATTTCATAAGAGACCCAGGGAATGAAAAACAAACATGTGCAGTATCCATGTTTGAAGCAGATGTATCTGTGAGTATTTAATTTGGCAAAGATGCATCAGGGAGGACTGTTAACACATCAGTGCTGTGATCCCACTCATGAAATGTACCACCTTTGTCAGCTTTGGTGATAATCTGACATAACCCCATATTTAACATTAATATGTAATTGTTTAAGTCTTAATTATGGTCCATAAAATTCTCAGACTACTGCAGATGAAAAAATAAGAATATTTTATTCTTTTCATGGTCAACATTGGTTACTGTCTTTTCTTGTGGAGTTTGTTTCCTCTAAAGAGTAACACATAAAGGTGTATAACCCTTGCTGTTGTAATATTAAAACAATATTAAAAAGACAAATAAATTTGATTGACAATAGCTGTGACACCGTCTACAGATTTAAAAAAAATGTTTCATTAACGCTTTAAGTAAAGGCGTGGACTTGGCCGCCCACCTCAAGGTTTAATAGTCATGAGTCTTTACAGCTTGAGCACTCAGTGACGAAGTTAGTACACACACAGGCTATTCTCAGTGGACTCAACTCAGTGAATCATCCATCCACGTTTTCTGTTTCCCTCTTCCTTCTGACTTATTGTCAGTTTATGGTTTCTTAAATAAGCATGTCCAAGCTTTTACAGTTTTAATTCGAAAAGCACAAATACTTTTGCCTTTCCAGACCCATCAGTCAGCTCACAGTCATTTTCTCTAGCATGTGGGTCTACATCTGCTGCCATACTCAACATTTTACCATTAATGTCATATATACTGGACCAAATACAATCCTTTATTTCAAATGACGTCACTGAAACACTACCTCAGCATATTCCCAAACAACCAAGATGGCAGCTTCTGCTACTGGAGGATGAGTTGAATCTGCTGTGGCATCCATTTTTATCAATTGGGATGATATATTTTTACTAAACCAAGAATCTAAGGAAGCCCCATTACAGCCCATAAAATACCTGAGTAAATGTGTTTACAGCCTGGTTTAACGAAGTTACATTTCAGTAACTTTTCGTTTGTTGAGAGTTACGCATAAGAAGTTTAATCTTTTGAGATTTGGCAGAATTGACCAGCTTTGTGTGTTGTAGCCCTCAGCAGGACTACATGCTCAGCTCCATCTTCTAGCAGATTTCCAGATTGGATATAAGTTCGTTGAAGTCTTCATTTTGCTGATATTAGGCTTCTCAACGCCTTGACTGAAACCAATCAGGATAGTCACCGACACTCCGTCCATGGTTGATACATGTTGTCACCCACTCTGTCTCTTCTTCCTTGATATGATCAGTTCTCTGTCTCAATGTTCACTTCATTCTCCTCCTGATATCACCTGCCAATTGCTCAGTTTGTGTATTTGTGCACGAATACTTCAGTAATCCTCTGCATTCCTCTCATCTGAAACTATCAAAGCTGCTGGGCTGCTCTTATCCTCCCTGCTGCTCTGAGCAGTCAGTTGAAATGGTAGTAATCTCTTCCTTCCTTTAGCTGCAAAGAGTTGAGGTTTTCTTCCAGAACGCCTCCTGTCATGTCCTACGGAAGAAAAACAAAAACAGAGAATGGGAGGAAAATTTTACACAAAAAGAATGCAGCAAAGATCATTTGCTCTTAAACTCTTCGATTGCTGTGTATTTTTTAGGAAGTTTTGTCATGTTTAAGTAAACCAGAGTAAAGTAAAGGTTTATAAGACAGGTCAAAGACATCAGGACTCAGCAGCAGAACTTCTGCATTAACTGTAAAAAAGTTCAAGATTAAAAGTTGCCATTTTTTGATGTATGGATATAGAAAAAAGCTTATGTGATGGAATCAAGGTGTTTGTGTGTGTTAGTGTGTGAGTCAAAAAGAACAAGAGAGAAAGAGGGTGAGTGAGTCCAGGTCTGCTTGTCCTCTGACTGTGATTACTTCTTCCAATTTCTGTAATTGAGCAATTAGCAGGACCCATAGGTGGGGTCACTTTAGATCTGATGTCTGAGTCTGGTGAGGTGGTAGATGGGCAATGAGTGAATTAGCAGCCAGAATCACCAAATATGTGTGTGTTTGTGTTGGTGTATGCATGTTTAGTTGTCCATGAATGCATAAAAACTACACTTGGTAATCTAAGGGGATGGCAGAGCAGTAGGTTTGAAAACTTCAATAAAAAATGTACAAAACAGAAAGGTAGCAAAAACATCTGACGTTTGTACAAACATCATGTGATCAAAGATCAGGCTGCTGTCTCGACCCATTTCCTGATGACCCTCTGTGTATGTGCCAGAGTGTACGTGTGTGTGTTACGTCCTGTGCCAGGCACACGCCCTGTGTCATTATGTTGTTAACTTAGATTACAGACCTGAGGGACAGGCGGTCAGAAACAGCAAACATACAACACACAAACACGCGTTTAGCTCACCAGTTTCACACAGATAATGAAAGGGGCGGAGGCGTCTCTATAGTGTAGGATTGGGATTTTCGACTTAGGTCTTTGCTGGGGAGACATGAACAAAAAGGGAAACACATGAATCACATTTCATTACTGGAAGCTTGAACAAATATAATGTCTAGTAAAATGGTTAATCTTACCTTGGACTCCTCGTAGGTATAATAACCTTTCTGAATCTTGTTCTCATCTACGTCACAGAAAGCCTTCACCTGATGCATAAATCAAAATGGCACTAAGAAACAGGAACAACGTCTTTTAAACTCCTAAATGCTCCAGAAAACCTACTTTCTTCTGGTTGATCGGGTTCAGGCATCGGTACAGTTTCCGGCCCTGTTTCCCAGCATTCCATATGGTGAAGCTCTCCCATTGGCTGAGAACTCTCTCTTGCAGGAAGTCTACTCGCAGCCTCCAAATGGTCTCCCTGGAAACCAAGACAGTAAGGAGAGGATCAGAGGGTGGATTCAAACTTTTGAAATATACGAGTAGAAAATGAGAGCAGCTGCCTGCAGGCCTGAAATAGATGCATTTATCTGACGTGGTTTATAATACTTACTCCTTTCTGCCTGTACACTGTATGACATGCTGAAAATGTTAGTCCTATTTTGCTTTTTGTGGGTCCAAGTTTGGTTTAAAGTAAGTCAGGAGCGTAATGCACGGGACTATGAAAGAAACCTGCTGCACATTTAAATACAACATATAAACCAACAGATAACCTGCAAATCCACAAATTTCTCACAGTGGTGGATTAAAATATAATCATTTTTGCTTCTTTTTGGCTGCTGTCTCTTTAAGGTCCCCCCTCCACAAGCCTACTTTCGATGTTTTGGTCCTGCTCAGTTGAGCAGTTGAGCAGCGTTGCCCTCATATACACTGAACAAAAATATAAATGCAACACTTTTGTTTTTTCTCCCATTTTTCATGAGCTGAACTCGAGATCGAAGACTTTAACTATGTACAAAAAAAGACCTCTTTCTCTCAAATATTGTTTACAAATGTGTCTAAGGCTATGTTCACACTGCAGGTCAATTCGGATCTTTTAACCATATGTGACACAATCTGATTTTTTCATGTAAGTGTGAACAGTGCAATTCAGATTTTTTCAGATTCAAATCCGACCCAGGCCTCTTTTGTTTGTGGATATAAATCTGATATGTATCCGATGTGACTGCAGTGTGGACGCTCAGGTTGCGTTCATCCGACCTATACGTCATCAATATGCAACAAACATCACCATTGTTCGACAACACAAACAGGCGCAGAAAGCAATGGCGGACAAGGGAACGGAGAACAGCGTCACGTCCTGCTTTGTGCGTATGCAAGTCACTACATGGACGCGTTCGTACACATTAGATGCCGCATTCATTGTTGTAATGTGAACGACCGCACAAAGAGATTTAACAAAAAATCTGAATTGTGGATCATAACCTGCAGTGTGAACGTAGCCTAAATCTGTGTTAGTAAACACTCCTCATTTGCTGAGATAATCTGTCCACCTCACAGGTGTGGCATATCAAGATGCTAATTTTTACAGTTTTACTGTATTGGGGGTATCTGGGGGGTTTAGAAAACCAGTCAGAATCTGGTGGGACCACCATATGCCTCACACAGTGCAACACATGTTGTTGATGGTGGCCTGTGGAGTGATGGTCCACTCCTCTTCAATGGTTTTGTGAAGTTGCTGGATATTGGCAGGACTGGAACAGGCTGTCTTATACACTGAACCAGAACATCCTAAACATGCTCAATGGGTGACATGTCCGATGAGTATGCTGGCCATGCAAGATCTGGGATGTTTTCAGCTTCAAGGAATTGTGTACAGATCCTCGCAACATGGGGCCGTGTATTATCATGATGGTTAGGGATGAATGGCACAACAATGGGACCCAGGATCTTGTCACGGTATCTCTATGCATTCAAAATGCCATCAATAAAATGCAACTGTGTTCGTTGTCCATAACATACACCTGCCCATACCATGACCCCACTGTCACCATGAGCCACTTGATTCATAACACTGACATCTCCCACACGATGCCAAACATGCTTTCTGCCATCTGCCCTGTACAGTGAAAACCGAGATTCATCCATGAAGGGAACACCTCTCCACAGTGCCAGATGCCATCGAATGTGAGCATTTGCCCACTGAAGTCGCTAATGATGACGAACTGCAGTCAGGTCAAGACCCCGATGAGGACGACGAACATGCAGTTTCAGACAGTTTGTACAGAAATTGTGTGATTATGCAAACCAATTGTTGCAGCAGCTATCTGGGTGGCTGGTCTCAGACGATCTTGGAGGTGAAGATGCTGGATGTGGAGGTCCTGGGCAGGTGTGGTTACACATAGTCTGCAGTTGTGAGGCTGGTTAGATGTACTGTCAAATTCTCTGAAACACCTTTGGAGACAGCTTATGGTGGAGAAATGTACATCCAATTCACGGGTAACAGCTCGGGTGGACAGTCCTGCAGTTAGCATGCCAATTGCACACTCCCTCAAAAATGTGACATCTGTGGCATTGTGCTGTATGATAAAACTGCTCCTTTTAGAGTGGCCTTTTATATGTGGCCAGTCTAAGGCACACCTGTGCAATAATCATGCTGTCTAATCAGCGTCTTGATATGCCACACCTGTGAGGTGGATGAATTATCTCAGCAAAGGAGAAGTGTTCACTAACACAGATTTAGAAAAATTTCTCAACAATATTTAAGAGATTTGTTGTGTTTATATTTTTGTTCAGTGTACATCATATGGGTGTGGACGTCACTTCATATGCTTTTGGAGTCAGACTGTTCCACTTTGTTGAAAACAGATGAACCAGTAAGAAGAGTCGATAATTCTCACGTAAGAATTTTCGTAAAGCTTAATAGGAAACTGATCCAGTAGCCAAGGGGTCCTGTCTCACCCCCCAGGGGTTTTCCTGTTAGAACAACCTGCTACCTATAAATTACCCCTGCTCTTTAGCTAAACTCTAGACATCTCTGAAGAGGTTGATATGAACTTAAGAAGCACTTCCTGACACAGATTTAAAATTGATTGATTTATTAATCTTAAATTGTCCCTCTTATTCCACAGTTTGTACTTCTTTTTGACTTAAGTATAATGAATCTATTGTGGGTCAATTTAATACTAAATTTACCATTTTCATTGAGGGGTAACTCAAAACATGAGGATTTTAATGTTAGTGTTTAAAACAATAAAAAAAAAATGGCCACAACAAATGGAAATGTTCTTCTGCATTGTAACTTATATGACATATTATTTACACTTAGTGCTTCAACATGGCCAAAACAACATTCCTCCTAATTATTCATTCATTTATTTCTGCATTTATCGATTCATTTATTTATTTACTTCTAATTATTAACTATAATTTTTGGTCCCCCATACTCCTAACTAAAAAAGTTTAACATATGCTCTGTGTTGTTTGCTGATTGAGGTGGTGAAGCAAACTTAGATATACGTTTTTCTTAGTCGGCCTGATTTAGTGTCTTGTTAAACTTGGAAACATCATATTTTTTATATTGTAGCATAAACTGAGATGTCCTGATTCATTTCAAGACAAACATATCGAGCTCATTATTTTTAACATATTTTCCAGATTGCAGTAGTTGTAAGAGTTAACACTACTGAACAAAATCAAAGATTATCATACAGATAACCAGGATAGAACTTGATAAATGACCGTTTTCTTGTGAGTGCTCACATCGAGGCTCTTTGGAAAAGGCTTTTTTCTCTTGATGTCTGCACTTTGACTGATACACACAGCTGTACACAGGCCTCACACACACATTGAGACACAACTTTACATTCAGATATATGTCTTTGCGCTCCACTCATGCTCTTAACCTTTCCCACAACCCCCCCCTCCACAAACACACACACACACACACACACACACACACACACACACACACACACACACACACACACACACACACACACACACACACACACACACACACACACACACACACACACACACATACTCATGTCCTAGTCTTGAGTAATTGTACAGACATGTTCACAGTGGGTTCTCCACCGTTGCCTTTTGATGTGAGTGTCTCACTGGGTCTAACATCGGGCCTCATATGACAAACAAACCCAAACCCACCACCATGGTGGAACGCGGGTGGTCTCTGCAGATCCTCGATTCAGGCTTTGACTGTAAGACATGGCAGAAACTCGGCAGAGACTTACTATAAACTGTATCTGTATACACACACTGAAGCTGTTATCCGTCTAATACCACACAGATCAAAAAGGCAAACACACGTTCCACACTCTGGTATACATTCTCACATACACATGAATTGAGCAAACACGTAACTTCAAAGTTCAGTTTTTCTGGGGTAACAAACCCTCACCTTGTTTATGTTTTACATCATCTTTACTTTCTGAAATACAAGCCTCTCACATCTCTAACACACTTTTTACATTTACATTTGAAAGGCAGCAGGGAGACGATGGTTTTATTTGACCTAAAGAGGAAGTTGGTGTGTTGTGGGTGTGAAGGGATGACAACAGGAGGGGAAGAGCGGGAAGCAGCTTGAAATAGAGGTCTAAAAATAGACAGATGATAGACGAAGACAGAGAAGAGGATGATGGGTGAAGGAGTGCGTCAACATAGGGAGATATACGAGATGTGGACACACGTAGGGGGGAAGTGAGGAAGGAAGAAGAAGAGGAGGAGGAGTGGAAGGAGGGATGTATGAAACAGAGGAGAAGAAAGTGTTTGTGTGGGGGAAGGAAAGACCTTCTACTTTGGTGTCTTTCACATTTTTAGACACACACACCTGGAGACACTTCAAGGCCTTGTTGAAAACAAGCCACTGCATGAGTGTGAGATGTTTCAGATACTCAAAATACACACACAAACAAATACACATACATGTGTACCTTACCAACAGTGGACCATCAAGCTACACTGAGAAGTGTGGACATCTACTTCTTGTCATTTTTGAAAGAGAAAAAAAAAGGCAAACTATCTGAAGATTTAGACTCCAATACTGCTTTAAATATGTTTTCTTTTTTGTTTAGTTTGGAGAATTGAGTGATGTCTACCTGACTGAGAGGGGATCTCCATTCACTGCAGTGGAACTCTTTACTCACTCTGTGAGCACGGACACACACCATCTCAAACACAGTATGTCAGAGAGATACTGAATGTTCCACAGGGAAGAAAACAGGTTTAAATCCCTGATTCATATGCTGGGAAAGTATTTGGAATTCCAAAAACATACTCCAAGATTACAAAAACACGCCTGCGAGTGAGTGTGTGTTTGCATATTTATGTGCATGAGCCCTGAGAAAATCTGGGATGCCCATGGGCAGCTGTGAGTAGGTGGAGGATCAGCATAGCTTTTAAGTGTGTGTGTGTGTGCGTGTGTGTGTGTGTATGTGCGCGGGTAGGGTGCGTGTTGCCGCTTACTCTGTTACAGAGTGTGTGGCGGCCTTCTCATGGTAGCGGTACACCAGCAGGCACTCATCCACCCTGGCTACGCCCCCTCCTCGACGAATACTCTGGTAAAAGAAGAGTAGGTCCTCTGGGATTCCCTGCAGAGGAGGAAGTCGGGTGTTAAATAATTGTTGCAGATGTTGAGTATTTGCTGAAACTGAGGAGAGATGGGGCAGTACTTCATTTGGTTTTCACTCTAACAAGATCAAACTAGTTGCAAGGGTTATTCACTTGGAGGAGAACATGTTGAGCACATTATCACTTACAAAGGAAAACCTGAGGTTACAGAGAGCTCTGTGAAATCCACTCATCTGTTACTGGAGACGGTATTGTTTGATCCAGGTTTGAAGATGGACATATATGTGGACAAAAATGACTATTCAGCCCAGTCCTAATTAACGCCTGAGGTTAGGAACTGCAGGCTGCATAAGCTGCTCCTGCACAACATGACTGTATGTACAGTGGTGTGAAAAAGTGTTTGCCCCCTTCCTGATTTCTTATTTTTTTGCATGTTTGTCACACTTAAATGTTTCAGATCATCAAACGTAGATATTAGTCAAAGACAACACAAGTGAACACAAAATGCAGTTTTTAAATGAAGGTTGTTATTATTGTTATTGTTATTGTTATTGTTATTAAGGGAGAAAAAAAACCCCAAACCTACATGGCCCTGTGTGAAAAAGTGATTGCCCCCCCTATTAAAACACAACTTAAAGGTGGGGTAGGCAGGATCTGGGCAAGTGCCAGTTTTTGGGAGAAATCTTGAATGAAAACTCTACCCCTCTCAACCAGTTTTCCCCTCAGCTCCTCCTCTCCCCTCCGTCTCTGCTCCAGCAAGCCCCGCCCACAAACAGACGCTCCTGCTCGCTCATGTCGTTTCAATTAAATTCAGATATAATGCAGATAAATACTTCAGATAAATACAAATGGGGCCCAGTCAACGTGAAAGTAAAAAGCATTGCTGCTAATGTAGATGCCAACAGACTACCAGCAAACACGATGTTTGCAGGGCTTTCACCTCTAGGATAAAGTGACATACTCCAGGACCCGAGGTAAACAGTTTAGTGGCGCTACAACAGGCAGCAGGTCCCATTTGGCAAGAAACACTTCTGTTACAGACACTTGGCTTACTTTGTTAAAGCTGTTTACCTGTCCAACAGAAAGGTTACAGGGTCACCAAGATTCCGAAGCGTCCCCCACCGTTTATGCTTCATTGATGTTGACCCGGCTTTCACGCTCTTGTCCGGTCTACCACCTTTTTAAGCACCTGTTATTCCACCAGAGTCTCCGGTATTTACTTTGTTTTCTTGCTTGGGGAGGATTTAGACAATTTTTCGTACTTTCTGGTTGGTTTCTGCTGTCCATTTTGTAGCATACTAACTTTGTTGGGGCTCGAGAACTTTATTGGAGGACGTGGAACGTGCCTCACAACATGAGGGAGTAGCGTCTGCCTCACAACCAATCAGGTTGGGGGAGGCGGAGAATGGCTTTGTTTACGGTCAGAGAAAGCGGGCTGCTCAAAAATGTTAAAATGTTGACTACACAGACATAAGAGAATACAGCGATATTGTGATATTCCCAAATGTCATCAATAACTCATAGCTATTGACTGATATTAAAAGCTTTTTTGTATATACACCACAAAAAAGATGCTTCTTTAACGGAACCCCGCCTACTCCACCTTTAACTGTGTTTTATCACACCTGAGTTGAATTTCTCCCGCCACACCCAGGTCTGATTACTGCCACACCTGTTCTCAATCAAGAAATGACTTCATTAGGGCCTGCCTGACAAAGTGAAGTAGAACAAAAGATCCTCAAAAGCTCGACATCATGCCGAGATCTAAAGAAATTCAGGTACAAATGAGAAAGAAAGTAATTGAGATCCATCAGTCTGGTAAAAAGGTTATAAAGCCATTTCTAAAGCTTTGGGCTGTTAAGACTCAGCCTTCATCTATGTAACCATGGTCTGGGTGTCCATGTAGGAAGACAAAGCCAGAGGGAAAAAAACAGCAGACCTATTTCCACTTCAACTTCAATCCTACAATGAAATATGAGCTTTTACGTTACGCTTAAGTGGTTCTAAACATAGTGTTTTAATATAAAGTTGAATAAAGGAAGCAAGCTAAATCAATATAGAGTCATGTTTGGATTCATGTCATTTGGCGCCATCGATGTAAAGGGTTTATAGAAGAGAAACAGCGACATCACAAGAAGGCTTCTGAAACATTTTTACATGCAATCGCTCACCTTGCCTCCTTCGTTAAATGGTCCAACCTTCAGGAACCAGTCCCTTGAACAAAACCATGTTGGCATTATGACAGTAGGCCCATGAGATGTAAACACCTGAGACACAGGAGCAGATCAGATTACAACACAGGGTGTTTGGAGAAATTTAATACACCAATCGGATGTGCTGTAGCCCCATACAGCTTTTCACAATTACTAAAACACTAATTGTGATTCTTTCAGTCAAAGTGATGCTCTCATGATGCATCAGTTTGTGTGCTGGGTTTGGGAAGCCCCAAAGAGATTAAGGACCGCACCCTGACCAAAGGATATAAATTTAGAGCAGGCCTGCAAATTTTGCTGAGTAATTTTTATGCTCCAAAACATAAACTTGTTTTAAAAACTGTGTTACTTCATCTTCAGACATTTATTTCAAGCTCTAGGGAGGAGTTTTTAACTAGTTATAAAACAGACTGATATTGCTGACATAGTGATGCCTCTTTATGACCTAAAACATCAAACAAAAAAGAATATTTCACAGTGAAAAGACTTCAACTTTCCTCATGGGAGCTTTAACTTAAAGCATAAATGTTCTCTTATGTTTAATGTACTGTGAACCTAGAGGGAGTCTGAATTTCAGTCTCAACAATCAAATCCAGCAAGAAGTGCAAAGCTTTTTCCCATTTATCAGTGAGTTTACCTGTCAGACAAACATGCACATACACTGTGCATAAAAAAGACACATTCCCTGGTAACATAACACTCATATCAGATAAAACCTGTGCAGGATTTGGCATCTGGCTCTGGAAGTTTCCCACTTGGCTTTGGGGAAAAAATTGAGTCTGCAAAAGTTAACTTCTAATCTGTAAAACAAAACAGGTTAGAGTGCAGCCACATGTGCTCTCGTGCAGCAGGAGTGTGTGCTTCCTGAAGTGTGCAGAGGAAGGATACACACTTCCAGCTCCTTTGACTTGATCTTTGACTAATGAACTTGTTTGGACCTCTTCTTCTTCTTGTTCTGACCACAAAGTCTTTAAGATAATTTCCTTTCTTCCTGGACTTGTACCTATCCCTCCCTCCAGACCCCCACCCTCCTCCTTCCTCTCTTTTTTTCTTTTTGTTTGTGTTTTGTTGTTAAACCAGCAGGGTCATTTCAGGTTAATTCATTGCTTTGTCCAACTGCGTCACTTTGTTTCATTCGCTGTGTGTTGCCGTGTGTGTGTGTATGTGACCACTCTCAGCTGGAGTAGAATACTACTGTATTTAACTCAAATGAATCACAGATGAAAACTGTGAAAAACATCTGGATTCAGCCAATTGAACAGCTGGACAAAATCTAGCAGATTTGTGTGTGTGTATGTGTGAAAGCTGTGCGTGTTTGCGTGTCCACCTACGTACAGCTTCTCTCCTTTCTGTTGTAATATTGCAACAGATGTAAGCTGTGGCCAAAAGCATGAATAAGAGGAATTAAAATGAGTTCTGGGAAACCAGGGGACAGAGATGGGGTAGGGAAGGTTTAGATTCACCATATCTAATGGCCAACAGATGAACACCCAGGGAAGCGCTCTGGATCAAGTTAGACCAGCACAACACTGGGTAAATCCCCAAGTTAACCCAGTTAGTTTCTATTTCTTTGCCCCCAAACCTGAAAGTTACTTCGACAGACGAAGTAAAGAAAGAGAAGGAGCAGAGGAAGAGGCTGTTCTAAGCCTGCAGAATCAATGTATGATCTCATTCTCATGCTCCATGAAACTTAATATCACATGAATATCCTGGAATGTCTGCTAAGGAGTTATGCAGACCGTGTGTGTGAAGTGTGTGTGTGTGTGTATCTGTGGTGTGTGTGTTACAAAGAGACTGGATCAGGGCTGACTTGTTGCCTTGGTGACAGTGTGTTTTGTTCAGACGACAACAGTAGACTTCCATCTGTACATAAATAGAACTGAAACAAGTGGTTTTATTATTCTGTGACTGGCTCTGTTGTCATTTACTGATTAATGTAACACTGAAGTAGGTATGATCAGGGTAGACATATGAGTTGTAAATGTGGTATGCAAATATTCCCAAACAGTTTGTTTAAGATTTTTTCCTTTCTGTGTCAAACGTCAGGTCGAAGGTGTCAGATTTGTGCTGACGTAGCTGTGCCATGACCAAGCTGCAGCAGCTGGTGTGGGAAAAAGGAGACTGATGCATGATAACATAAACCTGCAATTATACCGGTGTCCACTTGAGGCTAGCTGCAAAAGCCAAGAAATCCCCATCAGGTCCTACGTCATAAAAATGCCTGTTTGGTTCTAAATAATGGTTTTGGTTTGAGCGGCTCTTCTGTTAATTCATCCACTGTATGTTATAAATTATTTTATAAAGCAACCATAAAGATAGAATAAATGAGTGCAGGAACTCCCCTTATTCACTTGCTGATTTATGTACCACGCCAATATCTGTAAATTATAATAAAAATCTAAATTTCCATAGTAAATAAAATGTACCAGAAGATAAGGCTGATTTCCACAACAAACATCCGTTGAAAAACTACTTTAGTTTACACACAAACCAAGAACGTCTGTGTCTCTTCATTGTAATGCTCCTGTTTGTTGGTTCTGTTGGAGCCTCATCATCATTGATGTTGTCCTTTGTTTTTCTCACATTTTCTGCTTTTATCAGATACTGTACAGGCTTCAGAATTTTAACCTTAATTTCGGAGCTGTGTTTGGGCTCTTTGCTAAAGAAACCGGGCAAAGCTAAAAAGATGTTTGATGGCTGGTGCTATGACTGGGACCCTATATGTACTGTTGATGAAGTTCTGTGCTGTTCTGAGCATTATTTGTGGCAATAGAGTGGCTTTTTGGTTGAGGTTTGCATGTTGAGCCATAAACCTCTGTGTTGCTATTGCTATTGTGTGATCGTTACTTAAGTTGGTATAACTTGAGAAGCAAGCAGTCGACAACATTCATCTCTTGAGGGGGTGTCTAACTCGGTGTTACGGTGTGTTTGACCATAACTTAATTTTACACCGGAATATCCCTTTACATATTGTCATCTGACCAAAAATCTCAACCTGCTTACTTTGACAGTCAAAAGTATTGTTTACTGTAAATGTTCTATGTGGACATTTTAATAGAGGGCTGTTTCTTTGGCTGCTTGGCTGACACCTTCACCCTCACACCAGTTTGAGGCACCAAAACTCAGGAAAAAGTGTTAGTCAACCTTAGTTCTTATGTTTTTTTTTAATATATATATCATAAAAAAGCATAATTTTATAAACATCTAAAAAACTCCTCACAAGAGCTTTAAGAGATAATCATTGGGATGAGCTGCTCCTTTTACAGCAGGTCACAGAGAACAGGATAACATGTCGCTGTAATAAAGAACATGGAAACAGCAAAAGAAATGATTAGATTGCTTCGGGGCCCTTGAGGAGTTTGTGTTAACACAATGACAGAATTCAGTGGATCAGGGCCAGAGTTGATTATAAATAACACCTGTACTTATCTTACTGAGACATGTCAAGTTGACTACTGTTCAACACTGAGCCACAGCGATGCTAAACTGTTTCCTCCTTGCCCTCCGTAGTATTGGTCTGTTGTGTTTCTTTTAAAGTTGAAGACAATGTGATTCATTCACAGTTTTTGCAAAGCCTTTATATCACACTGGTGGATTTGTTTGAAAACACTAGACTGTTGTGTAAGTGACAGTCATGTCTGGTGATTTTTACACAGCGATACAGGAGAATAAACACTGTGTTTTTAGAAAGGTATGAACTAGAACTAGAGGAAAACAGCGGCGTGTGCACGGCAAGCTCAGTGTAGTTTTTTCTCTCTGTAATGAACTTTCCATCGCCGACAGTTTCCCCTGTAAACTCTGCTCAGCAGACAGCTGGCAGTGTGAGCTGTTTCCTCTGCTGGGACTGACATGAACGCAGAGGTCGCAGTGATGCTGCGCCCTCTGTGCAGTCCACTGCCACATTTCCGTGGAAACTGCAGACGGCAGGTACATATCCTGTTTCTGTCTGCCCTGCCTGCTGCCTGGCACATGACCTCTAACACTGAAACACACACAGTCTGAGTACAGAAAACACAGCAGTGTGTACATACCTGTGTGATGAGCTGCTCCTGAGTGATTGTGTTGATCCAGCGAGTGTATCGCTCTGTAGACCCCTCGGGTATCCTCTGAACTTTACAGCCTATCAGCTATCACAAAAAAATACAGAAACAAAGGCAGAATGAAAACCCCCTCTTGTTTTGGTCTAGCATTGTCTTTTGTAGAGTTTTGTGTATTCTGAGGTTGGAGTTGACTGCAAAGACCAGATAACAGATAACCTGAAAACAGCAGTGTCTCTATAACCAAGCTTTTGATTCAGGCTTAAATCTGAAAGGGATATTTCGGTGTAAAATTAATTTAGGATCAAACACACCGTAACACCGAGATAGACCCCCCCACCCAAGAGATAAATGTTGCAGACTGCTTGCTTCTCTAGTAATACCAACTTTAGTAATGACCACAGATAGCAATACACAGCAATCTACGTTTCTATGTGCAAACCTCAACCAAAAAGCCACTCTATAGCCACAAATAATGCTCAGAACAGCACCTAACTTCATCAACAGTACATATAGGGTCCCAGTCATAGTACTAACCACCAAACATCTTTTTAGCTTTGCCTGATTTCTTTAGCAAAGAGACAAAACACAACTCACCTACTCTCTTCTAGCAGCTGCTTGTTTGTAGCAAGACCTCAGGACAGTCCATTATGGACTGCTGTGGGTGACACAGCTCAAGGAAGAACATTTATGATAATTTCTTTATAATTTCCTTGAAGTAATAATCACCATATTGATAATTTTGCACTGCAGATGTGGTAGTTCTTCTGGTTAAGCGTCTCGGTCTAATTGCATTTCCATGAAGAAATGATCATAAATGTTCTTCCTTAAGCTGCGTCACCCCGCTGTAGTCTGTAATGGACTGCCCTGAGGACTCGCTATAAACAAGCGGCTGCTGGAAGAGAGTGGGTGAGCTGTGTTTGATCTCTTTGCTAAAGAAATCAAGCAAAGCTAAGAAGATGTTTGACGGCTAGTACTATGGCTGGGACGCTATATGTACTGTTGATGAAGTTAGCATTGTTGATGAGCATTACTTGTGGCTATAGAGTGGCTTTTTGGTTAAAGTTTGTTTATGGCTTCGCAGACCCGCTGTGTATTGCTATCCTGCGGTCGTTACTAAAGTTGGTATAACTGGAGACACAAGGGCAACATTCATCTCTCGAGGGGGTGTCTAACTCAGTGTTATGGTGTGTTTGACCCTAAACTAATTTTACGCCGGAATATCTCTTTATAGCTCATGTGAGGAAATTTCGGTAGTGTTGATTTGGGTGCCTCCTGTAGACAGAGTGTGCACCATATCTTTTTACACACAGAGTTTTTGATACAGCTAAGACTGTGACTGCAGTGTGCTGTGAATACCTGATCTGAAACTAATCCTGCAACAGAGCAGACAACCATTAATATTGACTGGAAAAAAGCATTTTTTTGATTGTTGAGCAGTAGCATTTAGTGCATTTTTTTGGGTGTCAGCATGAAAACATTGCAGTTTTTAGATTTTATCTTGGTCATGTCAACTTTTAGACTTTATGGATGTCTAATTTCGTCACAGTTTCTGTGAAAAGCAGTTAATTCTAAAAATCTTAAATGCAACATATGACCTTTTCTTCACCTATTTGTTTCTTTGGAAAAATTCCTGATTGCCTCTGTGGAAGTGATGCAGATCTTTTGAAGCTATTTATGTTTGCAAGTAATTACCAAGTGCTGGTTTCAAAAGAATCCATCAACTGTGAAACGTCTTGTAAACATTATGAACTCTATTTGCATAATGGGGAAAATGACTTTGACATTGTGTATTCAAAAGGTAAAAGGGGGGATATACTGGGAAAAAAATGGGATTGCCACAAATGAAAAGAAACTCAGTTGTTTTTAAAATTGTTGGACTGCCCTGTTGTGCTGTACCTGTGTACAGGTACTCATTATATCTACTCTTGTCCTCACCTGTTCTTTATTCACATATTTGAAAAATTATAAAATAAAACTATTTAAAAAAAAAAATTGTTCTATGAAGGGTCAGCAGAATAAACAATGATGAAATAACCATTTGGTTTGAGTGCCAGTTTTAAATAAAAATGAATTTCCAATACATGGGTCAAAAATGAATCATCACATCTTTTACTGGCCGAAGAGAAAGGGGTTAATGGTAAGCAAAGAGCCCCTTCACTCAGAGCTATAGTATATCTGAACCATAACAGAGAGAGGCAGGCTGTTTGTGAATGGCAGCAAGCCTGCTGTCTCCATGCTGTCTCCCTCACTTCCCTCACACACATAACCTTTGACCTCTGACCTGGCAGGCCACAGAAAGCATCAACACCGGATACTTGCACTGTTTTGCGTGCCAACTGCAGGGAAGCACACACACCCACAAGCAAAACCCCACACGCCAGCTCACAAAAACAACACAAGTATTTTTGATCGTGAGAGGGGAGTCGGCCTGATGATCGGGGTGGGGTGGGAGGGCTACAGAAGGGAGAAGTGGTGAAGGGTAACAGTGAGGGAAGGAAGTGAGTAAGCGCATACTTGAAGGGAACTTACAGAGTTTGGGTGGAGGAGAGAGATCTCATGCTGCAGACGGACTCTTTGGGGCAACATAACATCATCCTGGAGCACAAAAAACATTTTTTTTTTAAATTTACAACATCCAACTAACAGTGGGTATTAAGTTTCATAAGATCACAGATGAATGTGTTCCTTTCAGGTTAATAATTAAAAAAAAAACTTTACAACCTTAAAGATTGTACTTGTGTGCCGTGCCCTCATTTTTTCTTTTATTTTGAAAAACTTTCAACTAACTTTGCATAAAAATGATCTTCCTCAAATGCTATTTAAAACAAACTTGTTAACAGAAGTTTGTTCAAAAAGATTTAATTTTTTTATTGGAGGTCAGTCCCATTTTTTAAAAGTGTAATCTAAATAATGTGAACTCAACAAGTAGATTTGTTTCATACCTGGAAGTGGCTAACTTAAATCTGTGTATCAACACATTTGTACGTTTAGGTGTTTATCTAGCTTGATAAAAGTAAGCTAAATAGATACCTAATAACCTAGCATAATAATTCAAAGATGACTATAAGAGAAACAGCAGCTGCACAAACTGGGTATAACAGAAATGAAGCACAATTCCCAACCAAAGTATTAATAATATCTCTGACATAAAAGTACAAACTAATAAATTCAGTGATGAGAGAGCAAGAGTTGTGATATCATCAAAATTTCACCAAACATGGTGAAAAACATTATCTTGCTGGACTGTATGAGACAAAAGACAGCTGAAAAGAAAGGAAAAAAGTACAACTACAGTAACATTATAGAAATACACATTTTTTTTACTTTATGGGCTTGTTTGATTTTGCAAGTTAAAAAGAAGTATCAGGGCTAATTTCATTCGGTCACAGCCTGCCTTCAGTTTCCTCCCTGACTCTTAGATTTCTTGGAAAACAGCACTGGGATATGAACAGTTTTGAGAAGTAAGGAGAGAAACAAACACGAGAACACAGAAGGAAGTTAAGCGTTTTCTAAAAAAGCAATCTCAATGTCATCAAGTCCTCTTCTGTTGAAAACAGCGTGTTAGCAGAAAAGATCCTCTGACACACGATACACACTGTTTAAAGGTCAACACTCAAGACATAAAAAGACATCACACATTCAGGAAAAACAGCATGTCCCCTTGTTTGAAAGGCTAAGCTGCCACTTCTGTGAACACACACACACACACACACACACACACACACACAAGGCATGTACATCAAACACTGCTCTGAACTCATTAGTCATGTGTCCTGACAGATCTGTCCAACAGTTACCCAGCAGCTGACTCTGTGTGTGTGTGGGTGTCCATATACAGCCTGTACCCTCAGACAAAGCAGAATGATTTCATTTGCATTGACTCACTACAGTACGAGTTTTGAAAAACTCAAAGAAATGAGAACACACACTCACCGCATCCTGAAAGCACAAGAATCGTCCGCAGCTCTGTGATATTGCCTTATTCTTTGCATATCCCACTGAAAGACAGAGAGTGGAGGATGTTTATGTGTGAATGGCTTTTTGTGTATGTGGTCTCACTTTTGCTTACGATCTCGCCCACTGACTATTTCCATTTGCCCAAGAGTTTGCTATTCTGCCGTTAGACATTGAAAATACATGAATTTTTAAGATGGCAACAAAAATCGCAGCAGATTAAGACATGCAAGTCCCTTGAATGTGAAAGAAAAACTGTGATATTGATGCAAGAAAAAATGAGATGTTATAATAGACACAGAGAATCATGACATTTGTGACTGTACAAAACACGACTTTACGCTTGCTGATCTTAAGATTAACATCTGGTTTTCTCTGACGTTCAGCTGATGGCGGTGTGTGACTAGCCAGTCTTTTCTGAAAATAACTAATAACAATGCTTTATTTACACTGTGCTTGTTTGAAATAAAGCATAAAAATAACCCTGATCCAGAATTTTCAAGGTTAAAAGAGACATGAATTTAAAGCATTTCAACATAAAAATTCAACTGCTCCTGTGGCCAACCTCTGGGGCAACCAGATATCACTAGTGGTTAAGAACAAAAGACAGTTTCCGTTTTTTTTTTTTTAACCTTTGACCCCATCCAGCGCTACATAAAGCCATACAACTCTGAGAACTCGAATTAAGAGCACCATTTTTTTTGCAGTCTTAAAAGTAATAATGTATATTATGAAGTGAGGAGAATGATTCCAATTTTAAAGTCATTGTCTAAAGGGGAACTGGAAAACAGTTTGTTTGTTTTACTTTGAGCAATTAAGTAAGGCATGTTAGTTATTATTCAGCAAGCCACAAAGCATCCAAAATCCAGGGTGGCCTTGTGGGCCAGAATTGTCCATATTAGGTAGGTAAAAGATGTCAGAAAGGAGCTCAAAAAAACATTAACATCAATTACTCATTAGTTTTACTGTATGTGGGGTCTAAAGCAGAGCAAACTGTTAGTATGCATCATGTTTGCTTCAGGCTTGTAGAGGGTTCAGCCTTTGGCGCAGATAGAGGGGGAGCGGATGTGTTAGCAGATGCAGGAGGAGGAGATTTTGCCAGGGGACCCAGGTCTATCATCAGAGATTCTTCCAGTTCAACACAGAGATACAGTTGTTTGCAGACTGGCAAAAAGAGATGAAGAAAGATCAGACATAGCCAGAAACCAAAATATATAGTGGGGAAGCCATATAGATCTTGCTGGGGTAATATTAAATCTACTCTTTGATTGCTTATACATGATTTTGAGATTGTATATCAAAGTTATTGTTACTTGAAGCTTGAATTGGTTTGTTTGCATAAAAGAGGTATGCTTTAATATTTGTGCTGGGCTGGCTTAGGCTGTGCAAATGGGAAATATTTTTTATGGGGCCCTGAATTGTTAGCAATGGCCCTGATTGAGATAACACCTGCTGCTTATTATCATCACATCAAAATGTGAGGGCTCTGAGCTAACAGTGTTGATATCTCACAAAAAGATATATCTCATTACTCACAACTGATGAAAGTGTGACAAAAAGCCAGTAACTGCACCATGACTTTTTTGTGAGGAATAAACACGATGTTCAAGTTGCAAGAAAAGGTTTTTGTTTGTGTATTCATTAACATTGCCTTTTGGCTTATATACATATCTTGTTGAGGCCAAAGTTTTATAAGAGTTGCTGATCGGAAACCTAAAGGTCTACTCACCTCCTCTAGGTTGAGCAGAGTTGTGACCTGAGATCACAAATGAGATTCCCCTCTCCTCCAGCCTCTCCCTCCAACCCTCCACCACTTTCCTGGAGTCATCCTACAAGACACAGAGAGGAAATCTGAGTGTAAATGAAATCTGAGGATTTATGCTTGACAAGTAGTGGAAAGCATACATAAATTGAGCAAACAAACAAACAACCAAAACTTACAGTACTTGCATCATCAAAGATAGACAGCTCCATGGTACCAGTGAAGTCTTGGTTAGTGACGGCCTGCAGACATTCATCCAACCAACAGGATGCATTGTACACCGGTATAACGATACTCTGAGGACACAAAACACAAACAAAGAGATCTTACTGCTGGACTTACAGATTTCTGATAACACTGAAATACAGGTCATCAAATTTTCAACAATAAGGAAGAGTGGGGTAAATTGAGCCAAAGGGTAAGTTGAGCCAGCCCCTGTTGCTTGGAAATGGTAAAAGAAATTGATCATGTGACCAAATATTTAGGAGATGGACATCAATTCATAGAGTCTGTGAAGGTCAGAAGCACATACGTGAAGGGGTTAGACATTTATTTCCAAAAAACATTTTTCACTCTTGAAAGTGAATTTAGTCCGTCAAAAGTTTTATTAGAATTGTGTTCAGACCAAAAAAGGTCATTTTACATTTGTTTTATACATCAAATGTTGTATCTATGAGCTACAACATGAGGTAAAAAACCTGGCATAAAAGTCCACCATTTCAGCTTAGAGGACTAATAAAGTCATAATAGTAGTTCTGGGGTAAGTTGAGTCAGTGGCTTAAATGGGAAAGTAAAGGAGTCTGATGAGAGGATCAGAGTTTCAGTTCAGATTGTTGAAATGTGTTACTTGTTCTTTTCAAAAATAAAGCTGTGAATGTTCTGAATCACTTAAAGCAGGGGTGTCAAACTCAACCACAGCAAGAGCAATAATCTGGATTTAGGTCTAATCTGAGGGCCAAACAAGGTCAACATTTCCCCAAAACTGTCAAACTCCTTTTCAAAAAATATGTAACAAAAACAGCAATGATTACAAATCCTTTGGAAATTCAAAAAAGATAAAAAAAAGATACATTTAAAGGCAATCTAAGATAGATTTTTTTTAATTTTTTTATTCTATTTTAATCTATGAGTTCAAAAGATCAGAGCATGATTTTAAAAATAGAAAAATAATGCTTTTAAATAGCAAATACATGAGAAGAATGTTGAAATCAGGATTAAAGTGTCAAAATGTGACTTAAAATTTAAAATTGGAATCTAAAGTATGAAAATGACACAAGTCATAATACTGAGTTGAACAAAATCAAAGCATGAAATAAAAAAATTCAATCATGTTTGGCTTGTAATCTTGAAATGCACAATTGAAAATATGAAATAGAACACCGAATATTTTTTCCCCCACATTCTTGACTATTTATCAAATCTTTCTTACTCTTTAATTTCCCAGATTTTGTGGTTTATTCAGGACATTTTAAATAATGGTGCCAAAGTTTGCATTATTATACTGGAGGAAATCTGCAGACTTCATACTGGTGGGCCAATAATTATACAAAAATGACATGATCTTGTGGGCCAGATACGATTGTTCCACGGGCCAGATTTGGCCCCCAGGCCTTGAGTTTGACACCTGTGACTTAAAAGCATTCTCATGTTAAAATGGCTTTTTACAAAACAGCTTTTCAACAGTTATATGCAATAATAATAAAAAGAATAAAAAACACACATGAACGTGAAGAAGTGACTGTTTTTTAGGGAGAAAGAAGGTGAGGGAGGGCTGGGGTGGAGAGTGGGGGGATAGGAGGGATACTGCTCAACTTACCCCGCTTCCGTGGTCAACTTACCCCATACACGGGGTAAGTTGATCATAGGAGACCACTTTTTTTTGGCATGCTATATTATCAAGACAGTTATGTTTACACTCATTCTGTTGGTTTGCAGGGATGCACAATATCTTGTAATATATGCAGATACACGAGTTAGAGACAAAACTATGATTGACTTGATGTAGTGATCCGAAATATAAAAGATGGCTCATCTTACCCCACTCTCCCCTATGCATATTTTGCCAAACACCCTCACGTTCTTATGTGCCTTAGCTCATTATGAAGGGTGAGAGTAGCTTTACTGAACTGAAACAGTCCCATTAAGAGAGTCCAAAGCATCTCGCTGCCTGTACATTCCCTTCAAGGGAAGCAAATCAATGGTAGCTTTGAATGAGTCTATCACCACCAACCACGTCCACAGCACTCCTCCCCTCTACCCGCCCTCCAGGTGGTGTTTCAGCTTCATCCTCTGTAGTCCGGAGCCGCTTCGGTGGGTTCATGTCTTCATCCAGACCATTTAATGTCAACTCTGAAAAGACAACAAGACCAAAGCAAACGCACGTGTAAATACAGACAGTAGCGAGCATTGAACCAATGCGGGCAACACGTGAATAAAAAGGTCAGTAAACAATATTTCTGCAACTATTCTCTTGTTAAAGTAAATCCAGGTTGATCATGAACACCTACTAACGTTAGATCTGGTCAGTTTAATGTGAGTGAAGAACCTCTTTTTTTTACCAAAGCCGTATGCTTGACTGGCAGCGTGGAGACTGCTTTACCACTTCCGCAAACAATACATGCAACACGCTCATTGGCCCGTGCGAAACACGGACAGACATAGGATTTGCTGAAGCTCACGTCAATCATTAGAAGAAGTGACGCCCTGCATACTGCGTCAACCAGCCTGCTTAGCGTGAACTGCAGATAAACGCACCAAATTCTCCTCTACTCTCAAAAGATAAAGTGAAAAAATAATAAAAAAATAAAGATGAACGGAAACGGGAACTCCTGTTATATTTTTTTTCTCTAGCTAAGGAGAAAATAAATAATATTGCCATCTCAGCTTGCATAGAATCAGAAAATCTTATTTAGACAATAAATGTTTCTAACGCAATTGTATATTCAAAAAATATCAATCAATCAATCACTCAATCAATCAATCAATCAATCAATCAATCAATCAATCTTTATTTAAATAGCATTTTTCATACACAGCATGTTGCACAAAGTGCTTTACACAGAAAAAGGAATCGACGTATATTTGATATTTGTATCATATTTTGCTAGTAAGGATTGGGGATTCTTGAATCCAAGTTGGATTTCATTGGCTTTATCATATAAAATTCTAATTAATACTACAAAAATTTACAGATCATAGATTAAAAAGCCAAGCTAAGTAGGAAAGAGCTATCTAGCAAAAAAGAGAGGACACTTTTATTAACCTTGATCACTGTATAATTACACCTATGTTCAATTTTAAGATATATAAATATACATCTTGCATCTCCTACTTGGCCCCACCTACATTTAAATCATTATTGTTGCCCATATTTGACCTTAGTTATCTTTGCACAACATCTGATGGAAAATATCTAGAGGTTACAGCCACGACAAAGAGGTGCAGCAGTTTCATGGCAATTATTTAGTCACAGCTGCTACTTTCAACACCAGCAATAAATTTGTGGAGTTTTTATGATAATCAATAAATAAATTCAGTAAAGTAGTCTTTACAACACAGGAGCAAAACCATTAAATGTCTGAAGCAAAATAGGGACACAAAGTTTTCACTGACTGAAACATTCTGCAAAACAATTAAAGAGATGAGTCATGCTACTATAGTTCATATGAAAAGGTTTTTTATTGCTTCAGTTGTGGTTAAAGAATAAGTTTTCATCTTTGACTCATTAAGAGGGACAGCTGCAGTTAGCGAACATCAATATACTTAAGTCACTTGTGTCAGTAAAGTAAAATAATTCAAAGTGAATTAATGAAAGATTAAGACAGTTTAGGATTTTATTAACCAGAAAAAAAATCTCTTTGTTGAAGACAGGGCTCATTTTCTGTTTTTCACTCAAGCCCTCAATCATTCTCATTGACAATAACTGTGCGAGGAACAAGATCAGATTTTTTCTGCCAGTGTTAACATTGGCAGCCAAACCGTGGAGTGCAGACAGAAAAACAGGATGGGCTGAAATATGTTTTGGGCCAACATTTTCATTTTCTCTCACAGAGAAAAGTAACAGTGAGAGATGCTGATGGTGTGTAGCAGGATAGTAGGTTAAGCTTCCGTACAGTGTGCTGTTTGTTGTTTTTTTTCTGTAAGCTCCCATATCTGACAGCCGTCCTTCATACTCAATGTGTAATAGAAACTACAGAAGCCACTGTTAAAAAAGAATAATGACTCATACTCGGCAGAGCCACACTCCAGAGGTATCGCTTTTGGATCATGTATCAAATCTTTTGGTTTCATGCTAGACTTTCTCTATTCATTTACTTTTTCATATTGTATGAAATGATTCATATTTGTTCTTTTTTGCAAGGGTGGAAATAAACTCATGAAAAAGTAAAAGCCTTTACAAAAGGCAAAATGCTACGAAATGTTTTCTTTTGTATTACTTATATTAGACAACATCAACATCAAGTGTCTCTCCTCTGGCTGAACTCCAGAGATATTTCATGGACATCTTGTTTCATCAAACAGACACACAATCCCAAGTTATCTACGCAGAATTTAAACAGGTTGCTGCACAAAAACTTCAAAGCAGATTATTTGTTATTTAGCTTCATCTTCATCAGAAGTTCATTTTTTTACAGAGTCCATCAACAAATCAGAAAACATCTCACAGCAGGGCAGGAACTACACCTCTAGGGACTGTGATGAACCAGAGCCAAGATCAGGAGCCATCCCCTCATGCATGAGCACAGAATAAAAGAGAGAATTTGGCCTGTTTATGGAGATGCAACAGTACACACACACACACACACGCACACACACACACACACACACACACACACACACACACACACACACACACACACACACACACACACACACACACAAACACCTGCTAAATAGAGAGAAGACTTCATGCTTTCTTACTCTTATGGAAACAGCAAACAAAAGCTTCAGTCAGATTTCTGCTGCGGTCTTTCAATAACTGTCCATTTTCTATGTGTCTGGAGTTTTGCAAAGAGAAAACCAGAAATGTTTTAAACACCTACTTAGATTGATGGTAGCAGAGAGTCATGTAAAGTGAACTCAAGGCTGATTAAGAACCCAGACGGCTGAAACACTGAGGCTCAGGTTGCCCTTCAGGTCCAAAGGGTCTCAGATATTATCGAGCTAAATAAAAAAAAAAAAAAAAACTCTATTCTCATAATCAATCAGTGCAATGTGTTTACCTCTCTTCCTCTGTTTAATCACCTCCACATGCTGGTGCTGTGTTTTGAGGTCAGCTAGACTGCAGCTGTTTAGATCTCTGATATCGGACTGCACTTGATTTTGTTTGGATAGAAATGCCAGACTTTAAAGAGAGGGGAATTGTGTCTGTAATTTTGAGCATAATTGGGTTTCCTTTATTCAGCTAGTTTTCACTTTTGAGTTGCTTTCGTTTGACCTTTGCAGGGAGTTTTTCCTCTTCTTCTCATTTGGATTTTGCAGCAACACATGCACGCAGATGGAAAATTAGGGGTAGATTACAGGCATTTCATATAAAGGACATGCTCCACCAGCTCTGTTAGACACCTACCCAGAATAAGAGGTTTTGTAGAAACACTGTTAGGCCACAAGACCTAAAGAACCAAGTGCCATCATGCAAGGGACTTGAATATCAGCTTGCTGTGTTGATTTGAAGCATTTGTTCTTGACAAAGATATTGCAGTGAGTTCAAGGTCATTAAGGAATGTTGTGCTCCTATATTAACACAGGTTAGATGTTAGTATCACCGAGGGAATTAGCACTTGTAATATGGTCAGGTCTCCCTTTTTGGACCTAAAAGTCTGCTAACTGCTTTTCAGCTTTGCAATGCTCCTCATTCACTGTCAACTGAGGGAACACAAAGGGGGCAATATTAGATGTGCATTGTATTTATACCACCACCTAGTGGTCAATGAGCAAAACTTACAGCTCCATCTTGATAAAAGGATCATAACAGTGAGTGTCTGCAACCTGCCCCTTGTAAAATTTACTGAACACTGGATGATTAATATTTTTTAAAACATTGTAGAAAATTACACAGTGATGACATTCATCATCCAGTCACAGCTAAACATCAAGCAAATCTGAACGGCATTTACCTAAAACTTACCAGGTATATTTGTCAAATTTCTGTGCGAAATCTCTTGTGACTCATTGTCTCATCAACACAAGACAAAACAGTCAAGACTTAATTCATTGGAATGGTAAAAGTAGCTGCCTTTACAACTCAAATCATCTTTTATTGAAACAGCACCTTTCATATATACAAACATGCAGCCCATAGTGCTTCACAAAAGAACAGACAGAAGATGAATAAAAGTTTTAAAAAAATGACAGAAATGCTATAGTAAATGAATAAATAAATTTAAAAAAAATGGAATTAAAAAAAGAAAAATTATAAAAATAATTAAACAAAATGCGCAAAGACAAAGGTCAGTCTGAGGCTGAAATGATGGAAGAAAATATTCTTAAACAAAAACCATATTAAAAGGTAGATTTTGTGTTTTCCTTTAAAAGTAAATTCAAACATGTTTTAACGTCCCGAGGCAGAAAGTTTTAGAGTTTCAGAGTTTAGGAGCATTTAAAACAGTAAGTGCTGTGCTTGTGTGAGAGACACACTAGTATTCAGGACCGCGGAGACCGCCCTGGAGCATTAAATGACAGAGGTTCTGCAATGTATGGAGGAGAAAGGTTGTGAAGAGCTTTAGAAACAATGATGAGAATTTAAAAATCAGTTTTAAAGGAAACAGAGAGCCAGTGCAGTTTTGAGACGGGGGGTTATGTGGTTGTTGTTGTTTTTTTGCAGGTTTAAACTCTGGCAGCGGCATTTTGAATGAGCTGGAGTTTTATGATAGGCTTTTTGGGACAAACCAGTAAAGAAAAAGTTTGCAGTAGACTAAAGGGCTGGTAATAAAAGCATAAATTAGAATTTTACTGTGTCTTTCTGGGGTTAAAAAAAAAAAAAAAAAAGGTCTGACTTTTGAATGTCTCTAAGATGATAAAATGAAGTGTTTATGACCTGATGATGTGAGGCATAAATGCAGCAAGCAAGGTTTTCTGATTTCTGAGGTCTTGCTGTATTCGTTGAAGTCCTCATTTTTGGCTTATTGTGTGAAATTCTGTTTAAATGTCACTCCTTTCAAGAATAATTTGATACTTTGATTCGAGTACACACAAATACACTCAGTAGGATTTGAAAATTTGCAGTGTGCATCCTCTCTCCTACAGAGCCGTAGTTTATTGCTGACAGGAACTCGAATGTTCAAGTATACTCATCACTTTCATAACTCTTATAATGTCATCTTCAGCCACTGCATAAAAAGAAGCTTGCAATGACAGGGCTTTAAAAACACAGTTCTTCACCTTCTTGATACAAAACTCACCAGCTGTAGTTAGCAATGAAAAAGCTAACTGAACAAGAGCTCCTTCGGGAGCACAAGTGAAGCCAGAAATATCTGTCTGGAGTAGTTAGCTAACAGAAGCTAAGAGCTGACAGAAGCTTACAGACTGACTTAGCCTGCAGTCGAAAAATGTCCTGAATCGTGAAATATTTGATTGAATTCTCATGGATTCATCTTTAAATTAATGATAGAGGATTCACTTCTTTTGAAAGTTACTGAGTGTGGCATTTAGGTTTCAGCTCCACTTCTTCAGTGAAAAATTGAAACATTTTGCAGCTTTTTGATAAATAGTTGTTTGACTTGATTAAATTTTTAGACAAACGGAAACAAAGATGGAATCTGAGTTTTTTTTTTTTTCTAATTGATGTTTCATGTTACAGTCTGGATACGAGTTAAACCAAGAAGAAACAGAGACTGATGAGGAACCCTCACCGCCTTTATAAATACTTACATTTTTCCTATATGTGTTAAATGAAGAAGACATTGACAGTCTGTATCCTAAAGAATGAAAAGAATAAGTAAAAAAAAAGATATGACTCATGATGTATAATGCAAACATTTATTGGTATAATATCTCATATTATTTTATAGGTATCATTCTGTTAAATACATATGTACTAAGCCTGTGTGTATCTATGGGCAGGCATTTCACATTCAGGTCGAGGGTCAGTGCAGTGATGACCAAATCATTTGTCCTGTTGGGTTTTCTTCATCCCAGCATACGAGCAAATTTAGAGCTGAGGTTAATTTATCATTTGAAAGTATTTGTCTTTGTTTAATAATCATTCTAATCACCCTCCTTAATAATTGCTAACCTCAGTAAAGTCATCAATCTCACTGACAAACTCCCTTCCATTCAACCTCACTGAAGGAGGGACAGAGTGGCCTTCCCTGAGGTCCTCCTCCATGGCGCCAATATGAACCAGTGGGAAATGTGGGTCAGCAGTGGAGACAGGCACGAGGGTCAGGTAGGGAACAATCAGTGATCAGTGTAGGTCCAGAATGTGATGTTAAACTCTCCAGGTCCAGTTTTGAAACAACACGGACTCTGCTGGGGCTGCTTAGGGAACAAAAACCAACTAGCTTGGGATCAGGTGCTTTTCAGCTTGCAAGGAAACAAGGCAATCAGATATTTTAGCATTTATTTCAGTGAGAATTCCTGAGTCAATTAGTTGTTGGGCAGAGCTCCGAGGAGCTTTTTCAAGTGCAGTGGTATGAGGTACTCGTCAAAATCAAGCATTTCACTTCCAGATAATCTCTATTTATGGATTCTACATATAAATGTACAATCTGTACTCACGGGTCTGGATGTTCAGTATAGGCAATTTGTTTGTAGTTGAGTAGTTTCAACCAATCTGCAAGCTTTGGTGAATGTAGGGGAAAAAAATACGGATCCTGTGGAAATACATCAACCATTTCAACTTGAGCTACAGGCTATATGCCTGCCAGTGTTGTAAAAGCCCATCAGTGGTTAGACTTTCCAACTGCCTGCAATGATCTCTGTTCAGCAAACAGCCTTATAAAGTTTTTGTCTTCCCATCTTAAAGACAGAGCACCAAGAATTTATCATTTACTTTTATACATCTTCCTCATGATGCTGTTTTTTTCAGGCTCAAGCTGCAAAATTCACCCAGAATGAAGCCTCAGTGTAATTTAATGACTTGAAATACTCTAACAGACCAAAGATGCCAGTCAGACCTGTATCTGAGACACCAGTTTAAGAACTTAAAACTGGCTCTGCAGCTAGGCCAGAAGGTTTCATAACTAGTCATTTTTATGAGTCACCAAGTTTTTCACAATATTAATTGACCGGTTGGCAAGTTGTTGTGATTGTAGCTCACAAAGAAAATTGTACTCTTTAACTCAAACAGCTCATGATTTTACTGTGACGTCACACCATTCTCCAAAGAGTGGCTTTTCTAAACAAAACACAGGAGAGCCAAGGCCAGCCAACTCCCCTTTAATATCCACTCCTGACTGTTTGACTGCTAGCTATGACCTACAGTTCAGATTAGTGGTTAAAGCAGATAACTAATAGATACGTTGTTGTAACCTGTACTGGGTAATGGACAGTTTTAGCCAAATTTATTAAATTTAAAGGCTAACACTTAATATAAGGTCCTTGTATAAATCAATAGTTAGGAAGCCACGTATGAGATCTTGTAAGGATGCTTATAAACATTTACAAATGCCAATAACTTTTTACAGTCATAATTAATACGTTTATTATATCATAAAAGATAACTACAGGCTTTTGTCAGCAGTTCATAAACCCTTCATAAAACATCATTAAGATACAATGTTTATAAAATCTTATTAAAGTTGATAAGTGGTCTTTAAAGCGTTAGCAAGATTGTAGTGAGAACTTACAGGGGAGTTTATAAGCAATGATGAACGTGAGGTATAGTTTGAATAAAAGCTTGTACAGTGACATGAATGTAAATAAACATGTTAAGTTTTAAAAGCTGTACAGTCATTGGTATAAGTGCCCTGCAAGTGTGTTGCAAGCTAATTATCGTTGTGTTTAGTTTTCTTTAACAAACCCTTATAAAATCTTATTAATGTTAATAAACACTCTATAGATGTTTATGACAGGTTCATAAACTGTTCAGGTTTCTAATAAGAGCCTATAAAAGGTCGTATAAGCAATAATAAATGTGTTAATTATGCTTTTATAAACACCTATTGGGGCTTATGAATGTTTAAACAATCTTATGAGGTCTGAAAGAGGCTTATTAATGAATGCTTATTACAAGGACCTTGATATAAAGTGTTACCATTTAAAGAAATCCCAATTCATATAAGCGGCTCAGCTTTCCGTCAGAAAACAATTAAAAACATAGACTGTATTTACTATGGACAACTTGGTTCCGCCTTCCGCCAGTATACGGATTTGAAGCCAAAAAAACTTCTCGGTATCTCTGTGTTTTCTCTCCATTTCCTGAAACCAACATTGCGCAGTAGCGTTGTACGCACTCCACCACTTGCACAGTAGCATTGTACGCATTCGGCGGGAGAGTCGCTGTGATGACACTCAAACAGCGTATCCTCTGGGTGAGCTACGCAATCTTCGCACGCCAATAGGCTGTATCAAGTGTCAATCATAGAAAACATGAACCCCCAATAACATTTAAAAATGGAGCTGCACAGAAAAAAAGAGGACTTGAGCACAAACTAGTCTTACAATAACTACATGTCAACATTGCAAACAGGGGGGAGAAAATTTTATATTCCGTGTTATAAACTTCTAAAGTTTGTCCACAGCTCCATTAAGTTTGCTGGGGGCAGGATTTATGACCTATACTGCAGCCCATCACCAGAGGGTGCTGTTCTCGAAGTGGCTTCACCCAGCGACGAGGCAGACTCTGTCCATTTTATATACAGTCTATGATTCAAAGACAAACACACATTTCCCTCTGCCTGCAGCAGACAGATAAGCTGTTTATAGTCCATGGGCTATAAAGAGACAAAAATAAAACAACAATCAAAGTGGACAATGACTGATTCTGACAGCTGGTTCTCAATGCTAGTTTCGCAATATCTAGCCAAGCTGACTGACATACTCTTCCTTTGGACAAATACCTCATACCACTCTTCCTGAAAAAAGATGGGAATTATCCCTTTAATGCTTTTGTAAATCTGAAATTTTAGACCACCTCCTCTGCCCCACTTGTGCCAATAAAGCCCAAGAAACTACTTGACTCATTCACGAACAGGATTAATTTGAAGAACTTGTCCAGGTGCTTGGCAGGAAAGACTAGTCTGGTTTCTCAGGGGTGGGATGCATTCATGCTTTTGTCGGTGAAGCAGCAGCGGTAAGGATCCTGATGGTGGACAATCTTTGTTTGTGGATTCATCCTTAAAGGAACAGTCCTGTGTGTGGTCAGAGGGTGCTCGGAGTCATCACTGTTGGTGGGAAAAGGCATCAAGGGATTGTTGAGATACACCCTGTTCCTTTGGTGGTGTGTGCGTGTTTGTGTCCATGTGCGCCTGAGTGTATATGTGTGTGTTTGTGTGTTTGTGAATTAGCTTTGCTTCAAAAGTTCAGGTAAATATAGCAGCTGATGTGTCTTCAGACAGACACAAATACATCCAGTCCAAGTTTGATCCGCTTCAAGTGTGCACAATGACATCAGAACACAATCTTTAGTTCGGTTCAGGCTTATTTTCATAAATCTCATTGTAAGTCAAATAATTTGATCCCCAAAACAAAAAAGGAGTCCATACTGTGGTCTCACTCTGGAAAGACACAGGGCTCTCAGAGGAAGGGGTTGTGGCTGTGTGTGTGTGTCTGCGACTGAGTGCGAGGTGCTGGGCGAGGAGAGAGGGGGAGGAGAGGCTGTGGGAGGTTGGAGGGAAGGTCCAGGAGTCCAGCAGGAGGTTGCGTAAAGGATGAAGGGAGGACAGGCGGGTGGTGGTGCAGAGGAAGGGGCAGAGACGGGCTGTAGGAGAGCATGTGTGGGGGCAGTGGGGACGTGGAGTGTGGTCGCATTTGGTTGAGGGTGAGGCGAGGCTGGTCACAGTGGAATGGATTGGTGGGAGACGGAGCACTCAAACCTAAAAAGACAGACTTCTGTGAGAAAAAGACCTCTTGACAAACATCAATGGTATCAAAAAGTTCCTCTTTACCTGAGAGGAAGGGGTTGTTGTGCGTCTTAGTGGGGAGGTTTGAGGGTATCAGAGCATCCAGGTTGACCAGTGAGGCCCCTGTAGGGCCAAGAAAAGCCTCTGGGGTCCGACACACACGTGCAGGTGGGGCGCTGAGAGGCGGAGCTAGTCGGGATAGGTCGAACATCTCTGGGCTGGAGGACTCTCGTCCATTTACTAGAGGTTTCACCAGAGTGTCGGCCCCAAAGGGATCTGGCATTGACTCCCCTTCAACAAACGGATCAGAGTTGGCCTTTGACCCAAAGAGCTCTGCCTCTGCAAGACAGAAGTTTATCAATAAAAACTTCCAACAAAAATAAATGGAAAGTACCCTGCAAAAGAAAGCATGAAAGGAAAACTTGACATAAAATGGCTGGTGCATAATGATTTGGTTTACTTTGGACAAACCAGCATCTTACTGCGTACCACAAGCTTAACCGCAGCTTTGGTGTCTTCCAAAATCAAATTTCCTCCAACATTATTTAGTGTTTCCATGACACAAGTGGGAAGAGTCATCAGATACACTTCTTGCCCCTTATATTGTAGCCTGTGAGAGCGTTTTCATTACATATGGGAAAAAAGCTTGTGCCTCTAAGCCCTCTGTATCATGAAAATACTACCTAATACTACCTCTGTGTAAAAAGCTAAGTAATGAGGCCCCAGCTCCACCCATACAAGAGTAACTGAGGGTTTATAAGGTCTTTCAACTCTAACGGAGCAGTGTTTATACATTCTTTGTCTTCATCGATGATTTATCAATGACCTTTATTGATTGTGGTGATGTCAATCACTTCAGGCTCTCTCACTTTTTACTGTTACCTGTTCACTAAAAATGCCAAGAACTTTGAACACTCTTCATCTCCTGCTTGAATTTTGAGTTTTTGATCTACATTATTGTTTTCTATAATCTTTTTCTTTTTTCTCGTTAAGCCTGAACAGATTTCAGATTTTTTGCAAACTTTCTTTACCATTCTACTTTATCCTATTTTAAAAAGACTTTATACTATCCTATTTAACTGTATTTTTTTCAGTCCTACTTTTTTTCTATTTTCAAATAATGAATTGTATTCAATTCTTTTCTACTCAATATAACTGTATTAAATTTAAATCGATTCCATTTTACTCTAGATTATCAAACATTATTCTATTTAGTATAACTTTACATTATTCAATTCTATTTATTTAAATTCATTCTTTTCAGTTTAACTCTATTATATTCAACTCTACTCTACTCACTTCTATTTTATTCAGTGTAATTACATTTGATTTAGCTTTAATCAATTCACTTCAATTATTTTTCTTCAGCAATTGCCCCACATGCTGATGTGACTTACAGAAACACCACAGTCGGTTAAAGTGGGTCCTGCCTTTCTGTGTAAATAAAGTATAGGCTTGTCCTGGTGGAAAAAAAAGTTTCCTCTTCATGAAGGAGACTTCTGTCTAACATTATGGTGCAACGCATCTGGTTGTACTGGTTTGCATTACCTGTAGGGCTTGCAGGTTGAGGAGAGGATACCTGGGGAACCCCTGGTTTAGGCTTCTCCTCCTCCTGTCCATCAAAAGGATCCGTCCCATCCTCTTCTGCATGTCAGACAGAAATCCATTTGGTCTCAAGCAGAGTGCTTTTGGAAACATTAAAAACAACACGTGTATTGATGAGGGAGATGTTTTTGGCAGATACCTCCATCTGTTGGGCTCTCCCATGCATGGTTGACAGGACTTGGGGAAACAGGTGCTGCTTCCCAGGGGTCTGTGTGTGAGTTTGGGCATGGAGCCCATGGATTGGATGCTGCTGAAGATGAGGGTGGTGCTGCCCAAGGACTGCCAACTACAGGAGTGCTGGACTGGACGGCTGTGAAAAAGACAGATGAAAACACACACTTGATATATGAAATAAAACACAAGCTGACAGGCGCTCACAAAGGCATGGTACAGCAGGTTGAGCTTTTTATTCCCTAGGTATAGATGTGTGGATGTGAATGTGATAATCTACCCACCTACAGACTCCCAGGGGTCAGAGGTGACATCACAGGTGGGCTGGGCACTGTTCCAAGGGTCCCTTGGGGTAGGTTTGGCCTCAGATGAGGGGCCAAATATATCCACCAGATCCAACATGGCTGACTAAAGAGAGAGTAAAATATGTTTCAGTAAAAGTCCTGTCAACATGCTCAACATTTCAATTAGTTTGTCTTGGGTCTGTTATCTTCAATTTTGATGATGTCTCCTTCTCTCAGCACCACAGAAGTTATGAATTTCCTTACCACTTTCTAGTTTTCCTACTTCGAAACTCCTTTTCTCTGCTGGTGACTCATCAGCCTTTAACCACCACTCTTAAGTTTTGTACTTAACCCTGTAAGGGTATTTAGAATTTCCTCTGTGTGGTCTACTAAGGATCTGGGGTACCTTTTTTGTACACAAATTTACTGATAAACTAAATTTATAATTATGACAGTATTTTTCCCAAGGTATTTTTTACTCTGATCTAAAAAATATGGAGGTGGAAGGTTAAAGGGAAATGCCCTTAAAGTGTTTTCACGATGAAATTGATTTTTTAAATATTATTAGGAAAAGAAGGCCTTGGAAAAATATAGTTTAATCCTGACTGATTACATGACTGATAAAACAAAAGAAATCCAAGTAATAATACAAAACAACATTTTCTTCATACACACAACAGGGAAAGACTGGTTGACTAAAAATATGTTGTTTCATCCAATTACGTCAGTCTACAGCACCTCTAGGGAAACCTATATCACTAACAGCTGGGGCCCTTTATATGTCTTGTAAGTTACACTTTTTGGTCAGTCCTTAAACATGTGGGGGATGTAAAGTATTTAAAGTCAACATTGGATTTTCCAAATGTTTTCATGTTGTGTAAATGTAAATACCACATAAGTTTTTAACAAAGTTAAGTTCCCGAATTAGTTAACTGCAGCGCAGGCTGTTACAAAACTCTGTTAACTGTTTAACTCAAATAAACCCTGCACAAAAGACAACAATTACACAAAACACTGACATCCAACCCAAAAGAATAAACCCTTTTGTTTTTCTCACTAATAATGAATACAATGATATTACTTTGCAATGCTGATCTGTGATCAGGAAAGCCACCTGGATTTCATGTCCACCCTAAACCTGGGTCAAGTTACAAAAAACAAGATACATGGATATTGGTCTAAACCTGACGTCAGGCTCTACAACCATTATAAAGACTATGTTGGAATACTGGCCAGACTTAGTTTTTGCAAATTCCCCTTTCAAAAGTGTTTTCTGCAGGGATGTCCTGATCCAATATTGATATTGGATATCGGTCCAATATCAGCAAAAAAAGCCCACATGATCACAGCTACAGTGTGTACTAAGGTAATAATAAAGTAGCAAGGAGTAGGAGAGATGTCGGCTATGTAGCAGTATTTTTCAAGTCTGAAAAAGACATTGCAGCAGAGTGCAAAACTTGTCATGCACAAGTTTGTGCCAATATTGGATCAATATCAGTACTGAAGGCACAATATCAGTGTCATATCGGAAGTAAAAAAGTTGAATCCTTTTTGGCTGTGAAGGACAGTCGCAGCTTATTTCTCCACTGAAAGGTGAAAGCTCTAGTAGACGGTGTGAAATTTTTATATTTTGAGACAACATCCACAATGTAGCTGTTTATGCTCACTATTCCACTGATGACTCTGAAACCACAAACTGACAAAATATGACCTCATCTGCTTATCGTGTTTCCAAAATGTCAGAGTTTTGTCAGTTTTCTTTCTGCTGTGTTGTAATGTCATCTCACCTCACCATTGCATAGAAAGTTAACCACCCCAGGGGGGCTTGGAGGACAGATTCCCCATAAAGGATTTAAAAGTTTAGCTGTTTGCATTTACAACTGCAGCCAAATACTAAAATTCGATGCAGTTTTTAGAAGTTGGGTACAAGTGTAAATGCTGCTTAAGAGGTGGAAGGCTTACAACATTTCCTCACCTCTGCTTTTTATTTTTTGTTAATATATTGTTTTGATTGAACACCAAAAGCACTAAGATTTCACTAATAAGAAACCCAATTACAAGGTGTAGTTGTAACCTTTACATAAGCCAGCCACTGTCTCTGATTGGCTCTTTTGCAGGCCAATGAGTAAAGGAGACAGTGCGCGATGAGATATGAAGTATGCTTTCAGGAAAATGTCATGCTGAGCTCAAGGTTAGCGGAGACTAAGTCATTATCATTCAGCAGACTCCTCTCTCTCTCTCTAAGACCCTCGAGTGTTCCCCTCTTAAACCTTCCCTCACCGTTTTCATCCAAGTCTTTTAGCTTTGTCTCTGTCCCTTTTCTCCCTGCCTGCTCTACAAACTCCACTTTATTCTCCAAATGTCTGCCAGCTACCACCTACGAATACACCCGCCCACCTCTCAATGCAAACACACACTCTTCTAGCATGCATGCACCCACACACACACACACACACACACACACACACACTGTACAGCACACACACACGTTTTTAAACTCACCTCTTGTGTCCTCGACTGGCTCTCTCTCCTGCTCTCATCCAGGGCCTTCTGTAACAGTGAATCGTCTCCTTGGCGACAGCATTGCTCCTGCAGGGGCGGCATTGTGACATCATCAACATTGCAGCCATGAGGGTGGGCGCACGCACGCACACACGCACGCACGCACGCACGCACACAGTCAAAAACACTCCTGTTTACACTGAAGTAGTTTGGTTTGGGCTTAAACAAAGGGGAAATCAGTGGTTCCTTTTGTGCTGCTGAAATACTTTGCCTACACAAAGCAGAGGGAGATTTAGAGCAAGGAAGTTTTGAATTTGCTTCAAAGGTGAAGAAAGATTAAAAGTGGAACTTTGTTTGGCAAACTGCTTAATAACATTTCATCAAAACACACTCTCATCAGTAATTGTATTTCAGACATTTTTTCATAATGCTGCTCCTGGTTAAACGTTTAATCTCACTGTTATTAAAAACCTGTAAGATATTCACAATAACAGAAACTGTTCATCAAGGTACGCAACCCTTTGTTTTGTCGAGTCAAAACCCAATTCAAGGTATCCTTATAAGGCCAATGGTATCCGATTCAATACACATTTTTTTGAGACCTCTTTGTCATTAGTGTGACCTGACCTGAAAAAAATATATAATAATAATAATAATAATGCACCTATCACCTACCAAACAGCTGAACCAATATCCTCCGATAACACTTACAGAAAATGTCGGGTATGCAGCTTTTTCTTGGATATTTTCAGCCATTTCAGAGAAAGTGAGGCAAGTACAACTCTCATACAGTAACTCAAGTTGTGAGCATGGTTGAGTTAATCCTACTAAGGTACAAAATTAACTTATATTATATTCACAAACATGCTATTTCGTTCCCTTTGATACACTCTAGATAAGCGTCTTCCTGCCTTTTGCTGCTGCCATGATGGAAAGTTTCCCCTTAAGAAACTTCAGTTTCGACCCCTGTCTTAAATCAGCTGCAAATTACACTAAAACAATTATTTACCATCCAATTTGGTTCTTATCTCTAGGTTACTTTGTTAGGCTTCATTATCCATGAAAATATTGCTTCAAATATGTTTTGTTGTGGGCCTCTTGCCCTTGATTTGTCAGTGTACCCCTCACACAGACATCTATACTGAATGATAGGGAGAGGATCTGGCTATCAGTATGTTGCTTGACAGTGCACTTATGATTCAGTTCTGGCTCTAATTATTGCTTTGTGATCTAACCAAGTCGACAGCAGCCCTTATCAAGACAGGACTCATAATTTTAACCAGAGCATTTTATAGTTTAGTCAACATATTTTTTTATTTTGCTGAAATAGAGGTTCATGACAAAGTCAAAAAGTCTTAACGCAAAAAAAAACAACAATTTTATGTGGTTCTTTTATGCATTTAAAACCACAGGAGGAGGGTTATAACATCTTCGAAGTACTCTGAGCTCAAGCTAGGTATACAGCAGGTGCAGCCGATAAGAGTGATGTAAATGGACAACCACAACATAAAAGCCAGCAAAGTACTATTATGGATGAATCACAGTGACGCTGTCTCTTCTTCCTTAAGGCCATGATTTCAGACCACACTGGTGTACCAGAGCAGCATTTATTTGAGTAATGACTTAAAAGTCAAGATTATCAAGTACATTTTGTTGCATTTGTTACACTGCATTTGATTCCAAAGTCAAGACACTTCATAGAGTTGGTATTTAAATTTCAGTGTTAACAGAAACCTTTGAACAGTTTTCAAATTAAGCTTTTAAACACACTGTTAAATGTGTGATTAAATCACTACAAATATTTGAAAAATAATGCATTAAGAAAAATATATCATATTAGCCCTCATTGTAACCATAAGATGCATGATGACAAACTGATCAAGATTGAAGCAAGGTATACTGATCTTCAATAACTTTTTCAAAAGTGAGTTGATGGTACATTTTATTTGAATGGAGCTGTCCAGGAAGTTCTGTGAAGTGTTTTTAGGAGGTATAAAAGACAGTGTTGTGTATGCTTTTACCTGTTGCAATCTGTTTATCTGTTTATATCTGTTCATAAAAAGCATGATGTAACGAGTACATGTTGATGCGAATGTTAAAACTGTTTGCCAAAAGCTTTGATTGAAGGAAACAGGGAAAGTGAACACCGGAAACAGCAGAGGCCTTAAGAAGAAGTGCAGCAGCAAAAAGTAAAGCAGGAAGTTATTTTATTGACAAAGGGAAGGATTTTCATAAAGATGTCAGCGCAGAGATGTTAGTTTTCTCATGTTTCTGTTCCCTGTTTTTCCTGTTTCCCTGTGTTGATTATTCTTCTGTTTCAGCAGTTCTTGTGTTTTTCACTATTCTGCTTCTTTGTTCAGTTTTCAGTGTTTCCTTTTGTATTCTTGTGCATCAAGTCTGGTTTTACTTCCTTAGTTTGCCCTCCTTTGTTGAGCACTCACAAGTCCCACATGTCTGTCTCACCTGCTGCTCATTTCTCATTGTGTTTATATAGTCCCTGTCTTCCCCTCCTTCTTTGTTGGGTCAGTGTCCATGCTGGCCATGCCTTGTCAACTCTACACTAACCCTACCTCGTGTCCTCCTGGTTTCCCAGTGCCCCTTTGTTTCATTGGATTTCACGTTCCTAGTGTTTTTCATTTATCAGATTTGGATTTCTTGGTTGGACATTTTCAAAATAAGTTTTAGTTGGACTTTCAAGTTTGGTCTTTTGTTTCATAAAACATTTTGAGTTCTGCACACGGGTCATCCTGTTTTTGTTTGACACGTGACAGACCCCTTTGTTAAAACTCTGCCACATGACATCACCAACCATCTCTATGGTTACAGGGAGAGGAACGACTCGCTAGAAGAAGGTGGGCGAATGTTCAAAGTGTTTTCAACAAAATTTTCATTATTGGAATCATCAAGAGGCAATGAGACATGTGGCTCGAGTTCAGAGTAGGAGAGTGTATTATCAGTGTGTACGTGTGTGTGCTTGTGTTGCGTTCACATGTGTGTGATTTTGTACCTTCTGACTCTCCTCCCTGCTCATGGCTAAAGCCAGCTGGAGCTGCAGCTCTTCCTCCCCACTGGTCTGAGGTCGGGCCTGTTCTAGGTCTGAGGCAGCACGAGGGGATGAGGACGAGGCTGCAGAGGGAAGGAGTGAAGGAGGAACAAATGGTTGGTTGACGTGAGTTTGCTTTAGCTGACGCATAGAGGCGAGGAGCACAGGAAGTGCAGGGCTGATCTGAATATTTCCAGGCCTGCACTGCAGTATTGATAATCTATGAGGTGGATTGTTCAAAGTGCTGGGCTACAGCACAAAATTACATTCCAGCAAGGACCAGTCTTGAATACAAGAGTGTATTTTTATCGCTCTACCCATTTATTCAATCAAGTGCCAACACAGGAGTAAGCCGTTGAGTGCTGCAGAAAGATCCTAAATTCAGAACATCTAGAATCAATCTTTTATGATAACAATGTATCAAATGATGGTGTGACAGTGACTGGACAACAAGCTGACCGACTGAGAACTGTGGGGGAGTTGACAATGTAGTATTTTCCTTTACTTCAGACTGTGTAAAATCATTGGCTACACAGCATTTCCTCAAAGTGAAGCAAAAACACTCTCTGGTGACTGCCTGCAAAATACATCATAAAGCCAGCCTTCTCCATCAAGATCGATGTCACATGGGCCAAGCTAAGGAGTTAAAATGCACCTTAAATATCCTCTTTCTTTGACAGCTTTTCTGTCACAGTTCTTGTCATGATAGATTCTGTGCAAGAGTAGTGTTTTTGGAGAAGTCTAGCTCTAACTAAGTGCAATATACAATTACATTACCTGCTGAGGTGGTATTTTGGCTTCTCTTTGTTAAAATGTGGGAAGTGGGAGCATACAATCAGTTTATTATTCTCAACTACAAGGCTTTTGATGCCAGTGAAGCAGGTTTAACACTGACGGAGTCTCACCAAACATTATTTGTGTTTAACATGTTTTTCAGCCAGGTTAAACCTAACAATATTTTGGTGTTTTTCCCTTTCAGAGGGTGTGAGACACATCAGGCAGTTTAATAACTATGATCTTACCTGCTGCTTTAATGACACATATTTACCTGTTGTCTACAATTAAGAGACTGCTCAAACCGGTCATGATGCTAAAGGTAATGATAGGCTCTGCCACAGAGGGTAGAGGAGATCCACAGGCTGTGTTCAAAAGCACATACTGATTTAGTGCTCTTCACCCACCCAGTTCATCAGTAAAGGACTGTCAATTGTAGTCATCAGCTCAGTTAAAAGCCACTGCTGGATATTACCCTCTGACTCTCTGTCCTGCCTGATGTCAATAATGCCTTTATGGCTGTCACGCAGTTAAAAGATGCAGCCCAATGTCGATTGGGGACCTAATAAAGCAGTATACATTTCACAACAGCGTTAATTTAGACAGCCCTTTTTAGATTTAGTCTGAATCTTTGAGCATATTAGCTTTAGTTAAATTTTAGCTTTTTTGCCTTTTATCTTTAAGTAATTTTAGTCTAGAAAAAAAATGCTTTAGACTCCTCGCCAAGTGTCTAAATCTGAAACACTTTACTTCTTGAACCCTTTTATATGTGTACTTTTATAACTGTATTCTTTACTATAGTGGAATAACCTAGAAGACTCACCCAATACAGTGCTGTCCCAACTGATTTACTCAGACTGGGGAAGACCATTACTCACTGAAAGAAATGCTAATACAGAGGAATGATACCCCCCAGTATACAATGCACATATACTGGGGGGGGGGGGGGGGGGGTCTGTCCCTGGATCAAAGAGGTACTTCTGGACGTACGCTTAGTTTGCTGCAGTCTTAGCTGCATCTTCAGTTTTGTGGATTAAGAGCTGATAAAAACTATATATGCTATTAAAGATAGCAAAAGATCATAGCGGCATAAAAGGCACACAGCAAATATCACACTGACCTCACCCCTGCAGCTGGTTGTGGTTTGTCACTAACACTTGAAAAAATCTATGAAAATGATACATGGTCTCTTTGAGAGGATTTGGACCTGGGGTGCACTTGATAAGTGACTAAATAAACACTTTGCCTCACAACTGAGAGTGTCAGGAATGCATTGCTTTTATTTTGATTAGATGCACGGTGGGGGAAATTTTCTGGATGAAGTCTTTGCGACTTTGAAGTGATTTAGATGCACAGAAAACAAAAACTATATTAGACTGGCGACAAAAGGATAACATTTGAGTCTTATCAGGAATTTTTTAAATTGTGGTTCAATTGTTATGTTGTTTAAAACTCTCTTCAACACAGCAGATTAGAAAGTCACGAATTTGGCTCTGAAAAACTACTGTACACTACCTGCTCAGCTCCAGAGAGCAGACAGACACTGGTAGAGACAAGCTTGAGAACATAATGGAGTATCTAGCAACTACAGTGCCAGATATTTCCCTCAGGAGTTTGTGGAGACCAAAAATAAAGATCCAAAACACAAAGCTGAAAAGAGGGAGTGCTGGTTAAACTTACAATTAAAGGAGGATGGAGAGCCTCTGGAGCGGCTGAACTCTTCCCCATACAGCACGGCCATGCTGGGCTGGCTCGTTCGCCTACCTGGGTGATAGGATGGTGGTATACCTCCATAAACGCCACCACCACTGCCGCTTCCTCCTCCAGCCATTCGCTCTTTGGTCTTCAGGGCTTGACTCCTCTCCTGGCGGAGCCTCTCCTCGTCTCTAAGGAGGCACACCAGCTGTCGGGCCTTTTCTCTCACATTGGCTCCCTGGTCTCTGCCGTCGCGGTCCACGTATTGGAAGTCCCGGAGCGTCTGAACCAAACCGAGAACAGAGATATTTACATGATATTTTAAGACACAGTGTAAACTTTTGGGTGTTTTGAAGATGTCAAAAAATATGTGTTTCAGGATTTAGGTTTGATAAAGCTTTTTTTAATTTTCATCAAATTTCTTTTCTGCATTTTTAAAAATCCCAATAATTTTGTTTCAGGAAAATTAACTGATTTTTCCAATTTTAAATGTGATCATACTGAGCTAGCTGTAGTGATAAAGTAACAAAAAAATGATAACCCAAACAAAAAATAAACCACATCAAAGCTCATTCAGTGTTGTGCACCTTTTTCTGAGATTCACCTGCAGTACCTGGATAGTGAACGCGTTCTCTCGGCACTGTTGGGCAACTCTCTCTGATCCTGTCTTCAGCAGGTAGTCCAACAGAGTCAGGGCCTACAGGACGATGCTGATTAACACACTCACACTCCAACATTAGTACCTCTTAACATGGCGGTCATAGAAAATTTGAAAAATCAAACACTTTGTTTCAGGGAAGGTGTGCAAACGGATAGGTGCACGGTTCAGTGATAAATAAGACTAAAAATATGGTGGAAATTCTTCACTTCTCTCTACATTCTCTCTACTTAAAGAACTATGACAATAATAATGTCACACGTGTTGCAGAGTGCCAGATTAGTGACTGACAGTTGTACGATGCTTCTGTAAGGGATATTCCATCTGAAAATTAAGTTAGGGGCAAACACACCATAACACCGAGTTAGACACCCCCTCAGGAGATGAATGTTGCTGACTGCAAAAAGCCACTCTATAGCCACAAATAATATTCAGAACAGCACCTAACTTCATCATCAGTATATATAGGGTCCCAGCCATAGTACTAGCCACCAAACATCTTTTCAGCTTTGCCTGGTTTTCTTTAGCAAAGAGACCAAACGCAACTCACCTACTCTCCCCCTTCAGCTGCTTGTTTGTAGGGGGAGCCCTGACGAGTCGATCACAGAGTGCAGCGGAGTTTCTCAGCTCAAAGAAGAACATTTATGATCATTACTTCATGGAAATGCAATTGGACCAAGACACTAAGGCAGAAGAACTACTGCAAAATTATTAATATGGTGATTACTACTTCTAGGAAATGATAAAGTAATGGTCATAAATGTTCCTCCTTTCACCCTGCTGCGGTAAAACAAGCGGCTGCTGAAAGGCTAGTACTATGGCTGGTACCCTTTATGTACTGTTGATTAAGTAAGGTGCTGCCCTGAGCATCATTTGTGGCTGTAGAGTGGCTTTTTGGTCGAGTGTGTGGCTCTTGAGACCTCTGCGTATTGCTATCCTGCGGTCGTTACTAAAGTTGGTATAACTAGAGAAGCAAGCAGTCAGCAACATTCATCTCTCGACAGGGTGTCTGACTTGGTGTTATGGTGTGTTTGACCCTAACTTAATTTTACGCTGGAATATCCCTTTAATGCCCCATCTATGACTCTGGTGAGGATGCCTGAAGATAAATCTCCAACCTCCCTCCTTTATTAGTTTGCATTTAATACTGAAGCGTACCTGCATGGCTCCTACCTGGAGTCTACTGCTCTGCTACCAAGAACACCCATATCTGTCCATCTCCATCCACTGTGGGATACTTTGGGTGCCCTTTACTAAAACTGTACGTGACACTGTAGGTGAAAGCATGCAGCCGGTTTTTCTCAGACACAGTCTCATAAACTACAGCCCTGTTGGCAGTGCCAGGGTGCTGTTGTGCTTATGGATGACGAGAGCTAATGCCCTCACAAGGACAGGATTCCAATGTTTTAAAATTAAAATTGGTGAATCTTTCATTTTGATTGGCTTAGAGTTATGCATAGTTAAGTGAATAGAAAACAGGAAGTTTGTAATCAGTCACTCATCTTTTGGCTTCATAACACCTCCGAATTTAGTGGGTGACATCACAGAGCCTCCATCCATGTTTTTTGCTATCTAGCATTTAGCGTTGCTACTGTCTTTATCATTTGATCTTGTCAACATATACCAAAGAACAGAAAAAACAAAGTATAGCTTAGCAGGTTAATAGCACAGCCCATGTACAGAGGCTGTTGTCCACAAAGTGGGTGGCCAGGTTTAATTAAAACATGCAGCCCCTTGTTGCAAGTAACTCCCTACTCTCTCTGCCAAGTATCTTACTTTACCCACAGTCCAATCTCTTTCAACAGAGGCATAAAATACCCTGAAATAACCATCAAACAATACAGAAACAAAAACAATGTGCAGCTGAGGATTAGGACAGTCATCCTCTGGGTACCACAAATGTACTGTATGTACCAAAGCTCACAACAAAATGAAAGCGTTTTTGTACTGTTCTATTAAAAGACTAAAAACTCAACCAATTCAGAGTGTCAGTGTCTGCACAAAATTTTATAACAATTACGCGTATAGGTGCCAAGTTATCAACCGACCACAGGAGCCTTCCTGAAAGCTGCTCTGCACCAGCATGGCTCAAAACTAACACTGGCTGAGGCTTTTCGACAAACTCTCAGACTTTCAAAAGTACAAATAGAGGGCAGAGGTGTGAAGGTGCAGTGTGCTTATAAAGGAGAAGAAAGTTATTATTAGGGAGTTAGTAAAGATAAGAGACAAGACAGATGAAGGAAGGAAAGCGTTGTTCAGTGGAAATTGAGAAACTGAAGAATCAAGGATGGTTTGTTGAACTGCGTGCTAAAATCTGATAGAAATTGGGGTGTTTCATTCAGTCACCTTGTAGACATGTCTCCAGTTCTTGCCGCTGTCATTGAGGCGTTTCCATACCATGCCCATGACCTCAGCAAACGCCACCACGTTAAAGGTCAGGTCAGCAATTTCAGACATGAGGGACGAGGACGGGCCCCACGGATCATTCGAGGTGGCCTCACGGACCTACACATAACCGGAAGGGAAACAATGATTCTTTTCAAAATTACATGGTATGAATATCAAGTTCAATGACGTCCAAAGTAAAAGAATCATGAGGCATTTAAATCATTTATCAAATCAAATCATTTATAGCATACAGAGTCAAATGGTAGAAATAGGAGTCATCAGGATTTCTGTTGTGTTGATGTAACACAATTAAAAATCAACATTAGGAGTTAACCTTTCATCTCAGGTTACCACAAAATGGCTGCAGAACAACAACAGCACTTAAAGAGAGCATTTATAATACCTTGATCTCCGCCTCTGAATAGTTGTGCACAATATTCTTCACCTGCCGACGTAGGGCTGAGGTTGTCATGGTGACAGATGATGGAGGATGTGGAGGGATAGGCAGAAAAAACAAACTCTCAACAGGTGGAGAGAGGGGATGAGAGGAGGGATGTGGACTAGAGGAGGAGAGAAGAGACGAGAGGAGAGGAGAGGAGAGGTAGCTATGGTGATGAAGGCTCCTCTTCTCTATCAGGACGCCGCTGGAAGGAAGAGGAAAACACAAAATATTACTGAAAAAATAAGAGTCCATCAGCCATTTATACTCTTGAACTATTTCTAGGTATTATTTGGTTTCAAAGCCCAACACCACAGCGTTTTTGAGACACTCTTAGTCTCTGTTATCAGGCACTACAAGTCCCATAATTCATGGCATGTAAACAAAGGCTTCAGATTCTGTAAGTGATAATGAATAATAATCACAGATACAATTTCTATCTCAGCTGTTACAATATTCACCATGTTTGGCCTAGTTTGGCCTGTTAGCACGCTAATGTTTGCTAATTCACACTAAAAGCAAATACAGCTGAGGGCTACACAGTTGTCATAGGTTCTTAAGTTTTTTAAAGCCTAAGTTCATGGGGTCACATGGATAGCAGGATGCCAAAAAGTTTGCTGCAAGTCAGTGTTGTATAAATTCCCTGAAGCCACCTTTTTTTAAAAATGTGCATGCAAAATAACTTATATTTCTTGGTGCTAATAATCTAATAATTCTGGGGGCCAAATTATGAACTTGTGCACACGTCATTATCTTAAGGTAGAAAGGATTCATTTTATGGGGTAAAGTTCATCCTAAATGCACATAATAGAATCATCTTGTAGGAATAAGTTTTTATCTTGTGCATACAATAGGATCATCCTCTGTGGTAATGTTAGTATTTGTGCATATGAGTGATCACCTTTGAAGAATAAGTAATTTGTGCACACAGGATATAATATTGTTGGAAGAAGTGATTATTTAGTACATTCTTGTTACTTTCATGTGAAAGAAGCTTTATTATCTTGTATGCACAATGGATTCATCCAGTGATAATCTCTGAAACACAAATTTAGCATCTCTCTCTTTCCTAATCTTCATCTGGACACAGTTGCAGCGAAAGGTCGTATTTCTGACTCGGAAAGTCAGACAATCCACACAACCCCCGAGTTGACATTTAAAGATGGCGGTGCTGGTTGTAAACAGTAAGTAGAAGCTCCTGTTATAATACTTTTGTTAACATTTTTTAAATTCAAATTCATATTCAACTTAAGTTATATGGCACTTTTCATACGAAAAAAAATGCAATTCAAGGTGCCTCACAGAGGCTAAAAACAACAATTTTACTATTTATTGTCACAATAAGTCAGCTGTATACAATAGCATTATTAGACAATATATGGAACTGCTGTCATAGTGTTATCTACATTTTTCCTGTGTGTATATGAACTACAAAGCAGGCTGTGCTAACAACGGCTAACTGTAGCCTGGTGTTTTTCAGTGACCTGTTAATGTGTAGAAGGGTTATAGTAAGTATCCTATGATGTAGTTAATGACCTTACGATTATGGATGCACAAATTATGAATTTTCTGAATATTTTTTAACCAACAATTAAAATGGTAATCAGTTAACGAGCCTCAAAGGGCGTTAACCGAGTGTTGGTGACGGTTTGTGCTGATAGCCAACTCGACCCTTTATGGGTGATTGAGAGGATGATCAATGATGTTGTTTTGGCATTAGAAAACACTACTTTTTTCCGACTTTGTAACTGAAACGCTGATAACTCGGGTGTAACGTCATTCCCAGCTCCGACTTCCGATTTCTGAAGAGTCGGATAAGAGTACAGTCAGATCTGCTCTTTTGAAAAGCATCTTAAGATAACGTTTGCTAAGACTTGGTATTTTTCTTAGTCAAGATTAATTGGTTGATTGCTGAACACTAAGCAATATGATCAAGAACTAATAATAGTGATGATGTGAGGGACTTAGGATTGGTACCCTCTCAGGAAGTGGGTCATACAAAATCTTAGGCACTCAGGTGTCTGATGAACTTCTTGGTAGCTTAAGTTATTTAGGCCAAATCACACACATTCCCATCCACACACGCACGCACGCACACACACACACTCACACACACACAGCTGTCTGTGCACACAGCCTATTTTTCTCTTCCAAATTCATATCTCAGAGGGGACACCAGGGAATTGATCATTACTGGTTCCTGTGATACTTTCTTCTCAGCCTGGGACTGAGCTGCTGCTGACACAAATCGTTCTCTATCAGACTGAAGCATGAACGTCTTTTCTAACCTTAACTGCAACACATCAGTTGCTCAATCACTAAACTGTCAAAGATAGTGTAATGTTTCAAATTCAGAAATCCTTCTGATAAAGTTTGTCTAAAAGACACTTGTTTCTGTGTTTGGGATCATTTTCTGTCCAAAAATGGCTGACTTATAAAATGGCTGAAGGGTGTCTTATGAGACACACCAAATGTAACGTTTATCTATGTTGAATATTGAAAATGAAAAACCTGACATTCTCGTGATCAGTAAAACACTCTGACACAGGTGTAGAGGCGTATTTCAAGTCCACAGTAAAGAAGGCAAACAATCACTACAACAGAGACTGTACAACCCAATGGAAGGGGATTGATGTCCGCTTGGGTTATTCTGGTAGTAAAGAAACTGTGAAGAGAGCATACTGTGACTATGACATACTAGCCTTAACATGACTGATATTTTGAATAATACAGACACCAGGTTCCAAAATTCACGTTTTACTCCTAGGAAAAAACCTGAAACAGAATTAATTTAATTGATCAATTGTTAATCAATGTTAATCTGAATATAATTCATGAAGCAGTGTTGCCAACAACAAAGAGAGCAACACAGGAGAGTCACTGAGGTTCCTGTGCGACAAAGAATTTTTAAAGGAATGGTTCCAAAGAGCTCCTACATTAACCCCATAATTTTCACAGATTCGATTTATGGTGGAGTAAACTAGTGCTCCACTATCTTTTCTTTTTCTAACAGTACCCATAAACTGTAAAAGTCATGAATTATTGCTGTTCTTGGCTTGCATAGAATCAAGTATTGTGTACACAAAATATCTAAGACTATACAACTCAGCATATCCCCTGTGACATTTGCAGTAAATTTGCATGTGTCATCCTGGCTCACAGACACTAGAGGACCGGGAAAGAGAATTTGCCAAAATGTGGTAACGCAGTAACCAAAAATATATACATTTTTTTCATTACACTAAATGTGGTTCTAACATTTCGCTGCCACATGGCGCAAAGCTGCCCGAGAATTTCCCCCAAATGGAATTTTAGACCCTGAATACAACTAGCAATCCTTAGGGTATTGTTCTTTCAGGGAAGTGTATTTTTTTTTTAATCCTGCTCATGAAGAAAACAAAAAAGGGCAGAGATAATATGTCCAGTCTCTATTGACAAAACTCTTTGGTTCACTGTTGTTCAAGGACAGTAGGTCTCAAAGACAGCAGAAACCGGAGATCGCACTGTCGGTCTCATACCGTAGCTAGCAGCTTATGCTATCATCACAACTTCCAACATAAACAAATATATTTTACAAACATGGACTCGTGTGCATTCTTTTTGAAGTCACTCTCCATGTCATTGTATCCTGCTGCTTCATGACAGCTCACAATGCTGCCACACTGGGACGAGTCACTGGATGCCTCATCCTGCCGAAAAGCAAACATCAGCAGAAGCACTGGGCAACTGAGACACACAGCGGGACACAGACACAAACTCTGTGGACGAGAGGCGAGGATTTATGTGCAAGAGACACAGAGGGAGTGTGTGTGTGTGTGTGTGTGGGGGGCATAAAAAGACAGAGAGAGAGAGAGAGAGAGACAGAGAGAAAATAAAGAATGAAGGGCATGAGGGGAGTGAAGCTCAGCAACTTCAACCGTGTATCACTTTTCTGCAAGATCATCTTCAGCCTTGGGTTGGATAGACACACAACACACACACACAGATATGCAAGAACATACAAAGGTTATGAAAGGTCTCCTGTATGAGATGAGGTTTTTTAAATCTTTGCTCTTTTTATACCTGACCCTTAACCCACAAGTGATCATTCAGATTGCGGGAGTAACATGATCTCTGTATCCATAACTCAGAGGACAATAGAAATTCTATATGGCAAATCTTTTGCTCAAATTGGTGGCAAAGGTGAAGATTTATGTTCATATTTCTGATAGGAATCCCAGCTTTAAGAGTGATCCAGGTCACTTGGCTTATCAATGACAAGAGCTGGCTCTTTCAGCTCCCAAACAGCTCTTAAATCATTCAATAAATCAGCCATTCGTGGCTATGTTTTTACCTATGACTGATGTGTTTGCATAAATCTGATTACATTATGAATTGTTATCTTGATAAACCAAATCATTCCAACTCTGATACACTCAGTGTGGCTTTTGTCTGTGGTCAAGCAGTGGGAAGAGAAGATCATTCCCATTCATTCTGTCATGTATTAAACACATCAATATACAAAAAAATGTCCCCAACGGTGTTAGAGGTGCATGTGCTGTCTAACTGGCTTTTAGTGCAGCGATCTTGGTCAAAATGCAAAAAAACATCAATAAGTATCTCACATTTAGAAAAGGATCCCCGTAGTATAGAGATCCTTTTCTTTTGGTTCACTGTGAATATGCCTAATTTACCTACATAGAAGCAAGTGCTCTTAGACAGAGGCTACCATCCTGCACACTGCACAGAACAGACAGTCGTATTGGGGTAACAACTTGTTCCAGTGATCTTTGCGTGCATTATTCCACTTAATATTACTGGCAACATTGGAGAAAATGTTATTTAAGTTCAGTAAGCCAATGTAATCTTTAACAGATCATCATCTTCATAAACATCATCATAAACTTATGTTGTAAAACCTTGATAAAAATGTGCAGAGATGTTTGGTAAATCTTAATGTGTAAAAAGATTCATAGTTACGCTTAAAATAAAATTACATGGAAGTGTCAAATAGAAACCTTGAGCAAGGTATTAATGTGCCACAGCTATACCTGAGTAAAACTATTTGAGTGAATGTCACAGACTTACACAGATAACAGACTTCTACAATCTTTACTACTACACCATTCCACCTAAAGAAGTACTGATCTTTACTTTGCAGACATAATCTGATGTGATGAGCTCTTAAAAAAGTTTAGGATGCTCAAAGTTGCCTAAGTGTAGTCGCTGACTCCAACAGACTCAACAAACTGATCAAAAAGGCCGGTGATGTTGTGGGGTTGGAGCTGGACTCCCTGCTGGCCGTATCAGAGACGAGGATGCTGTCCATGCTCCACTCCATACTGGACAATGTCGCTAACCCTCTTCATAGTGAACTGGTCCTGCAGAGGAGCGCCTTCAGCAGAAGGCTCCTCGCTCCACGATGCACCACGGAGTGCAACAGGAAATCTTTCCTGCCGGTGGTCATCAGACTTTTTCACTCCTCCCTCAGAGACTCTGACACCCTCAGTCAGTAGTCTTTACCTGGACTCTGCTCACTGTTTACATGCATACTATGTTACTATTTATGTTGTTTATAGTGTAAATATTTGTATATTATCTCCTTATTTTTGCTTATTTTACTTATTTTATCTCTATTTTTACTTATTTTATCTATTGTGTATCTCCTCTTTTTTACTGTATTTGCACTGGAGTACTGTGACCAAAAGCAATTTCCTCCTGGGGATTATTAAAGTATTTCTGATTCTGAAGGTTGGGGGAATAAATCCACAAACAATAATGGGTATCTTAAGCTATCAGAATATACTCCACCTTGGAGTACCAGAAATCACTGACACGCTTCACAATTTGTTTGTTTTTATTTTGCATGCAGTAGCTACATGATAGTTTTCAAGTCATACAGAGACACACTGTGGAGCAGCTGTGAATAATGCAACATATATGAGAGCACCCACGGCGCTTACAGCGGGATATGGACACATTTTCTGATTCATGGATACAAGCTCTAAGTGACTCATCTGGTTGTGGTGACTTAAATTTACTCTGGGGCCACAACCAGCCTGAAAATCAACTGATGAAATCATCGAAGTCGTGAGGTTCACTCCCAGAGAGCCAAGGTGTAGTAGTTGTAAATATATGAGAGCAACGTAACAAAATATCTGCTTAAGATAGGCCCTACCCCTGGAAGTGAAAAATAACACCTATATTTCGGCGGTTAGCCTATCAACGTGAGCTACCGAGGTGTTACTGGGTTTAACAGAAAGGCTCCAATCCCCTCAGATGCGTCAAATTGCTCAAACCTAGATAACAACGTCACTCCGTTGGCCACGTTTCGACATGCGCATGCGTGCTCTGGCAGCAGGTGTACTGTACATTTCAGGTGGCGATAGAGTGGAGGAGGGCGCCCATAGTGGGTCTGCATTATGCATAACATTACTCAGTCTCCCCACACACAGACACACTCGCACCTTACACACACATGTGGGCTCCATGCGGTGGCCATGCGTAGCACAAGACCAACAACAGAGGCAGACATAAGCTGGGTATCACAGCTAGTTACATTGTTGTTCGTATTAATACCTATCAAAAAGGATCATTTTTCACGGTCGAGAGTCCAGAGAACTAACCCCCGGATCATCTCAACGACGTGCAGCTTACCTTGGCCATCGCTCATCTCCCGCCTCGTACACTCAGCATCCCCGCCTCTCTGATACCTCCTCTCCAAGTCCCGATAATCCCCCTCCTTTGAGATCCTGTAACCGGGGCGAGCACAGTTATCCCCTCTCGTGCCGATAGCCGGCTAACATCCGAGAGCAGCCGAACAGTGAGGCGGTTTTCCCGGGAAGCGCGTGTAGGGATGTCTGCGACCAAAGCCCGGCCTACTACTGCTGATGCTGCGAGTCGCTCCAGCAGACAGTCCGTGCTGAAATCCGCATAGGACAAGGATAAGCCACAGCACACGGCGCACTCACTCACTCACTCCCTCACTCGCTCCCTCTCCTCTCTCACACACGCATTCAGCACCGGCAGTCCACGCACGCTCAGCACACACAGCAATCACAACGTGGAGCGTAAAGAGAGGTAGTGATGGGGGCGCGTCGTTTGCAGAGTCAGCGGCAATGAGAGCCGCTGGAGAGTGTGTAAAACAGTGAATGAGACAGGAACAATATCAATGCAGAAACGAAAAGTTTATTGATTTCATATTTTTTTGTTACATTCACTTTTATCTTTATTACATTAACTACGTTTTTACCTACATTTCTTTTAATCCCTCTGTGTGTATTTTACTGTATGTGTGTATTTTATTATACATATATGATATACATTATATATATTATATAAAAAATATTTATATTTGTATTCACTGTATACGTCAGACTTCAAATACAGCACTCAGTACTGCCACATCCAGAAATACTCAGATGACACTGCTATCGTGGTATGTATCAGAAATGGACAAGAAGCTGAATACAGAGATCTGATAAGAGCCTTCAGTGACTGGAGTCACAAAAACTGCCTCCTACACTGTTAAAAAAACAACGACAATCTATTCGCAAGAGTTTGTATTCTTAATGTGGTGAACATGAAAATTAAAATAGTTATTATTTAACAAGAAAATACATGTCAGACCAACAATGTGCACCTCAATAGAGACCAAATATGTAATTCTAAATTAGCAGAATTTGAAATTTGTTGTTTGCGCAACAAAGTAGGAAAAATTCCCATAATGCAGTTCTGATATTGACCCATGAAGTCTGCCGAAGAAGACCTGCGGGGTTTACCACGTTCTGTCGCAAGGGCAAGTTCTCCCTCATTGTGTGTCACAGCCAGCAGCGCAGAGGGACAAGGGGACTTTTTTGAGTGGACCAGCTTCAGTCCAAGTTGTTTAAGTATTTTGTGTGAAAATAAACTTGTCTGAACTGTATAAAGTGTATTCACTAATAGAAAATGTGGTGTCGTTCTGCTTTACCAAATTTACTTAAGTAAATTGGCTACTTTTTCAGTTTAGCTAACAATGCTTGTCTATCTACATTGCTTGTCTGCCAGAAAATTATTTTTCTGATCCCTCACGACGTGTTTCTCAGCTGCGTGTTTAATCGCACATGTAACTGAGCAGGCAATTTTATCTCTGGGGCGCATTCACGATGCACACCGCCTCCACACTCACTCGCTGCGGAGAAAGCCGTTAACTTTAACCATTAGCAAGGGGCTGCTAGCCGACGGCTAGGGCTGCTAAATGTTTATATTGGCAAAACAGAGAATAAATAGTCGTGACAAATAAAAAATAATTGAGCAAATAAAAGTGTTTATATTGGCAAAATGAAGAATAAATAGTAGTGACTATTCACCGAACAGCGTGAACGTAATTGATACAACAATAAAATGTCACTTATGACAATGACCTAGCAAATCGTTGACACAATTAAAAAATTTTACTGCAAAAGCTTGCCTTAAAATTTTAAGTTTTCTCAATTATTCTTTTTTACAGTGTACTCAACGCCTCAAAGACAAAGGAGATGGTTATAGACTTTCGTAGATCCAAACCCCCTTTTCAGCCAGTGAACACCTGTGGAGTGGACATCGAAGTGGTGACATTATATAAATACCTTGGTGTACATCTGGATAATAAGTTTGATTGGTCTAAGAATATAAACTTCATCTACAGAAAGGGGCAGAGCCGCCTCTTTTGCCTGAGAAGACTCCGATCAATAGACATCTGTAGTAAGATGCTGCAGATGTTTTATCTAGTCTGTGGTGTCTACAGTGTTCTGTTCTATGCTGCAGTCTGCTGGAGAGGAAGCATCAAACACAAAGATGCAAGACGTCTTAACAAACTGGTGAAAAAGGCTGGCTCTGTGGAGGTGGAGAGATCTACACTGAGGAAGGTGGAGACTAGTCTCAAGAACATGGATCACCCACTTCACAACACCTTGATGGACCAAAGGGCCAATGGTGGTGGATGGTAGCCTGGCTGGGCCATCCAGTTGCGTGAATCACTTGCCATTCCTTCCTTCTTGTTGTGGGAAGGAACAGCAAGTGATTCACACAACTGGATGGCCCAGCCAGGCTAGGTGGATGGCTCCTCTCTCTTCGCTGGAGGACAGAAAGATTCAGAAGATCTTTTGTACCAACAGCCATCAGATTTTATAACTCTTGTGTAAATCGTAGATAACTGTTAGAGACATATTTTGTGAGACAACAGACAATTGAATTTCCCTTCGGGGATTAATAAAGTTATTCTCATTCTTTTATTTTTTGTGATATGAACCATCCCGTGGGTGGATCTGAAATAAAGTTGAATAATACATATTAATAACTTGGGTGAATTCCTACAGCTCAAGTGCCTGCCTTTTATGTACTGGTGTTAATTTTTCTTCTCAAGGTCCTCCCACACGTCATGCATGTTCAACACCAGGTCTTCAACCAGAGCATAAACCTGCCAGTTAAAAAAAAACAATATACAGAGAATAAGTCAAAAATACAATTCTCTTACTGATTAAGTGACAGAAATCAGAGAGAAAGATATCCATAAAAGGTAATGCAGAACATGTGTTTTTTAAAAACCCTGTTTGTATAGAACAGGGCTCACAAAACAGAATTGGCATAGACCAATGCAACTGGAATGTGTTCTTCACACCTATGAAGCTCTTAATGGAATTCAACTTTAAAACTTGGTTGAAAACCGGTTGAAATCAGTTCAGAATGCCAGAACATGTTAGATAACATTTTTTTTATTTACAGTGCAGTAGACAGAGATCAAAACTGCGCGGAAATATTGGGAAATTCTAAGTGGCAAAGGGCTGAGGAATTTCTGAACCTGGGCCATTCACTTTAAGGACCACAGCCTCATGGGTTAGACCGTTTACTTATTTGAAACAAATTGGTACCCTTGAAAGGATTTTGATGGTGTTCCTCCATGGCAGCTTCTTAGGTATAGTTTTAATCCACTTTTGAGAAATGACATAATTTAAGCATATTTATATTTTTCACAAGCATTTTTGACTAAAATTTATTTTAAGTTAATTTATTTTATTTTTTACTCATATAACAGACAAGACAATCAGTACCAAGAATGACAGTATCTGCAACGTCATTTTTTAAAGCCTGTTAACAACGCCATTAGATAGGTGTCACTACAGGTGTTGACAGCATACTGAAGAAAAAAAAAGATTTTAATCATTTTTTGCAACAGATCCAGTTTGGGATACATTTTCATGTTGAAAGACAAAAGACTGACAACTTCTGTTAGAAAACAACATTTATGCGCAAGATCAGCAAAGGAATCCCTTTGTCCATAAGAGAGGCCAAAATTAAAGTTCTTAACTGGAGCTTTAAACCCATTTCATTTTTTGACTGTTTGATATTAACAAAAAGATTTAAAGATGTCCTAAATTAAGGAGTTTTAACTTTTTCAAATTGTTTATAAAAAAGGACACAAGATGTACAGCTCTGTCATTGAAAGACTTCTGAACACTGATGTAGTCATTACTGACAACCCCCCTTTTTTCACAGAGCTGGATTGCTAAAAATGGTGAGTGTTGGATGAGTGTGCTGTGTATTGCAGGTTTGCATTATGCAGTTTTCCATATGTTTTTTCACCAGTGATGCAATCTAATACAATTATATTTCCCACATTTTTTTTTGACACGTGACTTGAAAAGCTTTAATATGTGTTAACATGTGTTAAATGTCGTTTGGGCAAAAAAAAAAATACTGATTCTGTTGTGCTATCTGGTCAGACCATTAACATTTAATTAGCAACAGTTTCTTTGTCACTGTGACCACAGACAACTTTTGAACAATTTTTCAATAATGAAAATGCTCACTGGGTGAGTTGATAATGGTTATCTGTAGACAATCATGCAGTCATTCAGATGACTGGGGACTGTGATGCACTGAAATGGAATCATTTGGGTCAGCTGCTGCAATAAATAATAATATTGTATCAGATTTCATATAGCGCTTTATCGGAGACCCTCAAAGCACTTTACATTGGATACGTCATTTGTTCGCTCACACAGTCACACCTTTGTGGTTGTAAACTACCTAAGTAGTCACAGCTGCCCTGAGGCAGAGTGACGGAAACATGGCTGCCAGTTTGTGCCTACGGCCTCTCCGACCACCACCACACAATACTCACAATCAAACACTAGTGGAGGACACACACTGGGAGCAAGGTGGGTTAAGTGTCTTGTCCAAGGACACAACGGACAGATTCGAGATAGGGGGGAATCAAACAGCCAACCTTCCGGTTATTGGACAACTGCTCTACCTCCTGAGCTACTGCCACCCATAGTGACTTAAAAAACATGTTAACATGTGTAATGAGTGTTTTGGCTGAGGCTGATTTCCCGGTGAAATATGGTCTGAACGGGTATATGTTTCGAAATCTTTTTCAGCTGAAAAATGCTCACTGGGCCTTATCAGACACTAGAATAATCTAAGCAAACGTTGGTTCATTTCTCCTGAGCCAAAGCAGATTTAGAACATTCCAGATTTTTACATTTAGAACAGTTATTTAAAGAGTGAAATAGTCAAAAACAGTCAAATTGAAAAAAAAGAAAAATAAATAAGCTAAAGGAAAATAAACTGTACTTACAAGTGATCAGACTTACTTTTCTGTGCTGGAGCCTTCTGTATAATTTATACACCTCTGGGTCCTCAATCACCTCATCTTCAAGAGTTTGCTAAACAAACAAGTGGGAAACACAGTTAAAGCAAAGTCAAATCAAATCAGGGAAGACATACAATTTTCTACTTAATCACTTGATCAGCGTTTTGACTTGCATTATTTCTCTGTTTTTGAACATGGTAAAAAACTACCTTCAATTTATTCCATGATGTTAATTATATACATTACTGTTGTGTCTAATGTATAGCTGTGTGTGTGTGTGTGTGTGTGTGTGTGTGTGTGTGTGTGTGTGTGTGTGTGTGTGTGCGTGTGTGTGTGTGTGTGTGTGTGTGTGTGTGTGCGTGTGTGCGTGCGTGTGTGTGTGCCACAGATGGCCTGGACCAGTCCAGGTGCCATAAACTCACACTCTGGGTACACAGCTTGAGAGCAGGTGCACATTTTCACGCAGCATTCTGTTACCATGAGATTCTGTGAGTAATAGGCTGTACCTTATGACTCAACCATCACTCAGCAAAATTTAGAGTCATACAAGCAAGACTGTTTTGTTGTTGTTTGATCATCTTTTCTGTGGCTGACAGCAGAAATGTGAAGCACTTGAAGGCGAATGCAACCAGTTCCGGGCCAGACTTATGCCCAGACCTGGTCGAGGTGTTAACTAACACTGACTGTGTCCTCGCAAAGGTCCTCAGTGCCTGTGCTGATGACACTGTATGATTTTAAAATTCAGATTTCTGAGTAGGATGATGCAAAAAAACAATGAGGATGGAAGCACGAAAACCCACAACATACCTTAATTTAATGGTTTTTGCTTGCCTGTTATCTCACCTGACCAGTTACCCCGAAATATTGACTTCCATTATAGTTCAGTACTGAGCAACAATGATGCTGTTTCTTTTTTTTGTGTGTGTGTTGACAAGTGAGTCGCAAACACCTTTTCACCCCTCACTTAATCAAACAACTAACTCAAGCCGTGGTTCTATCGCATTTAGATTACGGTGCAGTCATCTGGTCCAACACAACAAAAACAATCTACACAAGCTACAAGTAACCCAAAATAAGGCTGCTCACATGATTCTTAACTGTCCATACAGAACTAGTAGTACCATAATGCATAATCAGCTCATCTGGTTAAACGTTAAAAGTAAGATACACTACTTGCTTTTATCTTTAATGAAAAATATTATTACAAACAAAATTCCAGTAACTCTCTATAACACTTGATCTTTTTTTTCGGAGGCAGAACAACACTGTACGAGGCAGGTATCAGAGGGTCAATTTCGGCTGCCCGAATGTAGAATGAATGCAAGGAAGGGAACAGTTCACTACAGAGCCACGGTGGCATGGAATCTATTACCAAATTTTTTAATCTTAAATGATAACAGAAGCTGTTTTAATAAGAAATTGAAAATGTTTTTGTTTACTTATGGGATACCTTGAAAAATTTCAAGAGCTTAGTTGGCTGAAACCCAGTGTAATGAGTTTCCACTTTTCTTTTATTGTTCTGTAAATATTGTTTTGTTGTAGTGTTCTTCGAAAAGGAGGTAAATGATAGAGCTGCTGTGTGGGAGGAGTGATGGTATGGATGTGATGTTGGTGTCTTGACTGTCTTGTCTTGTATGTAGATGTATGTTAGAAGGATAAAAATGTTGTTCAGAAGGGTAGATGGACCCCAGAAAGAATAGCTGTGGCTCTTTGCTGTAACTAATGGTGGATCCAAATAAACTGAAACTGAAACCTTCAGTTGTTTTTTTTAATCTCTGCTGACTTACCTTTCCTTGCTTGTCTTTTTTAAATGTAGACCTCTCTCTATTCAACTTCTTTTTAGCAGCTGCTCCCTCCTCTTTCTCATTCATCTCATCTTTGCCCACAGCCACATCTGGGATTTAATAGTGAGAAGCATACATTTATTACAACAGTTATTCATTAAACCTTTACTGTTCCGAAGGGCAATTTGGTTTGCAACAGAGGTTTAAACAATCTAAACACAATGTCAAAATTCATTAATACATACAGGTTACATACATATAACTCCCATGGGTTTGATCATGACAGACAGGCTGGGCAATTGACCCAATAGAGATCATCCAACAATCAAAATTTACACAGTTTCATGTGGACATGTATATCTTTGCAAATCTAAACCCGAATTAAAGTTCGCAAGTGTAACCAGCGTCTTACCCCATGTGGTTCTCTGTGGAAGGCCTAGGATGTTCCGGAGCCTCCTGGCCTCATCATCCATCCTCTCCAACAGTATTATCCACAGGTCCCACCTGCAGGGGGCAGCACACACCAAACAAGTGAGATTTGTCCACAGGTGTGAGGTGCCAGTTTGTGTACAGTAGAGCCAAGATGCTCCGATAGAAATATTGAACGACGAGTGTGTTGTGTCTCACCCTACAGGAGCTGCTGTGCAGTAATTTTTTTTGCATACTGGTGGTCTACAAAGCTGCAGATACAGAGAGTTGAGCCGAGCCAAGTTCTCCCCCTGAGCCTCCAGATCAGGCTGAGCCACCACAGCCTACAGCAGAAAAGAGATGGTTAGACTGATTTGTCATTTCTTGAATGAAGTACAATGGAGTAAAATCTTAAAGAATGGTACAATCATACAGAAAAGGAGGAAGAGATCGAAAACACAAACTGCTGTATTCATCAACCTATCTAATTTAACACCATACCAGCTTCCCTTACAGTTTTATTAATCACTGAAACACAACACAATGTCTATACCTGCCGTAGTGTATCCACAGAGAGATCCCAAGTGTGTTTGGATGGATTCACCTCTTGCCATAGTTTCTTCAGATTTTCCACTGTGTCTTCGACAAAATGCAGCTAGAGCCATGATTGAGAAAGTAATTACAGCAAATTCACGTGAAGTCATGTGAACAGAAAGAACAGCCCCACTACCAGATGCTTTTATCCTTTTACCCTAACAACTAAAATACAGATCATAAGTTTAAACGCTTTGCCTCTAAGGTTGTAAAAGATGAGAATGTATAAAGCTGAAGGCCAAGGGAGCTGTTATCACTGACATGAGGTAATGACAGATGTGGCTTAGTAATATAAATCTGCCATTTGAACTTACAGCTGAATGGTGATTTTATTTTATTTCAATTCATTCTCTCTACTGTGTATTGCCAAAAGCCTTTTAAAACTTGTGTTTAAATTTCCCATAAAACTCAGTTAAAATCTGTCTCAGAGCAAAATATCTTAATCCATGTGCTTTCTAGTTTCTGGTGTTGGTTATTAAAAGTTATGCAAATGAACTATCTATGAAGAATGGAGATGGCATAAATGTGGAATTCAAATGAGGACAAATGTTTAGTCCAGGTTTACAGTCATGGATGAATCACAGCCATTTTAACATAAGCTGTTGACAAAAATGACACAATGAATGGGTACCATTTGAGGTCAACTCACGCTGCATGAGGTGATATGAACAGTGGCTGTGTATCAAGACTGATGACACATCTCCACCCCCTTCTACTGTATGAAAGTAATGTCAAAAGCCCCCCTGGTGCTTACATAATTTATTTACATTTATCTCATAGAGCTGTGGTGTTTATGTCCTGCCACAGTCTTCAGCATAACAGCTTCTAGATTTTGTTTCAGGTGTGTACTCCCTATTGTAGAAAGCACAGTGACTCCATCATTCCTCAACTAATCTGCTGCGTACAGCCTCAAGAGAGCTGCAACTGTAAAATGAGTAGTCAATTATGACATTGGACCCCTTTTGTGATATCAGATAACTCATGAAAACTAAACTATTTGAGCAAATAAATGCTGGACATTAATCATCCTGAGAAATATTTATCATGGCAAAAACCATGTTGGGGATAAAATTATTGGATGACTTTTTGATTCTGCAGTTTGACCCATGTCCCATCTGTTAACATGGGGAAGGGCTGACCTTGTGATCTATTCTGCGGCTAGTTTAGGATTAGAAGAGGGAGTGCTAAGTGTGACTTAGAAGGTCACAAAGAAAAACAATGGAAATCTCACTGAACCTGAGCCTGCTGTTTGGGTCTGCCAGAGATTCACAGCCATTTGAATGCAGAAATACTCAAAAATGCAATTTCGCACTTGGTTTTGTTGTGATATGTCCTTTAGCATCAGAGAAATGCCATATGAACATGTATAATTTACCTTGGGGTTTTTGCTCAAAAACCTCTGCTCTTCAGTGATGTAGACTTCTGCAAGAGAGCTGGGCCTCTCCACGGTTAAGAAGACCCTCACCAGTATCTGATCTACAATGGGCCGGCACATTTTTTCTGTTGCCCTCTTTTCCAGCCTGTCCTGCATTCAAAACACAAACAAAACGACACACAATCAAGAAATATACAATATACTGTAATTAAAGAAAATCTGGTGCTGATGTTTTCATGTTATGCTGTGTTATTGTACACCACCTCAATGAAACGTCTCTGGTCTGCGGTTTTGTCCTGGTCCAGAGCTATTCCTCTGAAGTTGACCTGCATGGAGGCTCCTTCCAGCAACAATGGGTGGGTTTTGAGCTGCCACATTTCAGTTTTGATGCCTGGCTCTACTGACTTAAAAATGACCTCCACCTGCTTTGTATCACCTGGTAGAATCACACCTGGGAGAGTGGGGGAGGGGTATGGAAAGCAGAAAGCGGGCTTGAGTTCAGGTTGACAGACCCAGAAAGATGTGCTGACAGGGGAATAAACAGTGTGTGACATAAGAAAGGAGCAGCAGGTGTGTCGTGATGATGTTTGTGTGTACCAGATGAGGAGTTGAAGTAAAAGTGTTGTCTTCTATGTGATAGCAGGTTGGGGAATGGGTTTGGCGTGCAAATCCGCTTCCAGCTGTAGTAGATGGCTGTGCTGCCCTCATTGTGCAGCTCTAAGTCGGTGAAGACTACTTCTTCAGTCAGAGCCTCAAACAAAACAGTGACACTGATTCCCACTTCTCCCTGGTCAATAAAAGATATAAAGTATGAAATTCCAGCACACATAGGCCTCATATGTGAAAGGTAAAAGAAAATACAATGGAAAATGTAGCCTGCCTTTGAATAGAACTAATTCAACTAATTCCATTAATACAACAGAATTCACAACTCTGCTCTTCTCTGTATGGACTTTTAATAGAAATAACTTCATATTCTATGCATTCTGTTTTACACATCATAAGCTACAGTCAACAAAATATTAGAAAGCTTCCAAACATCATTATTTGACATTAAAAGTCGTCCTTTACGTATACAACAGGACAAAAAATCTGGAGAACACCTCAGCTGTCTTTTACAGTGACATAATAGTTTTCAGTGGAACGAGGTAATCACCTGATGTTACCCTTTGACTCTATAATGCTTAAGAGTAGGACACAGCACTCAATTTATCAAGACAACAAGTGAGCACAATGTGAAAATATTGAGTTAAAACTACAAGAAAAAGGGGAAATCAATCAATAAATGTACAGTCTGTCTCTAATGTGAGTATATTTTTCACTGTTGTGTTATAATATTTGAGTGCTTACAATGTACCGACACCTGGTCTGTACCTGCTTATTGTCAGAGTTTCCGGTCCATCTTGCTAGCTGACCACAGAACCTCAAAGCCGGACCACATAGAGCACCTGAGTGAACATCTTCATGCTGTGCCGGTGGATCACTGGGGAGGAGACAGCTGTATTACTCTTATCTCAGGTGAACAATGAGTGAATGAGTCATTTTTGTCATTAGATGTGTCCCACTTTAAAGGTTAGGTCTTAACAAGATACATTCAGGACATGAGTCAGGCTGTGCCGATTCCAAAGAACACTGACCGAGCTTAGTCTTTCAATGAAAGTCAGAATGTAAACATTTGTAGTTAATGATTTCAGTATTTCATCTCATTTTCTCATTTAAATTTGAATCATATCCAATCAATTTCATTTAATGTAATGTTAATATAACAATGTCAGTTTTAAGGAAAAAAATTGGCAGCAGTTATCCAAATACATAACCACATAATAAATGCAAAATGCAATTTTTATTCATGGCACTTAATTACTAAATAGTAATCAAATAGTGTAAATAGATACATCTTTTAAATAGCCAGATTTAGATGCCTGATTTGACTAATTCACAGTAGAATCATATGGAATTAAATAAACCAATTATTATTAAACCAAAAATTATTTCTGTTCTCACAGGTTCTCCTTAGTCTTTTTCTGCTCCTTTTCTTCTTCCTCCTCCTTTTCTATTGAGGGACTCCGACACACTATTTCATGGGTAAACGGCTTGCAAGATCCAATCACCTCCAGTCCACTTATATCCTGTAAACAGAGACGAAGAGACACACTGGTTAATGAAGAAAAAAGGTTACCTTTGTCTTTATCTCATGCTTGCTCAACAGTCTGATTACGAACATCAATAATATGTTCTGTCCACCTATGTACAAACAGAACAGCTGGAGAAAGACAGTGAGAATTTGTTGTGTAATATGACAAAACGAGGTGTTGTGGTACACACTGTAGAGTGGCTGACAGCCAATTAAGGCCTATTAAGGGTCGACTGCAATGTCCTTAAACCTTGTCCAACAAAAGCTTTTGAGTTCCTTCTTGGTTAGGTAATGATACCACCTCCAGAGAGGCCAGCTTGTGCTACCTTTCCGGAGAAGACAGTACCAGCAAAACATGCCTCAGCACAACTGCAACAGTTAGTTTTTTTTAGTGTTGTCTTTGATGATAATAATGATAATGATGAATCTTATTTATAACATTTTTTTACAAGTGCTCAAAAACGCTTTACAAGAAGCACCATTTAAAATACAGACAATTTGGAGAAATGAGACCAACAATGTCAAAGGTTATAAAAGACATAATATGAAAAGACAATAAAAGAACAGTTCACAGGTTAAAAGCCAATTGAAAAAGGTGTGTTTTTAGGAGTGATTTGAAAGTATGGGGGTCTGTACAGTCTCGGATGGGTTTGGGGAGTGAATTCCAGAGGGTGGGGGCGGCAGTGGAGAAGGCTCTATCCCCCCAAATGCTTGGTCCGAGGGGGTAGGGCCAGGAGATTTCCCTCTGAGGATTAGAGGGCACAGGAGGGGGTGTAGTGGTGGATCTGGTCTGTGAGGTTGGTGGGGGCCAGGTTGTTTAGTGATTTGTGGGTGAGCAGGAGGATTCTGAATTGTATACAATGTGAGAAGGGGAGCCAGTGCAGTTTTTGGGGGATAGGGGTGATGTGTGCGGGTGAGCAGGCGGGCAGCAGAGTTCTGAATGTATTGGAGTTTATTGAGGACTTTGGATGATGAGGCGTATAGGATGCTGTTGCAATAATCTATTCTGGATGTTATGAAAGCATGGATCAGGGTTTCAGCAGCGGAGAAAGTGAATGAGGGGCAAAGACAGGCAATGTTTTTGAGGTGAAAGAAGGCGGTCCTGGTGATGTGGTTAATATGGCGGTCGAACTTGAGTTGGTTGTCAAAAATGACTCCAAGGTTCCGGATGTAAGGGGAGGACGACAGAATACAGTTGTTGAAGGTGAGGCTGAAGTTTGGGGTCCTTCTGTTGTGAAATGTGGGACAGATGATGATGATGTCTGATTTGTCACTGTTCAATTGCAGGTAGTTTCTTTGCATCCATTTTGTAATTTCAGTGAGACAGTTGCTGAGTGTGGATGGGTGGTGGTGGTGAAAACGGAAGTTTTCAACCTGACAGAAAATGGTGATAATAATCCAGATATTGCCATGAAATTGGGATGCAAAAGTCAACTCCCACTGCAATATACACACGTGGACAAAATTGTTGGTACCCCTCAGTTAAAGAAGGAAAAACCCACAATTCTCACTGAAATCACTTGAAACCTACAAAAGTAACAATAAATAAAAATTTATTGAAAATTAAATAATCAAAATCAGCCATTACATTTGAAATGTTGATTAACATTATTATTTAAAAAAAACAAACTAATGAAATAGGGCTGGACAAAAATGATGGTACCTCTATAAAAGATTGAAAACTATTTGACCAGAGTGACATGATTAACTCAGGTGTGTCCTTTAATTGACATCACAGGTGTTTCCAAACTCATAATCAGTCAGTCTGCCTATTTAAAGGGAGACAAGTAGTCACTCTGCTGTTTGGTGAAAAGGTGTGTACCACACTGAACATGGACAACAGAAAGCGAAGGAGAGAATTGTCCCAGGACATCCGAAAAAAAATTATAGACAAACATCTTAAAGGTGCAGGCTATAAGACCATCTCTAAACAGCTTGAAGTTCCTGTGACAACAGTGGCTCATATTATTCAGAAGTTCAAGACCCACGGGACAGTAGCCAACCTCCCTGGACGTGGCCGCAAGAGGAAAATTGATGACAGATTGAAGAGACAGATTGTTCGAATTGTATCCAAAGAGCCCAGGACAACCTCCAAAGAAATTAAAGGTGAACTCCAAGGCCAAGGTACATCAGTGTCAGATCGCACCATTCGTCATTGTTTGAGCCAAAGTGGACTTCATGGGAGATGACCAAGGAGGACACCACTGCTGAAAAAAAATCATAAAAAAGCGAGACTGGAATTTGCAAAAATGCATGTTGATAAGCCACAAAGCTTCTGGGAGAATGTCCTTTGGACAGATGAGACCAAACTGGAGCTTTTTGGTAAGGCACATCAACTCTATGTTCATAGACTCAAAAACCAAGCATACGAAGAAAAGAACACTGTCCCTATGGTGAAACATGGAGGAGGCTCAGCAATGTTTTGGGGCTGCTTTGCTGCATCTGGCACAGGGTGTCTTGAATGTGTGCAAGGTAAAATGAAATCTGACGACTATCAAGGCATTCTGGAGAGAAATGTGCTGCCTAGTGTCAGAAAGCTTGGTCACAGTCGCAGGTCATGGGTCTTCCAACAGGACAACGATCCAAAACACACAGCCAAAAACACCCAAGAATGGCTGAGAGAAAAGCGTTGGACTATTCTAAAGTGGCCTTCCATGAGCCCAGATCTGAATTCCATTGAACATCTGTGGAAGGAGCTGAAACATGCCATTTGGAGAAGACACCCATCAAACCTGAGACAACTGGAGCAGTTTGCTCATGAGGAGTGGGCCAAAATACCTGTTGACAGCTGCAGAACGCTCATTGACAAATACAGAAATCGTTTAATTGCAGTGATTGCCTCAAAAGGTTGTGCAACAAAATATTAAGTTATGGGTACCATCATTTTTGTCCAGCCCTATTTCATTAGTATTTTTTTTTTAAAATAATTATGTTAATCAACAATTCAAAAGTAATGGCTGATTTTGATTATTTAATTTTCAATAAATTTTTATTTATTGTTACTTTTGTAGGTTTCAAGTGATTTCAGTGAGAATTGTGGGTTTTTCCTTCTTTAACTGAGGGGTACCAACAATTTTGTCCACGTGTGTATATGGAATGATACCTGATTTGAATATATAACAAGCAAGCCTTGCTTAGCATCAGTGCTGTCAACAGGTGTTGATGTTACCTTGGTTCGAGTTCATAATAAAAATGCATCAAATTCATATTGCGCTTTATCAGACACCCTCAAAGGGCTTTACATTGGATACAACATTCTTTCGCTCACATCAGTCACACCTTTGTGGTTGTAAACTACCTAAGTAGTCACAGCTGCCCTGAGGCAGAGCGACAGAAACATGGCTGCCAGTTTGTGTCTACAGGCTCTCCGACCACCACCACACAATACTCACAAGCAAAGAAAATGAATCCATTGCGTTCTGTCCTTCTTTTATTTCTATTTTTCTTCTTTTCTTCCCACTTCAAAACTCAACCCTGACCATTTATCTCTCTTCTACCTTTGCATAACATGTCACAGAGCAAAGGACAAGTCAGCTGCTGACAGGACAATCTGTCTCTGACCACATGTCAGAATATACTTTAAGGCACATATCATGTCAGCATCACATCAGCCATCAGTTCAACAGAACACACAGCTACCATTTCATCTTATATCAGTGACATGTGTTTGTGTGTCTGTGAGAGTGTCAAAAAAAGGGAAGGACACTGAGTGAGAGCAGAAAAAAAGATGTAATTAGAATAAACCTTTCCATAATGAGCACCTGGTACTTATTGAGTTAACAGGATTAAATGAGAACTGGCTGTGCAGAGTAGTGCACATTTGTCTAAGTGTTGTTTACCCCATCACCTCTTACCCTGCTGATAGAGTCATTCTGATGCAGAGAGTGGTTGGCAGTTTTAGCCCTTTTTCTTGAGCCCTGTTACTCCATAGATCATCCCTCTGATTGGACACGCTCTAGATTTCATAACTGTACCATCTCTATGTGATGTAAACAGATGTGTTTATAAAAGGGCAGCAGTGCTTCATTGTAGATCCTGTGAGGAGATTCTATCTGTTATGAAACAGACTAAAATTTACACTGATACGTCATAATTAAATATGCAAACAAGACTGTCATGAGAAGAGAGATATAGGGCCCTGCCATACACCTAGTGCAAAGTGTTTGTGTGCAGTACCAGTGTCATGGTCATTTTCCATCCATTGTAATTTACACCCAGAGCTTATGTCATATAGCCTAAATAGCAATGTAATTTGCACCCACATAAGCACCTGTGGGTGTATTGGTTTTGAAATGAGGTTTGATCAGGTGCACAGATATGCTTCTATCTTGAGGAAGCAGAAATGTCTACACTTGAGACTCTAGAAAAGCTCACCTGATATTAAGGGTACATAGGTGAGGCAGTAAAAAGAGCAAAATAATTGACAATATGCATTTCTCTGGAGGTTACACACATAGAGCTTTGCAGTGGGGCTCCCACTCATGAGAAAAACAAAACAAAAAAAACAGATTTGCTTACACATTGAAATTCAATTCCTAAAACATCCTGAGCTTCAACCATGCACACACATTCTCCAATATGCCTGCAGAAATGGACACAAACTCACACACTCGCTCTGAGGAGTCTTTTTTCCCCCACAATCTTCTCACACAACTCTTGATGCTCTACAAATATTGATAAAGACCAAACTATTCATCATGCAGGCATTACAAACACAGCTGTGTGATCCAGCAGCAAAAATAACTAAATAAGATGATAACAACCAACCTCTCTTTGGTGATCCTGTCAGGAACTGTTAGCATGTCCTGATTCTTGGATGTTTCATGAACTTACGCTGCTGCCATGTGTGTTAATATCTTTTGGTTAATTTGGAAAGTATGTGATGTTTTTGACTGTACAGAGGACTTGTTTTGGGGGAAGTTACACCAGTCCATGTATCGACATGACTTTTACAGGGACCTGTGTGAGTCTAATGCATTTTTAGGGGCAATGTAAAATAAGGGTAGTTAACTATGACAGCTCAGTTTGATAGAAAGGCTGAAATCAGCTGTGTAAATAACAATACACCTGTCTGCAGGTGCATCTGGCAGGATGATCTCTCTAACAAACTTGAGATCTTGGATCTCAATGGGACTATCTGTCGCGGTCCAGGGTTAAACAAAAGAAAAAGGACCCAAATGCAGAACAAAGGATTTAATAAAAAAACAGAACTAGATGAAAAAAACAAGAAAAACTTTCTCAAAAAATGTACAACTAAAAGATCCAAAGACAAAATCCAAGAAAAGGCCCTGGGAAGAAAAAACAAGGAACAACTGGGTACACAAGCATTTGACATACCAACAAACATACAGTGAACCAACCAGGGCAGAGGGGAAGACAGGGACTAATGAGCAACAGGTGAGGCAGATGAGACACAGGTGAAACTCGTGAGTGATTAACCAAGGAGGGAAAACTCGGGAAGTAAAACTGGACTAGAAACGCATGGAATCAACTACTACAAAAACTGATCTAAAGAATAAAACAAAGAGAAAAGTAGGGAAACAGGGTCAAACACAAACTAAAAACTCACAAGACTAGACAGCAGGGGAACAGGAACAATAGGGAACAGAAACACTGGGGAAAATCACAAAGAAAGTACACTCAGTTAACAAAACCAGGGAAAAACTAAATCAATAGAACACATCATGACACTAACCTGGTTAAGTAAAGGTTATCTGACTCTCAAAAGAAATGTGAGCAGATGCACAAATCGGTTTGTTTTATAATACACCAATGAATAATCAAGAGACCTTATCCAACCTCAAAGTACCCTGCACTTCCCTTATCACAGAGGTGTGTGCCTCTTGAATAGCAACACCCTGATTTATAGTGTGTCATGCACTCTCGATCGTGAGTTTAAACAGGCACTTAAGTGGTTACTTTAATGCATAATATCATTGACATTGAAGATGTCCAACAACACAATTATCAACACTCACCCAAAACAGCCTTTACTTCATAAAAGTAAAGCAGGACGAGATTTTTGTCAGAAAACTCGACAAGAGAATGTGCAGGTCGTGATCAAAGACAACAGGACCACTTTGTCCACAGGGAGCGCAAAAATCTACACAAACTGAAAGTTTCTCACCAGAGCTTAGATCTAAATGTTTGTCTAAAAACTGAGAGCAAGTTTTGAAGATAATGAGATCGACCATCACATTTTTTTTGAAACCTTGTATATTTTCAAACACATGTGTTTTCACACGTTTCTGTAAACGTGCCCTCCATGGTCGTGAATGTACATGTGCCTGTCTGTTATGCCCACCTCCTGCTTTTAGCTCTTGAACAGAAAACCCAGAGTAGTTTGCCAAAGGCAGGATGATAACAGGCTGTTATTGAAGATACAGACTGATCATGAGCAGTTAGCAGCTCTAGAGGGGACAGAATGTCCTGAGGGTGTGAGCAGCGTCAGTGGGCTGTGTGCTTGGACAACAAGCCGGCCAATAATGAAGTCGCTTTCTGCTAAAACAAAACATATGCAATCTAGATCTGTGCTGCGCATATGGAATTGGGTTATTGTACATAAATAGGGTAGAATTAACATGTTTGGGAATAAAGTGTAATTTGGTTTTTGCATCACAGCATCTTAATCATTGCCTCGCAAAGTTAAAATAAGACTAGTTGTGTACCAGATGTTTGAGGCAACATCAGTGTTCCCTTACTGAACACATATGATAAAATTCCCACTATGGTGGTGGAGGTAGATAAAGCTCTGCCAAAGTTTTACAGGAGAATGTAAAAAGGCTATAGCTTTTATTATTACCATCAGGACTGTTGTAAAAGAACATTAAAAACAACATATTAATTCCTCAATCATACATTGACTACACTACAAACAGAATGTAATGGTTTGATGTTTAAATTAAAAGTACTATTGCGTTACAGAAATCATGTTCCCAAGCATAAAATTACAAATAACTGTGGGATTGTTATTTGCAAGACATTGCCAAACCACATTCAGCAGGTATTTCAGCAGCATAGCTCCTTCGTAGAAGGAAACTATTGCTGCGTTCAAGTTACCTCAGAGGTCAGATGTCCGAGCTGGGAATGACGTCACACCCGAGTTTCCAGCGTTTCAGTCACCCAGTTGGAAAAAAGCAAAATCGGATGTGGAAACAAGATGTTGCAGATGGACCACATATTGGTCCAGAAGTTGCTTGTATTCTGACAAGGCAAGCGGTAACATAACTTTCGTGATGTAGCCATCTTGTTTCGACCTCCGATTTAGCTTTTTTCTGACTTTGTAACTGAAATGCTGGTGACTCAGGTGTCATTCCCAACTTGGACATTTGACTTCGGAGGTAATTTGAACACAGCATATGAACTCTTTCTCAGTTGGAATGCTGTATTCTTGAAAATAGCCTCACTTCCCTAATGTTTAGACTGTTCTTAAAAGAAGAGGTGATGCATCACTCTGGTAAACATGCCCTTGTCCAAGCTTTTTACAATGTGTTTTTGGCGTTAAATCTAAAATGAGATTGTAGAGTGTTTCTCCATTTCATATTTTGACTTTGAATTGTTATTGATTCAGTATAAGTATTAAATGATTTGCCACCCATCAAGCTATGTTTTTATTCCCATTTTATGCAGTGTCTCAACTTTGCTTGAACTGAGCTTGCATTTGGTTGGAATAGTTTGAACATTTTTACCGGCTTTTTGATGTTGATATCCTCCAAGACCTCTCTGAGCTCCTGGCACTGGTATGCTTTCTGGTCCTGGGTCGGAGAGGTTGGACCTGGGGTTTCATTGCACATCAGTCCTTGAGGAAGAAGAGTTTGTTGGAAAGATGAAAGCATCAGCCACTGTTTAGAGGAGTCAAATTCCGTGAACGGTTTATTTTCCTGGATGCTAGAAGTGTCGAGAATAAAATAAATGGTTTAGCTTATGCTTTAAAAGGTTGTTATGGGTGTCTTGTCGTATGCTTACCTGATTCTCGTAGTATGCTTCTTGGCTGCCCCACATGTACAACAGGTTCCCGTCTGCCCTGCTCGGTCTGAGTCAAAGTAGCTGTGATCCCACTCATCTCATCTCCATAATGTGGGGGGAGTCTCCAAAACTCACTGCCCACATGATGACCCTGAAACATAAAAACAACTCATCACCCCAAAGAAGGTGCTACACAAACAGAGCTTCTAACTTTTAAATGATAAAAAGATGAGATAGTAGTGTGAGTAGAAGTATAGCCGAGACAACTTGTCAGTGTCATACATATCTAGAATGGACAAATGGTGTGGCTTGATTAAGAGATTCCCTCTGCTTCTGAGTTTCTCTAACACTGGAAGCTTGGTTCATCACTAAGTTTTCCACCGGCCGGCCAAGCAGATCTTCAGAGAGAGCAGAGCAGCAGATGAATAGAAAGAAAAATAGATGAAGGTAAAACTTTCAGTCTTAAATTTGTTCAAAAAAGTCTCACTGGTTCCGATTCAAAATCCCTTAATTTAAGTGATTTAACTCTGTATCAGCGTACCAGCTAAGAAGTCCTGCTGCTGTCTGCGCCGCCTCATCTGTATTTCCCAGTTCTGAAGAGCATTACTTTCAATGTTTCCCACACTTGAAGAGATCACACTCCTTCCATGCACAGCACTAGGGTTGGGTCGTCTTGCAGCCTCAGGGTTGGGCCATCTCATAGCCTCAGATACAGGGTCTCTCTGGGGTGCTGGTATTCGTTTCAGCAACTAGATGTTGAAGAGAGGATAGATGGCACACAACAGGATTAGAGCATTTAGAAGTTACGTATAGTTTTACAAAGTGTGGTGCCTTTAATGGTGTTTAATTATTGTATGGTGCAGTGACAACTTGGTTGCATTGATACTGAAGTTACCTCTGTCTCCCCTATGGACTCCAGATAGTTTCTCAAACCCTCCACTGTTCCCAGGATGCTGTGTGGAACCAACATCCCTTGTTCATCTAGCCTAAGTCCTTCAAGTCCAAGAGAAAAAGGAAAAGGACATAAAAACAGATAGAGGTCAGACATTTAATTCGGTCAATTCAGAGCATTTTGACAAAATTGGCTTCATATTGACATCGGCCCTTACAAGGTTGATATCATCGTAGTCCTCCCCAAGAGAAAACCTTTTCTTCTTATCCCCAGTGGCAGCATTTCAAATCAAAATCCATCACTAGCTAGTGTTTGATATAAATTCTGTCATTTTGTGAAATAATGCAGTTTAATATTGCTTCTGACGTAAATATCAGTCATGTTCTGAAATCTTTGAGTAACCCAATATATATTTTTAGTTCATAAATTCCTCAAATATTCACCCAAAACATGTTACAGCTAAGATAATCATGTAATATTTTATAGTACATGGAATAAGCGAATTTAAACCTGTCTTTTTTTTTTTTTTTTTTTTAACCCTGTGATCACATATGGCAATATTTTATTAAGCCAAAACATGCTCAGCTCTACATCAATCACTCAAATACAGCAAATGTGCTTTCTTATCTGTTAATATTATTAAACAGTTGTATTGGTGGACCACTAGACACAAAGAACATTGTGACCTGCCACATACATTCACAAGTTAACATCCCCCCTGTTTTCTGCTCTTTATTTCGGGACATAATATCTAATTGCAAAAAGAATAATGGATTTAAAAAGGCTATAGCCAGTACTGTAAATACACTGGCCATATACAAGTTATAAAAAAAGGTCAAGGAGAGACTGGTGAATAAACAAAGCTAAAATAAATGATGTTAGCTAAGAAAAGACAACGTGGCAGGGTCTTTTGTTTGTAACCTCCACTAAATCCCTCTTTGAGACCTTTACATTATCGAACCACCTGCTTAAATGAACATATCAAACAACAAGTCATCTTTTTCAGAAAAAGGCATTTATCACATTGAATCCCCTCCAGTACTGTTGAGAATAACATCCTTTATAGACAAGAGATCATTCAAAAGGCTACCAATAAGTGTTTATGTCCATGAGTGGAAAATAGCAAACCTGGGAAGTCCAGAAGTTTGGGAGCAGGGTCAGCTGGCTGTGCAGGGTCCATGAGCACTGGTTTCTTTTGATTTCTATATGATATTCTTTCCTTCTTTCCTTAGAGTTAATTTGGTGGACTGGTGGTCTCTTAATATAAATTTTCTTTTGGGCACCTTCTTCTGTGGAAGAGAAAAGGGAAAAAAAAAAAAGAAAATATATAGTTAGCTACTATTGTTTGTTTGAGTGTGCGTTTGTTTTGAGTATGAACCTTGCTGCTATAGACCTAAAAATTCTGTCTTTGGTGTCCATAAAGGTACATTAAACAGAGATGTTCCAGAAACACTGATACAGTTAGTTCTATGAGTGACCCTCCTCCCAACAGTTATTCACTGTTGTACTCATATCCACTATAATAACCCTTAGTCCATGGCTTTTATGTCTCATTTAGCTGTTTTTCCAGTTTTTTTTTTTTACATTCTTTTAGATGCTTGCATTGTCCTTGGTCTCAAAAGTACTGAATTGTTCCCATACAACTAATTAAATCAACTTTCTAAAGCCATTACTGCTGACATTCAGTATAGCACTTTCTAATTCAGGACATCAGCACAGCACGGACTGAGTTGAAACTGATGTTTCTTAAAATGAGAACGGGATTAATACTGCTACGTTCCGGTTACCTCGGAAGTCAGAGGTGGGAATGACAGCTTGTTGGCTGTTGTTAGTTGTTGTTAGCTATACCGGTTGTAAACAACGCAGAACAAAGTATTTTACTCTTACAAACACCATAACACCGTGTAGTACAAGTGCTACACGGTGTTATACAAAGTGCAAAGTGAGGGAATACAGTGCGCTTCCGTAGTTTTCAGTAGCCTACCAACATTTTCTTAAAACACTGGTTTGAAAAAGGAGAAAGTAGCTCCAAACACGGCACACAGGAGGAGAAAAGACGCTTAGAGCAGAAAAAGACGCGTTGGCTGGTTGTACCTCACTTGTGCTGGTCTCAACTCGTTCGTGGTTTCACCGCTGTGTCTTTAGTGTACCTAGTTAGACCATGACGACACCATGGCAACGGACGTTGGCAGGTTGTGTCGGTGTTGTGCCGTAGAATGCACCCCTGCCAGAATGCATCCCCTGCATCCCATCCACTCATTAGCCTCTTAAAGTGGGAGAAATGATCTCATATTAAAAAAAAAGAAAAGAAAAACACACCATGACAACATGTCAAATGGAGCAGCAAACTTTTGTTCTGTTTTTATGTATCTCAAAAATGCACGTATAGAGGTGTGCTTGGGTATATAAACTGTACAGTAAGCTGTCAAGGTAGAGAACATTATATTTTCGCGACAGCAAATATTCCGAATCAGAGGGCTATCGTTTCTGGGTTATCTGAATGGCCTGAATGAAGTCATTAAGGGCACACGCTTTTGAATCCAACCAACGGCAAGAAAAACTTGGATCGTTTCGCCTTGTTACGTACTTTAATCGCTCTCCCGTCAGGGGATGCATTCTACGGCACAACACCCTTCTCAACTCGTTCGTGGTTTCACCGCCATGTTTTTAGTGTATCTACGGTCAGACCATGGCACCATGGCAACGGACGCCGTAAAGTCACATAGCAACGAGACAGTTGAGTACTTTAATTTTCCTTCTCCCTTTTGTCTTTCTTGACTTAAAACCTATACAATATTGTCCATCAAAAGTGATTGTGATAAAATCACGTTTGAAAATCAAATAGCCTGGTCTGTCTTTAAATTTTGAGCCTTCAATTACATTTCTGCACGGTACGCCTTTTTTAAAACTGTGAGAGAAAGTAGCCTACAGCCCTTTTTTCATTTTTATTTCCTTAATCCATGCAATAAAGGTGAAATAACATCTGGGAAATAAAAACATGTAAGTCAATCCCTATATCATTATTATTATTATTATTATTATTATTACTATTATTATTAAAAATATTATCATTATTATAAAAACAGCATCAACCACAACAACAATTAAACTATTATTATCATCATTATTATTATTATTATTATTATTATTATGATCATCGTTGTTGTTGTTATTATTATTCTTGTTAGAAGTCGTAGTAGTAGTAGGAGGAGGAGAAGTAGTAGTATAAAGTCAATCTGAAACATAGGCCTACATTTTAAAAGATTAAATTACTAGAATTTTTTTCTTTTTGCTACACCTTTACCTTCAGACACAGATTGTTATTCATCTTCCAGAAGAGTATAACAGCCCTTCCTGTCAATCTGTATGACGCGCATGAGCGCAGGGTGTTGGGTGGCCTATATAAGAACGACTGAGAACAGCCTCTGCACCAAAGGCAAACGCAAGTCTCTGAAACGTCAGACCACACATTCTGCCCATCCATTTGCGCGGAACCGAAGCGCATAACTATTTCAGAACCATGGACAGGAGCAGCATGACCGCCGGCGCACAAACCACCTCCATCGCTGTTCCGCACCAGAACAGCTGTTCCACCATCGATGGCCCCCAGTTTCATGGCAGCATGGACGGACAGTGTGCTGGGTCCTCAAAAGTCTTGATGGCTTATAAAAACGCGTCGCAGCACCTAAGTTCATCGGGTATAAAAGCGGGCTTGGGGATCCTTAAAGTGGCCACGTCTCAGTGGAAACAGGAGAAGAAGACGCGATCAGGGTCAGCCGTGAGGCAAGTGTCCTCTTCCAACGGCGGTCACCCCTGCAAGAGGTCACCGTTGGATCAGCTGGCAGCTTTAGTTCTTCACAGTCAAACTAGGCAGCGACAGATTGGCCAAGCACACCGACAGGACTCCCTTTACTCTACCAAGCCGCAAAACTGTAGGCGCATCGTGGTTCTTGGTGCGCCACGAGTCGGGAAGACCTCCATCCTAAGGAGATACCTTAGGGACGGATTTGTAGAGGACTATAACCCCACAACCGAGGATTTTCTCAGGAAACTCTTTCGTATCCGCGGAGAGACGTACCAAATCGACATCCTGGATGCGTCCAGAGAGAGGGATTTCCCAGCCAAACGGCGTCTGTCCATCCTCACCGGTATTTTTATTTGCTTACTAATCATTTCTCATTTTTTGAAACTCCAAACGGCACATTATTGTTAATTCAACCGAAAAATAGTAGCCGTTAAAGGTGGTGAGTGCATGTGCAAAGGCGAAGGACAAAAGCTGTCTTTAAGTGATATTAATATATTCCTGTTCTACTATTATTTCTCTGCAGGTGACATTTTCCTTCTTGTGTTCAGTCTGGATGACCGGAGCTCTTTCAGAGAGGTGTGCGCACTGCGAACGGAGATTTTGGCTGCAAAATCCAAACTCACCAAATCATCCGCGCCAGATCAGCGCGCACGACTGCAGGTTCCTCTGGTGATCTGTGCCAACAAAGTGGATCTCCTGGAGTGTGACAGAGAAATATCAAAAATAGAGGTGCTTCAAGCTTTCGGTGATGACTGTTCCTATTTTGAGACATCTGCCAAAGACAGCACAAATCTCGAAAAAGTCTTCGAAACTTTGGCAAAGCAAGGGGGACTCCCGGCTGAAACTGGTCCGTCTCAACACCGTAAAGTCTCCCTCCGGTCGTACCAAGCAATGCGCACAGGTCGTGCCCAGGGGGAGAGGGTGAACCAGAATCTGGCGCGTGAAGATGCATGCGGAGCCCTGTACCCACTAGCTCGGAGGCCGAGTTTTAGTACGGATCTGCGGCAGGTGATTGGACCACGGACGGCGAGAAAGACTGGGAAAGGACTGGAGAAGTGTCAGATCCAGTGAGAGACAATCAGAACATAAGGCAGTGTTTGAAATATATTACATTATATTTCAATTTTTTATATTTAATTATGAATATAAATATGTATATATATATTATTGACTTGTCTTCTTGTGTGTGATAACCAAAAGAAAAATAAAATTTCTTGTGTTCTCATTTCTCAAGTTTTAGGTCCTTCTATCTATCTATCTATCTATCTATCTATCTATCTATCTATCTATCTATCTATCTATCTATCTATCTATCTATCTATCTATCTATCTATCTATCTGTTTGTTTGTTTGTTTGTCTTTCTTCTCTTTGTCCATGGCTGTATATTTTATGGTGTGTGTGTGCTACCCATCCACACACTCTGAAGGAGAAAGTGGGAGGATGCTGAGTCAGGAGTGGACTGTTGGCTTACTGTACGACTATTGCATAATACATATTCAGATAACAACTCTTTCTCTTGCTTGCTCACTCTTCTGGTTCTTCCTACTTGTATGAATGTGTGTGTGTGAGTGTGTTTGTTATGCTGTTTTCGTGATAGCAAGTCCACAGCTTGAATCCCACACATCCTTAACAACCAGATTCAAGCAGGGGTTTCCAGCTGGCATATATACCACGCTGTCCTCTATGAATGGCTCCATGTGTAGGCCCATCATTCTGTGGATCTTTCCTGTCTGTCCAGTATGAATCCACACAAAACATTTTTCCTTTAAAGGCCATAAAAATCCTCGTCAGAATGGATGATGCGAAACAAACAAAGGAGGCAACAAGATCTAACTTTATCACTTTCTAGAGAGATACACAGTTGGCAGCAACACAATGCTCATGAGTTATAAGAATCATTAATGCAGTGACCAAAGGACTGCTGGGATTTTAGATTTGTGACAAATCTCACATGATCCAAACCTACAAGTACTTTTATCCTGCATTTGTAACATCAATAAAATATTATACTTCTCGTTCGTTCCCATGTGCAATAGAGGATTATCATCACCCTTCCCACTGTCCCTTTCTTTACACATTGAACATGATCATCAAACCATGATACTAGAAAGATCCCGTAAGTACTTTTCTCAAAAGAGAAAACGTGAGCGTTGCCCCTTTCACTCACACAGCTCTAATTGGACACTATTGTAAGGGTGTGAGATGTGAATGTGTGAGTCATGAAGCCTTGAAGCCTCGTAACAATACCTGTGTATTGTACAGGCCAGGGATAACACAGATGTGGGGAACTCCAGTTAAAGCTTTCTTCTGGGAACACCTTCCGAGGATGCGGTGTTAAGGGAAAAAACAAGCTAATGTGGAGTCATGAAGTGTAATGTCTCATGGACCCAGCAACCCTTTCTTTTCCCAAAAAAGCTACAAGCTCATTCACTGACAGCTCTGAAGAATAACATCTATCAGTGAATATTAGCCGTGGAACTCAACAAACAAAGCCCCAGTTACCATAGAAACAGTCTTACAACCTATCTTTGCTCTAGCTGAACTTCACTCGGAGGTCAACTCTGAGCCACAATGGCAAATGGGAGAGGGTTTATATGAAAATGTATTGCATTTACTTCTGAGAAAAAAATCCTCACGTTTGTATAAACTAAATCATTAATTCCAATAACAAGAAATGTTTTACAGAAAAATGCAATTCTGGTTTGGCTGACCCAATGCTTCAGTTGTGGTCCAGTATTTTCAGCATTTGCTCAATTGTCTTAATTCTTCAATTACCAGAAGTCAATGCATTTCAGATGTGTGATCTTCTTTTAATGAAGCATGCCAAATCAACTCAACTGACCCTGAAGAAACACTGCAACCAGTAGATTTTGGACGGGCTTTATCACTGAACACTGCTAAGACTACATGTGCAGGTCCAAAATGACAAAGTCAAACTTGTAACAAACATTAGTAATAATAATCTAAAGCTTTGGTGAGAAAAGTTCACTTTGTTCTGATTCGTTCCTTGTTGGAAAGAACAAACTGCTAATGCATTTAGATATGCATCTATTGCTTTCATGCAATTCTCTGTTGTTTTATAGTTAAAATTATTATTTGCTTAACGACACATTTTTGTACCTTATCAACTACTTTTTGCAGTTTGTAGTAATTCTTTTGAGAAATGCTCAAACTGTTGTGCAAATGTCAATAGTTATTTAAGAAATACAACAAAGCGACTGAGAAAAACTGTAAATGTTGTGCCTTCAGACAAAATCCTCACCCCGTTATCTTGGGATTATCTCTCTTCTCAAGGACAAAGTAAAAACGGTCTAATCCTCATCCTGTGATAAACTTCTGGACTGACACCTACCTACCTAACAGCAGATCTAGGTCTGGTTGTGCTGTAAGGGTTGAGAAGTCCTGTGATTTATGTCAGTGTCGAGGCCACAGGAATTTTTGAAGATGAATGGAGAGCTGACGGGAGTGATGTGGTGGTGTTGCTTTAACCTTGTTCATATTCAGGTGGCAGGAGCATTGTGAACTAGTTGTAAGTGAGAAATTGTTGCTTGTGAGATGCCAAGGTAAAGTGAGTTGCAGTAGTCAAGCATGGATGATATTAGTGCGAGAATGGTTGTTTTGAAGAGGAGAGAATGATGTAAAATGCCTGACTTTGTCTTGATTTGAAAGAAGCTACTGACAACTGAATTTACCTGCATATTGAAACTGATGACAGTGTTAAGTATTTTTTGCTTGTCATCTGATGATGGCGGAGAGGTAGTTGAGGTTCTGGGCAGGAGTGGTGGGATGATGTTAGGGACCTAAGAGAAGCATGTCTTTTATTCATTTCATTTTAAGTTAACCAGTTTTCTCATTTCATTGAGTTGAAATGATTTGATGTTGTTTGATTGGACAGTAATTAGAGGCTGCGGGATCTTGCTGTCTGTCTCTACCATAGACTTTATATAGAATGGACAGCATCTGCCTCCTCGCTAGGTGAAGCCACCCTGAGAACAGCACCCTCTGGTGACGGGCTGCAGTATAAGTTATAAATTCCACCTCCTCCAGCAATCCTTATGGAGCTGTGGACAAACTTTAGAAATTTATGACACAGAACGCATTTTTTTCCCTCCTGCTTGCAATGTTGATATGTAGTTATTGTAAGACTGGTTTGTGCTCAAGTCCTCTTTTTTTCTGTACAGCTCCATTTTTAAAATTTATTAAGGGGTTCATGTTTTCTATGATTGACACTTGAAACAGTCTATGGGCACACGAAGATTGCTGAGCTCACCCGGGGGACACACTGTTTGAGCCGAGCATCATCACAGTGACTCACGGCGACTCTCCCGCCGAATGAGGGAGGCAGTACAATGCTACTGTGCAAGTGGTGGAGTGCGTACAACGCTACTGCGCAATGTTAGTTTCAGGAAATGGAGAAAAAACTTGAACTTCTTGGCTTCAAATCTGTATCCTGGCGGGAGGCGGAACCAAGTTGTCCATAGTATATACAGTCTATGGTCTCTACAGAAAGACTTTCAGAAGTCTCTTCCTCACTGTTGTCATGTGCAGAAAATTATACATTTCTGGAAAACTGCAGCCATTTGCACCTCTGAGTAGCTGCAGTGACTTTAATGCACGTGGCATCTGTTGTGCCGCTCTTTGTTGTGAGGCACACACACATGCAGTCATCCACCCACACACACTCACACAGTGACACAGATGCACATGCGTACAGCTGTCTTTTTACACCAGGTGCCCCTGTCTCTGCTTGCACGTGTGAAGGATTCACGTATGTTCCTGTTGTTCTGTCTCTGTTTGTCTGACACACACATAGAAGTACATTCACCAGAACACACACGCACACAGACAGGATGACACGACCGAAATAATGAATGACGAAAAAACATGATCTGATTTTCAACTCAGCCTCAACCTTCATCTGTCAGAGTCAGTCAGGGTGTTAATCAGCAGTGTGGTGACATTTACAGGACAAACAAATGAAATCCAAAAAGAAAAAAACATTGAATTCTGTCCAAAGTTAAACTTGGTACATTTACAATTGCCAGCTCCTCTTTGAAGGGAGGAGCAATCATGTGCACCTGTTCATGAGAGAACTATCATCATCCAAGAAGCTGACCTTGTGAGAGAATGACGATTCGTAATCAAACCAACAAGAGGCAAGGAAACAAACGCTGAAATATCACATCAAAAAACTACAACCAAATATTGTATATAATATCTCTATTTTTGGCCTCCCTCCACTAGCTCCAAGTTGATTTTAGAGTTGATTTTAGGATCTTAATGATAACTCTTAAAGCACTGTCTGGACTTGCCCTGAAGTACATCACTGATCTCCTCACACCTTACGAGCCTGGTCATTCCTGAGGTTGAGGGTCTGCTGACTGTTCCTCAGTCCAGGCCATGGACCAAGGGGGACCAGGCTTGTTTTGTCAGGGTCCCCACTCTCTGTAGAAAATCAGACCTGCAGGTTCCTTATCCTCTTTCACTACTTGTTTAAACCCATTTGAATAGGTGTGCATCTACTGGGTATGACTTTTAACTTCACTCTTAGTTCTTGACTTTTAATTAAATCTTATCTCTCTAACTTTGTTTGACTTATTATTATTATTATTATTATTATTATTATTATTATTATTATTAATGTATTTTTTAATGAATAAAAAAATATTAAAAACAGAGTTTCATCTCTTCCTTTTGGCTGATTGTTTTGGAAATTGTATCAATGTCTGCTGCTGTATGTTCTTCTTATATTACTATTGTATTTTTAAGTTATATAGCACTTTCTCACTCTGTTTTTCAAAAGTGCTACTTAAATAAAGTAATTATTTTATAATTATAATTATTAATACTATTACACTTGGTCTGATATGACACCTTCATGCTGTCATATATACTGTAAGTCAACACCTGACTTGTCTGGGCAGTTTTTTAAAGGTCTCCTCTGGAACCAAGTGTCAATTCTTTCTCCACTTTCTCTTCAGATTTCTTGATTTTACAAGCACATTGTTTCCTGCCTGTGACTTTAAACTTGAGGTGTGAATATAAGCTGGCTTTCACCCAGTGTGCACAGAGTTGTCAACGTTCTAATCAGTCGCTATAGTTCAATGCAGCGAGGTCCAGATCTTGCAGATAAAGATGGAGTGAGGCAGAGGCCTTGTCACGCAATGAGAGAAAATGATCATTTTCTTGTTGTCTGGCTGGCTCAGTGGGTGTTTGCCCTCAAAAGCTTGACCGTTAAAATAATTATTTGTAATTAAGTGAAACTAGTGTGAGGGCAGACATTTGTTTAATTAAAGCTGGTTGGATTTCTTGTCCTGTGAGTGGCTCTTTCCTGCTTTTAACATCAGACAGACAGGAAACTGTTACTAACAGTATATTCTTACAGTAGGGTCAAAAAATAACTCATTTTGATTGTATTAATTCCTTCCCAGGTGAGGTTTGACTTTGCAATAACATTTGATAGAGTAGTAAGGCTGGAGTCAAACAGAAACTATGAGGTGAAACTCAGTTTCCTGTGTTTGTTACAGTGTGTGGTCTCACAGCCGTAATAGTACCAGTAGTATTAGTACTGCACAACATGCATACATCAAATAGAGAATAAAAAATTCTTTTAAAAACAAGCAAACAGAGGAGCATAGTAATACGCACAAGATCAGGTAAAGTGAATGCTCCTGAGCCAGTCAGTGGAAAATAATGCCACACATACTAATCCCCACAAGAGGGCAGGCCAGGCACAGATGGTATGAATCAGAAGTGAATTCAGGTTGTACCCAGCCTCTTGCCCAATGACAGCTGGGATAGGCTCCCACCCACCCACGACCCCGAAAGGGACAAGCGGTATAGAAGATGAATGAATGAATAGCCACCATAGTATGTCTGATGGCATTTCTATTACTGTAAGATACAGCAGTGTACATGGTTGAAGAATATTGTTATTTATGACCTGATAACTTTGCCTCGGATTACTTTTTCAAATCTACACTATCTTAAAATCATTTCAAGCATTTGAAATATGTATCAATGTTATTTCAATTTAGCTGAGAAAGGGTTAAAAACACTTCTTACAAATAATAAATTTATGTTAGTCCATCATAGATTTAGAGCTGAAGCAGAACAGGTCAAAAGTTTTGGTGGTAAGTGAAAATGCTTTAATGCTTATAATGCTAGTGTAAATGTTATACCTGAACTAAAACAAAGGGAAGAAGTCATCAAAAGACTGATGTGATGCCCTTCGAAAGTAATTTTTCCCTTTAGGTTTTGTTTACTGTAGGATAAAATACATCTCACGTTACAGAAGCAGCCTGCTACAATGATTGCTGACCAGATTTGAAAACATTTTGTAAATAAATAAATCACAACAAGTGTCTTAGATGGGACACAAAAATAGATCTTACTCTAAATCAATCATCTGTAGGTGTGCTGATCAAAGGGAGCCAAATTTAACAACTGACAGGACTTGAGGGATCCATCAGAAACCACAGCACACTTTCAGAGGTCTAGTCAAGTCCATACCTTGTCTGAAGCACATAGATGTACTTCTTTGGAGTCAAATTGCTCTTTATACCTCAGAGTGTAACAGAATAGCACAAATACATGAAAAATAAGGGTATTTGTGCATTTGTTTTATTTTAAGCATTTTTTTTACCATGTTGCTTAAAACAACGAGGAGAACACCATAATTTTCAAATCCCTCCTGAAACTCAAGAGGCCCTTTTAAAATGGTCATGTTAGTTAAATTTCTCACACAATAATACGATACAAAAAAAGAAGTTGATGAATAGAACCTTTTTTGTACAATTGAAGTGTAAATTTTTAAAACGAACGTCTAAAAAGCTGAGGTTGTAAGCTTTTCCTCTGGCTGCCAGTAGATGGCTCTCTTCTCTTTCAGCCTGCTCAGCATGCAGTCATACTTCAGTGTTGGTTTAATAGGAAATGCAACTGAAATCTGGAGTGAAACTGATGTTTGGAAATAGGGCGGGATCTTATCGGGCGGGTTTATGAAACTATCTCTTCCACAGTCAGTTTACCTTACAGCCTTGGACACACACTATTACAGGTAGGCTATAATATATATGTTTGAATGTAGAAGAAATGTGCTACCTTAAATGCTTAGCTAAAACCACTGCAATGACCATTTACATTTCAAGTTTAAAAAACTTTTCAAAATGTTTGACAGGTACTGCTGTGACAAAGATGTTAAGGATAAAAGTTTTGATCCCAGGTTGCACCCTGCTTCTGCTGTTGACATTGAATGGTCTGCCTGTTCACTGCCAAGATCAACAGCAAGGTATGTGACAAAGGGACAAGAGTGACGTGTCACAGAACCTACAAGTTTGGCATGGACAGTAAAGTGAGAAGAGGAAGTTAAAGGATTATCCAGCAGGTCGAAAATATACCTGAATATGTCTACAGAAATCTAATGTGTTAGCCTTGACTGGATTTTTTACACAAACAAATCTGTACAGTACAGAAGCCCCAAAAAGACATAATAAATGCATTTTTCCTCCTCCCTTTTCCATGATAATGAGTTCATTTCAGTTGTTTTCTCGAGATCTTGAGTTAATTTAGCTTAATTTAGCTTGAAAAACTAAGTCTTCACATTGTGGTCTGGGTAGTGGGGGACTTGGGGTGGCTGTGGCTCAGTAGGTAGAGCTGGTTGTGTCCCAGTCTGAAGGAGGAGGATTCCATCCCTGGAGTGCATATGATCCTGAATGAACATTTGCATTCCACTGTCACTGGCAACATTGGTACCAAGTAAGACAATGAGGAAAAGGCTGACTGCTTATGTAGGCTAAATGGCACAGTGTAAAGAGGAGGGGCTTGGTGGTTCGTCCTGACTGTCCCTGGTTTGGAGCCAGTCCTGTTGGAGATCTGGATACGCCACAGACCCTTGAGATTAAATGTCGTCTAAAGAGTGCCATGTCATTTACAGAGTATTTTTGATGGGCCAAGTTGCGACATCAGAGAGAAAGTAGTGCTACTGGTAAAAGATGGTGAGGTCAAAACAACCTATGTCTTTATGTTGAGAAAACAAATGAGATGGTCGGTGACTCCAGGAGGATGCAGGCCCACCACCCTATATAATACTTTATGTTATGTTAGAGAAAGGATTTAGATATATTGTAAAGAAAGCCGATTTCAGATACAAATGAGGATGGCTGGGCATGTGCTGGTACTTCAGCCATGCAGCTCTGAATCACGCAGCAACCTCCAGTCTTGTACAAGGAAGTCTATGAAGAAGTGCAATGCAATTGCAAGTGCCTGCTTGCGGCTGACAGCACACACTGTACAGAGAGCATTTTTTAAAAATAACATTAATTTCCGAGATTTTAAGGTTTTAAGTTTGGAAAATCAAAGGCAAAACTAACGTCAGTGACAGGCAGCAACCTCATGTCCATGTCTGTAGTTAGGTTGAGTCAGCATTTCTCTTATGGGGACTTCTGCTGATGGGCTTCAAGGTATACAAATATGCGCTGGGTATAAGTACATTTACAGACTTTTATTTGTTACTCTTAGATTATGAGAGAAAACTTGGATCATTTTAACACTAATGCCTTCCACAAACATCTCTGTCTAAATGATTTTAATAACAGATACCTGTGTGTTTCAACTGTAGACTCTACAAATCCAGGAGAGCTGAGACTGGTTCTTGTAGGAAAAACTGGATCAGGGAAGAGTGCTTCTGGAAACACCATCCTGGGCCATGGAGAAGCCTTCAAAACAGACATGTCACCTGAGTCTGTGACAACAGGCTGTCACAGACAAGAGGTAGAACATGTTGGGAGGAAAATTGTGGTTATTGACAGCCCAGGCCTGTTTGATACCAGCAAATCAACAGAAGATGTGAAAAGAGAGATCGAGGGGTGCATTAAACAGTCAGTCCCTGGACCCCATGCTTTTCTGTTAGTGATTAGTCTGAAAGCACGATTCACTGAAGAGGAGAAAGCATCTGTGAAGTGGATTCAGGATAATTTTGGCAAAAAATCCCCAATGTACACAATTATCCTGTTCACACATGCTGACCTGCTAGAGGACAAATCTGTGAAAGAGTTTGTGGCCAAGAGTGAACCTCTACAAAAACTAATCAATGACTGTGGAGGTCGATACCACTCACTCATCAACAACAAAAAACAAAACAGAACCCAGGTTCTCCAGCTTGTAGAGATGATTGACTCAATGGTAGAGTTCAATGGAGGAACCCACTACACCAGTGAGATGTACCAGAGAGCTCAGAAGGAACTTGAGGAGCAGAGAAGAAGGGAGGAAGAAGAGGAGGAAAGGAGAAGAAAAGACAAGGAAGAAAAAGAGCAAAAGAATGCTAGATGTAAATATTTGCTTTCAGGTTTCATGGGAATTTTTATGACAAACCCTTTTATCCAGTCAACTCTTCTTGCCGCAGTGGGTGGTGCTCTCGCACGAGATGTTCTTGATTGCATCCAAAATGTGTGGATGTAGTTCTTATGACAAAAGAAAGATGTCATTAATTAACAGATGAAACCCTAAGAGGGTAAAACCTTTCTCTTGGATGTCTCTGAAAATCACTGTTAAATGAAATACCTGATTGTAACAGGGGATAAGAAATACATATACATGATTTTTGCTCAATATGAATAGGGCTGGCTACACAATGTTTCAATAAATCCTGACCTTCAGCACTTCTCATCACCTTCATTGCTTGTTATTTCTGACAGATCTATTAATTTCTTAGTCATTGTGCATTTTTCATAACTTCATCAGTGAGAGTTGGAGTTTACTGTGATTATTGGTGTATGCTGGATGATGTGATTCACTTCTTCATGCAAATGCTTTTGAACTGTATAGAAAAGGGTTAATTTGAAGTTTATATTAGAAGTAACTGAAAAGTTAACATTAATTTCATCAGGTCAAAATGATTTGATGTGAGAAAACAATAGAATGAAAGGTTTTATTTTTGAACATGGAGTACCAACACATCATTCTTTGATGAAAAATGCAACCCAAGAGTTCAGTGTGTAAGAGATAATGTATGCCAGACAAAACTCCTTTTACCTCTGCAGGTTACTAATTAACTGATGATTTACACTTTACAAGTATTCTTTAACCTTTGTTCAGTAACTTATATGGATGGTGACAAGCCAGTCAGTTTGTGTTTTTTGGTAATATTCACAGACTTGTTATATTTATGAGCATGATCTACATATCATTTTAGCATTTAATTTTTATCACTGTGTTTTAAATTTCAAGTTTTCCTTAGATATGGCATTAAGTTTTAATCATGATATTACAATAATCTGATATCATGACAGCCCTAAATTTTACTGACGAGTACAATAGAAGGGGCAAGTGGGACTTTTGCAGGTATATATTAGTCTGCTTATTCTTAATTAATCTAACATTTCAATTAATATGTGGACATGGGTCTACCAAAGGAATGCAAGTGAATCTGAATAAATAACAAAATCATTAAAAAGTGATCTATTTTAGTAATTCAGTTAAAAAAATGAACTCATAGATTCATCATATGAGGATATACCTCACGTTTCTTCTCATTTTGATGATTGCACTCTTACAGCTAATGAAAACCCAAAAATCTGTATCTCAGAACATTAGAATATTACTTAAAACCAATTTTTAAGAAAATATTTTCAACACAGGAATGTTGAACTTCTGAAAAGTATGAACATGTAAAGCACTCAATACTTAGCTGGGGGCTCCCTTTGCATGAGTTATTGCAGCACCGCTGAGGTCTCATGGAGGCCTATAGGTTGCTCTGATAGCGCCCCTGAGCTCCTCTGTGTTGTTGGGTTTGGTGTCTCATATCTTTCTCTTCAAAATACCCCATATATTCACTTCACTGTTTCATCAGGTGAGCTTGCTGGCCTGTCTGTCACAGAGATGGGTCCATGAGTCTTAAACCAGGTATTGGTACTTTTGGTAGTGTGGGCAGGTGCCAAGTCCTGCTGGAAAATGAATCAGTGTCTTCATAAAGCTGGTCAGCAGAGGGGAGCATGAAATGCTCTTAAGACTTCCTGGTAGATGGCTGTGCTGACTTTTGACCTGATCAGTGGATCAGTGGGTCCTTGATTTCCAGAAGAAATGCAAAATTTACTTTCATCTGAGAGGAGAACTTTAGACCACTAAGCAACAGTCCAGTTCCTTTCCTTTTGTGGTTCAAGAATAGCTTGACAACAGGACTGCCACTATTGAATTCCATGTCCTGGACTCATCTGCCGTATGGTGGCTCTTGAAGCACTGACTCCAGCAGCAGTCCACTCCATGTGAATCTCCCCCAAAATCTTGAATGGGCATTGTGTTACAATCCTCTCAAGGTTGTGGTTTGAGTTTCAGTATTTGAAATGAATTACTGAAACAAATCAACCTTTTAATTATATTCTAATACATAAATAAGATATATTATATCATTTATATATTAAATAGATCTGTATAAGGTGTCAATCATAGAAAACATAAACTCCTTGATAACTTTTAAAAATGGAGCTGCACAGAAAAAAGAGGACATGAGCACGAACCAGTCTTACAGTAACTACATGTCAACATCGCAACCAGGGGGGAAAAAAATGTTTATTCAGTGTAATTAATTTCCAAAGTTTGTCCACAGCTCCTGAGGATGGCTGGTGAAAGCGGGATTTATGACCTATACTGAAGCCCGTCACCAGGGTGTGCCGTTCTCGGAGTGGCTTCACCCAGCGTGGAGGCAGACGGCGTTTATTCTACATACACTCTATGGTCCCTGCTAGTTGCACCCAGTGGTGTGTGAATGGGACTGGTCAAAACTGATGTGGCTAGTGTGTGAGCTGGTGTGAATGGATGAATGTGACATGTGATGTAAAAGCACTTTGAGAAGACTTGAGAGGCACTATATAAACATAGTCCATTCACCAAAAGTTGACTTTTGTCCTCATTTGGCTCTTTTTCTTCTCACAGATTAGCAGTTATCGCATTTTTAAAAATAAATGTTGTAAAAGCAACAACTTTTCACACTAATGTTGTTTCCACAACCACATGTTTACACTTGTTTTTTTTTGTTTTTTTTTTCTTTTTTGTGCTGATCAGTAACTTAGAGTTGCACCTGCAGGCTCCGCTGCCATTGGCTGCATTAAAGCACAGAATTTGAATATCTGTGTTCTTTAACCTAACAAGTCAGCATGCAGTTTGTTTTTGAAGGGTTCTGATCAAGCCAAGTGATCATTAGGAAAGCCAGGTAATATAAAGAAATGGCCAACTTTTGTGACTGATAACTTATTATACTCTGTAGGTCATAAATAGGCATAAATAGGCATAAATAGAGGGATGAGACTATTTCAAAACCAGTTCAAAACTCCACTACAAAAAAAAATCAATAACCATGTCTTTGGATGGACACAGTCTTTCACCTGTGTTGCAGACTCTCTTTGATATTCAAAATGATCAGGTCAGAGGGTTTAATTCCGGTTCATTTGCAAGTGAAAACACACCAACACAACCCTCTGAGTGTGACGCAGAAATCTCAAGCATAGATCTGTCAGACTCTGCAGGCATTCAGGCCTCACTAAGTGTTAAGTGTTTATTAAATAACCAACTTAAGGACTTTTCTCGTTGCTGTTACACTTTCTAAAACATATTCAAATACACAAACCTGCTGAGCGTACTCAGAGAGCCGTGGACAGCCTCTGTGGGGGGATGCACATTTCAGATGTAAACCAAAGACAATACAAGGAAATAGGAAGCCCCCTCTTGCTTGGGCCAGGCTTCCAGAAGTTTCCCACAACCCTAATGTCTAACACATCAAGCCAGTAGCTGGTCTATATTCACCACTCAGGTCTGAAACTACAAATTTTGCCACTTGGAAACTGGAAAAGGTACACCTGAAACTATGGCTGAAGGTAAGACTGTAAATCTGGCTGATAGTTCAAAAACAGCTTTGATCCTCTGGTCTGGTAACTTTTGGTGTGACTCTGGGGAGAACATGGTGGGAAATAGAAAAAAAAAATGTAGGCAATGATTATGATGTCAGTGACTTGCTGTGTGTTTTTTTGTGTGTCAATGGTATCTCTGTCACAGCAATACCACTGCGAGAAAAGAAGCAGAGAACTCTTCCACGCTCTGATGGGTGTGGTCTTCATAACTTTGACGGTATGTTCATTCATTGTCCCTCGCTGGAAAATCCTGTTTAGTTAGACTCATAATAGTCTTACTAATAATTAACTCATAATACCTTGATATATTTGACCTATGAATGTATGATTTATTGTTGCTTACTTGGTTTCCAGGATGTGAAAAAGTCTCTGGTACTTTTCCTTTTTGGTAATATAAGTCCAGTTTTCGTAGCAGCTCGACATATAATATGTGCTTGGGGAATTTAATAAATGGCTTCGGATCCTAATTAGAATAGTTCTTAAACCACACTAAATAAAAAACAACAATTGTAAATGTAACTGTAAGTAACACATGCTCTAAAAACATTGTAATTGCAGTTTCACCTCAGGCAGAGAAGAGGTGAAAAGTCATCTTGAGAAATTTTGTACAAGTGAAAACGTATCACCACTCAAAGTTTCTCTCCAGGAGAAAGTTACGTCACACCTCAAGGTTTACTACTCTACGTAGATACTTGAAAAGCTTTTCTTTTATAATCATTAATCAGGGGGAAAAAAAAGTTGTTTATTAAACATGTGACTTAAAATACGCTGATTGTGAAACAGAAAGTTTTCAGTGTTTTTTGTGTTGCTCACTGCTCATGTTCATTCGAGTTCCTCTGCCTGACCCCACCCGCCTGGTCACATAAAGTCAGGCCATATACTTTTAGTACTGTGTGATGAACCGTTTGAACTTTAACTTTCACTTCTGAAAATCTGTCATGGACGGATTGGTGGCAGATATTAGTTAATATTTGAAATGTCAGTAAGTTATGGAGTGTATGGAGCTCTTGTCTTGCCAAGTCTAAAATATACAGTAACAAGGTGTTTCAAAACCATCGGCTTAAATCATTTCTAAAAACATTAAAATTTGTCATAAATCACATAACGTATCAAGAGAGTTCTACAGTTTGCCATTCGAGGCCCCAGCCTTTACGGTCTTAATGGCCCTTTAAAAAACATGTTCTTTTCTTAACATGTATGTTTTATGCATTTGCACTACAGCACCACTATATCCTAATCAATCAATCATTTGTATGTGGTTGATTTCATTTGTGTATCTCTAAGTCATAAAAAAACTCTGCAGACATGACACTTTGTTATGTTATCCAAAGCTCCTTCATGGAGCCTCCTGTTTGAGTCAGTTTTGGCACCCTATGTTGACCAAGTGATACCTCACATATATCTCTTTGCAGATCTGGTCATACATGTGTTAAAAAATCTCATTCTTTGTTCTTCTGGTGTTTCAGTGAAAGGTGTTACTCACCTGCAGTATATCTTGTGGAAAAAAAAAAACAAAAAAACAAAAAAAAAAACTTTTCAGTCCTTTGCTTAAACACCTACCTCCGCACAACAATACTATGATTACAAGAACACAAACATACAGTGTAGACATGGTTAATCTTGTTGCTGGTGGTCTTGTCTGCTATTTAGACCATAAACTGCTGTTGACCATTTATATCTCTTGGCTGCTATTTAAAGGAGTGCAAAACTGGATATGGTTTTAACAAGATAATTTTGCTTCTGCTGTTCCAGCTCTGGACTTGTCTGGAGGGTTGAGGATAGTCCTGGTGGGCAAGACTGGATCAGGAAAGAGTGCAACAGGAAATACCATCCTTGGTAGAGCTGCATTCAAAGAGGACCCCAGCCCTGTGTCTGTGACCAATCACTGTGAGACACAGAGTGGGGAAGTGGACGGGACTTTGGTCCAGGTGACTGACACTCCAGGTCTGTTTGATACAGCCATCGCGGAGGAGGAATTAAAAATCAGGATAGAGGAGTGCGTCAAGATGTCAGTGCCCGGCCCTCATGCCTTCTTGCTGGTGATCAGACTCGGGGTGCGGTTCACAGAGGAGGAACGGAATGCTGTGAAGTGGATCCAGGATAATTTTGGAGATGATGCCTCTATGTACACCATCATGTTATTCACTTGTAAGGACCAGGCCAAAGCTGACAACGCTTTGAAAGAGTGCAAGGAGCTGCGGAGACTCTCCATCACATTTGGCCGGAGGTACCATGCTTTCAACAACAATGATGCAGACGACCGCGTGCAGGTCAAAGAGCTGATCACTATGATTAAGGAAATGATCCAAGATAACGGAGGGAAACACTACACCAATGAAATGTATGAAAAGGCCCAGAGGAAGCTGAGAGAGGAGGAGGAACGAAGGCAACAGGAGGAGAAAGAGAAGAAGGAGGAAGAGAGGAAAATATGGGACGCAGAGAGGGAGAAGCAAGAGAAAGAGAGAGAGAAGAAGAAAAAGGTTAGAAGAAAGAATATACGTGTGGCGTCTGCAGCTGCTGTTGTTTTGGTGTTAGGCGGGGTGGTTATAGCTGTGGGGGCCAACACAACAGTGGCTTTAGCTCTAGGAGCTCCTGTGCTGGTCCTAGGCGTGTTTTGTGGTTTAGCTGCCATTTGCATATGGAAGGGAATCAGATGTAAAGCCAAAAAAGGAGTTCCAGTATAACCAGGGGAGGGCCTGTCATGGGGACAAGGAGACCTGTCTGAACTGGACATATATACAACGGACACACTGGACATATATACAACAGACACATCAAGTGTTGAAAACAAATCTGTGAACTTTGTTGTTCGGTATTTTCTGCATCCTGCTTTTCTGACACAGCTTTGCAGTGAGAGTGATATGTGAATTTTTAATGCTGGCAGTAAATCAGTGGTATGAAAAGGAATTATTGTTTTCTCTTTTTGTTTTCTTTTTTACAATTTGACAGGATTTACAAAATGCACATCAAGAGTTACACTTTAAGATATTTATTTGTGTGTGAAAAACTGTTTGAATCCTGAAAAATACTGCTGTAACTGCTCATGGATTTTGGACACATTTTAGTACATTTGAAACTCTCATATCTAATGTGACAAGCAGTCGAAAATAAACTTAAGATGCAGACTGATAACTGCTCTATTTGTGCTGTTACCCTCAATTTATTATTGGAAGCATTACAGGCTCCCTTCCTGAAAGGAAGTAGAAGACAATGGTAAACATCTACTGGCCAATCACAAGAGAGTCTCCATTTACTGAGTCTTTGACGTCACAGCTAGCTAAAAGAAATGACCAAAAGAGGCTTTAAAGTGGTGACCTGCAGGTCAGTCTGCCACTCTTACAACCATGAAAGTTAAGCTTTCCTTATGCACAGATGAAGCTGAATTACCCTAAAAAGTTGTTGGACTACAGAAAAAAACCCACAAAGCTGTGTGTTCGACACAAATAACTACTTTTTAAAAAGTAAAGAGCTAAAAGATAAGAATAAATCTTTAAATGGCACCATCTCTGAGGATTAAACTGTTAAATAGTCACAGAAATTTCTCCTTCTTTGAATCCGAAGCCTTTATCAGGTTTTCTGAAACCAATTCAAAGAAGATGACACTTTGTGTGTGTGAGTTTTGATGTATCCTTTTTGATACATCAGGAATGTGTGTTTTGCTCTTAACTAGTGACATCAGTTTTTCATACATAAATCATACACAGCATTTTTGTCCTCCTTTAAAAGTACTCCACAGCTTTTATCACCACACAAGTATGTACTCCATACATGGTCCTGGGCCATAAAAAGACTAACATATAGTGGGCCCCAGCACCACAGCATACGACAAACAACGTCACTGTTGTGTCCTCACCTTGATTGATTGATTGATTGATTGATTGTTTATTTCGTGTGAATGACAAAACATATACATACAAAAAGGATAGGTCAGAAGCCAAGGCTAATGAGGAACCTACCCCCTTGCCACTGTGACACTTACAATCCATCAAGGTGTAGAGACAACCTCAAAAACAATACCAGAAGATAATACAGAGACAATTTGAGACATGATTAGATAGATATAGGTGAGCAAACATGATTGAGTGAAACAGATCACACAGCGAAAATGGGTTGCTGTACATCATTTGTACCTAATAACATAAAAGAAAAACAAAACAAAACAAAAACAAAACAAAAACATAAACAAATAAATGTAAAATAAATATTGAGAAAAATATCACCAATGTTTATATTGATTTGGAATACACAACATTTACTTGCAAATATTTGCGTAATCATTTTTCAAATCAAGAACACATAAAGCCTTAAGACTAAATGACTGTATCAGAACTGTCATACTCAGAAATACAAAACCTTCAAAGACCTTTAACCTGCACTTATGCATCCAAGGTCTGTCCATATCCTTTAAGTTTAAATTTTATAAACATTTTTTTTTAAATGATAAATGTTTTTGCTTCATTACACAAACGCCTCATTAAAAGCTTTGAATAACTTTAACTTGGAGTTACACTCTGAACATTTAGGTTAAATAATCACATAGAGGGACAGATTGATGTCTGCTCAGGTATTTGAATAAAAAAATGAATAGGCAATAATAAATTCTTGACATTATTAGTGACTGTAATCTCTTTGTTTTCAAGGCAGCAGGAGTTTAAAAGTTGATGTATCATCCATAACATCATATGAACCAACAGATTGTAATGAGTCTGTTGATGTTAATCATGTGTGGCTGTATCACAGGGAAAAGCTTGAAATGATTCCCCAAAGTTAAGATCTCATGAGATTGAGCCTATGATGCTGATTGATCTATAAATATGAAAAGCATAAAACATCCAAGCCACATTGCATGAATCTAAATTACTAAAATTACTGATAATAAACCAATCTTAAAGTTTTTTTGAAGTACTTAAGCATGATTTTGAATAGAGGGCTCAGTTTTTCAATACAATAAACACAATTAGTACAACAATACATGCAATTAGCACAACACATCAGATCCTTTGTAAAATAAAACACTCTTGTAAAAACTACACACTACTTTAAAAAAATGATATTTTGTTGCCATATGAAAACACACACGTTTCATATGACTTTCATAAATTCACCAAATACAACACAAGACTATTGCTGCAGGATGATGAAATATAATTTATTTCTCTCTATATGCCTAAATCAGTCAAAATTTCAACAAAAGATATCCATGTTACAACAGTAGTGTGCAGAACACTAAAAGGATAAAATTACAAACAAAAAATAATTACCATAAAAAATATGGAGAGGAAAAAAACTGACGAAAAAATAGAAGAAAACCCTGCAGGGAAATATTAGGGATTATCTCTTCACCAAGCTGGATCACATCACAGGCGATATCTTCATTAGCAAGACAACAAGGGAACAACCGCTGTGCATGTCGAATCCATCTTTGAATGGCTATGGCGTCAATTTGGTCACAGGCCTCAACCATGGTCTGAATGAGGGGCACCTGCCTTTTTGTAGTGCTTGAACCTGATTAGTGTGTCTACGATAAAGCAATCATGTGTTGGTGCATCTGGGTGTTGTGTTTTGGCTAATGAATGTGGTCATTGGAAAGTCAGTGGAATTTGCAAGGAAGTGACATCATGACATGCATCTGTGTCTAATGTATACAAGTGTGTTTAGTGTTTTGCAATTCACTGTGTGCAGTGGTTTGCAAAAAGTGTTAACCTGACAGTGTGCTTATAGTTGTGCTAATCTGGTCTGGTGTTTTGCTTCTTGAGTGTAAGGTTTTGATAATTGTGTAAGACCTTTGATTTTAGTGTTTATGCAATCCAAAAATAATAATAATAAAAAAAATGGTAATTGTGAGTTGTGCTCCTTTTTTATTATTGAAGAAACTACTGTCACAATCTGGCTCAAATGTGTGTGACAAAGAGACCACATATGGTTGCAAAATTAACAAAATAAAGTAAATAAGTTTCACAAAAATATGTAACTATGGTTGTCAGCGTGCCTGCAGTGTTGGATGTGTGTGAGGGTATGTGTGTGAGTCAGCAAAGCAAAGTTACAAAACAAAGAAGCCGTCTGCAGGCCATGGAGAGAGATAGTGAACTCCTTGAGATGGGCTGCTTTATAGCCTCCTGATTCCAGCCTGCTCAGGTGTGCTGCAGTGACTGTAAGCTCCTCCCCCAATACCTGCAACACAGAACTCAGCCAGCAAGGAGGAAGGTTTAAAACAAGGATAAGGCCTCTACCTAGGCTATCACTACATAAAATCATTTCCCCTCACCTTTCCACCCCTCTTCCTTCTCATGATAATCTGATTTTGCTTTGTTAGGGGGATGTCATGGCATTGCTGCATCAGTTACTTGGCTCTCTTTTCTGTAATCAGATCAATTCTGCAGAGTTTTGTGGGGTGGAAATTTTGTGCATTTACTTTAAGACCTCAGAATGAGATCCTCGTGTCTTGTTAACCATGGCAGCTGTCATTTTCCATTCAGCACTAAAGAACATAGAAAAGGTTATTCATTTTACATTGAAGGGCAATGTTTTGTCATGGAAAAAAATGCAAAAAAAGAATTTTAAGCAAGATCTGGTAAGTCTTCCCTTACTGTGAAACAAGTTGTGTACAACCCAAAACTCAAATCACAGGACCATGCACAGTCAACGTTTACTGCTTCTGTCCCTGTGGGGACTCCTGTAGCTGTTTCCCTGAAGTTACTCTTAATGCAACAGCTAGACTAACCAGATGCCTATCATGTTACAGGTAATACACTCTGACCGACATGAGAACAGGATAAGTCAGTCTTTCCTGGCAACAGAAAGCAACTTGGAAAGGCAAACAGTTCTGTTTTCATTTTTCCCTCTCACTAACAAACAAAGTGTTCTCTTAAGGTTTCGTTTTATAAGTTATGTGCTTACAGCTGTAATTCAAGGTTGAGGGACTCCATCTTCAAAAAAGTAACCACAGTAACTAGACCCCGTTCAGTTTTGTGTCAATATGAATTCAACTATGAAGTTCTCCATGATCTCAGACAGGTAACAGTGTCCAGGCTCCATAGTTTTTGCTGTAGTTTTCATATCAGTAATACAAACTTTTATTTAAAAAAATAAAAACAGGAAAAAAACCTTTCATTTTTTTTTTATTTAGCTTTTACAAGTCAATCAAACAGCAGTGTTACACTCATTAAAACAGGATGATTGTTAACAGCATCAGCAGTTTAAAGGGTTGCCATTGTGGGCAAAAAATGGGCATGCTGTGACTAACATGAATGTGCATCAATAAATCCCAAGACTTCATTTCTTTTTGAAAATGCTGACATGACTTCACTCTTCCCCTTTTTTAACGTCTCATCCAGTTTGCAATTGCATGTGTAATGACTCCACCAGCAGCCATTAAAGCTGCCCTTACAGCTTCTTCCTCTGCAACTGCAGCAACTCCTACAGCAGGAAAAGCTGCTGTTGCTGCTGCTGCTCCTAACAGACCTGTACCAACACTGGCAGCATATTGTCCACACTTCTTCCACCTCTTTTCTGACTCCATCTTTCTCTGGGCCTCTTCATAAAGGCTGCTGGTGTAATGCGTACCATTTAACTGTACTATCTCATCTATCTTTTCTAACAGATCATTCACCTGAGTGCGATTATCCAAGCATGTGTTGTCAAACACGGTGTACTTGGTATTACAGGTCCTGATGAGCTCCCTGAGCTCAGGGCTTTGATTTAAAAACGTCTCAATAGACGTCCGCTCAAGCGCATCTGCCCTGGTGAAAAGCACCAGTGTGTACTTTGAGGCTTCCTCTCCAAAGTTGTCCTTGATCCACTTGACAGCTGTCTTCTCCTCTCCTGTGAACCGCACACCCAGACTGATCACCAGCAGGAACACATGGGGTCCTGGGACAGACAAACAGATACAATTCTCTATTTCTGTCTTCAGTTCAGCATCTGTAGTGGACGTGTCAAAGATTCCAGGGGTGTCGATGATGCTGATAGTTCTGTCATCATGTTGGGAGGTGACTCTTTTACAAGTTTTTGTCACAGAAGATGGTGAACAAATTGCTTCAAAAACCATCTCCCCCGTGATGGTATTCCCTGCTGAACTCTTCCCTGATCCGGTTTTTCCTAGCAGAACAATCCTCAGGTCCTGGACAACAGGAGAGCTGGACGCTGCAAACAAAAAAGCAGTTTAACTGTTTGAATTCAATGAGTTGCAAATCACTTAAAATTATATGTGTACAAACCAAGATTTGTTAGAATACTATAAATAAAGACACTCACCTGCCTGTGAACTTAGAGACATCTTGTAGAAAAGGGAAATACCAGGAAAGCTGACTTATACTAAGAGCTTTCAAGCAAACAATCTGAACTTTCTCCTTCAGTTCAGCTATTATACAGGGTTGGTTTGCTCACCTCCCACCTTCTTTAATTATCTGCCTTACTTCCTCCTCCAAGTGTTTCCACTAAAGTGAAACTTAAGGCTCCAAACATTTATACCAATTGTCATCAAATAAAAGGTTTGTTTGTTGTCAGGAACACAGAGCTACACAAGGAAGTGAAGTTATAGTCCCTCTCCTGTTGCAGTCTGAGATACTGTGGAAATATAAAAGAGCAGGAACTTGATCAAAATCTTCAAGATGTTTCAGCTCTCATGTGAAAGGCTTCTTTAGCTTGGTTCTACAGGGGCTGCTAAGAGCAAAAGCACCTGGCTAAATGAAGTCTGTGCAAAGTAAACAAAAATAAATACATCAATTAACTAAAGTTTTTACTTTTGTTGAATAAGAAAATTGGAACAGGCCACAGGAGTGAGTTAAGAACCCAAATGCGTTTTCTGTCCATAGAAATTCAAATTAAACCATTAAAATAACGCCACACATTGAATACCATTGGAGGAGAGCATTATAACAGTTTGTGGTACATTTGTACATACTTCTAGGAATAAGAGTAATGAGAGAAGAGCTTCCACATTAATCTTTGGGAGATGAGTTGTGCTGACAGGGATTATCTTCTATGTCTTACAATGGATGCAAAAAGCTGTAAATACAGAATATACAAACAAAAATAAGAACAGAGTTGGCTTAAGAAACTTCTTTACAGAAAACAAAGTCATTGACAGAAAACTCTCCCCTAACAGCCTTTTAATGTCAGGAATCTCATCAGACAACTTTTCATTTACACACCCCACAACACACGATACGCTAACTGTAGTTTAACCTCTACCTCTAGCTTTGGTATGAGACCAGTGTGGAAAAAGTGGTAGTAGAGTGCCATCTAGTGGCTCTACAAGGAAACTTCTATTTAGCCGTTCAGACTGTGTTGATACTACAGTTTTTTACAATTGTCCTATCACAAATTCCAATACCTCTGACACGTTTCAAAAACTCTTCACCGGTTTGCACCGGTGGCCTATACAATTAAAACATTTCTCGTTTGTTTGACACAAAGTGAGTACAGTGGACACATTTACAAAATGTTTTTAACTTCTTAAACAAACAAGCTCTACCAAGGACAAAACAATTGACTTAAACCCACAAATTTACAAAAGCTTTCACACAGTATGTCAGAACAGATAACTTCCTGTTCTAAATGTAACCAACAGGCTAAAGTTGAAGTGAGAAGCAGTTCACTTTATAGATTCAAAGACAGTAAATCATCTCTTGTTTTTTCTTATTGTCATTGAAAAGCAGCTGATGTAAATTAGTCAACTAACTGAAGTCAAAGCAGCTCAGTACAATCACAGCTAATACATGTAAAGTTTGGTGTGGGGTGTCGGTTTGGGTCTGAAGAAACAAGATAATAGAGAATGGCAGAACGAAGAAGAGTTGGTGGAGGGAGAGGAGTTAGTCCAGTGTGATGTTGATGAGGCCATGTGGCCCAATGCAGAAGACCGGGCAGATTAGGGTCTTTTTCCCTTACAATAGTATTTTTATTTTTTTATACTACATATTTCTTCTGCACATTTTTCTGTTGGTATCCACGCTGATTCTTTTTTCTTGCAGGCTTGCAGAATTTCTGACATGTATAAAGCCTTTGAAATCTAACTGCTGCATGCAAAAAATAAATAAATAAGTAAAATAAACGACATACCTGTAAGAGTTTCATAAGAAACAGCACTCCAAAAAATTTTACAAAAAAATACACCTGAAACATAATGCAGTTTCTGTAAAACCAATTGGTGTTAGTGTTTTTGATGACAGTGTCATATGACGACTACAGGTTTGTGATGGAAGAGAATTGGTGTTGTTGTTTGGTTGATCTGGTGTATTGTGTTGGTGTATTCTTGCATTTTGAAAACTAGTGTAGGTGTTTAGTTTACAGTGTGAGCTTTTGAAAATGAAGTTAGCTGTTTTGTCAGTTGTGAGTTATTGGTGTGTTGGTGTGTAAGCAGTTTTGTAAATGTGTCAGAAGTATTGGAGTCTGTATTAGGCCGATTGTAAAAAACTGTAATATAGCCAGTCAAGTGACAACACTGTTGAGTCTACTTCCTGTTTTTGGTAGATTTCCACTTAACCCTCACATACTGTTCGGGTCAAATTTGACCCATTTTGACCTTTAACAGCAGTAAAAATACCCTAAACATCGTTTTTTAAGCCTGAAACTTGATGACTTTTCCTGAAATAATCCAAAATACATGAAATTCATTTAAAAATATTCATGTGTATTTTTGTTTATGTGCTATAAATATTTCCCCTCTAAGGCTGTTACGGGTCAAATTTGACCCGTATCTATATTTAGATGGATTTTAGATCTAGCAGTGTGGGACAAGTGACAAACAGTCACAACAGTGTTCAATATAAGGTTTGTTGTTCAAAAAGATATATTCAAATCATTATGAAACTATCATTACCTTGACAGAAATACACACACACACACACACACACACACACGCACACAGACATACAGTAACACAGACACACCTAGACAGAGGTCAAAATGACCTAACTAGTCAAGAGAACTTTCTGTGACAGAAAGCTGCTCTTTGAACTCTTTGAAGGGGCAATTTTGACCCGGAACATACTGTGAGGGTACAGGATTGGAATAGTATGTGAGGGTTTAATATAACAGGCAGCTTGTTTCATGTTGTACTTGTCAGGATCAGATCTCTATTTACTGCCACTGAATACTGGATTTCGGTTTTTGAAGTGTTCAGGTTCAGTTTGTTTTCGGGAAACTTGCAGGAAATCACTCCAAGAGGAGGAGGAGGACACAGTCTGCAGTTATACAGTGCTGGAACTCCTCAGTGATCGTTTCATAACAAACCAGTTTTGATTCATTCAATTCAATTCAACTTTGTGTGCTTCACAACAGGTAAACATAGTTAAAGTAAAAACAGTTCTATAAAAATCAATTAGAAATTAATTTATGAGTGCAAGTAAACGATTATATGCATGCCATCTTCACTGCATACACACTTAAACTCATACATTTGCACACACTCACACAACCACACATGGACGCACACACACACACACACACACACGCACGCACGCATGCACGCACACACACACACACACACAGTAAGTTGCGTAGGTCGAGTAAGTTACCACTGCCTGTTGACCGCGGTGTTCTTGCTGGGGTGTAGGTGATGAGCATATCTGTGATGTACTGAGGTGCAAGATCATGTATTGTTTTGTAAACCAGGAGCAGTATTCTGAAATCAATTCTTTTTCTCTACACCAATGAGATGTACGAAAAGGCCCAGAGGAAGCTGAGAGAGGAGGAGGAACGCAGGCAACAGGAGGAGGAAGAGAAGAAGAATGAAAAGAGGAAAATATTGGACGCAGAGAGGGAGAAACAAGAGAAAGAGAGAGAGAAGAAGAAAGAGATTAGAAGAAAGAAAATACGTGTGGCATCTGCAGCTGCTGTTGTTTTGGTGTTAGGCGGGGTGGTTATAGCTGTGGGGGCCAACACAACAGTGGCTTTAGCTCTAGGAGCTCCTGTGCTGGTCCTAGACGTGTTTTGTGGTTTAGCGGCAGAAATATCTCCTTCTTTGAATCCGAAGCTTTTATCAGGTTTTCTGAAACCAATTTAAAGAAGATGACACTTTGTGTGTGTGAGTTTTGATGTATCCTTTTTGATACATCAGGAATGTCTGTTTAGCTCTTAACTAGTGACATCAGTTTTTCATACATAAATCATACACAGCATTTTTGTCCTCCTTTAAAAGTACTCCACAGCTTTTATCACCACACAAGTATGTACTCCATACATGGTCCTGGGCCATAAAAAGACGAACATATAGTGGGCCCCAGCACCACAGCATATGACAAACAATGTCACTGTTGTGTCCTCACCTTCGTTACACAATCGCCCCATTAAAAGCTTTGAATAACTTTAACTTGGAGTTACACTCTGAACATTTAGGTTAAATAATCACAAAGAGGGACAGATTGATGTCTGCTCAGGTATTTGAATAAAAAAATGAACAGGCAATAATAAATTCTTGACATTATTAGTGACTGTAATCTCTTTGTTTTCAAGGCAGCAGCAGGAGTTTAAAAGTTGATGTATCATCCATAACGTCATATGAACCAACAGATTGTAATGAGTCTGTTGATGTTAATTATGTGTGGCTGTATCACAGGGAAAAGCTTGAAATGATTCCCCAAAGTTAAGATCTCATGAGATTGAACCTATGATGCTGATTGATCTATAAATATGAAAAGCATAAAACATCCAAGCCACATTGCATGAATCTAAATTACTGAAATTACTGATAATAAACCAATCTTAAAGTTTTTTTGAAGTACTTAAGCATGATTTTGAATAGAGGGCTCAGTTTTTCAATACAATAAACACAATTAATACAACAATACATGCAATTAGCACAACACATCAGATCCTTTGTAAAATAAAACACTCTTGTAAAAACTACACACTACTTTAAAAAAATGATATGTTGTTGCCATATGAAAACACACACGTTTCATATGACTTAATTCTGTCTGAACCAGTTACACACTGCTGTGTTAACCAAAAACACTTTTACCAATTCTACTTCTCAGGGATTTGAGTAATGTAAGTTAATTACACAAAGAAAGTGCAAATATACAATACAGAAAATTCACCAAATACAACACAAGACGGATGCTGCAGGATGATGAAATATAATTTATTTCTCTCTATATGCCTAAATCAGTCAAAATTTCAACAAAAGATGTCCATGTTACAACAGTAGTGTGCATAACACTAAAAGGATAAAATAACAAACAAAAAAAAATACCATAAAAAAATGTGGAGAGGAAAAAAAAAACTGACAAAAAATAGAAGAAAACCCTGCAGGGAAATATTAGGGATTATCTCTTCACCAAGCTGGATCAGGTCAGAGAATTTCACTGACATCACAGGCGATATCTTCATTAGCAAGACAACAAGGGAACAACCGCTGTGCATGTTGAATCCATCCTTGAATGGCTGTGGCGTCAATTTGGTCACAGGCCTCAACCATGGTCTGAATGAGGGGCACCTGCCTTTTTGTAGTGCTTGAACCTGATTAGTGTGTCTATGATTAAGCAATCATGTGTTGGTGCATCTGAGTGTTGTGTTTTGGATAATGAGTGTGGTCATTGGAAAGTCAGTGGAATTTGCAAGGAAGTGACATCATGACATGCATCTGTGTCTAATATATACAAGTGTGTTTAGTGTTTTGCAATTCCCTGTGTGCAGTGGTTTGCAAAAAGTGTTAACCTGACAATGTGCTTATAGTTGTGCTAATCTGGTCTGGTGTTTTGCTCCTTGAGTGTAAGGTTTTAATAATTGTGTAAGACCTTTGATTTTAGTGTTTATGCAATCCAAAAATAATAATTAAAAAAAATGGTAATTGTGAGATGTGCTCCTTTTTTATTATTGAAGAAACTACTGTCACAATCTGGCTCAAATGTGTGTGACAAAGAGACCACACATGGTTGCAAAATTAACAAAATAATATTTATCGAAAAAGGATAGCAAGGATATTGGCCTATAATTGGTGAAATGATGTTTCTCCCCAGCTTTATATATCGGAATGACTTTGGCAACTTTCATTTTCTGTGGAAATGAACCAGTTGTCAAAGATAAATTAAAGATGTATGTTAGTGGTTGTATAATGGAATCAATTACTTTCTTAATCAAGATCATGTCAATGCCATTCCAATCTGATGATGATTTATTCTTACACTTGCTGACAATGTCTTTGATTTCTTTTCCTTCTGTGCCATTTAAATACATTGAGTTGACATTATGAATAATATTCCCCTCAGCATCCCCACCATTACACGTGGCCTTTATTTCCTCAGCCAAGTTCGGTCCTACATTGACAAAGAATTTGTTAAAGCCAGTAACCACATCATTCATGTTACTTAAGGAAGTATCATTGTCAATAAAATATTCAGGGTATCTCCTATTATTTGAGCCATTTCTGATAATACCATTTAATATTTTCCATACACCTTTAATATTGTTTTTGCTATTCTCTAATAATTTGGCATAATATTCTTTTTTGCATGTCCTCATAATATTAATTAATTTATTTTTATATTTCTTATATTTAAGAAATATAAAAATAAAATAAAGTTCTGTCATCATGTTGGGATGTGACTCTTTTACAAATTTCTGTCACAGAAGATGGTGAACAAATTGCTTCAAAATCCTTCTTCCCCATGATGGTATTCCCTGCTGAACTCTTTCCTGATCCGGTTTTTCCCAGCAGAACAATCCTCAGGTCCTGGACAACAGGAGGGCTGGACGCTGCAAACAAAAAAGCAGTTTAACTGTTTGAATTCAATGAGTTGCAAATCAACTAAAATTATATGTGTACAAACCAATATTTGTTAGAATACTATAAATAAAGACACTCACCTCTCTGCAAACTGATTCCAGCCTGCTCAGGTGTGCTGCAGTGATTGTAACCTCCTGCCCTCAGAATGAGACCCTCGTGTCTTGTTAACCATGGCAGCTGTCATTTCCCTTTAGCACTTACGGACATAGAAAAGGTTATTTATTGTACATTGAAGGGCAATGTTTTGTCATGGAAAAAAAAAATGCAAAAAAAGAATTTTAAGCAAGATCTGGTAAGTCTTCCCTTTCTGTGAACCAAGTTGTGTACAATCCAGAACTCAAATCACAGGACCATGCACAGTCAACGTTTACTGCTTCTGTCCCCATGTGGACTCACATAGAGTTCTGTTTCTCTGAAGTTACTCTTAATCAGTGGTTCTCAAGTTCAGTCCTTGAGGCCCCCCCCCCCCCCCGTTATCAAGCTCTGTAATGGCTTAATAACGAGCTAATCATTTGAATCAGGTGTGTTGGAGCAGGGAAACATCCAAAACATGCAGGACGGGGGGCTCGAGGACTGGACTTGAGAACAACTGCTCTTAATGCAACAGCTACAATATAGACAGACCACTATTGACAGTGGTTAGTCTACTGTTTACAGGATATACACTCATACCGACATGAGAACAGGATAAGTCAGTCTTTCCTGGCAACAGAAAGAAATTTAGAAAGGCAAGCAGTTCTGTTTTCATTTTTCCCTCTCACTAACAAATGAAGTGTTCTCTTAAGGTTTCGTTTTATAAGTCATGTGCTTTCAGCTGTAATTCAAGGTTGAGGGACTCCATCTTCAAAAAAGTAACCACAGTAGCTAGACCCCGTTCAGTTTTGTGTCAATATGAATTCAACTATGAAGTTCTCCATGATCTCAGACAGGTAACAATGCTCAGGCTCCACAGTATTTGCTGCACTTTTCATATTAGTAATACAGACTTTAATTAAAAAAATAAAAAAAAAAACAGAAAAAAAAATGCAAAAATTCATTTGAAGTTTTTATTGTTTTATTTAGCTTTTACAAGTCAATCAAACAGCAGTGTTACACTCATTAAAGCAGGATGATTGTTAACAGCATCAGCAGTTTAAAGGGTTGCCATTGTGAGTTATTGTGGGCTAAAAATGGGCATGCTGTGACTAACATGAGCAACATGAATGTGCATCAATAAATCCCAAGACTTCATATCTTTTTTAAAATGCTGACATGCCTTCACAGTCCCCCTTTTTAAAGGGGAATCCTGGTTACAACTGCATGTTTAATGACTCCACCAACAGCTGTTAAAACTGCAGTTGCAGCTTCTCCCGTTGCAAGAGCAGCAGCAGCAGGAGCAGCAGCAGTTGCTGCTGCTCCTGCTGCTGCTGCTCCTATCAGACCTGCACCGACTATGGGAGCATAGTGTCTAAACTTCTTCCACCTCTTTTCTGACTCCATCTTTCTCTGGGCCTCTTCATAAAGGCTGCTGGTGTAATGCGTACCATTTAACTGCACTATCTCATTTATCTTTTCTAACAGATCATTCACCTGAGTGCGATTATCCATGCAAGTGTTGTCAAACACGGTGTACTTGTCATTACAGGCCCTGATGAGTTCCCTGAGCTCAGGGCTTTGATTTAAAAACGTCTGAATAGACATCTGCCCAAGCACATCTCCCCTGGTGAAAAGCACCAGTGTGTACATTGAGGCTTCCTCGCCAAAGTTGTCCTTGATCCACTCGACGGCTGTCTTCTCCTCTCCCGTGAACCGCACATCCAGTCTGATCACCAGCAGGAACACATGGGGTCCTGGGACAGACAAACGGATACAATTCTCTATTTCTGTCTTCAGTTCAGCATCTGTAGTGGACGTGTCAAAGATTCCAGGGGTGTCGATGATGCTGATAGTTCTGTCATCATGTTGAAAGGGGACTCTTTTACAAGTTTTTGTCACAGAAGATGGTGAATATTTTGCTTCAAAAACCTCCTCCCCCCTGATGGTATTCCCTGCTGAACTCTTCCCTGATCCGGTTTTTCCCAGCAGAACAATCCTCAGGTCCTGGACAACAGGAGAGCCAGACGCTGCAAATAAAAGAGCAGTTTAACTGTTTGAATTCAATGAGTTGCAAATCAACTAAAATAATATGTGCACAAACCAACATTTGTTAGAATACTAAAGACACTCACCTGCCTGTGAACTTAGAGACATCTTGTAGTAAAGGGAAATACCAGGAAATCCAAGTCAAAGCTGAGTTATACTAAAAGCTTATCAGCAAACAATCTGAACTTTCTCCTTTAGTTCAGCTATTATACAGGGTTGGTTTGCGCTCCTCCCACCTTATTTGCCTTACTTCCACCTCTAAGTGTTTCCAGTAAAGTGAAACCTAAGCATAGTTGCCAAGTCCGCTTATTATAAGCAAGGGGGGGGGGGGGGGGGATCGGTTCCGGTGACCAGATCAGATATACAAGGCTTCTACAGTGGATATAAAAAGTCTACATACCTCTGTTCAACGGTATGTACATGACAGGTTTCTGTCATGTAAAAAAATTAAATCAGGATAAATAATTTCACAACTTCTTCCATCTTTAATGTGACCTGTAACCTGTACAACACAATTGAAAAACAAACAGAAATCTTTCAGGGAGGTGAAGTAAAAATAAACAACTGAGAACAGTTCCAAATACCCATCAGTGTTGGCACAAAACCTTCGGCCTTCTGCTAGAAAGCTGAAGCTGTAGAGGAACTTCATCTTTCAGCACAACAATGACCCAAAGCACACATCTAAATCAACAAAAGAATGGCTTCACCGGAATAAGATTGAGACTTTGGAATGGCCCAGCCAGAGTCCAGACCTGAATCCCATCGAACATTTGTGGGGTTCTGAAGAGGGCTGTGCATAGGAGATGCCCTCGCAATCTGTCAGATTTGGAATGGTTTTGCAAAGAAGAGTGGGCAAATATTTCCACATCAAGATGTGCCACGCTGATAGACTCCTACCCAAAAAGACAAAGTGCTGTAATAAAAGCCAAAGGTGCTGCAACAAAGTACTAGTTTAAGGGTGTGCATATTTATGGAACCAGGTTATTTTAACTTTTCTATTTTTTATTTTTCCCCTTAAAGGTTTCAGTTTGTTTTTCAATTGCATTGTACAGGTTATAGGTCACATTAAAGGTGGAAAAAGTTGTGAAAATATCTATCTTGCTGTCATTTTCTTACATCACGAAAACCTGGCAGTTGAATAGGGGTGTGTAGACTTTTTATATCCACTGTATTTTTGTCGAGTGCCGGAGCACGGCACATCAATTTAGCGCAGCGCAGCTCGAGTAGCAGCAGAAGTTGGATGCGGTTACAGAGTAAATTACATGGTTAATTTTCAAAATAAAAAAAATTACCTTTTGCATTGTGTGTACTCTGCCACGTGGCACTGCTTCAGGTGGGGAAAAAGATTTGAGGTATTCGCCGAATTTGCGAGAACATGTAATTATTTAATTTGCAGTGCACATTGCTCTGCTTCATGTCCGATCCTCAAAAAAACAAAATACCTCCACACCACTGACATTTCCGTGCCAGCATGTCATCATCTGTTGAGCCTTTATCTGCATTTCTGTTGGGGGTAGCACTCAATGTCTTTTTTTCTCACCAACGATGCTGTCAGCTTCACATGTTAAAGTGCCATGGTTGCGTGTAGCTGCAGCCGCAGTCTGCTACTTCGCATTTGTCTGCTACTTAGTTCTAATTCAGCACATGATTGGTTCAGCTCAAAGCGGACCCAGAGCAGCTCCCCTTTCATTGGCTATTCGTATAGACTACCAAAACATGGCAGAATGCCAACTATTGACAAGGATATTGACCATGTTTTATACTGATATTCAGGGAAATTCATTTTCAATGTATATCATTATCATTTTATCACCCACCCCTAAGCTCCACACAAAAGCAAAGCAAAACTCAAGTGTGGTAGGTAGTTTGTCCTTTCCAGACCACTATTTCTCGAATTGCGCGAGGAGACAAACTAAGAGTCAGAGGCAGTAAGTGGGGATAATATGAAAAGAAAAAAAATGAACCCAAAGTCTTTTCTTTTAATCAGAGTTTAAAAAATTAAAGTCATTCAAAGTTTTTATGTTTATATTGCGTTTATTATAATTTTGCTGATGCAAAATGTAATAATAGATGTGCAGGGTTTCCCTTTCATGTATCAGGTGCACAGCCACAACAAAATAAAAAGCTTTCAAATGAGTTGTTCTCTGCACGCACGCACGCACGCGCGCACACACACACACACACACACACACACACACACACACACACACACACACACACTGTGGGATGTGGCGGGTTGCTTGTTGGGCTTATTTTGGGCTTGTTTTCATAGAGCCTGTTGCTTGTTTCTCTCACAAGATCTGGCAAAACTGAACTTAAGGCTCAAAACTTTCATTTCACTCGTCATCAGATTAAATATTTGTTTTAGTTTTGTCAGGAACACAGAGCTACACAAGGAAGTGAGGCTATAGTCCCTTTCCTGTTGATACTGTGTAAATATAAAAAAGCAGAAACTTGATCTCATGTGAAAGACTTTTTTATCTTTATCTACAGTGGCTGCTAAAGGCAAAAACACTTGGCTGAATAAAACGAAAGTTTGGACTTTTCTTAAATTAGAAAATTGGAACTGGCCACAGGAGTGAGTTAAGAACCCAAATGCATTTTCTGTCCCCAGAAATTCAAATTAAACCATTAAAATAACGCCACACATTGAATACCATTGAAGGAGAGCATTATAACAGTATGTGGTACATTTGTATATTCCTCTGGGAATAAGAGTAATGAGAGAAGAGCTTCCTCATGAATCTTTGGGAGATGAGCTGTGCTGACAGGGATTATCTTTTATTTCTTACAATGGATGCAAAAAGCTGTAAATACAGAATATACAAACAAAAATAAGAACAGAGTTGGCTTCAGAAACTGCTTTACAGAAAACAAAGTCACTGACAGAAAACTCTACCCTAACAGCCTTTTAATGTCAGGGATCTCATCAGACAGCTTTTCATTTACACACAACACACGATACGCTAACTGCAGTTAACCTCTACCTCTAGCTTTGGTATGAGACCAGTGTGGAAAAAGTGATGGTAGAGTGCCAGCTAGTGGCTCTACAAGGAAACTTTTATCTAGCCGTTCAGACTGTGTTGATACAAGTCAAGTACTTACTACAGTTTTTTACAATCCTCCTAACACAAATTCCAATACCTCTGACACGTTTCAAAAACTCTTCACCGGTTTGCACCGGTGGCCTATACAATTAAAACATTTCTTGTTTGTTTGACACAAAGTGAGTACAGTGGACACATTTACAAAATGTTTTTAACTTCTTTAACAAACAAGCTCTACCAAGACAGTAAATCATCTCTTGTTTTTTCTTATTGTCGTTGAAAAGCAGCTGATGTAAATTAGTCAACTAACTGAAGTCAAAGCAGCTCAGTACAATCACAGCTAATACATGTAAAGTTTGGTGTGGGGTGTCGGTTTGGGTCTGAAGAAACAAGACAATAGAGAATGGCAGAAGGGAGAGGAGTTGGTCCAGTGTGATGTTGATGAGGCCATGTGGCCCGATGCAGAAGACCGGGCAGATTAGGGTCTTTTTCCCTTACAATAGTATTTTTATTTTTTTATACTACATATTTCTTCTGCACATTTTTCTGTTGGTATCCATGCTGATTCTTGTTTATTGCAGGCTTGCAGAATTTCTGACATAAATAAAGCCTTTGCAATTTAACTCTACTACATGCAAAAAATAAATAAATAAATATTAAAATAAGCAACATACCTGTAAGAGTTTCATAAGAAACAGAACTCCAAAAAAACTTATAAAAAAATACACCTGAAACATAATGCAGTTTCTGTAAAACCAACTGGTGTTAGTGTTTTTGATGACAGTGTCATATGACGACTACAGTTTTGTGATGGAAGAGAATTGGTGTTGTTGTTTGGTTGATCTGGTGTATTGTGTTGGTGTATTCTTGCATTTTGAAAACTAGTGTAGATGTTTAGTTTACAGTGTGAGCTTTTGAGAATGAAGTTAGCTGTTTTGTCAGTTGTGAGTTATTGGTGTGTTGGTGTGTGAGCAGTTTTGTAAATGTGTCAGAAGTATTGGAGTCTGTATTAGGCCAATTGTATAAAACTGTAATATAGCCAGTCAAGTGACAAAACTGTTGAGTCTACTTCCTGTTTTGGGGAGATTTCTGCTTAAATATGATGTGCAGCTTATTTCATTTTGTGCTTGTTAGGATCAGATCTCTATTTACTGCTGTTGAAAACTGGATTTTGTTTTCAGAAGCATTCAGGTTCAGTTTGTTTTCAGGAAACTTGCAGGAAATTAGTCCACAAAGAGAGCAAAAGGAGGAGGACACAGTCTGCCGTGATACAGTGCTGGAACTCCTCAGTGATCGTTTCATAACAAACCAGTTTTAATAAGTGTCTTTGTACAGTCACCTGCATTCAAGTGTGGCCAATAATCCACTCTTATGCTGGTTCTTAACACTGACTCCATTCTCGCCTCATGGTTGGACCGTAAACAAAGGACAAGCACAAAAACTGAAGTCTCAAAGCTGATCATCACTTTGGGGGGCTCTGTCGTGGTTATTTGAGTGCTCATGGGGAATTTGCACCAATCAGCTTTTATTTACTCCTCCTCAGCTCCATCTAGTGTCTCCATCTGGCAACTCCGATGCCAAACAGTGACAGCATGGTAACAGTTAACAATGTTTGTAACAAAGTGTCCTTGTGCTGTATTTCATTTTCCATAACCAGCTTTGTGTGTGTGTTTAGCATGCAGTAGTACACACTGCGGCCCTCCCACTCGCCTGTGTGTGAGATCCTAAGAAACAAGCTGGCCAGTCATAACAGAAGAAAGTCTCCAACTCTCTCTTACACACAGCTACACAATGAGAAACACATAAAGGATCATCTTCACGCCAGCTGTGGACATCTGTTTGGATGACTATGGACTAAAGAGTAAGTGACCAAAGCTTTAACATCATTTCTTATTCTTCAATGTTTTACACCAAGATTATGTGTTATCTTTGAATTACTATCATGTAGGAGTTTAGACTTTGTTTAGTGTTTTAGTAAAACATCTTTCCACAGTATTTCTGGATCTATAGAGCTGTGTATTTCATTATACTGTATAAAACTCCCAACTAAATATAAGAGTTAAAATAGATTTTAAAAAATGAACAAAATAACTTTGACGCTTCTTTTTTTTATTATGAGAGCCATTAGTCTTCTGTGATTATTTGATAAAATCAATTAAAGTTGATTTCCCTTAAAAGAAAAAAAAATCTCTGTGATCTCAACAGTTAATTCCTCAGTGTCAAACAAGACAGGACACAAAGGAGAAAAGGAGAAGCATCAACCCATCTGAAAATCAACAGCCATTTTTTAGACTGGACTAAACTCCCAGTGAGAGAGATTTTTTTAAAGGACCTCTTTTTAAATTTGGGAGAGCTTTTCTTCAGTCATCATGGCATCCACAGGTCTCCAGCTGCTGGGCTTGGTGTTGGCCATGCTGGGTTGGGCGTGTGGAGTCTTGGTGTGTGCTGCCCCTCTGTGGCGTGTCTCTGCATTCGTCGGTGGGGAGCTGGTGATTGCCCAGATGCTGTGGGAGGGCCTGTGGATGAACTGTCTGTCACAGACCACGGGCCACATCCAGTGCAAGACTTATGACTCCACCCTGGCTCTGCCCATGTCCCTCCAGGTGGCCCGAGGCCTCATTGTCCTCTCCCTGCTCCTCTGCCTCCTGGCCCTTATGCTTGGGGTGACAGGGGCTAAGTGTACCCACTGCATGGGAGATGGAAACCAGGTCTCCAAAGCTCGGCTTGCGAGGATATCAGGGGTGCTCTTTCTTGTGGCGGGCCTGGCTTACTTGGTACCAATCTGCTGGACTGCCTACGCAATCATCAGGGACTTCTATGATCCAAATGTTGCAGCCCCATTGAAGAGAGAGCTGGGGCCGGCTCTGTACCTGGGCTGGGGAGCCTGTTTGATGCTTCTCGTGGGGGGTGCGTTGTTGCATGTGGGCTCTTCTCCACCAGCAGGAAAAACACTGCCTGTGGGAAGAGTAGCAGCAAAAGACAACCCACACACAGGGGCAGGAGGAGAAGTGAAGCAACAGGAGAAATCGTTCGTATGAGATAAATTTACAGGACATGTCAGACCCAAACACAGATGTCATGACCTCATTGAAAACAGCCTGCACAGTTTCATGTCCTGTGAAGCTCAGCTGGTTAAATTTCCCTGTAATTGTTTGAAAAACCACCATGTCAAATGGTTTCTGATACTATTTAATTCATTAAATAGTGTGGGAGTTGACATGAATTGTGGGAGGATAATAGAAGTTTAGATGTTTACTAATGCGTGTGACTTACATTTCTCAAATTCCACTCTGCCTCTGCTTGTTTGTGTGTGTGTGTGTATTTGTCTGTGTGTGTAGGCAGTCTGTGTACAGAAGGCCAGTGTACATTGTGCATCACTGTATGCTGATGTAATAGCTCAAAATATGAGTGGGAAGCCAGTGTGATGCTTGTTTAATTATTTATTTATCTTTATTAAATTATTAACAAGCTTCCATTCGTTTCTGCATTCTTACTTTTTCTGCGGTTCAGTATGTCATTTCTACAGAGATAATTCGCTAACATCAGTTGGAAATGCAATGGTATTTCCACAGTAACTTCTGCATTTAATTTGGTTTAAAAAAAATTCTCTTTTAGGAGCTGTCAAGTTATGTTAAAATAATCCTATGGCTCCAACTTGGTTAAAATAATGTCCAAAAAAGTGAAAAAATAAAGAGACATGGCACATATCGTACAATTTATCATACCATAGTGTGATCATATTCTTAATCCTCAAAAAGAGGACACTACTATGTGGGGCGGTGACGCATGCAGAATTTTGAGGGTTTTTCGGGTGGGTACGAGTGTTTTTTACACGCTTCTAACTCAGTTAGTCCACGCTGTACAAACTCAAAACTTCCATAAAACCCTGGATATTTGCAGGATTTTATAAACTCCCCCCAGACAGGCCGGACAGTCTCCCAAAAAAAGACATGTCTGGGTAAAAGAGGACTTATGGTCACCCCATCATACCTGTGACACATCTGAGAAGATTTGAAAAACATATATTTAGTTGTTCCTGCTTTAAAGATTATGTATGTAAAAGTCACAATGCTATTTCAAGGAACTTTTGGTTAGTGTTGATTTTGGCACGCCCCTGTGGGGAAACTAGTACCCCCTACCCCTTTCCTGATTTTGTTCTTTTCTTTGTGAGAGGTATTTTCATAACAAATTTCATTCTGCTGTCTTTTAATGATGAAATGTACCACCCATTAACATTTTTTTGCTGTGGCAAATGTGAGCATTTAAACACCTCAATTAACACCTTCTGCCTCCACAGTCCCAACCTTAAAAAAGTCAAACAAAACAGAAATAACTCGCTCACTGATTACAGTCATACTTGTGTGTATGTAGCTCATAATGAGGTCAAAGTATGAAATTCAGTCAGTTTCAAAACCAGAGGAAACTTCCTCACAGGAGCATTAACTCTTTCTTTTTTTGTAAAATTCCCATCAAATCTTTTATTTAACCACTTTTGCACTGTCAATAAAGTATTTATGAGTAACTAAAATTGTTTTACTCTGCATTCATTACATACAAGATATGATTAAGTGTTGAGATTCAGTCCATAGAAATGGGAATATTTAGTGATATGTAACAGTCATGTTAAGAACTGAAAAGCCTTTGCTCACCTCTCCAGTTAGGGAATTTTCAGAGGTAAGTCCTGTGAAGCTCAGCTGGTTAATCTTATATGATTAATTTGCAGAGACATTACATGGTATTTCTAATAGTATAATAATCAGATGATGCAAAGTGCTACTTTCAAGGTTAAAGAGATTTAGAGGGTTATAAACTAAGTTTACTCATTTGGAAATGGTGTCTTTATATTCTTTTGCTGTTGCGCATTGAAGGTGTGTGTGTGTGTGTGTGTGTGTGTGTACAGGGCTCCAGACTTGACCTCTTCATCGACTCAAAAGAGTGAGTGTCTTACAGCTCCTCTCCTCATGCTTACAAGTGTCTCTATTTTGTCTTTCACTTACAGGTAGAAAACAACAGTTAAATGTGGGAGTCGTGTTAAGATTCCCACTATTTTCAACATTTGTCTGACTTCTTGACATTTTAAAAAAGGTATCATGGAATTAAAATTCTTAATCTCTCTTTGAATTAGTTAATATTTTTTAAGACGTGCTGCTGACCTCTTGGCCAGGTCACTCTTGTGAAAGAGATCTTAATCTCAGTTGGCATTAGCTGGTTAAATAAAGGTTCAATACAATTATATTTCAGTACAAATACAAATTACACACTTAAATCTTAGACCTCGCTATAAGTATGTTAAAAGTCTTTCTTAAAGTACCAGTTACAGCAAGGCATCATTGAAGAGATGGGATCATTTGGAGGATGAGGATAAGCATACTGGCTGTTTTGTGGTAGCAGTTATATGAAGCGTACATCTAGTCAGTTACTTGTGTAAAACAAATGAGATGTGATGCAATGACTGACAGGTCTGTTGTTGACAGGTGTAGGTCTCAATTAAAGATTTGAAGAGCAGAGGAGAGAAAATACTAACATGAATAATTGGATTTTAGATGGCTGTGAGCGTCTTCTTCAAATCAACATAAGCATCCTTTCTGCTGTGGACTGTACCCACCTGAGGAATCAGTTCAATGTGTGAGTTGGTTAGTGGAAGGTACATCTGGCTTAACCAGCCTGGTTGTTTCTGCACATGTGGCTCCATCATATATCACAGGTGTAATAAGTTACAGCCCATGGCTGTGGTATTTTAGCTTCACTTTTTGAAAGTAGAAGTTGGACGGGTATTTATTAAGAAAGTAAATGCTTCACACTCACTTCAGAACTGGAGTGTAAAACAGATTTGGTAATCCAAGATTACAAACAATCACACAAAAGCAGAGAAAAAACATAAAAAAAAAGAAAAACATAGAGGCAGCAAGCCATGAGCTCTCCCCCCTTGACACTTGTGTTATTCAGAAACATAGTAACTATGAAAGAGACAGTGCTATTGTTTTTATTTTCAGTTTACAAAATTGCCAGCCCTTTATGTCCTGAGATACACAGCCTGCACAGTGAACAGTATTGTATTGTTGTTTGACTTTTCCTTCAAAAGCTGTTTTCTACATTACTTATTTAATAACTTGTATTAGTTTGGTCTGTGCTCATATAACAACAGGGCTGGCTTTGCCTCTTGAGAACTGAGCAAGTTTCCTCATCTCACAGAAGGGACAAGTCCTAACATGAACATTTAGCAGGGAATCAGCAGCTTCTGATTATAGCTAAGCTGAGTAACTTCTGGTTTCAGGCAGTAATGGGTAAACAGAGACAGTATCCAAGTAAAAGTATTGTTGCTTTACAAAAAAAAGCATAATAAAGTTACTTTTGCTCAAATAAGAACCTGGTTAAGTTTGAAGAAAATATCTTGTTAAAAACTCGTGGAGTTGCGAATAACTTAATGTTGTGCAGTTTACGAACTTGTACTGCACTGGAATAAGTTGTGTAAGGCCAATAACAATGTAAAATGTACATTTTTATTTAGACAGTGACACAACCTGGGAATGATGAAATAGATGCTGCTGAGCATGATTTGGGGTGGTGGTCTTACACTCCGTGGGCTAATAACCAACATGTAACCATATGTCTGCTGGTTTAATTTTTGATGTAATGATGTTTTCACTGATGAGATGAAGGGTCAGATTCAGCGTAACAGCTCCACTCCCTGAAAACACTTTTCCAGCTCTAATTCCAGCTGAGTCAGGCATAAACTGATTAGATACGTGGTTCAAAGTAACAAGGCATTCACCTTTGTCTCAGCTATACTTGTTATTGTATACCCCAGTAAAGTCTTGGAGGTCAAGTCTGTAACAAAGTTTTTATCTAAGAACCCCCCTCCTTCTTTTTATTTTTTAATTTTTTTTTACAGTTGGTGAATAAATTTACCTGCGTATCTGTTCCTTTTATTATTTCTGGACCATCTACTAATGCTCTGCAGACAAACACAATGAAAGATGGATGTTTTCCTGACCTCTTGAATGCAAATTTTCTGTATTCATTTTTCCCTTAATTTCAGAACTATGCATTCCGTTGAATATTTTTAACATATGTTTGCCACTCTTCCACAAATAGGCTATATTGTTATATTGTGCCAGAAACAAATGGATATGAACAGCAGCTTGGGTCATTGTTGTATATCAAACCATACCAAATCAGAACAGGGCTATTGGGTAAGATTTGCTGTTTTTGTAATAGTTGCAGTGTATTTGGTTATGGCATCTCTTGGAGTTCCTCATTTTTACCGTCCCCTCTGAGAGGTAAGGGAAAAAAAAATGTAGGTTTTATCAAAACTATGTTACAGTTTGTTTCCGTTGTTCACAAGCATTTGTCCAACCAGTTGTCACATTTTCAAAACTCTAAACACATTAGCACAGCATCGGTCTTCTGTGGCCATACCATTCACAAATTTCGTGTTTTAACACAATATGCAGTCAGGGAACACATTTCCAGAATGCTTACATTTTCTTGACAGACAAGCTATACCTCCCAACAGAACTATGGATTGAATTTGTATTATTTATGAATGTTAACACAGAACATCCCACAATAGCAAAAACAATATTCTAGACCTTAGATACAGTATAAAAACTTTTGTTTCTGCAATGAAACCGGTTCAAAAACAATATATCTCAGCTGATAATAAACAAACAATTGAATAATTGACACACAGCTGATTTATGTTGGGTAAATTTAGCCAAGGGTGGATCCGACATACCAAGCGGTTTTATCCCAGGTGCATCACCTTGGATAATATCAGATGCAATGTTGATGAAAACATGTGGCCTAACCCTGAAGATCGCGGAGATTAAGATACAGTGACTTGGTGCTTTTATAAGTTCCCCCCTTTTTATCACGGCTTTTTGCTGTTATTTTTGTATTTTGTTTTTTTTTGTTCAAAATGCTCTTGTGTGTTTCATGGATATTTAGTTCACTGTAAGCAATACTGTAAAACCTTTTCTATTCTATCATATTTTTAACAGTATTTCTACTGTACCTCCTGTAGTAAACAGTAAAGGAAAAAAAAACTGATTTGCTTTTCACTGGAATGGTTTTGAATGTGAACATTACATGTGGACATACAGTTCCCAACCAAGAAATTTTGGGTAAAAACTGTGGATCGCATGTTTTGCATGCAAACACCTTTAAAACTGAAACATTAAAGTCTATGCAGTTTTTGTAATGTCAGCAATAGCCAGTACTTTGAAACTTGGTGTACTTTGATTGGCTGCATGTACCTTGTGAAGTGAAAACAGGTGTTATTCCTGTACAGAGTAATTTCATTTTGAGTCAAATTTCCAGTGTCTTTGTAAAGTTAGAGTGTGCAGAGAAAGATGTGTTCTATTTTGAAATGAAGAGTTAGTATACAAAATGTGTTTTTGAGAAGAAAAATTTGGCCAATTGTGAGTCTGTGTTAAGAGTTTAGAAAAATTACCTGAAGAATGGGTATGCGCTTATTAGCAGTTGAAAAAAAAAACTGGTATCAGAATCAGAATCACTTTATTGATCCCAAACTAGGAAATTATGGTGTTACAGCAGCCTTTTCCTTGTAAACCAAAACATTATAGGAATATAAGAAAGACAAACACCAAAAGTTGACCGAAGACCTTGTAATTACTGCCTGTGGACATGTTTGAACTGGCTTTAAGAGGCTTTTATTTGCATGGTTCACTGACAGACGATTTTGCTTTTAGGGGGAAAGTTGATGACTCTCCTCTTAAAGAGACAGTAACCATGTCCGCTTTGTGCAGCTGCACGGATGATGTGTATCACTTTAAATCCAGTATGACAGCTCGCTGTGGTGAGAGTGAGCACTGTGAGTTTGGGCTGTTGAAGCCTTTAGCTTTCTCATACTCCGCTTTCGACCTTTGAATCCCGGACCCCGGGGCGAGTAGGCAGTTCCGTCGCCTTTGCTGCCAATTGGCTGCTCTCCTCTCTTCTGTGTACCACTTCTTCCTATTGCTCCGTACATCGTGGCCCAAACATAACAGCCAGTGCACACACACACGCTCTCTCTCTCTCTCGCTCTCTCTCACACACACACGTACACACACAGGGACATCATGTGGCGTGAGTGTGCGCGATGCTGCTCAAAGTCCCCCTGTCCGCAGAGCTGTCTCTTATCGGAATGTTTGAAGATTAACGAGGTTAACCGCGTCCTGTAGACCACAGGCTACTACCAGCTCTGCCCTGCAGGCCAGGAAGTCGACAGAGCAGGCGGACAACGTGTTGAGGCGGACCAGGAGGAAGGAAGTCACCGCTGGAGCTGCCTCGTAACGCTGACTCCAGAAACATGACCGAGAAACGGATGTCGCGGTGGTATTTCGGGGGACTGGCGTCCTGCGGAGCCGCCTGCTGCACGCATCCTCTGGATCTGCTCAAGGTGAGGGGGCTTACGAGGGGAGAGTGAGCGTGTATCCCTCCGCTCGCTCGCTGCGGAGTGGGGGGAGTGCAGGCCTGAACAGCAGGCTACAGCTGTTTCCAGCAGGAGTCAGTGAGGACAGGTCCCACTGCAGTCATAAGCCCCACTGTCGAGTCATCATATTACTGTGTGCCTGAACTATATTAGATATCCTGGCATGCTTACCACAGCGGCAGCGAGCCACTCGTAGCCGTGCCATGCTTGGGGTTATCACATGTCCTCCATGGCATCACTGAAATGTCTGTGAGGATGTTCAAGGCTGAGAGAATATAGACGACACTGGAAAGCCACACAGTGACAATAGCTTTGAAAATCAATAGTGAAGATATTGCCTTGGTAGAATTCATGGAGGTGGTTGAATTTGATAAAGCATTTTCAATATTGACAAACTGACTAAGGGTAGGGGAGAGTGGGGTAAGTTGAGCCACCCCCTGTATCTTGGAAATAGTAAAAGAAATTGATCATGTGACCAAATATTTAGGAGATGGACATCAATTCATGGAGTCTGTAAAGGTTAGAAGCACATGGGTGAAGGGGTTAGACATTTATTTACAAAAAAAAAAAAAAAAACATTTTTCATTCTTGTAAGTGAATTTAGTCTGTCATAAGTTTTATAAGAATTGTGTTTAGACCAAAAATATTTTAAATTTATTTTATACATCAATTGTTGTATCTATGAGCTATCACATAAAAGTCCACCATTTTAGCTCAGAGGACTAATAAAGTCATAATAGTAGTTCTGGGGTAAGTTGAGTCAGTGGCTCAACAGAGAAAAGGAGTCTGATGAGAGGATCAGAGTTTCAGTTCAGATTGTTGAAATATGTTAAAATGGCTTTTTACAAAACATCTTTTTGACAGTCATATGCAATAATAAAAAGAATTATTGTACTTGTTGAATAGTGTGTAATAGATAAAAATACACATGAATGTGAAGAAGCGACTGTTATTTAGGGAGAAAGAAGGTGAGGGAGGACTGGGGTGGAGAGTGGGGGGGTAGTAGGGATACCGCTCAATTTACCCCGCTCCTATGGTCAACCTACCCCATACACGGGGTAAGTTGACCACTTTTTTTTGGCATGCTATATTATAAAGACATGTATGTTTTCACTCATTCTGTCGGTTTGCAGGGATGCACAACATCTTAAAATATATGCAGATACATTAGTTAGAGACAAAACTATGATTGTCTTGATGTAGTGATCCGAAATATGAAAAATGGCTCATCTTACTCCACTCTCTCCTACTATAACTCATCTTGACAACATGTGTGTGTGTGTTGTGGAGAGAGTTGCATTGTGTGTGAGGGGTTTAAATGCATGTTCATTCTTGTCAGTCTATACCTGTGCTGCACAGAGGAATGAACTGTACCCATCCACACAATGCAAAATCCTGTTCTCCCCTTACTAATACCTAATTCCTGATTGCATGAACAAGACCAGCGCATGACCCTTATAATACTAAGTGGTCAGCAGGAAGTCATGTGACATGTAATTATGTAGAGGAGGCCAGTTATCTCCTCATTGCAGTAAAACTGCTCTCTACAGGCTTCATTCCTGCCCTTAAACTGGTTGTTAGATGGGTGTAACATTTACAGTTAGCTACAGTATGAGAAGACATTCAATTCTGTTGAATTAGTTACTTCTAGTCCTCAAAGATAATAAAATGAGCAACATTTGTTTACCCTTGCAATCTTGCTTGCGGCAGTGCAGGCTTAGCTTTAAAACGTGTGTTTGTGTGACTTAAATCATTCTTAAACTCATTATAGACCAACTAAACTAGATGCTTAGGTTGGATGCATCGGAAATGCTTGTAAAAAGTTTCTCAAACTGTAGATAAATTAGTTTATATATACGGCCTCCAAAGTTGCAGTTTAATGTCTGTAATTATTCCTATTTGTATAGAGTTCTCTTGTCAAAAGCCTGTAAGTGCTTTGCAACCAATCCAGTATAACCACACACCTTCATGTGAGGACAAGATTGTGTGCACAGTCTGGTCAAAAGGTGTCTTATCTGAAGAAACACCAAGGGCAAGATTTTAGTTTTGGGATTAACAGTGATTTGTATTTGGTGCGTTGTCAGGAGTTTTGAAATTACCGTCAAATTCAACTTGTGTGAGCAAAGGACATGGTACATAAACATCATTTCACCAGTGGCGGCTGCTGGTCTTTCAATGAGGGGAAGCTCATTTTTCTGGCCTACATCATAATTGTATTTGTTTATTAGTATGTAACAGAACAGAGTCGCCAAACACAACGGCAGTCGTTTTTAATAAAGACAGAAGTCGCTGAGGATCGGTAAAGTCTCCGGAGCAGTTAAGAACAACGGAATGAATGACTTGGAAAATGCTCTGGTAGATGTTTTATTCTTCAAGATCGCTGATTCGCTTGTTTAGCTGTCAATCAAAAAAGGATTTCGCCTCAGACAGCTCATCCAATCATGGATGCAGAAGCTTGCAGTCCGGGAGAAAGTCGGGACCGCCCTCTCGCCATAGAACTCCAGTGAAGCTTAGCTTCCATTGGGCGGGACAAAGCCCAGCATTTATCCAATGAGCGTCTAGTTTCGCTGCTGGAACAACCCACTTTTAGCTTCCACATTGAAGTCAGCAGAAGCCCAGCGTCCGGCTGTTTAAAGCGCTGAGGCGCTGCGAGGATGAATGAGAACGAAGTTATGCCGGTTACCTATAATTATCAGCTTCTTATCACAGTGTCTGAACAAAAGATGAAGGCTTTCTAGTGCGTATTTAGTTAATGAAATGTACACACAGCAGTACGTATTTCACCACTTTTTCTTTTTTTTGGGGGGTGACATTTTAAGGGAAGCCGAGCTTCCCTTGCAGTCTTAGAGCAATCGCCACTGCATTTCACCAACAGCATTGTCAGCTGTTTCAGAGAAAAGGAAATACCTTCTTTTCCTTTCTCTCTTCAGCTCTCCTATCAAAGGAAAGCACCTTTGTTTTTTTTACAGATTTCACCACAATTTATGACTTGATGCTAAAATTTAGAATGATAGAGTGAGACAACGACAAGGTTACATGTCCCCTGCTCATGCAACTTAGATGAAAACAGCCCCAGACTGAAGCTGAATGAGGACGTAAATGGTTTAAGTCATCATTTCCCCCCAGGGACTCTGTTCTGTAGACTCAAGTCAGCAGAAAAAAACAGAACGGGTCACTCTGCAAATACTACTAGTGTGTGCTCTGAGGTCAGGGGATTTAGCTACAGTTAAGATACTACAGTTATGTTGAGATCTATTACCAATACTGAATGGAGCTCATATTCTCTGCATTCACTTTCAGAGCTGAATTCTCGGATCTGTCCTGTAAAAGCAAGGTCTTAGTTCAAGTTTGAATGTTCGCAAAAAAATCCTGTGGAAAAAAAGCTAATAGATTCAAGCGATTTGAGAAAAAAGGGAATAATGATATAAAAACCCAAAGAGAGTTTGTCTTTCCAAACTCACTAGTATAACATCATCGTACTCTGTAAGTGGAAGCTCTGTGTATATACTGAGATGGTTTATCTACAATGGTGAGCGTGCACATTGTTCACACTTAGGTGATGTGGTAACACTATGCTGGTAATGAATAAGTGAGTCAGTTTTCAGGGCAGCTAGTATCACTTTGTAGAAATGAGACAATGTGTGATGAAAGCTGATGGTTGCACTGCATCAATGTTTGTGCAGCACCCTGGATTGTTAGTCATTGCTCACATTTACATAATGTTTAGAAAATTCCACATGCCATTACAATTCTTTTTCTATGCTTTAACTATTTGTGTAGACATGTGTAAACATACCCCTAACCCATGAGGTAAATATCACAACCTTTAGCACTGCTGCGTATTCTTTTCCACGTATGGTTTAAGTCACTTTGTAGCTATGAAATATAAACTCTGCTGCTGTTGTTGTCTGAGCTTGGAGAACATGGTCTATCAGTCTATCTATGTCACTGGGCCAAATAAGTTATTATGCCAAGGAAAACAAGCAAAGTTTTGGACACAGTGTCAACAAGCGGAGGTGAAATATGATTCAATATAGTGTGTGAGATCTGGTTGTACAAGCATTGTTATGAGGTTTTGACTAGTCAAAATCAAATAGCTAGCACTGCTGGGTAATCATGAAAGTCCATTTGAATGTGTGTGTTGGATAAAGGATAAACACAATAAATACTTAGCATGGGTATTGTGTAATATCAAAAACATAGGGAAATAATCCAACTGTTGTTGAATGACAAAATCAGGCTTGTCATATCAAAATAAAACATTAACCTACTAGTTCAGTGAAATTTTAATTCAAGCTGCTTTGGTCAGTTGGATTACTGAGGTTAGTAAATCTATAACATGACTCAGTTTAATCATCAGCAGATGACTCTACTGAAACCACTGAACTGTGGAACCAGTCTCTCCGTCCTGATTGAACTTCACTTTTTTCTTGTCTTTTTTAGACTAAAAATAAAAGGCTTAACTGCAACTCTTCTGCTGTGATTTCTTGAAAAGCACCAAGCTGTACTGCTTTAGATGATGAATTGAGTTGTGATTACTTGTTCCTTGAACCGTTTCCTTGAAATCACAGGGTTTTTATTGTCTTTGTGAGCAGACAGTGAGGCAGACAGTGAGGCAGACAGTGACCACGTAGCAACAACCTTCAAAGTTCCGAAATTGAAGGCTTCAAAAAGCTCGCTCGTACGCTAATCATATACCTGTAAATGCTAAGAACTAAATTATCATTTAGTTGGGAGAAAATATGACTTTCAGCAAAGTACAGGGTTTGTCAGAACTGTGTAACACAAGGCAAAGATTACCTGGTCATGTTTTATTTTCAGATTTTGTCCTTTGTGTTATCCACAGATCCATAACACCATCAGATAGGCCACTGTACTGCTACCCTAGACTGATAAAGCAGAGCTGCTGAACAAGATTTTTTCAACCTCATCTTGAGTTTGATACTTATCAACCCATCTGCTTGTTTTTTTTTTTTTTCCTTTTACTGCAGTACACGTGTTTGTGTGATTTTGCCTTATTGCACATACACATTAACTCGCTGTTGGCTCAAAAGGACTCAGTTTGAACCTGTATATACTTATTGTGCTTCCCTTTACTTGGAAATCGCTAAAAGGGAAGATAAATGATCCTTGTATACATCCAGGTTAAATGAGTGGAAGTTATTGTTGTCATTAGTTAGAGCTGGGCGATAAAACAATAATGATGTCGAAAATTAATTTCCCTCAATATCAATATAAACCATGGTCAATATCCTTTTCAATAGTCGTCATTCTGCCATGTTTTGGTAGACTATACGAATAGGCAATGAAAAGGGGAGTTGCTCTGGGTCCGCTTTGTGCTGAACCAATCGTGCTGAATCAGAACCAAGTAGCAAACAACTACGTAGTAGCCATTATGTGTGGAGCAGTGAAAAGATTATTGTTGAGGTTGTTTTTAAGGTCTATTAAGATTTTAGCCACAGCAGTGTTCTGACTTTATAAATTACGATCTTAAGGTGATAGAACACCCCCATAAAACAACTAAGAAATTCGTTTAACACAACTAAACTCAGGGTCAGGAAGTTGGTGGGTATGTGAAACTGTTTTACTAAATGTGTGTACTGGTATAGCATCGCTCTGTGGATATTTGGCAACTAAAGCAGACACAGTCTACTCTACACAGTGTGTTGTCTCTTTATTCTAACAAACACTGATGAACCACATCACGGTATAATATTCCATCTGTCTTCTGTTCTTGTTTTCATCTGGGTGGTACAGCATTAGAGTTTATAAGCAGTAGTAACTAGCTACAGCCCTCATTTTACATGGGTTGCTTATAACAATTGCTTGGCATTTTGAGCCTTCATGAATAAAATGTTGATAATTGAATTGGTTGATTAGTTATTCTTATGACAACTAGTTATTGACCACTTGACTAACTGCACACATCCCTGCTTTTTAGGTCTATGTTTGTAAATGAAAAAAGGAAGAAATTATTGCAGGTAATAAGATTCCAGCAAATCAAGGAAAGATAATGTGATATCAAACTAATAATTCATTTGTTGAAAAAAATAAGTTTCCACATTTTACTAGCTATACTAGACTTCAGGATGCTTTACGAAGTCAGAGTCAGGGTCAGAGGTCAGCAATTTTTTACTTAGTGGTAAAATTTACATTTTAGGGTAATAATTGTGATAGGAGGAAGATATTGTTCATGAGGGCTCAGTGGTCCCCAAACTAATTCAAAAAGAGGACAAAGGCCTCATTGTAGGGCTGTAGACCTCCCCTACAAAGACTTATGAGACACACTCACATGCACAAAGAGATCAAGAGAGAAAGAGAGAGAGAGTTATGTACTGTAGTGCTACCACTAACCCATTGAGCATTTTTTGGTCTAAAAGAAGTCTAATAGTCATCTAAATGGGGCCTAGACGACTGGTCTAAAATCAGGCTACCACGGGTCTAAAAGTGAACGTTTTTTAGACGCCTACATGTAGACAAAGTTTAGACTAGCCGGCTAGCAGAGGTCTAACTGTATATTGCTCAACGGTTACATAATTATTCTGGTGAAGTACTTGGAGATCAATTAAGCAACTCACAGTTCCTTTTTTGAAATAAAGGGACAAAGTGCAACGTCTAAATTCCATCTAAAAATATACAGAATCTGGACGGTTGAAATTAATTCTAAAAACACCTGGACGTTTAATAGTCGTCTATTGCTCAGTGGGAAAGATGATTTTTAGAGAAAAGAAATAACCCTTTAATAAACTAACTATGAGAAGTTTGACAAATATATATTCTGAAGCAAGGGTCTTTCCAAGTTTTACTTGGATTTGCATTGTGGGAAGTGTAGGATTCCGTGCTCCTGAAGCTAAATCTGAGAATTTCTTTGCATCCGTTTGTCTTATTTGAGCATCTCTTGAATTGTTCTGTCAGTTCCTTAAGTCTTAGTATGTTCAAAACTACGCTGACTAAATATCTGAGCAGTGACAATTTGTCATTGACTTTTGAACTTTTATAAATATGTGAACTGGTGACGAAGGTTTTGGACAAGTTAAAAAAACAAAAACTGGAACTGAGGTTGCTGTGTCAGCCCCTGCAGGATCACATACTGTCAATGTGTGCAGATTTATTGCATTTGTGTTTGTCTTTGTGTTGTTTTCTGTCTAATTTAACAACATCTGGCTACCATACTGACACAGGACTGTCTCTCCAGGTCCACCTGCAGACTCAGCAGGAGGTGAAGAAGAGGATGATGGGGATGGCTATTCATGTGGTGAAGAACGATGGTGTGCTGGCTCTTTACAATGGCCTCTCTGCCTCCCTCTGCCGACAGGTATGTGTCTCTTCAGGAAAGGACTGACCAAAGACCACTCTTACCCTCTGAAGCGCTCCATGAGTTCAGTCCTAAATTTGTTCTAACCTGCGGGACAATCTTATAGATAAAACTGAGGTAAACACTGGAGAGAGATGGATTAATCGGCTGGCTGATTAATCTGGATGATTAATGGCACTTTGACAAAGTTGGCATCATATTATCATCAACCCTCACAAAGCTGATATCCATCTCTTTTAGATGAAAACACATTTTTTTCATCCTGATTGACAGCATATCAAAAACATATCGTTAAACACTCAGTGGTTTAGTGTTTGATTAACGATATCATAAGTAATCTGGTTAAGTATTGACAGGTGCTCTAATTTCTATAAACCAATATCTTGGTCTTTTCCAGTGATTGATTAAAACTCCAATTAAAACATGTTAGTAGCTTAGACAACCATGTTGATCAGATTTGAGTTCGCATGGCGTAAAGAATCTGTACTCAGCTTTCCTTGATTGTTATTTTTGATAATAGCTATGACTATAGAGCAAGTTTTTGAGCAAATTTCCTAAAAAACGTGTAATGACTTTGACAAAGACTCTCCAGATGTTGTTCTCATTCAAGATTTGAAACTATGATCAGATAGCTGATTCTGTTGTGAGGTTGAGGTTGCTATTGAAAAACATCTCCAAAGTTCAGAATCCTATGAAAAGATCAGCGTGAATGTTTAAGAAGGAACATGAGGTCTGTAAAATGTGTTTCTTTTTCATAAACATCATTTAATTGGAGAAAAAAAGTTTCAATTACAGACACTTAATATTTATAAATGATGAACTTCATCTCTGCTTGTGCAGCCTGTTTACTTCTTAGCCAACACAGACCTCTTCTCAAACCTATTGTGATGATGTACCAGTCAACTTGACTATTTTTCCTCTCCTCTCCTCTTCAGATGTCTTATTCACTCACCAGATTTGCTATTTATGAGACGGTGAGAGACATGATGGGCAGCAAAAGCCAGGGCCCCATGCCTTTTTACCAGAAGGTCATGCTGGGAGCCTTTGGAGGTGGGCGCACACACACACACACACGCACGCACACACGCACTCGCCTTCCTTCTCTCTCCTCTATCACAGACACACACATGCAAAGTCACTCATACAGTTTTGGGTGCCAACTGTGTCGCTCTGCCTGCAGGTTTCACTGGTGGTTTTGTTGGTACGCCGGCTGACATGGTGAATGTCAGGTAACACGCCACGACAGCTCAGATATTCTTTACTAAACCACAAGTTTAATCACTCTAGACAAGCTGTGGCGTGTATCCCTTGTCATCTGGAATTGTTTTTGCTTTCAGGATGCAGAACGACATGAAACTACCACCAGAGCTGAGGAGAAAGTAAGAGTTGTAATTCACTCTGCTAAAATGTCCAGTTCACACTTTCTTAAACCCTCTTATTGTATTGTAACTCTACGTTTCTTATTTCCCTTTATTAAAGCTACAAACATGCGATTGATGGGCTCTACAGAGTCTTCAGAGAAGGTACATATGAAGCCATATTATGATTGCAATATGTAATCCTATCTGAATAATCATTCCTGACCTTTGACCTCTGCACTGTGTCCCATCCATCAGAGGGAGTGAGGAAACTGTTTTCAGGAGCCACCATGGCTTCCAGCAGAGGAGCGCTGGTCACTGTGGGGCAGGTAAGTCACATTGCTGATTGGCTTAAACTTGGAAAGATCCACCCATCCCTCTCTAAAATATGTGGGAAAAAAACATATTTGGAATCCATTTAAAAATCCTGTAATAGGAGAAAAGCATTAAACTGAGCTAAATTAAATGCATATGAATAATGAATGTGGAATCATTTTCCTGGATGAATAGGCCGCCCGTTTAAATGATCTCTATCTAACCAGTGCATAATGTATGAATCCATAAAATTCCAGTCTCACTTATCTCTGCAAATTGAGTGTTGTAAAGCATATCTGTCAGAAATTGACTTCAGGTGGAGCACTTAAATAACTTCCTCAATCCTATTCATATTTAAATAGTTTGTTAGCCACACATAAAGGTACGGTATAGACATATGGGCTGTGAAAATTCAAAAAGTCCACATATGTGGCTCTGGATCCTCGATCTGAATATTTACAGTAACAAAATTAAGAATTGAGGTAACGTTTAATGAAGGAGTTGACTCAAGAGTTACAGCAAATTTTAGAAAATGTGGCAGACTGCAAAAACCTCTTAATTCCTTCTTTTCTCACATCTTTTCCTTGAATCTATACAATTACTCCACAAGAAAATGATTCAGAAGCTGAATGGCTGAATCTCAATCTCTTTCCTAAACCCTAATTCCTGACCCATTAAAGGGATATTCCGGCATAAAATTAAGTTAGGGTCAAACACACCATAACACCGAGTTAGAGAGATGAATGTTGTCGACTGCTTGCTTCTCTAGTTATAACAACTTTAGGAACGACCGCACTATAGCAACACACAACTGTCTACATCTCCATGCACAAACCGCAAACAAAAAGCCACTCTATAGCCACAAATAATTCTCAGAACAGCACCTAACTTCATCAACAGTACATGTAGGATCCCAGCCATAGTACTAGCCACCAAACCTCTTTTTATCTTTGCTTGGTTTCTTTAGCAAAGAGACTAAACACAACTCACCCACTCTCCTCCAGTAGCCGCTTGTTTGACAGGGAGCCCTTATGAGTCAATCACTGAGTGCGGCAGAGTTTCGCAGCTCAAAGAAGAACATTTATGATTATTACTTCATTGAAATGCAATCAGACCTAGAGACAGCAGAAGAACGACCACGTCTGTGGTGCAAAATGATTATTATGATGATTATTACTACAAGGAAATGATCCACTGCACCCGGTGATCGACTCATCAGAGCTCCCCCACAAACAAGCGGCTGCTGGAGGAGAGTGGGTGAGCATCTCGGCCTCCTGCTAACAAAATAAAATTAAAGGTGTACAGTTGTATCCTGGCAATGTTTTCTTATTTGTATGTACAGATAGACTTACTTTTTAAGTGCCAATGTTACACCTTCCATACTCCAGTCTGTGGGTCCACTGGCAAGGGAGGGCTCATAAAGTTGGCCATAGACCCCACATCCACCCCAGTGTGGGCACTTATATTGGGCCAATAGCTGTGGTAAATGAGGCCTGTCTGTGCTTTACTCTACCACTGGGGGGAGCTAAGTAATGAACTACTACAGTAAAATTCTGCTTTGAAAAAGTGAAAACATGTCCTTTGTTTTCATAAAAAAACCTGTGATAATTGAAGTTACGCCTGCATAGTATTTTCAGAATCAGAATCAATATTTAGATTTATCCTGGCGTGGAAATTAAGTGATTTTGAGATTGTGACCACTTCTGCTTGAATTCATGTATGTGTTTGTTAAAGAAAATCTCAGCTGTGGCCAGTTTTTGGTAGAACATCATGTGGGATCTAAGAGTGAAGAAATACTGTCTTTATTTACTACATTCTCACTTCAAAATTTCACAGTTACTCCTCTTCACAGTTTTTTTTTTCTTACCTTTAGCTGGCGTGTTATGACCAGGCCAAGCAGCTGGTCCTGGGAACAGGCATGATGGGAGATAACATACTCACACATTTCCTCTCCAGCTTCATTGCTGTAAGTTTAAAGTTTAGTTTCAGAGACCTGAAGGCTTGAAAGTTTATGAAGCTCTTTTTTGTTTTTAACTGACTCTCTGCGCCTCTGCAGGGAGGCTGTGCTACATTCTTGTGTCAACCTCTGGATGTCATGAAGACCAGGCTCATGAACTCAAAGGGAGAATACACAGTGAGTGGACCCCTGTTATTCCTCTTCAGCATCTACTTTCATCCTTTCATTCCTCGGATTCTGCTTTTATATCTTTTTGTTTCATTCTAATTCAGTGTTTCACCTCTTTCAGGGGGTAATACACTGCTTAAGAGAAACTGCACAGCTGGGCCCCCTGGCATTTTACAAGGTAAAGTAAGAACAACATACACGCCATGCAAAACACCCTGTGTGCTTTGAGAGCTCCAAAGTGTTTCTTAGCTGTAGCACAGCAGTAATAATCGGCTCTCCCCATCAAAAGGGGGGGCAGAAATAGAAGCTAATCCTGAAATAGACATCTCTTTTTTAAAGTGAGGTCTCCAAAGGCAAGGACAGATATACCTTGTCATTTTGCTGTAAAAGATCATCCTTATATTTAGGTTTAAAACCTGCTTAGCATTGGTAACTGAGCTAAAGCGTAAAATGATTAATCTGATGTCCGCAGGAACTTTTATTGTTAGGTCTTCTCGTTTAAAAGATCACATAATTGGTAACGTAAAACATGTCTGTTATAATAACAGACATTCAGAGCAACAGCTCCAAACACAGACTTCTTATAGAGAAGACAGAGGTTGAGGCCCTTGAAAATCTGAAGTAATAGTTGAGTTTGACTTTGAACAGATCTCCAGATTTAACACCCCCCTCCCATTCAGCTGTCCCTCCTCAAACAGCGTAACAACTTGGCAGTGCTTTTCAGGTTAAATTGTCCGTCACCACCTTGAACAAATTTTTGTCTCCTCACGATTTGCATCAGTCCCACAGGACTTTGCTCTGGCAGTCAAACACATGAACAGCTTCCACTCACCCACTCAAACCTCTAGGCTAAAGGAGCATCATTTTAGTAGTTTAAAATAACTTTAAAAAAAAAACATGATTTGAATCAGTGGAATAAATATTATATAAACTTTGACTGCAAGGTGTAGTGCAGTTTGAATTTCCCAGTCATGATTCATCTCTAAAAGGAGTCCATCTCGATAATGGCATGTAGAAATGAAGGTTAGAAGGTTGGGGGTCTCAGGTCTGGTTGGTTTTATAACAAGCCGAAGGCATTTAGTTTGTCTTTACAAAACAAACTTAGCATGAAAACACATCAAACAACCAGAACAAAAACTATTAAAAATATACAAAATTACGATGAGAACAACTCCAGCTCCAGTCAGCGCATGAGCTCCTTAGATGATTAGTAAATGTCAGATACAGTGTCTTGTATCATAAAAGAAGGTAAGTATTATACCCAGTATCATTACAATAATACCATACTCTGAGTAGGGCTGAACAATTTTGGAAAATAATCCAATTCGATTTTTTTCCTCAATATTGTGATTGTAATTTAATATGCAATTATTTTTCAAGGTCCCCTTCTAATGTTTTTTTCAACTAACAAACAATAAATCAGTCTGTTATTATAGTAAACAATATCAGATTAATTATACATAAATCGTTCTTTCTGGCAGTTATCATTTCAAACACAAACACACGCACACACACACAGATACACACACACAGGCTCTCTGCTCACACACTATTGCGCACACACATGAACGACCATCATATACGTCATGATACTAATCTATGTACTGATGTCGAGATGGAATTGGTGCCCAAAACACTGGAATCTAGTCTATTCGTTCAGCTGTGCTGCCATCGCTGTATTGGATTTGTTCTCCATTGTTATGCAGACGTGGTTTGAAGCTGACGCACTGGTCGCTGGTGTTTTAGCCATTCAACTATCATACATGGCTTTGTTACGTTCTTTTAAGTGTTGATAAAGGTTTGTAGTGTTACCTCCTGATATAGCAACAGTAGCACGACAGGTTCTGCACACATTGTGCAGCAGCATCTTTTTTTGCCGTGCTCCCCCTCTTTGGTTCTTAACTTTCTGCAGTGTGAGCTTCTGTAGTGGAATTAGGCCATGGAGCGACAGAGTGCGGTGTTCACTACTTTCTACCTGCTCTGCTCCACTCGCAAATCACGTGACCAGTCAATATTGCAGCATGCGGATAGAAAATTGCGTTTTATCATATCACCATATAATCACAAATGCAAGTAATCATTCAGCCCTAATTCTTAGGTATTATTCTGTGCTCTGAGTTGTAATGGGAAGAGACTCTAATCTAATTTGATGCCAATTGTTTTTTCACAGGGTCTCGTCCCAGCAGGGATCCGCTTGGTTCCTCACACAGTGCTCACCTTCATCTTCCTGGAGCAGCTCAAGAAATACTTCGGCATCCGTATCATCTCCTGAGCTCACTCTGGGACCATCTGATCTCCCACCGCCCACCGCCCACTGCCGCTTATAGCCTCCAGTCAGCACTCTGCTCTTAGCATTTATTAGAAATATTTAAAAAAAGAAAGAAAGAAAGGGAGTCACTTGTGGTTTATGAGGTGCTTTTGGAGGTTTTCCATCTTTTGTTGCTCTACCTCGGTCTCTCAGCTTGAAGTGAATGGATTTTGGTTATTATGAGCAAGAGCACCAACTACTGGAGGGGACAAAAACTGGAAGAACGGACTATTTTCTTTAATTCACAGGTCATCACTACAAGAAAAGACAGTACTTGACATAAAGGTGTTGATGTGTTTATTATGATAAACTGCAAAGATATAGAGAGGAGAGCGAAATGAGCCCTGGCAGATTTGTACAGTAGTTGTTAAGTGTAAGTTGTCTCAGGTTGAGACATAGTGAGATTAGGAGCTAATTTTTAGTTCAGGGGGAATATATCTGTGGTGTTTAAAACTTACTACATGTCACTTTTAATCAGTTCCAGACCAGGTTTTGTCATTTGTGTAAAAACCTCAGCTGCTTTTTTCTGTTTTTCAGGAACACGTTTCCTGTTAGTTCTCTGCTACATTTTGTGTCGTTTTAGGACAGAAATCCAAAACACCTATATAATACAGCCTTGTCATCTGTGTCATTCTTATAAGTCAATATGATCTCCTGAAAGCCATTTCAAAGACATGACAGGTCAGATTCAGTCATGATCATTCCCTACAGTGAAGACCAAATGAGAGGCACCCTGAGTTTTAACAGGATGATTTTTTTTTTCTTGCGCTTAATGAATGAATGAAACAGAGCTGTGAATTGTCTAGTCGGTTTGTTTTTTTCTGCTTGTTCCAGTTTGATGTCATAATTGTACTTGCAGATGGATAACGGTGTGGGGGACCAAGCTTGTGTTCAATTTTAAGTCTGAAGGGATTTAAAGCAAGTAGAGCAGAATTGAAGAACCCTTTGATTACAGCTCTTTTAGTCTCTAGGAAAACTCCATACAACCACTTGTTCTCTTAACAGTTTGAGTAGAGGTGCCTGTACAGATCTATTGTACTGTGAGTGTACATCTAGCATTTCTGTCTGTAGTGTCACCGCTTAGTCGATTGCATGCCAGACTTTATGACTCAGGATGTTTTTTCTAAGGCACTTTAGGACAGTCCCTGGACTCCTGCTGACTGAGCTGCTGCGTAGAAACACGTGCTGCAAACTACTAAAACATGTTCTAAATGTAGAACAGTTTTCACATGTTGTAGAAGTTACACTGTTAATGGTTCCAACTGATGGTACTTGTCTTATAAGTTTGACGGTTCAGCGATAAAATGCATTTTTCTCCCCTGTGCCTGCTCTGCCCTGACAGAGTCTTGTCAAATCATATTGCCTTATAGTTTATGCCCTCCAGGGGGTAGTATAAGAACATGTGAGTAGTCATGATGCCAAGAGCTTGAATGAACCTTTTGCAACTTCATCTGAGGGTGCGTTCACAAGAAGTGAGCCACAATCTTAGAGAAACTACAGGTTATGATGACCATGTATACCTGCATGTCCTTATAGTTGAGTTTTCCTCTGGAATTTGAGGAACTGTAGATCTGCCATAGTAAACTATGCTAATGCCAACTTGATTCATACGCACAGAAACTAAACTGGAGGGACCCAAAGTCGGGGGTAGTGTTAATTTCCTTATTTTGTAGATTATTGACTAATGACTTTTGAATTAAAGTACTAATCGAGAACATGACTATTGTGGGCTTTTTTTCCAGCAACAAACTGATCCATTTTACTTTTTTAGACTTATTCAAAATAATTCACATTTTCTGAGTGTAACGGCTGAGACTCTGCGTTGTAGTTATATGAAGACACCAGCGGGATTCTATCAGAGTTTATTCTGTGCAACAGAATGAAAAGGGAAACCTTAATTTCATCACACAGGCTGAAACACGAGCTAGCTCAACTAAATGAACATAAGTCAGCACGCTAAGCGGACAAAATACAACAAAAGTAACACTCAGGATGTTAGAAGAGTGAAAAGAAACTTAAAACTGTTTAATGAACATCACAGAAAATAAAAGTACACATAGAATAAATAAATTAGGGCGAAATCAATAATTAGCCAATGGACACCTACCTCTCCTCCAGGGATCACTATCAGAAAGGGGAGAAGTAAGGAGGGCAACTCAAATATAAAAGGAAAAGAAACCAACAAAGAAGAAACCAAAAGGAAGAGAGAGGCTGCTCATAAAAATAAATTCACACACACAAAAAAAAAGGTTCCATAGTCAAACATAAAAACACACAGGTATAATTTTGGTAATTCAATTTAAAAAATAATGTACATTTAATCTTGTTACACAAGGTCATCACATTTTTAGGACCACTGTTATATTTCAGCCCTCTCTATAGATCGGTTGGGAAGCTCTGTAGGAAGTAATGATTATTTATTGTAAAAAAAAAAAAAACAACTGTGAGTTTTCTGTTGCTTTGTCAGCTGCTGCAGGCTTGTCATGCTTTATCCTCTGGGATTTGCCTCATCAGAACAAGGATGTGTTTTAATGTGGTGGTTAATGAGCAAGTACTTAAAAGTAGCCCTCAGACTTGAGATCACTACTTAATTTAACCAGATTACAGTCTCCAGTCCTCACTGTGAAGCACAACCCCACACGGCGAAGTGATATAGTTCACCTGTAGTGATGAATGGTTTCTGTGTGACTCAGATGAACACTGCTGCCCATTCCTTTATTAATGCAATCCATCACATACAATGCATTAATGACTGTATCCAATCATCTCTATCAGCACATGAATGAGTGGAAAGTCTTTGACCTAATGTCTCTGCATGTACTCGCTCCATTCTCACAGTCAGGAGAGTTATTTTTGCACAGCAGTTATAAGGCGAGAGTGCCCATCATGAAATCAGGCTTTGCGCTTTTTATTGTAATATTATACAAACTGCAGTTTCAACAAAGACAGTCTGTACCACAAAAGTTGTGGTACGATCAATGATTTTGGTTTGAATAGGCAGTTTGGGGAGTGAGTTTATCAATAACTTAGAAGTTTTGAAGAAATGGGGATATGAATAATGTATTAAATACTGCAAGGCTTTTAACTGAAAGGCAGGCACCCTAAATGTGAGAGCTCACCTTAACTTTGCCTCTTGTTAGGTTGCAGTAGAGTGTGGTTGTGTCATAGCTGTGACTGCAGCCATGTTTTATACAGTCTGTGGAAATGCCATTTAGCTGTGGAGTATCCTGCAAATCCTTCTTTCCATGACAACCCCTGCAGGTGATTGTTGTTTTTTATATAAATTGAGTCACAACTATGGTGCAACAAAGTTGTTGGACACAAGAAATCATGCATCTGCTACAAACCCCAATTTCAATTAAGTTGGTAAGTTGTGCAAAATGTAAATAGAGCACAATACTAGAAAAGCACTCGGAGAGCGCAGACCTCCACCAAGCAGCTCATGTCCCCCCTTAAATTGTGATTCACACCAAAACTTTTACTGTTTTGTGTCTTTTATTAACTTTTATTTGCGTTTAAACTGGTATGTTCACTGTTCATAATGTTCCTAAAACAACAAAGCTCATATTAGATACATAAATGCATGATTTTTTTATTATGCAATATTTGTAAGCGTACACCTACTTGTATCTTCATTGGTTATCTTTCAGCATTGAAAATTCCAACGACACCCTTATTTTTATGTGTTCTGGATCACAGTATCCAGAATTTTGTCTGGATCAGGATCAACCTTTGACACCTCATAAAACTCATTGAGATGCTTTTGTGTAATTTTTTACTAAAGGCTCTGGCCATTTTCATAGAGTTAAATGCAAAAATTCCAAAATTTGCCCTATCTCACAATAATAAAGAATCCTTCAAAAAATTCCTGGATCCAGAAGGCGATCCGGATCACCACCAAAATTTAATGGGATCCTCCTGGGGCTGAGATGCACCTCTGGTGAAAATTTCAGGTCAATCTGTCTATAACTTTCTCCGTAAAGTTGCTAACAGACAAACAAACAAACAAACAAACAAACCAACAAACAAACCAACGCTACCAAAAACATAGCCTCCTTGGCGGAGGTAACAGTGATTTATAGGTAACCCAGGGGTGATATCTATAACTTTTAGAGAATTCCTGAAATACGGCAGTATTTTAGCAAACACGTTTTTCTATGATACCCTCCAGTTGTTTATGGTGGATGATTTGAAGTAAATAGCTGACAGTAATAATGAGAAACAAAGAGGTAAAAATGTTGTGACAAGAATGGCAGGGAAAAGCATAAGACAGGGCAAACGGACCAAAGCAGAGACTAAGAGGTGTTAATGCGTTCCTCTGAGAGCTGCAAATCTGTCTCAGTGAAAATGAGAATAAATCTACCACAAGACTTATATAATTGAAAAGAAATTTACGCTACACTTGTCTTCTGAACTGAATGAAACACTTTAATGACTCATGATTTTTACCAGCCATCAATCATCGGTCACTGACAAACAGGTGCTGATTGTTAATCTCCTCACGACTACGACTGCATACACAACACAAGATATAAAAAATGGCCTCAGGCAAGTGAAGCTGGAATGCCGAGGGAGGTCCGGGTAAAAATTTGAACTCAGTCTAGTCTGACTGATTCATCAGAGAAGGAAGGGTAAGACAGGAGTTCTTCCAGTTACTAGACCCACCACCCCCACCACCACCACCACCACCACACACACACACACATACAGACACAGACTTTTGATTTAATGATTATTTTTCATAAAATAATTTCTTAAATTTTTTTCTTTTTTTGATGTTTGTTATTTTGCTCTTTTTCCCCTTCAGGCCCATAGTCCCCCGGCTCACTGCCACATTACCCCAGCATAAAGCCTCAAGGTGGTGAGAGAGTAGGCTTGTTAAGTGGTGCGCTCACTTTTTTTTAAAAATGGGGAATGTTAATTCTTCCTGTTTTAAAATTTTAGGTGCACCTGTAGTTAGTCTGCTACTTTTATGTCTTTTTTGGATCAAGTTCATGTTTGTTTTTTTTTTGTTTTTTTATATACAAGTTTTATTAGTTTGTCTCATTCATGTAATTATTTTATCCTGTTTTAAACTTGGGTTAGCCTCTGTGTCATTTGTTTTGCCCCTTCACCTTTTGTTGGTTTTGGTTATTTATTTATTTGCTTTATCCTTCTTCTGAATAGTTCTTTTTGCTTGAGTTTGCTCTGCTCTTTTGCCTTGCAGCTAACCGGGTTTTTGTTTTTTTTAATTTTTTTTAAATTATTTTTTCTTTCAGCAGCTAAGAATCCCTTAGTTGGGAGGCTAAACATTAGCATTTTGCATGTGGGTTTACTCAAAATTTTTCAGTTTATTTCAGTTTCAGCTGCATTTTCTTGGTCCCTATTTGACAGATTATTTATCCAAGGCTTTTCCATTAACTATTACTATGACACTTGTTTTATCACTGAATTAGATTTGTGTTGTTTTATTTGCATTGTTTAACCTGTTTTCCTTTTTTTCAGTGTCAGTGATTATTCTTCTTCTTTTGGAAACGTGTCTCTGCTCCTCCTCAGTTTTAAAGCTGTGTGCCTTAAACTTTCTAATGGTCTTTCTCCTGAGGGTGCTGGTCCCCAGGTGGTGTCACCGGTTAAACCATTCCAAATGTAGTTTCTGCCAAAACCAGCGTGCCACACTCTCCTAGCTTCAATCCTTTGTCTGTTTTCTTTTTTTAACTGCTCTGTAAGGTTGTAGGGTCCAGGCAGGGCAAAGTTTTGCATTGATGAAAACCTCTGATGAATGCTGTTTGTCACTGTGTATACGACAGGGTGAGCTCTTTGACCTTGTTAGTGTCAGCAGATGCAAATGACTTACTGCCTGCAAGCTCTTCTTTTGCTCACCCTTCTCTCTGAAGAAGCCTTCTGCATGACTAGCTTAAACTCTTCCTTCTCCTACAGCTTTCCATTGAATCACTCCACAAACGTATCCCCCACTTATACATTGTATGTATGTGGGCCCAATGCATGACCATCATAAAAACTGCCGTAACTTAAAGCAGCAAAAAGAGTGAAGCACTTTCCACAGCATTCCCTGTCTGTCTGCCAGAATGAGACACAAAAAGATGCGCATTAAAACACCCAGGACCAGGTCAGGCTGATCGTCAATTAGACTTTCAACAGCTCAGCAAAATGCGTTTCTGTCTTCGGAGCAGACATCTTGAGTCATGTCTACTTGGACTGAAAACATGCCAGCCTGCCAAACTTCTTTTGCAACAGTCATCTTACTCAGTTGGCTGATAACGTCTAAAACTTTGAGTGTTTTGTTTGATGGCAGGGTAACAAAAGAGCCTTTACTCTTTGCTGCATCTGATTTTTTCTATTCATGTGTTCACACTGGGGAAGGAAAATGTCAATATAACTTGTAGCATGCAGCCATTATTTATGATGGTGTGCGTTGAGCAGCCTCTTTTTTATCTCCCCTCTAGCTAAGGCCAAAACAGTAATGATGTGTATAACGCACTTCATCACCAGCTGTTCCTTTTTCACAAGCTCAGCACATAAGGACATTTGGTTGCCAGTCAACAGGCTTTCTATATCTGCCTTTCAATAGAGAGAAAGTAATCATCTGTACTATGCCTGTGCATCCTTTTTTCATATTCTATTATCTGTAGTTGAACATGCCTCCATGCTTCCATGCTATCTTTGTGAAAAGGTTGTCACCAAACGAATGTGCAAATGCCAGACCAACAGTCAAACCTTCTG